AACACCCTAACACCCTAACACCCTAACACCCTAACACCCTAACACCCTAACACCCTAACCTAACCCTAACACCCTAACACCCTAACACCCTAACACCCTAACACCCTAACACCCTAACACCCTAACACCCTAACACCCTAACACCCTAACACCCTAACACCCTAACACCCTAACACCCTAACACCCTAACACCCTAACACCCTAACACCCTAACACCCTAACACCCTAACACCCTAACACCCTAACACCCTAACACCCTAACACCCTAACACCCTAACACCCTAACACCCTAACACCCTAACACCCTAACACCCTAACACCCTAACACCCTAACACCCTAACACCCTAACACCCTAACACCCTAACACCCTAACACCCTAACACCCTAACACCCTAACACCCTAACACCCTAACACCCTAACACCCTAACACCCTAACACCCTAACACCCTAACACCCTAACACCCTAACACCCTAACACCCTAACACCCTAACACCCTAACACCCTAACACCCTAACACCCTAACACCCTAACACCCTAACACCCTAACACCCTAACACCCTAACACCCTAACACCCTAACACCCTAACACCCTAACACCCTAACACCCTAACACCCTAACACCCTAACACCCTAACACCCTAACACCCTAACACCCTAACACCCTAACACCCTAACACCCTAACACCCTAACACCCTAACACCCTAACACCCTAACACCCTAACACCCTAACACCCTAACACCCTAACACCCTAACACCCTAACACCCTAACACCCTAACACCCTAACACCCTAACACCCTAACACCCTAACACCCTAACACCCTAACACCCTAACACCCTAACACCCTAACACCCTAACACCCTAACACCCTAACACCCTAACACCCTAACACCCTAACACCCTAACACCCTAACACCCTAACACCCTAACACCCTAACACCCTAACACCCTAACACCCTAACACCCTAACACCCTAACACCCTAACACCCTAACACCCTAACACCCTAACACCCTAACACCCTAACACCCTAACACCCTAACACCCTAACACCCTAACACCCTAACACCCTAACACCCTAACACCCTAACACCCTAACACCCTAACACCCTAACACCCTAACACCCTAACACCCTAACACCCTAACACCCTAACACCCTAACACCCTAACACCCTAACACCCTAACACCCTAACACCCTAACACCCTAACACCCTAACACCCTAACACCCTAACACCCTAACACCCTAACACCCTAACACCCTAACACCCTAACACCCTAACACCCTAACACCCTAACACCCTAACACCCTAACACCCTAACACCCTAACACCCTAACACCCTAACACCCTAAACACCCTAACACCCTAAACACCCTAACACCCTAACACCCTAACACCCTAACCACCCTAACACCCTAACACCCTAACAACCCTAACACCCTAACACCCTAACACCCCTAACACCCTAACACCCTAACACCCTAACACCCTAACACCCTAACACCCTAACCCCAACCCTAACACCCTAACACCCTAACACCCTAACACCCTAACACCCTAACACCCTAACACCCCTAACACCCTAACACCCTAACACCCTAACACCCTAACACCCTAACACCCTAACACCCTAACACCCTAACACCCCTAACACCCTAACACCCTAACACCCTAACACCCTAACACCCTAACACCCTAACACCCTAACACCCTAACACCCTAACACCCTAACACCCTAACACCCTAACACCCTAACACCCTAACCACACCTAACACCCCTAACACCCTAACACCCTAACACCCCTAACACCCTAACACCCTAACACCCTAACACCCTAACACCCTAACACCCTAAAATGAAATTTTAATAAAGGCTTGGAGTCTGATCTAATATCAAAAAGTTCTGATCAATATTAAATTTCTGGAAAATATAGGACTAATTGATAGCATACAACCTTGAGTTTATGTTGAATTAGAATTCAAACGGCAATTCCAAATTTGAAAACCAATAAGGCTGATTCTATCAGATTAATACACCTTTTCCTGAAGCTTCCGCATCAGTCTTCCCAGCTTTTCTCTTCATAATACCCATGAGCGCTTCTTATTGGCTTCCATTTATTCTAGATTTACTATTTTTACTAAATTATTATATTGCTTTATATAGATGATGTTTAAAAAACTCAAGCCTATTTCAGAGAGATGTTGTGACGAATATCTAGCTCAGAAAATTTTGAATGACATAAGAAATTTGAAAAAAATTGATTCTATTCAAGCTTCTTATTTAAATAAGCTTGAATTAATTAATTTTCCAAATATTTATACTCTATTTAGCAAATATTTGGATAAGACTCTCAAAGAAGACCTCCTAAACTTAGTATTGCTTTCAAGATTATCAAAAGAGATTGATTTGGCTTGCAGCAATGCAATAACTATTCTAGCTAAAAGTGATTTTTCTTTTAAGAATATAGATTTAAGCAATATCCGCATCCCAAAAGCGGATTTATCTCAATGCTTATTTATAAATGTGAATTTTGAAAACAGCAACCTAAAAGAGGTCAATTTTTTGCAATCGCATATTACTAGTGGAGGCCGGCATGTCGGAACCTTTGGTAGAAAACATTGCGACTCTTGAGACTACGAGTGCCTCATGAGAGGAACTCCCTTGGCCCCCGTTTGTGCGCGGTCAGTGCGAGAGAAGACTTGGGCAGGATTGACACGAAAGGGAAAAGGATTAAGTTTCTCTGATGATGATAACTATTTTTGCTACAGAAATGACAATAATTTGATAGAACTGGACTTGAAAAATCAAGAATCAAAAATTAAGGCTAATTTTACAAATTTTGTTTCTTCACATATCACTAAATGTCTCAACGCAGAGCTCAAGCCTGTCACATTAAAGACCCGTAATCAATTCATTGAATTTTGGGATGAACATGAAAATAGGCTTTTATTTTATATAGATCCTTTTAATTTGAAATTTTCACCAAATTATAAATATATAGTAGCTTATGACAATAATATTTTTATCAGGTGCTGAGACATAGAAAACAATCATCAAATTATTGATCCTTTTAATAAATTTGATCATAAATGAACACAATTTGCTTTTGCTCCTTCCAGCAAATATTTAGCAATAAAAAGTCCAGACACGATTTATATAATTGAAACTAAAAATTGAACTCTAATCAGATTTCTTCGAGGCAGATTCTCTTTAAAAGGCGTTATTGCTATCTCATCTTGTGAAACAAAAATTGCTTGTAGCTCTTCTGGCATACATTTGATAGATGTTTCGTCTTCAGACCAATCTAAGATTTTTTTCAAAAATAAAAAAATACGAGCACTAACTTTTTCTCTGTGCGGGAAATTTTTAGCATTTGGATCTAATAAAGGGGTTGGATATATGATGAACTTAGAAAACCAAAGAATTTTACAAGTTTTTGCTGGATTTAAGGACAAATTAACATCAGTGCTGCTTTCAATGTCAAGCAAATATATTTCTTTAACCAACTGATATGGGGAAATCTGAGTTTATGAATTTTTTCCAAAATTCGTGAAAAATGGAAAGAATTTTCAAAAGGCAAAAGTATCACCAAAAGGAACCTATCTCCTTTTTTTTAATCAAAAGAAATCTATCTTATGGGATTTAACAGATTTCAACCCGAAGCAAATAAAGCAGCTTTCTTTTAGTGCTTTTTATCTTAATTTTGCTTTTTCTCCTTTTGATACTTACCTCGTCCAAAGAATCTACCATCATTTTGACATTTATCATATAAAGCGTGATATGTGGCTAAAAACATTAACACTAGGCTATTTTTGCCACTTCACATTTTCTAATTGTGAGAGTTATTTTATCTGCTTAAGAAACGATATTTATGAATATTTCACGATTCCTTATTTGGATAAAGTCAAAATTGCAGAAACTAAAACCCTAGACTATTACCATTATGCATTTACTAAGTGTGGTAAGTATAGTATTTGAATAGGCTCTCAGTTTTGTATTTGCATATGAGACTTAGAAAAAGATTGCTTCATTAAAAGCATTCAGAGAGAGAAAGGGGCAACTATTTTTACTTTCACATCAACTTTATCAAAATTTGCTTTTTTGTTCCCATCAAAGCCCAAACCTTATATTAAAGTTTTAAACATAGATACAAATGATAGTGTTTGCATAGAGAGTCGTGAAGAAATTACCTGCTTTTGCTTTAGTCCTAATGGGAGAGAAATTATAGGAGGAAATGAAAATGGTATTATTAATATATGGGATGTTGAAACTTGGACTGTAAAAGAAAAAATCAGATCTTTATTTTTGAGATCTATTAAATCAGTTGAAGATGTAAATGGACTTATAATAATAAGAGAGAAACAAAATATAGAAATTTACAAGGCAGCCCAATTAGACTAAAGCATTTAATTAGAAAAATTAGGTTAACTGTTTAATAATATATATTAATTCGTCAGAAAAAATATTTATATTATAAAGAACCTTTTTGGTCAAAGAGAATCTTTGTAAAAAAGAAATATAATTCCAAGAAATTTCCTCTTTACTAGACAGCTCAAAGATTAGTTTTATATATAAAAAGTGTAAAAGAACAATAAAAAAGTTGCCCATTATTTTTAAAATTTTATTACTATATTTCAATAAATTTCATCATAAAAAAACTGATATTAAGGATGCAGGAGGTCTTCTTTCTAGTAATTTGAGATTGAAAAGTGCTCTATCAATATGATAGTTTGGAATAGAATCCTCTGTTCTATAGAAATAATGATATCTTCAACAATTTCTTATGGCACCCCCAAACATCCGTTGATGCATGCTGCACAATTTTTAGCTTAAATATCCAATTTTTTTATTAAAAGCCTTATCATGTGCCATTGCTTGCTCTTCGTCTTTAAATTAGATAAGAATTTAAATGAAAGACACAGATGAATCTCATTTTATTTCAGGCTCAGGCTGATTTTCTTGCTGTAGTTCATCATGTTTATAAAAATTGCATTATAATTAATTGAAGTTTACTTTATATTATTTAAAATAAAGCGTCTTGTTTCTGTAAATATGCTTAGATTAAAGAAGGCATATTATATAAAGCACTTCAAATACTTTTAAGCGATTTCATAATATAAAGTCAAAGTAGTTGGTTTTATATGAAATTTTAATAAATTAATTTCTGAAGTAAAGCTATTTTCCAGAGTCTCATATTGTTATAATGAATAAAATCAATAAGCTATTAAATCGCTCAGAAAGAGATTATAACGAATATTTAGCTCAGAAAATACTGAAAGACATCAACATTTGGAAAACTCTTGATTCAATCAAGAACTCTTATTTAAACAAGCTTGATTTAGTTGATTTTCCAGATATTTTGTCTTGCTTTAATAGTTTTATTAGAGAAAGCAATAAAGAAGATCTCGTGAAATTGATTTTGCTCTCTAGAACGTCAAAAGAAATTGATTTAGCATGCAGTAATGCTGCAACTATACTTGCCAAAAGCGATTTCGTATTTAAAGATATCGATTTCAGCAGAATTCGCATCCCAAAAGCTGACCTATCCCAGCGCCTATTCGTAAATGCAACTTTTGAAAATAGCTATTTAAAGGAAGTCAAGTTTTTACAGTCCCAATTTCATTGTGTGAATTTTAAAAATTGTGACCTCAGCTGTGCAAATTTTGGGTATTTTATAAAATTTAATTCAAAGGATGCAAAAGGGCTCAATTTCTCTACAGATGATAAATATTTTTACTATCAAAATGATGATAGTGTCATAGAAATTGACTTAAAAGAGCAAAAAATTAGAAATAAAGTCAACTTAAACGATTTTATTACTACAAATATTACGTACACTCATAGCTTTAGATTCGAATCTTCCTTAGCAAGTGTTCATGGACAATATATAAAGATTAAGGACAATTATGGAAATAGACTTATATGTGAGCTTAATTTGCATAGATTGGTAATTTCATCAAATTGAAAATATATTGCAGCTCTTGATGCCAACTCAACTGTTCTTAGCTGGGATATAGAGAAAGGCAAACAGATTCTTGGAATTACTAAAGCCCTCACTTATAGAACCTCAAAATTGGTTTTTTCTCCATCCAATAGATATTTAGCAATGATAAGAGCAGGATCAATTTCTGTAATCGAAACTGAAAATTGGAGTCTCTATAGGAAATTTTGAGGAAAGTTTCCTATTAAAAACGTTTTTTCTATTTCTTATTGTGGACAAAAAATGGCTTTCTGTGATTCTGAATCAATATATATCATAGATACTATAACCTCAGCTAAAACAAAAATTTTTTATAGGACAGGAAAGATATTATGTTTGTCATTTTCTCCTTGTGGAAAATTTTTAGCAATCAATCCAAAAGGAAATGAGGGATTTATTATAGACTTAAAAACGAAGAATATTTCACAATTTTTTTCTGGATTTGAAGGCAATATTATATCAGTAATGTTTTCTATTTCAGGAAAATATATTTCTTGGAGCGATTCTAAAGGGAGTATAAAAATTTATGAATTTTCTTCTAAATTTGTCCAAAATGATAATAATAGGCATCTTACCATTTATAAAGCTAAAGTATCTCCAAAAGGTACATATCTCATTACTACAAGTTTAGAAAAATCTATCTTATGAGAACTGAGAACTTGTAACCCAAAACAAATCAAAAAATTCATGCAAAATGGGTGGTATAATGACTATGTATTTTCTCCTTTTGAAACTTATTTATTGAGAAAATTTGGTGATAAAATACAAATATATGACATCAAGCGGGATTTTTCAATAAAAACATTAAGTTTTGAACAATGGTGGAATCTTGAATATTCATTTTCTCGTTGTGAAAATTATTTGATCTGCTTGGATAAATTGTCGTATAAGTATTACAGCATCCCTGATTTTACTTTAGTTAGAATAATTAAAACCCAACAAAATGGTAGCCATCTTACTTCCTTTGAGTAGGCTAAATTATTGTTTATTGTAATTATTTTATATTAGTTTTAAAAAAATAAATTAAATTAGATAATTTAATAAAATTAAATATAAATATTTCCCACTTATATATAAAATAAGTTATTTATTTAAAAGTTTAAAATATTTATCTTTTGGAGTAAGGGTTAGATTTTCCGAATGTGGAAATTATGATTTTTGATATGATTCTCAAAATTTTCTTTATGTATGAGATTTACAAAAAGGTGACTGCATGAAAAAAATGCATATGGAGAGCTTCATATGCTCTATTAGGGCACTATCACCTTTTTTATTACATATTGCGTTTTTTACGTCAAGAGAGAATGTAAATTATATAGATATTCTAAATGTTGATGATGGAGACATTGTTAGTTTAAAAAGTGAAGGAAAATCTTTTAGTTGCTGCATTGCTGATTCTGATGGGGCATTGCTTATTGAAGGGTGCAAAAAAGGAATTTTTAATTTATGGGATATAAAAACAAAAACTGTCAAGCAGAAATTTAGGTCTTTATTTTCGAGGGATATCAATGCAGTTGAAGTTGCTAATAACCATATTATAATAAAAGAAAAAGATAATGTTGAAATTTTCAGCATGGCTCAGCTGGGTTAGAGGTATAATCAAAGATTAAGGTAAAGTAGTTTAGATAATTAATAATTACTATTTTACTTTAATTATATTAATGGAAATTTTTTTATTATTTTTCGCAATATGTTTTCTCTAAAATTAATTATCTAAAAAGAGCGAAATAACAATAAAAAAAGTTACCCATTAGTTTTTAAAAAAATTTTATATATATTTCAATAAATTTCTTTATAAAACAACTGATATAAAGGATGTAGGAGGTCTTCTTTCTAGTAATTTGAGATTGAATAGTGCTCTATCAATATTATAGTTTGGTAATTGAATCTTATGTACTATAGGGAAAATGATATCTTCAGCAATTTCTAAACTCCCCAATCATCCGTTGATGCATACTGCACAGTTTTTAGCTTAAATATCCATATTTTTATTAAAATCTCCATCATATGACATTGCTTGCTACTCATCTTTATGACTAAATAAGAATTTAAATGAAAAGACACTCATGAATCTCATCTTATTTCAGGCTCGGGCTGATTTTCTTGTGTGGTTCATCATTTTTAAAAAATTGCTTTATAATTAATTGAAATTTATTTTATATTATTTATAAATAAATTGTCTTGCTTCTGTATTAATATGCCTAGATTAAAGAAGGCATGCTATATAAAGCACTTCAAATACTTTTAAGTGATTCCAGAATATAAAGTCACTAGTAGTTGATTTTCCATGAAAGCTTTAATAAATTAATTTCTGAAGTAAAGCTATTTTCAATATTGTTATAATGTATAAAATCAATAAACTATTAAATCGCTCAGAAAGAGATTATAACGAATATTTAGCTCAAAAAATACTGAAAGACATCAACATTTGGAAAACTCTTGATTCAATCAAGAACTCTTATTTAAACAAGCTTGATTTAATTGATTTTCCAGATATTTTGTCTTGCTTTAATAGTTTTATTAGAGAAAGCAACAAAGAAGATCTCGTGAAAGTGATTTTGCTCTCGAGAACGTCAAAAGAAATTGATTTAGCATGCAGTAATGCTGCAACTATACTTGCCAAAAGCGATTTCGTATTTAAAGATATCGATTTCAGCAGAATTCGCATCCCAAAAGCTGACCTATCCCAACGCCTATTCGTAAATGTAACTTTTGAAAATAGCTATTTAAAGGAAGTCAAGTTTTTACAGTCCCAATTTCATTGTGTGAATTTTAAAAATTGTGACCTCAGTTGTGCAAATTTTGGGTATTTTATAAAATTTAATTCAAAGGATGCAAAAGGGCTCAATTTCTCTCCAGATGATAAATATTTTTACTATCGGAGTGACGATAGCGTCATAGAAATTGACTTAAAAGAGCAAAAAATTAGAAATAAAGTCAACTTAAACGATTTTATTACTACAAATATTAAGTATGCTCATAGCCCTAGACTCGAACCTTCCTTAGCAAGATTAGCTACTGTTCATGGACAATATATAAAGCTTTGAGATAATTATGGAAATAGACTTATACATGAAATTAAATTACATAGATTGGTAATTTCGCCAAATTGAAAATATATTACAGCCCTTGATGCCAACTCAACTGTTCTTAGCTGGGATATAGAGAAAGGCAAACAGATTCTTGGAACTACTAAAGCACTTACATATAGAACCTCAAAATTGATTTTTTCTCCATCCAATAGATATTTAGCAATGATAAGAGCAAAATCAATTTCTGTAGTCGAAACTGAAAATTGGACTCTTTATAGCAAAATTTGAGGAAAGTTTCCTATTAAAAACGTTTTTTCTATTTCTTATTGTGGACATAAAATGGCTTTCTGTGATTCTGAATCAGTATATATCATAGATACTATAACCTCAGCTAAAATAAAGATTTTTTATTGGACAAAAAAGATATTATGTTTATCATTTTCTCCTTGTGGAAAATTTTTAGCAATCAGTCCAAAAGGAAATGAGGGATTTATTATAGACTTAAAAACGAAGAATATATCCCAATTTTTTTCTGGATTTGAAGGCAATATTATTTCAGTAATGTTTTCTATTTCAGGAAAATATATTTCTTGGAGCGATTCTAAAGGTAGTATAAAAATTTATGAATTTTCTTCTAAATTTGTCCAAAATGATAATAATAGGCATCTTATGATTTATAAAGCTAAAGTATCTCCAAAAGGTACATATCTCATTACTTCAAGTTTAGAAAAATCTATCTTATGAGAACTGAGAACTTGTAACCCAAAACAAATCAAAAAATTCATGCAATATGGGTTTTATGATGACTATGTATTTTCTCCTTTTGAAACTTATTTACTGAGAAGATTTGGTGCTAAAATACAAATATATGACATCAAGCGGGATTTTTCAATAAAAACATTAAGCTTTGAACAATGGTGGAATCTTGAATATTCATTTTCTTATTGTGAAAATTATTTGATCTGCTCCGGTAATTTGTCATATAAGTATTATAGCATCCCTGATTTCATTTTAGTTAGAACGATTAAAACCCAACAAACCGATCGCCATCTTAGATTTTCTGAGTGCGGAAATTATGATTTTTGATATGATTCTCAAAATTTTCTTTATGTATGAGATTTACAAAAAGGTGACTGCATGAAAAAAATTCAGATAGAGAAAAGATGCTTAATATATGCACTATCACCTTTTTTATTACATATTGCGTTTTTTACGTCAAGAGAGAATGTAAATTATATAGATATTCTAAATGTTGATGATGGAGACATTGTTAGTTTAAAAAGTGAAGGAAAATCTTTTAGTTGCTGCATTGCTGATTCTGATGGGGCATTGCTTATTGAAGGGTGCGAAAAAGGAATTTTTAATATATGGGATATAAAAACAAAAACTGTCAAGCAGAAATTTAGGTCTTTATTTTCGAGGGATATCAATGCAGTTGAAGTTGCTAATAATCATATTGTAATAAAAGAAAATGATAATGTTGAAATTTTCAGCATGGCTCAGCTGGGTTAGAGGTACAATCAAAGATTAATGTAAAGTAGTTTAGATAAGTAATGATTACTATTTTACTTTAATTATATTAATGAAAAATTTTTTATTATTTTTCACAACATGTTTTCTCTGCTAAATTCTAGTAAAATATCTGTAAATTTTGATATTTTGGGTCATTAGCTTCATTACTGTAGCTAATTATTTTTATAATAATTAGCTTTTATTTTTACTTACTTTATTTTCATCTAATTAATTATTTTTTGTTAAATGTCATCTCTTTCAAAAGAATGCTAAATACAGTATCAAGATTGTGATTATATAGTACTGAAACATCTGCATAAGGCACATTAAAGCTATCTGCTAACATTTTAGCTTCTTCATATGAAACTTGCCTCTTCTTTTTTAAATCTGATTTATTTCCGACTATAAAAATCGGATTGGCTTGATTTCCATGCTTTCGAATTTCACCAACTCAAAAAGATATATAATCAAACGACTCTCGGTTCGTCAAATCGAATACAACGAGTCACCCATATGGCCCTGAATAATAGTCGGAGGAGAAATCTCTAAATGCGGGCTTAACAGGTGTTTTTCAAACCATCAGTTTGATTGTTTGATGACGTTGAGTAATATTTTTGCTTTTCTATATAATTAATACGAAGCCAGACTCAAATCAGTCAGATTTTCTGCCATAAATCTCGTTAGAGCAATATCGAGTTATAATTGATGCTTTTCCAGATCTATATTCTCCTAACCCACATTTTGCTAGATAAATAAATCTATATAGAGTTATGGGTCATAGTATAAAAAATTTTTTACCATTTATAATATAAATACTATTTTTAATTTAAAAATTATAATTTTCTCAAAAGAGAGTTATGACAATAATTGATTTGTGCACCTCTTTTTTCATTTATTGAATTTTGATATTTCAAAATTAATATCGCAAAATATTAATATATGTGTATTCAATAAAATATTTATTAAATATATTTTTTTAAAAACATTTAAAAAGACATAACTTCGGTTTTTAACTTAGTAATCGATATAACCTTTTTTGTATCCCAAATAGATAAAAATATCACAAAAGAAGATTTAACAGCCGAAAATGCAACTAATATACTAAAGATAATGGCATTCATAGATTCTCTCAATCTATTGAAAATCAAGCATCGGCTTAAAACTCTTTAAAAAATTTATATTAGCATTTTCTATTTAAATACTGAAGTTTATTAATCTTTGAAGATATTAATATAAAAAGCAAATTATGCCTGTTTAAGTTAATAGAATTATTTATATATTTCAAAGTGTAGTCCTATCAAAATGGTTTCGTATCTATTTATTTTACTTAAACTAAGATTATCTAATCTCCTCTTACTCCCCCCCCCATCCTTGATCGAACGACTCGCCATCGTTCGATCAAGGATGGGGGTTAAAAAATTTTTTTGGGAAAACAAATTTTATAATAAAAATAATATATATATAAATTGTTTTTTATTTACTTTTAAATAAGAGGGTAAGAGTATTTAATAATTATTTTTACAGCAAAAAATTGAATTAATTTCATAAAAATACCAATTTTTTATATTTTAATTTATTAGTTACCCCTTTAAACTGCATAAATTTTAATTTGCTACTTATTAAATTAAAATTTGTTTTTTAAAAAATTTTAAAAATTCTCTATTTTATTAGATTATTGAGTTTTTAAGCCCATGTTGATGACTAAATTACTTTGAATGGTTGATTCCGAAGCTTTCTATCGTCTCAAAGTCTCTGAAAACAACTTCATTAGGTGCATCTTCCCAAGCTTTTGATAACTATTATATTTTTATATATATAAAAATTTACATGATATGAAAATCGTTCGATCAAGGATGGGGGTTAATTTCCCAATTCTTAGGAATTTTTACAGTCAATCGTTCGATCAAGGATGGGGGGGGGAGTTAGCAATTATAAGTAATAATAATTATCTACTTGCTTTTTCATTTTCCAGCTCGTTCTATCCTCTCTCTGCAATCTCATTTATCAATGTTCTAAATGCTGTATCAATACTTTTTTTTGCCAATGCAGATGTTTCAAAATAAGTAGCCCGTTTTGCTCTCGCTAAATAATTCCCATCTTGAGCTATAGCTTGTCTTTCTTCTAAGTCAGCGTTTTTTTCTATCAAAATAATTGACTTATCTTGATTTTCGAGTTCCATATTCAATTGAAAATGCTTCCAAGCTCATTGTAGCTTTCGCTCTAGAAACATCAAAAAGAATAGCAGTCATCGACTTCATTAAAAGTCCATAATTCCGGATTGGAGCCTTCTTCACTTACTATATCCCAAATATGAACATTTATATAGCGTGCCTTAATAGTAAGCTTGGACTCCTAAAATAAAAATTGAAAAATCAGCCAAATATGCTAGGTAGTAAGATTAGACAAATGATTATCATAAAGATTAGAAACAAGGTAGTTTTATAAGCTTGGGAATAGCTCAAGAGAGCAATTTTTACTTCATTTGCATTGAGTGGAAATTACTATAGATAACAGGCCACTTTTTATATAATGGAGTGCAACAGAAAACAGTTAATTTCCTTTTAATTTTAGTTATTGAAGAAGGAAAATTTATAAAGCTATTAATTTTTATAGGGCTTTCCCTTGAATAGCCCGATAACGGGATGAAGCCAGCCCGTTATCGGGCTATTCAAGGGAAAGCCCTATAATTAATTTCGATTATGAAATTAGTCAATTTTCCAAGTGATCTGAATTTATTAATAAAATTTTGTGAATTATTTTATTTAGGAACGTATAAGTATTCTTAAGGCCTTTATTTTTATTTATAAATAATCATATTTAGCTAATTTGAAGGCAATAGAATAAATTAATATAACAACTATATTAATATTGAAGAGAATTTTCAATAAAACTATAAAAATCTTCCTAAAAAATTCTCAATTTAAATTAATAGAACTTAAAGCTAACTGAATTAAATAGATATTTATTAGCATGATGGGTTCCTAATGCAATATATCTGGCATTCTTCGATAATGTAGAAGAGTTCCTCTATTAGCCGACATTTGCAATAATCTGTGATAAATGAATTTATATTTCAGCTGAGCTAGAGAATCATTAATTAAGGTGCATGACCAATTTTACCTAAAAATTAAAGAATTTAATTTCTTAACAGATCATTAAACAAGTTATAGAGATTACAAAGCTAAATAGGTCCAAAATTTGGAGAAAGCAGTTGAATACACAAAACTAGCAATCCAATGATCAAGATATGTAGCTTGGACAGAATCTGTTCAAGTCATAACCAAAGGCTCAAATAACGTAAAATAAAAGAATGCTAATTAAAATACTATGGATTTTCTAGCAAAGCTTTTGAAGCAGCCTCACTTATAAGCAGTCTAAAAGCATCATCAACGTTAAAACCTGTCAATGCAGACGTTTCAGCATAGCTTGCTCCTATGCTATCTGCGAATTGTTTAGCTTCTTCAAATGAAATTTGCCTATATCCTTCTAAATCTGCTTTATTTCCAATCAAAATAACTGGCTTATCTTGATTATTTGACTCTTGAATTTCTCTTATAAAGCTTCCAACTTTGTCAAAGCTTTCTCTTCTTGACAGGTCAAAAATGATTGCAGAGCCATGACTTCCTCTCATATAAGATGCGGATATGGCCTTATATCTTTCTTGGCCTGCTGTGTCCCAAATTAAAACTCTTATAGTTTTGCCTTTCCAATCATAAGGCTTAGATCTCTGAATAAAAATTACAAATTCAACTCCTATTGTTGGGCGATAGTCCTCAATAAAGCTGTTGTCAGAATAGCGGCACAAAAGGTTGGATTTTCCAGATTGGGAACTGCCTAAGAGGGTAATTTTGAGGGTTTGGTAGCTGAATGAGAATTACCTTTCGCTATCAGCCATATTTTTATTAATAGTAGTTAATCATAAATTTTCAAGAGAATTTTATATTTTTTTAGCTTTGATGAAAATTTTGTTCAGAATAAGACAATGATTATTTTTTATACAGGTTTTAAATAGGAAAATTCTGATATGCTATTAATTAACTTTTTGTAAATATTAGATTTTGATATGTATTAATTAAAAGATAAGTCCTGCTCATCCTTATGACTTGGGTTTTTTATGAAGAAAATGCATGGTAAAATTGGCTGGGTCTTGGCTATACGGTTCTACCTGACAGTCTGGCATTCCGAATCTAGTTGGCTTTACTGGCTCTACTTGGCTCCGTCCTCGCCTGATAGCCTAGCAGGCTGATTCCACTGGCTCTACCTAGAATTCTAGCAGTTCGGCTCTATCTAGCAGTCTAAATCTGCTTTGCATTACCTGGAGGTCTGGCTCTACTTTAAATTTTTCGGGATTTTTCACGTATATATAATAATTTTTGTAACAATAACCATCTAATGCTAAATCATAAATAAATATTTTCGGTAAAAATTCATTCAGCACAGAGCTTGCGCAGTACTAGTCTAAATTTCATTATTTATTTCACAATAAAATTATATTAATTATAATTATAAAAAGTGCCTAGTTTTATAAATTAAAATTGGAAATAAACCAATCTAGCATGCTAGCTAGCAATGAATATAGTTAAACCAATAAATGATATTTCAAAGTGTTGCTATCTGCGATTCTACACTCAGATATATAATATTTTGATATTTATCTTGGCAAAATACAAAGCAATGGCATTCTACAATAATAATTGGGATACTTTTATTCAAAGCTATAAATAAACTCATACAGATATTATTTACTTTTTTATCACTGATACTCAAGCAATGAAGTAATTTAATTCTCTTTCCAGCTTGGCCTTGCATCAACTGAAGCAATTAATAAAAGCCAAAGTTCAAGAAAAAAATGCTCAAAAAAATTTTTTTGTGGACAAATTTTTGGAATTATATCTTTTTAGAATTCTTTCTTGTCTTTTTTATTCAGCTTTTTAAAAAGGCTAGGAAAATCATGTTTAAATTCTTTATCTATTGATATTTTAAAGAAACCTCTTTTTGGAGAACTATGTCCATAACTGAAATTAGAAACAGATCTTCTATTCCTTCAGTTTCTATAAGTTATTTTCCATTCTTACTGTAATTTATTTGCTAAATATGCGATAAAGCATAAGATTGATAGCTGGATCGATTTTCTTTTTATATATTTTTAAGTTTTATTAGCATAGCAAACCATAATCTGTGGTTTTAAGAAAATAATCTCTATCTTATGGCGGTATATAGCATGCCCTATAATGCTCTAATGTGTCATCTTGTGCGTATGATGTGCCTATATAGATCATAGTGTGTCTATAGTGAGGTGAGAGTGTGCCTATAGTGGGCCATTGTGTACCTATAGTTGCTTGCGTACCTATAGTGGGCCATAGCGGGCTATGATGTGCATATAGTGGGTCTACAGTAGACCATAGTGGCCCTATATGTGTCTAGAGTCTAATTATATATCTATCGTACCTATAGTATGCTGACAGTGTGTTTAGAGTGTGCTTATAGTGTGTCTAGATGTGTTACTTATGTCCCTATGTGACACAGTGTGTCTGAGGTGCTTACTGAGGATTTCAAAGGTGCTTCGAATGTGGCATCGGCGTGACTATAGTGTGGCATTATGGGTTAGGTATGCTCTTATCATATGCTATCGATGGCCGGCGGTTTGAATTTTTTTCCTACAGTAAAAACATAAAATTTAAAAAATTAAATCCTCATTAAATGCAAAACTATTTGGTCTGCTCACAGAGGGAGTGTAAGATATCAAACTTAATGCTAATAATAGTCAGGAGCCAAAAGCAGTGCCAATTAATTTTCCGATTGTGGGAGGAGGTAAAGTTTATGAAGCTCGAGCTATATATGGGACTTAAAATAAGATGATAGCATTAAAATATTGGAATATAAACTTATTTTTATACCACAATTAAACATTTCATATTTTGATTTCAATGATTAGTTTTTATTAAAGTCTGAAATAAAATAACTGATGGAAATATTCCCTTAAAGATTTGCAAAGAAAAAGGATCTGTGGCTGTTTTGCTTCTAGTAAAAGTTTAATTTTGGGGGTATATACAAATGCTATGGTTAATGGATAAGACCTTAAAGCCTAGAATTTAATTGAAAAGATCAGAAATTGATCTTTAAGATATATTAAGTGATAAGGGCTACATTTTTATAAAAGAAATAAGACAATATTGAAATATCAAGTAGAATAAGCAAACTTAATATAAAATTTAATAATAATTTTTTAAAGTGTTAAAATATTTGTACTTGATATGCTGTAAAGACTTATCAGTTAAATACAGATAATTATTAAAAACAAATAGCTTGGCTCTCTAATTAAGCAGGGGAAGTAAGCAAAATTTTGCTGAATATTATTACACACTTAACTTTTAAATTATAAAATTTCAACAATAGTCACACATCAGACCATGAGGGTAGCTTGATCCTAGGAATTAGTCTATAAGAGCCATAGATGATGAAGTGCCTTCTCAGGCATAAAAAGACATTGTCTTGTGATCCGGCAGATCCCCATGATAAAACAGAGAATAGCCTATGATTCCAAAGAGTATAGTATAAGTCTATATTTCTAATAAAAGGAAGCTGCCAAAACTACACTGATATAGATAACTGTCTTTTTATTTTGATTTTAGTCTTTTCCAATTTATCTCACTTTAAAGACTTTCTATTGCACCAGAAGGCTATCATAGCCACTATTTAACGCATATAGAAATGGACAAAGAAATACGCGAGCTAGACTTAATAATATATTAAATTAGCCATTTTATCAATTTTTTTAGGATAGGCTATATAGCTCATACTCCTTTATAGATTTCTTTATCGTGCAAAAATGTACTGGATTATTAAACGACCAAGAGAGACTCTATTAAAGGAACGGGCTGGATATCTATATCAGGAAGTGCTAAAAAGTGACATGTCAAAAAATGGTGACAAGTCTGAAAAAAGTTGACAAGTAAACGCGCCAATTTTTTAAATGGATTTATTATTAAAATAATTTCAAACTTAAGATATTTTAATTTTAATCAATATTTAATTATGCTAAGTGCACATCATATGAGTCGATAAGAACTTCTTATATATTGAGATACACAAGCCACGCATTTTGCAAATTATAGCTCTAGTCTTCATATATAAATTAGCATAAAATAAAGAAATTCTATCTAGCCGGAAAAATGCACATCAATTTGCAAGTTTTTGATTTTCACTTATAAGCCATATTGAAATTTTGCTAAGTACGCATCATATGAGTCGATAAGAACTTCGTAGTTAATTGAATTCGCAAGCCACTCACTTTGCAAATTATAGCTTTAGTCTTTATAAATAAATTATCATAAAATAAAGAAATTCTATCGAGCCGGAAAAATGCACATTGAGTTGCAAGTTTTTGATTTTCACTTATAAGCCATATTGAAATTTGCTAAGTACACATCATATGAGTCGATAAGAACTTTGCATATATTGAGAAGCACAAGCCACGCACTTTGCAAATTATAGCTCTAGTCTTCATAAATAAATTATCATAAAATAAAGAAATTCCATCGAGCCGAAAAAGTGCACATTGAATTGCAAGTTTTTGATTTTCACTTGTAAGCCATATTGAATTTTTGCTAAATACTTCTCATATGAGTCGATAAGAACTTCTTATATATTGAGAATCACAAGCCACGCACTTTGCAAATTATAGCTCTAGTCTTCATAAATAAATTTAGCATAAAATAAAGAAATTCCATCGAGCCGGAAAAATGCACATTGAGTTGCAAGTTTTTGATTTTTACAGCTATTATTAAATTTAAATATATATATATATATAAATCAAAATATTTAAAGCCAATATATAATGTGTAATTATATTTTTTCTGTCTAATTGGGTATCTTAAGTTTAAATTATTTTAATAATAAATCCATTTTAAAAATGGCGCGTTTGCTTGTCAACTTTTTTCAGACTTGTCACCATTTTTTGACATGTCACTTTTTAGCACTTCCTGATATAGATATCCAGCCCGTTCCTTTAATAGAGTCTCTCTTGGTCGTTCAATAATCCAGTACATTTTGCTCGATAAAGAAATCTATAAAGGGATATAAGCTATACCTTAATTTGTATTTCTTGAGAAAATCCCTCCATGATCACACTGCATGTGTCTTTTATTTCTATATAATTATTTTTGACTATTTTTATTGAATCATAAACCAAAGTTTTTCTCTAGCCATTAAAGTATCCTGCGAAAGCAGAACATCAGCCTGATTTTAATCATTTTTGTGGCAATTTAAGATTTTATAAAAATGGAAAAGCTAAAAGTTGAATATAATTCCTACACCAACAACCAATTCAAGGTGTTTCATTAGAGCCAAGCATCGATTTTCAGCGTTTTTATTAGCCCGAAGGCAGTCCTTTTGAAAATGGAAGATTTCGTTATGAAATTATCCGAAAGACCACCAGAATTTTATATTAAAACAAGAATTTTCCATCCAAACATAGATGAGAACGGTAATGTTTGCTGCAATTTAATTGGATCAGGATGATCTTCACGAAATTCTGCTAGATCAATATTTTATGGGGTTTTCGCAGTGCTCAGCAAGCCCAATGCACAAAATGGATATGTAAATGAAGCTCTAGAAATTTTTCTAAAAAGTAAAGATGAGATGCTAGAGAAGCCAGAAATTGGACAAGAAAATACGCGAATAAGATAAAGTTAAATATTCATTTAGCTAATTATAAGCAGTTTCAAGAATAAGCATGCTAATAGCTATTATTATCAATTATTTCATCACAGCTTCTTAATTTTTAATAAATAAATTTAAAATAATTTTGCTGCTACTTCAATTAATTGCAAAAAATATGATCTTTATCTTACCTGCCAATATTTTGGTTCATAATTCTCAATGAATCACCGTTTTGGATTCCTTTTTTACCTATTTTACTGATTTTCTTATTTTTTCACTTATCATAATTAAGAAGCCATGTCCCTAATAGCACAGTCAACCGCCTGAGCACTATCCCATATTTTCATTCAATATGTATACATAAATCTTTATAAAGGCATTCTGAGTATACAGAAATAATTTTTGTTCGTTCTTCTTGGTCAATGATCATTATGGTAATTTTATTGGGCTCTTTTTGCTTCCTGGCATGTATATAGATTTCTGAATTTTCTGATAATTCTAAAGTCTTAAGGACATAATTTTGATTTCTAGAATTTGATATGACAAGCTGCTGAATACTTAGTAGGCTGGATAATCATAATTTATTTTAGCCTATTAGAAGGGTGTATATGGGGCTTATGCTAGCTAATATATTCTTGACAGATCAAAGGGAATCAAAATATGCCAAATTAATTATATAGCCTGACCTTGGAACATAATGGTTAAGTCATGACTGCCTATATCGAATTCCTGAGATAATTCTTTAACTAGTGCAGAAAATTTTCAATTATGATTTACCTGCTTGCTTATTCTAAAGCAATTTATATCAATTACTGCAATTGTAACCATTTCAGGAGGACTAGGAGGAGGAGAAGGTGCGCTGGTACTGCTTTTTCCGCCCATTTCTACAAATTTATTATTAAAGTTTTATACTTTGAATTATGATTTTTTTGATATAATGATATTAATTTAAAATAGGCTTTACATGGTAATCAGACATCAAGATTTTAGAAGAAGTTTACAAACTTAAAGTTAGTGCGCTTAATTTATAAGGGATAATTTCCACGCCACGAATATAATTTTATCAAAAATTAGATCGGCATATACGGCACGTTTGTGTTCGTTTTATTTAGCTCATCTTATATAGAAATTTATCCCTAAAAATCATTCAGAATGTTTAAAATTGATTATTTAGAGTCATACTAGAAATTTAGGCATTATAGTCTTCAAAGCCTATTAAGAGGTATAAGAGCCAGCACATTAATGTCTATGCTTTTGCTTCTTACTCCCCCCAACCTCCGTGAGTTAGCAAAACCATTAGAAAAATCCTGATTTTTTTCCAAAAACCCACCCTCTGTGAGCGAACAAAAATTTTTATGGAAAAAATTTTGATACATAAGTGAAAATTATTATAATGAAATCTCGAGCTAACTCTGATTTTTTTAAAAAAATTGTGTTTTAAAACATAAATTTTACAAATTAAAATAAATATTTATTTTGGAAGTGGTGAGAGAACAAAAAAATGTTGTTCGCTCACGGAGGGTTAAAAGATACACGCAAATAAAACTGCAATCATACAGGTCCCTTCTCTCCCAAACTCTTGCAGAGGCGTAGAATCAAACCGAACATGAAAAGGAGTCAACACGTAAGGAGGTTTGTGTCCATATTTTTTCAAAAATCATAGATATACCAGAGATCTTTATTCCTTGACCCTCAGGCAAATATATCAGAACTAGTAAGCCAATCTCACAATTAAGGATGGTAAGGTAAAGGTGATCTGAAGGAGAATTAGGTGACATCTCCTGTCCAAGCATGAAACCCATCCCCACTACTCTTTAAAAAACTCTAACAAGCCTAGATAGTAAGAAATATGTCTTTTATTTCTATATATAAATATATTTGATATTTTTTATTGAATCATAAACGAAAGTCTATCTCCAATCATTACAGTATGCTGCGAAAGCATAACATCAGCCTGATTTTAATCATTTTTTTGGCAATTTAAGATTCTATAAAAATGGAAAGGCTAATACTTGAATATAATTCCTTACACCAACAACCAATTCAAGGTGTTTCATTAGAGATAGGTCTCGATTTTCAACATTGGCAAGGCGTTTTTATCGGTCCCGAAGACAGTCCTTTTGAGAATGGAAGATTTCGTTATGAAATTATTTTCCCTTCAAATTATCCAGAAAACCCCCCAGAATTTTTTATAAAAACCAAAATTTTTCATCCAAACATAAGTGCAGAAGGCAATGTTTGTTGCGATTTAATTGGATCAGGGTGGTCTTCACGCAATTCTGTTAGATCAATATTTTATGGGGTTTTTGCCGTGCTCAGCCAACCTAATGCAAAAAATGGATATTTAAATGAAGCTCTAGAAATTTTTCTAAAAAGTAAAGATGAGTATGATAGAGAAGCCAGTAACTGTACAAGAAAGTACGCGAAATAAGAGAATATTAATATTATTAAAATATTTATTTAGTCAATTATACAGCTTCAAGAATAAGCATCTTAATAGCTATTGTTAATTATTTCATCACGGTTATAATTTTTTAATAAATAAATTTAAAATAAGCTGACTGATACTTATTAATTGCAAAACACATTTTCTTTATCTGGCCCGCCATTATACTGTTTCATAATTCTCAATGAATCACCGTTTTGCATTCCATTTGTACTTATTTCACTGATTTTCTTATCTTTGCACTTATCGTAATTAAGAAGCTTTGTCCGATAATACACAGCCAACAGCCTGAGCACTTTCCCATATTTTCATTCAATATGCATACATAAATCTTTATAAAGGCATTTTGAATATACAGAAACAGCTTGTGATCGTTCTTCTGTGTCAATGATCATTATGGAAATAATCTCGAGTTGGCTTTGCTTTCTGGGATGCTGTATATAGATTTCTGAATTTTCTGAAAATTCTAAAGTTTTAAGATCATAGCTTTTATTTGCAAAATTTGATATGATAAGCTGTTGAAGTCATTGTTAGGCTGGATAACTCTAATTTATTTTAGCCTGATAAATGGTGGTGTATATAAGGCTTATGCTAGTTAAATATTCTTGGCAAACCAAAGGGAATCAAAATATATGCAATTAAATATATAATTTGACCTCGATACATAATAGTTAAGTCCCCGCCATCTAAATTGTATTCCAAAGATAAGGTTTTAACTAGTGCAGAAAATTGTCAATTTAGATTTACCTGCTTGCTTATTCTAAAGCAATTTATATCAATTACTGCAATGGTAACCATTTCTGGGAGAGGAGGTGTGCTGCTTTTTCCGCCCATTCTACAAATTTAATTATTAAGGTTCCATATTTTGAGTTATGATTTTTTTGATATATGTAATTTAATTGAAAATAGGTTTTGCATCGCCATCAGAGATCGAGGTTTTATAAGTTTAAGCTAATGAGCTTAATTTATAAGGGATAATTCGACGCCACAAATATAATTTTATCAATATTTAGATCGGCACATTAAGTACTTTTATGGTTGGGTTTTATTTAGATATTTTAAATTTTAATCTTCTTATATAGAGCGAATTAAAATTCAGCCCTCAAAATCATTCACAGTGTTTAAAAATTGATTTATTAGAGTCACTATAGAAAATAGGCATTATAGTCCTCAAGGCTTTGCGACATTTTGTTTCTATAAAGACTTATAAAAGTCTGATAAGCTTATGTATATCTCAATTTCTTTAGAATTTCGTGCACCAAATTAAACTGATATCATTATTCTTGATGCAAAGCTACTCTAGATTATAAACTTCTTATTTTGCGTATTTATGAGCTGCCCAATACCAAATTCCTCCTTTTAATCAATAGAAAAATTTAAAATTACTATTAGCATAAATTCAAGAATCTTAGAAAATATCATTCTTGTCAAAATTTCATTTAAAATTAAATTAAAAAGAGTTCTAATTTTAACATTCTAAACTATATTAGTTAATAATCTGATTTTTTGCTTACTTATATGGTATATAAAAGCAGACAAAATCTCCTCCTTTCAAATGGTCTAAAACCCTCAAAGTACCTTTGCTTTTAAATTGCATTTTCTTGACAAGTATTTCACTGTACTTTTCAAGACTAATGAAATAACTATCATATAATAATCTATCATTATCATTGAGATTTACTCCTTTTCTTTTTATTTCATTCCAAAGTTCTTGAAATCTCCATTCTGGATTTGCATTAATACTGATTTCATTTTGATTCAAGTCTATGATTATCAAAGAAATCAAAGGAGTTTTCGATTCTTCAGGTCTTGATCGAGGCGCTGCGACAGGGTGAATATTGAGTGTATCATTATCATTAATTCCAAGTTGCTGAAGAGTGTCGACGTTATTTGGCATTATTCCATTGCCATTGTGCATCATAACAACGTCGTCTATATTTAAAAGCCTTAGGATCTTTCTTTTTAACTTACTTGAAGTGGCATTACTTTTGATAGAGATGTGAGTCTCAGTTTCGCCTGGACCTAAAATTGTCAAAGTCGTTAATAACATTTTATTTTTGTAGAATCCTTATTATTTTAGATTTTTATGAATAAAAGCTGTAATTATGATACAGCCATACATTTCTAAATTATTTGAAAAGAAAAAAAATCAATAAAGAGCTTAAACGAGAGAGTAGCAATTTAAAATTTGAATATAGTTATAAATTTATACTATTTTCGCAAGAAAATAAGAATTTATTTATAGTCTTAGATTTTGGGGCAGTATCTTTTCATTAGGTAAAAAAAGCTCAAAATGATATTTTAGGGATAAAAATTCTATTTTTAAAATTTCAAAAGATATATTATTTAATTTGATTAAGTATCTTTTAATAATTAAAAATCAGATTATAATTGTTGAATAGAAAATTTATTAACTAATCATAAATTATTTTGAATTACTTAACTTTTCTATAAAATACCATATATGCATAATTAAAATCAGGCTCCTTTTCAGACACAAACTTGTCATTATATTCTCTTCATGTTCCCTTATCTAACGTAGAAGCTACATAATGGCTATATGGTGGATAAAAACAAATAACCCCATAAAGCATATACTCTTTGCCTTTGAAGATTTCAATGTTTCTAATATTCCTTTTCTTTGGATTCTCGCTCACAAAATACATCGCTAAAATTTCAGGAAGTATATGCTCTTTAGTAACTGTAATTTCCATTAAACTTTTGCAGACACTGCAGTAAATCTTATTTTTGCCGTTAAAATGATCAGGCTTCTCTGATTCAAATATATAGCTACTAATATTCTGATCAAATTTCTCAGGGACAATCAGAAATGTGCTTGGTTCTTCTTTTTTTACTTTATGGCCTTTTTTGCATTCAAATATTTTATTTGTTCTAATAAAAAATAAATTCTCCAGCTTTGGGTTATTTTCTGAGCATTCATCAATCATGATTGCAAATAATTCTTTACTGTCGTTTTCCTTGCCATAAACAAACTATTTAAAAAATACTCTTGAGTCTATTTGAATTAAGGTCTCTAGTAGATAATCTATTTTTGGCTTAAAATCAGCACACAAGCCTCTATTTATAATACTGATGATAGAAAATAAAGCTCTTGCAAGGTCAAAGTCTGAATTTTCTAAACAGTTCGAAAATCAATATTGATAGATAGTTAAAGACAAATAATTTAATTAGGTGGAATTTAAGAATTATGATATCTAAATAAATTAGCTGCTCAGTGCGTGGCCCTATGATTTTTGAGGAAATAATAAAATAATAAATAAAATGCACGCTAGATATCATTAATTCTTAACAATTCAAATAGATTTATACTAAAAAGGTTAAAGGATAAGAGCTATTATTGCTTAGTTATTTTTGGTAAAATAAAAGATAAGCCGATTTATAATCTGGGGCTTGTTTTTTAACCCTTGAATCATCGCATTTATACCAAACTCCTTGGAGGCATACATAAGCCAGATAATGTCCATACAGTATATTCTGCTTATGGCAAATTATAGCATATAGCGAATATGCTTCTCCATAGATTTCCAAACTTTCAGGAAAGCTAAAATTGGTTCTCTTATTTTTAGGTGTGTAAAATATCAAATATTGTGGAAATTCTACAGAACTCACATAACGAGCTTGCTTTCTCAAACTTCCGCATTCTTGGCATCACAATTCATCGAAGTTTTGTTCATCATACAGATCTTGCAGTGCATTTTCAATGCTAGAATTGGGTTGTACAATTATTAAAAAAGAAAGATCAGTATTAGGAAAAATATGACCTTCACTGCAGGAATAATTTTTATTGACTACAACATTAAAGAGCCTTTTCTGATCAATTTCATTCATTTGGGATAAGATCATGAATAAAACTTCTTTTGCGTCTTGCTCACGATAAGCTTGAACCTATATTAAAATTACTTGTGGAAACATGCTGATGAATTCTTCGTAAAATGAACGGTATCAGCTGTCTAAGCTGCCTGCATTTATATTGTCAGCAATCTTTGATATAGAAAGAAGGAGACTATTTGCTGAAAAATATGTCAGCTTTATAAAATCAGGGGAGTAAACTAAGACCTGAAGAAGCGAATTTAAGTAGCAAGTCTGGCCTATGTTTGGAAGCCCCACAGGAGTTGAATAAAGAGAGTCTAATTTTTTTTTATCTAAAGAATTTGTGATGCCTTGGAATAAATAATTGCATCACATATTATTCTTTTTCTTAAGGTTTGAATGCTCTTCAAATAAATTATCATAATCAATTTTGAGCCTCTTAAATTTTGCCAGGACTTCATTATTTTTACGACTTAACTCAGAAATTGCTTGATCCTTTTTGCCATTAATTCTCTGCAATTTTTCGATCTTCTCGCTTAATTTTTTATTTTTTTCAATTTCTTCAGCCTTTAAATATTCCAAAGAATACACATTGGCTTCCAAACTAATAATTTTTTGATCGCGAGTTTTATCTTCCTCCTCAGATGATTGCTTTATGATTTCTTGAGTGCTTTTAACAGCAAAATCTATTTTGGCTTTAAAGTCTTCGTAATCCTTAAAAAATCTATTGTAATTATTTTTTTGGTCATCTTTTAAATTTTTAAAATCTTTTTTCATTTTCTCTATATCAGTATCAACCGATTTAATATTACGAATTGCTTTTTTTAATCCAGCATTCTCATCTCTTAATGTATTAATAGTATCCTCATAACTATTTCGCTCAGTTCTGATATGCTCTATTTCTTTTAGCAGAGCTTTATACTCATCTCTTTCCTTAATTGCTATTTCTAGTTCACATTTTAGATTGCTAATTTCGAAAGTATTTTGTTCATCAGATGGTTTCTTATGAGAATCTAAGTTTGCTGGGCAAACTTCTCAGTCTTCATAAAGGCAATTTAGTTTCATCGCTTCACTGTTATTCACTTTAGAGTTTTGAGTAGCCATATTTTATATTATATCAATTTGGATTAAGGGACTAATATGGATAAAATTTTAATTTCAATAGTGGCCATCTTTAATATTTTTGTAGATTCTATATAAATATAGGGTTTTCTCTTATACAGCCCTGTAAGGGCTGTGGATTCTGTCCTGAATCCTTGGTTGGTGGAACCAACTCAGTACGTTAGTCGTACCAACTCAATTGTTGGCTCCACCAACCCAAGGATTCCGACAGAATCTACAGTCCTTACAGGGCTATATATTGGGGAAAACCCTATAGCCTATAAAAATTATAACTAAAACAACTCAAATGGGCTTATTTTTTATTTAAATATTTTGGATATTATGATTTTTAATTCAAGAAAACATTAAATAATTTGGTATTTTTTCTTTATTATAATTTCAATATAAAATAAATGTTAATATTTTCTAATAAAATAGTCTATATTTGTTTTCCGTAAAATATCTTAATACATAAAAATAAATTAGAATGATTAAAGACATATATTGTTGAAATTATAAATAGAAATTGGCTTATTTCGTCATTTAATTAAAATCATATTTAATTAGCGTCCTCCTTGTATATGCTCAACAATATATACTTCATTTAGATTCTTTACTTCAAGCTCTCTCAATGTTTTATTTTTACTGGGGCCAAAACTAATATAACGGCCTCGGACAACGGTATCTTTTTGTAGAGATATTATCCCATAAATCCCATGGTTTCTTTCGAGCTCTTCACAGAATTCTTTAAATGTTCAATAAATCTTTGCTTGTACAGTTTTTAAAAGTCCAGTGAAAGTGTCATTTATTATTAGAGAGATTGTGCTGCAGCCCTTTTGCTCATGGGAAATATAGATATCTGATCTGGAAGAAAACCCGAAGGTTTTGAGTTTTTTGCTTTCATTACCATTATAGGTTATTTCGAGTCCATTAAATTTCAGACTTAAATTTTTTCCTGTCACTTCATAGTCGTTTACCAAGGATTTTGCCCACAGGGAGAATACCCATTCAAGGTTAATGTCTTTTTCGGCTTTACGGCCGTCAATATCGATAATACAGACTGTTATCATTGTTTTAACAGGAGGAGAAGGAGGAAGAGGAGTAGGACGAGTAGGAGGAGAAGAAGAAGGAGAAGGGCTGCTACTTGAACCACCCATTTTCTATAAATTATAATTTCTAATAGATTCTAAATATTTATCATTTTATTATAAAGCTAGTTCTTTAATTTATTTTATAGTTGTAAATGCCTAATAATATATTTTCTGTAATATTAAACAAGCATTTAAAATTATGAATTTCTTAAGGAATTTCTTACAAAGAAATTTATGAAGAAACCAAATTTCCTTATATAAATTTTATGATAAGGCTATTAAGAAGAGAGAAGCAAAATTTCATGATTCTATAATTTTTCAAGTCAAGACTTTTTGTTATCCAGCATATATTTGTCTTTTACAATAAATATTTCAATGATATTTATTTTAAAAGGCCATTGGAATTGGCTAATAATGAATTCTACAAAATTATTTATACTTTTGTTTAAAATTAATTAAAATGAATTTTTCAGGTACATGAATTCTCTTTTCGAATTGGCTTGAGAAAATATACTTGCTTGCTGTAATTGCTATCAAAATTAGTAATTGGAAGCAAACGAAAATTTGCATGCCAACTTGCAGTTCATTATAAATAGTTCCGCAATAAATAATTTTAGATAATTGTAGGCATTTAGTTATAATGGCAAAAATTTGAGAGTTTTTATGATAATTCAATGAGAATATCAAAATATATCCCTTGCATTTATATTGATGTCGAGAAGATAATAATTATGATAGAAGAGAGTTAAATTCACAATTTCAGAGAGAATAAAGAAGCGACAGAGATAGATTGTGAGCAAATACAACAACAAATGTCTAGAAAATTCTTGCTCCATTTAATATAAAAAGGTTAATGTTTATATTTTTTTGATGGCTGTTTTGGCTCGTAAAATATTTGAGAAAAATAATTCCTAAGACTTTATAATTTGAATTACTATGTGCAACCAAGAATTTTATAGCAAATTCCAGGCAATATATATGAACTAATTAATAGTTGTAAAATATAAGTTTTTATATATTCAAGCATCGAAATGTCTAAAAAGAGCTCTAATATATTTTTTTGATGCTATTAAAGGAATTTTTATCTTTTTTAATTTATTCAAAAACACTGAGAATGAGGAAGATCTCTATGAAATCTTGCCTTAAATAAAAAGAATTATTAAGTCAGTACCTCTAGGTTAAATAATCTTGGAAATACTTGCTATATAAACTCTTAAATTGATTATCAATTTTCTACTGATATTTTAAGAGTCAGTATAAATCGCATTAGATCGGATCTGTATCAGACTTTTTACTTCTTAGGTCATAAGACTCCTAGCCAATATTTTTAATTGCTATTTAACTCAATGCTGCATGTATTGGCAAATATTCCATCATTTATCGAAAAAATTGAACCAAAATTAGAGTGAATTAGCAGTAAGATTATTAGATATTTAACCCTTTTAATTGCAGTTTCGCAAAAAAATGATATGATTAAATCATTAAAAGGCTTTAAAATTAGCTCATTAATTTCTTTTCAATGGTAATATTTATTCAGTTTTATGGAAGCTCTCAGCATGATATAACATACTCTTTGCAATGGTCTATTCTCAATTAGAATTGCCTGTTTTATTGCTAAGACTTCGAGAAACTTTTGAAGACGAAAGGAATCATATGAAAATTTTTTTCAAAAAGTTTATAAAGAAATTTCATCATCAAATCCATAACTTTAAAGAAAATAAAAAGAATTTTGAAAGTAATGCGAAACTGAAAGTTATATGGCAATGAATATAGAAATTATTGGAAATCCAGAAGTATTGGCCCTCTATAATGCGAAGCCTCAAAGAGGAAATACTGAAAAAGATTTACCAAATGCAATTACAATGAAATGCTATGAATATAAAATATATGAGATGATTTGCCGTAGCAAAGACATCATAGATGCCTTTATTAGGCTTGTACTATAAAGACCAAAGTAAGTAGGTTGAATATAGTGATTCTAGTGGATAAGCCTAATTTCTCACATGCACATTTGTTTTTATGATAAGATTAATTAATTATTTTAAATATTTTTTTGAAATAAATATAATTAACAAGTTGTTTTAGGTCAAATTATTTCTTGTTCTATTAAATTAAAAAATTAATTAATCTTCAATTTTTTTAAATTAATTACTTCTTAACCTATAAAAAGCCATATAAGCATAATTGTAATCAGGCATTTTCAATTGAGCAAACTTATCATTATATTCGAACCATCCTCTCTCATCTAATGTAAAAGCTACGTAATGACGATAAGATGGATAAAAACAGATTAGTCCATAAAGCCTATATTCTTTACTTTTAAAATTCACAGAGTCATTAATGTATCTGTCCTTTTGTTTTCTATTGGCAAAATAAATGGCTAAAATCTTAGGTAGCTTGTAAACTGTATCAATGGTAAAATCTTTTAATTCCTCGCAGGAAGCACAATATAGCTGATTGAGCCCATAAGATCTTACCTACTCTAAGCTATTTATGAAGCTGCTAATTTCCTAAACCTTTTTGCTCTAATAGAAGTTTTAACTTTTTATAAATTTTATATTGAAAAGAAAAATCTTAATTTAACTTAAAACTTAATATATTTGTCGAAATCAATTATTAATTATATACCAAGATATTTTATGAAACAAAAATATTAAGTAAGATTTTTGCTATAAATTAAGGAGTTAATATTTCTAAAAAAGCAATGTTTTTCTAATGGCTTTGTCTTCTAATCAAGATCAGGTGAGTAAGATCTTTATCAAAATTTTTAGGGACTATTAGAAATGCATTTACTTCTTCTCTTTCTTCTATATGATTTTTTTTACATTTAAATACTTTCTCATTTCTAATGAAAAATAACTCCCTCAGATTTTCATTATTTTCTGCACACTTATCAAGGATAATTGCAAACAGTTCTTTACTGTCATTTTGCCTTCCGAGATAAAACTATATAGAAAATACATTTGAATAAGCTCGATAAATTAACTTTAATAGAAAATCAATTTTTGGCTTGAAATTGGCATGAGAGTTTCTATTTACCATTCTCATGATGGATAATAGAGTTTTGGAAAAATCCGAATCTGGAATTAAGCAATCAGAAAATTCTGGGGTGCTTGCTAAAATTTGTAGCACTGAGTTCAAGTAGCACGTATTTCCATAGTTTTGAATTCCGTCTTTGCTGGGAATGCTAAAATAGCTTTGATTTCCTTTATTTATGGGAAAATTTGTGCTAAATAGTTGAGATAAGAAATCTAGTATCCATAAATAGCATTTTATAAGGGAATTATATATATATATATGCCGCGTTTTATAAGGGAATCTCATATATATCTGCAGCATTCTATAGGGGAATCTCATATATATCTGCAGCATTTGCATATTTGCGATAAAAGGTATTTTATGCATAAGCTCAGCTTAGAAAAAAAATTTTGCTTCTTGTTCTTTTCTTTCCCTTTCATCTTTCATCTTTATATATTCCATATAAATTTATAGAATCCTAAAAATGGAAGCTTATTATTTAGTGTATGCAGCCAAAAGTTATCAAAACGATAAAGATGTTATCATATTTATCTGAGGATTCTAGACAGCTTTGCATTAAAAAATGCAGATACCCTTTGAATGCATAGCCTGCAAGGAAAAAATTTAATCAGCTATTTAAAAATCTAGACTTTTTATACTAAATGTGGCCCAGGATTAAACATTTAACTCTGAAAACCAAAAAATTGTGAAAATAATGCTTTAAAATTGACAAAAACAGTTAAACAAATACACTATTTTAAGATAGTTTATGCATTATTGCGCGCTAGCTTTGTATGATCATAGCACCACTGATTTTTTGTGACTATTTATTTGTATATTAGCAATTCGATTGCAGATAATTGCCCTTAAAAATTCTCTGAAATAAATTTCTGTCGAGATTAGACTTTTCAATCAGGAATATTTCAGTATCTGAATAAGATATTCAAGCGCTAAAAGCTTTTTTGATGAAAATAATGCAAAAATAAACTTATTACGCTCAAAAACCAATATTATAATTTGCTCAGCCCTTTAAATTGTAAGGAAAATTTTCGTTCCAATAATTTTTTAGAACAAAATTTATAAACCTTATCAGCTCAAAGAACTTTGTTTAAATAAAGAAAAAAACAAAAGGCTAATGCTTATAGTTTAATTGCCTAATAATTATTGACAGCTCAAAATAATTATTAAATATTTATTGCACTGATAAAACGTTTATTAAATCTTTTCTAATTTATTTTAAAAGCCTATAAAATGCCATATAAGCATAATTATAATCAGGCCCCTTCTCAGACACAGATTCATCGTTATACTTCCTCCATATTCCACTATCTAATGTAAAAGCTACATAATGGCGATAGGACGGATAAAAACAAATCATTCCATAAAGCTCATAATTTTTACCTTTAATTGACTCAAAGTCCTCAATTCTCCTTTTCTTTGGGGTGTCACCAGCAAAATAAAAAACTAAAATCTTCGGAAAATTATACTCTGTAGTGATACTAGTATCCTTTAATTCTGCGCAGGTATTGCAGTATATTTTATTGCTATCTCTAAAATAGATTGTCCGTTCCAAAGAATCTATAAAGCTACTAATACCTTTGTCGAAATTTCTCAGGACTACTAAAAATGGATTCTCCTCTACTATTTTTTCTTGATGATTTCGTTCGCAAATAAATGTTTTATCTTGCCTAATAAAAAATAAATCTTTCAGATTTTTATTAATTTCTGCGCATTCATCTATTATAATCGCGAATATTTCTTTACTGTCGTTTTGCTTGCCTAAAACAAACTGTATAGAAAATACCTTTGGATCTTCTTGATAAATAATTTTTAAAAATCTATCAATATCTGGCTTAAAATTAGTTTCTGAGCGATTATTTATCATGGTGACAATCTTCAATAAAGTTCCTGAAATCTCGGAATCTTGGCTTAAACAATTGGAAAATTCTGGGGTACTTGCTAAAACCTGTAGAACTGAGTTCAAATAGCAAATGTTTCCATAATTTGGGATTCCTAATTTTCTGGGGTAATTTGCTTTTTTGCTAAAATTATTTACGCTTTCATCTTTATGGAAGTAATTTAAGCTTTTTTCTCCCCTGAAATAGTTTGGGTTTTCTATTTGGCCATCGCTATCGGAATCTTTCTGCTTCTTAACCCTGCAAAATATTAGACATAATATGAAATCACATATCCCTCTGCAGTATCTTTTTACTCAATAGCATGTCCATCTGCAGCAAATGCGCAACCGTGATATAAGGTATGCGAGACATAATAAAAATTTATTGCAGCAGTTTTGACTTCTCCTCTGCTCTCTTTCTTGTTGCATTTTTATATAGTCCATGAGTGAAATTTATAGAATCTATAAAATGGTGACTGATTATTTGATCCTCTTTAAACATAATATACAGCATTTGCAATGCACTTATCATAATTAGATGATCATTAGAAATAAACACTTATTTGTTTGAAAATTAATTATAGCAGTTATTTGTCTTAATCAATCTAAAAAATTATTTTATTAAATAATTAAAATACAGCTGCTATTGCTTTTAATAAAATAAAAAGATAGTCTGCTTTATAATAAAATTCTCGTTTTCAAATAAGGATTATCGCATTTATACCAAATTTCTTGAGCACGCGTATTGCCAGATAATGCTCGCATAGCAATATTCTCCTCAAAGAGTTTCTAATTTTTAAGATGCTCTTCTCATATTTTATTTGCTATTCAGCTTATAGAATATCAAGCCAAAAGGAAACTCAACAGAATTTACATGAAGAGATTATTTTCTTACTCCCCCCCTTTAAATTGAAACAAAATATAGGTAAAATTCCTACTTTTTTGGGAAATTACCCCCCTTTAAATTGAAACAAAAATTTTATTATAATAGAAAATTTTATAGGTAAAAATCATTATTTTATATGTAAATACGTTAATACCCTATTTAATATGCTTCAAACATATAAGATTTAGAAATTAAACTCTATTTTGTCCAATTGTTATGGGGAGAGTTAGAAGAATACCATTTCAGCAAGTTTACACTTTGAGATTGAGAAATTTATGAATTAATTTTTTCATGAAATTAAAATTAACGTGAAAATTCAAAACTTTCTAAAATAGTATTCTTAAATTTTAAAAGAGCGATTTTTTAAAGAAAATAGAACTTGCTAACTTACCGACTAGGCATTGTCATAAAATTATAATGTTATTAAATATAATTTACTCAATTTATTGTCTCTTTAAATTTATATAATTTATTTTCTATAAAAAATTTATCTCTGAAAAAAATTTTTATATATAAATTTTTTTATAAAAAAATTTTCTTAACCCCCCTTTAAATTGAAACAAAATTTTTTTGTTTTCAATTTAAAGGGGGGGGGGGAGTTAGACTGTCACATTCTTGACAATACAGCTCATCAAATATTTTATCCTTCGCTGATCAATTTAATTCATCTGAGATATCCTATTTTATCATAGGCATGGCTATATTACAATCAGTTGAGGAGATTTGTTTATATTAATTCAAAATTATGAAAAATAAATTGCTTCAAGCCATGAATGCTATTACTTTAAATCGAATATAATCTAGCAATTCTTTTTAAATCTATTTGCAATTTTCAAATTCCATTTTTACTTCTCATCCTATTCATCATTGCCTAATAGTAGGTATTTCCATAATTGGGAATTCCTATTTTTTTATATTGGCTGAGCAAACTATAAACATTTTTAATACTATTGTTGTTTCCTTTTGAATTTAATGCAAGAAATTAAGCATTCTATAAAGATTTTTGAATAATTTGAAAGTTGTTTAAAATAAAATGCAAGAATCTATAAAATATCTTCTAACTCCTAAGAACGATATTTAAAAAGTGAAAATTAATCATATATTTATCAATATGGAAAACCATGAAACTCACTTCCTAGCTTAACTAAATCTATTATATATTTTACTGATATTAAAGATATTACAGTATAGTTGCTTATAAGCAAGTACAATGAGAGTTTCTAGCATATTTGCTAATATATTGCATGTTCTATCTCTTGTCGCTCGTGCATAAAATTTTTTATAACAAAAATCATATATAATTATTTTTAAGAATTTGTTTTACCCTCCATCCTTGATCGAGTGGCAGCGGGCAGCTCAACTAAAGATGGGGAGAGTGAGCAATAAAGATATCATAGGAAAATCGCAATCAACCAGAATAAGCACCTTAGATGGAAACTTGAAAATGTGGCATATTTATTTTGAATATTGATTTCCATTTCTATAAATTTAGTTTTATTGATAATGCAATTCTTCAAGATCATTTACTCTTCTAAGTATTTTCTTTCAAAATAGCATAAATAAGGCAATATATTTTCTGAAAACCATTTATATAGAGCCTGATTTCATATTTTAATGTAAAAATTTCGTTTATAAATCTAACTAATATAATTTATAGTTTTTATCAATCATTTGAGCAAGTTCAAATAATTTTATACCTTAGACATATTTAAAAAATTGATTAAAGATAAAATTAAAAGTGAAAATTAAGATTCTACAGAATTGATTTTTTTTAAACATAAGAAATTCAATAGTTATTTGTTTCGAAAAATTCCATAATTATTTAATTTACAACTAAATGAAGCTTATTAGAAAATTGAACTTAATAAATGTCAACTTTTTATACTTTAAGTAAATTGCTAATTTTGGTTTGACTTTATTAAATTATGTGCATTATATATACCGAAAAATGCAATAATCAAGATTCATTTCAAGCTATTCATTTATTTATAGCTCTAATTTAATCCTCATGTGGTAATTTATAATTCAAGATAAATTCTAAATAAACGCATATTTTAAATTATATTTTAAATGGATGATTTAGTCAAAATAATACTGATTGTTGGGGGTGGGCTTGTATTCTGCTTTGTGCTCGTAGTACTTATCCTTATAGTGATACGATATGTAAAACGAAGCAGCAATAGCAGCGGATATCATTCAACAACTGAAGAAAGTCAACCTTTTGTTCAGGAAGGACGGAATCAAGAAGGCCAACTTATCGCTCCTAATTTGAATGAAGAAAGATCCCCACAAGGCAACCCAATTAATAATTCTGGGAGTCCTAGCTATGAAGTTAGTAAGCATTCCAATCCCAAAAGATGAAATGAAAAAATTGCATTTATTCACAATGCTGGGATCCCTAATTATGGAAATACCTGCTACTTAAACTCAACTATTCAAACACTTGCGTGCATTCCAAAATTTGTGGATCTTATATCAAAATCAAAAGACGACATATTTAAATGTTTATCTCAAATTATTAACCTCGTTTTATCAAATCAGCGTTCTAGTATTAGTAAGTCTCAGATAGAGGCCTTACTTAATGGACTTAGAAATAAAAATCCTGACGTAGTTTTTATTTAGTTTAAGATAAAGGCTCAAAATGATTGCAAAGAACTTTACAATATTTTAATTGACGAATTTTTTGGTACATGTGAGGAACACAATTTCTTCTTGATAAAAAAAGTTAATCTATTTATCTGTGGCAAAGGTCACAAGATGCAAAAGGAAGAGGAACAGTTGTTTTTAATAATACCTCCGAATAACAAGTTGGACTCAGAAAAATGCATACAAGATATAAAAGAAAAGAAATTTGAAGATGAATTATTTTGTAATGAATGTGGGGAAATAATTAAGACTCGCATGATAACAGAAAGCTTGAATCTGCCTGAATATTTGGTATTTTATGTTATAGATACTTCAAATCAAGGGAGAGTTCCAAAGACCTATATAAGAGCTGAAGGAAACGACTATGACTTGTTTGGAGTCATATGCTATTATGGCAGTGGAAGCTTTGGCCATTATATTGCTTTTACCCTGAATGCTGTTGCAAAATGGATTAAATATAATGACGCTTTTGTTGATGAAGAAGATCCTGATTATGATCACGCCTATATGCTTTTTTATAAGCAGAGAATATTAAGCTAAAATTTATACTTAAAAAACTATTGAATGCTATATATCAATTTAATTATCTTGAGTTTGGAATAGGCTAAATTTAAAAGAATTAATCAAAATAGCTCTAAACTCCCCCCCCCCCCCCCTCCGTGAGCGAACAAAACCATTAGAAAAATCGCCATTTTTTGACCAAAAAACCCACCCTCCGTGAGTGAACAAAAAATTTTTTTAATAGAAAAAATTTTAATGGAAAAAAATTTTGATATATAAGTGATAATTAGTATAATGAAATCTAGAGCTAATTCTGTTTAATTTTAAACAAATTGCGTTTTAAAACATAAATTTTGCAAATTAAATTAATATTTGCTTCCCAATTTTTGCAAATTAGGATTCTTTTAAATTTCGAAAACATATTTTTTATAAAATTTATATATAAATTTTTTTTTAAAAAAAAAAATTAACCCCCTCCGTGAGCGAACAAAATTTTTTTTGTTCGCTCACGGAGGGGGGGGGGGGAGTAAGCACTGAAATTAAATAAAATATAAGCTTATATATAATACTAATATATTATAAAGACTTTCTTATTACTCAAAGCTCATAATATTAAAAAGGTTTATAATTTAATAGGGGGTTGAAATCTTGGGGATAGCATTGAAATCTTAGGAAAACAAGGATATGTTAAAGCAGAGCTCACGGAGAGTTTTTTTAAATTTGTTTTTTAAATGAAAATATAAATAAAATACCATAAAATTAAGAGCTCTGGTTAAGATTAAAATGCTAATCTTGAGCTATTAAAAAAAATTATTATAATACTATTTTAGCAGAATAAATAATATAGCGTCTTATCTTTATAGCTCTACCTGCGTTAAGAAGTTAAAGCATTTCAGATGCTTGAAATGTCAAAATGATCTACAAAATCATTTTTTTTGCTAAATCTATCAATAATGCTTAATATCTAAGCAGAAATGCTTCTCGTGATAAGGGGCATATTCCTATAGGGAATTATAATCATTTACGAGCTATAATAATGATATTTCACTCTCTCCCAGAGAATCCCAAAATTATTAGAGAAGAGAAAATATGCAGATTAAACTATGCTGGAATCATTAATTATTCAAATTGATATTTAAATTCAGCTATTCAAGTTCTCGGATGTATTCCAAAATTGGTAGGCATCGTATCAAAATCAAGCAGCAATTTTTTTAAATGCTTATCAAAAATTTTTAATCTCATTTTATCAATGGGATCCTAGGAGATTTAAGCACTATCTTGAAGGCTTAATTAATACGCTTAAGCAAAAATATCCAATGGTAAATTGTATATAGCTTAGAACTATAGCTCTAATTGATTGCAAAGAATTTATCTAATTAAATTTCTACACTGAAATCCCTTAGATATAAATGAAAAATAGTAAGAAAGCGAATTTCTTGAGCTATTTAAATTTATTACAATAATTATCTTTAATGCAAAGAATTTTACAATATTTTAATTGACGAATTTTTTTCAGACATGTGCAGAACAAAGTTTCTTCTTGATACAATAAATTAATCTATTTATCTGTGAAAGATGATAAAGGAAGATCAACAGTTAGTTTTAATAATACCTCAGAATAGCAAACTGAACTCAGAAAAATGCATAAAAAATATAAAAGAAAAGAAACCAAAATTGGAATGAATATTTTGTTAGTGCGATTATGCAGATAGCACTAAATAATAGCTATAGCCTGGACCTCCTGAATATTTGGTGTTTTATGCTGCGGATACTTCAAATCAAGGGAGAGTTCCAAAGACTTATATAAGAGTATGACTTATTTGTAGTTATATGCTATTATGGTAGTGGAAGCATGATTATTATATTGCTTTTACTTTAAATGCAGATGATAAAAGATGGACCAAATATAATGACTCTTTTGTTGATGAAGAAGATCCTGATTATGATCTGCCTATATGCTTTTTTATAAGTAAAAGTGATGCTGTGCCTAAATTTATATCAACTTATAGACTAAGACTGAAAATTATTTGACTATAAATAAAATTTTAACTTATATATAATAATATTGCAATTATAATAATAAACTTGCTAACTCAGAAATCGTTATATTATAAAATTTTAATCTTTTAATCGATAGAACAAAAGATAAGCTTTTTCCTCAGGAAAACTATCTGATATACTTGTATAATTATCATTATATTCGCACCAAGATTTCTTTCCAATCCTTTCATATGCATAAAAATGCGGAATTGTTGAGTCATAGCATATAACAGCATACATCAAGTACAAATTCTCCCCAAATGTAACTTTTTTCACACATTTAGTATTATTTTGGTGATTCTCATCATTAGCAATATAAAGAATCAAGATCTTTGGGCACACAATTCTTTCTGTCTTAAGAATAATATCTTTATTTTCTTTGCATTCTTCACAATAGAGCTTATTGTCTCCTATGAACTCTTCTTCTTTTTTAACATTTTTCAGGTGTGCTTGAATGCCGGCTCCCTTTGGAATCAGGATTAAATTTGTTTCTTCTTTTTTAAGAAATTTATGTTTATTTTCACATTTAAATACTCTGTTGTAAATGATATTGAATGGGTTTTTTACCATTTCATTTTCATCTAGCATGGATAGTATGATTACTAGCAATTCTATTGCGTCATTTTCTTGAGCACCTCTAAACTATTTTAAAATTACCATTGGGTATGATTTGGAAATCTCATTTTTAAAATCAACCACCAAATCTGATAAGTTTGATGAGCTGTCGCTTATATTCAAGCCTTGTATAAGATTTTTTAAAGAAACTAATTCAGGTTTTGTTGTATTTTCTAAGTTTGCTATATTTTTCGGAAAAAAATTGTAAAATCTCTTCCATGGCCAAGTTTTTCTGTGTTGGTGTTTTATTGAATTTATGTGGATTAGAAATTGGTACATCAAAGAAGGAAATAATTTTTCCAATTTATTATAAGAAATTAGGAGTGCTTGCTAATACTTGGACGACAGAATTCATATAGCAAGTATTTCCAATGTTTGGAATCCCTTTTCGTTGTGAGGTTGGATAATCATAATCATTGTCGCGAAAGACAGGAGAGATGATGCCCATATTTATTGAAATCTACAAATTTATTGGATTATCTAAAATCTGCTCTTGACTATTTAAACAAATAATCCTTAAATTTACTATTGTCTTTGTACATAGAAACAACTTTTGGTGCTTTAGTATTGTAATTTCCGTTGTAAATTTTTCTAAAATTATTAATTTTCAATATAGATTACAATTACAATTACAATTACAATTTCAGTTTAAGTTTATATTGAATTAATCTTGAAGTCTCTATAGAAAACTACTTATATTTTAAAATAATTTTATATATTCGTAGCAAAATTATCATGGATAATTGCTTAATTTTGCTAGCTTAATCTAGGGAATTTATCCTTAACTCGGACCAATATTTTAGTTAAATCGCTAAAGCCAAATTTCTGCTCAAAAGACAAGCCGCAATATTAATTCAAAATTTAATAAGAAAAGTTTCAAATTTTGGCTGGCAGATTTCAGCTCTATCAATCTTGATTCCTATATAATTCTATATATTAATAAAACTCTAAATTTTATGAAAGTTTATTGTGAGGCTTAATTAACTCTTTAGAATAAAAAAGCATATAACAGCTTGATAAATCTGGTGATTTTTCCCGAACAATACTGTCATTGCATTCAATCCATTTGCCATCTATAAGTAAATGTGCCCAATAATGACCAAATAAATTACTTCCTGAATGACAAATAACTGCATATAAATAATATTTTTCATTATCCAGTGTAATTTTATGATTTGGCTCCCGAATCACTCCATTCCCAGGAACATAAATAGTTAGATTCAAAGGATATTTCACGCTCTCAACTTTTAATTCCGTATCTCTCATATTCCCACAAGTATCACACCAAGTTTGATTTTTGTCCTTAAAATAATGATCCCTTCTTACATGAGCATCAATATCCTCAAGAGAATTTTCAGGAATTACTAAAAATAACTGACTTTCCTTATTCTCTGCTGGATCATGGCCTTTTATGCAATAGAACTTTTTTGTGGTGAAAATTGTAAATTTATCTTGGTGCTCTTCAAAATTTGACACTATTTCATCAATGAGAACATTAAATAACTCTTTAGTATCATGCTGAGCATGGGCGAAAAACTAACTCCCCTCCCCTCCGTGAGTGAACAAAAAAATTTGGTTCACTCAAGGAGGGTTAATTAATTTTTTTTTTTAAAAAAATTTATATATAAATTTTATAAAAAAATATTTTTTTTCGAAATTTAAAAAAAATCCTAATTCGCAAAAATTGGAAAGCAAATATTATAGAATTTATGTTTTAAAAAGTAATTCGTTTAAAATTAAACAGAATTAGCACTATATTTCATTATGCTAATTATCACTTATATATCAAAATTTTTTTCCATAAAAGTTTTTGTATTAAAAAATTTTTGTTCACTCACGGAGGGTGGGCTTTTGGGCAGAAAATAGCGATTTTTCAATGGGTTTGCTCACTCACGGAGGGGGGGGAGTAAATAAATGATACCATATGAAATTTCTCAATAATTTTGCTTTGAAATTCTGTCAAATATTTTCTGTAATCAAAATTTTTATTTCTCGCTTTCAATGCTGTGAGAATTTCTGCAAGAGATGCAAATAAGGATGAGTTAAGCGAAGAAAGGACTGAATCAAATTGCGGCATGATAGATAATGCTTGAATTAAAGCATTCATATAGCAAGTATCTCCAATATTAGGCAGTCCTAGAGGTTTTATGAATTCTGCTGGACGGTTCTTATTTTTTGCCCAATTTTTTATTTCTGTAATAATTTCATGCTTGGAATCTAAATTTGACTCAATGCACAACACACCTTGCTCTTCTTTGGATTCTTTCCTGAATCCTTGATTATGTTTATAAAATGGAATAATAACTCCTGGCTTATTTGGGAGTAAAATATCAGTTTTCAAATAACTTATATCCTTTTATATAGCTTTACCTATATAATCTTACTTTAATATCTTAATCATCTACAAAAATACTTATTTATCTCATAATTTTACATCAATTAAACCCAAAAAGTTTAACGCAGACCTCGCAATTTCCCAGCAAATAAAGATTGGGTATTTATCTTCTTTTATTTTAAATCCTTCTCTATTTTCTACTTGGACTATATCTTCACTTCCTGGCTTTTTTATATGAATAGGGGGCGAAGAAATGACTTCGAAATCATTTTTTAGCTCTCTTTTAAGATTCTCAGACTCTTCTTCACTGGTAGTTATTTGATATAAGTTGAAGTCATTAAAGAGACTTTTTCTGTTTAATAAATTATATAAAACTCAGTATGGTATATATTCTTCTTTTCTTTGATGATTTTGAGAGACTTTTTTTAGTTTAGAATACATAAAATAAGCAGCAATAGGAGATGCGGCAAACAAACTTATAGCTCATGACCTCTTTGGAAATTTTAAGATCTTTGAGAATACAGCATCTCAGGCATTCGTTATTCAAGCCAAGATACAGAAACTAAGTTCTAAAATGCCACTCATATTTATTGTAGAATCCCAAGTATAAATATGTCAAGTTATATTAAATTAGAAAAGTTTATACTAACTTCGACCTGTCTCAGGCTGGCCTGATATTTGCTAGATTTTTCCTAAAGGCAGAAAAGCAGATTTTATCTATTATTGAGATCTAGTTCTGCATTTATCAATACTTCTGTAGAGATTTTTGAGTCATTAATAAGGCTCAGATATAATTAAAACTACCTCTAACCCATTAGGACTTCTTCTACATTAGAAAGTTTATCTTTTCATAAGCCATGCTCGCAAAGAAATGCTAATTCTTACATACCGAGCTAGTGCTCCACTAAAATTCGACTCTGAAATCTTTAGATTAGAACTAACTAAGTAGAATAGCAAAACCAAAACAAATCATATAAACCTATTTCATCATTTTATTAAAGACCTTTTGAATTAAATTTAATTTGCAGTAAAAAAATTCTAATGTATTTAAGTTAACTAATTTTTCAGCTCATATACAGAAATTATTATATCCAGATTTAGTTAGGCTTTTCTTCTTCAGTTGCACTGCTGTCTAAAATCGGATCATTGAACTGCGTTGTTTTCACATTTTTCGCAGCTTTTGTTGCTGCTTCTTTATTAGCTCTTCCTCCCATCTGTGAATACACCCCCAATGCTTGTGCGACTGTCCCTGCTACATTTCCAGACTCACTTGGCACGATCATAGTATTGTTCTTTTTGGCCATCCCATTAAAAGCCTCAATATATTTTTCCGCTAATCTTAATTTTACAGCATCATCACCTCCTTCTTCCAATATACTTAACCTCAGTAGCCTGATCCCTTCTCCAGTAGCATTAGCTTTCGTTATAATTGCTTTGGCTTCTCCTTCAGCTTTTAATATAGATGACTGTCTATACCCTTCAGCTAAGTTTATATCAGCTTGCTTTTTACCTTCTGAGGTCAAAATGTCAGCTCTTTTTTGCCTTTCTGCTTCTGCTTGAAGTTCCATAGCTTTTTTAATATTCGCTGGGGTTGTAATATCCCTGATTTCATATCTCATACACTTAATCCCCCATTCAGTTGCAGCTTCATTGATAGCGTCCACAATTGCGTTATTCAATGTTTCCCTTTCTTCAAAAGTCCTATCTAATGTAAGTTTCCCTAATTCTGACCTCATAGTGGTCTGCGCCAGTTGTTTCATGGCCTCAACTGGGTCTCCGACACCATACGACGCTTTATAAGGGTCTATAATTTTTAAATACAAAACCCCGTCAAGGTTTATAGTAACATTGTCCTTTGTGATTGCCATCTGTGACGAAATTTGGTAGACTTCTTCTTTGAGAGAGTGACGATACATGATTTTATCGAGAAAAGGGATTAAGACGTTTAAGCCTGGGCTGAGGATTGTGCGGAACTTGCCTAGTCTCTCTATGACGATAGCTTCTTGCTGTGGGACAATTATGAAGCCTAAATTGTGCTGAGCTGGGCCAAGTACATGAAGCCATCTCCTGCTAGCTATTTTATTCATTTATTATGATTAAAATTTATGGAATTGTAAGGCTTAATTAATTTTAAGTGTCCATATAATATGTAGGACTCAGCATTTCTACGCTTGATAATAAGTTACTTTCAGGAGACATCAGCCTTTCTAAAAACTTCGGGGAGTGAGGGACTGAAAACATCCCTTGGTTTTTAGCCAAGTAGCTTGTAACTGGGTTTTTCAAAAATTGGTCAGCAATTTTAAGCACTTTATTTTCTGTTTTTTCTGCTGGAATTTCTTTATATTTGGCTTCTTTTGTAGGGTGGACATATCTAAACAGATTTTTTGCTGTTTCTAATGCAACTGTTTTGGGCTCTTTGATTTTTTCAGAAATTTGTATTTTACTCTTATGGCTGTTTTGCTCATTGTAAAGGCTTTTATTTTCCCAGCTGGGGGTCTGTTCTTCTTTTCCATAGCTTCTGTCTGTTTGGATTCCTGAACTTCTCCGGTCTTCACTCTCATTTCTGCCTTTTAGAGAAGTCCTTGATACTTCCATCTTATACTTATATATAGCAATATCTTTATTTACGTCTTCTTTTATTTTGGATGGGACTTCTTGGTAGTTTCTCTTGGAATTTGGGTATAAAGATGGCCTGGATGAGCTTGATTTAAGGACTTTGGAAGACTCAGGGCGCTTTTTTTTGGTAGAATCCTGAGTTTTTGGCTCTTTTTTGGATTTTTCTGAATTTGTGCGGAGGTTTGAGTGGGAATGATTCCGCTCAAGCTGCAAATCGAGGCCTGTGATGGAGAGAAGTAACTGATAAGAGAGGCCGTAAGGGTATTTTTTTTGAAGGGTTTGGACTCCATAGACGATTATTGCTTCTAGACATTGGTTTCATTGTGCTTTTGGGTAGAGTTTGAGAAAAGAGTGAATTTCTTGATTTTTAGATAGAGATTCGAGCATTTTGAATTTAATATGAATTTTTATAAAAAATTATTTTAGGAAGCAATTTCTTCTTCAATTGAAGCTGGAAGGTTTTCTTCTTGCTTATTTAGGCCAGAAGATTCTGAAGAAACTTCTGCGTACTCATTGGCGATTGGGGTTTTTTCTTTTTTAGTCATTGGCGGCTCTTCATTTACTATTGGTTATTGGTTTGAATAAGGAATATATTTTTTAAAAAAAAAATAAATTTAATTTACAGTAATTAGGATTATTTCAGGATTATTTTCTTCAGCAAAGACTTCTTCATTGTTTTCTTGTATCTCTTCTGGACTAGTTTCTTCAAGGTTAATTTCTAAATTTTCTTTAGTTTCTTGTTTTAGCTCTTGATTAATCTCCAAATTTTCTTTGGTTTCTTCTTTTGGCTCTTGAATAGTTTCAAAATTTTCTTTGTCTTCTATAACATCTGTATGATTTTCTTGAGGATTTTTTTGTTTTTCCTCAACATTTATTATTGGTTTATTATATTTTTCATCAAAAATTTCAATTGGTTTTATCTCTTCTTTATGCATGGGTGTAATTTCTGTTAAAAACATCCCTGCATTTTCTTGCTTATTTTCTTGCTTATTTTCATCAATTTTTATCTCACTTTTCTTTTCTTTTATAACTTTCTGCATGTAGTTTTCAGGTTTTATTGCAGTTTCTTTTGGAGAAATGCTTCCTTTTGACACATCTTTAGTTCGTCTATCAGTCATTGATAAATTGCTTCTATCAGTCTTACTCCTCATTAATATATTTGCTTATTTATTTCAAAAAATAAAAATTGATATTTTTTTATTATAAGAGGAGAGCTAGACTCGCGTTTTAACGAGATGCTTCTTAGTTTTCTTGGCTGCTCAGTCAAAGGTGGCAATAAATTTGCTTTTTTGCCTATTTTATTTCCCAGCACATTAAACTTCATTTTTGACGCATTTGCTTTATATTTCATATTTCTCTCATACTCATACCTAAACTTATTCAAAGAAACACTAGAAGGTTTTTCGCTTAACCTCCTCATAAATGAGTGATTTTCTAGCAAAATTCGTTCAGCTTCACGTTTTCTTGATACAAAATTGAGACTTCTAGGTGGAGATGTGGACTCTCTAAATGTCATTGATAAAGCCTATATGATTTGTACTCTTTTTCTATTTGATATTCATGTGAGTTTTCCAGCTCTTTTATGACAAAAAAATTATTTTATATGAAATTTATTTATTTTTAAAAAATAAATATTATTTTATTAGACCGAAGTAAGTAATTTTTGGTTATCAATTTGAATGGTCTTATTTATTTCGCTTTCAAAGAACGCTTGTCCACGATGCTTGCAAGTCATAAACCTTTTCGTTGCAGGCTCTGAGTTATCAACCCTATTTGATGGGGTAAGCTTTATCAGTTTGAGTCTTTGCTTATGCAAGTTAAAAGCATAGTCGTGGGCCCAGACTGATGAGGCTGGGAGACTGATATTCTTAAGATGCATTATTATAACTGTAAATTAATTATCTAAAATTTATTAAAATGCCTGGCTACTCATCAACATTTGGACTTCTTTTCCAATTGGTATTTCTTCAGGCGTTTTTTCGATTATTATTGCTTTGGTTCTCCTATCAGTAAGCTCTGGAGAATATGCTCTTTCTTGGAGTCTTGCGGTTGATACTCTACCTGAGTTACTTCTCGCTTTTTCGACTATCTGTGGCCTTTGTGCAATATAGGGTGTTCTAATTCTGGGCTTTATTTTCTCAATTGCATTTGCTAGTCTTTCAGTTGTTGGTGGCATAGGGCCAGGATCAGGATCTTTTCCAAATCTTGAGCTCATTTTTTCAAAATCAACAAATCCAATGGACAGTTTTTTCTTCAAAAGCTCAAAATTTAAATCATAATTTCTGATAAAATTTATTATAAAACCAATATAAATTAATATATTTTCACTGATAAATGCACATTTATATTTTATCAACAATAAATTATTTTACAAAATATTTTGGAGTTTTTCTATATAAAATACTAGAGCCACATTCAATTCATTCTAAAATAAAAAAATTAAAAAATAATTGTGACATTATAATTTCCATCATTTACTGGAACGTCACTTCATAAGTTTTCTCTCCCCACGGTCTTTTCAAAAATTGGAGTCTTTATAATCCTGCTTTTTGAATAAGACCTCGGAAAATGATTGAAATTTTCAAATCTCATGTCATGAAGCTGCTGGACTGACCATTTTCTCGGCAATTGTGCATTAAATCTAAACTCTGCTGTATGTGGTCTTGCAGATTCTGGGTAAAATGAGTCTTTGACTTGGCTTTCTCTTGTAGATAAAGTATTAAAGAAATCTTTTATAGATAAACTATTTAAGCTTCTCGTACCTTTGGCTGATAAAGGTTTTTCTGGGTATTTGCAAGCTAATTCATTGGTATCGAGGCATTCTGGGAGATACACAATTGGAGTGCGTTTTTCAACAGTCACTTTAGGCGTAAAAGCGACTTGTGAGTATACACGAGGGCTTACTAAATCATGTTTTGGGGTGTAAGTTGCAACTGGAGGTGCGTCAGATTTTATATATTTATTGGTTTGTTCACGTTTTTCTCGAGAAACTGTTTGAAAGAAATAGCTACCGATGTCATGTTTTGAATGTTTACTGGTTTCTTCTTTTATTTCAATTTTAATATCTTCATAAATTTGTGCTGCATCTTTAGGAGTTATACGGTATTTTATTTTAAAAATATTTGTTTAAAAATTAAATAAATAAAAAAATAAAATAAAAAATAAATAAATAAAAAATAAAGATAAATAAAAAATAAATAAAAATTAAATAAATAAATAAAAAAAATAAAAAAATAGTGTATGTTCTCTTTCCGGTTCTTCCCTTGTCCTTTTTTTAGGTTTATATGTCAGCCACTTCGGTAATTTCGCATTGGCTCTTCCACTCCTCGAATACCTCGGTCTTTTCACAATATCAATAATATCCTGCATATTAATATTTTAATTTTTTTATCTATTTTAAATTTCAATAGGTTTCACAACAGGTTTTCTGAAATGCCTCATATTTGCACCCAGCTGTGTAGGAACAAATGGTGTATGGACTCCATAAGGTTTCGGCAGCCCAATGCCATCATCAGGTACATAAGAATTCAGCCTTGGCTCAGCTGTGCTTTGTGTTATGGCGCCAGTTGCCGATCTTTCTTCTTCTTCTCTTTCTTTTCTCGCTTTTCTTTCTTCTTCTCTCAAAAGGTTATTTCTTTCCATTCTTTCCCATTCTTTTTCACAGTCTTCAGTAGGCGGCAGACTATTTTCGACTCGTTTTTGGGAGTCTTCAAATACATTTTCCAAGCGTTCTTTTTCCTGTTGGAGTTTCATAGCGGTAGCTTGGAACATAGAAAGCTCGCTGACAGTTGCCATCATTTTTCTGGTTAATTTTTTGATTCTGGATTGGAAATCGTTGACTTTTTCAGCAAGTTCTAAGGTCCCTTGACGACCTGTGAGGGCTTGGGCACGAAGTTTGTCAGCAAGATTTGTAATTTCTTCAAGGACCAGCTCTTTTTCAAGCAGCTGTTCTTTCTTGTTGTTAAGACGCTCTTCGAGGACTTGGATTTTGGCTTCTAAAGCTTCTTCATCAGGGTCTTCACCTGGGAGTTCATTAAATCTTTTGGCATTTGAAGGATCTTCAAGGTCAGCAGCTAAGCATTTTTCTTTTTCTTTTTCAGCTTCAAGTTCGGATTTTAATGAAATTACTTCAGCAGCGAGTTTTGGGACCTCTGGGATTTGTTTTCTGAGGACTTCGATGTGGCGTTTAACTTCTGCGAGCTCTAAATTCATCATTCTGATTTCGTCTTCTTTGGATCTAATTTCGCTTTCTCCTCTTTTTTGAATACTTTTCTTGTATAGGCTTACTATAAAAAATTACAAAAATAGCAAAATTTTATTAAAAAAAAAAATGTTTTAAATTTTTTTTAGCCCTTGTATATTTGCTTTTTCATATAAAATGCATAGCTCATCATTTCTATCAATAAGCTGAATTCCAGTATAATTTCTGCTTTCACAAACATTTTCGTATTTATGCTTCAGCTCAATCATTTCTTTTTCTAAGGATGTAATAATAACGTTAAGCTTATTGATTTCATTTACTTCTTGGGTCACTAAACTTTCTTTTTGCTTTACCGCAAAGTCAAGCTTATTTATTTCTGCTCTTAGCCCGTCCCTCTGATGCAGACTTTGCTGCACATTATGCCGCTCTTCTTTCAGTTTTCTGTCTTTTTCTGAGCTTTCGTTTCTGAGGATTTCTACTTCATTTTGCAAGATTTTTATTCTTTCTTTAGTTTCTGCTAGCTCTTGAGAAGAATTTTGTATAAGTTTGACATATTCTTTTTTCTATAAATAATTTATTTTATTTTATAGGTAATTTTTTAATTTTCAAGGCTTTTTATTCAATATTCTGTTAACCTTTTTATCAGTACAGGCATATTTATTCCTTGCATTTTTTACTTCGTCATACATCGCTATATAGCTTTTCAGCTTAAAATCAGTTTCCTGTTTTTTCTTCTTTAAATCAATCATCAGCAGCTCCTTAATTTTCAGCTCTTCAGAAGTCTCTTTTGCCTGAGCAATATTTTGGCTTGCCTTCCTTGCCATATATTCTCTCTTCAAACTCAGCCATTCCATCTCTTTTACTAGCTTTCCTTCTTTCGTCCTCTTATTTTGTGCTTTTTTCTCTGTGCTTTCTGTCTCTTTTTTAATTTCTTCTAATTTCACAATTTTATCTTTTTCGTCCTCTTCTTTGTCCATTGTATTTTTCTTCATAATATCATGCTCCTCTTCCAGCTTTTCCAAAATTTCTTTTTGTCTCCTATTATCCATCTCCAGTGCGTTTTCTCGTTCTTCAGCTTCGCTCATTTGTTTATTTAAATCGCTTAATTGAGTTGTCATTTGCCGCTTATGATTTTCTATTTTTTTGTATTCTTTTTTTAAGTGATATAGCTGTTTTCCAAGTTCTTGGCTGTTGTCGCTTTCTCTTCTGACAGCATCTTCATTTGCTTTTAAATTTACTTCTAATTCTACGATATATTGATTTATAATAAATTTTTAATTTTTTTTTTAAAAAAAAAATATTTTTATTTTTTAATAAAAAAAAGGTTATTATTTCTCAGCTCTTTTTCGACCTCTCCAGCTTGGTTTTTCTTATAGTGGATATCGTCTTTTTCTTTCTGATAATCATCATATATGCTTTTACACCTCCCCAGCTCTTCTTGGGTTTCTAATAAAAGATTAGTCAGCTCGTCTTTTTCTTTATGAAGCTTTGACAGTTCATTATCAGCTGTTTCTGAGTCTGCTTTGACCTTATTTAAATCCCCTTCCATCACATGTATAGCTTTATCCAAAATATCAGCATTTTTCGCAAACCTCAATGGCTCGGTTTTTGCTTTATTTAATGATAAAGTTACCATTTCAAGCTCGTCCTGCAATTTTTCTGTTTCTTTGCTGAGCGACGTGATGGCTTCTTGAAGCTCTTTTTTGATGGCTTCTTCTTTAATAATCCTGTCCTCGCTCTCTTTGGTATCGTTTCTCATATCTTCTATCAATTTTTGAAGGCGGCCTATTTCAGGGCGAAGTTTGGCTTCTTGTTCTTCTTCACGCTGGGAAAGGTAATTTAAGGCTTCGTTTCGGTCCTGCTCAATTTGGGAAATTTCCCATTCTAAGACTTGAACTCTTTGTTCAGCTTGGTCAAGCTCAGCTTGAGTCTATATAGAAGTTACGTCTTCTAAGGTTTTATTAATTCTTTCTAAGGACAAAGAAGTTTCAGACTGCTGCTGGGAGACGGATTCCAGCTTGTGAAGCTGCTTGGTTAGGTCTTGACGGAGGTCTCTGGCTTTGTTTAGCAGGATTTTTTCGTTTTCGAAAGATTGGACAACGACTTCGTGCAACCGTTTGAATTTTTCTTTTAGGGCTTCAGCTCTATGTAGGAATTACCTTTGAGAATGAAGCTTTCCTTCACGCTCGAGGTCAGTTATGATGCTATAAGCGACGCTGTTGCGGATGTCTTTAACTTCTTCGGAGATGTCTCCCATTTTTGTTTAGAAATATGAAAAATTGTAAAAATACTGAAATTAAATTTGTGAGAAAGCTTAATATATAAATTATTGATTTTTCTTATAAAAATTCAGAAAGGTTTTTCTTATTTAATTAATTTTTATTTCTTATATCTAACAAAATGCAAACTATTAATATATTTTAAATTCTTATTTAATTTTTTATTAATTTAAGCCAATAATTTCCTTAATTTTATTTACTTCATAATACCATCAGACTTCCACACAAATTATTTGTAAATTTATTTCAAATTTGTGAAGCAAATCAAAAAATATCTTTCCCAATACACAAAATAAATGGAAACCTGGTATAACAATCAAGACTCAAACTTAGAAATCACAGGGCAAAACTTTTTTGTAATGAAACCTTCACAAGACAAAACAACCCGGGGAAATGTAAAGTCTCCAACAAATATAAATAAACTGGAATCCAGCACAAGTATCCCTGCTAAGGAGTGAGAGTTTTTAAACGAGCTGCTTAACAAGCCTGATAAATCTCCAAGCTTGCTTGATCCTAATGCTAAACGTAACTCATTGAGTATTCCTCTAAAAAGCAGAGAAATTTCTCCTAATAAAATTCCAGAAAAAGTTACACATTTTATAAAAAATAGCAAAGGAATTGTCCTCAGGCAAGCTTATGCGAAAAAAGGACAAATTTCACCTTTTCCTGAGCCGATCCCTGAGTGTAGAAGCTTAAGTGTAAAAGTCCACAGGTGTTTGTCAAATACTGACGTCATAAATGGCTCTTCTCCTCTACAGACTAAGAAAAGCGCTTTTTTAAAGTCAGACGACTCTATTAAAGAAGAAAAATTTAAGATAAAATCGAAGAAAATGACAGTAAAAAGAAGGAAAAAAATTGAAAATAATCAGCTAGAAGCGGTCAAAATAAATTTAGCTATTTTATCATTGCAGAAAAGCTTTGGAATTGAAATAACTCCTAATGAAAATCCCACTTACAAGTTTTTTGTCGGCTCCGGCAATAACCACCAGCTTGTCCTAAAAATCTTAAAAGCCAAGCCAAAATGAGAACAAAGCTATTCTCCTTACTCTGCCAATCTTATATGGACCCAAGTAAAAAGAAAAGAAATAGTAGAAGTCCTCGAAACTTCAGGGAAAAAAGAAACAAGGGCTATTGACGTGTCAGATAATACCATTAATTTTATCACCAACAGCCAGGAGTTTTGCCACCTATCACCATTATCAACATTAATTTCTACCCGTACCAAGCTTTATAACAGAATTGAAAGAAACAATGAGCTTGCCAGCAAAAAAAGGCTTTTTGCCAATATGTGCAGCTACTATGAATCTATAAATAAAAATCCATTTAATGTACTGCCTATGACTTTCCATATAGTAGACGGGACAAGAGACCCAAATTTTCCTAAACTACAAGAGTATTTTAATAGTATTAAATCTGAAGCAAATCTAGTGAACTTATGAATTGTAAAACCAGGCGAGCTTACTAACCGAGGAAATGGAATAACTGTCTGCTCAACGTTAGAAGAAATAATAAACAGAATAGAAGAGGCTTCTTCAGGGCTTAAACACAGCTATATTGTTCAAAAATATATAGAAAACCCTTTATTATATAGAGACAGAAAATTTGATATGCCATTTTTGATGAAAATTGTCCTTATTTATTTATATAGAAAAATAAATCTGTAGTATTCTCTATTGATAGGTATATCCGTTGCTATACATTAATTGCATGCATAAACGGGAGCATCCAAGCATACTTCTACCGTGAAGGCTACTTAAGAACTGCTTGTCAAAAATTCACCTTGGATATCACACAAAATAAATTTGTCCATTTAACTAATGACGCAGTCCAGAAAAAATCCCCTGAGTATGGAAAATTTGAAGCAGGGAACAAGCTTTCTTATGATGAATTTCAAGAATATATAGACAATGAAATACATGCAAAAGTGAATTTTAAAAGAGAAATTTATCCGAAAATAAGAAATATTGTGCAGGATACTGTAGCTGCGACGTGTGGAAAATTAGACCCAAAGCATAGGCTGCATACTTTTGAAATTTTAGGGTATGATTTTATGCTAGATGATAATTTCAACCCTTGGCTTATTGAAGTAAATACAAACCCTTGCTTAGCATTAAGTTGCCCATTATTAGGGTCTTTAATAACAAAAATGCTAGAAGATTCATTTAGGCTTGTAGTTGACCCAGTTTTCCCTGAAGATTCTCAGTCACTTATTATTGATACTGGGTATGAGCTAATTTATAGCACTGCTAACTCCTACCTTAGGAATAAAATTTGGAAAAATTCAAAATTTACTAGAATTGTTGATATATATAATATTTGTAAAAATAAATCCCTGCTAATTCTATCAAATTTAGATCTAAAAACGGCCTTAAATTAGATATTTTTTTAAAGTAAATTAAAATTATTTGAGTGAGTAAGCACTCGTTGCGCAATATTAAAGAAGAAGAAAATTTAGAAGAAATTTCTGATGGAGATGTAAATTCTGACGTAGAAGCAAATTAGTCAATTTGAATAGTAGTTATGCTAAAATATTTTACTTTTGGAATATAAATGTTATTTTTATAATAAAATAATTGGTTTATTAAAAAAGTGTATAAATCATATTTTTATTTGTCATTAAATTATCCATTCTATCTTTGAGTAAACTCGACTAAATATTTAGGCAGCACTTGATCAGCAGAAAAAAATATTAATGCGTCACCATTTTGCGTAGAATGACGGTTTCCAGCTGTTAATTCTTGCACAGTCCTAGCAGGCGCCCCACAGATTCCTCTTACAGCCCTACAGCACAGCATTCATGTTTTTCCCTGCGCATATCCAGCTGATATATCAGGTGTGAGGCCAGTGTAAACTCCATACCCAGCAGCTGTCCCATGAGCTACTGCAAGCCCATTAGTTCCGCCTATAATAAATCCTCCACTGCATATTTTTGCATAATTCACATAATTTGATCCGTGAAAAACATATTCTTCTTTACACCCAAGCTGTTTCTTTTTTGCTTCAAATTTTTGTTCTAGTGCTGGATTAACGACTAATTTTACTTGTGTCATTTTTAAATTAGCTGCCCTTACAAATGTTTCAAAAGCAAATTTAGCATTTTCGTATTCTTCATGCAAATATTCGTAATCTGAAAAATCTCTAGGTGGTGGGTAAATATCTATAAATGGCGGATCATTTAGTGTCAGTCCTGCGACATTATAACATGATAAGCCATCATGTAAAGTTTGTGTGCATCTGACACATATTTTTGCTCCACAAACACATAGCTCTTCAGTCTTTTTTTTGTCAAGTTCAATATTTATTTTGCAATTAGGGCAGAATGAGCATTTTTTTCCATTCAATTTTAATTTTTTCCAAAATTTCTGAATTAAGTTTTGGTCTATTTCTATAAAAGCTTTAACAATTTCATGGATTATGATTCGGATTATTAAAAGTCAGACGCTAGCCATATAGCCGGGAACGGGTTATATTGGTGACGCAGCCGTAAAGACCCCATGTGCAGGAGTGCTACCGCTTTTCGCGTTCAGCCCAGAGGGCCTCCCTCATACGAGTACCCTTTCCGGTACCTTCTGTATCCTCCTTGCCTTGAGGCTTCAGTTTTGAGTGGGCGGCTTATGGATTTCTGCGGCCCTGTTACGGGCGATTGGAGCAGCTTGATTTCATGGATCCTTGAGTCTGTTGGGTATCGACATGCCTTACTTCAACAGCTACAAGGAAACTGTGCCTGGGCTGAAATCCCCAGTTTCTCGGCCTAGAAATGCCCATGGATCCTCCAAATGAAGTTTCTGAGCACCTCCATTTCAACCACAGGAAAGCAGCCAAAACCTATCCGGATACACATCACTTGAGCCTGCACTTGATTCTCAGCTTGGAGTCCATCCCAATACGCGTAGCCATAAAGTTGGGACTGCTGCACCAAGAGGGCAGGCTGGCATGCGTTGCCATTTTAATTTATATTAACAAGGTCATGGTATATAGCTTTTTTGCACCCATTTACTTTGCATACGAATTTCCCATCATCAGCTGTGCTATTTATATTGTTTATAAGACAGAAATTGCAAACTTTATGATTATCAAGGCAAATTTTGTGTATGCTGAATTAATTAAATATGCTTATTAATAGAATATAAAAATATTAATCTTATATTGTGTAGAAAACAGGATAAATCTGAATAACCAAATGAACAATTCTCACATGTTTGAAGAAAAGGAATCTCTGGCTCTTCATCTTCAGGTTTAATAAAATTTCGTCTTTCCCATTCTTGTATCATTTCTATTCCTACTAATTGCATCAGGCCTTCATACTGTTTCTCCTTACTCCCCCCCCCCCCCTCCGTGAGCGAACAAAAAATTTTTTTTCGCTCACGGAGGGGGGTTAATTTTTTTTTTTTAAAAAAAATTATATATAAAATTTTATAAAAAAATATTTTTTTCGAAATTTAAAAAAATCCTAATTTGCAAAAATTGGGAAGCAAATATTAATTTAATTTGCAAAATTTATGTTTTAAAACGCAATTTGTTTAAAATTAAACAGAATTAGCTCTAGATTTCATTATACTAATTATCACTTATATATCCAAATTTTTTTCCATTAAAATTTTTTCTATTAAAAAATTTTTGTTCACTCACGGAGGGTGGGTTTTTGGTCAAAAAATGGCGATTTTTCTAATGGTTTTGTTCGCTCACGGAGGGGGGGGGGGGGAGTTAGCAAAAAACCGACTATTTCTAAATTCTTGATTTTCACATGCAGGACATTCATAACGAAAATTTAAGCCTCTTGATAGGAAAATAGATGAAATATGTTTTTGTAAGCAATAATAGCAAATATGATGAGACCGATCGCAAATGAAAGGGGAATATAAAAATTCAGGGGAATAAAGATTTTCGGAACCAGGGTAAATATAGATATGAGATGAGCATTTTTCGTAAAATGAAGGAGATATTGAAACTTTGATTCCCCATCTGATTAGTTCTTGTATACAATAACTAGCAGCGTTATTGTCTTTTAAGTTAATGGCTTCTTCAAGCCTTCCAATTAGTTCTTTAGATTTTTCCAATCTTTCCATTATAAAATTATAGAATTCACTTTAAAATAAACAAATAAATATAAAAGCGTATCCCTGTGATTTTAAATGAAATTCAAGGATAAATATATCAATATAAAAAATTATTCTGCAAATAATCATTTTAATATTTAATTTTTTGTTTAAATACTATATTAAAGATGTCATAGGATCTTCTCCTGAAGAGTGGCTACAATATGTGCTAAATGTGCTGCTTAAAGCCGCTTTATTAACACTAGGCGATTTTGACCCTCTCTTAAATATCGGTGGCAGTTTTGGCCTACCAGGGCTTTTTGCAATTGCAGCATTTTTCCCAAGATCTTTAATTTGCACTTCTAAAGCTTCTATTGTCTTAAAAATCGACTCAATTTTGTCGTTCATATCATTTATCGTCACATCTTCTAAACTTGGCTTTTTTGGGTCCAAATTAATTTTCTTTTTTAAATCTTTATATTTCATTCTCGTAATAAACCTGTCTACCTCTTTTTTGTATTTTTCCATATCAATGCTGGCCAAATCCCCTTTATTTTTCATTGCATTAAGGACCTCGATTTCTGCAATTGTTTTCTGGTTTACATTATCTCTCTCTGCAGCTACCAGAACAATTTCATCCCAAATGTGAGGATATTCGTCCATTATTATGTTTATTAATGCTTTTCCCATAATAAGTAGCTCACTGTCTCTTACAGCAAGTGCTGCGTATTTTCGAGTGATTCGTGAGATACTATAAATAAAATGGCTTTCGCTCAAGCGAAGTTAGCTCCGCTAACTTTCTCTCACTCAAGCAATTTTATTTATAGGGTTGGGTTTTCACCTCAAGAACTTCTGCACAGCAACAGCGGTTTAACTTTGGAGATAACCAGAGGAACTGCTCCTCAGTGCGCTCAAGATCTGGAGTTTTTACCCCTCAGCACATCCCAAGGGAGATGGAACACGCGCAGAAGCTGAGTCGAAACAAAGCCGTGGCGGCAGCGAAGCCGGAATGCCTTATTTACCCGTGCCTTGGCGATCAAAAGGGATCGATCCAGCGATTTCTGGGCCCCGACACGTGGATAAATATGGTGGGCAGCTCTGGAGTTGGCTACCCCGTAGTGGACGTTAAGCGTTATAGATAATATTAAGATTAAGATTCGTGAGACTACTTCAATGTCTCCGAAATAGCCCCCTCGCTGTGTGGATCGGATTAATTTATTCTTTTCGCTTTAAATAGTCTATTTTTATTGTATTTACATTATTATAGGTAAAATTTATAGAAAAAAAGGTTATTATCTTTTCCAAAAACATAGCTGACGTTTCCTTTTACCACAAAATAAATTTCATCTGCAAATTCACCTTTATCATATACAAGCTCAGTACCTGCTGCAAAAACAGGCTGCAAAAATGGCACAATTGAAGCTACCACGACCTGGTCTTTATCTGCGAAAAAGGTCAAATCTTTGGCTGCGCCTCGATGCATGGCCATTGCAACTTCATACCGGAAATTCTTTGGGAGCTCGTTGAAGATATTTTGTTTGTCTGCTCATGAAAAACCAGTTTTTTCAGTTGAGTAGCGTAGTGCTATTCTTAATCGATGCTTTAAGTCTTTTTCTAAGCTTGCTTCTTTAGCGAATTCATCAATTACAGCGAGTTTGTTTATAAGCACATTTTCTTTAGAATCAACAGTTGAAAGCATATTCCCTAATTCGTTCTTATGTGTTTTTGTTAGTTTTTTTTTATCGATTTTCTTTTATTTATTATTGAATTATCATTTATTATTTATTGCTTATTTCTTATTGTTTATATCTTTTGTTTGTTTTTTGTTATATATTTTTTATTGATTTAAAAATTTATAAAGGAAAATTTATTATCGCAATTAAATTACTAAAATAAGCTGGCTGTCTTTAAATTTTTAATCGGAAGTAAGCTACCAATAACAAAAGAAAAAACATAAACGGTAAAAATCATCCAAATAATTGCACACATCTTTTCTGTTATCGTTTGGGCATGTATATCCCCATATCCTACTGTAGACAAAGTTGTTATTGCTCAATACAAAGATGTCAAATACAAAGTTCCAGTATCTTCATTCATTAATCCATTTCTAAATACCCAGGTATCATAATAAAACCCTTCAAGTTTTGCAGAAAAGTACCACATACACGTGGCAATATGCACACAAAGCGCCACTGTAAGAGCTGTTGTTATCAATCTTAACCTGTTTTGTTTTAAATCAAAAAAATCTTGCAATTTCTCCATAAATTCGCTGTTTTTATATTTTTTTAACAGTTTAATAACTCTTGATATACGGAACAGCCTATAAAGTCTTGGTAATTTTAATAGTGACATGCTGCTATTATAGGACCCAGACGAGTCTGTATTTGAACCTGGTAGCAAGCTATATGGGATTGATGAGACTAAATCTATTATAAGCCATGATTTTAGATATTTTAAAAAAATCCTTCATCGGCTAGTAACTAATTTTCCTTCAGGTGTAATGTAAGCACACATTAAATTGACGACTAAATCTACAATAAAAAACATATTCACTATTAAATCCATTAGAAATCAGGTATATAGCTCATACCCCTATATAGATTTCTTTATCGAGCAAGATGTAATGGACTCTTGAACGAGCGAATAAGACTCTTTCAAAGAGATGAGTTCAATCTCTATATCAGGAAGTGTTAAAAAGTGACATGTCAAAAAATGGTGGCAACTGTAAAAAAGTTGACATGTGAATGCGCCATAATTTAAAATGGCTTTATAAAAATAATTTAAAAATTTAAGATACCAATGAGAGTGGAGATAATAAATATAAAAAATATTATTGTTTATTTAACAATTTCTTCTGCCATAAAATAGTAACCCGATCGATAATTAAATTTAATTCATTCAAATTTGCTGCAGACCATATAATGAGTCATTAAGAACTTTGCAAACAACAACAAGCGCTTGATACAAACTTTGGCTTTTGGACTTCAATTGATCATAGCAAATTAGTAATCTATTTAAAATTCTATCCTTTCGCAAAATTGCAACTTTAACGAAAAGTTTTGGATTTTCAATTCCATATAAACTTGTTTAATGAAAATTGCATATGTCCATAATAAATTCATGAGTCATTATACTATTATAAAAATTTAATTTTTAATTACATTTAAAATTGCTAATTAAATATGCAAAGATCATAGATTAGTTTTATTCATATAATTTATATGTATTATTTATTATTTGTATTTATTATTATCATTAATTTATAAGACGTTTTAAAATAAGTTTTTAGTTATTAATCAATCCAAGTCTAATTGGTTTCTTAAATTTTAAATTATGGCGCGTTCTTTTTAACACTTCCTGATATAGAGATTGAACTCATCTCTTTGAAAGAGTCTGTTTTGCTCGTTTAAGAGTCTATTACATCTTGCTCGATAAAGAAATCTATATAGGAGTATAAGCTATATCTCATAAGGTGGAGTCTACAAAAGCCATACTGAACGGCATTATTGTAGCTGTATATAATAAGACAAAAAGCATTGCGAGATCTCAATAAGTTCTAAATTTATGGTCAGGGTGGATAATTCCGCATGGAACTGGCTCTCTGGTTTTTTCGAGATTTTCGTTTAAGGCTTCCACAAATCGTAGTGAGCTTACAGAACGCTTAAATTCGAAGTTTTCTGGTGGAGAGTATTCTTCAGTGTGGAGTGTTTTTATGTTCTTTTTAAGAAGCAAGACAGCGAGAAGCCTTGATCGTGCTCGCTTTCATACATCTTGATATTTAGAACGAAAAACAAAAGAATGCTCTAAAAAAGGTTATTTATTTTAATACTTTAGTAATTGTTTTCCCAAAAAAACTGATTAATTATTATGGAAATAGATAGTCCATTTTAAGCATAAAATTGTAATTAAATTAAGTTTAATTTTTTTTTGCAGAAAAAAAATGATAATAATTCCTCACCCTGAAAAAGTTGACTGTTCAATTTTTGAGTTTTCTGGGTTGATTTTATTTTTTGATATTTTTTCTCGAAATTCAGCAGGAACAGTTGGGTGTATCTGAGTTAATCTTCTATGAGCCATCAGAGATTTTCTGGTTCTTTCTCTTTTCGGTACCAACAGATGATGCACATTTGACATGAAAAATTGATATTTACAATTATTAAAATTTATTATTTTCTTGAATTAAATCAGATGAAGATTCTGGTGTCAATTCAGAATTTTCTAATTGTTAATAGCAAAAACCCTTTAAAAATTAATAAATAATTTATAGCAAATATTTTATTAATAATTATTTCATAATAATTTTTTTTCTAATTGATCAATTTCATTTTGAATTAAAGTGAAAGTTGACTGCAAAGAACTAAGCTGAGTAGGATCAAATTCCATAAAAATCCCTTTCAGATGAAACCCAGAAACTTCCAAAAGTCGTCTTATCATTCGATTTGGGGACAAATTATTCTTATAGTCTTCATTTGTCATGTTAATCTTATTTCTTTGTGGATTCGCTGGACTTGTTAAAATATTTTGGAAATAAAACTAATTTTTTTTTACTTTTAATGTATTTAGCGCAGATAAGGTTTTGTCAAGGGAATTGAATTGTGATACAAATTGATTAAAAACTTGGCAGTTTTCGGTTGAATTATTTAATGAGTTTGCTATTATATAGGTTTATGAATAAAATTATTACGTCAGTAGGCTAGTAAATTATTTATTAGTAATAAATTAACTGGCCGAATATTTCTGAGAAAAATAATCGTGATAGCTTTTCCTGTGTATCTTTAAGATTCTCAATAGAATTCTTTAAGGAAGCAATCTGCTTGCTTAAATTTTCAAATGCTTCTGTATGCTTGTTAATTAGCCTTTCTATTTTATTATCATTTCTTTGGCCTTCTAATAAAGCCATGTCCAGCTCATATTTCCTCTGCTCAAAAGTAGAAAAGCTATTAACTCGTTCGAGCTGCCCAACTTTACTTTTTTTGTTTTTGTTTTCACGTTTATTCTATACTGGAATATATTAAATTATTTATTTAATTTTAAAAGAAAATCTATATTTCAATTGGAGAATACTAGAATTTATATTAAATTAAATCACTATAAATGATCTTTACAAGTATCATCGCACTTCCTATTGCACCAATAATTCCAGCTCCTAAGGTTCTGACCCAACCCCAGTTGCTTTTTGTAGCAATTTGTTGAGGTGGATCTAAAGGAGTGCCTAAATCCTGTGTTGGCTCAAAATATTTGGTGAATTCTTCTCCTTCATTAAACTTTTTTAAAACTTTATCAAGTTCTTCAGGTGTCAGCTTGGTTTTTAAAAATTCAATTTTTTTGTCTAATGGCATTTTCGCGACTAATTTGAAATTACCTTTAGGATTTTTTAAAAATAAGAGACCTTTTTGGATTTTGTGTTCAGACATTATAATATGGTCTTGATTATTATTAATTTCATTAATTCTCGATAATTTAATAGGTCTTTTAATAAAATAATGTCTTATATATACTTTTATATCTAATTTTTAATAATTATAACAAATTAAAGGCAAAATTAGCCTGATATATAAAAAAGGATACTAATTAATTTTCAAAAGCCACTGTATAAAATGGGAGCTTTTCAGCGATTAATTCTCCAGTCACGTCTAAAAATAACAGTCCATGGTGATTCATCCTAGACAAAAATTTATCAACTGTGATCCCATCTTGGTTTCTCGCGACTTTATCCACAAAAAATTTGCTTATCTGTTGTCTTTTAGTGCTAGTTCCAAATGCATGGTTTACGAAAATGCTTAAATTATCTGCATCTCCATTTCGTGGGATAACTAAAGGTGCGACTTGTTGGACTATACAGTCTTCATATGCTCGGATTTCTACAAATGCAGTTTCATTATGGCTTCCTGGGAAAACTTCTATAACTATCTGTTAGGCTTTCTCCATATTTAAATAATTTATATATCTCTTTTTGAGTATCAGGATAGTCTTTAAGCAATTTTCAGCAAGCTTTATATATATTTTTACAGTATAAATAAATTTTTTCATTATGATAATCATCTTTATCCCACAACACCTTATAGAAAACTGTAATAAAGTGCTCAATTGCCTCAATCCTAGCTGAATACAGTTCTGGGCTTTCAATCAAATTTTTTATATGTAAATCACCAACCCCATTCGGCTGATTTAAATAGGTCAATAAACTGCTTTGTAGCCCTTCCCTAGGATTTGTGATATCAATTCCTTCAACGCCTATCTGTTTTTCTACGCTTCCTACAGCGTCATCATCTGTGCACCAATAAAAGTACTCTTGGTCCATCCAATCCAAATATTCCAAAAAATAAACCCTTATAGAGTCTTCGTCCACCCTTTTCCCAGACATATCTTCATATACTAATAAAGCCAAAGCAAATTCTCCAAAATCCCCACCAGGAGCGCCTAAAGAGCCTTCAGTGATTCTTCCGTCAAGACATCGAAAAGAGCTGTCAAGGACATTTACCCATTCATAGGTTTCTGAGCTGAATTTTTCTTCAAGATCGTCCAAAGTCGCCCCTTCACCTTCACGTTCTTGTGTAATCACGATATTTGTGGGTGCGCATTTTACTGTTTGTTCCGTGGCTAGTTCAGGGTCTGTGCAATCACATATTGTTTGGTATTCGACGCCATTTACAGTCATTGAACTTTCAAAATCTTTGCCTGATACTTGGCTTGCGGAAAGCTCGATTTCTAGTTCTTCATTTAAAGTTAAAGTTCCGAATGCTACATGTAAGAAAAATATTAGGAGCATTTTATTAGGCGTTATTTTTATTTAGATAGGGAAGATAGAGGAGATTTTGAAAATTAAGAGAATGCTGAGAATGTGGAAAAATAGATAGAAAATAATAAAAATTAAGTGCTTATAGAGTAAGTATAATAAAATATCGTTCAAAAATGTGCAGGCTGTAAGAATATTTAATTTTAAGCTTTAAATCAATTTTTTGTGAATACCAAAATAATTTATATAAAATTTTAAATTGAAAAGCTTGGCAATGCATGTTTATCTATATATTGTATCATAATAAATTTTATATTATTGAGCATTATTGACTTAAGCATTTGTCTTTTATAAGCAATATATAAAATTTGATTTCATCAATTAAGAACCACATTGCATTATATTCGCAAGCTATTCTTCAAATATTCATCAAGATTAAGCTATCTCTCATGAATTATTTAAAACCTTATATCTTTGCAATTTTCTTATATTAGCTAAAATGTCTGATTGATTTGAAGAGAATAAACATAAGCTGACACCTGAAGAGCGAGAACAAATTGAAAGTTGAGATAGATGGAAATCTAATATGAGTATGATCGGCTGTGGAGTTAGTTTAGTAGCAAATTTTTTTATTTTCAAGAATAAGCAATTCATGAATTTTTGTTTACAATCGACACCAGGAAAAATAAACTTGCTGCTTATAGGTCTGACCCCTGTATGAGCTGGATATTATTGCTCAGTTCCTGCAAAAAAAGAAAAAAATAAACTTATAGCAGAACTAACTGAAAAATATAGTCCTGAAATACCTCAAGAGCCAAAAAGCCAACTTACTAACTAAAACGCTTATAATTTGCTTAATTGAATTCAGCATTATTTTAATATAAAAATTTTATTATTTCATAGTCCATCTCCAGTATATATTTAAATTTCTCTAAATTTAGAGCTAGCTATTCACAAATATGTTTTATAAAATTTCTCTGTTTCCTATGCAGAAATAAAATGGTGCTAACGGATATTGGTCTCCGAGGTATAATCCCTATGGAACAAGTAGGACAAATCCTGGTGAAGCTGAAAGCAGGGCCTCTGTCCATTTTGAAGTAGGCCTTCAGTTGCAGAATAGGGAAGGGAAGTTTTGTTTCTCTCCAGAAGATTTTCTTGTCCCTGCCAGGTGGGCTAGACAGTTATTCCTCTCGCATAGTCTTCGTCTATCAGGACTATCGGGATACCCTACAGAGGAGATGGGTCTAGCCTAGTGAGCTAATCCTTAGGTTAGGCGAGTCTCTCCAGAAAATTCAAGAGCATGGAGCCTTATACCATTTGCACTCAAGTGCATATGCACCTGCGCCACTTTGCCTGGAGTCAAGGTAACCCAGTTAGTGAGGACCCTGCTTATGGCGGTGTAAAATCTTAATCTGCTTCCTATCCCAAATACTTATTTAATTTCTGCATTTAATCCAAACGATAAATTTATCTCGACATATAATACTTAATAGTTACAGTTATATATGGACGTCAAGGCCAAAACATATGATGATCTAAAAATTAAACTTTCAGGACTTACTATAGAAGAGCTAAAGCACAGATTAGAGCTAGTAGTAGCAGATATTAAAAACTTAGAAGACGAGCTTAAGCAGAGAGAAGATTTATTAAAGTTCATTGATGACTTGATAAAGCAAAAAAGGAGAAAACTTTGCCATAAATAATGTAAAAATCCTTTCAAAAACAAATAAAATATTTTTTTATTTTTTAAAATAATTATTTTAATGTAAAAATTAATTTCCACCTTTCAAAATGAATTTATTCATTTAAATTAACTCCGCTATGCAATTTTAGAACCGATTTGTTTACTTTTTGGTTTTTTCTTTAAACCTCCAGCCTTAGCCTTTACTTTAGGAGCTTTAGGGATTTCAACTGGCTTAGGCTGGCTCATCATTTGAGAAAGCTCAGGAGAGCTAGGTCTTGGTCTTTTTAAGCTGACTTTAGGTTCTAATCCAGCGATTCCTCGAAACACCAAATCAGTAATATTTGTTCGCCTCTCGTCTGGAGTGTTTTTCAGTATGATTTCTCCTCTCAGCTGTGCTTGAGCTATTGGATATTCTATTTGAAGACATAGATCACGGTCTCTAATTGTTGCTAAAATCGGCTTATTTGCTAAAGCTGTCGCTAGTAAGTCAAAATAAACACGCCAATTTTTCTGGGTTACCCCAATAGTGTCTTGATGATGATTAAATTCGTGGATTCCTCATATGCATTCCCAGTAGTTTTGTTTTACATCTGTAGCTGCTATTTCTAGCTTGTAATCTGATGGGTCTGGCTTTACTCTGCAAACTATTAATATGTTGGTAGTAGCTACAAATCCAGTTGTGGCATAACCATCAAGAGATATGATGTTCTGTTGAAATTCGGGGATTCCTTGCATAAATGGAAAATTGTAATTAGATAGAAATGAATAGGATTTTTATATTTTAAGTTATTTATTATAATTTTGGCTTTTCTTAATATTCTAAAAAATATATCATAGTTAATAATAAAAAATTAAATTAAATTATCTATTGCTTACTCCCTTATTGATAAATATTTAAAATTCCCAGTTTGCTGGAAATATTATAATATTCAAACAAGGAAATTTATTGTAAAAAGTGTTTAAATATTATTTTAAATAAAAAAAATTGATGCATTTTTGGAAGGAGAAAATTAATTTTCCTTATCATAGAGAGAGTTAATAATTTATTTGAGCAAAATAAGAGAATTCTCTTAAAATTTAAAATAAATACTAAATAACCTAAAAATAGTAATCAAATCCAAAATTATTATGCATTAATTTTCATATTAAAAATTCCCGCCTATTAAAATGAACCATGATTCAAATTACATTGAGAGCTTGGCAACCCAGCTGAACTTAGACACCCAAACAATACAAATTGCATTAAAAATTTCCAAAGAATTCAACCAAAACAGCCAGAAAATTGAGTTTTTCGACTCATATTTGTCAAGAGCTTCAATCTTTTTAGCAATGAGAATTAACCCAGAAAAAATCAAAGTTTCGTTATATAGGCTCGCAAAAGGAGTTGATGAAACTGCTGATTTTATTGCATTTTTAAAAGATTTCTTAAAATCAACGAACGCAGCTAATGATATTCTTATTGAAGTTGACAAATTTTGGTTTTTTAAAATTTTCTATTATTTTTATATAAAATAAATAATAATTTATTTATAAAACAAATCATCGATACAAATTTTCCTTCACAGCCAGCGTATTCAGAAAATTCCAAGAAATTTGGGGACAGCTTGAACTTAATGAGCAGCAAGGGCACTTCGGCGTCGTCGGAATGATAAAAGAATTCGCTTGGATGCTAGTTTCCTTAGGAAGACTCATGCTTATAACTAATCCCTACGACATTGTCGAGACTGCATGCCTTATGATAGGTGTCCTTTATTTCATTTTGACAAACCTCCCATCCACAGTCACATATGCATGCCCAAACTCTTCTCTTATTAACTATCTTGCCTCTCTCTTAAGCGGAGACGAAGAACAAGGCACAGACTCCGCTTTGACTGTCTTAAATTTAATCCAAAACCTAAAAAAACAAGAAATTCTCCGAGGAAATGTCGATGAGACTGAGAACTTAGAAGGCATTTTTTCCGCTTGTCACCTTAATCACAATTTGCAAAATTTATCAAAATTCTATGAAAATGAAAGCCGCTCCAGAATAGACGATCGAGAATTCATCCAAAAGCACAAAGCTAGCACCCCTGTAAAGCAGCTTCCTAAAATCTTGAGGAATAAAACCTTAAATTACCAAACAGTTAACTCAAAAAGACTTATAGCGTGGGATAACGATAATGAAGATATTTCATTAAAAAGCCAATTAGAAAGCATAAAAAGGCTGCCACCGATGTCTCCGTTTCAGATGGCGACTCCTATGAGCATGGCTATGGAAATGAGCAGCTGGCTCAGAGATATTACTAAAAAAGTCTCTGTTGATAATTTGCCGACTAAGCTTGCTGAATATTTAGCAAATACGGAAATTCAAATTTCTCAAAAAGTCAATGAGTATAGGAATAAATTGGCACTTTTCTATGACGAAACACAGAATTGCCCTGATATTAGTAAATTATGGTGCTTTGTTTTAATTTGCTGAGGATTTTCACCTTTGAAAGCTCACCAGTGCTGGTGGGGAGTTACTTAGGTTACCTCAGATTTGAATTGCTTCAGGGCTCTGCTCGATAAGGACCTGGAGTCTAGGACGTAAACCCGATTTCATGCTGAGCAACTGCTGTCTTCAGGGTCTTTAATTCAAGTAGGGATCGTACCTAATTTCAGGACAGCGCCGACTGTGCTATTTAAAACTCCATGTCACGAGGAAAAATCCCATTTCCGAGGTATCATACCCTGCAGCACAAGAAAAGCTTCTGCCCAAATAAATTAAGGGATGCCGTGCCTATTTTCTCGACTTGGTTCGTCCTCCTAGACATTGCCTGCAGGTGTTGAGGAAATTGCGTCAAGAGGTCGTTTGTCTCCTCCATATTAATTTATATGCCCTGATATTATAATGGAGTATATGTCTTCTTCAAAACCCAATCAAAAGGTAGAAATCACGATAAGCTTATATTTGAAGTCCATTGATGGAATGCTAACAAATGAAGAAAAACGGCTGACTTCAAGAAACTTTGGGGTTTTACTCAACAATGACTCTTTCCACCAAACCGCTTTGGCTTGCAGCATTATTTCAGTGATTTTTTTGCATTCGCTTACCCATATAACTTTCCCCCAAGTTTTAAGCTTCTGTCAAATCGCTGGATTTGAGTTTTGGAAGCTCATCAATAGCTTCGCACAATTTGACGTAAAATTCCCAATTCCTCTGAAAAGGCATTTCAAAGAAATTGAGGTCAAAATTTTATCAGAGCTTGCCTGGGAACAAAACAGCCCAATTTTTCAGTATTTAAAAGAATATATTGGAGAAATCCATTCTCCTATCCCTGAAGCCCTCGACGAAAGCGAATCTTCTGACATCACCCCAAAATCCCCAAATAACGGCATTTTTTCCGTTTTTTTCAGACGTGTTTTATCCCATTCCGCTCACCGAGTGCTAGAATTAACAGAAATTTTAGGAATTAATGACGAAATCAGAGAACATATTTGGGATATTTTAAAAATCGCCTTATCCGAGCATACAGAAATTCTGCTAAATAGGCATTTAGACACGTTAATTCTGTGCTGTGTATATTCAGTTTGTAAGCTCCATAGCCCAATTGAATTTAAAAGCCTAATTGAACAATACACAGGAATATATGGCGATAATCAGAAAATATATAAAGATATATACCAAGCTGGAGATATTATAAGATTTTATAATAAATGCTTCATACCAAGCTTCAAAGTGTTTTTGACAGGATTAAATCCAATTAAACCAAGAATTGCAGCGCTGAACCCGACGAGTCCGCTGAGAGCAAATTTGCCCTCGCCTTTGCAATATTATTCACCTTTAGGGTCACCTGGGATGGGGTGCTCGCCGAGATCGAATTATTTGACGCCCAGGACAAGAAAACTGTATGCTTTTAATGAGTCAAGTGATATTAAGCCAGGAATTATCCCCAAGTCAGGAAGATTGATATCTTTTGATGATGAAAACTCAACAAGAGCTGCCCAACTTGAAGAAATTCCAGAAAATATATAAAATGCCTATTTGAGAGGTTTTAAATAAATTAATTATTTTCTCTAGTATCAAAGGATTTAACCTGTATAAAAGATATAAGTTAAATTGATTATTTATTATAAGGATTTTATTAATATTATTGGAATTGCTATACCAAAGAAGCCGCTAGAAATAAATTTCATATAGAATGCTGATAGTATTGTTTATTGGTATTAAATATAATTAAAATAATCAAATTAAGCTTAATCGAAAAAACAGGCAAAGTATTGCCAAAAATTAAGCCACAGTTATAAATAAGTTTTTGAAAATGGACTCACTTATGGCCATGACTTGTGCAAAATGCGGAAGACAGCCTTCAGATATGTTAATTCTTACGTGCGATCATAATCTTTGCTTGTTGTGCTCAGCTAGAAATATTCTCAAAGATTATTCTAAAGAAAATGAGCCTTTTTATGTATTTTCCATGTAGAAAGTTGCTTGTGATATATGCCGTTCCTCAACTATCCTAGACCCTTCAAGCGCGAATGAGCTTCTCAAGCTTAATTTAGAAGAGCCAAAAGACTCAGAACTTGATGAAGGAGACTTAACCACTTCTGATCAATACAAACAAAATTGGGAGCCTCCTCAAGAATACTGCAAAGATCACCCAGACGAAGTTCCTAATTATTATTGTTTTGAGTGTGAATCAGAATGCATCTGCTCAGAATGTGCAATTCATGGTCTGCATAAAGGCCACGAAGTTATGAGAGTAAAAACAGCATTTCCTATCATAAAAGGAAAAGTTGAAGACATGCTCCTTCTCCTTTCCAATAAGCAAGATGAGCTTCAAAACCTTGAAGAAAAAATAGAGCAACGGAAAAAAGAAACATTAGACCAATCTCATACAGCCAAACAACAAATAAAGCACGCTTTTGAAGACTTAAGAGCAAGATTGGATAAAAAAGAAAAAGAATTAACATCTCAAGCTGACAGATTTTTAGAAGAAAATTTAAAAGAATTAGATGCCATAAGTCGCGCTTTAGCCTCAAAAGTTACATCTATTGGGGAACTATACAGCAATGTCTCAAAAATACTACAGCAGGCCAATAGCAGAGAATTAATTGACTTTTATGCAGAAAGCAAAGAAAAATTGTTCTTAAAGGTAGAAGCTGAGACTTCTCAACTGCAAAACTATGATAGGACTGTCAGTATGAAGTGCTTTATTAGCCCACAGTCTGTAGCAGACCATATAGAGTCATTAAAAGGTTTGCAGCTTCAGATATCAAGCATGAAGGGGACAGAGAGCAAAGACATTGACAGACAAAAATTCCCAGAGAGAAATAAAATACCAAGAAATTATAGAGATTAAAATTATTTAAAAAATAAGCTACCAGTCTAATTTAGTATGAGAGCCATCGCAATAAGGCTTGTTTTTGGTAGATTTGCAGCCGCAGAGATGATAAAGCTTAGTCTCATTAACCACTACTTCAATTGGGGCAAAAGAGGTATCAATATGAGAACCATCACAAAATGGCTGCGTTTTTGACCTTCCACAGTCACAGTAATGGTAGGTTTTTCCTTCTTCCAAAGTAACTTCATAAGGGAATTTTTGGGGTTTTACTCTCTCTTGGGGAGCGCAGTATTTCCTTATGACTTCTTGCCAGCATTTTATAAGGTTTTCTAGTCCTTCTCTTGTGTCTATTTAGAAATTACTTATATCTTCATGCCCTTCTGCATCAAAAACGTGAGCGAAATCAATAAATCGAGCTTGGGCTTTGTCAGTGCCGTTTACATATAAAACAGAAGCAGTGAAAAATAGCTTAGACCGCTGCCTTGTAAACCAGTTTAATATTTCTTGGGTTTGCTTTATTAGGAGCTCTACTCTGTCAAGCTGAAAAGTTTCTCCTCTGTGAACAATTTTTGCCAGCTGCTCATGAATATTTTCGGTAAAAATTAAATATAAAAAAATTATTTTTAAAAAAAAAAAATAAAAAAATTTTAGAAGTATGCTAAATTTATTTGAATTTGCAAAAAAAAGGTTTCTAAAAAATGTATTTTTAATTAAAAAAAAATCAAAATATTCAATAAAAAGAAAAATAAAAAATATTTTCTGGGGTTATATTGAAATATCCACCATCTTTGCTCCAGGATTCTATTTTATTCCCATATTCATCTTTGGTTATCAAGCCAGAAATCCTGAAGCCTAGAGATCCAGTTGTGGTAGTCCTTGCTTTTTCTTGCTGTTTTCTAGTTTTTACTTCATTATGGTCTTTAGTCCAGGTGACTTTTCCTATTTTGCAGTCTAATACATTAGGGTGCTCATACCCAAATAGCACATTTTCAAGGACAATATAATTTTTGTTATTTATTATTTCCACTCCATAATAATATGGCACAAATTTACGGAATTCGATTAATTCAGTATTTTCTAGCTGTGGGTCAAACAGCGCGCTATAAAACCCAATTTCAGCAGGATGGGCTTTTTTAAGCAGCTTATTTCCTCTAAAAATCAAGCTGCCTTCATGCCCGCCTGCTTGATCACCTGAAGCTACAGGCTGTGGCATTGGATTTTTTAGTTTTTCCCAAATTTTCACACAATTTTCCAGCCCTTCAATAACATTATTATCAATTTCTCCATTCGCCTCAATTGCATGTGCAAAATCAATATACCTCACCTGATGTTTATTATTTTTCCCACTGACATAAAATACTGAGCTTGCTACAAAATGCTTTGTTTTTTGCCTTTTAAACCAGTATAATATTTCTATTGTCCCTCTAATAAAAATATCGATAGCTTCATAATTGATTTTTCCGTCATGGGTCACGATTTTTGCGAACTGCTCATGTATATTTCCTTCATTAATGCCAAAAAAGCCTTCTTTTTTGGCCCAAGCTTCGAGTTTTTTGCCATGGGAATCTTTGGTAACGATTCCTGAAATTCTGAAGCCTAAAGAGCCAGTTGTGGTGGTTTTATTTTTGGCTTCTTGATGGGCTTTGGTTTCTTCAGTATGGTGAGGTGTCCATGTAATCCTTCCAAGCTTGCAGTCCATGATATTTGGATAATCATATCCTGTAAGCAAATTTTCCATTGAAATGTAGCGCTCGTTATTTCGCTCTTCAATTCCGTAGAAACTTGGGGCGAATTTTCTGAGCTCAATTATTCTTTTTTGATATGAATTTGGGTAAATATATGGAGGAAAATAAAAAGTTAATATTTAATTTAAAAAAAAATATATCTTGGTCTGTTTGGTCTGGGCTATAGAGATATTGAAAGAAATCGATTTCGCCTTTTTTGGCTTTTTTAAGAAGTCGGTTGCCTTCAAAGATGAGGGTCCCTGCATGGCCACCTGCTTGGCCTTCTTCAGTTGTTTTAGTTTCTGGCTGATTAGTAGGCTTTTCTCCTTCACCTCCATTTGTAATGTCGTGCTTATTTTCTTCATGTTTTTCCTCAACTTTTTTGGTTTCCTCTTTCGGTTTCTTTGATCCTCCACAGCCCATTATATATTATGATGCAGAAAATAACAATGGAGAATTCTTATACTAAAATATTTCTAATATAAAATTTTCGTTGGGTGTTATTTTCATTAATTTCTGAAAGCCTTTTTCGTTTATAAATGGCAAAACTTGAAAGTTTTGATCGTATAACTAAGCTTCAAGAAGATTTACTTGAAAAAGGCTACTGTTTTAACCAAATTGCGGCGATTTCACTATATGCAAAGGCAGCTGATGACTTGAAAACTAAATCTTCAATCAGACAGATACCTAGTGACAACCATATTCCAATTACAATCGGCTCAGTTTACTTTAGCTACTCTATTCCCCAGTTTTTATTTAAGCAAGAAATATTTACGTCTAAGTTCTTCAAGTCTTTTGTCGAATACACTAATCCAAAATACCCAAATTCCACGCTTCAATTTGAGCTTGACCATAATGCTGGGGAAAATATTTTTTATTTATTAAAAAATATTATTTATGTTTTTTACCTAAAAAATATAATAAGATGCTGATCAATAAAATGTATATATATTTCTGACGGATTTCCAATGCAATTTTTTATAAATATCCTTAATGCAGATTCCCATTCACAAAAAAAATCAATCTCCATAGAGCAGATCACTGAAAAGCACAGGACTAAATTTTCTATTACTGATTATCCTTCTCTAAACATAAGTACTGTAGCAAAACATAAAAATTTTGGCTGCGGGCTAGAGCTTGCGTTAGGACTCCGCTCCTTACGATTTATAACCTATAATGCAGCATTATTTTGGTCAAATGACCGTCATAGAATAGGAATAAAGCATATAAGCACTGACAAAAAAGAATATTCACTAGGAAATTTAGTATGCTCAATGTATTATGATTTCAAAAAAGACTTAAAATTAGGCTCTTCCTTCATCTATACAAGTGAAAAAACTGTAGAGGTAAAATTTGGCTGTCAATATAGGTTTAGTCCTGATTTAATTATAAAAACTCGAGGAGACAGTGAAGGAGCATTAGGGATTGTGCTGAGAAATAGGATAAACGAGTATTTAACTGTTGTAAGTGCGTCGCAGTTTAATGTGAAATCGCTATCACAAAATAGAAGTCCGAAGATGGATTTTAGTTTTAAAGTCAAAATAAATGAGTAAATAAGATATTATAGATTGATAATAATTATATTAATTATTTAGAAAGTAGTAGGTATTTAAATTAATAAATTTTTTTAGAGACTATATAATGATGGTTGCACCATTGGCTGATTCTTCTTGGAATGACTCATATATTTGTCTAACAGCTTCAATTGAACCGATTTCTTCTCTCCATTGTAAATAATGCAGGATAAATAATGAGTATATTTTCTTTCATTATTTTTATAAATAAATTATAAGCACAATATTTCAATTCTAAATACATTAATTAGCATTTTAATCAAAAAATTAAGTTTTGCTTTTCATGTTTAAGGAAAACAATATTTTAATAAAGAAATAAACGCAGCCGAATTATTTATTATTCCATAATGCTAAAAACATTGCTTCCCGCCAAGCGAAAACTCCCTTTTCCAGAAACAAGTACACTTCTTAAATCTCCTTTCAGACAGCTTACACTTACTACTGAAAAACCTCCAAAATCAAATGGTAATGGCATTTTTGAAAGCCCAGAAATCCACATAGGATGCTGAAATGTAAATGGTCTCCGAGCATGCTTAAAAAAGCAGACTTTTCTCGATTTTTTAGCCCAGGACCGCTTTGATATTTTTTGTTTTAATGAAACAAAGCTTCAGGAATCTATGACGACCGATTTAAAGGATAATTTTCCTCAATATAAATATCAATATTGGTCATGCAGCCGTGTCAAAAAAGGATATTCAGGAGTAGCGATTTTAAGCAAAATTGAGCCTATTAGTGTGAAGCCAGGGATTGATAAAAGAAAACATGATGATGAAGGAAGAGTGCTTACAGCTGAGTATGAAACTTTTTATTTAGTATGCTCTTACATACCAAATGCAGGTGAAGGGCTTGTTCGGCTTCAATATCGAGTTGAAGAATGGGACAAAGACCTAAAAGAGTACCTTAAAAACTTAGAAAAAACAGGAAAAAGTGTCATTTGAATAGGTGATCTAAATGTTGTGCATCAAGAACTTGATATACATAGCTTTAAAGGCAATGAAAAATGTCCAGGCTGCACAATTGAAGAGAGAAGTTCTTTTTCAGCAACTTTAAATGACGGCTTGGTTGATACTTTTAGATCGCTTTACCCAAATGTGAGGAAATATACATGGTTTAGCCAAAGACGAACTGATTCAAGAATAAAAAATAGAGGATGGAGGCTTGACTATGCAATTGTAAGTGCAAATTTTTTGCCTAGGGTAAAAGATCATATAATATATGACACCATCATGGGAAGCGACCATCACCCAATTGAATTAATTATATCAAACAATAAAATATAATAAATTTGCATTTCAGGTATAAATAAAAATCTTTTTATCGGACTATATCCAAATAATTGTAAGTTTAAGAAAAAAATGTGTCAAATAACGAATTATGACTCATTTTTCATAATAAAATTATTTTAATCGAGAATTCCCTTTTATTTATTTTATAGGAGTTTCTTTTAAAGCCCCTTCTGATTCTTTTTGAACTACATGCTCAGCTTCAATAGGTTTTGGCAAATATCGTATTAATAAGGAATACGATAATGCCATGATTGGCAAAATAATTGCTAAAATTAAGCCAAGGATTGGCCCAGTAAGAGCACAAAGCTTAGGCGGCGAGTCATCGTCACTTTCACTTGTACAGTCACCACTAAAATTTGCTTTGGCTAAAACCATCCAGCTTATAAATGCGATTTCATGAGAAATCCACGCAACTTGTGCAAACCAAAACGCTGGGACTGGCTTGATTTTGTTAGTTTTTAATGCAGATCTCAGTGAAATAATCCATATGACAATTGCGCAGACTGTGATTACTCCTAAAACTATATAAATCAGTTCGCTGATCCAGAGTTGTGCAAACATTTCGCACCACGTCGATTCTTCATCAGGCACGTCTTGAGACTTTTCAGTGGTGCTACAGAAAGCTGTGAACATTTCATAGTATGAGCTGCCTTGCAAAGCCCTCAAACCTTTATGAACTTTGGTCAAAGACCCTGTCCATTTCAAGTCCCCATATACACCAGAGACATTAAGCTTTACCCAGTTGTCCGACCAGAGAGCCCAAGCTATGATTCCGATAGTAGCCAGCTGAAAGCCTTGAAACATAACCCACCATAAATTCGAAAATTTGTTGAATGCTAAACTTTTCATTATGATAATTATTATTACTCCTCATTAAATTGAGAGTCAATAAAATTTAAGAATATTCGTTACAAAATTTGCTTACTCTCCCCCTCCATGAGCGAACAAAACCATTAGAAAAATCCCTATTTTTTGCCCGAAAACCCACCTTCCGTGAGCGAACAAAATTTTTTTAATAGAAAAATTTTGATATATAAACGATAACTAATATCATGAAATCTCTAGCTAATTGCTTTTTAAAAACATAATTTTTACAAATTAAATTAATATTTGCCTTCCAATTTTTAGTGGGATTTTTTTAAATTCCGAAAAAAGATTAACCCCTCTCCACGGAGGAGGGAGCTATTAAGTAAAATGTCCCGTAAATTGTCCAGCTAATTTTAAAACTAAGAAGATCTCTTTGATTGAATAAAATTGAAGAGAACGAGCTTTTATCTTTTGGAATTATAGATTAGTAGGATTGTTAAAAAATACTGCAGTTAATTAAGATTTATATTGAAATTGGAGTTTAAAAAAATTATGAATTAGGAAAAGTAAGATTTTTTGAATGAACTGAGAATATCGCAGCTAATTTAGAGCTATATAGTGGATTATCCAAATTGTAATTGTAAAATATAAATATTAGAATTAAAAATGGTGAAGGTTGAGCTACAAAAATAATGATCTATTGATTACTTTCCATATTGGGGTTAAATCCTAATCTTTGCATTTTCTTCTTATATTTAAAGTGTATTTTTATAAGATTTGTTAAAAGAGTAAAATAAGTATTGATTATTCAAATGTTTTAAGTACTTATTACTCTTATAAAAAAATTAAATTAAACGGTTAAGCTGGAATAAGTGGATACCCACTAGCCTTTGCCCTATCTTGGCTCCAAAGTAGCAGCCTCCATATACCTCAGAGTTCAATTGAGGAAAATGGAAGGCCACCATCTTGAATTTTTGACCTCAAACTTGTCCAGGAATTAACTTTCCTCGCAGAGCCACCATCTGTAGGTTGCCCCGCTGGTCCTGATAGAGAAGGACCAGGCAATAGGAAAACCTGTCTAGCCCATCTGGCAGGGACAGGAAAACTTTCAGGGAGAGAAAAACAAACACCCTATTTCGGTAGACTTCTGATAGAGATGGTCTTATTCGCTCACAAGGAGCACACTTTAGCGACCCATCCACCGTTCCATTAGGAGGTGCGCCTAGGAGTCCTATTTCTGTCAACATCACCATTTTATTTTGTTAACTCTAATAAGGAATTTTCATTGAAGTGTGATTTTAATTGAATTTCCATAAATGCATTATTTAAATTAATAATTCAATTCAAGAAATTGACTACTATTGAATATGAAATTTAAAAAACTTGGCAAGTATAAGCAAAGTAGCAGAGCCTGCGATATGGAAAAGCTCAAATAGAGATTCTCAATACTTTATGGCTATAGTCATCATGGAAATTTAGATTTAAAAAGATCATTTATGTGATAATGCCATTCACGTGAATAAGATTAAATTTATGGTTTAAATTCTGAAAAATATCGTAAAGATTTAGTTAATTCAAAAATAATAAAAGCAACTCTAAATCCCACAGCAGATCGCCTCTTAAAGAAAATTTTTTTGCTTTTAAAGCAGCGTTGCAGAGAGTAATAAAGATCTAAATAGAATTCCCTCGAATGATATTAAAAAGCTTCTCCTTTTCAAAGTTTACTTTTTGTTTAATGGATAAAACCAAGATAATGATCCCGATTAAGAAGAAAATATGTGACTTTTTAATTGATTTCGAAATTTACTAAAAAATTGCCTAATATAAGGATTCCTTTATACTTATTCATTTACTTTTTTAGTAGTTGAGATGCCTTCATAAGAAAAATATCAAAATTTTAATGAGCAATACAGTTATATTCTTCTCTCTTTAAAAATCAAAAATATTTTAATTGTGTCTGCTAATTTTCCAATATATTAGCTCAAAAATATCAATTGTGAATTAAATTCAGCTTCTGACAGCTTTAATTGCTAATGAATATGGTTTCTGGCGATTTTTTTTTATTTACTGACAAGATTACTTTTATTTACAATTTTCTTACTTTAAGCAACAATTACTTTTAAAGCTCCATCTGATTCTTTTTGAACTACATGCTCACAATCAATTGCTTTTGGTAAATATCGCACCAATAAGGAATATGATAGTGACATGATTGGTAGCATAATTGCTAAAATTAAGCCAAGGATTGGCCCAGTAAGAGCACAAAGCTTAGGTGGTGAGGCATCGTCACTTTCACTTGTACAGTCACCACTAAAATTTGCTTTGGCTAAAACCATCCAGCTTATAAATGCGATTTCATGAGAAATCCATGCAACTTGTGCAAACCAAAACGCTGGGACTGGCTTGATTTTGTTAGTTTTTAATGCAGATCTCAGTGAAATAATCCATATGAGCACTGCGCAAATAGTGATTATTTCTAAAGTTATGTAAACCAATTCACTGATCCAAAGCTGTGCAAACATTTCGCACCAAGTCATTTCTTCGTCAGGAACATCTTGAGACTTTTGAGTTGTGCTGCAAAAAGCTATAAACATATCAAAGTAAGAGCTGCCTTCTAAAGCCCTTAAGCCCTTACGAACTTTTGTTAAGGTTCCTGTTCATTTCAAGTCCCCGTATACGCCAGAGATATTAAGCTCTACCCAATTGTCTGACAAGAGGGCCCAAGCCATGATTCCGATAGTAGTGAGCTGAAAGCCCTGGAACATTACCCAACATAGATTTGAAATTTTGCTGAATGCTAAACTTTTCATTTATTATTATTATCCTTTTATCATTAATACGCCGCATTGATGCTTAAATCGATATATTATTATAGGCTATCTAGCGTCTTCTCATTAATTTTAAAAATTAATAAAAGACTCAACTCGTTACAAAATTTGCCTAATAATTAAAATGTTCCGTAAATTGTCCAGCTAATTTTTAGCACTAATAAGATCTTAATCCATTAAGTAAAATTGAAATTAAGCTGCAGCTATTTAAAAGAAATGAAAAGGGAGTATGATAAGAAAAATGACATGGCGAAAGAGCAGCAAATTAAGATAAATGGGGTGCAAATTATAAAATGATAAATAGCTCAAAGGAATAAGCGCAGCTTTGATTAAAGAAATAGAAAAGCAAATATCATTTTGAATGCCGATATATTTTCAAAATAAACGAAATCTTCATGATTATTTTAATATAGTCCGTTGCCTTAAGTTGCTTATAATTTTATCCAATTTAGCTTTCACCTTCATTGCAAAAAATTAGCATACCATACGGTGAAAATATGCTAAAAATTTGCTTGCAAACTATAAAATGAAAGAATGAAAAATGGCTCAAATCAAATTTTAAAAAAATTGCCTATATCAGGCATCAACTTTGAGTTAAAATAATAATTTTTTAAAGCTAAGTCATTTTTTTTAATAGTTAGAAATTCTGATAATTATTTAAGAGCAAAATAATTTATCTCTTAAAGAATTCGATAGCTATTATTTAGAATTTAATTATATTTTATCTAAATTTTTAATGCTAGATCCTCATTATGACTTTTATAAATCTCATGCAAAAATTATCTTAAAAATCTAAATTATCCAATTTTTGATAAAAAATCTATTGATAATTTAATCTATTTTTTAAACATCAGCTTCATTAAGTTTCCCTTCTGAGTCTTCTTTAATAATCCCTTTTTCCTCAACTATTTTAGGAAGAAACCGGGTTAGTAGCATATATGATATTGAAAAAATTGGTAGGACAACTGCAAGTATTAATGCAATAGTAGGTCCTTTTAAAGCGCAAAGCTCCGGTGGAGATTTTCCTTCGCTTTCTTGGTCACATTCCCCGCTAAAAGTCGCATTTGACAGTATCATCCACGTGATAAAGGCAATTTCATGCGATATACAAGATAAATATGCCCAGCATAAACCTGGGGTTTTCCAATAACTTGTATGAATTTTAAGCCTGAACCCTATTGTGTAAATTCATATAAGTATCGCGATGATTGCTACCCCTTCAAGAATATAATAAACTATTTCGCCAACCCAAAGTAACGCAAACATTTCACACCATGAAGGTTCCTTTTTAGGAATATCCTTGGACTTTTGGGTTATGCTGCAGTAAGCACTGGATAATTCTGAGTAGGTGCTGCCTTCGAGTGCCCGTAAACCCTTACGAACCGAGGTTAAAGAGCCACTCCATTTCAAATCTCCATAGAAACCAGGGATATTAAGCTCAACCCAGCTTGAAGTAAATAAGGCCCAGATCATCAGCCCAATTGCTGAGAGCTGTAAAACCTGAAAAATTACCCAGCATAAGCGAGGAATTCTGTGGTTTTTAGGGATTTTGTCCATTTATTATTTATTGGCCAGTTTTTTTGCAATTAAAAAGACCTTAGAATGAATTAATTTTAAATTTCCCACTTATCGGTAGAAAAATCCATAAATCTCGGCGATAATGATTAAATCGAATTTTGATCTTTTTTGGATAAATTTATGGTTTCCCTCTAGGCATATTTTTCAATCTAAACTTATGAGAAAATCGTAGAATAATTATTAATAACTAATCAGCATATGAAAACATGGTAAAAATTTGATTAATATTTCTTAAGAAAAACCATAGAACTAATATTTATGCTGTAAGATTTTTATCCAATTTGAGAGCTGATAAAGACAATTATTATTTATTTCATTCGTATAGATTTAAAGGAATAAAGACTTGATAGTCACTAAAACAAATAAAGATGACAAGGGTTTGCGCCAAATATAATCCTTCAAACATTTTTATTTAAGTTATATTAGCTGGAAATGAAACTATAGTTATTTGTAAGCTGCATATTCAATGCAACCTTTTTACTTGAAATTTAGCTAAAATAGTCATTTATTTACAATTAAATTGGATAAAAGATTGCATTTCAAGTATGCAAGCTTTCTTATTAAATTTAGACTTTATATTAAATAGTTTTGCAAAAGCAAGTTTTCTGTTTGTTATTTAGGCTCACTATCTGCTAAGTTTTTACTTATCTTTTTATAAAATTGGCTCAAATTCCTTTACTACTAAGGCTTCTTTCTCTTTCTAATAGAATTTTCCAATTACACAAAAACGAGAAAAATAGATATAATTAAATGGTATATTGCAATATTACTAAATGTCCTCAATGTATGCTAGGTATTAATGTAATTGTTCAAAATCACATTAAGATAATTCTCTTAAGACACAAATTTCGACTAATTGAGAAGAATAAACAATTTATATATTATAATTATAATATTAATATAATAAATAACAAACATTACAGCTGTTTTGAATTCAAATTGCATAATTTACTAAATATTAAAAATATCATGAGCAGCAATATCAAACAATCTACTTGTCTCAAAAATTTAACATAGAGATGAAGAGCAGTATAGTAAAAGCCATAAGGCCAAAAGATGTTAAATTTGTTTAATGAAAGAATAAAAAATGGCTTAAGCTACAATTTTAATATAGACTGCTTCACTAAGGAATCAATTTGGAGTTAAATTAGCAATTTTTATAAGTATTACTACAAAAGAGCCCAAGCCAGACTGGTTATATGTTTTGAGCGTTAGATGAATCACTGAGTAAATATAAAAATAAAAGGATTTGCTTCAATATAATTCTTTCAAATTTTTTATTTTATGTCATATTAGCATGAAATGGAAAAATGGTTATTAAGAAGCTGCTTATTTTTATCGAACTTTTTTCTTAAATTTATCAAAAAAAAATATATTTTTATTTTAATTAATTGACTAATAGATTATATTTTACAAGAAGCAGCTTTAATATATCTGCATAGGCAAATTTTCCTATTTCTTATTTTTATTTCACTATTTAAAAATTTTTCAAGCTATCAATAAGATAAATTCAATTTTTTTATCGAATGAAGCTTTTTCTCTCTTTCCATTATAATTTCTCTTATTCTTATAAGTTACTTTTATTTGCTTCAATTCTCATTATTCTAAATTTATCTTAATATTTAGCTATTAGAATTTATTTATTTCTATTAAATTTTTATTTTTGCGTAAATTTACTTTATCATTTTGTTTTTGAAAATTTAAAATTTTTTATTTTGAATTTTCCTTGGAGCGTTTTGTTGTATTTTATTTTAGAAAAATTGAATAAAATTTATTAGTATTTTACATTGATCAATAAGTGGGCTCAACAAGACTTTTTAATATATTTTTTGGCTTTCTTGTCATTGAAATTAATTAATACTTTTAAAATCTCATCAATCTTTATAGAAAGTTTATTAATTTCACCAAAAACATCCTAAAATAATAATAAAACAATTTTCCATTCAAAATCCAACCATTTTATTATCAAGAATCTAAATTTTAAAGAAAATACTTATGCTGATATTTGGGTATTTATGAGTTTTTGAAAAAATATTAAACAGTTAGGTATACCTTTTCTTTTAGCATAAGCTAAAAAACTTATTACATTTAAATTATCCTATTATGCAAGCAAATTTCTAATTCAGCTAAAATAATATCCCTTCAAAATTCAATTAATCTCTAAAAATTGAATTTTTATTCATGCATATGATTCCTAATTTTTATTCTAATTCACTGACCTTCATCCTTAAAAAACTCATATTTATTATGTCAAGTGATTCCTTACACAAAGAGATTAATCTATCAAACATCGAGCGTAAAATCCTTAAAAACACTTTTTACCACAATACAAATGACCTGCATCTTAAAGAAGAATCAATGAGTAACCGATCTCAATTTTCCATTTCAGGAAAATTCCAGCCCTCAATATCTCGGCCAAGCATGGAAATTTCAAGAGCAATTTCTCAAGACTCATTTCGGACTATAGAGCAGCTTTTTTCTATTGGGCTGCAAGATATTGATTTAAGCCGTTTATGCCATATTTAAGTCATCAGCCCTAGATGTTATACTGATATTTCTTTTTTTAAAAAAATTAATAGTCTATCTTACTAAATTTTCATAAAAATTAATATAATATTTCATAAGCTTTCAGGATGAGAATGATGTTGCTTTAAGACTTCAAGAAGTCATAAGAAAAGCCGCCCCAGGAGCTTTAATTACATTGCCAGCCCAAAATATTAGCCTAAACGGTCTTTTGATTACCTCCCCTATCACTATCAAAGGCACTCCAGGCTGTTCTTTAGAAATCGTGAACGGTTCAATTGTAGTCGATTTCAGCAGCCATTCCAAAGAAAGTATGATTTCTTCCCTCCCAGAAACCGCTTTAATGTGCGAGCTATCCATAATTTTCAACCTAAACGGCAAAATTGACCCATCAGGCACGTCCCCTCCTGCACTTTTTATTATGGACTCTCCCAATACAAGCCTAGAAGTTCGTGACTGTGAAATTAAAAGTATAAATCACCTAGAAAAGCCTATAGTTTCTGCAGTTGAAGACTCCTCAGAAGAGCTCCAAGACATTTGTTTCTGGGCTAATGGAATTTCTTTTAAGAGGCACGCCACAAGGATTGACCTTACTCTCCCCTATTAAATTTGAATAAAATAAGTAAAATTTTCTATTTAACTCCCTTTTAAAAATGGAAATCTTTTTTTAGCAGGGATTTTTTGTTCCAATTTAAATAGGAGTGAGCTAGATATAACAGTTCTCTTATTATAAAGTCTTGTAATATCAGCAATTTTCATGAGGTTATTAAAGGCGGCATAAACTCGTCAATTCACATCGAAAAAACGCATATAAATAATTGCTTTGGCAATGGAGTCAGTATATTAAACCCAGTTGTTTTTGAACTATATGAAAGTGTCATACAAAATTGTCAGAAAAACTCGGTTGAGATAAGAGTTATACCGAATTCAAGCTTTGGGAAAACAGGTTCACGGTCTCCGTCACTTACAAGTTCAAGAGAAATTCAGTCAAGAAATATAAGAATTGAAGGAAATGATATAAAAAATTCTGGAGCCTATGGAATTATGCTATTTCTATAAAAAATTTATTATTAAATTACCAAAAGTTCTTTATTTTCTCTAAAATTTGTATTTTTTTAAAAAATATTTATTATATATTCTGCTTTAAATAAGATTAGCATATGAAGCGAACAAGTTTCTCACTTTCCTTCCATAGTAAATATTGAAAAAAATAAAATTGAGCAGTCTTCAAAAGAAGGCTTAGCAATCCGCCATCTGGCCCTCCAAGACTTATTTATATCCTCTAACGATTTCAGCTGAAGCCAAGGAAGTGGGCTGTGGCTTCAAAAAGTATATAAATTGAGCCAAGAATCACAAATTACAGTCATGCTTAATAGATGTTTTGACTCTTGCGGAGGCTATGGCATTTACCTATATGAAGCTGGCGGGATTTTTGATAATAATGAAATGTTTAGAAACAGCTTGGGAGGGATAATGGTAGTTGGGAGCTCCAATAAAGAAGCTGAAATTGAGACAAATTTAGAAATAAAAAAATGCAAAATTTTTGGAAATGGAGAAAATGGAGTGACTGTCCTTGACTTTTATCAAGGCGGAATTGAGATTGATCAATGCAAAATTTCAGAAAATTACCATAATGGGGTTTATTTAATGCAGTCGAGAGATCAGATCTCACATGTAAAAGGAAAGGACCAGATAGCTCCGGAAAACTTGAGAGGGACTGTAGTTTTGTCTAATAATGATATTTCTATGAATAAAGGATATGGAGTTACCATTGCTATGCCTATTTAGATAAACTATAAACTGAGCAGCAGTTCCTGCATCTTATTAGTATATATGCATTTAGTCTCTTTAAATAGATAAAATTCAAAGTCCTTATTAAAAAAACAATTATTGGAGATAATACACAAGGAGCTATGCTGATTGGAGAAGGATCCAAAGAATTACTCCCCCTTGTAATTGGAATAAAAAATTCTATTCCAATTTGGGAGTCATAAAAAGTTTTAAGATTCTTAAAAATAAAAAATATAAATTGAATTATTTTTTATGAAGAATTAATCTGCTAAGTGCGCAAACTATTTAAATAGCGTCCTAATTGCATTTATTCCATTAAATTAGTTCAGAGTTATTTATATAGAGATTAATATTCTCACCTATTATTCGAATTAATATATACCCAAAAAAACGGAAATTTACTGATATTTTGTCCCAATTTAATCGGGGGGATTTAGTAACATTTTTGGATAATCCTGAAGAAATAAAGCATAATATTAATGGAAATGTAGAAGGGCCAAAACAAGTAATAATGCAAGAAGGAGGAAGGGTTTGTGGAAAAGGAAGTTTGAAATGTGAAATTTTTTAAATTTTAAGATAAATTGTGTAAAATTTTAATAAATAAAGAAATTTATTACATAATATTTATAATTTTGATAAAAATGATTTATTTATAAAATAACACTCTGTGTTATTTTAATTTCTCTATCTTTAAGATCCATAGTCACATCTCCAACTGTCAGCTCTGCTGTTGTAAATTCCCCTACAAGAGTTGAATTTCCAAATATTGTTCTTACTCCCCCCCCCGTGAGTGAAAAAAAAAAAATTTTTGTTCATTCACAGAGGGGGTTAATTTTTTTTTTTTTTTAAAAAATTTATATAGAATTTTTTTTTCGAAATTTAAAAAAGTCCTAATTCGTAAAAATTGGAAAGCAAATATTAATTTAATTATAAAATTTATGTTTTAAAAAAGCAATTTGTTTAAAATTAAACAGAATTAGCTCTAGATTTCATTATAATAATTATCACTATATATCAAAACTTTTTTCATAAAAAATTTTTCTATTAAAAAAATTTTATTCACTCACGGAGGGTGGGTTTTTTGGCAAAAAATAGCGATTTTTCTAATGGTTTTGCTCACTCACGGAGGGGGGAGTTAGCCTCTCCATATTTCGCCCAAACATCTCAAAATTTAGTTTTTCTTTAATTTTGTTCACGACATAATTATAGCCATCCTCAAACTTTGACATCACAAGTCCGCCAGTTTGCAATAGCCCAAAAATTGACCCTAATAAAGTCCCAAAAAGTACAAATAACGTCTGTTCATATTCCCTTGTAGTAACAAGCACCATGCCACTTATATCTGGAAATACAGTTACCACTACTCCATGCTCAAAATTTATTCTAAATAACAATTACTCTTCTACTGTAAGTGTGTCTCCTACCTCTGGAGAAAAAGGCAAAGATACGTAGTAGCCTGTTGCCTTTGCAGGCCAATCAGAAATTTCTGACAAAAACAATGAAGGTGTCATTGTAAATGTGAATTTTGAAGGATTTAGACCTCGAAATATAAGTAAGGTAGAGGGTGGGGATAAATAGGTTTTTACCATGCTGATTTCATTAGGAATTGAAGACGTAGAGGAGACTTTAACTGAAATATAGCTTGCATAGCTTTGAGGCTCGAGCAATTTTACTGTGATTAAAGCGCCTACACCTAAGTCACAATTTTTGCATTTAAATGAGACTATACAGTCTTTGTCGTCTAATACGCAGCTTGGCTGACTTATTTCTCCTGTAATATCCTTAAAAGTGTAGCTTAAATCATTTGTGCAGCTTAAGTCGGAATCTACGCACTGCCCACCATAATAGTATAAAGTAATTTCAATATTTATATCTCCTGGAAATGGCCCGTACTTGTTTTCTAGTGACTCAAGTGTAACTAAATTTTTATTTTCAACAATATAATCCATGCACTCGTATAGATTTCTCTTTAGGACTTTTACAATGGACGGCTGAAGTGCTGGAATATTCAATACTATGGAAATGGGCTCGATAACAATTTATAATAGTTATTAGTATAGGATGATATATAAGTAATAATTGTTTCTAACTCCCCCCCCCTTCTCCGTGAGCGAACAAAACCATTAGAAAAATCGCCATTTTTTGACCAAAAACCCACCCTCCGTGAGTGAACAAAAATTTTTTTAATAGAAAAAATTTAATGGAAAAAAATTTTGATATATAAGTGATAATTAGTATATAATGAAATCTAGAGCTAATTCTGTTTAATTTTAAACAAATTTGCGTTTTAAAACATAAATTTTGCAAATTAAATTAATATTTGCTTCCCAATTTTTGCAAATTAGGATTTTTTTAAATTTCGAAAAAAAATATTTTTTATAAAATTTATATATAAATTTTTTTTTAAAAAAAAAAATTAACCCCCCTCCGTGAGTGAACAAAATTTTTTTTGTTCGCTCACGGAGGGGGGGGGGGAGTAAGTCAAAAGAAAGACATTTGTTTACGAAACAAGTTGAATTCGGGACCTTATCGGAAGAGTTTGGGTTGCTATGTAAGCGGACACTAAAAATGGAACTGGGCAAAGATTGATCTGAGGAGAAAGTAGCCGATATGTGAAAGAAGTGCATAAAGACTGCCTTTATCGTGGTTCCCGGCAGTTTGGGACAGTGTAATCTGAACTAATCCTTGTTCCTGAGTCGCGGGATTTTGTTGTGTTCGATCCATTTTTATTGCCGACTTTGACAAGCCAAGGTAACTTGGCGAGCCTAATTATAAATGAAAATGGAAATAAGCAACGTTACAATATTTTATACAAGATTTTTGATTATCGTTGAATATCTTGTATAAAATATTTTAATCTACATGCTCAATTCTGGTATATGTAAAGGGTGATACTTATTGCCGTTAACGTTTAACAGATATTACTTGATGTGGATTAGAGCGGATTCAGCAGCAAAAATAACTCACTAAGAGAAGCTTATAGATATATTATAATTAAACATCTTGTACAAAATACTTTCAAATTTACACTTTAATCTAGTATATATAAAGGAATATGTAAAGGGCGATACTTATTGCCGTCAACATTTAACAGCTATGACTTGAAGCGGATTCGAGCGGATTAGGCAGCAAAAGGTACTTATTGAATAAAGCTTAAGTGTGGATTATCGTTGAAAATCTTGTATAAAATATTCTAATCTGCATGTTCAATTCTGATATATGTAAAGGGTGATACTTATTACCGTTAGAATTTAAACAGATATTACTTGAAGCGGATTCGAGCTGATTAGGCAGCAAAAGTTAATTATTAAATAAAGCTTAAGCGTGCATTAAAATTAAAAATCTTGTACAAAATACTTTCAAACTTCCACTTTAATTCTGGTATATGTAAATTGCGATACTTATTGCCTTTAGCGTTTAACAGCTATAATGTATTGGTAATATTTTATTTTGCTTATTTATGGTAAATTGAATTTAAAATGTCAAAAAAATTTTGACATGCCATTATATATAAAACTGAGTCTATGGTATGTTAAAATTTTTTTGGCATTTTAAAATCAATTTAGCATAAATAAGCAAAATGAAATTTATGCAAGGGATTATATTACTTGAAGCGGATTCGAGCAGATTAGGCAGCAAAAATTAATTATTGAATAAAGCTTAAGCGTAAATTATCGTTGAAAATCTTGTACAAAATATTCCAATCCACATATTCAATTCTGGTATAGGTAAAGGGTGATACTTATTGCCGTTAGCATTTAACAGATATTACTTGAAGCGGATTCGAGCGGATTCGGCAGCAAAAATAACTCACTAAGAGAAGGTTATATGCGCATTGTAATCAAAAATCTTGTCTAAAATATTTAAACTTGCATTTCTAACTCTTGCACAGCATTTAACTTTTTAAGGATCTCATTTCCTTCAACTCTGTTAAACTTATTTTATCATCCCTATAACTCTTTCCGCAAATGCAAATTGAGGTGTATAGAGCGAATTAAAAAACAATGTTTATCGAAAGATGCCTATATAAGTTGATATTTTCATTTTGATTTTTTCATCATTAAAAGCATTGCTGCTTGCCTATTAAATTTCAAAGGGTCTATTGTCTGGTGCACTGATATATTTTGTATGTATTGTAGCGTTGCTTATTTCCATTTTCATTTATAATTAGGCTCGCCAAGTTACCTTGGCTTGTCAAAGTCGGCAATAAAAAATGGATCGAACACAACAAAATCCCGCGACTCAGGAACAAGGATTAGTTCAGATTACACTGTCCCAAACTGCCGGGAACCACGATAAAGGCAGTCTTTATGCACTTCTTTCACATATCGGCTACTTTCTCCTCAGATCACTCTTTGCCCAGTTCCATTTTTAGTGTCCGCTTACATAGCAACCCAAAACTCTTCCGATAAGGTCCCGAATTCAACTTGTTTCGTAAACAAATGTCTTTCTTTTTGACTTAGAAACAATTATTACTTATATATCATCCTATACTAATAACTATTATAAATTGTTATCGAGCCCATTTCCATAGTATTGAATATTCCAGCACTTCAGCCGTCCATTGTAAAAGTCCTAAAGAGAAATCTATACGAGTGCATAGATTATATTATTTGTTATGCTATTAAGACTTATTGAGAAAATTTGCTGTAATTTACAAGAATTAAGCTCAGGGCGTAACTCCTAGTTTCATGTTGGGGAATAGTTTTGAATACCTGGATCAACACTACTGGCTCCGCTGGGAGACCCCTTTCAAGCTCGAACCCATTCCCTAATAGGCAAAAAACTGGATCTAGTGTAAAGCTTGCGGTAAGCTAGTCCGACAATACGCTTCATCAAACCAGTAAAAACCCGGCCGGATGCACATTCCCGAATGCCATCCTCCCTTTCTCGAGGTCCTGAAAATCTTGTAGGATGCTAACTCCAGGAATAAAGAGGGTGGATTGATTAGCCCTGCCATTTTAATGTATAACAATATTATTTGTAATTTTCCAAAAAAAAATGTAAATTTAAAATAAATAAATTTTTTTAAAAAAAATTCAGAACTATTATTTGTAATATATTGCAGAACTCCTATTGATACAAATAAAAGGCATATTAAAGAAAAAATGATAGAAAAAAATCCTCCGATTGCAGTTCTCCTTTTAATTACAGGCTGCCCCTCTTCTGTTTCATGATTTGTACTGTATCCATCATATTTATATAAAGAACTTCTAGCTGATTTATGGAAAAGTGAAAGGACTGTGATCCCACAGATTACAGAAATGATAGAATACTCAATAATATTTATATCAGCTGAGCCTAAACTGGAATCTGAACTATAAAGATCAGGCTGAGACTGCTCAAAGCTTTTTTTATCTTGAATATCTAATGGAGAAATAGACCCTACAGGACAAAAATAGCTGGCAGGGCAGCTATCACATATATCAGTCCCTTCATTTTCTGCATAACTGTCATATTTACAAGGATAGCACTCACTAAGGTTCTTGCCGCTGAAAATTTGTTATAAGTCCCTTTAGGACAAGCCTTACACGTTTCTGCTCCAAAAGTATCAGAATAATACCCTTCAGGGCATAAATCACAGTTATCTCCATATGTCCCATTACTACAAGACCAAGAAAGATCATCAGTTTTCTCAATAGAAGTTTTAAATAAAAATCTTTTTGCTATAAAATTCTGGACTAGAGAAGAAAGCGTATCTCCTCCGCCGAATAAATAGATAGAGTTTTGGAAATAAGTGACCTCTGTAGCATAGATGGCTTCTTCTAAATGGCCAATTAAGGTATGATTTGGAGGATTTACGTCTAAATCTACCATATAAATAGTGTCAAAAGCTTTAAAATTCCATTGTTCGCCACCTATTACGATTATATAATTATCAATATTTACAACAGCAGCCTGTGCAAGAGAAAAGTACCCGTAGCCTTTATCAAGCACAGGAAGCCATTCTTGGCCAGATATATCATATCTGTGGATTTTAGAGTTTGGATATATATAGGCTATTTAATTAGAATATTAGCTGAATATTTATAAAACTATTAAATTTGATAGGCAAAATAGCCTGATAAAGGATATTCGTCTTCTCCTTCCCCTGTTGTGATATAAAAATAATAATTAGAGTCTATATTCCTCATAAAGCATTTTGAGTATGCAAGTTTTGGGACTCTTTCAGAAAGACCATCGTCAAGCAGTGTAAAGGTGTTATCAATTGTATTAAATTGCCATAATTCATTAGAATACCCTCCTACAACTAGCCCGCCGAAGATATAGATTGTACTATCAGCGATTGCCATACAAGCTCCAGCTCTTCCTACTGGTTTTATATCAGAGCCGTATAGGACTGTTTTCCAAGTGTTTGAAAGGACTGTATATTCATACATATCACTTAAATAGCCTGAAGAATTTTCCCCTCCAAATATCGTCAGTGTATCAGCAATAGCACAGCTTGCATGTTTTGCCCTTACTGATGGAATATCCCCAGTAGGGTTCATAATGCTTCAATCACTTGCCAAAATATCAAATTTTCACATCTCGTTAAGGTAGTTTTTATCATTATCAATCCCTCCAAAGACCCACAGGTTTGTTTGGATTGTCTGTAAAGAATGAAACATTCTTGCTGTCGGTCCTGTCATTTCTGGAGAAATTAGGTTTATTATAGGAGTTTCCAATGAAAACTCAAGAGAAATTATAGAGTTATTGATACCAGTATCAGAGTAGCCTGCAAATGATCAGAGGACTGAGGAAACGAAAGTTAAAGAGCCGCTTCCTGTAGCTGTTGAGCTTGGGTCTTTAAAATTTACTTCTATTCAAGTATCAAGACTAATTAAATTTATTTTTCATATATCAAAAATAGTCAGCCCAGTCTCAAAATCCACCCCTAAATACACATATAAATAATCCTCTACAAAACATAAAAAATGTTCAAACCTCCCTCCTGGCTTTTTCCCATTAATTTCAATTTTTTTTCATTCTTCTTTTGCTAAATCATATTCATAAAGAGCTGTATCATGAATTATTGTAGAAAATCTGCTGAGACCGCCTCATACATAAAGTTTATCTTTATAATATGCAATTCCTGAGCTTTCTTGAGGCTGTGGACTATTTCCAGAATTTGGCTTTTTGCTTCAAAAAAGGCTTTCTCCGTCCAGTCTGCATAGATTTTACATATAAAGGGAATTATCAACACCAGTCGAGCTTAGTCCACCAAATATAGCAAAAGAGGTGCTTCCATTTCTAGTATAAGTTGTTAAAACAATATATCCTCTAGCCCCTGGGTCGTCTCCATTCTTATCAAGCTTTTCTCAGCTGTTTTCATTTAGATCGTAGCTCCAGAAATCACCAGCTGGGCCTGCACGGGTTCTTCCGCCATATAAAAGTAATTTTTGGGATTTTTGATGATAAAATAACGCTCCAGCCGCTCTTTCATCTGGAACAGTCGAAACATAAGGGGAAATTAGGCTTCATCTTTTTTGGGATAAATTGAAGGAGGCAAGGTCATTTAAATAAGATCCGCCAGTCTGCATTCCTCCAAACTGAATAAGCTGATTATTTGTAGTGTCATATACCATGTGGCCTAGCACTGAGTTTGGAGGAGGAACTCCGGTAGGAGGGATTAGGCTTATTTCTAAGGAAAAAACTCATGTAGAAAGGCACAGTAAGAGGACTTTAGTCATATTTATATGGGTAGTGGCAGGTAAAAATTATAATGAGGAATAAAGTGTACAAAAATAATAGAATTTTTATATAAACTGCAGAAAAGAATATTCTTGACGATTTTTATTATAAAATATGATGAAATGTAGTTGAAAATCAGTCTAATAAATAATCTAGGAACAATATAAAATATTTAGACCTCTATTGGAAATAAGATTTCTGTTCATTTTGAATTTTTGCTAGCACAATTTTTAAAGGCTGCGAAGTATTGATGCCATACAGATTTTTCTAATAAGTGAAAAGAATATATATGCCATTTTCCCTAATTTGGATTAATAAATTCCAAATATTCGGATACTTTAATCTTAAGTGTAAATATCTTGAACAATATTAAATAGACTATAACATTAAGTATTCTCTATTTAAGAAAATAGTGTTCAAATTTATTAAAACAGAGGATATTAAGCTCTAGTACCTTTGTGGTGATGGTGATGGAACTGTTCATTTTCTTCCTCTAGCCTATTGTCAGAAGCCATCCGATCAGTTTCTTGTCCTTTGGTTACCTTTAAATCATACTCATCTGCCTCTTTAAGCTGCTTTTTCTTACTCTCCCTTTTTAAATTGAAACAAAATATCATAAAATTTCCAATTTTAATTTCAACAGGAAAATTTTATAGGTGAAATTACTAATTTTTATAAATTTTTCTCTATAAAAATAGATTTTTCTTAATTTTTTTAAAAAAATCTTTAAATTGGAACAGGATTTTTTATTCTAATTTAAAGGGGAGATTTAGCAACTAGATAAACCACAGTATGAAGAGTTGCAGTAAAAGGAATAAACAAAACACAAGCCAATGCAATCGCTGGACCTTCTTTTCCACACACTCTAGCTTGGCTTTGTCCATGATTCCATGTGACGCTGTCACAGTTTTCGTCAAAGTACATCATTGAAAGACCTGACCAAATCACTAATGCGAAAAAATGCCACGCTAAAACGTTCCAGTAAAACACCACAGACAGCCAAATTTCTCTTGTCCCTCTGCAAATATCCAAAAGAAGCACAAAAATAGTGGCTGATATAAAAAATAGTGAAATAGTTTCAAAAAGGATATATATTACTCCTCCAGCCCAAAGGCTATGCCACATTTCACAAAGCCCGTCTTGGTCATTTGTTGAGCCATCATTACAGCGATCCCACCGATTTGAATAAGGTAATGAGTCTGAAAAGTAGTTTGAATCAGGAGTTGGGCCAAGCAACCCTCCCTCCCAATCAGTTTCTGGCTCATTTCCTTGAGTAAACCATCTAGTAGCACCTAAAGTAGCAAGCTCTAGAGCCATTATCATTAAAAGAAATGCGATGCTTAGTCCCCATCAAAGTTTTGTACTCATACAGCACACAGTTGCTGCCATTTAAATAGTTTGAATAATTTTAATTAATTCTGAAATAAATTTATTTCGGTGGTATGATCATTTAAAAAATTTAAAAATTCAAGGAATAAGAATTATTTATGTTGAAATAGCTTCAAGTGAAATAATGGATAGAAAGTATAAAGAAATTTATTGCTGTATTAACAAAATAATTTGCAAACCATCTTTTTTGATTTAAATTAAAATTGATTTTGGTAAATAAATTTTCTTTGAAGGCTTATAGTTGTGAAATTTAAGGTCAATTTATTAAGTTTTGGCATGCAAAAGTTCTTTAATTTAATAAAATAAGAGCATTTTTAAGACGTGACAGACTTAAAGAGATATTTAATAGACTAGTAGTATTATTGATATTAGTATATTATAATATATATCATTACTCTAATTAATCTTAATGCTATTAAAGTAATAAACATTTGCTTTCTAGCATATAAAATAATGATTTATCGAATAAATATAATTCTCTAACAAACCTCACTAATTCTCAATTCATAATCTATTTTTCATCCACCCAATACACTTTTATCTAGATAATCCATATAAAATTAATCCCCAAAAACATATGACAATAATCCATATCATAATGGAAAGTGGGCTCAAAGGTAAAGCAATTAAATTTCTAGATTCCCATTCCAACCCAGTAATTGCCGAAGTCTACGACACCAAAGACAACACTATAAGATGCATGGAGCTCCTTCGCCCCGAAGACATCAAAGGTAAACCTTACCTAGTTTCTCGTCACATTTACTTTGGTGACCGCGAACTATACCGCACTAGCAATTTCTTTGAAATTTCCCAATCCTCAGTCCAAGAAATCCTGCCTATTTGTACACTAAAAGACTACCCTGGCTCTAAAGGAATCCTAATCCGCCAGACCTACGACAAAAATTCCAAGCTTTTCAACCCCTCAACTCTTCCTTCAGTTTGCCTATGCCGGCAGCCTTTAAACCCAGACATGCCATACATAATCTGTCAAAAATGCAACCAAATTTTTCACTCCTTGTGTTTAACTGATACAAATTCCTGCCCTGACTGCTCATATATTTTTAAAAGACAAAGAATTGAAGAAAATGTGCCTGAGTCACCAAAAAAACAGATAAAGACCACAATGGTAGCTAAAAGTAGGAATATTGATAATAGCAGCTTGCCTCTAGATGCTGATAAGTATCAGAGTTTGACTGAAGAAGGACGCGAAAGGCTACAACAAAATGTGTGGAACGTCCATCTAAATTTTATGGCTCTGCAGTCATCATTGAGTAGTGAAGAAAAAATAAGGCACCAGCTTGATTCAAAAATTGTGTGTGCGCTTTATTTGTCAATAGAAGAAAATAGAGGGCTGGGGATAGATTATTCTTTGCAAGAGCTGGAAAAAAAAGCGATGGAGATAGAAGCATCAATTTATTATTCTACTGGCAGTAATGCTAATTCACAGGCTTATAAAGGAAAGGTAAGGTCCTTGCTTTTTAATCTTTGTGATGAAAAAAACCCTGATTTTAGGTTCGATATACTTAAAGGAGAAATTTCGCCTGCAGAGCTTTCTATATGTTTTATATATAAAGTACAAAGTTTATAGGTAATAAAAAAAATTTATTAAATTTTATATGAAAAAGGTATAAAATGCAGTCAAGAGATATGGCCTCAAGTGCTATTAAAAATTTCAGGGTTGAGAGAAAAAAAAAATACACAGAAGAGCAGCTTGTTTTGCCAACTGCAGATGAAAAATTGGTAGTAAAGACGCATAAAGGGGAAGCTGTATTTATGCCTGGAGAAGTAGTCACTGATATGACTAGCACAGATATATTGGATACGGTGCTGACGAAGAGTAAGAGCACAGATTCACCTACAAAGGTACCGAAATGTGACGATCCTTTTGATATAGAAAATTATGAGGGCGAGCAAAAGTATGAAGTCAAACCAAAAAATGGGGAAGGGATCAATGAGCGTATTTTCGAGATTGTGAAAGATTGGACTCCTAAGAAGCTTTCTGGGAAGCTTAAAGATACAATACATAATTATTTAGAGGAATCCCAGGCCAAAAGGGTTATATCCAGAATTAATTTTCTTAACCTCTTCAATAGCCATTTTATTCTTCAATAATATAAATAAAATTTTTTATTTTGATTGGCATATTTTCAATAGATAATGTAGTCATATTTTCATTTTGTAACTAGCGTCCAAAGCATATTATTTATTTATTGGCAATTTAACTTAAAAGCTAAAACTCTTAAGTCTATCTAATAAAGCCAACTTTTTATAAAGCTATAATTATTCTTGCTATATAAACAGTTGATAATTAGCCAAAATTTCAATATTATTGAGTGGTGAGCTAGCAATAATTAAGTCTTAATCATTTCTAATTGCAAATAACGACCCTGACCACGCACAAAGCAAAAAGAAATTGATGATAAGGTTATTTTTTACAATAATTGTCTTACTCTCCCGTCGTGAGCGAATAAAACTATTGGAAAAATCCCTATTTTTAAAAAAAAATTTGATGAAAAAACATTTGATATATAGTGATAATGAAATCTCTATAGCTAATTCTGTTTAATTTTAAGCAGCTTTGCATTTTAAAACATAAATTTTGCAAAATTAAATAAATATTTGATTTTCAATTTTTGCAAATTGGGGATTTTTTAGAAAAAATTATACTATAAAAATTTATGTCTGAGTTTTTAAAAAAAAAAAATTAACCCTCCTTGAGCTAACAAAATTTTTTGGTTTGCTCACGAAGAGGGAACTATAAATTTTTGGCTATCATCACCTTCATCTTATAAAAATTTCGCTCAATATAATTTATATAAAACAAAATATGACTAAAAACAGTTCAATAATGATAATATGCACCTAAAACTCAACAGATATTATATATCCTAAAATTCTATATTTAATTATAAAAAATAATATTTATCAATAACTTCCAAATTATTTATGATCTCTTTCTCCTAGTTTATTTCACCTCATTAATCCTTAATTAGACATAGATTACGTCTCGCTTAGCATCCAATACCACATACCTAGACAGTTTCCATCCCTGCTTCGGATTCTCCGCCAACTATGCTCGTCCACCTCCTAGGCTTATCTGAATGGTTCCTCGGCTTCAGGGTTCTGATTTAGATAGCTACCCTTCCAGTTCTCAGGCAAACCAGTTCGCGTCCGTCAGGTAGCTAAAGATCTTAGTCTCCGCAGCCTGGGGTAGTGGCACACTATCACGAAATTTAAATTCCATAAGGCATGGGTGTCAAAGGTTGCTCACCCTTGGATATAATTTACCATCATTGCGAAATAAAATTTTCTGGATTAAGCCAAGCCTCATAATCAAAATTAATCAAAAGGGGAATTTCTTTTCTCTAAAACAGAATATTCGAATGACGCCATATTTTTATATAATTTATTTAACCTCAAAAATTATTTTTGCATAACTTTACTCCATATTAACTTACTTATAAAGATATTATGCAAGATACAGTCGAAGATGAGCCAAGCATTCTCCCTCTCCACAGCTCTCCTTCAAAGTCTGCAAGCCGGTTTTTGCAGTTTGATGATTTTTTTGATACTCCAGTGCAATATCCAGACCTTGATATCTCTCTTTGTTACAGTGTTTCAAGCTTTGATATCCTTTCAACTTACAATGATGTAGCAACTGAAGCTCAGGTTATGAGTCCAATCGACTTCTATACAATGAAAACAGAAGAAAATTTGATAAACTAATAAGATTAATAACTTTTTATAATGAAAATTTACTCTCAGGCTAGAAATCATACAAGAGATGAAGAAATAAATTCAAGGAATAATATACATACAATCTTTATGAATTTCTATATTAATTAATTATAAAAATAATTATTTATTAATAGAAAATTTGTATACTTACTCTAGAGCCAAAAAAAAAATTGTCTATTTTTAATATTTTTTAATTTTTAAAAAAAAAGTTAGAAATTCTATGAAAAAGCCTTTAGATGTAAAACTTGACGATTATAAATCAATTCTAAAAGCTTTAAAAGAATCCATCTGCTCCAATTGAAAACCTACTGTTATTCAACCATTTGAGTTGAAAACCTCTACAAGATCTAGACGCAGCTGCCAAACAATTCCTCCGTCTCCTTATCTTCAAGCCACATTTAAATCAGACACTGCTCCACGGCCAATTACCCTGAATTTTTCTAATGAAACCCCAAGGCCAAAAACTCCAGAATATTCCCTCATTTTACGGAAAAAGCACACAGCAAGCTTTGAGCCAAAATCCCCAACTACCCATTTTAAGCCTCAGCCAAACTTATCAATAATGAAAATAAGGCCAGGCTCTTGCTCGCCAACCAAAAGAGTGCATTTTAATACTGACAGTCAGCCTCCTAGCACAAGGCCATCAACTTCTATAGGATCCTGCTTAAAACCTGAGCCAATTACTCTAAGTTACCTCAACGACAGTTTTTATTCAAAAGAATTCCCTACAGAATGAGAAAAAATTTCTTTGCATTTAAAAAAAGGTCGATCTTATACCCCAGTATTATTATGCAGCCAAGAGCTGCATAAGAAATCCAAGATTTCAGTGAAAACTATGAAAGATATGCATTTTTAAGATAATTTTAATGAAATTGGTAATATTTATTATTTCTGGCTCAAAGACATTAAAAGATCTACTTTTGCTTGTGATTCGCCGCAGAATTCTTGTAATTCTTCACTCAGGCTGTTCAGCTGTTGTGAAACTAACAAGCTTTCAAGCCTGCTTGGTGGTGGAATCATCCTATACAGTGACCCTGTGCCTTCAGTCAACTCCAACAGTGGTTCTCCTCTTTCTTCTCTTTTTTTGTTTTCTGCAGCTCTTTGCGCCTCATGTGCTTTTTGCTGCTGTTTTTGTCTCTGCACAGCTTTAGCATACCCATACTGTTTTTGCTGTCTTTCTACTAATTCGTCTAATCCTTGGTATAAAGCTTCTAAATGCTTTTTAATAAAAGGCTCATAGCAGTCCTTGTCTGCGACTTCATAAGGATCTGGGGCGTATTGAGCTAAAAATGCGTTTGTCAACATACTGTTTTCAATCCGCAAAGGAATTTCAGAAAAAACCTTTGTGGAGTCCACTTTTAAGGCTGCGGCTCGCTGAGTTGTGAACTCTTCTTCACTGAAAAAATCAAGGAATTCCTGGGTGAGACGGTATGCCTTGAGTGGAAATCCGCCAGAAACAAATATAACTGGGTCGTAAACCACCATGACGGCGTTAGGGATTTCAATCTGCATATTGTATTGATATTCAATCGAGCTTATATACTATAATAACTAAAATAAATAAATTTTCTAATAGATAAGATTTATTTATATGAAATTTATCTTGGGATATCTAAAAATGCACCTTCGTCTGATCTTTGGTACCATCCTATAACTGAGTTTTCGAAGAATAAGTCTTTAAGCTGCTCACACATTTTTTTACTGTATTCTTCGAGTTCTTGTGGGCCAATAGAAGAATTGGATGGGAGAGAAAAACAATTTGTGACTTCAAGAGAATTCGAAGATTCAAGACCAATGAGCTGGCCTATTGCGGTGGAGTCAGTATCTTGACAGTGCTGGATTAGCTTGAGCAGAACTGTTCCTTCTAATTTGACACAGAAAAGATCTGACATTTTGGCCCGTAAATTATTTTCATATAATAAAAGATTAGGATAGGGATGGAAAAGTGAGCAGAAATTTTTGTGGAGATTAAGGGGATTTAGTTTATATTGAGCGCTATAATATATGAAAATTAATGATAACAAGAAAATCAATGAGATTTTTAATATAAATTATATAATTTTCCCATAATGTGTCATAGATATTATTTGAAACATACTAGGAAGCTTATCTTTAAAATCTGCATTCAAATCATAAGGCTTCTTTTTTAATAATACATTATAAATTTTTCCTTTCTTCTCACTTTAGCTCTTACTCCCCCCCCCCCCCCCGTGAGCGAACAAAAACCATTAGAAAAATCGCCATTTTTTGACCAAAAACCCACCCTCCGTGAGTGAACAAAAATTTTTTTAATAGAAAAAATTTTAAATGGAAAAAATTTTGATATATAAGTGATAATTAGTATAATGAAATCTAGAGCTAATTCTGTTTAATTTTAAACAAATTGCGTTTTTTAAAACATAAATTTTGCAAATTAAATTAATATTTGCTTCCCAATTTTTGCAAATTAGGATTTTTTTAAATTTCGAAAAAAATATTTTTTTTATAAAATTTATATATAAATTTTTTTTAAAAAAGAAAATTAACCCCCCTCCGTGAGCGAACAAAATTTTTTTGTTCGCTCACGGAGGGGGGGGGGAGTTAGGATAACTTGAAATTAGTTAATTAGAGATTTAAGTATTTAAATTCATAATGAGATTTTATTAAAAAGCCTAATATCGTTACAAAATAATATCATTTACACATTATTTAGCTAAAATATTACTTTACCTGTTGAATATACATTAAAATGGAGTGGCGAACCCAAACACACACTCTCAACTCCTGTAGCTATCTTCATAAAGGGCGTGAAGGGACCTTGAAGAAGAGAGGGTGTCGCTCAGAAATGTGTATCCGGCCAGGTTTTTCTTAGTTTGAGGAAGCGGAATGTCGGGTTGGCCGACAACATGCTTCACTCCAATGCCAAGTTTTTGCCTCATCAGAGATGGGTCCGGAAGTTGGAAAGGATTTCCTAGCAGAGTCAGCGCAGTTAGTCTTGACCAATAGAGACGTGAAGCCAGATATTACACTATACGCAACGAATTTTCATATTGGCCGAGAATCGACTAGAAGTTCCCTTTTAAATTTTTAATGGTGGACCTGTTGGCAATTAAGCCACCCAGAAGCCCAATACATGAGGAGACAGACCCTATGGGTTGAAGCCGAAAAGCGGTAGAACCTTCCGTATGGGAGGTCTTTAGTGACTGCGTCACCAATATGGCTAACACCCGACTTTAACCTAACCCTATTGACTTCGGCACTGCAATGCGACTCAATCAACTACTGGGATGCAGTGTACGCCCTCGTCAGCAGGAATAACCCCAATCAGGTTGTGTGCGAACTGGCGAGTAGGTGAAGGGAGTGTTATAAGTGGGAAAAGTCCAGCGAGCTTCTCAATAAGGCTTAAAAACTAATAATTAACTTTACCTGCGAACTTTAAATTAATAAAAAAAGCACTTTCTTGAGCCTAATTAATCTTCTATTTTTATTAGATCGACAACATAATTACAATTTTTGTTCAAAATTAAAAAAATTCCTATTGAAACAACACACTAAATAGTTTAAGTTTAAGTTTATAATAATCTTCAAGAGCCATAAATCTTGGCTTTAGCTTAGACCACAAACTCTGAGTAAGGGTAGATAGGCCGGCTTAACTGTCAAACTGTTTCTATCTCCAAGCTTCTTATGACCTCTCTGATTATACCAGGCACAGTGTAGACCCATCCTCTTGAGCCAAAACTCTCAAGAAGTCGTGAACTTCTCTCACTGAGCTCAATTTATGTACCTGAGCACTATCCTAAATAACATTTTTATTGTCAACACACATTATAAATTAAGAAAAATTTAAAATAAAATTCTACCATATAACAACTCACAAATTGACCCCTAAAACCCTTAAATTTCATAAAAAATACAATATCTCTAAATTTATAACATACATTTATCCTTTTTTCTTAAAACCAGAGATTGAAATAATATGAGCAACTGCAATTTTTCTTCTTTCTGGTGTTGCCTTTCTGCAGATCCAGCCATTGAGTTTCGTCATAGTAATATTGAATCTGCTGGAGATTTGCTGTGGACAGATGTATTTATTCAAGTGGACAGAACAACAATATTAGATAATGACTACCTCAAAATTACGAAATCAGGAGAAACAATATCACCTGAAACAAAAAAGTAATTAATAAAAAGATACAAAATTGTGAGGGACCAAGGAAATACGTCAGGTGTTACAAGAGTTTATTTGCCAGCTGAGGCTGGAAGCTATGATATTTATTATAACTTTTTATTGATAATAAACACTTTAGTTTTGAAAACTTAATCTAGTTTTTTGCTTGATAATATTAAAAAATAATTCAAGAAAAGTAAAATATATTAAGGGTATAATGCTTAGTCTTTTTTATATAAGTATATATTAGAGACCTGAAATACCGTGCCCGAGTTTTTGGAAAGCACCTTATAAAGATAAGTCCAATACTTATCTCAAGCGAAAATAAATGGTGACGTATGGAAGATGGACTCCGAGACACGCTCCCTATGAGCAGTAGGTCTGTCCCGATCAAGATGAAAATAATGTCTCTTTCACTTTTTGAAATAGGCCTTCGGGTTTGGGGATGCCTACAAAAGAGGGAAGTTTTGTTTCTCCTCCGAAAGTTTTCCCTGTCTCTGTTAGATGGGCTAGACAGGTTTTTTCTCTGCTTAGTCTTTGCATATCGGACTAGCAGGCATCCGCAAGAGGTAGCTCTTCCTAGGAAACTAATTCTTATTCTAGGTGGGAGTATATGCCAGATACCCATGCAGTGGTCTATCCGCTTATGGCTTATAATTTTATCATTATTTCAAGCTTCCAAGACCTTAAATATGAAAAAGAAATAAAGCGCCAGCAATATCCCAACCATCTCCAAGTTTTATTTAAAAAATCAGGGTCATTATTTACAGTACCTGAAGCCAGCAGTCCAGGACGTGACGAGTCATTAAAAAGCAGCATCAACCCATCTCGAGTTGGCACTGAAGAATACCCATTTGAAATTACTCCAAAAAACAGCATGTATAATAAATTAACTCTTTTATAAATGTCTGAAGAAGTCGTCTATTCCTCTCAAGTACCGCCTATGCAGGATTTATTGCAATTCCATCAAAAAGATATAAACGGGCTAAAAGACAGCAGCCAGAACATCCGCTTGGCAAGTTTAAATTCGATAAAAACAAGCCTTATGTCTTCAAAAATCCCTCCATGTAAGGAATATTCAGATGTCATACAGGAAATTTTACCTGAACTAATCAAGCCTATTTTGCATTGTTTTGCTGATTCAAAAGAAAAGTGCAGGGAAATTGCTATTGAAATTTTGAGCAGGTAGGGGTTATTTAGTTTAATTGGAAGATGTGTAGAGCCTGATGAATTTTTAGCTTATATTTTCCCTGTTTTAGTAGAAAGACTCGATGCTTATGATATCGAAGGCATTCAAAACCTCCCTGAAGTTATGCGGCCTAATCCATCACAGCGTCCACAAGTTGTAAAATCCCCTAAAGAACCTTCAGAAGAGCTAAGAATCCTCCTCGCGAAATTCATCCAAGTCATCACAGAAAAAACATCAGTCAGAAGCCTTTCCCCTTATGTCCAAGAATTGACTTCTGTCATACGAATTCTTTGTATGGACCCTAACAACGGCGAAGTGATCATAACCTCATGCAAAACAATGGAATTTTTGGCGGCCAAAGCCAAAGAGCTTCTTTTCCATTACAGTGAACCTTTAGCGAGAAGCTTATATACAGCTATAGTCCATAAAAGCTGAAAAGTCAGATGTGCGAGCTTAGAGGCACTAAGGGTAGTAATGTATATTGGAGTTTTTAAATATAACGCTACCATTGTAGAAGGGTTGATAGGGTTTAGAGACCCAAATGTGGTGCCTATAAAAGACTTTTATGAGCCAAGCGCCAAGCTGAATTATTTAGCAATGCTTATTAATGACAGATCAGCCCATGTAAGAGAAACATTTTTGAATGTCATTTCTGACTGGCTATTAAATTTACCTGACAAATATGATCTAGAAACCAGACTTATACCATATTTATTATCAGGTCTTTTTGATCCTATTCCTGGGATAAGGGAAAATACTTTTGCACAAATTGAAGCTATAGGCCAAAAGTATGAAGAGGAAAAAGAAAAAGAAATCAGAGAAATAAGACAGCTGGGATTCCAAGAACCGTGAACTTGTGATGGAATTATGACTTATCTGCCGTTACCAGAACCATTTGCGAAAAGACCTAGATTAGGGGCTAGGCTGTATTTTCGTCAATACGTCCGGCGTTATCTAAATGCAATTTTCGCTGAACTAGGTGATTGGATTGCATCATCAAGGCTTTATTCGTCAAATTTATTGGTCTGTCTTATAATTTTTACTGAAGATTATATTTTAATTATTTTGATTAGATGCATTTTCACTAATAAAATAATGCCTTTTTTAATAGGAGTTTGGTTTGTAAATATATGTAAAAATTATTAATTTTTTTAAAAGAAATATTACTCACTCCCCCCCTTTAAAATGAAACAAAAAATCCTGTTCCAATTTAAAGGGGCTTGCATTTTATCTATTATTTTCATCTTTAATTTTTTTTATAAATTAAGCGCAAAATTTAGATTTAATTTATTTTTTATGAATATTAAATAAAGAAATTAATCGATTCAGTGTAATACCATTTTAAATAACATTCAAATAGCATTCTGCCTATAAACTAGGTCAATATAAAAATTATTATTTTCATTGATAAAATTTTCCTATTGAAAAAAAAATTTGTTCCAATTTAAAAGAGGGTTAAAAGTACCCAAAAAATGGAAATTTTACCGATGCTTTGTTACAATTTAAAAGGGAGGACTCAGCATTTAGACAAATTTTTATCGTGTATCTATAAAGCATTAATTATGAATTCCAATCCAAAAGTGATAGAAAATTTACAAACTGCTATAAAACTGGTAGGGAGATATGTTAATACTGATAGCTATATGCCTCAAGTTCTTGCTGCTTTAATGGTAAGGTAAGTGATCGACAGCCTTCTCAGTCTTCATATATAAAATTTACTATAAAAACCTATTATAAATTTATTATATAATTCATAGAGAAAATTCATAGGAAAAAAGCATATATGTTTTAAGACAATTTTTAACTGTTTTCAGGGAGATTTTCAAGAAGATCAAGACAAAATGCATGAAGGAGCTCTAAAAGCATTAAAAAATTTATTAGAAGGAGTAATTGAAGCATTGCCACCTGATAGAGGATTATCAAGACTATCCAGGCATATAGACCCTCTAATAGATTCCTTACAAAGACTATTACCATTTATTGTCCCAAGCCAAATCCAAGACTTTTTAGAAGTCCTTGACACCCTAGTCACAAATTTATCTGAAAAAATACAAGAACTTGGCAATGTTTCAGAGCTGACAAACCATATAGAAACTCTAATAAAAATGATTTTAAAGGCAGAGTCAATGAGCAGAAAGGAGCCAAATGATAAGCTTGGGAACAAAATTTTATCTTCTATTATAAATATTACAGCTTATGAAGAAACCAGAACTAAAAGTATAGGCTCTCAGTCAAACTTTTTGGCAGCTTTTACAAATATATTAAAGCAGCTAGAAAATTCAAACATGGAATATTGGCATCCTTTAGATCAAAATGTAATGCATATTTAGTGGCAAATTTTTGTAGTAGCAGTGCATAAAGTCGATTCATTTCATGAACTGACTGATTGTAAGCTGATTATTGACCAAGCGTTAAATATCATGAAAATAGTAAACTTTTTTAGATAAATATTTTTTAATTTTTTTGTAAAAAAAAAAAAAAAAATTAATTGAGTTTATATGGAGTATCAAAATCTGAAAGACTTTTTAGCATTCATAGAGAAATTTTGACACTAGCAAAATATTCATTTTTTGACTCGGAAAAAATTGTGAAGACTATCCTGGCTAGCTGTTTATTGGGTGATTGCCCTAATAAGGAATTAAAATCATCATTAAGATTAGAAGTGCTAGAAATGCTAACTCCCCCTCTCTCCTTGAGCCTACAAAGCCAGTAGAAAAATCACTATTTTTTTGGGTAAAAACTTGCCTTCAGTGAGCAAACAAAAAATTATTTTGATATATAGGTTATAATTATTATAATGAAATCTCTAGATAATTCTGTTTAATTTTAAATAGCTTGCATTTAAAACTCAAATTTTAAAAATTTAAATTAATATTTACTTTAAAATTATTTCGACTTGGATGTTTTTTTAAAATTAGCTATAAATTATATAATTTTTTAATAAAAAAATCAACCCCCTCCGTAAGTGAACAAAGCACTTTTTTTTTCATCACGGATGGGGAGTAAGCTTATTTGGGGTCTCAACAGCCCATAAAAAGCTAACTTGGGGTCTTTATCAATCATTATCGGACTCAAATTTAGAAGTTGTTGCTAAATCTTTAGAAGAGCTTCATATCCAATTAGAGACATTAAAAAACATTGTGTTGGAAAAACCTGACTTTTTAAGCGGATTTGTATACAAAAATAAAGAAATTCTTCCAGCATTAACAGCTAAATTTTTAGAATTTTTTGAAAACCCTAATGAAAATATTCAGTTGAGCTCAACTTTAGTGCTACAAGACTTGTTACAGTGCCTTCCAGTGGTGGTTTTTGATATTTTAAATGTGAAAAATCCGATTTCGCATGATTATTATGAGAAATTTGAAGAAGAGTTATTGGGGAATTTCAAAGAGGTAATTAGAAAGGTTGTAGCGACCTATTTATCACAGCCAGAAGGGCCATTTAAAGAAAGCTTGCATAGCTGTTTACTTATAATAAAGGAAAAGAACTCAAAAGCTATTTATATTGAAGCTATTGAAGCCAAATCAGCAGGAATGCTCAAGAGATGGGATTATTTGAATGCGATTTTCCATCTACATTAATATTTCTTCGATAATTATAAGTCTTTTGCCTAAATATAGTCATTTAAATATATTTTAAGAAGCCCATTAAATTTTAAAAATAAATAAAATAAATATAAGTTTATATTACCATTATTGTTCGATATGATGATTATAAAGTATATCAAGCCTATTTATGTATAAAATCAAATAGATTAGCAGCAAATAATTTTATAATTATTAAAATGATTTTTGTTAAAAATTTTGAATGCTTTTTTTATCCTTTTAAACCTTTTAAAGAATAATATGCAACTCATAATTAATTAAGACGTTATTTAATAATAAAAAAATTGAATTTCAATCTTCCAGGGTTGGAAATTTAATTTATTAAATAAAGATATAATACATATAAAGTTTCATCTTATTCTTCATAAAAGCTGAAAATTGTTTTCCTTTTATTCATAATTGGTTCAGAAATCAGAAAATATTAATATTTTTTTATTTAGAAAATTTATAAAATTATTATAAAAGTCTTTAGAGTCTGTTTAAGAATTAACTTGGGTATTAAAATTATGAACTAAAAATAGATGGCTTTGTAATTATTTATAAATAGTCTGCATAAGAGTCATATTAATGATTTGACTATTGTTGACATTTTGATAAGAAATTATGATTATTTTTAAAAGTGGCATCTAAAATGATAATTTTATCATTTTTGTTTCAATTTTAAACATTGAGGTTTATTAAACATATGACTAAGAGTATATTGAATATAAAATTTCTATGTCAGTGTTGATCAACTTTGGTTTTGTGAATCTCATAAACTTCAAATGAATCAATTTAAACTATTTAATTATGGTAATCGATCTTAATAATTAGACTTCCTATCCTGTCCAGAAAAAATTCCTTCTAAGTATTATTTCGAAATTTTCGCAAGTTATTGTTTGATCATTTATAATTTATAGACTAAATTTTAGCTTCACAAAATCCTTAATTGAAGAAGAAGATCATTTGTCTATGAATCTACTTAATTTTATGCTAAATTCATGCTGAAGGTTCTCATCTTCGAATATTGCTGTTTTAATAAAAATGAATGGTCTAAATTTTTTTTTAATTCACGAAATTTTTATTATAATTTAAATGTCGATCTTCAAATTAAGCCATTTACTTCTCTTCAATTTGAAATAAATATTTAGATAATGAAAGCAATTGCAGCTGGCAAATGGTCAGATGAAGAGCATAAAACGTACGAAGAAGCTGTAAAAGAAGGCCTTTCTTGGAAAGAGGTCGCGCGAAGAGTTGGTACTCGATCAGAAACTCAATGCCGATCGCATCACCAAAAAATGAAGGTCCGCAAATTACCATCAAAAATGTAAGATTTATTTCAGGAAAGATAAAAGCACTCAGTATGAGTCTCAGTTGGATTCGTTATCCTGGGAGTATGTAAGGCCAGATGAGCCAAAATATGAGGTCTCTTCTCCGTCAACCGATGTATCTGTATCTTATGAGTCAGGAGTGTATTATACTGAAGCCTTACCGGAATTTTGTGTGAAATAAGCCGATATTGTTAAAATATTTTTTTAGTTATTTTAAGTTAAATGCCTTTAGGTAAAGCATCACTTAGGTACATGGTTGCCTCAAAACCTTCTTCACTAAGATATCCAAATGATTTAAACAACCTTTCGACGTTATTTAAAGTAAGTTCGGAAGCGCGAAATATATGCTCTGCCATTGGGATTTCATATTGAGTACATGCATCAATCCTAAGTGAATCTTACATAGTGATGCCTATTTTAGCAATTCGGTTGCTAGTTGGATTTATTTTCATCTTTTGATGATGGGATCTGCATTGTTGAATCGTTCTACTGGCAACAACTTTCGCTAGCTTTTTCCAGCTAAGACCCATTTTTAAAGCTTCTTCGTATCTTTGGTGCTCAGAATCAGTCCACCTACCGTGGTTTATCTTTTTACCCTTAGTCATTATTTATTATTGCGTAGCGTAATAATTCAATATTTAATAAATAAAATGTCTAGAATTCTTAACGAATTCTAGCCATTGATTTTTTTCACTGAGCTCTAGTTAAATAGGCTCAGCCATCTTGGAGCTCCATGAGGAATTATAAGCAATAATAACACAGGAGAGCAGATACATAAGACCTGTTGCAGCTGTGCTTATTATTTGCTTAGTAGTATCTGGAATTGCATGCACCATTAGAGAAACGACTTCCTTCATCTTCTAGCTGCTGAATAAGCAGAATTACTCCATTCTTGATGAGCTGGATTATCTTTTCTTACCACCATAGGGCGCTTCAGCATCGGATTATATCTGATATTGATCACAAAAAAATAACTAATGATGTTCAACTCTAAGATAACTATCCTTCCAATTTACTTATCAGGCACCTTAAAGGTGCTAGCCTCCGCCATCTACGGTAAGATACTGCTAATAATTGTTTGGCTTCAAACAATAAGCATTAATAATTATAGTATTCCACTTGACAAGCATCACTCTTGATGCATCAAGTATGCAACATGATCTTGAGTAATAATCTGCTGTAGTCCTTCCTATAATATGCATGCTGATGTAACTAACTTATATCTTTTCAGAGAAAAAGTAATGAATAGCCATTTTAGTATTTTCCATAATCTTGGATCATCATATGATCCAATTCAGCTCGTTGGTAGCATGTGTCTCCTAAGCAAAAAAGCACAAGTTTTGGAAGTTTCTGAAGTGGGAGCATTGATGGAGAGCTGCACTAGTGCAGCTATTTTGCATAAATGAGGGTAAGTCCTATCAATTAATAGGATGTCATCCTCATATGACGCAAATACTCGCACTATTTGCGTCATGTGCAGATTTTCAAGGAGCTAGATGCAGCAGACTAAACCTGGAGAGTAAATTTGAAGCAGGCTCCACGGCTGTTGGGCGCAATTATATTATAGCCAGCCCCTTATTGATTTAACTTTAATAATTCAAAAGCTTTCTATAACTAAGTCTTAAATCGATTCGAAAACTCGTGAGAATTCAATTTAACAGAAAGAAATTTAGAATTTCTTGGAATAGCTTAAATGATCACTTATTGTGTTTTGGTACGATTAAAAAGTCATAACTCGTATAACTATTCGCAATCTATCGATCTATTCTATTCTTAATTAAATCTGCCTCCTTAACTTCTATTGCTCGCAATGATGAGCTTTAAGATCTAAGATTTTCTACACTAAAGTCAAAAATAAGTTAAAAGAACCTTAAGAAATGCTGCGTTTGCATTAAAATTGATGCATTTGCAATAATATTATGTGGCGTTAGAGATTTAAAGATGTGTTGAAAATCTTGTATGATCAGCATAAAAATATGGATATTTCTTGTCAATCTTACAAGATTCATCTTGGGATAAGCTATCTCGATTTAAATCAGCTAGCTCTCTCTATGGATTATTATTCAATATATTAATATAAAACTCCCAGAAAATTATTATATAAAATAATTTACATTCAAGGAATTAAGAGACCAGAATCAAGAATTATTCATTATTACAGACTCAAATATTTACCATTATTACAAGATTAAGATTTATACGGCCATAAGGGGAATCCCACTAGTCGGCCTACATTGACTTCAGGTAAGGTGGCCTATACACCAAATTACAAATAGAGGGACAGAGGCCTTGTTTTCAGCGTCATCAGGATGGGTCCGACCTACTCCATAGTCGTACCAATCTCCATCAACTTCACATTTTATTTTTCCATTATCACAAGGAATGAATTAATTCATCAAACTGCCCATGCTACATCATCCAATCCGGAGAAATCCACAAATCAAGAGAGACAAAAGCAGAGATTGAAGACTTTTTATTCCAAAAAAATTGCACCAAAAATAGCACTCTTATTGCCCTTGGCGGAGGAGTTGTAGGAGACATAGTTGGGTTCTTAGCTTCAACATATATGCGAGGGATTGATTTTATCCAAATTCCTACATCCCTTTTAGCCATGGTTGATTCTTCAGTCGGTGGCAAAACAGCAGTCGACACGCCTTTTGCTAAAAATTCAATTGGCCGCATTTATCGTCCCAGAGCGGTTTATATAGACATTGCCTTTTTAAACACCTTGCCACATGAGATGTGGGCAGCTGGATTTAGTGAGATAATTAAAATGAGCATCCTAAAAGACCATGATCTTTACAGTCTACTTAAATCAGCTACCATAAATTCTCTCAAAAATGACTCCCAGCTATTACTAAAAGTAATCAGTACGTCAATTCAGCATAAAGTTGACATTGTAATTCAAGATGAATTAGATAAGAGCTTAAGACAAGTTTTAAACTTTGGTCATACAATTGGACATGCTATAGAAGCAGAACTAGATGGGTTCTGGAATCATGGATTTTGTGTCAGTGTAGGGATAATTAAAGAGATTGAGGCTGCTTTTATGATGGGAAAAACTGAAATTGAGATTGATGAAATTAAAGAAATTTTAATATGGCTGGGAAGTTTTTATATATATTAATTGTTATGCCAGATTGCTTTGGCATAGCTTTTCAGATTAAAAATAACAGAAAAAAAATTTAGATAGGAAAGGATGCATTAAAAATGTATTGGAGATAATAAAACAGTATGAATTACCTATAGAAATTCCAAAGATGAATACAGATAAACTGCTGATGAAAATGAACTTACTTCTTACCTTAAACTAAAGCTAAAAGTTGGTATCAATATAAAGGATAGATTTTTTTAAATAAAAAAATCTATTGAATGTGACATTTTTGTTTTTTTTTAATTTCTTGTTATGAAGAATTAAATCAAAAATTAATTGATTCAGTGTGCTAACTATTTTATAGCTTTCTACGCCCAAACTCTGTGCTAGATCAGGCCTTCTAATTTATTTGTTTTATTCAAAAAGGGAAGTTAGATAAAAAAAAGCTAGGAAAAGAAATTCCAATTTTAGTCCCTACAGAAATCGGAAAAATTCCTACAGAAGCCCTTAAATGTGATGCAAAATTAATAAAATGTATACTTGAAGATGACATAAGGCCTAAAGGAATTCCTGATTTTTCAGCTTCACTTGAAGTTTCTGGGTCTAAATCAATTACAAACAGAGTCTTATTGATTTCTTCATTAGCAGAGGGAACCACTATAATAAAAAATTCATTAGAAGCCGACGATACTAAGGTTATGATGAAATCTTTACAAACTTTAGGCATAGGTGATCATATAAAAACAGCTGATGGATGAATAATCACAGGCAAAATCCCTAACTCCCCCCCCTCCGTGAGCGAACAAAAAAATTTTGTTCACTCACGGAGGGGGGTTAATTTTTTTTTTTTTAAAAAAATTTATATATAAATTTTACAAAAAATATTTTTTCGAAATTTAAAAAAATCCTAATTCGCAAAAATTGGAAAGCAAATATTAATTTAATTTATAAAATTTATATTTTTTAAAAAGCAATTCGTTTAAAATTAAAACAGAATTAGCTCTAGATTTCATTATACTAATTATCATTTATATATCAAAATCTTTTTTCATCAAAAAATTTTTCTATTAAAAAAATTTTTGTTCACTCACGGAGGGTGGGTTTTTGGGCAAAAAATAGCGATTTTTCTAATGGTTTTGTTCACTCACAGAGGGGGGGGGAGTAAAAATAATCCCCAAGAAAAAGAAATTTATATAGGAAACGCTGGCACTGCAGCCAGATTTTTGACAGCAGTTTGTTTATTATTAGAAAATGACACTGTTATTAAAGGCTCTTCTAGGATGAATGAGCGGCCTATTTCTGATTTAAGCGAAGCTTTAAATAATGCTGAAAATAGAGTAGAGTTTATAGAAAACCAAAACCATTTCCCTATAAGGGTTAAAGGAGGAGGCTTTAATGGTGGTATAATTGAATTAAAAAGTAAAATCAGCTCTCAATTTGTATCAGCAATTTTAATTGCTGCTCCACTGTTTAGAAGTGAGACTACTCTAATTTTGACTAATTTAGACGAAAACGAAGAGCCAGTTTCAGCTTCTTATATAGAAATGACTATTAAAGTGATGAATATTTTTGGAGCACAAGTTGAAAAAATAAGTATTACGGCCTAGATAAATATCGTGGGATTAAGAAGGCTTTTTTCAATACCCCAAATCAATTTTTTTTTATTTTTTAGAACTCAAGTATTTTTTTATTTGCAAAATAATCGAAAGAATTTATATAAAGTATAATAATAGAGAGTACAAAATATACCCAACTGGGTATAAAAGTCCAGGGGAATTCATCGTCGAGCCTGATGCCTGCTCACTATCATATTTTATTGCTTTATCTGTTCTACATAAAAAGCCTATCACAATTTCACGAATAAATTTAAATTCAGTCCAAGGAGAATTAGAATTTTTAAACGTGATTGAAGCAATGGGGGCTACGATAAGGTGCTATAACAACAGTATTGTAGTAACTCCTAATGACCTAAAACCAGTCACTGTGAATATGAATAGATGCACAGATTCCTTTATTACTGCAGCTATCATAATGGCTTGCACAGAAGGAGTCAGTATAATTACTGGAATTGCTAATCAGAGGGTAAAAGAATGCAATAGGATTAAAGCAGTCATAGCTGGGCTTCAAAAGGTAGGGGTTTATTCAGAAGAGCTGGAAGATGGGATTAAAATATATGGAAATTCAGCTGATTTATTGTTTGGGAATTATGAAATTGAGACTTATGATGACCATAGAATTGCCATGGCTTTTGGGGTGCTGTCAACTGTGATAAAAGGAGGAATAGTGATAAAAAGAAAAAATGTTGTAAATAAAACTTTCCCTGAGTTCTGGAAAATACTAATTTCATGTATTGCTAGGTATTAATCAGCCTTTAAGAGGCCGTCCCAATAGTTTTTAGTATTAATAATTTTTTTTTAAAATTAAATTTTTTATTTTTGATGTAAGAGAATGTGGAATTGAGTATAAAAGTACACAAAAGAAAAGGAAAAAGCCAAAAAGTCTTGTTTTAATTGGGATGAGAGGAATTGGAAAATCATCTATAGCGTGAAAATACGCAGAAGAAACTGGATGGGAATTCCTTGATATTGATACAATTATTGCAAATGATTTGAAAGTTGAAAGCCTGAGGGATAATTAGGATTATTAAAAGCCAGGCACTAATTATATTGGTAACGCAGTCACGAAAGACCTTCTGTACGCTTGCGATACCGGACTCTGCTTGCTCGAGGAATTCAGTCGCCTGAATCCTGTCTCAACAGCAGTCTACTCCCGGGACCTGGGATTTGAACCGATATTCCTGAATCTTGGCAGGTTAGAAAGACTCCTCTTGCTCCATGTCGTTTGGATGCTATGGAGGCAAAGATTAGCTCGATGCTTCCTGTCAGCCATCTAGAGGGGAGGTGACACAGTGAAAAAAGAACTACACTCTCCGGAATGGTAGGGAACGACCAAAAACCATCGGTTAACTAATATCTGAACTGGAATCACCAACAGCTGACTCCCAAGGTTTAACCATCCCATGCAGCTGCTCTAGGCAAGCTAAGAAGGCCTAGGCCTTAGTTAAGGTTATAAAGTGATTTTGGCGTCAAAATTGATGCGCTTTCGTCAAGGGCATATTTCGTCGCCACCTTCATATTAATATTTCTCAGTAGAGGAAGCTCATGAGTCCTTGGATCCAAAGGATGCTTTCGGGCACCTCCATTTCCAATCACAGGGATGCAGTCAAAACTTACCCGGTACACATCTTCTGAGGCTGCACTTGATTTCGGCTCGGAGTTCGTCCCCGTTCGCGTGGTCATAAAGTCTGGACTGCTGCGCCAAGAGGGCAGGCTGACACAAGTCGCCGTTTCAATATATATCTGAAAGCCTAAGGGACTGGATTTATAATCATGGAATTCTAGCATTCAGAGAGCTAGAATTTGCCACTTTAAGTAAAATCATCAGAAAAGAAAGAGTCATCATTTCTACTGGAGGTGGGATTATTGAGAATCCTAAATCTTTAACCCTTTTAAAAGCTTTTTATCCTGTTATATGAATGAAATCAAGCATCAGCAATATCGCTGAAAATATAGAAAACGACGAAAATCTAAATAGAATTTCAGGAGATATAGAAGAAACTTATGCATTTAGGAAACCATTATACAAGCAAGTCCATGACTTTAAATTCTATTATTTTTTTAGGGACATAGACGAGGTTTTTGGGTCATTTTTAACATTCACCAAAAGAATTTTAGAAGAAAAAGCCCCACTTCCTAATGATTTTAGCTACTTTGGCTGCATATCAAGCTTTAGCAATGGTAAGCTTTCTGAATATATCAGAAATAATAGCAATATAGCAGGCTATGAGATACGCATTGACTGTTTATCTAGCTTAAAAGAAGCTTTACAGCTATTAAGCTGCATCAGAGAAATATCAGACTCTCTCCAAATTATCCTAACCTTAAGGACAGCCCAGCAAGGTGGAAAATATAATGGAAACGACTATTGGAAAATTCTTCATAAAATTATATCATGGTCCCCAGACTTTATTGACGTAGAATTCGCCCCAACTATAGATTGAAAACACAATTATAATGAATTCCTACAAAAATGCATATCCCCTCGAATAATCCTTTCTTATCATAGCCATAATACAGAAAACTTAAAAGAAATCCACTATATGATGACCCAAACCAAACCAGACATCCTCAAATTCATCTCCCCAAGCTTTGAAAAACTCCCCTCCCCAGGCTTCCAAAGAACAATCCATTTTACAATGGGAAAAGAAAATATCATCACCAGAGTCCAAAACGCCTCTACCAATTATGTATCATTATCCGAAAAACTTGCAGAAGGTCAGCTTACATTTGAAGAAATCCAAAATTTTCAATTTTCGCTTAATATTTCTCCTAGTCTATTTAAATTTTACGTAATTGGAAATGATGTAAAAAAATCGCCAAGCCCTTTTCTATTTAATTCGATTTTTGAAGAAAAAAAAATTCCTTATAATTACTCACTCCCCCCTTTAAATTGGAACAAAATATAGGTAAAATTTCAGCTTTTTTGGTAAATTAACCCCCCTTGAAATTGGAACAAAATTTAATTTTATAATAAAAATTATATATAATTTTTATCTAAAAAGTTTTGATATAAGTTAAATGTTTCTTCTTAACTAAAATTAATTTTTTTTTTTGAAAAAATTTTTGAAAAAAATTGTTATTTTTTTATTTAAATAGTTTTGATATAAATTCAATGCGAATTCTTTATAAAATTTCGAAATTTACTAATTTCTTGCTTTATTTTAAAGAATAGAGTAGAAATAACATCTTATTTAAACAAAATTAGCACTTTGATCGATAAATTTTATAAAATTTTTTTTTTTTAAATTTTTTTTTATCAATAAAAATAATAATTTTTGTGTAAATAATGATATCAATTAATAGCGGCGTATTAACTAACAATGAAAATTTAGTTATATCTTGCTTTGTTTTAAAGGATAAAGAGTAAATAGCATTTTATTAAACAAATTTATTAATCTAATTCGATAAGTTTTTGAATTTGTTTTTATAAAAAATTTTATATATGATATTTTTTTAAAAAAAAAAAATTAACCCCTTAAATTGGAACAAAATTTTTTGTTCCAATTTAAAGGGGTGGGGGGAGTCAGTTATGGAAACCCAGGCATTAGAGCCAATTATTCATATGATAAAAAGCAGAGAGTGCTTAGGAGGCTCAGTCACTATTCCATTTAAAGAAGAAATAATGCAGTATTTAGATTTTTTGACTGATGATGCAAAAGAATTAGGAGCTGTTAATACGCTAATGAAGCATAATGGAAAACTGATAGGGGATAATACTGATTGGCTTGGAATTTATTGTCCAATTGTCGAGCTGGGTAGAAAATTTGAGAAAGCTGTGATTTTAGGAGCTGGAGGGACTTGCAAAGCAGCATTATATGCATTAAGGAAGCTGAAAGTTAGAGAAATATGGATATGGAATAGATCAGAAGCAAGGCTACAAGGCATAAACTGGCCTAATAAAACTACAAATTTAAATTTGGCAAGTGGCGCTGAGCTAATCATAAGTACGCTGCCAGGAATCGCAGAAGTTGACCTCCCCTGGCTAAATCCAGCCACAGTTATTTTAGAAGCTGCCTATTTTCCTCCAGAAACCTACATATCAAGACAAGCTACAATTGCTGGCTCATTAAGAATAAGTGCCCTCACAATGTTTGTATATCAAGCTTATTATCAATATCAGTATTTTACAGGCAGAAACGTTGCTTTATCTAAAATTAAAAAATATACCAAACTTTAATTATGGGATTTTCCCATGGATGGCGCTTTTTGGCCTTGATTTTCCCACTGGGAAAATTTTTTGGTTTGACCAAACCATATGGCACTGGTCGAATCAAAAAAATTTTCCAGTGGGAAAATCAAGGCCAAAATAGCGCCATCCACAGGAAATTGCAATATAAGCAAAAATGGCAAAATATATAGCATTCTTAGCATTAATTTTGACTGTAAAAAGCTGAAATTGGACACTGAGTGGGGAATCATATGATAATTATCCGAGTTTGCATGATATAAAAGAAAATCTGAATTTTACCGCAAATAAATTTCCGAATTTAGCCAGTTTTGGAACTATTGGGAATAGTACTGCTGGGATACCAATATATTTTATAAAATTATCAGCACCTGGACTGCCTAGTAGCGAAAAAGGTGGAATTTTATTGTCAGCAAGCCAAACTGCATTGTACCCTATAAACACAGTTCAAATAATCTACCTTATCAACCGCCTTTCGAAAAATTATAATGTAACAGGCAGCGAGACCTATATTTTACAGTCATCTAATATATGATTTATCCCTGTTATTAATGTAGACGCATATAAGCTTTCAGAAGATAGTCTTTTTCTAAATAAAAACTTCACAAAAAATTCCCGATTTTTCAATTGCTCTAATCAGGCTAGCAATGGGGTAAATTTAGATAAAAACTGAGATTTTGCCTGAGGAGAAACCAAAAATGGGTCTTCTAATGATTTTTGTAACGAAAATTATCGAGGAGCTTCCCCTTTTTCTGAGGTAGAAACCCAGCTGATAAAAGAATTTGTGAAAAATAAAAATATTACTACATGAATTCATTATGAAAATTATGGGAATAATTATGTGCATCCTTATAAAGCAGAAAATTATAATGCTGTTAAGAATGGTGCTAGCTTTGCGTATTCTATTTTTCAGGACGCTATGTATGTAAATCAAGTAAATTTTGGGACTTATAAAGATATTTATGGGATATATGGAGATGGCTCACTCATAGACTATGCAGTATCACAAGGAATGTTTTCAATGGAAGTTGGGATTGGGCCGAAAATACAGAATGATCCAAAAATTATGCATACTTATATATTTTCACAATGAAATGCAGCCAAGTTTCTAATGGAAACTGCTACATTTTATTTAGAAGCATATATGGGTGGGACTGTGTACGCTTGCAGCTCTGATCCCACAAAATGCGACCCAAAGAACGACTTTGCTTACATTGATTTTGAAGTAGAAATCATAAACTCTGGGCTAACTGTGGCTCGAAACATTGTATTTGAGATCCAATTTTCAAATTCAAATTCTGCAGCCTATACTATGAAGCTCAGTAACTTCTTGTATCTAGAAGGTACATTAAAAGACCCGTCAAGCATAAACGACCCTATGAAGCCTTATCAATACCAAATAAACAACACCAATACCACTATCTCTCTCAGAGCAATCTTCAATTTTTCTCCTTTTGATGATGCATTTATCACAATGAACCTCCAAGTTTATAGGCAAAAAAATAATTCAGCCACAAATTCAGTAATTTCATATAATGCTAGCATTTATCCAGAAAAACTTGACAATAAAACGATGATGATTCTTTATGATCAAGGGACAGTTGTGGTAAATCATAATGCTAGCGAATGGTCAGGGAGTAATTTGATAAAAATGAAGGCTTCAAACATGCTGCTTTTTTGTGTAATGGGTATTGCTCTTTTGCTGATTTTTATTATTTTTTTTAGCATTTATAAAGTTATTTGGATTTTGAAGCAAAATGTTAAAGACGGAAAAAACATAAAAGACATAAAAGACATAAAAGGGGAGTCGAAAAGCTTTATTAACACTGTTTAATATATTTATAATAGAAAATATCTGTTTATACCCACAATTTAATAAAGTATTGAGTTTTTTCTTTTTATATATACATAAAAATTATTAATTTTTTAAAGCTGCAAAATCATTTCACCTTCTCCTTCCTTTTTGTCATCAAACCAATTGCCTGAAAACCTGACTTCTTTTTTGTGGTTATACAAAGTCCCTTGTCCTTGTCTTTTATCCTGGATCCACCATCCTTCATAGACTTCTTCAGTTTCTTTGTATTTCATCAATCCAAATCCGTTTCTTTGGTTTTGATTCCATTCTCCAATATATTCATCTCCATTTGTGTATTCCATATGTCCATTTCCGTCCATAATTCCATTATGAAACTGCCCATTATATTTATTTCCATTTAACAAATATAATTTTCCTCTCCCTTCTGGTAGCATTGTTTTTACTTCCCCTTCATATTTATCTCCATTAGGGAAAATCAAAAATCCTTCTCCTCCAAACTCCCCGTTCAAAAAACGTCCTCTATATTCTCTCTTATCAGGTGTGGTAAATTTTCCTCTGCCATGCATAAGCTCTTCCATCCATTCTCCTTCATAAATATCCCCATTTAAAAAATAAAGCGTACCTAGGACATTGTGTCTTCTATCACTTTTAAAATTTCCTACATATTTTATTCCATTTGGCCAACTTATAGTCCCTTTTCCGTTTCGTAAATCATTTTTCCATTCCCCTTCATAATCAGCTTCAAATTCAGGCAGCCATGAAACTTCATGGTCAGGGTCTGTATAACTGATTTTTCCTGGGCCATTTTTCAGCCCATCTTGGAAATTTCCTTCATATAATGCATATTTACCATAAAAGGCAATCCCATAGCCATTAAGTTTTCCTGAGCGAAACTCGCCGATGTTTTCTCCACTTTTAGAAGACATAAAAATGACATCAGAGCTGGTTATTTGATAATTATCAAAGGTCGGCAGGCCTGTTTTTTTGCCGAAAATTCTGTATTTATATTGTGTTAAAGCTTTATTTTTTTGGGCTTCATAGTCAATTACAACTGGAGGGGGCTCTTTTCTGTTATTATATACAAAAACTTTGCGTTTGGGAGGAGGGGGTGGAGGAGGAGGTGGAGGTGGCTTTGATTGATCTTTAGGCATGAATTCAGGGATCACATAAACGCCTTGTCCACATGTATAATCCATATAGAATTTCCCTTCAAATCAAGATTTATTAGGGAAAATCAGCATTCCTAGCCCTTGTCTCATATCAGCAACCCATTCTCCTTCATATCTTGCCGCGCCTTGATAAATCATAACCCCTCTTCCTTCTCTTTTACCATTTACAATGGATCCTTGGTACTTTCCTCCTTCTGCATACAAAATAGTCACAAAATCTCCTTGAAGGACGTCATCTTTTCAGTCCCCTTCAATTTCATGGCCACTTCTGAGTTTCATTGCGCCTGGGCCATGCTTTAAATTGTCTTTTCAGCATCCTGTATAATGTGCTTGCATAGCACTATAAAAATAAGTCCCTTTTCCGTTTCGCATGTTCCCCATCCAATTTCCTTCATACCAGTCTCCATTTTCGTATTCAATTTTTCCTGTCCCTTCTCTTTGGCCTGACCTATATCCTCCTTTATAATGCAAAATATTTAATTTTTCTGGAAATTCTTCATAGAGCTTCTCTTCTAAGGCTTGGGTGTTTAATAGTGCAGCTGGGCCGTTTTCGCCGTCTCTTTGAAGTTTCATATGAAGTTGTGATGGATTTCAGATAAGTCTGCTTGTTTTTTTAGATAAATCTTTTTTGGTAGATGATGAACTTCTAATTGTTAGGCGTTTAAAAGTACTAGAGCGAGGACTGTCTAAAGATAATCTCGCAGTGCAAAATTTAGATACAGAATTTGATTTGACTGTATTAGGTCTGATTAATTTTGGCTGTGTTGTTGAGCTTTTCCATGAGGTCAAATCAGCTGTTATTTCACTTAAAATTACGTTTGGCTGGTTTGTAGGAGGTTTAAATTGTTTGATTTTTTTGAAATCTTTGAAAAGTACTGGGATTCTTTGGGTCCGACCAAGGTTTTCAGGAACTATGGCGATTGGACGATCTCCTGATGTAGAGGAAACTCTTACGATTTTTAATGGACCAATAAATGAGGAATCTTCTATTGTACTGGCAAGACTGTGGGCTGTTGTTTTAGATTTAACTGAGATTTTGGGTGGAGAGTAGCCTCCCATTCTGACTATAGGAGGCTGAGACCTAAAGAGATGACCTGTATAGACTTCCATAAGTTTTTCTTATAAATATATAGAGGTTTTTAAAAAATAATTGATTTTTAATAAAAAATTTGAAGAAATTATTGAAAAATAATAAATTATTCCATCAAAGTAAAGAAACCACTTACATCAAATAAGGGTCATCATTAATTTTTGCCTCCTCCTGGCTCTGCACTTGCACTTCTTCATTTTCTGCTTCAAGATAATTGCTTTCATCATCACTCACAACCGCTTCATTTTCATTCGGTTCCTGAGTCTCTTCCGAAGGACTGGCCTCCCCACACTCAATTTCCTGTCTTTTTTCATCCCCATACACCAAAAAATTCAGCCCTTTTTCATACAAATCCGGCATATGGTCACTCAGCATTGTCCTGGCATACACAATTTCATAATACAGCTCCGGTTCCACAAATTCCCCTACATACAAATTTTCCAAATTTTGTGTCTCATACAAAATTTGGGCGTCACTATGCCTTAACCTATGATAAATCTGAAAAATATGCCCAGGAGGCTGCAGCTTATAGTTGGTGAAATTTGATTTTATGTCCTCATAAACAGCTAAAATTTCTGTATCAGTATAAGTTCCTTTGAAAATTTCTTTATTGACGATATGAGAAGCTTTTATTCCTGCAGTCCGGTCTCTTCTATGAAACGCCTCGATCATCCCAACTGCGTCTTTTATGGCTCCAAAAGAGCATCTGACGACTAGGTCATTGCCATGTGAGCAGCTCATGACACATTGTTTTAGATAATGGTTGAGATTTTCTGATACAACTGCAGGAGGGGCATAAGCAAAAGCTTTGAACCCTTTTCTCATAATGTCAGGGTCTGACATCCAGATTAGGCTTAATAAAGCGGTGGAGCCAGCTCCTAGACTATGTCCAGCTATTACTAAGGAGTAGTCAGGGAATTTTTCAAGTTGTTCTATAATTAGAGGCTTGAGATTGGTGGCTAAATTTTTGGCACATTCCATGATGCCCATATGAACAGAGCCTGTCGCTTTAATTTCGCCTGTAAATGGGTCAGTGTAGTCATGAGACGTATATTCACCTTTGAGATCAGTCATACAGTCAAAAACTGACATTGTACCTCTGATGCATAAAATTATGGATTTTCTGGTATGGTTTAAACATATTGTATGTCCTGGAAAAAACCTTTGGGATTTTATATGGGAGTATGCAAGGTCTTGTTGGCTTGTATTGGAGTATCTTAAAAAGATTTGGTCATCATTTATTTTTTTGAACAAATCAAGGACTTTTTTCTCCATCAGAATGTTGATAAGATATTTGCCATATATAGCAGTTGCATATCGGCTGTAATAAGCCATTTCTTCTAAAGAAGCTGCCATATCAGGAGTCCTTGGGACGATAACAGCTTTCCACAATAAATGCCTTGCTCGCTCCTGTACAATAACGAATGCCATAAAGTATTGCCAAATTTTATGGTATGGAATATTTTTACACTCCTTCGTGCTTTCCTTAATAAATTCAGAAATTTCTCGAATGGTTTCTCTGTTTTCAATAGAAAAAGCCCAACTTTTATCAATGCCAATGCCAACTTTTTTAAAGTATTTTTCCATATCTTCTTGTTGGGCATTGAGTCCTCTTTCTACAATGTTTAAATTGTTCATGGTATCTTGGTAATTTGCGACAAGACTGTAGGTTGTCAGCTTTTCTACACCCCGGTTCATCTTTTTCAACCCATTAAACAGCCATGATAACTTCCGATGTGTCCCTCTATCGACTTCTTCAAAGAATCCGTTGATTCCTGTAAATATCTGTTGGGCGCCTTCAATCATTATTTTTGTCGAGTGCTTTGCGGCAGGTTTAGCTACATTTTCAATAGCTGCTGCGCTAGCGGATACAACTTTATAGCTATTTTTCTTAAACCTCTCCATTTTTAATCAACAAGTTATAGATGCTTAAAATCGATAAGTAAATATAATCAGTATAGCTAAACGTTAAGATATTAGTTCTTATTTTTGTATAAAGCCAAACTGATAATGGATAATTATAGAATGACCCCAAGATTGAAGCCATTTATAAGATTAGATAAGATTAGATTAGATTAGATTAAGCCGTTTGCCTTGCAGGGCCGGGGATTCTCACCCCTACACGCTTATCGCCCCAGAGGAGCCTCGGCGGACACCCTCCTTGTTGCCTCAAACAAGGGATTCGCACAACCAGTCTTGACTTCCATGGCTTCTGGAGTCTAGGGCCAACCACCTGGGTCGAAACTCCCAGTTTCTCGTTGGGCAAATACCGTCTTCTGAGTCTGAGGGTCATATTGCCCTCAAACATTGGCCGACCTTGCCCTTTCCAATGGTTGTACTGGAGGAAAAACTCCAAGTCCGAGAATTAGCTCCTCGGCTCGAAGAAAACCCCAGCCCGACTATACATAAAGGATTACCGGCCCCTTCCACCTAAATCTCCATCACTGGGCCGTTGCCTGCTGGTGTTGAAGAAATAGGGTCGAGAGGTCGGGTGGTCTGTCGTTACCATTTTTATGTATATCCATTTATAAGTATAAAATCTTATCGTGACTTCATATATTGAAACTCTAATAATGGAAAATACTCCAGCTTAGCCAAGAAGTGTTATCAATGTATCAGAGTGTTAAAAAACTTGTTTATAGAATGTGCGAGATATCAAAGGTGCTAGAAATTTAATTATCTGCCAAAATCAGGGATTTAAAACAAATTTTAAAATCAAATATTGAAGACTAATAAAGTATTTGGGTTTTGATAAGAATGGCAAAGATAGAGAGCATCAATTGCGGTTTTAAAAAGGATGTCAAGAAAGAGCGTTAAAGAAATTAAATGAATAGGCTTGGAAACCTATAAAAGGTTTCATATAAATTAGCCAAAAACGCAAATTTTTCGACTTTTATATTACGATATGCTGAAAAAACTAGTAAAATTAATAAACCTGGATTTCTAAAAGTGTCAAGAGAAAAATTCAAATAATTCTTATATAAATAAAATTTACAAGCAAAAATTTTATGCAAATCAATATCAGCTAACAATTAAAACTTACCTAATAAGAAATTAAGATAAAATTAGTTAACTCCCACACAATTTTCATATAACTTTTCGCCTTCTTGAAATGGTGAATAAATATGAAGTTGCTTCTAGCAGTCACTATCATTGCTTGTGCGTCTGCAACCCAATGGGTGCCAATAGCTACCCCTCCAGATGGCTTTGCTATGGGTCCAACAACCACCAATTATACTCTTGAAGTATTCTATGATCATCTTTGTTCAGATTCTGCAGCAGCATGGCCAGGACTTTTCCAATATTGGCAGCAAAATAAAGATTGGCTACAGCTGGTCATTCACATCCACCCTCTCCCATACCATTATTATGCCTTTATTGTTGGTGTAGCAGGAAGATTTATGATATGTTAATATTTTTGCTTGATAAAATGTCTCTATATAGATTTTACCTTGAAAATAAGCCGTTAACAGCTAAAAAATTTTTTTTTATAAAAAATTTCAACATAATAAAGTATTTTCAGATAAATTATTCATAGAAAATCAACAAAACCGATTTATTCAACTAAACTACCCACAAAACTTCACTGATTTTGTAACCTGGATGTTTGTCCACCAAGACAAGTACCTTGACACTGCCCTCTACTGGAACCTTGCCACAATTAAAAGCAACCTCGCTACAGATACCCAAACCGCCACAGGTGCTCCATTTGGTCAAGTTGCCAACGCCTTAAACAACAATGCTTACTATTACGATCTTGGAGTCTCAACCACTTATGCATTCACAAGAGGTATCACTGGAACTCCTCAGTACTTAATCAATGGAATTTGGTCCCCTGACGCAACAACCTGTGAAACTCCTGGTGACTGGACCAACCTTTTCCAAGCCATTAAAAGTTAAGTAATTCACTATATTTGAATGATTATTTCTTAATTGTGTTTTTAAACCTCTCAATTGGGAATTTTTTCATATCTTCTTTATTAGTAAACGAGTAGGCTGAAGTTGTGATGCTCAGTGGGGTGTTGGTGTCGTATGATATTTTTTATGATTTTGGGATGGGAATATTTTTGGAGAAAAATGGAGGAAAAATAAGGGATAATGGTATAGCTTTTTTGGAGCTCTTTTATGACTTCATAGTCTTTATTACGGTAAAAGGTAAGGACTGTCCCTGGTTTTCCACCTCTTCCAGCTCGCCCTGCTCTGTGGACATAGTCACTGATAGTTCGAGGAAAATCATACTGGATTACATAGTTGAGAAATGGAAAATCAAGCCCTCTTGAAGCTAAATCTGTGCAGACTAAAATAGGGACTTCTCTTGCTTTGAATTTCTCGATAAATTCGTTACGTTTCTTAGGTGGGATATCTCCATGTAGAGATACTGCTTTAAAACCGCTTTCAGTTAAGGTGTACTCTGTAGCCCTCGCGCTTTGGATGGTATTGCAAAATACCATACAGCCACCTGATTTTAAATAGGGATAAATATCAGCTACATGCTTGAGCAAGGTTGGGTTTTTATTGAATTCTCCAAGGTGGATAAATTCATGCCTGAGATGTGTTAAGTTCATATGGGTTTTTTCTTCAATGATTTTCTTAATAAAAGGCAGCCTTCCATCTGGCTTAAAAGAAAAATGCTTACTTCCCCCCTCCGTGAGCGAACAAAGCCATTGGAAAAATCCCTATTTTTCGTCCAAAACCCACCCTCTGTGAGTGAACAAAAATTTTTATGAAAAAAAATTTGATATATAGATGATAATTAGTATAAAGAAATCTCTAGCTAATTCTGGTTAATTTTAAACAGATTGCATTTTAAAATATAAAATTTCGCAAATTAATTAGTTTTTACTTCTCAATTTTAAACAAATTGGAAATTTTTTAAATTTCGAAAAAAAAAATTTTACTCAAAATTTATATATAAATTTTTTAAAAAAAAAATAAAAAATTCACCCCCTCGTAAGAGAACAAAATTTTTTCGTTCGCTCACAGAGGGGAGTTAGAAATTACAGTTTCTAAGAGCCTTGGCAAGGTCGCAGCTACAAAGCTCATTTTTCCTTGTGTTCTTTTGATTTCTTGGGCGTATTGGTCAATAAAATCTACATACCCTCCATCTACCATAGTATCCGCTTCGTCAATCACAATGTGACTTAGGTACCTAAAATCTAATGTCCGCATACGCAAATGTTTATCAAGCCTATCAGGAGTTCCTACACATATATCAATACCATCACTAAGCTCTCTTTTTTCTGTTTTCATGGCATTTCCATTGTGAACGCCAAATACCTTAAGCCTAGCATGGTGTTTTAGCATCCCCATGACATCGACACATTGTTTGGTCAATTCTCTGTTTGGCACCACAATAAGAGCTCTTGGAGCGCAGGGCTGAGTCAAGATGCTTTGTTTGGCAAGTTCTTGTTCCTTTAAAAGATTGAAAATTGGTAAAAGATATGCAAGGGTTTTGCCTGTGCCTGTCTGGGCTGCAATTAAGTGATGATCTGTAAACTTAAGCATTGACGGGATTACTTGGGACTGAATTGGGGTAGGAAGTTTGATCCCGTGCAACTCTAAGCACTCACAGAGCTCTGGGAGAAGGCCGAATTTTGCAAATGCAGGGACTCCGATTGTTGCTTTCATTGTATCTAAATTAAATAGATATTAATTTTTAAATGAAATCTATTATTTAATGCATTTTTTGTAAAAACCTAGTCTATCTTTAAAATAAAGAATTATTAAAGTTCCAAAGTTATCAATTATTATTTTTTCAATTTTTTCAATAGAGCAGGTCTCTTTAAAGTCTCCAAAACTTCTCTAAACATTTCATGAAGCGTTACTGTGCCGCTATCACTATTTTTCTTCTTCAATCTATTGATTTGTTTACAAAGCATCTCCAATGTCGGCTCACACAGCTTAAACAGTTCATTAGAATATCCTTCTTGCCCTACATTTTCTGCTGAGCAAAACATTCAATTTCTTAGCTTAATTTCTATCTCATACCCTGTCCCATTTATAACAACCAATGGCCTGATCTCCACAATGCTATCAAAATCTAGCAGAGGGTGCACAATAAGCCCATTAAAGGTCACAAATAATTTATGATGGCTCGTCAGTCCCATTCCTACAGTATCATATGACCCAAATCTTGGCCCTTTAGATATTTCTATAGAGTCTTTAGTAATAACTCCAGTCAAGCTATGATAAGCAAACCCTGAACCTTTAAGCTCTATAGTAATATCTTCATTGCTCCCTGCTTTCAATATTTTTACCTCAAAATAAGCAACAACGCCTCTATGCAGTTCATTCCAATTATTTGCAATTGGCTCAGCTGTTTTAATTTCTAGATGTCCATCTGATTTAAAATTATTTGTGGTCTGGGTTGTACCATCTGATAACTCAAATGAAAACTGCTGCCGATATACAGGCAAAATAAATTGGGCTGGGTCAATGTTATTTCCTTCATGCTCTTGTGTGCAAGAACACCTAAAATGAGGCTGGTTATAATGTAAAAAACGCCGCCTATGGTTTTTATGACAAATTAAATAACAAATTGTGCAATAAGACCCTCCACACTCTAAATCCCCTCTCCATTAACGAGCCAAAATATTTTTCGCATTCATGGAGGTAAAGAATACGGATTTTTCCAATGTTTTTGTTACTGAGGAGTAAGCATTCTAAAAGTAAAGGATTTTTCCCTAAATACGAAAAATATTTTTCTTTATCATGGCTTATGCATGCTCCTTTCACATGGTGATTTTGCAGTAAACTCGGCAGGATTAAAATTTCTCCTAATATAAGTACAACCTCTTTCAGCATATAGGTAATATTTTCTTGATTTTTTTGGTTTTTCAAGCCTCTTTTCACAACTCCATGCAGCATTTTTATAAGTGCTTCACAGTTTTCCAGCTTAAAATAAAAAGGGACTTCATGTAGAGCTTCAATAGTCGCAATTTCGTTCATTCCCAAAATATTGTACGCAGACTCAATAATTTCAATAGAGTTTGGTCCATAAAAAGGCATGGTCGACCTAATGAATTTTTCGTCTTCTTCATGCTTTGGATTTTCTCTTCTCCATGTAGCTTTGGTCAAAATCTTATCAGCCATCCTGCAGTCTTTTATTATTTGCAGCATTGTCAGGGTGTTATTTCCTATGAAATTTTCTACAAACTTGCTAATTGTGTATTGGTTGACTTCCTGAGCCATTGTTAAAGGCATTAAGGAAAGAAAGCCGATTTCTGTCAAAAATTCTTTAAAGGTCTGGCTTGATAGCTTGTTCCCAGATATCAGAAAAAGAGAGTCAAGCAGATTTAAATGGTTGCTTCAGTCAAAACTTATGCAGAGTTTTAAGAAATGGTTGAGGATTTCGTATTTATTAAGATACTGGCAGGTTTGAGAACTGTTTTCAATTCCGATTTCAAGGATTTTTTTAATGCTGAGAGACCGAGCTAGCTCTGAATCAAATAATAGGCCAGAATTAAGGACGTGAAGCTCATTAAAAGAAATAGGCTCGATTAGGCTTGGGTCATTGTTAAAAAGCCCTTTTCAGACTTTTACAAAGCTGTGTGTGAAAATTGATTGGGCGTTAGAATCTTTAAAAGTCCTTTTTAATATGTGTTCTAGTGCTGGGTCGTTAAATTTTATCGGTAACTGCCCAGACCTAGCTTCTTCATCTAGCTCTCTCAGTGGCGGAATTTCATTAAGTTTTTTTACCCCTATAAGTGTATACAATGAAATTCCAGCACCCCAAATTTCTCCATCAATTAAATTTCTTTTGGCTTGAGGCGGGTACAAATGCTCCAATTTTGATTTTCCGCAAAATAAAGGATGCTTGCTAGTCACAGAAATTTTTACTCCATAAGGGTTATTTTTTTCATCAGGATTTTTATAAATAATGATACTGTCTGGTAGCAAACTTCCTAGTAAAATCCCAACTTTATCGGCTTCTTCTATTATATCTAGAATAGTAAGGAATACTCATATGCAGGTGTCTTTAGATAAAGAGCTTTGGATTTCATGCTGAGCTATTAAATTAGTGAACTCATCTAATGAATAACCGTCTAATAGCTCGTTAACGATGATTACCATTCAATATCCTTCTTCTTTGTACTCAAAAATGTCTTTGATTTCTACCAGTTTTAATGCCTGGCTGTTTTGCCGCAGCAGCTTAAGGTTGTGATGGATAATTTTTACATGGTCAAAAGAAGAGCATGGTAAAATTTTTATGTGAAATTGGTTGTTTCCGAGGTCTTTTCCTATAAAAGCATTTGTGGATTGTTGAAAATAATGTGTGAGGGAATATTCTTCGTTGGAGTAGGGGTTTGGTAGCATTATTGGAGAGTCTAAAGGGATAATCATTTCAGCGGCATTATGGCTGTGAAGCTCTTCCCAAATCTGGTCTAATGATTCCATATTAAAATATAGCCTAGGTTTTTTTCATATTTTATAAAGCTTGTGAAGATATCAGGGATGTATATAGAATAATATCTTATATGATAAGAGAGGATTAAGTGTGTAAAAAATAAGAAAAAATAGAAATCAAGGATAAATGATATGAATTTAAAGATGATAATATAAGGAAATAAAATCAGATTTTTTGAAAAATAATAAGAATTGTTATAATTTTGGGAGATTAAATGCATTTCTTACATGAACTTTGAATTCGTCAGGGTAAGAAGCATGCACGCCAGACTCTATAATGTCTTTATACATGCTTTGCTTTATGCATTGGTGGACTTCTCTTCTTTCTCCAAGAGGTGCTAATTCATTAGCTAGTTCTATTGCTCTTTCTAAGACTTTTTCTTTTGGCACAATTTCATCAATAATTTTTCGTCTTAAACCTTCTTCAGCCTCTATTCTTCTACCAAAAAGTGCTTCATGATTTTTAATTATAAATTTTTTAATAAAAATGTCATATAAATTATTTTATTTATGAGCCAAAAGTGCAATATCCCTAATTGTTCTCTCATCCATTTTACTTCTTAAAATCATATAGCCGCTCTTCTCAACAACCATACCTAGTTTCAATTCTGTCATAGAGAAAAATGCAGTAGGGGAGGATACCACATAACTTATTGCTCCCAAGAAAATGAACCCTCCTGCGACTACAGGGCCATTACAAGCTGCTATTGTAGGGAGACCAATACTGAGGAGTCTTGCACATAGTTTTTGAAGATTTTCATAAATTCTGAAAAATTCCTCAGGGCCTTCTTTTTGTAGTAGTTTAATATTCATTCCTGCGTGGAAAATATTTGGATGTGTGGAGCGGAATACAAGAGCAGTGGGACCGTCATGCTTTTCTACAGTGTCAAGGGCTCTATGAACTTCTTGAATTAAAGGAACTGTGAAGACGTGAGGGATGGAGAGAATAAAAACGCCTCCTTTCTGCTCTAGCTCGACCATATTAATGATAATTTTACAGCTAAATAATTTTCTCAAAAATATACTATAACCTAATCCAAAATAAGATTATTTAGTTAATATTTTCGAAATGTATACTAATTAAAATAGATTGGCTCTTATAAATTGTATTTTATTCACTGATACATCTTTCTTTCTCTCTACCTATTCCATCAGATCTCTGCTACTCTTTCTAATACAGAATCATCAATTATTCTCTTTTATATCAAAATATAAAATAATATATAAAATAAAAACTAATCATTAAAGAAGCTTATTACCCTTATAAAAAGTAAAGAGATCTTGACCGAGTCCAATCACCATGAGGAATAGGTGGCCCTTGGTTGGTAGCTCTTTCTCCATAAAGATAGGCAAGCTTGTGGGCATACTGGCAAGGTGCCGGCACTCTGATTGACCCACTCCAGTTGTAATATGAAAAGCACAGCTTGAAGGCAAGCCCTTGGATTTCTTCACATCTGCAGCCTGTATTATCAAAAATTACAATAAAATGCGTAGGAGTCATAGCCCCCTGGGTAGCTCTGGCTGGTAAAATATAAAAGTCATACCCATCATCAGACACAACGGCTTTATCAATAACAGTCCCAATAGGCGGATTTGATATATTTTTCCCTTGCATTTGGTAGAATCTTGAATTAGTTCTTTTATTGACAAGGGTATAAATAAGTTTTGGGTCTTCAGTCAGTCCTTGGTTTCTGCATCTGTTAAAAGCTTCCAATATCATAGGGATTTCTCTATCTAAGACCACCCTTTTTTGGCCCTCTGAAATCCCGTCCCTGAAAATTGCGATTCTTTTGGGGAATTCTTCGTTATTTGCAGCTTTAAATTGAAGCAGGGCTGAGTACATGCTGTCGGTAAGCTTAGAAATGTCTTGTTCGCCTTTGCTATTTACTTGGGGAACTGTTACGTATTTTCCGAAGTTGCGGTCAATGGAAGCACAGAAGCCAAGAATACTGAATTGGCCTCTTTTTTGGTAGGCATCAATCCCAACGATCATGGTTTTTACGTCAGAGTAAGGGAGCTGGTTGAGGGCCCATGGGATTCCGCCAAGCTTAGCTGTCATCTGCATCATGACCTTGTTTACGACTGACCTTAAGCCTTTTTCTCTTTTTAAAGTGCCAGTTAGAACTGCTTGGACAGGGATCGGTTTTACTGCAAGTACATACCTTTTAAGGTCGTCATAAAGTCTTGATTTTCCTCTTTGTCCTGGAAGCACACATACAATGAGTTGAGAATTGTTATTAGGGTTGCTAGCTCTCTCTACTAACGAAGATGATATAATTTATTTTGTTTTAATTTCAAGGTAATTTTAAAATAAATTTTTTATATTTCATTATAATTTTTTAATTAAAATAATAAATAAATCATATCTTAACTTAACTTAACTTAACTATTCGGTGTTTAAGGTGTCTAGTGCGCAGCCCCAAAAGGAGCTTTTCGCTAACTAGTGACGTCACGGAGCCATCTTGGAATCGCAGTGATCAGCCCTCCTGGCCAAGCCTTCTATCGACGCTTCGTCCCCAGCCGCCGCACATCTTACCCGGCGCGTTTCCAACGCTCTGCCCTGACTCAGCTCCTGCGCGTGTTCCGCCTAAGGGTCATCCTCCTTGGGGATGTGAAGAGGTAAAAACTCCGAGCCTCTTGAGTGCACTGAGGAGCTGTTCCTTTGGTTATCCCCAAAGTTAAACAGCTATTTCCGTGCAGAAATTCTCGAGAGAAAACCCAACCCCATAAATAAAATTCCATATTGAGAGAAAATTAGCAGAGCTAATTTCTCTCGAACCGAATGCCATTTTATTTATAATAAATCATATCAAAATTTTATTTGAAAATTATTTATATATAAGTTTTTCTAAAATTATTTTTTTTATAATATTTCGTTTGTTCTCATAGGAGAAGTAAGTGTTCTTTCCCATTCATCCCATCTATCACTCCTCAATGATATCACAACAGGCCGGCTGCAGGCTACATTATAAGTTTTTATAACCACTTGCAGCATACTAATAAAGGTATCCACAAGTCTTTTATCGTTTTCGCAATGTAAAATAGCCCAGTTATTCATAGGTGGCTGCTCAAACATAGCTCCTTGCGACTCTCTATCAAAACTTCCGCTCTGTCCAATATTAAAAGTCTGGTTATTTGCCAGCATAATTCCTCCCATTGGGAGCACTCTTCCTTCAATAGTGACTGGATCAGGTGACAAAGAAATCCTCCATTGGTCAATTTCACTTCTAGTTTTACTGTTCGAGTTAACTGTATTGATAAGTCCCGCTGATTTTTGCAGTCTTTCCTGTGGCTCCTTTTTTGTCGCATTAGCCATATCTTTCATGATATTAAAATCAGCCCTCATTTCATCAGTAAGGCCTGTGAGTACACAGAATTCAGGAATCAGATAGCAAGGGTTAGGGTTTTTATTGGTAGTTGCCTTTAATAATGGTTGTTCATTGTGCTCAATATTTTTTTGCCATCTTTTTTCATAATACTCTTTATAAGTTTGGACTTTTCCAGTAGAATCTTGGAAGGTGGACTCAGCTGTGGAGTCGAAATCAATGTCGACGACTTTATAAGTTTTCTTGTTGTAAAGAGTAAGGACTGTGGCGTTTAGTAAAAGCTTTAAGGAGTTTTGGGCATAGTCATTGTTAGAGCGAGTTCTGATTTCTTTGATTTGGTCATAGACAGTGATGGTACGTAGACAACGATGGGAAATGTCTATATTGACAAGGCAGCCTTCAGCATAGGAGCCGACTGAGGTATAGTATCCTGGCCAGATAGAAATGTGGTGCTGAGGATTAGGATTAGGATTATTAAAGTCAGGCGCTAGCCATATTGGTGACGCAGTCACCAAAGACCTCCCGTACGGGAAGTTCTACCGCTTTTCGACTCCAGCTCAGAGAGTCTATCCCTCTTGCGAGTGCCCTTCCGGTACCTTCTGTCTCCTCCTTGCCTTGTGGCTTCAGTCTTGAGTGGGCGGCTTATGGATTTCTGCGGTCCTGCTGCGGGCGATTGGAGTAGCTTGATTCCAAGGATCAGCTCCTTGGAGTCTATCGGGTGTCGAAGTGCCTTCCTTCGATAGCTACAGGAAAAAGACTGTTCCCCTGTGGCCTGTGCCGAAACCCCCAGTTCTCGGTAAAGGAATGCTCATGGGCCTCGGATCCAAAGGACGCTGTTGAGCACCTCCATTTCCAACCTCAGGAAAGCAGCCAAAACCTACCCGGATACACAGCTCTGGAGCCTGCACCTGATTCTCGGCTCGGAGTCCGTCCCAGTTCGCCGTAGCCATAAGGTCTGGACTGCTGCGCCAAGAGGGCAGGTTGACACGTGCCGCCATTTTAATATATATGTGGTGCTGAGGAAGATCTTTTGAATTAGTGGGGTCGTAGAATTTTCTGCCAATCATGATGAGGTCAAGCTTTCCTTGGACTGAGTTGAAGAATCTGTTGAAAAAATGCTTTTTTTCTTCGGTGCTTTCTACTCTGCCTGTAGGAGTGAGGGTAATTGAGTAGTCAACGTTATCGAAATTGGTTGTCACAGTGATACTTCCGCTGAGTCCTTGTGAAGCTGAATGGATGCAGTAGACTGCGGTATTAGCGAACACATACTTCCCAATTTGAGGAATAAGTTGGCTTGAAACTTTTCTTACTCTTCCAAGTCATGTAAGACAGTCTAATTTTTAAATAAATATGAAAAATATTATTAAAATTAATTTTTAAATAAATTATTTATTAAGCCCAGGAAGTTAAAAGTCTTTCACGTTGCTTAAATAAGCTGGCAGGGATATCTGGCTCGAAAGCAACACTGTATTTTTGCATAAAGTCAACGTTTGAAGCGGTGTTGAACCGAAAGAAGTTTGCGCAGATGGGAATCACAGTTCCGATAGAGCAGGTGTTTGGACGTCTTGCAACACTGAGTTCCATAATAATTATTATGAGGGGGGTGTCTCAATTATTTTGATTTCTTAAATATTAGGAGCTTCAATATGGCAGGGCTGTAAAAACTGCGCCTTATACTTAGTTAGATTATAGAAAAGCTCCGTGTTGGGGTCCAAAAATCGTTATTCTCTTCCATAACCCTCCACTTGTTCGCTTCGCCGACAATTTTAGCATGACCTTCAAAGTATTGCTATTATCAGACATGGGCTTATGCATACTTTCTGATAGTCTGAATTCTGGGTGACCGTTACGTACGCCAACAGGGTTTGGCTCATAGAAATTCGAAAAAAATATTTTCTGGTCACCTGTAGGCCAATGAAAATTCGTAGTCTGGGATGCAATGCCCTGTATCGCTCTGGAAGACGTTCCCGATCAGTCAGGAGGAAGCTCACTGATATTGCGGGACACCACTTTTCAACTCCGAACTCCCTCTTCTTCCAAGGTAAAACCCTTTACCTGGATGTCAGCCTGCAGTCCGCCACCCGGATATTTTTCTCTAAAAATTAAGTAAAACCTGGCCAGATACATATACTGAACGCCAAAGCTCCCATTCACAAGGCCCTGGATCTCCCAGCTTAGTTTGCCACAGCATTTTATGTATATAAAAACTGCACCAAATATCAGATTTTTCGAGGACTTGAGGACAAGTAGCTACTTGAATAATGCCAAGGCCATCTTTTCGTAATTTTTATAATTTTAAGCAATAAAACTCCATGCAATAGTTAATCTTACAATAATAAATGAGTTTTAGACCTAATCGAGCTTTTATCCCAAATCCAAATTATAATGAAAAAGACAGCAACCGAAGATTCAATTTTGCAAGAAAACTTAGGAATGACCAAAGGGAAAAATTTCGGGAGAAAAATCAAGGCTTAGGAGAATTTTCTGATGAAAACTCTGTCTTCTATTGTAACCAAATAATGACGGAAGACTATTTGACGTCGCTTGATTATATTGATGGCATAAATTTCTTAGTAATGCCACGTCCTCTAGGAGAGAAATGTTTATTAGTGACAAAAAACGGTAGAACGTATCTATACGGGTATTCAGGGTTCTTAATTATGCATTTTCAGTCGTTTTTCCCTGTTGATGACCTTGATGATGACTTTATAATACTTGACTGTATATTTAACCAAGACTCGAATACCATTTTTATTCAAGATATCCAGCTTTGGGAACGGCAAAATCTCTGTGATATTAAGGCAGAAGATAGACTGACTTATTTGAAGACTAAATTGGAGGAAATTGATATAAAATTTATAATGAATAATATATTATATCTGTTTATAGCTTTATATTATATGTAAAGAAATAGGGTAATGGTACTCACAGGCAATATATAGTTTTCTTAAATAATATACAAGCACAAATAGAACTAATTATCAATTTCAAAGACTCCCATGAGTCTCTGCAAACAACGAAGGCTTATCTTGGGTCTATTTTTCTCAGTGGCCTTTTCCAAGAGACGGTATAACCTTTTACAATAAATCAGGTTCTTATGTGCACGGCCTCAATCCTGACGTTTTGATCTGAAAAGACAGCAACTGCTCAATAGACTGCCAAATAAGGACTGGAAATATAGAAGTAATGCTCCGAGCTAAATTTGACGGATCTTTACAAACTCTAGAAGGCTACACACTATTTAAGCTTGACAAAAAAATCATGAGAAAAAACGAAATCTGCCACTGGTCAGTCCTTAAATGTTATATATGAGATTTAGACTGAGAAAGCCATGACCCTAAAATTAATCGACTAGAAGTTATAGCAGCCACTGATAGAATTCACCCTTACTCGTGAAGACAAGTGCTGTTTTTGTACCTTTTTGATATAAATCCAATTACATATGGGATGATAGAGCAAGCTTTGGCAACTCAAATGGAATATAGTGAAAGAATGCCTATTCTTTATTTAAATTAAAATAAATAAATTTAATTTGGAAATCGTATAAAGCTATAATCCATGACTGCTTTCTGGCTTAAAAGAAGCTGATGCAGCAAGCATTAAGCCTAATATAGATAAAAATACTATGACTCCAATAGCAATTGGCATTAATTCTTTCCAAAGCCTATTCTGATTTTGATTTATGTAAATTTCTGTATCGAATGAGACTTCATCAATCCTATTTATTCTATCATAATTGTATTCTAGACTTTCACTCAAATCATCTAGATAAGATAAAGTTTAAAAATTATTATACAATATAAGAGGACTGCCTTCACTCTGAGAAAGCGGCCTACGTGAGGGGCGTATAAACCAAAGAGCAAGGGGCGTAAGTCATAGCCAAAATTCCACCCTCTTGAATTTTCTGGCGAAACTAATCTAGCCTAAGGATCTGATCCCTAGATTTGAGCCACCCTCTGTAGGGTGCTCCGATAGTCTTGATATAAAAAGACTATGCAAGAGGCAAAATCTGTCTAGTCCATCTGTCAGGACAGGAAAACCTTCAGGGAGAAACAAAATTTCTCTCTTCATCAAGGCATCCCCAAATCCGAAGCTCTACTTCAAAAAGGACAGAGGCTCTATTTTCAGCTTCATCATTTGTGCCCAACCTGCTCCAGAGGAAGTGCGCATCGGAGACCAATTTCTGTCACTATTAAATTTCTATTTAAATAAGGTCTTTCAATATTGATTTCTCTGAGCAAGTTAACTTCTATTAGTTTCATATCTATTACTGCAATGGTTTCAGGTTTATTTTCAGTTTCATATTTCTCCTTCAGCCTTCACAAGTCTCTTATCCAGTTTTGATTAGAAATGTCTAAATCAGATTCATATTGATAAGCGCGGAATAGCCTTTCCAATTTTCCGAATATTTTACACATAAAGGCAAATTCACTATTTTGATCTGTTAAAATTATGAAAAGAAAATTGTCTGTAACTTTTCCATATCATTCATCAAAATCTGAAATTATAATTTTAAGATTATTGGAAAAGGATTCTTTATTGAGAATTTCTAAAAATTGTTGGTAAGTTTGGTCAGCTAATTCATTGTTTCATGAAAATTTGAATAGTGGTTCTTTTGCTTGTATATACATATAAATGGCGTGCGAACCAACCCAAACTCATAGCACCTGCAACTGGGGAGACCCAGGGACCTTGTGGAAGAGAGTTTCGGCGTTTGGTATGCGCATCCGGCCAGGTTTTACTTGGTCTGCTGGAGCGCAATGTCCGAGTTGGCGGTCCGCAAGTTCACATCTAGGTGAAGGTTTTACCTTGGAGGAGATGGAGTTCGGAGCTGGAAATGGGTATTGTAGCAATGAGCTTCCTCCTAGTCGATTGGGAACGTTCCCCAGCGTATTACCAGGCGTCGTCGTGGACTACAAATTTTCATCTTGGCCAGCAGGTAATCAGAAATTTGTTTTTCAAATATTCAAGAAGCCAAACCCAAACTTTCCAGCATGCACTTGCAGGGCAAGACTTGAAGGTCATGCAACAATTGTCGGTGAAGTGGATGAGTGGAGCGCTATGGAAAGGGAATAAGGATCTTCGGACAGAGAGCTTTTCCATATCTAACTATGTGTAAGGGTTCTCTTGTTTGCTGATTTCCGATTCATAAATATTTCAATTTTCTTTCCATTTAATTGAGATTATTAGATAGCTGAAACTGTGGTAAGTCAACATCAGAAAATATGATTTCACAATAAATTAATATTTTTTATTAACTAAATTGCATTTTTTGATGACTAGTGAAAAATTAATAAGTAATATTGACTGCAAATCAGCTCAATTCTGTTTTTAAGGAAAAAAATTTATTTATTTTGCTTATAATAAATTTTAGAACAATTTTCCTTTATTTTAATTAGCTGCATTAAAGCAAATAAATATAGAGCTTTATCCTAACTCCCCACCTGCGTAAGTGAACAAAAAATTTTTTCACTTAAGATGCTATTTTTTTTTAAATATATAAATTTTATAGTAAATTTATTTTTTCTCAAATTTAAAACATCATAATTGAAAATCAAATATTAATTTAATTTGTAAAATTTATGTTTTAAAACGTAATTTGTTTAAAATTAAGCAGAATTAGCTAGAGATTTCATTATATTAATTATCACTAATATATCAAAATATTTTTTTTCATAAAAAATTTGGTTCGCTCACGGAGAGTGGTTTTTTGGCGGAAAATAGGGATTTTTTCCAATGATTTTGTTTGCTCACGGAGGTGGGTAGTAAAATAAAATAGAAACCAGCAAATTTAAAATATTTCAGTAATTAATTCTCCATTTTCAAGTTGAGACAATAAGCCATACTTAACTAATTTCCATTATATTTAGAACTAAAAAGAATGCTAAATACTTGAATTAAAGCCAAATGTTTCAGTCTTTCTCCCTTAATTACACACATCAGGGATATATCTTAACTTTCCATTTATATGGACAACTTTTATATTAGCTACAGAGAAGAAGCTAATTCAAGAACCAAAAGTTGGCTCTGAACACCAGCAGCTATCTTTGTGCTAGCCATGCTTTCAATAATTGGAGTATTCTATAATATCCCACTGCATAAGAATTATTATTCACTCCAACAAATTGAACTAGAAAATCAAGAATTCTTAAATTTTGTTTCCCATTACAACAAAGCATATAAAACTCCTGAAGAATATCAAAACCGCCTCAGCATATTTCTTACCAATCTTGCTTATATAAAATTTCACAACTCCCTTGGAAACTCTTATCTTTTAGGTGTAAATCAGTTTTCTGATCTCACCCATGAAGAATTTCAAAGATTTATGACTCCAATAAAGTATGAAATAACGAATGAAGAAATTAAGCAACAAGAAGTGTCATATGGCGATATTCCTCAACAAGTTGACTGAAGAACAAAAGGAGCAGTGACCCCAGTTAAAAATCAGCTACAATGTGCATGTGGGTGGGCATTTGCAGCGACAGGCGCTATTGAAGGAATTTGGTTTATTAACAATAATAAATTGCTTTCATTGTCAGAACAAGAATTACTAGACTGTTCAAGCTCTTTTGGCACCAATGGCTGCAGTGGCGGCTTGGCATCACAAGCTTTTAAATTTGTGATGGCTAATGGGATTACAAGTGAGACTAACTATCCTTATAAAGGTGTTAAAGGGAAATGCATACAAATTTAATTTATATAAAGCAGAAAAAAGTAATATTTATCAATAAATTTAATATAGAGTTAATTATATTGCATTACTATAATACGTCTAAACAAGCACAAGGTGTTGCCAAAATAACTTCTTATGAGACAGTCCCTCCAAATTCACCTAATTCACTTATGGCAATCGTCGCTCAGTGGCCTGTTACAGTTGTGGTAGAATCAAATCAAGCTGCTTGGCAGTTCTATAGGACTGGGATTATTACAAGTAACTGTGGGGTTAATCTTGATAACAGTGTGCTTATTGTGGGGTATGACAATACAAATAATCCTCCGTATTGGATTGTTAAGAACTCATGGGGACCTAGCTGGGGAGAAAATGGGTACATCAGAATAGCCATTTCAAGTGGAGATGGCATTTGTGGGATTAATATGGTCCCTACCTATCCTATTTATTAAATATAAATTCTCTTGATTCTTAACATTTGTTGAATATTGTGAGAATTTAATTTAAAATATAAATTAACTCCACATAAATTTCAGTTATAGTGTTAGGTCATTGTTAGCTTGATATGTTCAAGAAATCTCCTGAGGAAGTTTGATGGTTAGCTTTATAACAAATGCTGAGAAAACTAACTTAAATAATGGTACGTCCCTTTAATAATTCAGATTTCTCTTCCTTGATTTTTTACAGCATTTGTTGAAAAACCAATTCTTCAATTCCTTTGGGAGATTCTGGAATAAGCGAGCTTATAGCATATTCACTTATATCATTTTCAGAGCTATTTCTATCTGTTGTATAGTAATTTTTTGCGAAAATTATAAATTTTATATATCAATTAATTACTTTTGAGAAAAATAAGCCAAAAATATGATAGAAAATTCATATTATTAATTTTATCTATAAGATATAAAAATTTTTAATCAGACGTTTTTATTTTATATAAAACGCCTTAATTAAAAATCCTCACAATTTTCCATTAACTCTTCTTCCTCATTTTCAAAATAAATCAAAAAATCCATATTATCCTCCTTTCTCGCCTCAAAGAATTCCCCTATTTACCTTTATTATCTCCATCTGCCTTTCTTATTTCATTATTTCACCTACTTCTCTTATATCTAAACTGCCCCATATTAACATCCATAGGTGAAATAATTAACTTAAAATGGACAAGCTTTACTTCAGCGATAAGCCAGAACCCAGCAACAAAAAGAAAATTGTGCTTTGTGCTCTCGGAGTAGTCGCCCTTGTTGGAGTCGTCGCTGCTTTTGCCACTCTTTCCAGTACCCCTTCAACCAATTACACCCTTCAGCAATTCGCTATTGAAGAACAAGAATTCCAGGGCTTTATGGCCAAGTACAACAAAGCCTACGCCAATGAAGAAGAATACCAGGCACGCCTTAAAATTTTCAGGGACAATTATGCCTATGCCAGAGTCCACAACACCCTTGGCCGTTCCTATCGTTTAGGAATCACCCAATTCATTGACATGACCCAAGAAGAATTCTCCAGCATTTACGCTCCTTACAAGTACCAGCTCCCTGAAAGGAAAAACCTGTCAGGAAACCTTAAAAACGCCACCAATGTCACAAGCTGGGACTGGAGAGCAAAAGGCGCTGTGACCCCAGTAGGTAACCAATTGCAATGTGGAGACGGATATGCTTTTGCAGCTGCAGGAGCCGTAGAAGGAATTTGGTTTATCACAAACCACACCCTTGTAGCTCTTTCTGAACAAGAAATCGTGGACTGCTCAACTAGATTTGGAAATGAAGGGTGCAACGGTGGCTTGCCAACTAACTCTTTCCAGTTTGCAATGGCCCATGGACTTACCAGCAATACTAATTACCCATATAAAGGAACCAAAGGCAAGTGCACAACTAAAGCTCAAAACCAGCCAGTTGCTAACATTATTAGCTATCAAACTGCAGAGGCTAATGCACCTAACAATTTAATGGGACTTGTAGTTCAGCAGCCAATTACAGTTGTTGTCCAATCAAACCAGGCAGCCTGGAGAATGTACACTGGAGGCATCATTAGCCAAGATTGCGGAACTGATGTAGACCACTCAGTTTTGATTGTTGGGTTTGATAATACTAATAATCCTCCTTATTGGATTGTTAAGAACTCCTATGGACCAAGCTGGGGAGAATCAGGATACTTGAGAATCGCTATTACCTCTGGAGAAGGTGTTTGCGGGATTAATTTGTACCCTGCTTATCCTGTTCGTTAATTTATTCAGATAGGTATTAATTATGTGTTAATAAAGGGAAAATTGAAGGCTTGAAAGAAAAGCTAGAACATGTTGGATTAGGGAGCAGCATTAATCCTTCTCTTCTAGTAAAAGAGCATTCAATGTTAAAATTGATAACTTATATTACAAATTTTCATGTTATTTTTATTTAAACTACCATAAATAGAAAATCAATAATAAAGTTTAAAAAATTATTTTTTAATTTATAGAGGATTTTAAATACTTTTTTAAAAAATGATGTTTGCTTGTTATTAGCTGAAGGGAGTAAAGGCTCGATGGACAAACTCTAATCAGCACAGAAGGAGCCACTTTTCTCGAGAATACTTTGTCTCGCTGATGCAATATCCTAAATCACCTTCTCGATGAACAAAAATATCAAACAACTGCCATCTAGATACAGACTCAATAAGCCTGCCTATACCTGCCTGCCCGATCTTGAATATCAGCAAAGAATTTCATACAAATACTTATAAAAAATTCAACTTTTGCTAATCAAAGGCTTTTTGAAAAAATACTGTCTTTTTTATTATAATTATATATAAAAATTAAACATCTTGTGAATGCTTGCTTAAGTCACTTAAATTCGCCAAATACTTGTTGACCATTTTATGTCATGCATAAAAGCTAGGCAGGAGTTATTGGTTATAATAAAATGGAAAGAGTGTACTTCAGTGACAAGCCAGAAACCTCCAACAAGAAAAAGGTTGTTTTGGGAGCTTTAGCTCTTGTAGCTATTGTAGGAGTCGTCGCAACTGTAGCTCTTTATTCAAGCAACTCAACAAACTATGCCCTCAGACAATATGAAATTGACGAACAAGAGTTTTTCGGATTCATTGCTAAATACAACAAGGTCTATGACAGCATTGATGAGTTCAACGCCCGCTTCAAAATTTTCAGAGACAACATTGCCTTCGCCAGAGTCCACAACACCCTTGGAAAAACCTACTGGCTCGGGATAACTCAGTTCTCTGACCTCACCCACGATGAATTCAAGTCTCGTTACACCCCTAACGCATATGTCCCTAATGAAGACGGTCCAGTTGCTGACTATAACCCAGATATGGCTGCTCCATCAAGCGTTGATTGGAGAACCAAAGGTGCAGTTACCGCAGTCAAAAATCAAGGACAATGCGGCTCATGCTGGTCTTTCTCAACCACAGGCGCTGTTGAAGGAACTTGGTTCTTAGCTGGCCACACCCTTGTGTCCCTCTCTGAACAAGAATTAATGGACTGTTCAACCTCTTATGGCAACAAAGGATGTGACGGTGGTTTGATGACTAGCGCTTTTAAATTTGTTGTGCAAAAAGGACTTACCACTGAAAGCAACTACCCTTACAAGGCTGAAAATGGAGAATGCAATACTACCCTTGAAAAGAATGTCGCAGCCAAAATTTCAAGCTATGCAATTGTAGCTGCTAAGAATTCAAATGCCCTTATGGCAGCAGTTGCTACTAAGCCAGTTTCTGTAGCTGTAGAAGCCGATCAAGCTGCATGGCAAAGCTATGTTGGAGGAATTGTATCAAGCAATTGCGGAACCGCCCTTGACCATGGTGTACTTATTGTTGGCTACGATAACACTAACTCTCCACCATACTGGATTGTGAAGAACTCTTGGGGCCCATCCTGGGGAGAGCAAGGATACATCAGAATTGCCATTAGTAAAGGAGATGGAGTTTGCGGTATCAATATGAATCCATCATATCCTATTGCTTAAGCTTAATCATTTAAACTTATGACGTTTTCATTAAAAATTGCGATTTCTTTAGATAGAAAGATAGATTTATGAGCATTTAGAATTTACTCTAAGTAGAACTTGCCCTTCAGAACTAATTTTAATTTATATATTTAGTTCAGAATGCTATGATTAATAATCTCAAGTCTCTGCAATCAATTTTTGGTTATGATATGTCTGCCAAGCCACAATATTGGATTGTAAAGAATAAAATTTGCATCCTTTTGAAGCCTCAGATATTAAAGATTTTTTCCCGTTTCTTTTCAGAAAATAATAAAAGCAGCTATTTTTACAAAAATATAGCTATACTAGTTGTAATTGCCCGAGTGCGGACTCTACCACTTGGATGGTAGTTTAACAGCCAAGGGCAGTCTAAAGCAGCCCTAGACTATTTGCTTTTAGCTATTTCCTTTCGAGATTCCCTTCTACATAGATTCTAAAATTACAAAAAATTAAAGCTTAATATTATTAGATTTTCTACTCATACCGAGCTTTAATAAGAGATTATAAAACTGATAATTGATTGTCCTACTTTTATGTTTGGATATGCGAATTTAAGTAGCCATCCCTAATAAGCTCTTTATGATTCAGATATAAAGTTTGAAAGAATCAAAAAGCATAAATTATTTATTCAAATAAAAGACATTAATAGCATTCGTCATCAATTTATTATTTAATAGGTTAAATTACTATTCGATTTAAATTAAATCTTAAAAGATATTGATTTTTGTTGTATTTTTGAAGTTGATAGCTTAAAGAAGATTCTTTAATTAAATATATCAATATAAATGGATGATAAAATGAGGATAATCTAAGATTATTTTTATTTTTGAAATTACGAATCAAATAAGGCCTTGCTTTTTGGATAAGTAAATTAATTATCCCTAGACTAAAGTAATTTTTTATAGTAATTAGCTGAGCTTAAAATCTTTGAATTAGAATCTGTAACTGTTGCAAGATTTCGACCTATTAGCTAAATATATATAAAAACATAAGTATTTTGTCCTGTATTTAACCTGGTTTATGAATAAAAATATAAGCACTTTTTCTTTGTTTTTGCAATCTGTCATTTCGCCTTATTATAAGTCAAATTTTGATCAATTTAATTTTGTTTGCTAAGATTAAAAGCATTTTTACATGCATAAGAGCCATTGACAAATTATGGCTATAATAATATGGAAAGCCTGTACTTCAGTCATAAACCAGAAACCAGCAGCAAAAAGAAGGTTATTCTTGGAGCTTTAGCTCTTATAGCTATTTTAGGAGTTGTTGCAACATTGTCTGCTAATTCAAGCAACTCAAAAAATATTCTTCTCCAACAGTATGAAATCGAGGAGCAAGAGTTTCAAGGATTCATTGCTAAATATAGCAAAGTATACGAAAGTGTAGAAGAGTTCAATGCTCGCTTTAAGATTTTCAGGGATAATATCGCCTATGCAAGAATCCACAATACCCTTGGAAAAAGCTATATACTAGGCCAAACCAAATTCTCTGACCTCACCCATGAAGAGTTCAAAGCTCTTTATACTAGCTCATATACTCCTAGAGGGGTTGTCCTGAAAATACCCCTGGCCGCATCGTTTACACTGTACTTTATATCAATTAATTAGCAAATTAAGTTGTTTCTAATGAGACAGATGCTCTGGTAAATTGAGTGGCACTAAATAGGCTAATTAAAAATCTGTTATTATAATATGCTCTGCAATATGCAATACTCCAGTCTATACTGGTGCAAGGTGTTGCGCAGAATTTTACTGCTGAAGTTTCGAGACATGATACACTAGTACAAGTTTTGATACAGAATGTGCTAGTAAAGTTTTGAGACATGATGCGCTAGTGCAAGATTTGATACAGAATTTTGTAGTAAATGCAGGATATGTTGATTCATGATGCGTTGGTGCAAGGTTGCATAATGCCCTGGTAAATGCAGAATGTGCTAATAAAGTTTTAATACATGATGCGCTAGTGCAAGGTTTATACAAGAATGCTCTAGTGAATACAGGTTGCGTTAGTACAACAGATATGCAGGATGCTCTGGTACAGGATGTGTTGAATGTGAATAATAAGTGGTTTAAATTGTAAATAAAAATAAAATAAATTTTCTTCTTGCTTCTTATGTTCATAAAATATATAACAGCTGTTAAAGTATTTCTACCTGAATATAATAGGGTAGCTAATATATTTCTTACAAAATTTTCCAAAATACTGTTAGCAAACTATTGCTTCACCATTAAAGAGCCTATAATCCCTTTAAAATCTAATCTTAGTATTTATTTATTAATAAATATAAGGCTTATTAATGCTTGTAATGCTTTATCTGATAACTCAGCTGAATTTTTCCTCGTCTTTAGGCTTTTTATTGGTGATGATACTTTCAATACATAAATTTATGATTTCTTTAACAAATAAAGATAAGACTATAAAATGACGGAATTGACTTCAGAAATTGCGCGAAAATTGGGTTTTAACATTCCAAGTCATGAAGGCGAAAATCTTAGTGATCAGTTAATAGAATTAGCTTCCAACGATGAGGTAATACTTCAATCTGTAGCAAAATGGTTCAAATTAGGACCTCTTAAAGTGTCCATGATAATCAGCGAATATATAAAAAGTCAAAAAAAAGTAGAGATGAACGAGCTGTACAGCAAATTATGTCTGAAGCTGATGAAAATAATCTAGATTCAAGAAACAATTTTATGCCTGTGCATGATTTGGAAAATCCAGTAAATAATGAAGATGAGTCAGACAAAAACAATGAGTCACAAGAAAAAGCTTCAGAAAATTTAAGCAAAGTTAATTTACAGGTATCTCAAATATCTATTGCCAATCCGCAAATTAATTTAGAATCTGACAATAGACAAGCATTTGAACAGCAATTAGAGGCGCACAAAAAAGAAGAAGAAGAAGAAAATATCACGGGTGCATTTAATGTTGGAGACAAGGTAAATTGCACAAATATAAAAGAATTTCATATTATTATAAAAAAAGAAAGCTCTACAGGACGACAAAGCCAAAATTTATGTTAAAAGATCTGATTCTGCAAAAAAGTTGATTCAGTTTGAGTGTTATTTTTCAAGTGAGCATGCTAATATTCTTTTTCCTTCTATTAAGCCTGAATTGTTTTGCAAGTTCAAAATGAGTTGAAAGTATACATTGGATTTATTAGAGTCATATACTTTTGAGTGCATACATGTTCATCAAAATCATAATCATAAAGGAATTCCGCAAGATCAGTGTGATAATTTAATTGAATGCGAATATTGCCAAATAGCATCAAAGAACAAGTGATCCAATATTATATTGAAGGATTTACAATTAGGCAGATACAGTCTATGCTAAGCGCAAATGATGATTTTAAGATATCAATAGAGAAATTATACAATGTTGTAGAATATTATGCAAAAACTCATTCGGAAAATTTCACCTTTGATAGAATAATATCAAGCGAATGTCATCATACAAATGCAATAATTGAATTTGATAGAGCCTTAATGAGATTTTTTATTACAGATTTATCAAGAATAGAGATGTGACAAAAATTACAAGATGTGATACTTATAGACAGTACATATAAGGTTCATGAAAGTTTTAGATCTGCAGTATTTATTTTAACTGTAGATCCATATGGATCTAACTATGTGCTAGCAATGGCACTTACAAAAAAAGAAACTGAAAACGACTATTCATGAATATTTATGAACTTTCTAAAACATTTTCAGAGTCCACAAATAATTTTTGTGGATCGCAACCAAGCACAGTATAATGCTCTTAGTGATAAGTTTAGAAACTCAAAGATAATTTTTTGTTTATGGCATATTCAAAGGAATCTTATAACATACTTGACTCCTTTACATATTAGCGATTTAAAAAATATTGATATACAGGGTGTAAGCGATGCGGCCATTTTCAGGACAGCCCCTCCTAGAGAGCAAAGACCAACTACTGATGACTCTCCACTCGAAGTTGTCTATTCAAAATATGATTGGAGAACCCAGCGTGCAGTCACTCCAGTTAAAGATCAAGGACAATGTGGCTCATGTTGGGCCTTTTCAACGACTGGAGCTGTTGAAGGAGCTTGGGCTATAGCTAAACGTTCCCTTATATCGCTTTCTGAACAAGAGTTAGTTGACTGTTCATCTTCATATGGCAATTTAGGATGCAATGGCGGTGTAATGGACTACGCTTTTGACTTCGTTATTGATAATGGACTTACCACTGAAAGCAACTATCCTTATACAGGATCAGTAGGACAATGTCAAACTTCTCTTGAAGCAAAAGTTGCAGCCAAAATCAGTAATTACGGATATGTTTCTCCTAATTCATCAAGTACCCTTATGCAAGCAGTTGCGGCAAGGCCAGTTTCAGTTCTTGTACAAGCCGATCAGCCAGCATGGCAACACTATGTTTCAGGGATTGTATCAAGTGATTGCGGAACCGGAGTTAATCATGCTGTCCTCGTTGTTGGGTATGATATGGCTGCCAAGCCACAATATTGGATTGTGAAGAACTCTTGGGGAACAAACTGGGGAGAGCAAGGATACATTAGGATCGCTGCTTCTAATGGCAATGGAGTATGTGGCATCAATATGTATGCATCATACCCTATTGTTTAAGCTTAATCACTTAGCCTTACTTTATTTAAATTTATTAAAGGCCATCACTTTTAATGATGCTTGTATTTTACATCATTCTCATTAACCAGTCTGTGAAAGCAGCAAGCCATTTAATATTTATAAAATAAAATTTTGCATCCTTTTGAAGTATCAGATATTAAAGTTTTTCCTGTTTCTTCTCAATAAAAGCTGTTATTTTTACAATAATATAGCTATAATAGCTAGCAAGTAAAATATTTAAGTAAGATTATTACTCTTAAATGCCTTTATTTGGTATTAAGTATTCACATTTAATTCAAATGAATCGCTTTATCTTTCTTCAGTAAAGAATTTTAAATAGCATGATCTTTGACTGCCAAAAAAATATGTTTGTTAATATAAAATGCAATTTATTTCTTGATTTGGCTTAAATTCTTAGGGTTTAGAATTAAGATTGAAGCAATTCTTTATGTATTAGATCTTAAGGCTAAATGTGTAGCTAAAATAATTTTATCCTTATAAAATATTTTCAAAAAAGGGGTTTGCGGATGCAATATGAATCCATCGTATTCTATTGCTTAAACTTAATCATTTAAGCTGTTGCGTTTAGCTAAAATATATAAGATGTCAATATTGCTATTTGCTATATTTCTTTATTCAAAAATGCCTTATTAAAAATAAATAGAGATGGTGAAATAATTAATTTAATTTGTGAGATATTTTTAGGGCTCTAATTAATAATAAATTAAACTCATTGTCTTCTATTTCTTATTAAATCATTTTACTAGCTAAATTATTGCTTACCATTTCTTATAAAGAATAAAACCCATTCAAAACTATTGGACATAAAATACAATAGAAAATCTGTACTTCAGTTATAAACCAAAACCCATTATCAGAAATAAAGTGTTTGCTGGAATTTTAATTCTTCTAGCTGCTATATGAGTAGTTTTCAGTATAGCTATTAACTCAAAAGACTCAAATAAATTTGCTCTCAACCAATATGAGATTGAGGAGCAAGAATTTTTGAAATTCACTGCCAAATTTAATAAGCTATACAAAAGCATTGATGAATTTAATGCTCGTTTCAGAATTTTCAGAGATAACGCTGCATATGCCCGAGTCCACAACACTCTTGGTAAAACCTACATTCTTGGTGTAACCCAGTTCGCTGACCTTACCCATGATGAATTCAAAGCTCTTTATACACCTAATCAATATGAATATGTCCCTAGCGATGAAGAAATGATCCAAGACGATACTCCAATCAAAGCTATCTCCCAAATATTTGATTGGAGAACTAAAGGCGCAGTAACCCCAGTCGAAAATCAAGGACAATGCAGCGGATCAGGCTGGGCTTTCTCTGCTACTGGTGCAGTTGAAGGAACTTGGTTTTTAGCAGGACACACCCTTGTATCCCTCTCAGAACAAGAATTAGTTGACTGCTCAACTTCTTATGGCAATAGTGGCTGCAATGGTGGCCTAGTCACGAATGTTTTCAAATTTGCCATGAAATATGGACTTACCACTGAGGCTATCTATCCTTACTCAGCAAAAAGCGGACAATGTCAAACTTCTCTTGAATCCCAAGCCACTGCCACAATTTCAAGCTATTCAATTGTCCCTGCTAATAATCCAAAGGCTCTTATGCAGGCAGTGCTTACCAAACCCGTTTCAGTAGCTGTGCAAGCTGATCAGACCTTATGGCAGCATTACACTGGAGGAATCGTTACAAGTGACTGCGGTACCAATCTTGACCATGCTGTACTTATTGTAGGATTTGACACTACTAGTCATCCAGGAAACTGAATTGTGAAGAACTCTTGGGGAACTGGATGGGGAGATCAAGGCTATATCTATATCGCTATATCTGACGGGAAAGGAGTTTGTGGTATCAATATGACTCCATCATATCCTATTGCTTAATCTTCATTTTTAATAAAAAATTCTTCGAGATTGCTATTTTTAATACAAATTTATATTTAATTTATTTAAAATGTCTTATCTTACTTTAGCTCCTCAAAAAAGCGGTAGAAACAATGAAATGTTTGATTCTATTTTACAAGATCCACAAACAGTCAGAAACCAAGACGACTGATCTGATATAGAAAAATGTAGGGCTTTTTGATCTGATGTTGAATATTTGCAGCCAATTTTAGAAGGAGTCCAGTCTGTCACAAATTCCACATTCATGACAGCTGTGCAGGAAAAGATTTTTGAAAAACTGACTGCAGAGAATAGACTTTATACAATAACTGCTCATCCAGGATCAGGGAAAAGCTTAGGGTTAGCAATTTTATCAGTAATCACAGTCCTTCAAGCAAATTCTCGGAATCCGACTTCAAGAACTGTCAAAGTTCTGTGAGTTGTTAGCTCTCATTTTCGGGCAATGCAGCTTAAACATTGGATAGAAATTATATGTAGAAATATAGAGGTAGCCTCTGATATATATGCTGGACAGCCAGATATAATGACTGTTTGTCTTGATAGAGAACAGATAAAAAAAAGATTAAGCACGCTTTTGCAAACACAATCACAAGCCTCACAAATTAAAATGCTTATCATTGACGATGCTGAAGAAATTCTCAACTCTAAACAAAACAGAGCCTTTTTAGGAGTTTCTGTGATCCTCCACATCCTCCAGCACCAGCTGGAAAACATCCCAGTAATCTATTTTACTCAAAACTACCCAGACGAAGCAGTAATAAAATTCACAAACGAAGTCGAAGCAAATTTCTGCAAACAATACCTAAAAGGCTTGAACCCTATCCACATCACCTACCCTATAAGCCTAATCCAAACAATTGACCAATTTTACACAGAACTGCTAAATCTCGATTTTATGGGCACTATCCGAAAGATTATCAGCCATGAAGACCATTTTCCTTTAGCAGGCGGGATGTTAGTGTTTTGTAATAGTGAAGAAGAATTTAAAAGTATTTCAGAAATTTTTAGTAGCTATGGGACTGCTATTGATGCTGTAAACTCAATGAGGGATGAGGAAACGAGTATATATGAAAAATTAAAAGCATTTAAGGATGGAGAAATCAGGGTACTTATGTGTGGAAATACACTTTTGAGGAAATATCAACCGGCAGGGGTAGGGGTTGTTATAATGCTTGGGGTACCAAGCAGTGATGGGATGACTCCTGATGCAGTAGAATACGACCAAAGAATAGCATGCTGCAGCTCACCTGTAAAAAATGCCATTTCTGTTATAATTTTAAGAAACTCACAAGAAGTTCAGCTGCTAAGAGCTTTGGAAAACCAAATAGGAAGGGCTATAAAGCCTTTGTAATTAATAAAATGGAAATCGCTGAAGGTATTGGATTTATCCATTTTTGGGGTTTCACTCCCGCCCTCAATCTTTTCTCTCTTTCTCCTGAATCTTCAGAACTTAACGTCCTTATCTCAGGCTCTGGCGATATCCGGCACCTTTTATTAAGCCTTTCTGAAGAATGCACCCATGACCGCTTCACAAAAATAAATTTTTACATCCAAGAGCCTGATAAAGAAGTCCTTGCCCGGGATATTTTGTTGTTATATTTAATCAATGAAGTCCAGCTCCCTATACGAGAAAGAGTAGAACTATTTTACGATATTTATGCTAATGCTTTAACAAGAGAAAGAACTGCAAATTATATATCATTACGAGCCCAAGAACTGATAAAAATTCTTACCCAGCATAGAAATGCGTCAGAAATTAAAAAATTTTTCGATTTTTCCTGCTTGAAATTTAAGGAAAGAGACGAATTAGAAGAAACTTTAAGGGCTTGGCATGTAGATGCACCTTTTGATATGGGATCGCTAAGGGATCAAAGGCTGAGGTATCATTATAAAGACAGATATGACCATCGAGCGAATTTAATTGACTGGGATTATCAATGGGAGTTTAAAAAATACGCCCCACAGGTTACTTTTAGACACTATAAAGAATGAAGACAAAGCGGGGTGGCTTATGACATACGTCTGGCTACTTATATAAGTCCTAATAGGACAATGTCAGGGTATATCCCTGGGCAGAAGAAAAAAACCCGGGACAGTGTGCTTGTAAGAGGCTATTGGGGAGATATTTTAATGAGTCCTTATTGGGCATTTGGGACTGATGTGTTCTGCTGTGAAGACTGCAACAAAATTTTGAATAAAATCGGAAATCAGGATAGAATCCATGTAAATTATATATAGAACTCAATCGATATAAGTGAATTTAACATGACAAGAATCATCACAAGGCTGGAAACTCTTCAAGATTACCATTTTCCTCCAGAAAAAGATAAATCAATTTTATATAAAAAATACTGGGCAGGCGAAGAAATCAAACAAGAAGACCCAGTCCCTGAAACTGACTTAGATTTCCAAGGCCAAAGCTTTTTGCCTGCTTTTCAGAAATTTGATATAAAAATCTACCCAATTATGGAAAATTTGACTACAATTGCAGGGAAAAGCAGATTTAAAAATATTTTTGATAGAGTTATAATAGGAGGAGCGTCTTCAGCAGCTGTTGGAGAGGCAATTAATAAAATGATAAGAGGGAACGCGACTATTTCGGTTGAAACTGTTAAGTAAATATTATGCAGCAATTTGATAAATGTGAAGCCTGAGCCTAAAGCAGAAGCGATGGCGAAGTTGCGAGATCTTTTAAGGAGCTTTGAGTGGGAAGAAATCGAGAACACACACAATTTTATACATTTAAGAAGAAATAACGCTCAACAGGATAGTCTTATTCAACAAAATCCTCTAGAAAACCCTCAGCCAGAAGCTAGCCAAAATGCTCCTCAATCAGACCTTAATTCTGAAGAACTTCAAGAGCATACTCTAGAAAGCAATTAATTAATAAAAGATATTTTGACAACAATACTGAAACCTATCATAGCATCTTGTAGTCCAGTTATCCAAGCTCTCATCTATCAGCAAATTGATATATTCCTTACAATCTCCTTCTGACATCGACTCTCTAGGCAGCAGTCTTTCTCTCAGCCCTCTTGTCACTTCTTCTCCTCCCACAAAGCACCCTAAGCTTGCTCCACTCCCAAACCTCATCATTTCTACCAACAACACAATCTGTTCAGCCTTTTCTTTAAGTGCAATAAACCCTTTCACACAAAGTGACCTAAATTCTATAAACAGCTTAGACCTTCTGCCTCCTAACACCCTTTCAAACTCATCAGTCAGCTTAAATGGGGCTTTTTCAAAATTAATGTTCCCTCCTGGGGAGTTGCTAAACATGAAGCCGAAATCTATGTGAATTAAATGTCCATGTCTGTCAATCAGAATATTCCCATTATGCCTATCTTTTATTTGTAAAATATAACATAAAAGGCTATACCCAGCGAGGCTTTTCATGAATTCTCGTTTGGCCCTTTTAGAGCGCTTGCTTTTTTCACCGCCGAACTGCATTTGGAAAAAATGATGAAGGGTCTTTTGGTCAGTTGGGAGGTCTTTTTTAAGCCCATCTATAGAGATGGCGTCTGGGACGCATTCTAAGATCCCACAGCCTTCTCCAGTTGCAATAATATCGTAAGCATAAAGCCACAAATCAAGCTTTTTTTCCCTTCAGGTTTGTTGGAAAAAGGAGATGAGCTGCATTGCTAGCTGCTCTTGTCTAAGGTCGTCGCCACTTTTTACTATAATGTGTAATAAATCTCATGTCTTCAGCTTGCCAAAAGGCGATTTGGACCTGATTCTTTCGGCCATTTCTTTGAAGCTTTCTTTAAAAATAGCTCTTTTATTGGTTTCGTCTATAGACTCTTCTTTGTCTGTTTGGTCATCTTCTTCTTCACCTCCGTATACAGCTTCTAAATCTCCGTTTCCAGGCTGACCAAATATGCTTAATCTGTCGTAATGAATATAAGAAGATGATAGCGCAGGAGGCCTTGAACGAGCGACATCGATTGTTTCTCTATGTTTTCTATTAGTTTCTGACTCTTTTTGAATTGCTTTAATTATTTCATCAAAGCCGTCATCTGTAGTTTCAGATTTGATTTCTTCTATAACTGTTTTATTTGGCTCTATACATTTTGACAACAAATTTTATCAAATTTTTGATAATCCGGCGTATGTCTTTAATTATGAGGAAATGTTTCCTTTAAAATTGAACAAAATATTATTTATTTACAAAAATAATAATTATACTAATTTTAAAAGCCATAAATTTCAATGAAATTGCTATTTTTAAATGTAGAGCGCAATTAAAACTTTATATTTATAAATTATACAAATTGAACCATTTAAAATTTGGATATTTTTTTGTTCTGTTAAAGGAGAAGAATGAGGAAAATACAACCTAAAGATGCTGTCTGATTATTAAAGTAGAAAATAATACACTGTTTTATTTACTCCTCCCCCACCATCCTTGATCGAACGACTCGCCATCGTTCGATCAAGGATGGGGGTTAAAAAAAATTTTTTTGGGGAAAAAAATTTTATATATAAAATGAAAAAGATATATATAGATTTTTTTTATTTACTTTAAATAAGAGGGTTAAGAGTATTTAATAATTATTTTTACAGCAAAAAATTGAAATAATTTCATAAAAATACCAATTTTTAATATTTTGATTTATTAGTACCCTTTTTAAACTGTATAAATTTTTAATTTAAATTAATTTTTTTTTTAAAATTTTAAAGAATCTCTATTTTATTAGATTATTGAGTTTTTAAGCCTAGGTAATGTCTAAATCACTTCGGATGGTTGATTTCGCAGCTTTCTGTCGTCTCAAAGCTCTGAAAACAACTTCATTAGGCACATCTTCCAAAGCATTTGATAACTAATATTTTTTATATATATAAAAATTTGCATGATATGAAAATCGTTCGATCAAGGATGGGGGTTAATTTCCCCAATTTTTAGGAATTTTTACAGTCAATCGTTCGATCAAGGATGGGGGGGAGTTAGATGAAAAGATCTTACAGACGGCACTGAAGCTGATCTTCTATCTAGTGCAGACGCACTTTTGGATGGATCTAATACTAATAGTTCTTCATAAGGCCTGAAAATCTCTACACAAATCTTATAGGGGAGCTTATAGAAGTTTCCTATGTTTGGCGCTGTAAGGCCGATAAATTCTGATCGGAATTTATCGGTTGGTTGCACCAAATCAATGCCTTGGTCGGACCAAAAAGCGATTTGGTCCGACGAACTTGGAAAGCTCTTTCTTTGGTCGTGAAAACTCTAGCTTCATTAGCAATTATATGTAACACAGCACAATTTCTAGCTATAGGATTATTAAAGGGAATATAAGCACATGCAGGTAAGAGTTGGTTTAGTTCTTTGAGCTCTTCTTTAAGAGTTTCTGACTTTTTAGGACTGTGCAGTATTCTTATAGAAATTTGAGTAAGTTTTTCGACGAACCATAGGGTAGAATGATAGCCATCAACTATGTTTCCTTTAGGAAATGGGTTCAAAGGAATATACTTTGGGTTTATCTTATCCGGAATATCACTTTCCACCTTCCCAGTCAAGTTGTATTCATGAATTAAATCCCTCAAAATCGCAATATCTTCAGGCTCCTCTTCCAAAATGTCAGAAAAGCTCTTTTTTGAGCTGTTTAAATTGAACTCCATCCCCATACTCACCATAAGTTGGAACAATTCTGTGCCTTTTCCAAGGTAAATTGGGTGTGATTCCTGAGAGACCTTTTCAACGCTTTCAATTAAGCTGAATAAATTATTACTGGTCAGGGTCAATTCCAGGCAAATCTAATAAACTGAAATCGGTAGATTTCAAAAATCAGTAAACTCTGTGGGAAAAATGAAAAGAAGTTTTGCAGAACTCAAGAACAGCACGGATTAAGTCTTCATTGTGGTCTAGAAATCCAAATAGCAATAAATTACTATATTAAAAATATGTTTTATTATTATAAATATAATTTAATTGCATATAGAAATATTCCGAATAAATTTATGATAAATAAATTTACCAGAGCTGTGGGACGTAAAATTCCAAATCTTCACGTTTTTTCTTGCGGAAATCTGGGCTGACTTGGCATTTTTCTAGGTCTGATATAACGTGCTGGTGTGAATATAAATTTAAAAGAGTGATATAGACTTGATCAAAGTGTTTTTTCTTTAGAAGACGGTCTCTGATCTTTACCCAAAATTTTTTCCTTTCAGTTCTGATGCTTAACTAGGTAGATTTTACGCTATTTTTGACACAGCAGCAGCATAGAAGACGAAAGATTGATCGAATGCAGCCTTGTTTGCGGGGTGGCGGAGGAGGAACTAAAGGGGTACTAATTGATATAGATTTGTCCATTTTATTCATTCTCCTCGAATTGATTGAAAATTAAATTGGAAAAGAGTAGAAAAGAGGATTTGCGTTAAGTTTTTAAAGGAATTAAGGTAAGAAAGCTGAAGGGTAAATAGTGAGAAATAGATAATTCATAGATTTGGATAAAATAAAGAGTGTCAATAGAAAAATGTTGAAAATAATATGATTCTAGATTAATTAAATGTTATCAATAAATCTATTAATATTCATTTCATAGAAATCAGGGAAACCAGAGAAAACTTTATTATAAACCAATAATCAATGCTATTAAAGAAATTTTTATATTTAAATAGCCTTTTAATCCTCTTATAATAAAGAATAAACTCAAAAAATTCAAATAATCAAAAGTGCTTTAAATAATTTATCTCTAATATCCTCCTGTCGCTGGCTTTTTTCCAGCTTCACTATCTTCATGCATAAGTCTTCTCGCTTCCATCTCTTTCTGCTTATAATACGGCACTGCATTATCCTCCAGTGAGAGTGTCGAAATCCACGTCGGCAAATCAATTTCAACATCATATCTTCTCGCCTCCTCCATAATAAACGGGTGTATCTGTCTCAATATTAGCGTAATCGACCTTCCACTCATATCGCAAGGCCTCACACAATGTTTCGCTGAATTCGCCGCATATGAAAATTCCTCCATCACACATACAGCGCCCCTTGGGCAAGGTATACAGAAAGCTCCATTTAAATACCCATAAAACTGGCTTCCAAATGACAATCTTGCGTCACTTCCTAGTTTTACTGTATAAATTGGCTGTTTAAACCTGACAGCATCATCAAAATGCTGCGCTAAGCCTTCTTTTCCATCATGATAAATATTCATAGCAATTGAGTTAATGAAGCCTTTTTCAATTATCCCTGAATCTTCTAAAGGTTCGAGAATTTCTTTTCTCATTCAATATGGAGTGTCGCTTACGTCTACCCTAACTCCTGCTGCCACTCGAGATTGTCTTTCGGCGAGCTGAAGAGCAGTCCACATATAGCGAGTTCCGAAGAAAAATTTAGTTCTTTTAATAGACCCGCCAGCTCCATAAGAAGGCTGAGCTGTATTCTGTAAAAAATGGCCTTTTCTGAAGTCATTTTCAGTCTCTCTTGCTCTTTCTTCTAGCTTTAGAAGCTCTTCCTGGGTAAATGCCCCTTGGTAGCTTACTGCGCCAACCCTTACAAAGTCTCCTTCAAGCCATTTTTCCCAATCATAATAATTTGAAGGCAAATCGTTTTTTCTGAAAAAATATTCCCGCTTAAGGATTTTTTTGCCATTTCATTCTAAAATGGTTTTTTTGACGTGGAGATCATAAGAAAAAGAGTCGCGGGTGTTTATTAAATAGAACCAATTGGGAGGATTTTTTGAGTCCATCATTTCAGTAAGACCTTTTTCATATAAACTTAGAACTGTAGTACAGTTAGATTTGCAGACAGGACAGTTATGAAGAATTGAGTGAGGCTGGGCTGTGGAATAGGTCCAATTAGATGTGGGGGTGACGTGGGTTTGGGGTAAAACGCAATTGCAAGACTTGCTCCATGAATAAATCCCTGTCATCGGCTCTATGCTTTTATTTTTATAAATTTTTTCACGAGCTGCGTTTCAGTCTAGTAGAAAACGCTGAATATAAGCTTCAAATTCATATAACTTATTGCAATGAATACAAATATTCCTCTGGTTACCTTTAAAGAATAATAAGATTAATTAGGAGAAATCTATTTATTGTCATCAGAAATATATAAATGAACATAGAAGTTTTCTTGTTTTTATAGTCGCCATTTTCCAAGCCTTTTTCTGTAGGTATAATTCCAGTCTTATTTGGCTTGCGTATATATTTAGTGGGTCAGTATCTAGTTCGTCAAGCCCCAAGCATCTTTTTACAGATCTCATCCCACACAGTCCTTTTTTCACCAAAAATCCTAACAGCACATCTCCTCTTTGTCCAGGCAAAGCTGGAGCTAGCAGTGATTTCTCATCCATCTGCAAATGAATCGTCACAAAATTGTCTTTTCCGAGCATTCTCCACATCATTCTCATATCCCCAACAAAAACTTCATCTCCATCCTTCATTTCTCCTAATACATATCTTTTTAAATCAGTTTCAGTATAATACTGCTGCACCGTCACCCTGACAACTCCTTGGTTCTCAAATAAATTTTTTATTAATTCTCGGGCTAATGCAAAATATTCAGGACGCTCTTCATTGGGGACAAGTCTGTCGACGGTGCCTACTTGAAAAGCAAGAGGAGGCAAAGGTGGAAATTCTTCGGAAACCCCTTCTTGCTTGCTTTCTGTGGGTTTAACGTAAGTTACTCCACAGCATCTTTTGATGTTGACGGCTGATTGCTTTTTTCTGATGAAATGAGCTTTGGATTCCCTTTCAGCTTTGACTTGTTTTGGTTCTTTGTCTTGGTCAAGGAGTTCTTCTTGACGCTTGTGGTTTTCTTGCATTTCAATAGGAAGGTAGCGACTTATGAAGTTTGTGCGGTAACCGATGTCGGCAGGGTTGATGGTGCGAAATTCGGATGTCATGGGGTTACACACTGGGATTTCTTCATGTTTTTTAGCTTTTTGTTTCTTTGGGCTTTCTTTTTTGGGAGATGTAGGAGTGCTTTCTGGCTTTTCTTCTTTAACTATTTCGATATTCTTTGCTTTTTTAGGTTTTGCGATATCTTTTTTTTCTTCTTTTGTCTCTTCTTTTACCTGTTCTGCTTTTTCATCAGTTTTTTCTTCAAAATTTTCTTCTATTTTATGCTTTTTTGCAATATTTTTATTTACTTTTTCAGGACTCACTTCAATTTTTTTTATTATAAAAATTGGTGATGAAATAGGTGCATCAATATCAGGGAGACTATCATGGTCTTCAATTTTCATCTGCTTAAATACTACATCTTCTTCACATTTTTGACTTTCCTCCTCTTCATGTGGTCTTTTTTGTGGTTTTTCTTCAATTTTAACTTCTTCTATGGCTATTTCTTCTTCAATGACGGCATTTGCTTTGGTTTTGTCTTCATTTTCTTCTTTTTCCTTTATTTCTTCCACTTTTTTAATCAAATCTTCTAATAAATCAACTATCTCTGGAGGGAGGATATCGTTAGCCTCTTCGTGGCTGGTGTCGCAAGTTAGTGCACTCTCGGTTTCCTTAGGAGATATAGCTTCTTTTCTAGCTGAGGAGCAGCCTGGTAAGAAGTCCTTTAAGATCGTCACAACTATTTGAGTTCCTATGCAGCCGACTGTAACAGGTCCCTTTTCATAAATCCATTTCTCAAAGGCTGCTAAATAATCCTTATAAAAAGCTCTTAGAGATCTTCTGAGTTCCCGACCTGAATTTTGAGCATCAAGTACTTTTCCAACTGCCTTCCAACTGATCCTTCCGAAGTGCTTTCTTACTTTCAATATACAATGAAAAAGGTCATATATGTCATAATTGGAATCTGGAATTATTATTTTCTAGGAAAAATGCCAATTATAGTGAAAGACCTCCGTATTTATTTGTACAAAATTATGGTTTAAGAACAAATCATTATGTCTTTAAATAAATAATACAGATTACTTTTAAATTATACTTTGGCATTCTGGATTCTTCAAGGAAACCTTTTAAAAGGGCTAGAAAATTTTCTTTAGGGGTCGATGGTATTACATTAGAGTTTCTCTTGTTCATAAGCATTGGAGAGTTGCAGCCACAAATACATGGAGTGCTTGTATTTGGGTTTATTTTACTTGATGCTTGCTCAGGTGAGAAAAAGTGAGACGGTTCTGAGTTTCCCTTGAACAACTCAACTTTGTTCGAAAGTTTTATGATCAAATTCTCCTTACTCAGCCTCTGCTATTTAATTTCTTATTGAATAATATTTATAATTATTGGGGAATTTTTCTCTTTATTTATTAGTTTGAGAATTGGTGATTTAGGAAAAGACTTCATATATTTAACAAAAAGCTAATGAATTTTTAAGAGAACCCCAATGCATATGTGGAATAAATCTATTGATTATAAATTTAAATAGTAAAAAATCGAATCAAAAAGATATTTATTCGAAAATCTTTTAAATTTTTATAAGCTATTAATATTATGGCAATTAGCTGTTTCTTTTTGACAAAATAAGAATTTAAATGAATTAACGAAATACATTAAATTGGCTTAGCCATTGGAAGAACTGCAAAGTTTTGTTTTATAAAAGAAGATATGCTTATTATGTTTTAAAATCAAAAATTATTGTAAAGGCCAAAAATTAGTTTCAAAAAAAATTATGATGAAAAGTTTCATGAAATCCATAAAATACTTGGAGATATCTTCCAAAATACTGAGTTTTTGGGTTTACACTAGCAAGCCCTTCAAGTGCAGTAGATATAAAATTTTCTGAATAATTCTCATTGCTATAGCTTGCAATTTCGCTCCAATTCTCAAGTATAAAATTATTAATGAGCATCAAGCGAAACTTGATGTAGACTCAGTTTTCTTTATTTATTAGTTCAAGAATTAGGGATTTAGGAAAAGACTTCATATATTTAACAAAAAGATAATGAATTTTTAAGAGACCCCCAATGTATATGTGGAATAAATTTATTGATTATAAGCTTCTTTTTCAGTTATTTATCCACTTCTCTCACCCAGAAATCGAGAATGGAGTTTTGGAAAATCTGCATGATTGTAATCCGTAATATATTCAAAAAGCATATGCAAAGCAATTTTGTCGCTTTTTTCACTTTCAGCATTAAGACGAGCAAGTCTCTCATAAAGCTGATGAACTTTCTTGCAAGGATGATAACCTTTAAAGATCACTATGCCTTCGTAGAACTTCCTATCAGCTTCTTCAACTGAAGGGCAGCGGCAATAAGCCAAGTAACGCGTTAAGAGCGTTTCATAGCCCAAATTTTCATAAAGAAAAGACTTTAAATCCAGTATCAAAAATCTCTTCATCTTCTATCATCTTGCACACGATCTGAATTGCACAGCGTTCTGCAAAATCCTGATTATAAAAATTAGAACCTCCTCCTATCCGTCCACGTAGTCTCTCTTCTGACTTTTATCTACAGTTGGTTGATTGTGAGAATTAAATAGAAAAAAAAACGAAATAAAAAGATATTTATTTAAAAATCTTTGAAATTTTTATAAGCTTTTAATATTATCAAATTAGCTGTTTCTTTTTGACGAAATAAGAACGCAAATTTATTAATTAAATTGACTAATCCATTGCAAGAACTGCAAAGTTTTGTTTTAAAAGAAGATATGCTTAGTTGTTTTTTCAACAAATCAAAAATTATTCTGAAGGCCAAAAATTAGTTTCAAAAATATTAAATCTATGACGAACAGTTTATTTTTGCTTCATTAAATGCATGAGAAATCCATAAAATACTTGAGATATCTTCCAAAATACTGAGTTTTGGGTTTACACTAGCAGGCCCTCCAAGTGTAGTAGCAATAAAATTTTCTGAATAATTTTCATTGCTGTAGCTTGCAATTTCACTCCAATTCTCAAGTATAAAATTATTAATGATCATATTCTCTTCCTTTTTGCCTCCAATTTTCTCATAAATTGTAGTTGGCTTATTCATATTATTGCTGATTGCATCTAGCCAAGTTAGTTTTTCTTCTATTGCCATCTTTCCAAACAAAAAAACTTCTTCCCATTTGAGTGAATCTTCTCCGCATACAACTTTTATTGTTTCTTTAATTGTATCTAATTCATTGTTAAACATTCCAGTTTGGCTTTCTATATATTTATTGAAACTGACTGAGTTAAATTTTGTTGCCATTTTCTGGAAGATATCAGAAACCACATTATCAGCAGGGTATAAGAAATAAGCACAAATCTTATGGATTGCTCCATCACGAGCGACTTTTATTGAGTTATCTATAAATTTCAGTGTTTCAGGTAAAACAATTAATGAATAATCTTTAATATGCCTTTCATATGAATCTTTTCAACTGTTTCCTGCCTTTAGTGTTGAAACCATTGACTCAATAGGCTCTGAAAAAGCTCCTATCTCTTGCATTGCGTTTATATATAAATTATACATATAGCTGAATGAGTATCTATCAGAACTTGGAATCATAAGATTTTCAATAAAATTAGCTTGCTTTGAATTTTTGGGTAAGAAATAAGGGAATGCATTTATCTCGAACTTACTTTGGAGCGATTTTATAAGTGAGGAATGATTGAAAACAATGTAGGAATGATTTTTCATAAAAATTCTTAAAGATTCAATTGAGTTTATTTGATTGTAAATTGGGTGATTTTTCAATAATAGCTGATGCTGAGCGAGGCTACTTGCAACTCGAATTTGATTCCAAGCCATTAAGTATTTATTTTATACTAGATTTATAATGCAAAATGTTATATTTCCCTTTGAACTGCTATTTAAATACAAAGAGCAAATATATACTTTATTTTAAATATTATTTAGAAAATTAAAAGAGACTTTTCTTATAAATACCATATTTATTATAATTCTTGTAATTTAAAAAATTAAGCAAGTCTCTCTTGTACATAATCTAGAACACCCTGGTCTTGGCTCTTTAGGAACCATTACGGGCTCAGGAAGTTCAATTTTTCTTTTACTATCATAAGATTCATGTAAAACAGGATATTCAATAGATTCAATAGGTATTTTATTATCAACTGTCAGAGACTCAGTCCTCACAACTGTATCATATTGGTCTTCATCAATACCTCCATTATCAAATTTTTCAAACCCAAAATCAAAAATTGGCTTGTCTTCTTGCTTTTCTTCCATTTTTGGAGTATCATTTTTTACTTCTTCCACAATCTCTCCTATATTTTCATTAATTTCTATCTGAGGAATTTCAATAGGAGCTTCTGGCTCATAGTAATTATTTTCTTCATTTGGGAGATCATCGATTCCTGAAATATCAGACATTGGAGACGCATCAGAAATAGGGGTAATCGGAGAATGAATATCACTAAAAGTCCCTTCTAGGTGGATTTGGGCCATTTTCATCTCTGGGACTTGGATATATTCATTAGATTCTACTGCATTAATAAAATCAATAATAGGAGTGCACGAAGGATCAATCTTTGCAGATCTTATGAACTCTGCCAATGGTATTTTTCCATCATCATTTATATCTAAACTTTCAAAAAAACCTGTTGATTGTGTCTTAAAATATTCTGAGCGGTAATCTAATGACTTTTCAATACAAGAAATTAAATTAAAAATATCGTCTGGGGATAAATGTTCAGAGCGCTCTTTATCATGAGCTTGGAAACAAAGGGTTAATTTTTCATCTATTGAGCATTGTGTAAGGATTGCTAAGCCTGATTTTATTTGAGTTATCTCTATTGAGTCATTTCCTTCTTGGTCAAAAGTGTTAAAAATGTTTAATGCATGGGATGGATATCACTGTAATCTCATTTTTGCGATTTTTACAAATTCTTCTCTAGTCACAAATTCTTTGTTTAATTGATCAAAAGATTGGTATATATCAAGAGCTTCGTTAAAAGAAAAAATCAAGCCTCTGTTCCTTAGTATCATTTTTGACTGCCTAAGTCTATAAAGCCTTTCCAAGTGGTTTTTTTCTAAATTTTCAGCTTGACCTAATAGTTCATCTCTTTTCAGGATTTTATATGTTGATTTAACAATTGCTTTCTTAATCATTTTTTCTATAGGCAGCTTCTCAAATTTCTGCATGAGCTTCATTCTTGTTAAATTTCCTGCAACTAATAAAGAATCAACTGAATTTTCAAGTGAAATCGCTTTTGTCTCTGCTTTAATTGTGTTTCTTAAAAACTTTTCATACTTGCTTAACAGAGTTAGGGCAAGCTTCAAAACAAATTCAAAGCCATGGATCAACATATTATCTCATATCCTAACTCCCCCCTCCGTGAGTGAACAAAAAAATTTTGTTCACTCACGGAGGGGGGTTAATTTTTTTTTTTAAAAAAATTTATATATAAATTTTATAAAAAATTTTTTTTTCGAAATTTAAAAAAATCCTAATTCGCAAAAATTGGAAAACAAATATTAATTTAATTTGTAAAATTTATGTTCTAAAAAGCAATTCGTTTAAAATTAAACAGAATTAGCTTTAGATTTCATTATAATAATTATCATTTATATATTAAAAAATTTTTTGCTCACTCACGAGGGTGGTTTTTTTGGGCAAAAAATAGCGATTTTTCTAATGATTTTGTTCACTTACGGAGGGGGGGAGTAAGCAAATCAAACGGCAGCACATTAGGAACAAATAGTGTTGAAAATCATGAAAACCCAATTCTTTTAATTGTGCTCACAAATGGTGTTAAATCATCTTCTTTTGTGTTTGAGTTTTTCGGGTTAAAAACTGCTTTTAATGTAGCTGCCAATCTTGGTCTAAGTTTTGACGCCATCATTACAAGAACTCTTAACTCTCTATGAAGTCCTAATTTTCGGCTTTCGCAGCTAAAATAATCCTATTTATAATTTACTCCAGGGTAAATTTTTTCAATAATATGACAGAGCATAACAAAAGTGTCACTTTCTAATTTAAAAACTTCTAAAAGCACAGCAACAATAAAATTCATCCCAGAGTGATAGCCAATATCTGCTCTTTTTGAAACAAACATACTAAGGATTGTAACTATTTTTTGAATTTTTTCTTCCCCTTTTAATGCACTTAATGCTCCTATATATGATTCTGGAGCTTCTTTTCGAATTTGTTTTGCGATATTCGCAGAAATAGTGACTTGTTTTTGATTTTTAATTGTGTGGAAAAAATGTAAGCACTCAGATGCAAAGCGTGGGTCAACTAAAGCGACTCATGCACTAATTAGAAAATTACAGAGGTCTTTGGGTTTGAGGGTTAATATATGATAAATTTGAAGCTCTAAGTGTGTTTATTTTGGTTTCATAACTCCCTTGAAGCCGTAAAAATTCTGGCCAAGTCTTGATAGTTTGTTGATTTGCCATTTAGATTATATACTAATTGACCAAGAATAGCCCACTATGGAGCCATTCTTGGTCTGCCAGAAAAAAATTTGACAAAAGATCCTAATCTGCCATTACCACTGAGTTTTGGTGTTTCCAAATTTTTTGGGCAAGCCAAATGCAATAAAAAAAAAATTGTTCTTTTGCGATGACGCATTTGTCAAAAAAATTTGGCAACACCAAAACTCAGTGGTAATGGCAGATTAGGATCTTTTCTGCCATTACCACTGAGTTTTGATGTTGCCAAATTTTTTTGACAAGCCAAATGCATCATCGCAAAAGAACAATTTTTTTTATTGCATTTGGCTTGCCCAAAAAATTTGGAAACACCAAAACTCAGTGGTAATGGCAGATTAGGATCTTTTGTCAAAATTTTTTTCTGGCAGACCAAGAATGGCTCCTTAGTGGGCTATTCTTGGTCAATTAGTATATCTTTCTTTGGACTTATTTATTACACTTTTTTAACATAATTAATCGTATTTTTTTCATTTAGCATGCTCTTTGTAATATAAAATTTATATTGCTCTTTTCAAATGCTTGATTTTGAGCTAAAATATATCACAATATTAATTATTTAAAAAATAAATCAATATAATAAGGAAGAAATTAATAAAAAGAAACACTTTATTGTTCTCATGACTTGTGCCTGAAAACCCAGCATTTGCACTAGAAAATATAATGCCATTCAGTGATGTGGAGTCTGAAAAGCTTAACCGATCCCATGGATTGGATCATTGTTTTTTCACTCCTTACTTTAAATACAGCTCACAATTGCATATGATAGATATTATGGCTCGAGCAGTGAAATAAGTCAAATCTATGTTTTATCCCTTATAGATCAATAATATATTATATGATTATCTCAAAAGAAGATTCTTAATGACCATAATTTAACTACTCAAAAACAAAATATTTATAAGGATCCCCCTCATTTGTCAATTTTCTAGTCTTTTATCATTTGTCCATTTTTCTAGTTTTTTTTTATAGGAAAAAAAATTTTTTTAGTGCCTCATTTCATTTGTCCAATTTTCTAGTCAAAATTTTGATAGAAAAAAAAATATTTTTCAGGACCTTAATTGTCTCATTTTCTAGTTTTTTAAAGTAAAAAACTAAAATTTAGGAGATTCGAAAAAATCCAAAAAAGACTAGAAAATGGGCCAAATCATTTTTGACTAGATTTTAGGACAAATGAGATCCTGAAAAAAAAATTTATCCTATAAAACAAAGACTAGAAAATTGGCAAAATGAGGGGGGCAATCTTTATTTGCATCATTCAGGTAATCATCACTAGCATCATCTACAGGTGTAAAATAAGGCATGCTCAAAGCCACTTCATATAATGATCCCCTCCCTCTCATTTGTCCAATTTTCTAGTCTTTTACTATTTGTCCATTTTTTCTAGTTTTTTTATTGGAAAAAAAATTTTTTAGGACCTCGTTTCAATTGTCCAATTTTCTAGTCAAAATTTTGATAGAAAAAAAATATTTTTCAGGACCTCAATTGTCTCATTTTCTAGTTTTTTTAAAGTAAAAAACTAAAATTTAGGAGATTCGAAAAAATCCAAAAAAGACTAGAAAATGGGACAATCATTTTTAACTAGATTTTAGGACAAATGAGGTCCTGAAAATTTTTTTTATCCTATAAAAAAAAGACTAGAAAATTGGACAAATGAGGGGGGGGATCTATAGATAAAACATATCTCTTCATAATTCCTTAATTTTTCGATTATTCCCAAAATCAAGTTTTTATTCAGCTTCCCGTCATATCATATAAATTCATACACAAATTTAAAATGTCAGAACCTTCAATTTTCGAATGCAGCATATGCTTAACTCCTTTTAATTCCTCAAATCGCGCCCCTATGTCTCTGCCCTGTGGCCACGTATTTTGCAAATTGTGCATATCCCAATACTCCTGCACATTTTCCGCCTGTCCAAATGACCAAACTCCGCATCCGCCACTGGACAAGTTACCACTCTGCTTAAATATTTTACACAATCTCCCAAAACCTCTAATAAAAGTTACATGCTGTACAGCCCACCCCAGAAGGCAAATAAAATATAAATGCAGAGTTCACAATACATGTCTGTGTTCTGAATGCGTCCTTTTGCATGCAGGACCTGGACATGAGTTACTGCTATTTAAAGTAAATACAGAAAAACTGAGAGAAGATATAAAAGAGCTAGCGGATACGACAGATAGTGTGGCAAAGGACGCAGAAAAAGCATTGCAAGAATATGTAGTTATGAGTAAAAAATTGTCAAGTTTTTATGAAAATCAGATTTCTAGAGTAAATTCTGCTTTTGAGGTTGCGATTAGACAGATTGTAAGCAGACAAAAAGAGCTGGTTGAAGGGTTAAGGAAACATTTGAGAGACCAGCAAAACGCTTTGGATATGAAAAAAAATAAATGCAGCATGAGCTTGGAAAAAGCTAAAGGCTGGAGTACAAAACTGCATAATTTATCAAAAGATTTAGGAGATATGACTTATGATGAGTTTTCTAAATATATTTCAGAAACTTATAGTGAGCTATCAACTATTTCCCCGACTAAAAACCAAGAAGATTTGAAGCTGTATGTATTCAATGATTTGATAAATTTAGGAGAGCTGGGGAATTTATCGATATTTAAAGAAATGAAAGAAATTAAAGAAATGAATTATTTTTTTCTAATTATTATACTATATTCCTAATATCTCTCAATTAGATTCAAGGTAAAATTATAGCCACTATTAATTTAATTGTGTGAATAATTAATTTTTTTATATAAAAATTCATAATATATTTTGAAAACAAAATGAATTGGACATGCTCAAGATGCACCCTGGAAAATCCAGAATCTGAATCATATTGCAATGCCTGCTTATCTGCAAGATCATCAGCAGCAGCTACAACTACTGCGACAGGAGCAACAACTTTGGGAGGAGAAAATGACTCATGAAGATGTTTAACCTGCAATAAATGAAATCCAGGCAATAATAAATGCTGCTCAACAGGCTGCGACAAAAATCAGCCTGACTTCGCCAAAAGTGTAGGAACTGGAAACCAAAAGCACTCTCCTCAAGATAAATTTAAACTGAGGGTGAAAAATGTGAATAGACCAAGAGGGAAAGCTAGGGTAATTGATATTTAGACTCATAAAAGGAATTCAAGCTTTTAATTATGTAATTGATAAATATTTTTAAAAAAACTTAATTTAACTCATAATCTTAGCTTAGTTTATTGCCACCCTTGGTTGTTAATAAATCTGTTCACCAAATTCAATGCATTTACAGGCTGATCATGAGGAACCATATGGCCAGATTTCAAAACTACTACGAAGCTCAAGTTGTTATAAGTTTGGGCATATCCTGCTACATTTCCATTGACATTCCAAATGATTTTATTTGAGTTTATAAAGTTGCTGATGTAAGGCCAGTTTAAGTTCGCAAGCATTTGTTCAGTGGATGGGGTATTCACGATTAAGTCGTCTTGGCCGTTATATATGAGGACTCTTATGGAGTCAAGGAGATATGGAATTAAAGGTGCAGCTGAGGTCATAATGTCTTGGGTCATGGCGTTATAAATATTGTTATTGCACTCAGTCCCAATCTGAGGATTGGTTGGCAGGGAATCTTTAAGAAGGGGACTGAAGGCTGTCTAGATGATGTGGCATTGGACGTTAAATGAACTAAGATCCTTAATTAATTTAATTTATACACTCAGTCCATACTACAGATGAAGGGACATGGATCATCTGCTTAGTGGAGGCTAAATTAAGCCAAGCTGGCATTTGGCCCATATTGTAATTAGGGTTATAGTCTCTGCTGTTGTAGACATTGATGCCACCAGCATAGTCAACAATAAGAGAGTAAGACATTTCCCAGTCGTTTAATGCTGCATTTCAGTTTCCAGTATTTAAATCGCTAGTAACTTGGTCTTCATAAGTCTGGACAATCCCAAGCTCTTCTTGGTCAATAATCCCAGTTGCATAAGCATAACTTCCATAAGTTTGGCTTTGGTTTGGAGGGTCAGTCCATGGGTCTCCAATTCCTACACCTTTCAGGTTGAACTTAAAAGGAGGGTTAGGGCTTCGATTGTTAGACACAATCTGATAGGCAATGCCAGGGATCCAATGTCCTCCAAAGCTTTCTCCAAAGAAATAAAGGTCTCTTGAAAACCAGGTTGGGTATTTGTTGGCAAGTTTGACCAAAAAGTTGTAAAGTTGGATTGATGAACCAGTTGTGGTATTTTTCGGGGGAGCCATGAAAAACACCACTAATTATTTTTCTTAAAAAGTAAAGATATATATTTTTTTTTCATGTAAATTTTAAAGTCAAATCCAAAACAGGGATCAGGCTTATTGAAAAAAAATTACCTTAATTTACCCCACTGGGTATTTTATTGCAACCCATATTTTTCATATCATATGGAGCGCCAGCTATTGAGTATCCAGTCCCTAGAGGATGGTCAATAGTCATAACATGGTAATTATTAGTCCATGTATAAGGATTTTTCTGGGGATTTGTATTGTTATCAATATAGAACGGGGCAATATTTTCGAAAAACATCCCAGTTTCTCCAGAACAACCTGGACCGCCTTGAATCCAGATTATTAGAGGTAACTTATCAGCAGGATTTGTGATGTTACCTTTAATTGCTTGGAAAAGCCAATAGAAATAGGAGGAGCCTGTAATTGCATTCATTGTAACTTCACCTGCGTAGCCTTGGTAGCCGAAATAGCTCCATGTGCCATCTGTATCGCCTAGAAGCTCTTGAGTATCAGTTGAAGAAACTAGGGATAAGCTCAAAAAGAGCAATCCTATATGGAAAAGTCGTAGAACCATATTTATAATTTGTTCACCTAGATGAAGGAAATTTCTTGTAAATTAAAGAAAACCAGCCTAAAATAAAGAAAATTTATTAACGAATTGAATATGATAGCAAAGCAATCATTGATTATAAAAAAAATATATTAATTAAATTAGACAAAAAAGAGTTATTAATTTTTATAAGATTTTTGTTCAAACTAGAAAGAAATGAGAAGGAAATTTGTAAGTCAGCATATTAAGAATTATTTATGAAAATATATATAGCATTACTAAAAATGAGCGAAACAAATAATGATATAACTACCAAGGCCAGGAAAATTAGAAGACTATTAAAAAATTCAATAGAGCCATTAGATGAAGCTTGCAGCGGCAAAATTTCAATGGATACTTTTAAAGACAAACTAAATAGGATGAATATTTTTCTTAGACGTGAGGATTTTGAGTTAGTTAGCCAGAAATATTGTGATGAAGAAAACAAAATTAATTATGGCTCAGCTTTGAGAAGGCTTAAACTTCATCACGATAAAGGTAGATACTTATGATATATAGATAAAGGGGACAATGAAAAGCTATTCCTCTCTACAGTTGCTAGAAATCAGCAATTAAGCACAGATAACCAACTTGGATTTTTATTAAATTCTCACAAGTATTTGCCTTTCAGCAATGAATCTCGCCTAGATAAGGGCAAAAATAATGTATCTGATTCATTACTTATGAAGCTGCAACAAAATCATATAGACATAAGAACCTTAGAAGCAATAAAATCTCATTCAATGATGCCTGTTAAAGATCAAAAGCCAAAATCCACTGCAGCTTCCTTTAAAAATATCTTAAACTCTTACGGCTCAAAAATCCCTGAACACTTGAGAACTGATTTGCTTGCCCATTGCATTGATCCTGGTGGGAATTTCAAACTGTCACAGCTATACGATCTCATTGAAGCCTATAAATTCGCACCACAAGGCACAAAATATTATAACTCTCAGCTTCTATCGCCAAATGTTAAAGAAGCTTTATGATCTCCTGAAAGAGCAAGCCTTAGAAGTAGGTCAGAAGACCAGCAAGCCCAATTGATAAAAAAGTTGTCACTACAAATAACTGATAGGTTTCGAATGATTTCCCAAGCTTTCAGGTTTTTTGATAATGATAAAGTAAAAACTATATAGGATGGCAAAATAAATTTTACTGATTTTTTGATTTCGTTAGAAAATTTTACAATTTTCGCGACTAAAAAAGAGCTTAAAACTTTATTTATGAGCTTAGATAAAGATGAAAAAGGGTTTCTAAAACTCGAAGATTTTTCGTGTCTTTTTGCGAAAAAAAGCTCTTTAACTCCTACTCCTATGGATTTATCAATAAATAGAAAAAGACAAATTGGATTTATCTCAGAAAGGCGCAATATCAAGCTGAAATCTAGTATTTTACCATATGAGCCATCAATTATAAAAATCAAGAATAAAGGAAGCTTGAACGATTTAGATAATCAGCATTCAGGGAGTTTTGACTCAAAAATTGGGAACGTGAAAAATAAGCTAAAAAAAGGGCCGAAAAATCAGCTAAAACATACGAGTTTTTTGAGTGAAATCAGAAGACCTTCACCAAGAAAAAATGTCAGCCAGCTGTAATCTAAAGTAATTTAATTATTAACACTATGGTATCTTATTCTCAGTCAAGTCCTTTTTTAACAAGTATCAAATCTTCAACTCTAAGGCCAAATTCAGATCTAGCCTGCGATGCTACATATTTTCCGAAATCGTCCCGTACCAAAAAGAATATAGAGATCGTTGATTATGATTTAACCACAAAAATTTTAGCCTCATCTATTTAATTTAAATGCTTATTTTAAAGCCATTTTTCTATTTTATATGAAATTAATGCTTATCATAGGCAAAATTATTATTTAGTGTTTTATTATAGAATATCACCGTCAATTCCAAAAACCTCAAAAGCCAAACTCCTTAAAACTGTATCCATTAAAAACTTTCCCAGCTCTATAAAGTCAAGAAACTCCATCTACGACTCTTCTTCAAGATCTAAAAACTTCAGTGGGACTTTTAAGTTTGAAGGAGAAAGCCCAAAACCAACTGAAGTTTATTCTAATATGCAAAAAAAGCTTAAAGACTTCAATAAATGAAAGAAATTAAAAAACGATAAATCCAGCGAAATTGAAGAACTGAAAAGAAATATTAAAAAAAATGAAAAAGAAAAAGAAGGCTTGGCCGAGAAGATAAAAAATTATGAAAAAGTTGGGAGTTTAATTATTAAGATAGTAAATGAAGAAAAAAATAGCCATAGAGACTTGGATAAAATTATAGAAATGATTGAAAAAATAAAATCGCCTAATAAAAAGCCAGAGTTCAACGAAACAAGAGCAGAGCTCTGGGAATTATTTTCAAAAATGGAAACATTTTTGTCTGGAAAAAGATAGTTTTACAGATAAAATAAAATCGTATATTAATGATTATTTATAAAAAATTGATAATACAGTTAATGGAAAGAAATATTTCTTAAGTGCTTTTGGAGATTGGTGTTTTCCGGCTCCATGTCAAATGACCGTGGATTTTTGACAGTGTACATTGATAGTACGGCCGAAAAATTAACGGTTTTTAGGTCAAATGTCTCACTATCAAAAATTTTTGATCAACTTTCGGCCAAAAATTTTTGGGTGAAATGAACACTATCAAAAAGGCAAAGTCATTTGACCTGCAACCGTGTTTTCCATTTTTAGCTTCTTATTTGTTGATACAAGATCAATATAAATTTTATCTGAATCAAAAGTTTGGTTCGCAGAAGATACTTCTGAAGCTCCTACATCTATAAAGAAAGGGCTTCTGCTATCAAGATCACTAAATTTTGACTCAAGAAAATCAATTTCTTTTTTTAAGTCCAAATTTTCTCTTAATAAATTTTCTATTTTATTTTCATAGTCAATTTTAAATGTTCTGATATGTGACTCGCATTCTGACTTTAAGTCTTCTATTATAGACTTTGTTTGGTCTTTTAAGCTAGCTGTGAACTCATTGGCAAGCTTTTGTTTTATTCTATTTTCATTAGCTTGGATTCTTTTGACAAATTGCTCTCTTAAATCATTATATTCTTTTTCATGTGATTCTGCTAGAGAAATTCTTAAATTATCAGTATTTTCTTTAAATTCTTTTAAAAGTCTTGATTTTTGTTCTTCAAGCATTTTTTCAGTCATTTTATCACATTTAGCACAAACATCAGAATCGACGCTTGAGTCTTCTTTGGTATTTTGCTCTTCCAATACATTAATAATATTTTGTTTTTCTTTTAAATTTTCATTTTTCTGTAAATCAATTTTTTTCATCTCTAAAATTTGGTCTTTCAGCTTATTTACTTCTGCTTCAAATTTTATTCTTTGTGCATCTAACGATGACCCCCCCTCAATCTTCATGTCTATTGCAACAAAAATGCAATTTTTTAATATAAAATTTTATATAAAAAAAAATAATAATTTTCATGTCTCTTGCAACAAATTATATAAATTAAAATGGCGACACGCGTCAACCTGCCCTCTTGGCGCAGCAGTCTAGACCTTATGGCTAGGGCGAACTGGGACGGACTCCGAGCCGAGAATCAGATGCAGGCTCAAGAAGTGTGTATCCGGGTAGGTTTTGACTGCTTTCCTGTGGTTGGAAATGGAGGTGCTCAACAACGTCCTTTGGATCCAAGGACCCATGGGCATTCCTCTACCGAGAAACTGGGGGTTTCGGCCCAGGCAGGGGAACAGTCTTTTTCCTGTAGCTGTCGAAGGAAGGCACTTTGACAACTGATAGACTCTAAGGAGCTGATCCTTGGAATCAATCTACTCCAATCGCCCGCAGCAGGGCCGCATAAATCCATAAGCAGCCCACTCAAGACTGAAGCCTCAAGGCAAGGAGGAGATAGAAGGTACCGGAAGGGCACTCGTAAGAGGGATAGACCCTCTGGGCTGGATTCGAAAAGCGGTAGAACCTTCCATACGGGAGTCTTTGGTAAAATGCGTCACCAATATGGCTAGCGCCTGTCTGTATTAATCCTAATGCTCTTGAAACAAATTTTTGATGCGCATCTTAAATTTTTTCGTACATTTTAGCTAGATAAGTTGAATAAAATGGCGAGCGATGACAATAGCCGTCCAAATCTCGATGAGAAGGTCATTGGCACGCCTACAGCAGTGCTGTTTTATGGTTTTTTGAGAAACTCACCTAGAGAAAAATGCATTAATTTTTTCTATAAAAATGTTGTGTTGCAGTAGGCATGAAGATTTTTTCGAAAAATTTTTGTTGCAATAGACATGAAGATTGAAGGGGGGGTCATCTTTAGTTCGTTTTTATGTAAAAATTTTGAATTCCTGATATCTGCTTTAAGATTTTCATTTTCTTTGAGAATTTTATTATAATTTTCTAATAGTCCATCTTCACATTGTATAGATATATCTTTTATTTCTTTAGGCTTCTTTTCCTTAAGGAAACTTCCAGGGTTTTCAATTTTTGGCTCGCTTGAAGAAATATTCAGCTTATCAATTCTTTCATAATTTTCTTTATTTTGGATCATATCGATGCTGCTTATTTTCCTTATTCTTGTGTCGTAGCTTGAAGGACTCTCAGGTGAATCAAGACCAAAAGTGAGGTAGCTTTCACTTACATCTGGAATTACGATGCTATCAACCACACTATCTTCTATTGAGCTTAAAACTTGACTTTGATGGTCCGGATCTCTATGAACTGCTTTTACTTTTCTTCTCCCTTCTTTATTAACGGAAAATGTTTTTGAAATTTTTGAATTTCCGCTTAAATTTCTTTTTTCTTTTAATTTAGGCTCAATTTTTTCTTTTTTGACACTTGATGACTTGTGAGATTTTTCTAAAGCTTTTCGGCTGCATTCAAGTACTTTAACTTTGTTATCGTACTAATTTTTAATTACTTGGACAATCATTTTCTTCAGAGATGAAATATAATGATTTACTATGATTTTGGCGCTTAAAAAAAGTTTATAATATAAAATTTTAATTAAAATTAATAGGGATATCATTGAATTGCTTAACAGGTTTTGCTCTCTTTTTGGTTTGTTGGGGATTTGAAAATGACACGCTTTGAAGGGTTTTCCAATTATTTTCCATTTAAATTACATTTCTCTATTAATAGAATCCATTATTTAAGGAGATGGGTGATATGAATAATTAGACCTCTGCAGCATTTTGGTCAGTGATAATACTGCAACTGAGCTATCGACTTCCATATCTTTTATTGGCGCAACCGCAAACTGTGATTTAAGCCTCATCTGTTGGTCTTGTGCTAGCTTAACTAATACATACTTACCACATTTCGACACTGCAAGTATTTCTTTTGGCGCTTTACTTGGTCTGTCTCCTATAAGTTTCCCAAATTCATCTTCATCTTCTGGTTTTACTTCTAATTCAGGGCATTTACCTAAAAGAACATTTAGACCTTCAATTAAAGCATCTTTCTGTTTAACAAAGCCAAATCCGTCCTTACAAACCTTCAAAATATTGCTAAAAGTGTCTCTTTGATCTAAAAATAAAATAAACATTCATAAGATCCAGAGTTTTGGCTCTTGAAGAGCGGCTTCTCCTTTTTGATTTAAAGCCTTTGGGGTTTTTATACGAAAAGATATGATTCTTTCTGATTTGAAAAACTCATTGAATTCAGGTCCAAGCTGACTTAATGGATTTTGGGAGGTTTCGATGTAAGTTTGGTACATAAGATTGATTCTTTCAAGAATTTTGGGGTCTGGCTCTGCGTTAAAATTTCGGTTAGTAGTTCTTGGGATTTTGCTCATTTTAATATTATAAAATTCAGTTAGGCAATTTTAACGATAAATCATATGGAGTGTCGCTATTGTTTAGGTATATTTAAACATGGGAGGTATTTAATGTTCAGAAAAGCAGAAAATTATTTAAGTTTGTTAAGAAGCAATATAATTTTTTGAATTATAAATTTTAATATGTAAACTAATTTTGCAAAAATATATCTTACTTACTTACTTACTTACTGACTTAATAATTCGGTCTTTAAGGTGTCCGGTGCCGCAGCCCTTATAAAAAGGGCTTTTGGCAAAACTTGGGACGTCACCGAGCCATCTTGGATCAACCTGGTCAGCCCAGGCCCAAGCCTTCTATCAAAGTTTCGTCGCTCGTCTTGCTGCACTTCTCGCCCGGCGCGATGACAATGCCTTGCCTGACTCAGCTCCTGCGCGTGTTCCGCCTAAGGGTCATCCTCCCGTGGGGATGTGCTGAGAGGTAAAACTCCGAGCCTCTTAGTGCACTGAGGAGGCGTTCCTCTGGTTATCCCCAGAGTTAAACGTCTATTGCTGTACAAAAGTTCTCGAGAGAAAACCTAACCCCATAAATAAAATTCCATGAGGGAGAGAAAATTAGCAAAGCTAATTTCTCTCGAACCGAATACCATTTTATTTATGCAAAAATATATCAATATAATTTGACAATTTTTTATAAGATATAGTATCCAATAAAGAAATCAATGAATATCATCAAACCAAATTTCCTTTCCAAACCTTTTAGCGGTATAAAAAATAACCCAATTTTCTTTGTCTATTTTATATAAAATGATCAAAAATTCATTTTCATGCAAATCAAATAGAAATGCATATTAATTCATAGTAATATTTCGTAGGTAAGTATGATCTTTGGTATACTTTGAATCAAAATTTATCTTGAGCTCTCATTGATTTTTAAAAAATAGCTCTAAATACAAATACCTAAAAATTCAAAATCATATCATAAAAATCGAATTAGGATTAGTGAATTCAGATTTCTTATCAGAAATATTAAAATCTTAAACTAGTTACACTAAACTGACCTCTCAGAAATTTGTGTTAGGAATTACGGTATATTGCTTTAACTTATATAAGATCATCCTTAATAAGCCGATTAATATTATTACAGTTGCGATCAAATGATGATTAAATCATACGACATGCACTTATGATAAATCTCATATTAATTTAGTAGTAAAGTATAAAACTTCAAATTGCTATGAAGGCTCCCACATTATTCAGGACAATTTTTAGAGGTATCCGAACAAACCTCCCCAAAACCAATCATCACATCTATGACTTCGAAAAAGTAGACCCAGATAATCCCAAACAATTAAAAGTTGACGAAGTCTTTGTGGAGCCAAATAAAACAAGGTTCAAGAGCAAGACGATTGCTTTTTGGCTCTACTTAGTATCTGGCTGGCTAATTTATTATGGCACAAGAGTTGCATATGACTATGATTGGGACAGATATTATCATGTTTACCATCCTGGCCTTATGGAATATTATGACATTCTTACACATTACTATATAATTAAATATGGCGTCTCAACTTGAGTCTGGCCTTTCGGCCAGACAGTTTCGAACCCTATTTAATTATATCCGGCAAGGTTTTGCCTAGCTAGAGATGGACAGCAATATCAGGTAAGCAATTCTGGCAGTGTACAGAGCCTGATCCTAGTCCGTTCTCAGGTTAGGATTTTACCTCGAAGGAAAAGGAGGCTTGGAGTTGGAAAGGAGAAGCCCAGCAGTGCCTACAGGTAATTCCTAGGCCATTCGGGCAAGTCTCTAGCGAGAAACCGGGAGTTTCGCCCCGGGCTACAAGTTTTTCCTTTTTTGCCGAAAGTCGGCCAGAAATTCCATTTTTTGGAATTTCCTAGCAGGCAACCTTCGTACAGAGAAAGCAGCTCATTCATGAGCTGTCGAAGCCGGAACATCGCGCAGGAGGCGCACGTTGGAGATCAAAGCTAGCTGTCCCAGCAACTAGTGGGCCCCCGAGCGACGAGAGCGTGGTGGTAGTCCTGGAAGAGCAACCCCGTAGGAGACGTTAAACGTCATGGTTAATAAGTTAAGTTAAGTTAAGTTACACATTACTATACTAAAAAAATTAAGTATTTGCAGGATAATTTACCTGATATTTTAGCTAAATATTTGCCAGATACCCCACAGCTCCCTACAATAAGGAGAACAAGAGACTTGACTCGCGGAACAGTTGACAAAATGGTCGAAAGTGAAGGCAAACTTGGAGAAAGGATCTCAGAAATGTTTGAGGAGAAGCCAAAATAGTGATTAAAAGATTTTTTAAAAAAATAAAGCGAGTTTATATATAAATTAAAATGGAAAACGAATCCTCAAGCCCTCAAAAAGAGGAGTCTGCCCCACTAATGGACGAGAAGTTAAAGGAATCCATTAATACGTTGACTCATCAATTATATCACTTTCAAGAAGCAATAATTTTATTTGTCCAATATCCTAAAGAGCTAGTTATATTGTACACTCAACTTTTTCTCGTTTCGTACTCATTTGGAATGGTACTAAATCTGCCTCAACTAATAATAAATATATAGAAATTAGGCTATGACATTAAAATTTAAAAAAATTATTTGATTTCATAGAACAAAGACTATCAAATAATCATATTTTTATCCAAAAATAAGTATTTTTTTTTAATACTTGCAGAAAAGCATAGATATTATGGAGGAGTAAGCGTTTTATGTGCATATTTTACTGATGTGTGGGGTACTTCTGACATTGAATCAGGGATAATTATTGGTATTTATGGGCTTATGACGGGTATTGCATCTTTGGTAACTGGCTCATTTCCATATCGTTTTGGGGTAAAAACAAGTATCACAATTGGAGGAATAATTTTCAGCGCAGGCTTAACCTTAATAGCTATCTCAGAGTGGTTCTTGGTTTCCGTTGTATCAGTCTATACATTAACAGCTATCGGAAACAGTATAAGTGTCCCAATGACAATTTTTGCAATCTCTCTTTACACCCCTGAAAAATCAAGGATTATCGCAAACAGCCTCGTTGTCATCACTTTTTGTGTTACATTTATTTTTATTGGTATAGGCATTTCCTTGTTCTGGGAAATATTTAATGATAATGCAGATTATGCATATGGAGCTATGTTTTTATCTGCAGCATTTATATGCATTAATGTGGTGGAGGCGACCACCCGACCTCTTGACGCAATTTCCTCAACACCTGCAGGGAACGCCCAGGTGGAGTTACCAAGTTGAGAAACAGGCGGCATCCTTAGTGTATACTGGCAGAGGTTTTCTCCGTGCCACAGCGTATGATGCCTGGGACATGGGTTTTTCCTCCAGGCATGGAGTTGGAAAGGGCACAGTCGGCCATCGTCCCCGAGATTAGGTATTATCTATACTTCTTTTCTTGGAGTGGCCTGCGCTTGCAGCGCCACTCCAAGGAAGTTTCTATATACTCGAATTAGGGACCCTGAAGACAGCAGATGCCTAGCATGAAACTGGGAGTTACGCCCGAGGCTTCAGGCCAGCGAACGGACGCCCCGGGAGCAAGTCAGGCTGACGACGTTCTAGGCGAGGACAGACGGTGTCAGTAGGGCATCTGGCGAGGGCGGATTAACTTTTAGGGGCGGAAATCCCAGGCCATCTTTAAACACGGCTTTAATTAATCTTAATCTGCAGCATTTACTGCATTACTTAGTGCTGGGTTAATACACTTTGTTGGCCCACCAAAATATTCGCAAGAGACTGAGCATCAAGAAGGCAAAAAATTGAACATTATGGATGTGTTTAAAACCAAGACCTTTATGAGATATTTTATTTTATAATGAATAGCCCGCTAAAGAGCTTTTTGAGTTAGCCAGAATTGGTAAAATAAATTTAAATTTTCCTGAAAAATTCTCCTTGTGGATTATCCATCATAAACATGCATATTTTGTATTTCTAATATTATTGACTATTTTATTAGGAGCTTTTAATACTTTTCCTATATCACTTGGTAAGTATATGACAAGGGAGTTCGGTGACGACGTAAACTGGGGTTCTATTTTTACTATACAGTCGATTGTGACAATAGTTTCTATAGTCGCTTTGTCGTTCTTTTTATTTATGATATCAAGCTATACTCTTATTATTTTTGGCTGCTTAATTTCTGCATTATCATTTTACTTTTTTACTTTGCCTCCTAGCTATTCAATGTGTGTCTTTTTTGCTATTTTTTATGGAGTTGGGTGCAGCTTATTCCAGCCTCGGCTTTATGATTATATATTGAAAGTTGCTCCTCTAGGACAAGAAGTGGTTTATTTTTCCTTTTTAGTGCTTCCCAATAACGTCTCTTTATTATTTGCAGGAATTCTGTCTGGGGTGCTATTAGAAGAATACTGTCCTGAGGATGGTGATGAAAAAGAATGCTGGAAAATGTGAATGATTATATGCGCAATTGCAGTGCCGACTGCTCTAATTCTTGTTTTCACTAGATCTTGTATTGAAGAGCCTCAAGTTGAGAAGAAAAAAGCTTTTGAATCGGATGATGATAAAGCTACATAATTATTAATTATTGCAGAAAGAAAATTAATTATTTTTTAATTTTTCTAATAAATATTCTGATTCTTGAGGCCCAGTATGTAAAATCAAACTTCTAACTCCCCCCCCCATCCTTGATCGAACGACTCGTCATCGTTCGATCAAGGATGGGGGTTAAAAACAAATTTTTTGGGAAAACAATTTTATATATAAAATAAAAAATATATATATATATTTTTTTTTATTTACTTTTAAATAAGAGGGTTAAGAGTATTTAATAATTATTTTTACAGCAAAAAATTGAATTAATTTCATAAAATACCAATTTTTAATATTTTGATTTATTAGTTACCCTTTTAAAACTGTATAAATTTTAATTTGTTCCTTATTAAATTAATTTTTTTTTTTTTAAAAATTTTAAAGAATCTCTATTTTATTAGATTATTGAATTTTTAAGCATAGGTTGATGATTAAATCACTTCAGATGGTTGATTCCGCAGCTTTCTGTCATCTCAAAGCTCTGAAAATAACTTCATTATGTACATCTTCCCAAGCTTTTGATAAATAATATATTTTTATATATATAAAAATTTGCATGATATGAAAATCGTTCGATCAAGGATGTGAATTTCTCCAATTTTTAGGAATTTTTACAGTCAATCGTTCGATCAAGGATGGGGGGGGAGTAAACAAAGAATTCTTGTTATTAATAAGCTGCTTTGGACGACCTATTTCTTTACAAGTCCCATCTTCCATCACTATCACTAAATCAACATTAATTATAGTCCTTAGTCTATGAGCTATAATAAGCATGGTACTGTCAGGAAACATTGTTTTTATTTTTTTATGGACAATTCTGTCAGTTTTTGGGTCTACATTTGCAGTTGCTTCATCCATCATCACAATTTTACTATTTCTTATTAAAGCTCTTGCAAGGCAGACTAACTGTTTTTCCCCAGCTGATAAACTGCATTCTGGCCCTAAAAGAACTGTATCAAGTTTATTAGGCAAAAATTTGACTAGATCATATAAATCTGCCTGCTTGCAAGTGCGCCATATTTCATCATCTGTATATTCATGATATGGGTCAATATTATCTCTGAAGCTTGCCATAAATATTATAGGGGACTGAGTGATGGCTGACATCTGTTTACGCAATTGATGAAGACCTGCACTTTTATAGTCTTGATCATCTATAAATATAGTTCCCAATGTAGGGTTTATAATCCGAAACAAGACATTCATTATGGAGGATTTTCCTGATCCAGTTCTTCCAACAATACCAACTTTTTCTCCAGGATATATAGCAAAATTTAAATCATGTAAAGCATAAGGATAGTTTTCTCCATATTTCATATACCCCTTATATAAGAAATAACTGAATTATTTTTATTATTAAAAAATGGACCCAATCTTTATTAATATAAATAAAAATATTTTTAAATTCAATTTTTCCATATTTAATATTGAAGCCTTCATCTGAGTCAAATTTTCCTTCTTGCTGCAGATCAGCATACTCCATCAGCCTTTGTGGAGAAATAATCAAAATATCAATTTCAAGCATGCAATCTGCCCATGACATAGAAGTTTGCATAGCTAAAATCAAGAAACAAATGCATATAGCTGCAAGATCAGGGGTTATGAAATTTTTTCATGGGATAAGCACTATAGCTATCATGATGCATAGTAGAGAAGTAAAGATTTCCATATAAAATTGATAAAAACGGAAAATTATTTCTTTGCTCAATTCACATCTGCAGTTGTACTCTATATTGTTTTTCATGTCTGTTATAAGTTTATTCTCGAGATTGTGTGATCTGATTGTTGCTATTCCGTGTATTGATGCATTGGCTAGACTTAGAATTGGACCTTTTGACTCTAATGCTAAGGTGGTGAGATCTTTAATCATTGGAAATATAAATTGAGAAAACCATAGAGTATTTAGGAAATAAAATATCACTAATGCTGCAGCAGGCGGAACAATAATTGCAATAGATATAAGGATTCCCGATAAATCGAAAACTTGGCTAATAAAATGGCATAATACAGTATGCAATATCTCGTCCATCATAAACGTGTCTTTAGAAAACCGATTAATCATTTTTCCGATACTGTTTTTATCAAAAAACTGTATATTAGTTTTACACATATTTTCTAATGCTTTATTATGCAAGCATTTCCCAGCAAGTGTCAATCCATAATTCAGTACTAAAGAACTTAAAAAAGTAGTTACGTAATTTATGCATATAATTATTGCATAAAATCATACATAATATAAATTTGATTGCTCAGTTTCTACTTGTGCGAATCAGAAAGTAAGTCAATATAATACAGCTATACTTGATAGTTGTGATAGTAATAATCACAAAATAGCTCCTCCCAGAAGACAATATGAGTTAAAACCGTATGAAAAATACTTGTAATATGTCTTCAATGAAATAGGAGCTAGATCGTTTTCTTCCTCTATAACCGTTTCAGCCATTTCAGGCTTTTCTTCTATCATTAATTCATTATTGCTTTTAATATCTCAATTCTCCTTTGCATTTTTTAAGGTATTCAATTCTCCAACATAATGGCTTATGTCATGCCGTTCTTGAAACTCTTGATATTCACCAAAAAATATCTGTTTCCCTTGGCTAAGCACTATGCTGATTATCTATAAATTAAATTAAATTCAAATTCATATTTTATTTAAAATATTTAGCCTAAATAAGTATAAAATCTTATCGGCTTCTGGTATCAGATGAATATGATGTGAGATTAATATAACTGCATGGTCTTTAAGAAACTCTTTAATGCAATTCTTAAATATAGAGGAGCTCACTTTAGCATCAACGGCACTTAATGGATCATCAAGAAGCATTATATCTTTATTGCTATATAAAGCTCTTGCAAGGCTTAGCCGAGCTTTTTGCCCTCCACTTAATGCTGCTCCGTTATCTCCAATAGTTGCTTCATCCTTTAATTTGAAGTAGTCAAGATCTTTGTCGAGCCCACAGATTTTTATAGAATTTTTATATAGAAATTCGTTATATTCATTGCCCATGAGAATGTTTTCCTTTATTGTCCCTGGCAAAACTCAGGAATCTTGCCCTGAATATGAAATCTTTCCTGATATATTGACATTTCCTTCCTTTAAAAATATTTCATTTAATAATCCTAGTAGTAAACTTGTTTTTCCACTTCCTACTTGTCCTACAACAATCATTAGCTCACCTTTTCTGAGCTGAAAATTTATATCTGTGAGAACATCTTCATCGCTATTATTATTCATTAAATTTTCTTCAAAAATATTTCCATCTTGTATTTCATCTTTTGGTTTATAAGAAAAGCTTGCATTTACCATTGATACTAATACATCGCAATCATTAAATTCGTTTTTAGAATTCTTTTCATTCAATAATAAAATTTGGGTTATCCTTTCCATTGATAATAAAATTGATGCCATGCTAAATGCTGCAACTACACCTGTCTTGATTAATAAAGAATATACCATCATCATGACTGCAACAACACAGAATACTGCACTTAATTCTAAAGTATTCCCAAGATGAATGTACAATGCAAATGTCACAAGAAAAACTGCTCCTATTCCTGAAACTCCCATAGCATTATTTACAGAGCTAATATTAAACTGCTTTTCCTGCTCTTTTATTTCTTTTGACCTCTCCCCATATATAAGTCTCAAAAATGGGTCTTCTCAGCCATAGAGTTTTACAACCTTAATGCCTTCTATTAAATTAGTGATCAGCATAATCCTTTTATCGCTGAACTCTGACACCCTTTTTCTATAATAACTTGAGATGCTAGATAAAGCAATCGCTATAGGATAATGAACTAATAAAACAGTCAATCCAATAATTCCAGCCCATCCTGTAAGAATTCCTATTATAAAAAATGAACTTGCAAAAATGAATGGGCAGCCAATCATCATTGCTATAGGCACAAGATAATTAAAATTTTCCATATCCGCAGCAATGGTATTAGGGAGTTTACTTTGGAAATCTCTATTGGAAATTTCCTCATATGAGGTTTTTAAAACCTTTTTATAAATAATATATGGAACAATAGATTTTATTTTCAATGTAAGAAGTCTCACATGAAATGCGCCGAGTGCATATAAAGAAACACTCATTAAGGAGAGTATAGCTAAGCAAGCTACTAAAATGATTCCTTCTGCAATAAAAGCATTATCATCCGTAAAAAAATCTATCAGAAAAATCATAATTACTGCTTGAAGTAATCCAAACAGTTGTCCAAGCTTTATATATATAGAATATTTTGTAATTTCCCACCAAAAAGTCTTCTTTAAGGCCTTAAAAAAATTTGGCTTTAAGGATTTTCGCTCGATTTCTCATTCTTTTTCTAATACAAATAAGGATTCCTCGAATTTCATTCGATGTGGAATTGCTACTATATTTGACTTTTTGGATTTAGATTGGTTTCAATAGCTTATTAAATCAAATACCCATGTCATTCATAAATCACTTCAAAAGTTTCCATTATCATAGCCAAATTCAGGTTCCGTCATTAATTTATATTTTTCACTAATAATTACGCAATGCAAAATGGCTTTTACTAATAAGAAAAATCAAGAAATAAATAGTTTTTCAAAAATTTAAGATAAAAACAATTTCAAAACAAGTTATTTCAAAATAAAATATTATGTTGAATATAAAATTAAAAAATTAAGGAAGTTTATTTCATATACAGCAAAATATAATTTAATATATATGCTATTTAAAATTAGATTTTTTCCTACTGTTATAAATTAACATAATTCAAATATATCCAATATATAAATCCTTATGTTTAAATAGTTAGATCAGCGTCTAGCGGTGATAAAGTATATACACCTGTTGTTTTCTTCTTCTTTTGTATCCATTCTAGCCCGCCTGTGTTCATTTTCATAAAAACAGTCAAGCTAAAAAATCCTGTAGCTGCCATCAATAAAGAAATTATCGGGCTCACTATAGTAATTTCATCTCATACGCCTTGATCAATATTTGTAACTATTTGCAAAATCCCCATAGGAACACTTTGAAATAGCGCGTGGACAATCAAGTGTGATAGAAAGTCTTGTTTTATTCTGTCACCATATGACTCAGGCCCTGCTACAAGTGTAAGATAATATACCTAATTATAGTGAATATAAAAATTTATACAGGTTGCCATTATTTTATTTTTAATAATAAATAGGATAATGACTATTAATAGTGCTTTATTCATTGTATTTAGGATAAGCTTTTGTGAGCATCAGCTTGAACTCTGCAATTAATGCAAAAATTGGGCCTTGGAAAAGATAGGAAATGATGATTCCATATATTGGAAGAGACATTTCGTTACAGATGATAGGAATTGTTACATAGAGCCAGTAGTAAACTAAATAAATTGAAGGCTGGATAGCTAGAAAAGCAATTAAACAGTCATTTAGAGGAGCGCCTTGCATTCTTCAAGCATAAAGGATATCACAGGTGATGTTTGCTCAGCTTAAAAGTATTGCAAAGAGGATAAAGCTCAGCCTTCTGTAATTTACAGACATGCAGTTGAAAATATATTAGTAAATATGGGCTATATTATTTCTTTATGTAAGATTAATGTTTAATTTTTATTTGCTATGATAATTATCGTTATCTTGGAAATTTACAGTGAAAAATATAGAGGCTATAATTTAAACTAAAAATTACTATACTCAATATTTAAAAAAATAATTCCCCATTATAGCAATCAAATGGCATTCTTGGAATAAATCCTCATCTTATGGAAGCTATATTATTATAGGGTTAGGTTTTCTCAGTAAATGTTTTTTAGCAATGCCAGGAGCTCTATGTATAGTTTATAGCACAGCCTTTGGAGTTTAGAAGACATAGAATTTTCTGACCCTCCCTATGAGGAAGACCCTTAGGTGAGTTACATCCAGAGACAAGTACAGAGCGAGGCAATCCTCTGGAGAGGTTTGGCGGCGAGTAAGTGTGTGCACCTTTAGAAGTATTCCAAGTAGGCTAATAAAATGCCCCATGAAATCAGGAGTGAAGACTTAAAAGAGCGAGCCTAGCTATAGAAGTTTCCTATGTTTGGCGCTGTAAGGCCGATAAATTCTGATCGGAATTTATCGGTAGGTTGCACCAAATCAATGCCTTGGTCGGACCAAAAAGCGATTTGGTCCGACGAACTTGGAAAGCTCCTGGGAAAATGTCTGCGCTTTTAGCGCTATATAGAGGAAACCTCTATAGCTAGGCAATGCACTAGTGGCTTCTAAATGCACAATAAGCACTAATTAAGTCCCAAAAAAAATAATTGCCTATTTGCTTTACCAAGCATTAAATATAAAGTATTTCTAATCCTTCTATTAGAGTCAATCTCAGTATAAAAAGCATAGAGAATTATTATAGCTCTTCTAAGAAAAATGGCCTGAACGAATCAAAAGAATAAATAAATTTTCAAAAATATCCCAAATGCTTCCTGCAATAAAAGAAGACACATCTGCTAACATCTCTGTTTTTATTCCCAAAAAAAAGAAAACCCCCAAAGCCTCAAACGAAAAACCAAAGTAATTTTTATCCAGAAAACAAATCAGAGATTTCATGGCAGGACAAAAAATCAAAATTCCCAAAAGCTTAATAAACTATCGAAAAAACAAACAAAGAGCCAGTTCAATCAGCCCACCCAAAGAGTTCCCTACAATAGATACAGTCTATGAAAGAATTAGAGATTTTTCAGAATCCCCAAGAAAATACAGTACTAACTCCCCTCAATCTATGAGGACAAAATCCGAGTTTAGCTTAGACAATATTGACCTTTTAAGCTTTCGAAATATTAAACTTATAAACAATTCCGCAAATTCAATCGAATTAATTTCTCGACCGCAGTCACAATCAAAAAGCTCATCACCATCAAAGCTTTCAAGGAGAAATCATTTTCGATCAAACACGCCACTTCAGCCTTTTCATGATAGAATTACTACCTTGAAAAGACTATTAATTCTCTATAAATAAATTTAATTTATTTTTTTAAAAAAAATAAAAAAATAAATAAATAAAAAATTTATTAATTCCTAATTATTCATAATTTTTTTTTATTTAATATCATTGCCTTCTTCTTCATGCATCACCTCTATTGCAGCTTCCAAAATCTCATTATGTTCTTCTCCTTTCGTAATACTTCCTCTATGCGGATCATTCCTCACAATTGTTTTCTGCTTAATCATTTCACTTTCAAACGAAATGCTTTGGAATTTCTTTATATTTCTCTCATTTCTCGGTGATTTTTCGGCAATCGCCATCGGCTCGACACTGGTGAATTCTATTACTATTACTGAAATATCATCTATCATTACATCTTCATCTTCAACAACTCCAAATCATCTGTATCTTGCTTCTTCACACAGCAATCTTGCAATGGTAGAATTAGTATGTTTAGCTGGGTATTCATCAGAAGGAAAATGCTTGGTGATTGATCTGTATTTTTCCACAAAATTTGAAACTTCTTGGTTGTCCATCACATCTCATAGCCCATCTGATGCTAAAACTATAAACTGGTCACACTCAGGATAAAGCTCAAAACTATTACAAATAGGGGTGGACGTGACCCCGATTTCGTGAGCTATGGTGTCACCAATAGATCTTGACATGGCTAAGCCTGGGTAGTTTCCTTTTTTAAGCCACACTCTATAAGGGCCAACTGGGTTGCCTTGATCGTCAGTGATTTTTTCTACAACCCCTCCAGATGCGGTGATTCTTTTAAGCTCTTCAGCATGATTAGGTTTTTGGTCAACTGTTATAGTGACTGGTGACAGAATTCGCATAGGAAGAGCTTTATGAGACCATTTTGAGGAAATCTTATGGGGGACATTCTGAGGCTTAATAACAGCACTTTCTCTCGGTAAAGTGGCTAAAATAGCTCTAGAGTCCCCTACACTACCTGCATGGATTCCGGAAGGACTAATTACAACGACAACAGCAGTGGCTCCGGATAAGTTTGACGCAATTCCGCTTGAGCTTAAACTTTCGTCGCATTCTTGGACTAACTCAACAATAGCGTCAATAGGATTTTCGTTGAATTTTGAAAAATTTTCAGTGAAGAAAGTGACCATGTAATCCTTACAGAATTTTGCAATTTTTTGTCCTTCTTTGCCATGGCCGTCAAATAGAACTGCCAAAATAGTATTCAGTTATATAAGGAGAAGAAATTAATTTAATAAATTTTATATTTTATTATATAAAATAATTATTAAATAAAGAAAATAATACAATAAAGTCATGCAAAAAAATATATCTTCTTTTTGGAAAAATGTATAAATATCTTGGCATTCCTTATTAATCTCACCACGAGGGTCCAGTCCAGGAATAACACATCCTGTAACACGCACAGGAATTTTTGCTGCACTGGCAATTAAAGTTTCTTGATGTATAGGAGCCAGTAATTCAAATTTTACGCCTTGGCTGCCGATTATTCTTATATATATTAATTATCTATAGCACGTTTAACGTCCACTGTCAGGTTGCTTGACTATGCTACCCTCAACACCGCTCTGGGGCGAATTTTGCACCATTTTCCTTTAAGGCTCGGGGACCAGGTGCCCATCTGGAAAATTCGATTCTCTAAGGTCAGGAGTCCAGTAGGAAAAACACCCAGCTCTTGCTTCCCTGACATAGTTGGGATAAATTCATCAGGGTAAACCTCATATTTAAAACTTATAAGAGATGAATTTTTGGTCGGAGACCAGAAAATTCGAGCGACGTCATATTTTAATTATAGCTGCTGATTATTCTGTCAAACCTATCTTTTTCATAGATATGGATGACCTGGTGCTTATGGTACTCTGGCTCATTTGTAGGGTTTGGCAACAAACTCTGAGCGGCTGGATTGAGGCAACAGTTTCCCATTCTTTTTTATAAGCATTATCTATTAGCCTAAATTTGAATTCTTATTATTATAAACCATTCTATTTATTTATTATCTGTCCTTTAATTTGCAAATTTTATATTAGGAATTCTTAATATCGCTAATAAAGTCTTATAATCACTATACGAATTATCACAAGAAAACTTATTAAAATCCTTCCATATGAAAATATAAAGAATTGGGAAACGCCACATTGCTTATATTTTAAATTATGTCAAGAAAAATTGAACAGCGGCGACAACGAGAAGGTGTCGCTGATATATTCCGCTCCCAGCCTACTCCTCCGTCATTATCAACCCGTAACTCTTTTTTACCACATATTCAAAGCCGTGGGTCTCGTGAGTTTATTAGTGCAGAACAAGCTGAAACCCCCAAAGCAACTTTTATCCCTGAAGACGCTCCAATGATCGAAATGCGTGGCAGAATCCGTGAGCTTGAGCTCCAACTACTTGATATAGTTTTTAGCACTCTTTTAATCTGTTATTATTTTCATTAGCCTTAAGCTAGCAATGTGGAATCATTATATAGAATTAATTTCAAATAGACTTGTCAACTTGAAGCTGATTAACCAATATAATAATTCTCAGAGAAAAAGAGTCCTGAATGCGCTTACCACACACCTAAGCTATATCCGTGCAAGTATTGAGCGAAGACTTATCGGCTTTGGTGATGATTTTCCTAATCGTCTTCACAAAGAGCTGAAAATAATAGAAGAACGTGACACTCATCTCTGAAAAGACAACGCTCAGCAGCTTCTCATGCTGCAAGATGCTATAAAGATCATAAAAAATACCATGCAGACTTCATTTGAAAAAATGTCAATTGAAATGAATGGAATGAGGCGAAAAGTGGATCAGTTAGAATTAAAGAATTCTTCAGCTGAAAGAGAAATCGAGCATTTAAGCAAGATGCCACGAGCAATTATGCCGCCTGAACCTCAAGGCGTGCCTAATGAAGTAGCTTTAAACATCCAAAGCTTAAAAGAAGCTTTAATAGAAGAAAGAAGACAAAGAGATCAATCTCAACAAGACTCATATAAACAAATTCAAGAACTTTATCAACAAATGAGAAACCAAGAAAAAGAAATGGCAAGGAGATTCCAACAGTATAGGGATGATATCATGGAAGCTCAAAAAGGAAGTCGACATCAGGCAACTGCGCTTGAACAAACAAGGGAAGAAAAAAATAGAAATGAAGCTGAATATATAAAAAGTGTTTTAGGAAATATGCAGAAAAGAGTGGATGAAGAAGCATCGATAAGAACACAAATTGAAAGGGAGTATAGACAGTGGACTGAAGGAAAATTACAGTTTGTGCAAGAATTTATATGATAGATTTCTAAATATTATGCAATTTATAGTATAGACAATTGCCTAGAATTGGCAGATAAGGACTCAGTGATGGAGAGTTGACAAATGATTTTTTGTGACTCAATTGCCAAATCTCCAGTGGTTAGACTAACCTGGGTTGGCCTGAAAAGAGGATTCCTCCATCTTTACGGACTTATCAGGCTATTCTATGCAATTGCCTATATATTTTTTAAAAAAAAAATAATTTATTTATCAAAGGATAAGAAACGATGAGAGAAATATTGCTGATAGAGAAAGAAATATTTTAGGAATGATGCAAGAAGGCCTGACTGCTTTACATGAAATTATTGGCAGAGTCAAAGAAACTGGGACTGCACATGTTGGAAAAGTCCAGACCATGATGACTGAAAATATCAAAGATATAACACAAATAATATCAAGCATAAAAGATGGGCTATACTCCAGAATTGAAGGACTTGAAGAATCCCTGCAGGAAGAAGCTAAGCTAAGGGTTGAACAGCAAGTTGCTGCTCACAACCACATGCAGAGCATAGCCCAAGTCATTGATCAAAAGACAGTTTCATTAGAAAACCAAATGATGTCAAGCGAAAACAGGGTCAAAAGTTTGATTTTTAGCATGCAAAATGAAGCTGACCAAAGAGACCAAGCATGAAATGCATGAAAAGAAGAATTCAAGGCAAATCTTGATTCCCAGATAAGCTCAATAAATCAAAGGCTAGAAGACGATTTTAATGACTGCAATAAGCGCTACCTAGATGGCCGAGAAAAATCTGAGCTTTATTTAAGGGAGCTTAAAAGAGTCCAAGAAGAGTTCGAAAACCAGCTAGAGCAGGTAAAAAGCCAAATAAATTTCGAAGACGGAGTAGTTGAACAAAGGGTCAAAAATTCTATGAACCAAATGTCTGACCAAATTAACAAAGAACTCCATCAATTAAAAACAGACACCGAAAAAAATATAGCAAATTTACAATTGGAGCAGTCTCAAACTTTAGCTTCTAGGCTAGACCAGATGCAGAAAAACATGAAATCTGATATGTTTTATGGGATTTTAGAAGAAAGTAAAAAGAGAAAAGAAGAAATTTTGATGCTAGATGGCGTGCTAAAAAACAAGCTAGAAAATAGCAAAAAAGAAATGATAGAACACACAAAACAAGAGATTGAAAAAGTTAATGGGAAAATTGAGGAAAATCAGAATGAGATAAAGGTTTTTTCCCTATATAGCCCGATAAGGCCGTAGGTTCTCCGTGGAATCCCTCTGCTGGTTGAGCAAACCATGAATTGGTCAAACCAACGCACTGAGTTGGTTTGACCAACAGAGGGATTCCACGGGAACCCACGGCCCTTATCGAACCATATAGGGAAAACCCCTATAGGGAAATGTGAGGAATGAGGTAGAAAATGTGAGGAATGATTTTGGGAAACTCTCAGATCAGCTGTTTTCTGAAATAGAAGACGCAAAAGAGCCGATAAAACAATGGACACAAGAATATGTGTCAGAAATTTCTTCGAATATAAATACAGAAACGCAGCTTGCAATAGAAGTAGAAAGAGAAAGAGAAAATATAGAAATTTCCCATAGATGGCGCTGTTTGCCCTTGATTTGCCCATGAGAAAAATTTTTTGGTTTGACCAAACCATATGGGACTGGTCGAACAAAAAATTTCCCCAGTGGGCAAATCAAGGGCAAACAGCGCCATCTATGGGAAATTTCTATATCAATAAAGAGCTTGAAAAAGCGAAAGAAGAGCTGAGAAACGAAATCCAGTCAGTTCAAGCAGCATCATCTTTAGCTATTACAGCTGAATCAAATGGAATTAAAAACACTCTGAATGAGCAGATAGCAAGTGAAAAATTGGAAAGAGAAAAAAATGCGAAAAATTTTATGGAGAGGCTTGAAAATTTATACCTTTATAAATGGTTATTTCTAGCATAAAAATCATAATAAATAGATAGAAACCTTTATATTTGCGAGTTATCTATACCTAAAGGTATATAAGCCACATGCTTCAAGAAGGGGTAACACAAAGCTCTGAAGCAGTCAAAGCTTTATGCCGAGCATTAATTACCCAAGAAATAGCTGAACGTAACCATTCAGAAGAAGGGATTCTAAAAAGCCTAAATGTCAGAATTTCAGGACTAGAAGACTTAATGAAATACTACACATCCAAAGTGGCTGAAGAACTTAGAACTGAAACATCAAATTTCTTTAAAAATGAATCAAACGAAAGACAGCAAATGGGAGAAAAATCAAAAAAAGGGCATAAGAAGCTATAATTTATCAAATAAAGTCTTATAAAACACTTATATTACCAATAAATAATTAATATAAAAATGATCATTAATTCTGATATTTTAAAATATAATTAATTACTATAGCATAAAAGAAATAATGAAAGAAAATAGAGAAAGAATCGAAGTAGAACGGTGCTTAAAAGACATGATCAACTCAGTCGTTGAAGACTACACTCTTAACACCATAGAGCGGCAAAAAGCAGTCCTTGCAAATTTAACTGGTAACTGGATAAAAGACCTCCACAACGAATTCCAAGACAATTTCGACAATCTTCGTGAAAGCCTTGGAAACGTAGAAAATGAGTCAAAAGAAAGAATTGATGACCTAAAGCAGCAGCTAAATATAAAACTCGCTGTCAAAGACTGTGTAGAAAATATGATTTCAGTTGTAGAAGTTATGGATATGAAAGATGGGCTTATTGATAACGACAACAATATCCAAATCATGTTCAGAAACCTAGAAAAAATGGAAGAAGCCTTAATGAATGCAGCTAAAGAGACTGAAATGTTTACTAGAAAAGAAATAGAAGACGCAAAACAAGAAATCGCAGAAAAAACTAATAAAGAGCTGGAAGCAATGAAACAAGATATATTAGCCACAAGCAAAGAAATTGATGATAAGGTAGAAGTTCTATTTAAGCAGTCTGACGAAAACACTTTGTCGCTTGAAGATCTCCAAGTCCACCATATCATAAATTCTATGCTAAGCCACCTTGAAGGCTCAGAAAAACAATATAACTCTATCTCAATTAAGCTTCTTCTTGATGAAGTTTCGCAGTTGAAATCTCTTCTTACTGCAGCCCAAAACGAAATTCAAACTGCAATTGCTGAACAAAACCAAAAACTTGTGGACGTCCAAACCCAAAATGTCCAGATTTTAGAACAAAATACAAATTCTGAGCAAAATCTGCTGAATAATCATCAACATCTAGCATTAGCTCATGAAGCAATTGAAGAAACTATAAAAGAAATTAGAAACAGCGAGCTTGGTGCTGTAAAAAGTAGGCTGACTCATATAGAAACCCATTTAAATGACAAAGAGCCAGAAAGGCCAAAATCAAACAGCTTGGCTACTAGAGTAGAAGCGTTTGGAAATGAGGTAAAAGAGCTTCATGAAGCCATCGCGAAATTACAAGCAGATAAAGAATTAAAAGAAAAAGCGACTGGAGAAATTGCGAGCCACATTAATAGCCTGCATAATAAAATAACTGATGTACAAAATGCATTGAAAAATGAGTTGGCAAGAAATGGACAAGTCCAAGAGCAAAATCAACATAGTGTTATGGATCAGCTTGGCAGACTTTACCAAGCCCTTGAAGATATTAAGGCTCAGCGAAGCTAAGTAATAATAAAGATGTTAGAGTTATATCTCTGACTCCTCAAAAATCGTGGAGAACAGAGAAACTCCTAACTCCCCCCCCCTCCGTGAGCGAACAAAACCATTAGAAAAATCGCCATTTTTTTGACCAAAAACCCACCCTCCGTGAGTGAACACAAAAATTTTTTTAATAGAAAAAATTTTAATGGAAAAAAATTTTGATATATAAGTGATAATTAGTATAATGAAATCTAGAGCTAATTCTGTTTAATTTTTAAACAAATTGCGTTTTTAAAAACATAAATTTTGCAAATTAAATTAATATTTGCTTCCCAATTTTTGCAAATTAGGATTTTTTTAAATTTCGAAAAAAAATTATTTTTTATAAAATTTATATATAAATTTTTTTTAAAAAAAAAAAATTAACCCCTCCGTGAGCGAACAAAATTTTTTTGTTCGCTCACGGAGGGGGGGGGGGGGAGTAAAATATTCTTGACGTCCAGCCCATCAACTTTTAGTTTTTCTCCATTTTGAATTGCTGTTCCATCGATAGGCATACTGAGTACGTAGCCTTTCGGGTCTCTGTCGAAGACTTTATACTCGAACGTGGGATGGTGTTTTCTGTATTCCTCCATCTTATGTCTTGCATAATGAGCGTCTCCAGCTACTTCTCCGTTATAGTCAATCCATTCGATTTTATACTCTTCCCAGTGGTGGAAACCTTCTAAGGTTTTTCTAGCTGAAGAGTGGCTGCTGAAGTCAAGTATAATTATTTACCAAGAATAGACCACTAAGGAGCATTTTTTGGTTGGCCGGACAATAGCTGGCTTACCAAATTCGTTGGCATATTTTCTGGCTAACAAAATTTAAGAACGGCAAACCAAATAATGCTCCTAGTAGGCTATTCTTGGCAAGCAGGTATATTGCATAATACACTTCTTTGGTGCCAATTTCTTCGTATTTCAGCTCGACACTTATAATACGCATTGTATTGGAAAACAGTGAGTAAACAAAATCACTGTCATCATCCTTTTTAAGCCCTGATAGCTTTAAGCGTTTATTTAAGCAGTTACCTGTCGTAACAATTTGCTTTTTTAGTGTATTGTAAAGGTTTTCAAACCTTTCTGCATCGTTTTTAAACAGATTCCTATGCTTGTCCAGTAAGTTGCAGGCTTCTTTAGTCTTGCCTCGCTGATGTAAAAGACTTGCGAGATCTTTGATAGCACTTTCGCAGCGATCGCCGGCTTTGATAGTGAGGTTGTAGTAATACTCCGCTTTATCAAGATCTCTCTCTTTGTACTCAGCAAGTTTGGCTAAGGCATAGGGAGAGTCACCTTTAGGTATTGGGAGAGAATCGTTGTCTCTCCCATGGTTGCTCTCTACGTCAATATTAGACACTTTTGATGGCTTTTTGAGGCTCAGAGGCTTAAGAGGCTGCTTTTTAAAGGATTTCGTATTGGTCTTGCCTGCCATTCTGGATTGGTTTCTGGGATTAATTTATTATAATTGGTAAGTAATTTCAGCTTAAAATATTTAAGAATAGTTTAAATTTGTGGAAGAAATTGAATAGAACGAATTAGGTGGGTAATAAAAACTGGTTACGAGTAGAAATTGACTGTGGAAAATGGATAGATTAATAATTAATAATCCTGGCAAAGGATAAATATGAGGATAAATAGCCATGGGTTATTAAAAGCCATAAAATTTATAAATTTATCTAATTATGATATAAAACGATGTAAATTTAAATTTTAATTAAATTTTTCCAGATAGTGTAAAAATTTAGCTTGATTATTAAATTATAAGTATACATTATGAGATATTTCAGGCTTTTTTCTCATTTTAAACGACCTTTCTAATTTCACATTTTTCTTACTCGAAGTCCTGCTCAGCATAGAATCATCATGCTTTTCTTTACACGTCCCAGCACACTCATAGCACCTTCCTTTTTTCTAAATAAATTTCACCATTTCATATACAATGTACATATTCCTGTTTGATAAATAAGATTTTGAAATTAAAGGTGGGATCGAAATTTGCTCGATTTTATTAAGTTCTTCGTGGTAGCCATTCTGCACAATAACCGAATAATTGTTAGCTTCAATAGCTGGGAGTTGTTTTGAGCTCATAGTTCTTGTTTTCATTCTGTTTCTTTTTCTATTAGTCGATTCATTGCTTTTAGCAAAATGATACATTTTTCCAGAGGAAATACTGGAATTATCTAGTATTTCTGAAGAACTCTTATGAGTTTTCAAATAGTCGCTATACTCAGTTTCCCTTATGTCGGTATTATATTTTCTTGATAAGTCTATACAAAACTTGATAATTTCATCTACTTCGCCCATCAAGTTATCCATTTCTTGGTCAATAAAATCATAACGTTGAGTTGGCTTTCGAAATAAATTGAAAAGCTCTTCTAAGTTCCTATTCTTTGTGATTTTTTTAATAGGAAGAGAAGGAATCTTTCCTTTTCTGCTAATTTTTACCCGAGGCTGAGATATTTCTTTGGAAGAGCTTCTTTGCCTCTGACTTGTGTTTGTTTTTGAGGTAAGAATTCCTTCCGAGCTATTTGTACGAGTAGGTCTCTTGTTGCTGAGAGCAGGGACTTTAGTATAGCTTCGCTTATGCATTTTCTAAATCATTTAACTTATACGAATTTTCCTAAGAATAAGGAAGATTTAAGTTTAAATTTTGAAAAAAGATAGATTAATGTAAATTAAATCGAAGCAAATATCTGTTTAGATAAATATGAGTAGGCTGGCAATCAGTTGCAAATTTGATTAAAGATGAAATATCTATAAAACAAATAATGGAATTAAAAAAAGATTAATCATCAAAGATGATTGATTCATTTGGTTCTTAAATATGCATTATCTGTAGCATAATTCTAAAAATATATGGAAAATTGAGTGAGTTTGAAAATAATGCAAAGCCAAAATATCATAAAAATCCCTAAAATAAATTTTCCTAATTACCAAAATAATTATTGTTAGCTTTCCTTATTATTACAGCATGAAGCCATAAAAGATATTTATTGTTTAAAAATAATAAATAATAGCAATTTAATTTATTCTCCTCAATAATAAATTAAATTACAAATTCTTCCTCTATCATTTCCCTATAAATGGAAAGGATATACATAATAGTTCTATGCGGGATTTTGATCATAATTCCTGTTTGGTTTATATGCTACTCTCTCCGACGCTGCTTAATACACTGGCACGATGGAATAGACCGAACCCAAACATTTACAAAGAATTTAGTTGTCAAGAATATCTGCATAATATCATCCTCACTTTTTAATTTTGTCCATGTGTTCTATATTATCCCAGCTGATATTCATGAAACAGATGAAAAAATTGTCAGGATGGTTTTATTTACGCTTTTAGGATCTGCATGAGCTATTTGTTTATTTTTAGTAAATTTCGAACACCGAAGGAGATTACGGACAACTTGGTATGGCCTCAGGAGTTTTTGAATTTTAAACATGATTCTACAGATATCCTTTACTGTTATTATCCTGTTAGACCCTTGGAATGATAGCATACAGCTGAAAGAGTGAAAAATCGCGACTTTTGTAATATGCTGCTGCTCCTCAACAATATTATCAATCTATTCCTTCTGCAAACCCAATGAATTTTCTGTATATTCCGTTGAACCTCTGCTTCGGCAAAATTCCAATAATCTACCCACACGAAAAAATTCCAAAAAAAATTCAGTTTTGCCTCAAGAAGATTTCGAACCCCAACTAATCCACACTGCAATAAAAGAATGCAAAGTAAAAACTGAAAACAACCGGCAAGTTGTCTATTATCACATCATAGTTACTATAGGAGCTGACACCCATACGGTCAGAAAAACCTACCAAGATTTCGAAACTTTACATAATAATCTCAGAGAAAAATTCCCAAGGTATGAATTTCCAAATTTAGAGTTCCCAAAATTCCCTATCACAATGAGTGGGTCAGCCAATATTGATGAACGAAAACAAGCCCTTGACGAATATTTATCAAATTTATGCTTTCCTGAGTTTATGAATGACGAATTGCTGAATTATTTGAAGATAGAAGGACATAGCAGAACAGCTTGTATGGAAGCTCATAAAAGAGCAAGGGGTGAAGAAAGGAGGCATAGCAATGCAAGTGACACAATGAAAAGTAACCATGGGTCATTTTCTGCTTATTATGCAAATTCACAAGACTTGCCGAAAGGGGAAGAAAACTGTGATAATTACCAGCTGCAGGAATATATTAAGCTGAAAATTGTAAAGTGGGTGGAAAAAGAACATATTGAGTATGTAATACAATGAAAAGCAGCAAAACTTGTGGGGGAAGGAACTGTTATGAAAAGGTATAGTGAAATATGAGATTTTCATAGGAGATTGAGAAAAATAGTCGCGCCTGCAGGGTTGCCGAATTTTCCGAAAAAGAATTATATGCAAACACTTAGAAAAAGAGACACTGAGACTATTGAAATTAGGAGAATAGACCTGGAAAATTATTTAGGGCATGTGCTAAATGATCCTGCTTATATTTGTCAAGAAGGATTGGATTTTATCGAATGCAAAGTATCTATTGAAGCACTCTGGAAATCTAAGAATACAGATTATTCATATTTATTATATACACCGATTATATGGGACAATGAAGTAGATAGAGATGACCATTTTATTGTATACACACTTAAGTTTGCGAAATTTGAAAAAACAAAAAAAATTAAGGAGTGGAATGTGAAAAGGAGATATAAAGATTTTGATCGATTAAATACTTTTTTGATAAAAAGATCAGCTAGTCCTATTTTAGGAAACTACATAAATTCTAGAAACAGTTTAAAAAATGTGAAATTAGAGGAAGCCTTGTTTCCAACGTTACCTGGAAAATCAATAGCACCTTTAAGCTCACCTAAGGAAATTGATAATCGAAAACAAGGCCTTGAGCTTTATTTGGAAGGCCTTCTAGGCTGCCCTTCAATTATTGATGCATTTGAATTCAAAGCTTTTATCAATGACTATGAAGAATAAGGTCTGTAATTCTAACCTAAATTTAAATAGATGAAAAAATCGCAAGCCGATTGTCTCAAAGAAAGCGGAAGGCATGTCTTATAATAAGCGTAATTAAAATTAGTGTCGATTTGCATGAATTCTTTTGAATTTCTACTCGCATATTATATAGATATGCAATTTTAAATTTGATAATAAACATTGTATTATAAATCAAAAAGAGTTTAATACTGAGTTATCCCTCTACATCATTAAGATTAAATTCACAAATTTTAATAAAAATGCCAAGCCCAAAAAGAAAAAGGAGCAGATCCCGTGAAAAAGAAGACTCTAAAGACTTCAAATACACAGCAGCAACACCCAAGGAGCTTAAAGCTCTCCTTCTCCAGTACATGGTCACCGACAAGTTTTCAACCCCAATCGACAGCCAAAGCTTGATGAGGAATTTAAGAATGCTTTTCAGAAGCACATCAGGAAGAATGATGATGAGAGGCTTTGACCTTTGTGAAATTCTTAAAGATTTAGAAGAAAAAAGAGCAATCAAGCTTGAGCCTTTTGATATTGGAACCAAAACTTGCCAAATGATTTTAACTGTAAATAAAGATATTTTACAGCAGCTGGGGAGAGAGACTTCTAAAGACCGGCCTAAAAAAGGGGCGTCTTCGAGCATTGCCTATAGAAATGACAAAGTTTCATGGCTAAAGCAAGCAGATAATGAAAAAATTGAAATTTCTAAGGCAAGTAAACAGCAAAATGGCGCTTTTAAAGAAGAAATAGAAGGTGATTCATGGAGTTTTAAGCCGATTGGTAAAGAAAAGAACTATGCATTGGCTACATTTTAATTAAATCTTTATTTCTTATTAAGCGGTAAATAAGCAATCTGCGTAGTTTGTTAAAATATCTCCAATAATTGTTTTGTCCGGAAATTCAGCAATTAGTCCATATAATTGGCAAGTTTGATAGGCGCTCATGTCTGCACACTTTTCGACTTCTTCAACAGCTTTATAAAGATCTTGAATGAACTGCTCAGCTTGTGAAGCATTAGCATAAGTCACACAAAAGTGAGCTCCAGGTGGGCTTTGTGTAGCATTTAGTCCCCAGCCTCCAATTTTGCTCATTATTGAGACAAGTGCCCATATATTAATAGTTTTTGAGGTAAACCCAATGATGCTCATAACTGGGTCACCCATAAGTTCTAGGTGAGGGACTTTTACAATTTCTCTCTTTATGTAGCTTGCTGCGTCCATTATAGCTTTTGCACATTCAATATATGTGTTGCGGCCCATACTTAAGATAGTGGCCCAGGCACCTGCAGATATGCAGCCAGTTCTGCTTCCTGAAAGAGTAGGGGTTACATAAACTCCTCCAGTTCACCCTGCAGATGTGAAATAACTGAATTTTCTGAGCTCTGGGTTTGCAAACATAAGGCATGAAACTCCTTTAGGAGTGTATCCATACTTATGAGGGTCGCAAGAAATTGAGGTTACACCAGGAACTGAGAAATCGCATGCAGGGATATCATACCCAGCTTCCTTCAGAAAAGGATGCAGAAATCCTCCTAAGCATGCATCAATATGGAAATTCTTTTTATATCTTAATGCTAATCTCCCTAATTCTTGAAGATCATCTATAATCCCATTCGCATAATTTGGAGCACTTCCTATAATAACAACCGTATTACTTGTAATATTTCTCCTGACTTCCCTAATATCTACCTTATAATCAGGCCCCATTCTCACATGAACCAATTCCATCCCAAAATAAAACGCCGCTTTTTCTACAGCAGCATGAACAGTTACAGGAGCAATAATTTCTGGCTCAGTTATACCCCTTCTTCTTCCCCATTCTCTATAAGCTAACATTGCCAGCAGCAAACTTTCAGTGCCTCCTTGTGTTAAAATCCCACAAGCATTTGGGCCTCCATTAAACAAATTAACAGTCATTTGGACTATTTCGCTTTCCATTTGTCTGACAGCAGGGAAAATATCAGGATGCAAAGGGTTGCTGATTGTAAAAGATTTCATGGCTTCTGCAGCTAATAGCTGAAGATTTTTTCCTCCATGGTATACCGCACCTGATATTCTGCCTCCTTTTTGGAACTCAAGATCTCTTTCTGCCCATTTGTGGAGTCTTTCGAGGATTATTTGAGGGTCAAGGCCATGCTCAGGAAGAGTAAAAATTGGATTTTCACGGTGGGCAAGCAAAACGCTTTGGACTGATTCTTTTGCTTCTTCATTTTTTGAGTCAAACTGTTTCTTGAAGTATTCGAACTTTAAGAGAAAACGAGAAAGTTTTTGGACGACTATTTGCTTGAGTCCTTTACGGCGAATTGTTCTAATCCATCTAGGCAGCTTAAAAACTACGACAACCGCTGTACATGTGATAATTGTTACTTTTAGCGGTGATAAAGTAGCCATTTCTGTCATGAAGTATATCGACAAAAATTAAGAGAATAAATAATCAAGAAGAGTCAATCAAAATGATAAGTCAAATAAAATTATAAGCGAAATAAGAACTTAGCTTTTTAATTTTATCAAAATTGGGCAGTTTTATTTTTACTACTGATAATAATTCTTATATAATTTTTTACTGAAATAAAGCTGCAGCTGTACGAAAAATATAGTCTGTTGTTAAGCACGAATGATTTTAGTGGAGTAGAATTATATTTAATAAATTTTATTCATAAAATTATTTTATTAGTATTAAAAATGATTTTCAGCTTTAGAGTAAAGTTTTAAATACCAAAAATAATTACACTAAAATAGATTCAACTCATAAATATAAGCATGAATAAGTAGAATTCTCTGAGTTAAAATTAAATTATGCTTCTTAATTCTATAGTTTCTCCATGGCTCATGACATAAACTTTATGCTGAGGCTGCAGAGCTTTTGCAAGCTGCTGGGGTGCTTCTGAACCTATTTCCCAAGACATAGGTATTGTAGCTTTTACAGATTCAAGAAAATGAGTGACTGCATATGCAGCTCCAACTGGGCCCATTGTATATCTTCCTTCAATCGGTAAAATCGCAATATCTGGAGAATATAAATCACTAATTATCCTCATCTCTGAATTTACATTTGTATTCCCCGCAAAATACACTGCTGGGGAGCCATCTTTGAAATTTATTACAAATCCAACAGAAGTCCCTATATAAGCTTTATCGCTCAGCTCAGGGCTTGAATTATCTGCATGAACCATATGTGCAATAATATACGAATTTTCAAACTCCCCTCCTTTATTCATAAAGTAAATCGATGATGCACCTTTTGAATGTAAATATCTTGAAAAATCGCCAGCCCCTACAACCATAGCTCCTGTTCTTTGGTTTAGCATTATTATATCATTTATTGCTTCTTCACGGCAATGTGTAACCAAAATCAAATCAGCGTGATTTGGATTTTTTTCATTTTCTGGACAAGTTGGTCCACTCAGCCAAGGGTCAACATAAATTATTTTTTTGGCGTTATTGGACGAGTCATTACATTCTAGCTTAAAAGAGCTATGTCCTAGCCAGGTTAGCATTTTTAATATAAAAATGAGAAGACATGAATCCAATAAAAAGCCGATTTCAAGCTTCATTACAAAAAGAATAGATGACAATCCGCCGATAAATTGCATTACTATGAATTATTGTTTTCTGAATAGAAAACATTCGAGAAATATAAAATCTGAGACAAATTTAACTGAAAGCATCAAATGGCCATGGCAAAAAGAAGCGCTGATGCCTAGAGCTCCTGAATCAAAAGACCCAATGTATAGAGATAAATATAAAATTTTCAATGGCTCATTGTTTAAGCTGGCACCTACAAAGGATAAAAATGAGTATGTATATGAAACTGTAAAAAACGAGGCATTTCTGTATTCAACTATCCGAGATACTAAAGATCGTAGACCCCAAAGTTCTAATTCGAAATGGGAAAGCAGCGGATTTCTAAATCCGCATCTCACAAGAGTATTTTCAGCCCAAAGTTTGACTACAAGGTCAAGATGCACAACGTCACATTCAAATTTTAGACAATCTAATAAAGATATTTTAGGGAAAATCCCATACGAAAAATCAGTCCCTATAAAAGACTATAAATGGCAGATAATGATGAAAGGTCCCAGCACCAAAGTTATGGATAAAATTTTAACATCCCAAGAAGAAGAGCCTTCATCTCCGTTATTAAGAATTCTCGCTAATGGTAAATAATTAAAGTATGGCTAATTGAATATATTAATCTCTTAATTTTGCTATCTCTTCAGGGGTCTTGGCATTCCCATCTCTCACTGTTTTTGCAAAACTGCTTATTAGAATGATTATAACAGCTAAAATAACTTCAATAATCGCTGAAGGATATGAGAAATCAATTAAGCATGCGAAGAAGTAAGGCAAATAAAACAGCCAAAGAACAAGTTTTGCATAGATAAGTCTCACCCAAAGCTTATTTGTATTTTCATCAAAAATTTTGCTTGGCTTTAAAAGTATAAGATTAACAACCCCAGAAATAAATAAAAAGATTAAGCACAAGAACTTTATAAGGGCATAGCTGTCTTCGTCTCTTTCATCCCATATGAGATCTGCAAATGCATTTCCAAGAATAAAGCATCCTGCAAATACATGAATCATTCTGAAGATGTATTTTGGAATACTAAAAATCAGCATCATTATTTGTTTTATAATTTAAATCATCATTATTTCGCCATGACAGTTTGTATGGGATGTCTCATTGTTTAAGCTGGCACCTACAAAGGATAAAAAAGAGTTTGTATATGAAACTGTAAAAAACGAGGCATTTCTGTATTCAACTATCCGAGATACTAAAGATCGTAGACCCCAAACTTCTAATTTGAAATGGGAAATCAGCGGATTTCTTAATCCTCATCTCATAAGAGTATTTTCAGCCCAAAGTTTGACTACAAGGTCAAGATGCACAACGTCACATTCAAATTTTAGACAATCTAATAAAGATATTTTAGGGAAAATCCCATACGAAAAATCAGTCCCTATAAAAGACTATAAATGGCAGATTTGATGAAAGGTCCCAGCACCAAAGTTATGGATAAAATTTTAATATCCCCCCATTATTAAGAATTCTCGCTAATGGTAAATAATTAAAGTATGGCTAATTGAATACATTAATCCCTTAAATTTGCTATCTCTTCAGGGATCTTGACATCCCCTTCTCTCACTGTTTTTGCAAAACTGCTTATTAGAATGATTATAACAGCTAAAATAACTTCAATAATCGCTGAAGGAGAGAATAAACCAATTAAGCAAGCCCAGAAGTAAGGCAAATAAAATAGCCAAAGAACAATTTTTACGAGGATAAGTTTCACCCAAAGAATATTTTTATCAACATCAAAAATTTCGTTTGGCATGAAATTAGCAGCTCCAGAAATTAATAAAAAAATTACGCAGAGGAGCTTCATAATGGTATAGCTGTCTTGGTCTCTTTCGTCTCATATGAGATCTGCAAATGCATTTCCAAGAATAAAGCATCCTGCAAATATATGAATCACTCTGAAGATATATTTTGGAATACTAAAAATAACCATCTTATTTGCTTTATAATTTAACGCATCATTATTTGCTATGACAGTTTTTATTAGGTCATAAATTTATAATTTTTATATTAAATTATTTAATTTGGCAAAATTTTTTAGAAAAATAGCATTACTTTATGGAATATAGCCATAAGTTCTATATAAATTTTACCCTTCAACTTCCCAAAGGAGCTCACTTTTTACTAAATGTTCTAGCCTTATACTGATTAGCTCACCCGCTACTTTAAATGGCATTAATGGTACTACTCTTTCAATTAAAGCACTTATTGTCATCTGCTTGTTTTTTTTTAATAATTTCATTAATGCTGCATCCAATCTAATTATTTTTTACATTGGCTTCCTATCTTCTTCTACATTGCTATATAAACTGTTTTCTTTTTCTTTATTCTCAGTTTCTACCAAATTAATAATTTCAACATTTTTCTTTAAATTTAGCCTCAACTTTGTACCGCTTTTCTCAATAATCATTTTTAATTTTTCAATTTCCATTCGTACTATTTCTTCAGTTAAGATAGATGTTTTTATGTTATTTCTAAATAATTTATACATGATTTCGTTCTCATCTATCTCGTCCACTGAATTGAACATTAAAATTATTAAACTCTGAAGAAAATTACATGCAATTGTCAAAGATCCTGTTTTTAATTCGAGATTTCCTAATAAATATGCCCATTTCAGCTGCTTTTTTTCGTTTTTCTTTAAATAAAAATTTTGATATTCTATAACCAGATTTGATAGTTGTTGAGGCAGTGAATTTGGAATATACTCCAGAATATTTTTTATTTTTGGATAAGGAGTTATACTTGAGCATCATGCTTTATGAGATAAAGTTAAAACATTTATTGATTTTACCACATTATATTCTTTAGACTCAAACGCGTTTTCTATAAGTGTTGCTATTGAGTCCATACGTTCAGAGCCAGACAATTCTTTAAGCTCTTTTAAAGAATCACGTTCAAGCTCTAAATCATTTCCATTGATAATCCTATATATAGTTTGTATATGGTAAAGTTTTTCCAGCTTATCTTTGTCTTCACAAAGCATGAAAAGCTCACATTGCCCTTTTGGCTTGCGGTTTTCTCTTAATTCTGTATCGAAATAGCTACAAATTCCTTCGAAACCATCTTTATCCTGAATTCTCCTTGAAAGCTGCATATAAACCCCATGGAGGAGTTTTCCACTTGGATTTATTTTCAAAATTTTTAGCATTGACTCAATAAACATCATAATTTCAGCAAGCGGCCAATTTTCGAATAATTGTGAAGAAATTTGAGTCAAATGATGATCAAGAAGTGGAGGATTATAAATATTTAGTAATCTTGTATATTTATAAAGCGCTTCATAGTCAGATTGTTTTATTCAATTTATTATCATTTTTTCAATGTTTTGAGCTGTGAAATATTGCTGAAGATAATGTTTGAAGTTCTCAATTTCATGTGGGATAAATAATGATGCATTATTATATAAAATATCTAAATCATTCAAAACATCATTTTTCAATAATAAATCTAGCTTTTGTGAATTTTCTAAAAAATTGAAAAGCCTGTCTGTGCTTATTCCACATAAATTTGATATCTCATTTAACTCATTCATTCACGCTTCTGGCTGCTCTCTTTGTAAAATCCTTATTTCAGCCTTATAAGCTAGCCATGAGGATTCAAATTCTTCACTTGGATTTATCAAAAAATAAATTAACGTCATAATTCTTTCTCGGCTATACTTTCTATTCTCTTTTCCTATAAATTGCCCTACAACAATAGTCTTTTCAGTTTCTTTTGGTTTTATTTGTAATTTTTCTATTTTCATTTAATATTTATCATGGCAGAGTCTCATCTTTCTTATGAAGAAGCATTAAATGAGCTTTATGATTTGCAAGCCATGGAAAATCGCACCAATGTTATGATTTTATACAAAGACAAAGAAATTGCTCAATTAAAAGCTCAGCTTGCAGATATAGAAGATCAGATAAAGCTGAACAGATCAAGCTACGCTAAAAATAATACCCAAGCTGTATTGCTTCATCCAATGGTTAATCAAGAATTTGAAACTATAAGACAAGAACTGCTTGAAACTCATGAAAAAGCGTCATCTTTATCAATGGATAATTACTTCAAAAAATTAAGTGAAGCAAATCCTCCTTCAGCACTTAATCAGCTAGTAAAATTTTTAGAAAAAACAAGCGCTGATGTCACAGGAGAAATCAGTGAAGAAAAAATGACGAGTCTTATTGAAGAAATTGAAAAAGAAAAAAGCAATAATCTGGAATTGGAAAAAAAGCTGAAGGATAGCAGAGAGTTAGTAAGCCATTTGGAGGAAGAAATTGAGGATATGCAAGATTTAATATCTTCGTTGACAAATAAAATTGAAGCTGTTGATGCAGAGTGTGAGGAGCTTAAAAAGTCGAATCCAAAGTTGAGTGGGAAATTGGATGGAAAAAGCAAAAGAAATAAATAATTATCTTTTTAATTTATTTATCTATATTTTACAATAGTTTTTTGTTTATGAAATGCATTAGAATTGCTAAATAAACATTAGAAAGCTAAAATTTTTAATTTTAGCTATGAAACTAGACTTGGTGTTTAACAAAAGGATTTTTTTATTAAAAATTGATTGGTATTGCTAAAATAATTAAAATCTTAATAAATATCCTCATAAAAATAATTTAAAGTTCATAAAATGGTTATTTTTTAAGTAATATTTATTTGAATTAATTAATAGGTATTAAATTATTCAATAAAAAATGACCAATTTTCAAATGAATTTATTCCACACATATAAAATAAAAATGACATAATTTGATTCCACAAATTTTAATGTAAGAATTAAATTCCCTATCTGGTGATTGCTTATAAAGATAATTTAAGGTACTTAAAGTAAACTAAACTTGTACTGGACTTTTTACGAACTTTCCTTTAATTCTCATTTTTTGCTTTGCTATCGAGCTACGACCAATGAAGTCCCTCGATACGTGCACTTTTTGCCGATGGGCTTTAATTTTTTCCTTGTATTTAAGTATTTTCTGCTTCCGCACCTCTTGGGTGTAAGCGCCAACATAATAAGCCGTATCATTGACGCTTGAAACGGTGCTGGCGAGTGATATAGAACTTTCTGTCCTTGGTATTGCCTTGCTTGGTCCAACAAGGGATCTCAAGAAGGTTTCAAGTTGTTGATTCTTTATCCTATTTTATTGGTTTAATTCGACTACCATAAGCAAAAAATTAAAATACTCTATTAAAAATTAATTAGAACTCAAAGTATAGCTTTTCTTGGGCAAGTTCTCTGCTTAAGCATAAGTTTTCATCTTTTGCAGCCATCAGCTCGACCGAAAGCTGACTGAAGATGCTTTCGCTGGTTCCAATTTGATTCACACGAATAGGAACAGGGACAATGATATTATCTTTGTTGTGGTTCATAATTTATATTAATATTAATCTTTTTAGAAAACCCTATTTATTTGCATTCAGTTTTAAGAATGATTCATTCAAAAACATAGAGAATTTGAATTAAAATTGTATAGGATCCTATAAATCTTTTATAAAGATATGTTTTCTATGGTATTTGCTATCTTAAGCAAGCAGGTTCTTTAAGTACATGATACCATATTGATGACATCATCACTTCTCAATGGATATTTTTAAATTTCTCTAACTCTGCTATAAAAATGTTTAAAAGCTTTATAAAAGTAATAAATATTTATATAAAAATTTTATTATAGAATTAATACTAACTTCGTGCTCATATAGAATTAATTTGGGAATAGATAATATACTATAATCTAAGTTAAGTTAGCCCTAGATTTCAAAGGATTATTGCTTATGTATAATTTTGGCAGCACATGCTATGATTTTCAAGTAGAATCCTTTATTAGTTTTATGTTAATAATTTTTATTGAACAAAATTTTATTATAATAATTAATAAAAATTACCTCTCGGCAAGCATTAAATTAATTTTAATTTGTATGTGCACACACAACGACTTTAATCAAATTCTAGTAAAAGGTTTAGTTTAAAAAAAGAGCCACTAGAATCCTTAAAAATGGCAACTTTGTGTTTGTTGTAATCGAAAATTGGATAGATTTTAACGAACCAAAAGATGATAAATAGAAAATCAGCCAATGATAAAACAATTTCTAAATATATTTTAAAATTATAATGCTCTTAAAAATTTGAAATACTTTTATGACTAGTTAAAATAATATAAAGATGATTTACTTGATAAAAATGGAAAAATGCTATTAGTGGATAAAATATAATAAATTTTTTAAATTTAAAGTTCCGTTAGATTTAAATGTTATAATAAACCTTCAACTGCAGTCAAAATAATTACTTTTCATTATTCTAAAATTGATATATTAAATAATTTCTTCTTCTAATTGCATAAGCTCTTCTTCTGTCATAAATTCACTATCACTTCCTTTAATTACCAAAACTTCATTGTCTTGAAAATTTGTAGCTAAATCTTCATAAATAAAATGGCATTCGGTTCGAGAGAAATTGGCTCTACCAATTTTCTCTCCCTCATGGAATTTTATTTATGGGGCTGGGTTTTCTCTTGAGAACTTCTGCACAGCAACAGCCGTTTAACTTTGGAGATAACTAAAGGCACGGCTCCTCAGTGCATTCAAGACACTCGGAGTTTTACCTCTCAGCACGTCCCCACGGGAGGATGACCCTTAGGTGGAACACGCTCAGGAGCTGAGTCGGAGCGAGCGACGGCAACGCGCCGGGTGAGATGTGCGGCGATTTATCTGGCGACTAGCCTTATAGAAGGCTTGGGTGTGGGCTGACCACATATTCCAAGATGGCTTGGTGACGTCACTAGTTGTCGCTTTGACCCTTTTTATTCAGGGGTGTGGGCACTAGACACCTTAAAGATTATGTATGTAAGTAAGTAAGTAAGTAGCTAAATCTTCATAAATAAAATGATATTCTAGTTCTTCTAATATTTCCTCCCTCAAGCAATTTTATTTATGGGGCTGGGCTTTCCCTCGAGAACTATGCACAGCAATAGCAATTTAACTTTGGGGATAATCAGAGGAACTGCTCCTCAGTTCATTCAAGAGACTCAGGGTTTTAACCCTCAGCACATCCCCAAGGGAAGATAACCCTTAGGTGGAACATGCGTAGGAGCTGAGTCAGGGCAGCGACAGCAACGAGCCGGGTGAGATGTGCGGCGAACTGAAAGCGAAGCTTCGTAAAGGTTTAGTTGGTGGGCTGACCACCGCGATTCCAAGATGGCTCGGTGACGTCACAAGTTGGCTTAGTCCCTATTTATATAGGGAGCGGGCACTAGACACTTTAAACACTATGCAACTAACTCTACCCTCCGTGAGTGAACAAAACCATTGGAAAAATCCCTATTGTTTGCCCAAAAGCACACCCTCTGTGAGTGAACAAAAATTTTTTATGAAAAAAAATTGATATATAAGTGATAATCAGTATAATGAAATCTCGAGCTAATTCTGTTTAATTTAAACAAATTGCGTTTTAAAAATAAATTATATTATCATTTGCTTCCCAATTTTTGTAAATTAAGATTGTTTTAAAATTTCGACAAAAAAATTTTTCTATAAAATTTATATATAAATTTTTAAAAAAAAAATTAAACCCCATCCGTGAATGAACAAAATTTTTTTGTTCACTCACCGAGGGAGGGAGTTAGTAATTAAATAGCTAAATCTTCATCAACTTCTATGTATTTTAGTATGCTATCCTTATCATAAACAATATTGTTAATTACAACGTTCTCATCATCAGCCATTATCTTGTAAAGTTTAATTAATGCTTGAATATCATCATTTAGCTCTTTTCCTGTCACAGAATAAAACCCATACGCATTATAGTCAGATACTGCTGCAGCCACTACATTATCAACTACAGCAATATATTGTGATTTTAATATTTGGCGTTCTTCTTCTGTTATAATTTCTCCTGTATCTGGGTTATAAAACACTTGAGAATCCGAGCTTATTGAATTTTGTGAGCCTTTCATTGACAAACCGCTTGAAATCGTGTAAGTTAAAATGCAAAAATATAATAAATATATCATTATTACTCAAATCCATTTTTAATAGTTTCTGTTATAACTGATGAATTATAAATCAAGATTGCTTAAAGAAATAATCAATGAGGGTATTTTTGATAATATTTTGAATTTTATTTATTCAAAAAAATTTCTTTAAACAAAAATTAAACATGAAAACTATAGGAGATTTTTAGTGAAAGATAATAAATGGCTTATGACGAAAACAAAATAGTTCTCCATGTTAGAACTCCTGTAGTTTTAGAAGAGCAAGAACCTATTAAAGATGCAGCTACAGATTTCAGTCCTAAATCATCATATATGAAATGTGATGAATTTACCCGAAAATTTCCTTATTTAAAATCAAAGGCATCAAGCTCAGATAAAAAATTCTCACAATCAGTCAAAAGATCAACAGATAAAGTCAGCTATTTTAATAAATCGAAAAATCAAAGCCCATCTAGCATAAGATTAAAGAAAAAAATAGCGCCATCTCCTATGCATGATCCAGACAGCGATTTCTACATAACTTTTCTTCCCCGAAAAGAATCAAGGATGAGGCCTCAACCTATATCAGAAATTTCCTTATCCCTTCAAATAATAGATATTTTTTAAATTTATTATATTAAACATTGTTGTAAACTATTATAAAATGAAATAGGATGCATATTCAATTTATACTTAATTACATAGGCATAAACTTTTATTTATTTTCAAATATAAACGATAACTACTAATCATTCAGAATGTTTTTATTCATTTATTAGGCATATTTTAATAATTACCTTATATTGAGTTTAAAAAAAAAATTATTATAAAGGGTAGTTAGAAGCTCCAACCCTGGATAATACCTCATTTACTAGTGTAAAATTTAAGGACACTAAGATTTGGAAAGCACAGCGATCTTCAAGCCATAAGAGGATTAGATCAATTGAGCCTAAAAGAGAATCAACTACAGTCTTGAGAAAAAGAAACTTTACTCCCTTGAAAATTAGCTGTAATAACAGCTATACTGTTCATATAAAAATTCCAGAGCGGCAAGTGACTCCTGTGCATTTAGATTACATAACAAATATTATGAAAAATCACAATTTTTCGTTTAAAGCTAATATATGTTCTAAGTAATCGTCTAATTCCTTTTTATTTATTAAAATAAAATAAATCAATCATAGCTTATTCTTTAAGTTTTAATTACTTGTTCAGCTTTATTAGGCTCTTCCTCAATCATTGTATCTTCATTAGCATTATCCTGCAATTTAGTCTGTTTACCGACTTCTTTCATAATTGCAGTTTTAAGTTTTAAGCACCACTTGTCAAGACTTTCAATTTTTTTATCTGCTGACATTTTTCCTAGTTTATTCTTCGGATCGGTCTGATTATAGACAGTTATTTCAGTTCTGTTATTAACTAGAGTTACCATGATCACATTAAAATGAATAACCCCTCTATTAAATCCTTTCTCAATAGGCTTCTTCTCATTCTCAACATTATACGAAATCGCTACCACACTATCATCACTCGTTTTTACCAAATTTTTGGTTACGTAATCATTTTTAAACCCTAAAAGCATAACACTCTGATATAAATAAAATAACGAAGGAAAATTCCCATCAAAAATTTCTAAAGTTGTGACTTCATCCCACTCTTTCCTTTTTTCAGGCAACAAAAGCACATCTAAAAGCTTTGTTAAAGGAATTCTTTCATCAAGATGAAGCCATGCTCGAGTTACTGGTGAAACTTGGTCGAATTTGGTGCCTCGAATGGATTTTACGCTGAACCAAGAGTCTTCTTTAATGGTATTTCATGATGCTGTGCTGTTTAATTCTTCAATATATTTTATAGAAATTTCCCATAGATGGCGCTGTTTGCCCTTGATTTGCCCACTGGGGAAACTTTTTGGTTCGACCAGTACCATATGGTTTGGTCAAACCAAAAAATTTTCCTCATGGGCAAATCAAGGGCAAATAGCGCCATCTATGGGAAATTTCTATAAAAGATCATAGGACTGTATGTCAAGGTTTTCTTCTATTGGTCTTATATTCAGCTTTTGAGCTTCTGAGACAATATTATCTTTTTCAGCGTGAGGTGGCTTGTTGTCTTTGGAATCAGTAGGTTTCTATATAAAAATTACATCTCTTGAAGCGCAGCATCCCATTTTATTAAAATATAAAACTGACGCTATTAATAAACGGCTTTTTAGTGTTTTCTTGTGGATTTAAGCAGTTTAATATTATCGAAAATTGGGGATCGGAAAGCCATTTATTGCTGTGAAATTTTGGAAAATATAAAGCCATTTATAAAAATTTTTATGATGACTACAAGACTAGAGTTTCTGCACACTAATGAACCCTTGGCTGTCTGATATATATATTTTGATCAAATGATGACAAAAGAGTAGTGTCTTATTTTTGATGACACCTGATGCGCCTGATTGTCATTCATAATAATTTAATTTTTCTTAAAGACACGTGGAGTGGCTAATTCTTACTCTTTACCGTAAATAGAAAAAAACTGTTTCAATTTAAAAGGTTATTATATTTTGGGAAGATACAAATAAATTTTTTTGAATTTAATCATTTTTACGAAGAATCATTTAAAATTAATTAATTCAGTATGCTCAGCTGTCATAATAACACTTCCTCGATAATAATCTAGAAATTATTATTATCTCTATAAAATTTTTATTTTAAAATTAGAATTTTTGTCCCAATTTAAAACGAATTTACCCAAAAATGGAGAGTATACCAATAATTAGTTCTTGCTTGCAGGCAGGTTAGGCAAAATTTTCATCACAAACTCTTACATCCAGTCTTTTTTGCATAATTGGAAATTAATTGACCAAAATCTTAATGAATATTTAGATTATAGCTTAAACTATCATTGAAAGAATTTGCCTAATTAGCAAAACAAATTATCGCTCCTTAGCCATATCCTTTTATAAAAAATGGATCGCAGAAGCCAGCGCACCTTCATCATGGTCAAGCCTGACGGAGTTCAAAGAAAACTCGTTGGAGAAATCATCAGAAGATTCGAAGAAAGAGGCTACAAGCTTGTGGCTATGAAATTTATGCATGCTTCTCCAGAACTCCTTAGACAACACTATGCTGAACACGAAGGAAGAAGCTTTTTCGCTTCCCTTATTGAGTACATTGGCTCTGGTCCAGTTGTTCCTATGGTTTGGGAAGGAACCAACGTTATTGAAATCTCAAGAAAAATCATTGGAGCAACCAAGCCAGCTGAAAGCGCTCCTGGGACTATTCGTGGAGACTTCGCTATTGAAGTAGGAAGAAATATTGTCCATGGAAGCGATAGTGAAGCTTCAGCTCAAAGAGAAATCGGCCTTTGGTTCAGAGAAGAAGAGCTTGTTAGCTGGGCAGACCACAGCAGTGCTTGGATTTACGAATAAATAAGCATTTGAATTTAATTTTGAGGCTTTAAAATAATTATCATTATAGATATTTGCAATAGAATTCCTGCTTAAATGCATATATTTATAAATATGTTTAAATTTGTGAATTTTTGCTACTTGTTTTTAACAATAGCGGCGGCAAGCAGTAGCCATTGTGAAGACTATAAGATAGACGTTTCAGAAGACAGCGATGGAAAGGATACAAGAGCAAGGCCAGGAGAGTTTAATATGCTATGAATATGAATTGTGGCAGCCTCACTGTTTTTCATAGGAATTTTAATAAGCATTGTTAGAGATATAGTTCCAAGACCTCCACGTGGTGATACTGAAGATCGATATTCTTCAGGAGAAAGCAAACAAATAATTCGATTTTTCTTGGTATAAAATATTCAGGAAGAATACTTAGTAACTGGATGATTATTCACTAAACTTGAGCCAAGGTTTTCAGTCACAGCAAGATGGTGTTTGATTTTTTCGATTATTTTTACAGAGATGCTCATTACAGGAGCTCTCTACAAAAACGACAGCCGATCTGCAGGCGACTACGATAAGTTTAAAGATCTGGATATTGGATATTCAGTAGTGTCAACAGCTATTGCATTTATTGCTTATCTAGTAGCATATGGACTTTTAGTAACTCACGATAACAATAGCAGCGGCGCTCATCGATATCGGCGCTGCTTTGGGTATTTTTTTGCTGGAATCCTCTTTGGAGTGACCACTATTTTTGTATTTGTTTTTACCTATCAAATGAATGATAACCATGACGATAATTATAGTGGTTTATACCTATTTAAATTATTTTGACTATTATTTTACTATTCTAACGCATCAATTTTGGTTTAAATTCTCTATAAATAGGTATAGTGACTAATTGGATGAAAGCTTTTGGATTATCCTTGCTTCTTGAAATGCTAGTATCAGAGAACATTCGAATAACAACTACAGCAATTTTGATATGGGCTCACAGATATGACCCAGAAGATCCTTTACCCACATCTATCGAAATGACAGTGACAGATCGTTACCAAAGACACGAAAAACAAAGGCTTTCTCAAGATGAATATTATGATTAGCATAAATCCTAATAGTTTTACTAATTGTAAATATGAGTGATTATGAGCCTGATTTCGATGAAATTCCGAGCTCAAGAGTTTCACCTAAGAAAAAAGAACAAAAAGTAAAGGCAGATAATAATTATTTGAAGCCAGGATCCCTGCCTTGGGATGAAGAGTCTATGACATATTCAAGAGACGACGGAAGCACTCTTATTCAGTTACAGCGTGAAAATGTAAAGCTAAGAGATAAGTTGAAAAACCTTAGCCAACGATTAAATGATTTAATTGAAATTACTCAAAAAAACCGAGCAAAGAAAAAAGTAAAGAAAATTGATACAAGCAGGGGAGAGCTTGAAACTGCTATGAAGAAGGTTGAGGTTTATGAGTAAAAATTATGCTTTTATAGAATAATTTGGATGCATAAAAAATCAAAAATTAATATGATGACTATTTCCATATTTTTGAATTTAAGTATATATAGAAAACAATGAAAAAAGTTATCAAAAAGAATTGAAGAGCTAAAAGACCCAGACTATGAGAGAAATCTGAAAAATGAAATAGAAAACGATGAAATTCATTTGCAGGAATTAGAAAATAATGTTAGAAAAGGAGAAGTTAGCCAGAGGAAGCGAGGAAAAGTACTGAAAGGCGTTTTAAGCACAGGTGAAACTGAAGATATGTATAAAATGTACAATGAACTTGTAACTGAAAGCACAGTTTATATCAAAAAATTAAAGAAAATTGAAGAAAGAGATGCACAAATAGAGAGCAGTTATAATGAAATCACCCCAAAACTAAACAAACTAGAAAGAGAATATGACCAGCTAAGAGATTTAGAAACCACAAAATCAGACGAAAATGCCTCAAAAGTACAAGAAAAAATAGCTCAGTTAGAAAGAGAACAAGACATAAAAATCAAAGAATTTAATAGCAAAATCAGAGTACTTAATGGGCGCATAAAAGATCTTGAAGGAGAAATTAAAGAAATTGATAACGAAGAAAGCGAGCTATATCTGGAAATTGAAAGAAGAAACTTTAAAATAAAAGACGCTCAAGCAAGCATAGGAAAATTGAGGGAGAGCTCTGAATTCCAAAGTGAAGCATCAAAAAAATCAATAAAACCTCCATTATTTGAAACAGAAATTCCAAATGGAATATATGATAAAAGAAGTCAAATAAAGCAGAAATAGCTTTTTCTAATAACAATATGTATTAAGCTCGCTTAAAAAATAAATAACTTATCCTACAACCTGTCCCTGTAGATTGCTAAGCCCATTTTCATCAATTCCGCTTCATACATTTCTGCTTCCCTTTGCAAAAGCTGCCTTAATCTTGCTTTTCTTCTATCTTTTAATTCTCTATTCGCGATTTGGACTTCTTCTGCCATCAGATTTTCAGATCTTATATTATTCCTTGCCACTTCAAATTTTTGCTGCCTTTCATACCACGTCGAGGTTTTAGCGATGTCTTGCATTTTCCTTGAATAGGCTTGAGCGTCTGCGTATTTATTGTCCTGCTTTATTCTTTGTTGAATACTCCAATCAGGCTGAAATGACATTTTAATATTAGAAACTGACTTTAAAACAATTTTTGTATGAAAAATAATTTGACTTTAAAGAAAACTAAATAAATTTAATTTAAAGCTACCATTCTAGGAAAGGATCATCAGAAGCTCTTACAATTGGGGACAAGTTTGGAGAGTCGGGGTATCTTGAAAAATTGGAAGTATCGTCAGGAGATCTCACAGTAGGTCTATATGGCATTTCTGTAGTTTTTGCGAGGAGTCTGACCCAGTCTAGCCCTGAAAACCATCTATGATTTTTGATATCATTAACCCCATTTTTCAAATTTCCATACCTTTTGGACAGATCGGCAACTAGAATATGCTTAACCAAACTTTTTGCGTTTTTATCAAAATTTCTTGGAAACTTTACTTTTCCTTTTAAAATTTTTTGATAAATTGCCATTGGGTCTTCATCAGTGAAAGGATCTATGCCTGCAAGCATTTCGTATATTATGATCCCTAAAGTTCACCAATCAACTGGCTTGCCATGCCCTTTATTCAGCAGAATCTCAGGTGCTAAGTACTCAGGAGTCCCACATAATGTATAAGTTCTCCCTTCCACTACTTTTGCAAACCCAAAATCAGTCAATTTTAAGTACCCGTCGTGCCCAATTAGCAGGTTTTCTGGTTTTAAATCTCTATATATGATATTTTGAGCATGCATATATTCAAACATCGTCGTAATTTGCGCAGCATATAGCCTCGCATGGTTGCTTTCTAGCTTTCCAATTGTCCTTAAATAACTGAAAAGTTCTCCGCCAGCTACAAACTCTAACGCAAGATACAAATACCTGTTATCTTGTGTAAAACCAATTAAGTTCACCAGAAAAGGGTGCCTAATTGTTCTCAGAATGGAAAACTCTGAAATAACATGGTCAACTTGCTTCATCTTGAGAATGTCAGACTTTTTGAGAATTTTTAATGCAGCGAAATCGCCTGTTGATTTTATGCGACATAAGCGAACTCTTCCGAATGAGCCTGTGCCTAAAGTTTGAAGGACTTCGAGATTTGATAGCTCTAACCGCCTATCCATTTAATGATAAATTATTTATCTCAACATAATAGTTTGCACAGAATCTTGAAAATAGCTTGGATAGAAAAGATAGTTAGAAAATTAAATGGAGGCTTTTAAGCCTATGTGCAGATATACAAAAACTTCTGGGGCGAGATCTCTAATAATGTTGAGATCTTTATGCATTTTAATTTTTTTCTTGATAATAAAAATATTAGAATTAGCATATTATATTGCTTATTCTAAAATAATTATGCTTATTTAAAATGGTTAATTTTTATTTAATATAAAAAAAATCCTAAGTACTGAAGTTAATTGCTGTAAATAACAATTTAAAAATGGCAGGACGTTAGAGGTCATAACTCCTCTAAAGGTCCTTAAAAGGGGAGCTTCAGCTCTTTTTGCGGGTCTTTGAGACCAAGAGATAGCTTCCTGGAGTTGTGACACTCCACTAGGTGTGCTGGAAAGAGAGCTCTTACTTGGGCTTAAGCAGTTAGGTTCTAACGGACACCTTGACCCGTTCAGTTGTTCAGAACTGATACTGATCCTAACATATTAAAGGCTACAAGAAGAACGGAAGTTATTTTATTATTAAAATAATCAATTCAACTACTGTAAATTGGTATATCAAATACTAGCTTACTAATATAGAAAAGTTTTTAGTTTTATTGAATTGGTAATAATGGTGAAGTATAATAAAATAACACTTGCTAAATACCTAACCTCTTTAATTTTCTCAATGCTTGTATATTTTTGCAATTAATGTAAAATGACATTAATATTAAAGAATATTCTGATTTTCTTTTAGAATGCTTTTTCAAACAAGCTCACTAAATTTCACTCTAGAGAAATAATAGAATTATTTTAACCTCTATATAATGTATTATAAATTTTATTATATAAGCTCTCCGCTATCATATAAGCTTATTTCTCCTTACCTCTTGATAAATTATCGCTGTTTTTATTTTCATTTTTTCCTTTAATCTTTTCTTGATTTTCAATTTTTAGCTTAAAATAATATCTCAGCTAAATAAAATATGGATATCTACTACGAATCTGATGATATTGAAACTTGTTGCTCTAGTTACATTTTTCCAACTAGAGAATTAGATTGTTATAATTTAGAAAAAAGAGTTGAAATGAATCCGAAATCTTGTCCTAATGCTGGAATTGGATATAGGCCATACCACTTCGTTTTAAAAATTTCTAAAAGGGGGCATAGTAATATTTCATACGAGCATCGTGATCTTTTTGAAGTTCTTTGTGGGATATGTGAATTTCTTATCCTTTCAGACGTAGAAATTGTGCTATGGGCTATTTATTTAGAGCGCTTTGCCTGGCAAGAGTTTCTACAAAGCTCAAAGAATGCTTTGCTATTTGCAGCTTATGCTTCTAAGTGCATGCTGAACGAAAATACAAAGGAGTTTTTCGATAGACTTCAGCAGCGCTCTGACTCATTTTCTCAGGATTATAAAGTATGAATAGGTGCCCATCAGAACATTATCAATGTAGATTATTTTGAAATGAACTCAATATAACGATGACCCCCCCTCAATCTTCATGTCTATTGCAACAAAAATGCAATTTTTTTAATATAAAATTTTATATAAAAAAAATAATAATTTTCATGTCTCTTGCAACAAATTATATATAAAAAAAATAATAATTTTTCATGTCTCTTGCAACAAATTATATATATTAAAATGGCGACACGTGTCAGCCTGCCCTCTTGGCGCAGCATTCCAGATCTTATGGCTAATGCGAACTGGGACGGACCCCGAGCGAGAATCAGACGCAGACTCAAGAAGTGTATATCCGGGCAGGTTTTGGCTGCTTTCCTGTGGTTGGAAATAGATTAGCTCAACAACGTCCTTTTGATCCGAGGACCCATGGGCATTCCTCTACCGAGAAACTGGGGTTTTTGCTCAGGCCACAGGGGAACAGTCTTTTTTCGTGTAGCTGTAGAAGGAAGGTACTTTGACACCCGATAGACTCTAAGGAGCTGATCCTTGGAATCAAGCTACTCCAATTGCCCGTAGCAGGGACGCAGAAATCCATAAGCCGCCCACTCAAGACTGAAGCCGCAAGGCAAGGAGGAGACTGAAGTACCGGAAGGGCAGTTGTAAGAGGAATAGACCCTCTGGGCTGGAATCGAAAAGCGGTAGAACCATCTGCACGGGAGGTCTTTGGTGACTGTGTCACCAATATGGCTAGCGCCTGTCTGTAATAATCCTCTTGCAGCAAATTTTAGATGTGCATCTTAAATTTTTCTGTACTTTTAGCTAGATAAGTTTAATAAAATGGCGAGCAATAACAATAGCCGTCCAAATCTCGATGAGAAGTCATTGACACGCCTACAGCAGCGCTGTTTTATGGGGTTTTTGAGAAACTCACCTAGAGAAAAATGCATTAATTTTTTTTTATAAAAATGTCGTGTTGCAGTAGGCATGAAAATTTTTTCGAAAAATTTTTGTTGCAGTAGACATGAAGATTGAGGGGGGGTCATCGTTACAATGAACTAAACAACTCAGATATAGAGATGAAAGATTAGTTAGATTAGTTAAAATTATAGCGGGTCATCGGGGTTTATTTCAGCTCCTCTCCGTCCAATGGATAGCTTCGCGTTGACGCTAAGCGCTATCCTCACACCACCTTTTTGCTTCTGACGTCACCAAAAATGGTGACGTCGAAGGTCTAACGGGGAAACACCCTTAGCAATCGGCATCGCCTTTCTTGGTCCCAAAATTCAGCAAAAGACTCCCTTAACCTCTGATAGGGCTTAAGAGTATAGGTGAATTGTTTCTGGCCTCCTCCATGGCCTGTCAGAGCCTTATTGCAGGCTCGAAAATTGCTCCCATGGAGTAGTATTGGGATTTTGCTCCGGTAGGGACTCTGCAGGTAAGGAAAAGGATCTATGGTCAGCTCCTAGACCAAAAACCCATCCGGAGAACTATCACCATGTGGCTCGCCTTTCCTGCGCCCAGATCTACTCACAGGTTACCAGGAGTCCACGTCAGATCACGCCATTTTAATATTTCTAGAGATGAAAGAAGAATCAAAGGTGGATTACAATGATATTGTAAGTGAATTGATTGAAAGTACTATGGAAACGCATAGAAAAAGATTAGGATCAGATGATAGCTATACTGAAAAGAAAAGAAGTTATTAGATTAGTAAAAGTTTTGAATTAATTGTTATCGTTATTTGCTTAAATTGCAACTTTACCACCTAAATGTGAAAAGATGATTCCACATGTGAAGTCCTTTTGATTTCACATGTGGAATCATCTTTCCACACGTGGAAATTATTCCACATTTAGGTGGTATAGTTGCAACTTAAGCAACTAACGATATAATAAGAAAAATCAAATCTTTCTATCTTATAAGAGCGAAATAAGTTTATTAGCAATTAAATTTAAATTATGGCAACATTATTTGGGTTTTGGAAATTTCTTTAGAATTAAAAGAATGCAAATTATGCAAAGATTTTAGATTTTGAAAAGTAAATAATCTGCTATTATTATGACTTAAATAATTCTAAACAGTTGAGGGTGTATAAAAAATATTTCTATAGGAATGATTTGGTTCCTACTTATATTTATAAAGAAATTTTTATATTTAAAGAATTATCAAATAATCATACTATCTTAATTACTAGTCAAAATCAAAATCAAGTGCTGAGCTCTTTGGCTTATTTGTTGCTTCAGTCTTAAAGAAGTCATTTTGGAAGCTAGAAGAAATCGATGCATTTTTGAAATCAAACCCTTGATTATTGAACTTATCAAAATGTGGATCGAATTGGATATTTTCTGGTTTAATTTCAAAAGATGTAGACTGGGGTGTTGGCTGTTTAAATGTAGAAAATTCAATTTTGCTTGGAGGATTATTTTCAGCCTTAAAATTAAAGCTGAATCCTTGGTTATTTTCGAATTCAACAGGCTTTACCATAGAAGTTGCAAATTCTTGTGCTGGAACTTTTGAGTTAGGAGGGGAAAAATCAAATGGAGAAGATGAAGGCTGAGATCCTGGCTGTTTAAATGAAGGAGGATCATATATTTTTTGCTCGATTTTTGCCTCAGGTTTTGGTTGGGACACAAAAGAAAATGCATCAAATTTTTTATTTGGTTTGGGAGGCTCTGGCTGAGTGTTTTCTAATGAAAAACCTGATTGGGGAGGAGGATTTTGTGGAAAACCTGACTGAGAAGGAGGATTTTGTGGAAAATCTTGCTTCGGCTGGCTATAAAGTTGGCTGCTATCATTGCTTCCACCAAATTCCTGTCTTGGCTTACTAAAAGGCTGACTGCTACCAGAGAATCCTCCAAAATCTTGTTTAGGCTGCATACTTGTGTTTACTGGCACTGAAGTGTCAAAATCAAAAGGATTCATTCCTCTTTGGCTGATAGGCTTTTGCACAACTGGTTCTGGGTTGGCTTGTAATGGAGGATATGGCTGAGAAGGAGGACTTGCTTGATTTTGAAAAGCAAAAGACTGAGAAGGAGCAGATGTCTGAAATGACTGCTGTGGAAGATTTGTAGGAGTTTGCAAAGATGGATAAAGTTGGCTAGGAAGATTAGGTCTTGCTTGAACTGGAGACTCGACCTTCACTTCAGGCTTCTTCACAGGATACTCTTGTGGAGGTGCTGACGGTTTTTTCTCAGCTAATTGTGAAGTTTTATCTTTTAAATATGTATTTTCTTGCTGTAATGCTTTTAAATCATCTTTCTGTTTTTTTCATGTTTCATCGAATTTTGCTTTATATTTATTCAGCTCATTTTGCATTTTTTTAATCTGATCTTCATGCTCCTTTACTTTATTTTCTAATTGCTTGTTTTTTTGCTTAAATAAATCAAGCTCATTTCTATCTAAATCTAGCATATCAGAGATAGAACGAAGCAAATCTTCTTGTCTCCTAACTCCTTCGGTAGCGAAAAAAAATTTTGCTCGTTGAGAGGAGTTAATTTTTTTTGAAATTTAAAAAATCCAAATTTGAGAAAATTTTAATTATAAAATTTATGTATTAAAAATGAAGCTGTTTAAAATTCAGCAAAATTAGCTAGATATTTCATTATAATAGCTATCATTTATATATCAGTATATTTTTATAAAACAATTTATATTGAAAAGATATTTGGTTCGTTCATGGAGGATGGGTTTATACCCAAAAAAAGGATTATTATAATGGTTTTGTTCGTTTATGGAGGGAGTGTGGGAGTAAGGATTTCTTCTTTTTCATCAATTACAAACTCAAGTTCATTATAGCGCATACGCCTATGTAGATTTTTTTATTGAACAAAATATAATGAATGGTTGGACGACCAGGTCAGACTCTATCGAAGGGGTGAACTGGATCTCTATACCAGAAAAGGTATAAAAAAGAGGCATGTCAAAAATGTTTGACATGTGCGAACAAAGATAGCAAGCATAAAAATTAATTTTATATTAAAGATACCTTTTAGACTGACAGTGATAAGTATTTTAACTTTTTTAAGATACTAATAAAATTATAATCTCTTCCCTATGAAATTTTAAAAAATAAAACTTTTTTTATAGACGATTTTTCAAGTGATATTGAAACATAATTATTACTCTGATAGTGCCCTCTAAGGTTTAAAGTGGTTCCTTCACACGACGCCTACACCATAACGACTATTTTTTTGGCCTAATTTTTTTTAGCCCTATTTTTTTTTGGCCTATTTTTTTTTGGACTAATTTTTTTTTCGGCCTATTTTTTTTTTAGCCTAATTTTTTTTTGCCTATTTAGTTATCTCTAAAGCCTTTAAAAACATAGCGACTTTGGAATTATAGTAGGAAATAAACTTATCAATATCTAATTTTCTATAATTATATTTAATTCGATAAAAAATAGGAAAAAAATATGTAAGATATTATCAGTGTAAGTCTTATTAATTTTAAAATTAATCTTTATAATAAAGCCATATTAAAAAATTGGAGAGTTTTACTTGTCAATTTTGTTCACACTAGTCAATCATTTTCTGACATGCCACTTTTAACCTTCCTGGCATAGAAATCCAGCTCGTCCTTTTATTAGAGTCTGACTTGGTATTTCAATCGTCCATTACATTTTGTTCTATAAAGAAACCCATATAGGGCATGGACTATACTATTCATTGGCCTTGCTTCTTTTCTTCTAGAAGAAGATTGATAAGATGGTCTTTCAGGTTTTTCTGAATAATCTTTAGGAGTTTTTTCATGGACTGGGACAGGCTCAGCATCTATATCAGGCTCTTTAAATTTCACTGACTTAATTGATTGCTTTGGCTGAGGTTTTGGTAGAGATGCATTTGTTGGCTGATTGTTATCTATTAATGAGCTTTCTCTTGACAAAGGCGGACTTTTAGAAGGAGATGCATCTTGTGAAGAGTCTAAAACTCTTTGCAAAGACGCTGACAATGACTCTGGTACCTCAATGCCTTTCGACCTTACTTTTGCAATAATCTGCATTGCTACCATAAACTGTCCTTCTTTCATAATCCCCGTTTTGACCGGATCACATAAGCCCCACAATTTTTTCAAAATTGGCATAGCAAATTGTGTCCTTTGCAAGAGTTCTCTTGCTTCCATTCCATTTAAAAACCCTTTATCTCCACTGAGCTTTTTAAAAGCATCTTTATAGATTTTTCTATCATTTTCGTTAATTTCCCAATCATCTGCAGCAGTTTCTTTAGGTATTTCAATTCCTTCAAACCTAGGGAGAGGGCATTTTTCATTCAAAGATTGCAATGAAATAGGTTTTTGATTTTGGGCAAAGGCAATGAGCTTGACAGCGATGTTAAAACGTTCTGCGTCTAGGAAAGGTTCTTTATTTGGAGTTGAAAGCGCCCAGATTTGTTTCAGGATGTCGACAGGGAGATTTGAAGTTCTCATAAAGTTTACTGCTGATCGGCCATCAATTTGCCCAGATCCTGACTGGTCTGCATTTTGGAATAACTGGGAGAAATAGTTAGATTCTAAAGGACTAATTCTTCACCCTATTTAGAAAAATCTATATTAGTTTATTTTTAAAAATTCGTTTTAATGCCTAATTGCAATAAATAAAAGCATTTATACTGGTTAGCCGTTATCCTAATTTATATTTGAAATAGGATAACTAGCATATTTTTATTATAATTTGATATATACTTTCTTATTTTGCTTAAAATGAACCGCTTGTTTGTAATAAACGGGATAAGAATAAGTTTTGATTGTGAAGATTTTGAGTTTGCTGCTGCCCCACTCATTTGAAACTGAGAACTCATATTAATATTATCGAATTTTCACCAAAACATGTATATCTCATCCTCTCAATTTCAGCAGCTATTTAACTTATTTTATTTGTTTAAGTTTCTCTATTATTAGAAATAAAAATTATTATTAATAATAATTTAAATAAACCCCAGCAAATCTTCTAAACTGCATACCACACCCCTTTAAAAAGACAAAAAACCCTTCTTCACTACAAAAATTCCCTTATTATTTCCTAAACTCACCTTTAAATTCGATTTTTCTTTAAAATATATCTTTAAATTAATTCCATTAAATATAGGTATTTCGCCTATATTGCCCACTATGAGCTGAACCTGAGAGCTCTCCTCTCAAGCTGGTTTAACCAACTTAGGTTGGCTAAACCAACCAACCAGATATTTTAGGGAGTTTCCCTCTCCTGTTGGTTTGGCCAAGCTAACTTGAGAGGAAATGCTAAAGTTTGGCCCATACTAGGCAATATAGGCGAAATGTCTATATCCTACATAAAGTACAGTAATAAGTATCACAATTTTTCGACTAATAAATGGGAAGTTGTTGTAGTAATAGGAGTGTACAAATAATTTCAGAAAATCAATTGCCAGTCGATTCGATTCTCAAAACCCGTATTGTTGACCCCAGTAAATTAGAAAATGTGGAATTAATAATTTCAGAATATGCTGCAAGGATCAAAGGAGAATTCGAAAATAAAGTTGAGAAATTTTTGGAGCCTGCAAATCCGCTGACACTTCAACAGTTCGAGTCTATGATTAAATCACAATATGACCAGCTGTCTGGGCAATTCAAAGAGCTTTTTATAAATGAAGAATCTGGATGAAATGTACCTTTTGAATTGATTGAGAAAAGTTTGTCGGCGTTACTATCAAGCTGCAAAGCGAAAGAACCTATTTTTCGACTTATGAATGATATTAATTCAGTTGAGTACACAAATGCTCTTAAGCTCGAACTTTTGGAAGAGTTTCTGTTGAATCACTCATCTCCAGTCGTCCTATTAAAAAAATACCAAAAGTCTTCTAAAGGTACTTTTGTGATGCAAGGCCTCAGTGAACTTTATGAGTTAATATTCTCTATCGAATAAATTCAGAATTTATAATATTTTGTGGTTTGCACAAATTTTATTGTAAAAAAATAAGTTTTTTCAAGTAGATATATAGTCATATAGTATAAATTCCAGTGATAAAGAACCTCAAACTCTGAAGACTACTGTACATAATCAATTGAAACGAGCCAGAGAAAGCCTTTCAATAGAAAAATCCAAAGCAGAAACCATGTATTACGGTGTCATGAATTTATCATGACACATAATACCTGAGAATGATGTATTCTCTAATAAAGGAGATACAGAAAATCGTGAGTTCTCTGCTACGTCTATGTCAACTGGTGAGAGGCCTTATAATTCCTTTTATAATTCACTTGAGTTGACAGTAGAAAACCTAGAGCATGATAAATGCTTAGAAGTTGAAGGAAAAATCATTGAAGAAAATTCCGAATTTTATTTAAATCAGTCAGCAGATGAAGAGGTCATAAAAGATGATGGCAAAGAAAAGAAGCAGACAGTGGTAAGCAACTGTGACACTTCATACACAACTGACAGAAAAATAGAAAAATCCAAGCCTCATTCGAAAAAGAAGCCAATTGATAAAAATTTCCTCAAAAAGTCAAAAACTTCGGCCACAGTAAATAGATTTGTTAATGAAGGTTTGGAAAAACTTAAAGAAATGCCGTATAATAAAATGAGAAAAAACGCCAAAGGCGACAAAACTTAAAAATAATTTTTGATATAAATAAATTCAATTTTTATGCAAAAAAGCATTATAATTATCTCATTAGGCTTGAGTGATGAAAAATGGAGCCTTGAAGTGAGTAGAAAGGGCAGGAAACTTATTAATGCTGTTGTTTTTGAACATAGACACATAATCGTGCTCAAGATCGCTGAAATTCAATTGTTTAGAATTTATACTCTTTCTATTTATATTAATTATTTATTATAAATTAAAAAAAAATTAATAGAATCCATTAAATTTAAATTAATAGATAATATGTTTCCTACATACAAAGGGGTGGATTTAATTGGTGACATTAAAAGATTAGAAGCGTTCAATAAATCATGTAAGCCATTTTCAATTGGAGCCAAAGGCTCTCTTTTGAGTTTTTTTACAATTGGAGATTCTGTCTCAATAGGGGTATTCTCATCTTGGCTAAGCTTCCTTACATGGCATAAAATATAAGGATCTTCTTCAGGTTGGCTAAGGACAACGGCATGCATTCTATAAGAAGGCCCAATTTTTTGTTCATTTGGTGACGATTTTTCACATTTTACAGCTGAAGCCACTATATATGTGACAATAGGCTGTCTTTTAGGAAGCTCAGTCGTGAAGTTCATCTTTTTCCACCTGTATCTCTTTTTGATGTCAACTCTTGGAAATCCAAACTCTGAGCCAATGGATGATCCTTTTACAAAGTAAATTTGCCCATTTTTGGGCTGGATGTAAATTGACTGGGGGTGGGTTTTGCTAGCATATTTTTTCATCCCATACTTTTCGCAATATGTATCTTTATGGGTTAGAATATAGCTATATTCTTCACCTTTTAGCCACTTTGATTCCCAGTCGAATTCGATAGCTTCGGAATTGTTGTGTTTCTCCATGAATAATTGTTTAAATTTATTATAGCGCTCAAAAAATGGAATGAATTCATATCATTGCATCAAATATTTTTTTTAAAAAAGTGAGGAGAAAATTTGATGAGGAATTTATAGGATATATAATAATTATTTTAGAAGGTTTTTTGGATTTATAGCTAGGAGATTTGCAAAATTTCCAGATTATTTTTAAACAGGTTAAATATAGCTGCCGTTCATAAATTTAAAAATGAATAAATATGAATTACTGGATCCTAAACAATTAAAATTTATTTAAATAATATTGATGATTTACCAAAAGCGATGAGAATTTTTATACTCTTGAGCAAGGATTTTAAATATTATATAATAATTTGTACCTTAATAAAAGTTTATTTTCAAAATTATTTTAGGAAAGTAAAGTCCATTTTAAAATTAAATATCATGCTGCTTATTGAATTTATCCCAAAGCTCCCTATAATATGAATTTTTATCCAACAATTCTTGATGTGTTCCTTGCTCTCTGACTTTTCCACCTTGCAAAACAAATATCTTATCTACATAAGTAATCGATGGTAATCTATGCGCTGCAAAAATAGTTGTCTTGCCTTTCAATTTCTCCTTCAGCGCATTTGTGATTAAATTTTCATTATGCGAATCCACTGCACTTGTAAACTCATCGAAAAAATAAATATTTGCATTTTTCAATAGGCATCTTGCAAGGCTAATCCTTTGTCTTTCCCCCCCAGAAAGTTTGCACCCTAGTTCTCCTACATTTGTTTCGAATTTTTCTTCAAAATCCATGATACGGTCATAAATGTTTACCATTTTGCAAACCTTGACAACGTCCTCAAATGAAGCTTCAGGGTTTCCATAAATGATATTATAATACACAGAATCATTGAATAGGTTGCCATTTTGTGGAACCATTGCAATATTTTTCCTTAAAGATTCAAGTTTTAAGCTTTTTACATCTTGATCGTCTATTAGAATGCTGCCTTTTTCAGGGTCTAGTAATCTATATAAAAGTCTAAATAATGTACTTTTGCCAATCCCACTTTCTCCGACAATGGCATTGCTAGTCCCAGGCTCTATTTCAATGTCAAGGTCATTGAATACTTTTCGGTCCTCAAAGCCGTAGGTGACGTTTTTTATTGATATTTTTCCACCTTTATATTGGTAGCTTTGAGCATTTGGAGGCTCCATTACTTTAGGCTTGATGTTAAAAATATGGAATAAATCCTTAATTTCTAGCTGAGCTTCATTGAGCTCTCTGTAGACACTACCTAGAAAATTCAAAGGAAATTGAAGCTGCAAGAACATGGTTTGGATAAGGAAAATGTCACCAATTGTCATTGTACCTGCACTGACTTGGGCGACTGCGAGGAGTAGATTAATGGCGAGACCAGTGTTGAAAATGATGTGCTGGCCACAATTTAGGGTTGATAGAGAATTTGATGTTTTTACGGCAGCTTGCATTTGCTGCTTTAAGAAATGATTGTATCTATCACTCTCCAATTTTTCATTTGTAAAACATTTAACTGCTTCATAATTAAGGAAACTCTCATTTATCACAAAATCAACAGCTTTTCTTTTCCTTTTCACCTCCTTTATATAATCCTGCCTATAAGTTGAATATCTGGTTGTAAAAACCCAATAAGTCGCCACAGTGCCTCCAAAAGTCAGCAGATAAGGTCACCCGCAATATTTAAGTAAAATCCCTGAAGCAATCATAAATTCCAAAGTAGTTGGAATAATACTCATCATCATAAACCTCAGAAAATTCTCGACCCCTTTCATAGACCTCCCTACTGATTAATGCTTAATTTTAATTAAGATTATAAGAGAAGCTCCTTGTGGGCCTGTCTAGCAAGCTGTATTTGCCTCCAGATCGCTCCACTGGCTGCTTTCTAGTCCGAGCGGCCTCTCATTGTGTTGCTCCTCACTGACGAAGAAGAAAGCATTAGTTTAGCCCTATCCTACAGCTCCCACAGTGTCTCTTACAGCACAACTCCCGCAACACTGCTCCCACAGTCCAACTTCCACAACACATCTCCACCGTGCAGCACCCACAACACAATTTCCCCAACACCACTTCCACACATCACTCATACGGCACAAATCCCACAGCACAACTCTCAAAACATCAGAGTTCCCAAAACTCCCAAAACTCTACCAGCTCCCACAACTCCCCGGAGCATCGATCCCAAAAGACAATCAACCCCAAAGAGCCATTACTGGCAGTTTTATCCGAGCAGCAAGCCCTTCCCCACGGAAGCAAACCTCCCCGCGGCGACCTTTCATGGACGAGGGCTTGCACTCGCTACCCATGAATCAGTGGTACTGATCACCGTGCTGCACTTTAATGGGGTTTGACTTCCAGAAAATTCGAAAATTAATTTTCTGGCCACTATCGGTCAACATGAAAACTCATAGCTCAGGACGCAATGCCCGGTATCGCATGGGAAACTTTACCGATAACCAGGAGTAACCTTACTGGTGTTGCAGGGAGATCCCTTTCCAGCCTCAGCTTCAATCTTCTCCAAGGGTAAAACTTTGAGCTGGAATGAGCTGCAGCCTTCCTAATCTGATGCTGCGTTCCACCAAACCAAGTAAAACCTTGCCAGATGCACACACCACTAAACGCCTCCCTTCCACAAGGTCCCTGAGTCACCCCAGCTACAGGTATAAGAGGGTAGGCTGGTTCACCATGCCATTTCAATGTATGCCCTCCCTACTGCAAAAAGTGTTGTTTTAGTGCTTTCAAGATGATAAGTATAATCCAAGCTATGAAGATGCCAAAACACCCTTGAGCTTACATCTTTGACAGCATTCAGGACAACCCGTGAGAAAATTGCATTTTTATATTCCTGGGTCAAAATTACTGCAATTCTTGCTAAAGCATAAGTCCCAAATAATATTGTTGCATAGCCCATTGATGTCCCTAACGTATTTACAGCTTCTTTCAAAATAAATGGTACTCCAGCGTTCAGTGATTTTGACGCTACAAGTAGCCCTGCAGTAGAAAAAACAGCCATCCTGAGCTTAAAATCTTTAGGAAAAATATAAGGATAAAGGAATTTCAGGATATGTCTCTTTGTGTAGATATTGTCTGGGATTTCCCTTTCTACGAATTCAGGGATCTGTATTTGGTGATTTATTGAATTTTTGTTAATTTTATTCCTTATATAAACTCCTTCAACCATTGCTCTATACCTAAGCTTCTGTGCAAGCATCATTTTTTATTAATAAATTATTACTTTTCATATAACAGCATTTTTTCTTCTTATTAATTACTGTTGGTCTCAATTCTATTCTAGGCTGTGTGGCAGGCTTAAATTCCCTCCTTTCTTTCCATCTCTCAAACAAAACCTTGCTGAACTCATAAAAAGCTTCATTCACGTTGATGCCACTTTTGGCTGAAGTCTCAATAAACCCGCTTAAGCGTTGTTTTTCCGCAAAAAGTTTCCCCTCTTCGTAAGCTACTTGTCGGTCTTCTTGACCTTTTTCAATGAGATCAACCTGGTTCCCGATAAGAAAAATAACGACATCAGCAGCTGAGTTTTGCCTGATTTCTTCAAGTCAGTTTTCGCAATTTTCAAAAGTGTGTCTGGCTGTAGCATCATATACTATGCTTTTTTGGGATATTTGTGGATATTTAATAAATAGCGATAAATGGCTTATATGAAATATAGAAAATGGTATTGATAGTAGAGGTAAAAACTGTGGGAGATATTATAATATAACCCCATCCGCTCGTTGATAAAAGCTTTTTGTGATACTTCTATAAGTTTCTTGCCCAGCTGTATCCCAAATCTGCAATTTTATCGTTTGTGAGCCAACTTGGATATTTTTGGCTCCAAACTCAACACCGATAGTTACACTGTGCTGTTCTTTAAATGAATTTTCACTAAATCTTAGCTGAAGACAGGTTTTTCCCACACCGGTATCACCTACAATAATTACTTGAAAGAATAGTTCTTGATCCATTTAAAAAGAATGGATTTATTGAAGTTGTGGAAAATATATAGCTATTACATCGTAAAATAAATGTAAAATCATTTGAAAGTCTAATATAAGAAATAGAATAAATTTACTTAAAAATTAAAATGTTTTTCTTCATAAATAATGGAAGGAAGTAGAAGTCAACTCTGAAGCTTAATAGAACAAATTACAAGCCAAATTTATGAGCTGCAGCAGCAAGATGGAGAATCTGCACAAGAGCTTGGAGAGCTTGCGGATAAACTAGAGCGGCTTTTGGTTTTGCATAAAAAATATAATGAGATGGAAAAAGATTCAAATATAAGATTACTTGCACTTATGAGAGAAAGGAACTTATATCTAGAAAAAAGTAGGAAAATTGAAAATTTAGGACAAAGAACGAACTGGAACGACCCACTTTTGCAAAGAGTCCTTAAGATTCTTTATCAAAATGCGGATGAAAACTAATGAAAAATTGATGAATAAGTAAGAAACTTGTTAAAAAATAAATGCCAAAATTGATTTGATAGAAATGCTTAAATTAAAATACGTTTTAATAAGTGAATTATGCTATAATTAAAATAAATATGAGTATTCTTTTTTTCAAGATAATGCCATATTTTGATTATAATTATTTTTACCCTTATTTATCTTATAGGCTTATCCTGCAAATAGCCCGATATTGGGTTCGACCAATACATTTGGCTCAACCAAGTAGGAAGTTTTGGCTCTATCCCTAGCCAATATCGGGCTATTTACGGGATATGCCTATATCATTAAACCAAACCCAATAAGCTTTATCACAAATCCTTTTACTCATCTTCAGAAAAGCTGCTTTCTGGAGTGTTTACAGGCTGCCGATTCATAGGAGTTTCTTCAATTGGCAGCTCAATTAAAGGTAAAACCTTATTTGACGCTCTCTTCGGAGGAACCGGGTCTGCTTCTTTAGAAGTCTTTTCTTGTTGTTGGTCAGGGAATTGCCCTTGCTCAACAAGTGACATTCTAAATTTTTTGCTCCTTGAATTTTCTTCCTCTTCCGCTTCCTCCTCTAATTCAACCTCATTTTCATTTCCTTCACTATCTAAATAAAACATAGTGTACTTTGGCTTGGATTTTCTAACAAAAGAGTCTGTGCTTGGCTGCTGGTTTTCGTAGCTGGAGTTTGCGTTTGTGCTGGAATTTGTCGCGTTTTGGGTCTGTATATATTTATCATTATAAATTTTGATTTTAGGATACATTTGGGGATCGTTTGGAAACATTTTAATGGTAGGCCTGGGGACGCCAACGATATTTCGGGAATTGTAGTATAAAGTTAAGTGATTAAGCAGCCGGCCATAAGTGCTCCCGCAAACGCTGACGATTTGCCCTGTCTCGGCTCTAAAATGGCATCAGAGGACACCATCTTGGATTTCTGACCTGAGCCACCTGTCCAGGGGATTAGGTCGCCTGGACAGAGCCGCTCTTAGATAGCGCCCCGATGGTCCCGATGAGGAAAGACCATGTAGTAAGTAAAACCTATCTAGCCCATCTGGTAGGGACAGGGAAAACCTTGGGGAGAAATAAAACTTCCTTCTTCGGCAAGGCAGCCCCAAGCCTGAAGGCCTACTTCTATAGGGACAAAGGCCCTACTTTCAGCACATCAGGATGGATCCTACCTGCTCCATAAGGAGTGTGCCTCAGAGTCCACTTTCCATCAGCGTCACCATTATATTTCTTTGTAGTATAAAGGCATTTGCCCTCGAGGAACTCTTTGATAGTTAGGCTCTCTGTCCATATTGGCATAAACGTACTTGGTTTCTCGGGCACCTCGCTTTTCAAGCCAATTTTTCCGTGTTTCTTCATGATCTAGATTTAATAATACTTTTTTGCATCTTACAGAGACATGCCCAAGTTCTCTGCATAAATAGCATTTTACAAGCAGCGCTGTATAGTCTCCATCTTCGCATTTTTTTGAAATTAATTCGGTAGCCTCTTTGGCTTCTGGGAACTTTTCTAGCAATATATTCATATTATTCCTGGATAAGCTTAATAAGTCTACAAAGTCAAGACATTTTGCTGATGCACAGCGAGGTTTTTCGGTAAAAAACGCAATTTCACCGAAATATTCGCCAGGGCCGAGCTCTTTAAATGTGGATTTTGTTTGATGATGATATATATCAATTCTTCCATTTTGTATAAAATACATTTTAGAGCTCATTTCTCCTTCTTCAATAACAGTATCGCCAGGAGCATATGTCTCACTTTCCAATGCTCGTGTTAGCTGTGATATAAAATGTGCTTCATATTTTTCGAAGATTGGGCAAAGCTTAATGATGACTCCATGAATGTGTGCGTAAATTTCATCTCTTAAAGGCTCTGATAGTAATGATAAAATTTGTTTTTCGTCTAAATTACTTTTCTTTTTATTTTCTCATATATATTCAAGATATCTTCTATTCTAGATAATATAAGATATTTTTTAGATAATAAAAGTAATTTTAATTTTACTGTAAAAGTTATGTTTATTTATACAATGCATCATTAATTCATCTTCTGTAATAAGGCATAACTCTGAACTGTAAATAGGTTTTGCATGTCGAATTTTGCACAAAGGAAGAAAAAATGGCTAGTGTTGCTCTAACCCACATCCTTTGTGTATCGTGCTTTAACTCTTGCCACAGTTGATCTAAAGGGAAACCCCATTAGAGTAGATAAGAGTTGGAAATGGGATAGAGCGACACAGTCCTCCAAGCTGCTAATATTTCGATACTTTTGGATTTCCGAATGGTTTATGGGGATTAGAGGAAAGAGCCGCATTGTGAGGCTAGCATTCATGTGAGAGTAGCGACAAGGCGGTAAAAAAGGCACCTCAGCTTTCCTGTGTATTGAGATACTCTGAACTGTAAATCATGAGGCAAGTCTTTTTTTCTCATATATCGATTTACAGCCACGACTTGCTCTCTATATGCATTTTCTACAGCATTCTGTTTGCTTACTAATGATCCAATACTCCCAACAGTATATGCAAACACACCACATGCTACAATCATAGAAAACATAGCATAAATTTTTTCACTTACTGTTAATGGGACAATATCTCCATATCCTACAGTCGTCATTGTAGTGAACGCTCAATACAGTGATGTGACGTATTTTTCGAAATTTGATTTATTATCAATTTTTGCAGCCGTAATTCATGTTTGAGGGTGATTTGACATATCATAAGATCCTAACTCCCCCCTTCGTGAACGAAAAAAACCATTGGAATATCACTATTTTTGCCGACAAAAAATTTTTGCTATAAAATTTATTTAAAAAAAAAACTAACCCCATTGCTCGCTCAAGAGGAGGAAGTAAGAAAAATCACCAGCATGCAGTTCAATGTGCAATAAAGAAAACCACTGCTAAAAGTCTTAAAAATACAAATATTGTTGCTATTGTATTGCTTGCTATATAATCTTCTAATTTAATCAAAATTCTTTTCAATTTAGCAATCCTTACAAGCCTAAGAATCCTTAAAAATTTGAAAATTTTCACAAATCTCAATAGCCTGGATGCCTGGCTATAGCTATTCCATTTTAATAATTTAAAAAATTCACTATTAATAAGATATCTATCATCTAAAATAAAAACAGAACAATATTTATAATAAATAATTTCCTAATTACTATAAATTATATAGATCCGTTTGAGTCATCTTCTTCAAACACTCCATTTGTAAATCAGGTATACGGGATACTTGATGCAACGTCTGCAATAAGCCATCCCTTCAAGTAAAAAATCGCAATTTCTTTTCTATTCATAATAAGTGACCCTCTTGAATAAAACCCCGTATTAAAACTGATTAAAATATCCACCATAAAACTTATGGAAATCATAAATTCAAAATATCCTCACCATCCAAGAATTGGGACACTAAACCCAATTCTAAACGGGACTGAAATTGCGATATAAATAATTAAAATCATAGAAAAAATATCCCAAGTGACCCGGAAAAGTGATTCTGGGTGGAAAACGCCTTTTGTTAAGTATTTTTTTTCGTCTTCTTCTTCGACGATTGGAGTTTTTGGAATAAAGGCTTCTTTTTTAATAGTTTTTAGTTGGGACAGTGCTTTGCTGACTCTCGATGAAGGGTTATCGATTGGTCCTTGTGAGACAGTATCATTGATCGCTTTTCATGTTTTCTCTTGTTTTCTTTCCATATATATTTTATTGATTTTTAATTTTAGTGGCATTTTGAAGGTGTAGAGATAAGAGTTATTTATAGCTTATTTATTTTGAGTAAATTAATTAGAATAAACAGTGACTTGTCCAATAACTCTTTTGAGAGTTATAAATAGCCTTGTTAAAGATTTAAATCCTGGATTAGCTGGTCGACGACTGGATCATATATTTCATCGTGGATCTTCAAAGCTTCAGCTTGTTCAAGAATCGCGCTGATGCCTTCTATATTTTCATCATGTTTTACAGTAAGCTTATCAGGATTTGTGTCGACCCTTACTTCTTGGTTTTCTTGGTTTGTTGAAGCAGCAGGTGTTACTGTATTCGAAACTGGTGCTGTTATATTTTTTGATGCTTTTCCACAACCCATTATTTATTATAATATAAAAACATTTATAGCACTTCCCCTTGCTTTGCCTTATAATTATTTGATTTTCTATTTGCTAACTCCCCCCCCCCCTCCGTGAGTGAACAAAACCATTAGAAAAATCGCTATTTTTTGCCCCAAAAACCCACCCTCCGTGAGTGAACAAAAATTTTTTATGGAAAAAAAAAATGATATATAAATGATAATTAGTATAATGAAATCTAGAGCTAATTCTGTTTAATTTTAAACGAATTGCTTTTTAAAAACATAAAATTTATAAATTAAATTAATATTTGCTTTCCAATTTTTGCGAATTAGGATTTTTTTAAATTTCGAAAAAAAATATTTTTTATAAAATTTATATATAAATTTTTTTAAAAAAAAAAATTAACCCCCCTCCGTGAGTGAACAAAATTTTTTTGCACACTCACGGAGGGGGGGGGGAGTAAACAAATTTAATGACTATTGATATACCATTATAAAATTTTCTCTGAATTTTTTAATCGACTTAAATTATCCATTAATACTTTTCCCAATAACTGAGCCGATAACTGATGGTCCAATAAGAATTATCAACAGACATATAATCAAGCAACAAACTGCACAGCAAATTTTGCATCTAAATTCAGGCCCACAAGTTTGGCTTATGAGTGAAAATGGGTTTAAGCTCCACTGAAACCTTCCAGTCGGCGGTGGCAAGTATGGATCAATATTTGGCTTACCTCTTCCTTCTCCTACAGGGCACGAATCTGCATTATATTTCGGCACAATTTCAAAAGTAACTTTAATATCTCCTGCATTTTCATATTCTCCTGATTCAGTCCTTCTTTTGCATGGAATCCATACTTGATCTGATTCTTTTCGAGAGAAAATATGAAATCCTTTATCGTCAACTCCCATTTTCTTTACCCTCCCTTCCGTTTCAAAAGCAGATTTCGCAAGCTCAGTGAAGCTAAAACTTACATCTCCAATAAAATCACTAAATGATATAACGTCTCTATCCCAAATTTGAAGATTAGCTATACAATGGTCATTAGGCAAAAATAAAGGAAATTTAAGTCTTCAGTTAAATTGGCCTTTTCCATTTTGACAACGATAATGAGTGTCGGTTTCTTTTGGGTCACAATTATTGATTCATGCCCTTACAAAGAGGTCACTGGTTCCTTCAGTGTCGTAACTTTTGACACCTCGGGTTTCCCATATAATTAAACGAACCTCAAATTCAGCTGGAGGTCGTGGCAACAGTTCTCTTTTGGGAGGGGCTTCTGTTGAAGAATAAAGCTCGACCCAAAGCCTAATTGTGCCTTGGATTATTTTTGTGGACGGGTGATATAAATTGCGGGTCTCTATAGGCTTTTCTTTGAGGCTTTGCCATTTACTTGAAAAGTAACGGTCTTCGAGGTCAATTTCAGTTGTTCCGATTTTGTCGTCTTTTATTATGAGGTCTTTATCCCAGACTTGGATTTTCAATTTGGAAGGACCGGGGAGAACTGTTTTTAAGTCGAAACATGAGAAAAATTTAGGGTTGGGCTCGTCTTTTTGATAGTGGTCAGAGTCATCAATGACGTGCTTTCCTAGTTTTATTCTTAGGTAAGGATCAGAATTGCTCTTCAAATCTTTTTGAGCTAGATTGAATGCATCAATTACATAAACTCTTACTAATATATCTGTCTTCGTCAGCAGACTTCTTTGAATATTTTCAAACTCAGTATCAATAATATCTTCTTCTCCCTCATTTTCTTCCTCTTTTTCTTCATCTTCTTTAGTTGGAAATGCTCCACCAAAAATCCCAAACGCATCTCCCATCTCAATTTTCCCAGTTTTTTCTACTTGTTCCTTTAAATATTTTTTTCTAGAATTTTGTAAGTCCATTCTTGCTTCCCTTAGCTCATTTTTGTCTTTTTTCATTACTCTTATAAGACCTTTAAACTGCCCAACCGGTTTTCTCGGTAAATTTCTATCATCTATATTTTTATTTGAGTGAAGAATTGACAGCCAATTATCTTCAATCCCTTTATCTTGGCCTCTTTTTATATCAAATTTTTCAAAAGGAGAAGCATCAATATATTCCGATTTCTCCAAATCAGATTCCAAGATATATCGATAATGCATTGTCTTATCGCCTGGAACTTTATCATAGCCTAGCTGCATATATTTGCTGTCTGGTCTTGAAACTTCAGTTACTTTACCTTTTTTGTCTTTTGAGTATACAGGATCAATCACAAATGCGCCAGCTTTTGCTTCTTCTATACTAGGACGACTTGTTTTAGTTGTAATTGTAGAAGGCCTAAATGCAGATTCAGCATCTGATGCAGTATCAATAGGGATCTCCATGTCTAGGGATGAGTCCCCTCTAAGGATTTTTGGAGCAATATCGACTGGGCTCGGCTTTTTCAGCCTTCTTTTGCGTTTATGGAAAATTTCGCCAAGATTAATAGAAAAAGTGCCCAACTGTGGCTGAGATAAACCTTTAAATAAGAAATCATAGACTGTGCAGGTAAGTGATGGGGCGTATAATTTTTCTATAGGCATTTTGCAAGTAAACTTAATAATTGTGCTTATATTAGGGTTAGGACCGCTATCTCCTGGTGGCGTCTGAGCATTTCTAATAACTAAGTTTTCTCCTGGTACTTGTAAAGAGTTCATATCGAACTTAATAAAAGCTTTATTGACTGGAAGTCATCCTAATGCTGGCTGTAAATCTCTCAACCCTAAACAATTAATTTCTACTACTGCATCAATACATTTTGGGACAATAGAATATTCAGGGACTTTATCTTGCTCAGTATATAAATTAAACGAAATCAAAATTTTTCCACTATCAGATTTTCCAAGTGAAAGTGGAATCCATTTAGGAACCTTTGGCATTGAATGGCTTTTTGAAGCTTCACTAACTCCCCCTCCGTGAGCAAACAAACTCTATTTTTTTGGGTAAAAATACACACTCCGTGAGTGAACAAAAATTATTATAAAAAATATTTTGATGTTAAGTGATAATTATTATAATAAAATTCTAATTAATTCTGTTTAATTTGCATTTTGAAACATAAATTAAATTATTTTTTTTTTCTCAATTTTTATGAATTGGATTTTTTTTAAAATTTTTAAAAAAAATTTACTATAAAATTTATAAGAAAAAATAATTAGCCCCTCCATTTGCGAATAGAATTTTTTGTTAGCTCACAGAGAGGGGAGTAAGAGGAATGATACAAATTCCGATAAGATCGTCAGCTGAAAATTCGTCTTCATCAAAGACATAAATTAGGATTGGAGGGTTATCTTCAAGTGATGAAATTTCGAAATCGATTGGAATTGTTTCATATCACATAGGATTAAGAGTGTTTGGCTTTGTTTTGGATCGCTTTGTGACGCCACAGCAATAGATTTCGATATAAGGGTCTGAATTTCCATCAGAATCTGCAGCAGGTAAATTTTTACATTGGTAAAGATTCACAATTAGTTTTACCTTTTGCATTTTTTTAAGCCTAGGAGGCACATTTCATCTCCCTACAGACAAATTGTCATTATTTTCATCATAAGGCGTAATATACAGCCTAAGCATAATAAACCCGCCTTCCCAATCTTTATTAATTTTTCCTATTGCTTTATCAGGCAGCAGTGCAATCCACGTACCATTTGAATTTACATTATTCCAACCATATGGGCTAACCCTTGCATAGCATATTTTTTCATTATCAGCCACCAAATACACAAACACATCTGGCAGTGATCTCTCAGCTTGGAATGGAATTTTCATAATTTTCCTTTTCAAAGTTTCATATCAATTACATTTCCCATTAACCGCCAGCACAATTTTACTTTCCACCTCCTTTCCACACCAGCTTACAATAATAGAATACTTCGAATACGCCTTTGGTAGGGCAATTCCTGAAAAAATCTGTGATCTCATCTCATAATTGGTTTCTACCTCATACGTTTTGTGGACAAAATTATTAATCTCTGGATCAATAATGCGTTCTTTTTTTAATGATGCTTTTTTAGGGTGTTCTATTATCATTTTCATTAGAATCCTTCCTCTATAAGCTGATGCAAGCTCAGGATAATCATTCATTTTGTTGGCTGGACCATTATCAAGGTCTTTTGGAGCTCCATAAATGCAAGTCCAAAAATAATCGGAGTATTTTCCAGCCTCAATTTCCTCCCAGTCAAATGCAATAGTACCTACCATATCATCTTTCGATGTGTTGTCATAATCAAGAACTCTAATAATTAGTCTATTTGATACTGAAGGGATTGAAACTGGGACATATAAATCTTCATACCAGTAGGCTGCAAATTTATTTTTATCTGCAGTAAAGACTGAGGTATTTATTTTTGCACCTCCATAGTCAGCTTGGCAATATGCATCTATTGTATTATTCCAGTCATCCAGCTTAGGCAAACCCTCTGCTTTTATGACTCTTACTATTAACTGGCACCATTTATGCTGAATTTGTGGAGGCAGCAGGATTTCTGAGGTCTTTGCTTCTTCTTTTTCAGCGACAGTTAAATCGACATCTTCATCATCTTCAGCTTGAACGCAGATTCCTAGCTTTAAGTGTCCGCGGACTGTTTGAAAATCTTCTGATTCAGGGTTGCACAGTGCAATTCATTGGTGGACAAGGGCGTGGTTTGCTCTTGAATACACATACATGAGGTCCATTTCATAATTGCCAATTAAACTGTCAGATAAAAGAAACTTGTGATCGCGGATTTCTATGAGGATTTTTGATGTTTCGACTTCATTTGTCTCAAGTTTAGGAGCGTTGAAGAAGAAATGTTCACCCCAATAAATTGCGGCACCAGCTGAGATGTCATCTTTTGGCGTTGTATATTTTTTAGTACCAAATGCAGTGATTGTGATAACAGCATCTATAGTGTCGCCTTCTTTAGCTGGGACAAAGCCACGGCCTTCTTCTAGGAAGATATGGATTTGATATTCACCTCTTTTGACTTTTACTGGAACTCGGTCTTCAGATTTCTCGGGGACTTGCTTGTTGTCTTCTTCTTGAACCTTAGGCTCTTCTTCTTTTTCCTTACCCCTCCCCTCTGTGAGCGAACAAAAGAATTTTTGTTCGTAATGGTAGGGGGTTAATTTTTTTTTTTAAAAAAAAATTACATATAGCCCATTCCCGGCTATAGATCGGGCTATGCCCGATCTTAGCCGAGAAATTCGGGGGGTTGTCTTCGTCACTTTCAGGTGGCAAGTCAACTCCCCGAGTTGGCAAAATAGTCGCTATTAAGTGACGAAGACAACCCCTTAGTTTCCCGCAAAGATCGGGCATAGCCCGGAACGGGCTATATCAAAATTTAAAAAAATTCAAATTTATAAAAATGAAGCTTTTAAATTAGCTCGACATTAAATTATAATAATTGTCACATTTATATCAAAATATTTTTTCATAAAAAATGTTAATATTAAAAAAAATTTTGTGTTCAGTCTCGAGGATGGATTTTTTTGGGCAAAAAATAGGGATTTTTTCAATGGTTTTGTTCACTCACGGAGGGGCGGAGTTAGGTTTTTCCGCTTCTTTTTTACTTTCTTCTGGCTTTACTATGGTGGGTTTTTTCTCTTCAAATTTTTCTTTTATCTTTTGAGTGAAGGTTTTTTTGGGAGCTTTGTCGCCCATTTTCTTAACAATTTGTGGGAAATATAGGCTTAAATTAGATTTTAATAGATATAGAAACTATAAATTGTAAGCTAAAATGTTAATAGTTTTTAATTACAATTATCATTTCATTTAAATTGCTAAAGCATTTTTAAATCAAAAATCTCTTATTTTTTGACAATAGATGAAATATAAATACTTATAGTTCTGCAATGCCAATAAATGTCCTTGCTATGATTATATGATTAAGGTCTTTTTTCGTTTTATCTTTCACTAGCTAGCCATTATCTTAATTCTCATATCTATAATTAGAATAAAAATTATTGCTCTTTAGCTGAACTAAAAATATATTAAATTCCAATTTGCCTTATATCCTTCTTAATATGCAGCATAAATGGTTTACCGTTTTCAATTTAAGTTATATATCAAAAATTAATTCAGTCTATTTTATGTTTGGTGCCTTTTAAAATTTTTTATTAGTTAAATGGGGCTTTTTCAAATAAATAATTCCATTATAATTAGAGAAAATGAGTCTCTTTTGTGAATCCCAAGAAGAAAGAGAGCAACATTTACTCATTTGGATGGCAGATATAAAACAAGAACTTATAGATCATGCAATCGAAAAATCAACTTTTTATGGGTTTGATTTTGATAACGAAATTCCTCGCACTAATAAGGACCAAAGATATCAGTGGGAGGGGTTTTATTCTAATTCCTCGTCGAAGCTACGGGAATCGATACTTTCAGAGCCTGAATCAACAAGATCTACAATAGCTACACTGCAGAATAGCATTTTTGAAATTCAGGATATCGCTGATTTAGACTTTCGCATCTCTATAGACGCTGATCTTATGAAAGATACTTAAATTCATCATGCAAAATCACATAATTAACACAAAAATTTAAAATTTAGCTACTTTTATAAAAATTCCTATATATTCATTTCTGTTTCCGCCATTTTCAAGTTAGTTTTAAATTCCGCTGCAAAATTGCCATTAATTTCATGCAAAACTTCTAAATCTAGTCTTTTTCTATGATATTTTACAATGTTTGATATCTTTTATAGTAACTCAGCTATAAGATTCTGATAATCATGATTTATACTAAAATTCTTATTTCCCTTAGAAAATGAGTGCTTTCCTCGCAATCTCTTGACTTAATTAATTCACTGGGTCTTCTTCTAATCCTTTGCTCTGTGAATTAAATATGAAATGATTCTTACAAACAAAGAGAGAGAAAAGCTTCATAAAGCCATATACTCATATCTTCTCTCCCAGAACTTCACTACATCTGCCCAAGCTTTTATGCAAGATGCAAGCGTCACAGAAGACCCTAGCTCGTCTGATCTGTTAGAAAAGAAATGGTCATCTGTCGTTCGCCTTCAACAAAAAGTCATGTCATTGCAATCTGAGCTTGATCAGCTTAAAGAAGAAATGGTTTTTTATGGGCCTGGCAAGAAAATTTCAGACTCAAACTCAAATAAGCTTGTAGGACTTCCAAGAGTCCCAGAAAAACATACATTGACTGGCCATCGTGAACCTGTAACATGTGTCGCTTTCCACCCAGTCTATTCAGTCATTGCTTCTTCTTCAGAAGACGCATCAATTCGTATATGGGATTATGAATCAGGCTCACATGAAAGAAGCCTTAAAGGTCATACAGCAGCTGTAAATTGTGTAGCATTTGAACCAAATTCTGGAAATTTATTAGCATCTTGTGCAGCTGATTTAACTATACTTTCTCTATATAGCTGTTATTTATATAAAATTAAGGAATATTCCTTTTAAAAATCAGCAAATAAATTAATTTTTATAATAAAAAGAATATAAAAACTATGGTCTTTCGACTCTTTTGAATGCACAAAAACCCTTCATGGGCATGACCATAATGTAAGCTGTGTGCAATTTTTCCCTGCTGGCGATTTTTTATTATCATGCTCAAGGGATACTTCGGTCAAAATGTGGGAAGTTAGCACAGGATTTTGTGTGAAAACTTATCAAGGACATACAGACTGGGCGAGACAAGTTGCTATTAATACCTCAGGAAATTATTTTGCGTCTTGTTCTAATGATGAAACTATCTTGGTATGGGCCATAGATGCTCTGAATCCTATACAAACGCTTGCAGGACATAGCCATGTGGTAGAAAGCGTATGCTTTGCTAACCAAAACGCAACAGCTAGCCTATTGGATGCTGATTTTAGACATAAAACAGAAGAAGAAAAAATGAATTCCTCAAGGGCGCCTGAGTTTATTGTGTCTGGGTCTAGAGATAAAACAATCCGCATATGAGAAGCATGGACTGGGAATTGCTTAATAGTTCTTAGAGGACATGATAATTGGGTAAGAAAATTGGTATTTCACTTACATCCCTCGTGAGCAAACAAAATCATTAGAGCAATAACTATTTTAGGTAAAAACCCATCCTCCTTGAGTGAACAACGAATTTTTTTAATATAAATTTTTTATAAAAAAAAAAATTTATATATAAGTGATAATTATTATAAAGAAATCTCTAGCAAATTCTCGTTTAATTTTGAACAGCTTGCATTTTAAAACATAGATTTCGCAAATTAAATTCATTTCTACTTCTCAATTTTTACAAATTGGATGTTTTTAATTTTGAAAAAAAATATATATAAAAATTTAAAAAAAAAACTAACCCCCTCCGAGCGAACAAAATATTTTTGTTCGATCAGGAGGGAAGGGAGGAGTTAGGAGGAAGCTATTTATATTCGTGTAGTGATGATAAATCTATTAGAGTTTGGGACTTGAAAACTGGAGGATGCTCGAAAAAGCTGCTCGATGTGCATGGGCATTTTGTGTTGTGTTTAGCTGTGAACCCAAGGTATCCTTTACTGGCTTCTGGAAGTGTGGACAAGTCAATTAAGATTTGGGAATGTCTTTAGATAATAGCTAATAAATATTAAAGTATAAATGTTTTTTACAGACCCAAATAGAGATTATGCAACTGAGATGAAAAATTGGTGAAGAGGAATGCCAGCATATACGAAACTTGTAATTTATGTGTCTATTGGAACTTATATATTATCATGACTAAATTCAGCATTTATACCGCTATTTATCAATATCCCAATATTTACTATAGAAAATTTGCAAATTTGGAGAGTCTTTACATCTCCTTTTATAACATTGAATTTATTGACTCTCATTTTTGAGATGTGCTCTTATTTGCCAATAGCATATAGAACAGAATTAAGATTAGGCACAGCGAAATATGGAGCTTTCTTTATCATGAATTTTATAATACTTGAAGTTTTATACGCAGCATCACTATATGGGCTTTCTTTTATTCCATCATTAAGCTTGCTAGCTATAGTTCCAACAGCTGGACTGTTCCCACTTATCATGGCTGAAATTGTCATAAATTGCAATATTAACCCAGAAGCACCATCATCCTTTTTCTTATGTCCTATCCAGATAAAGGCTAAATATTTTCCATGGGTTTATTTAGTGGTTTTATCGTTAATCGTAGGAGTTATGTGAGATTTGCTTACTGCCCCCTCCATGAGCGAATAAAAAACATATTCTTTCTTCAAAATTTTATAGTAATTTTGTTTTCTCGAAATTTAAAAAATTCCGATACAAAATTATTTTCAAAGCATATATTTAATTTAATTTGTAAAATTTAGGTTGTAAAAATGGGAGCTGTTTAAAATTATACAGAATTAGTTAGAGATTTCATTATAATAATTATCGCTTACGCTCAAAATATTTTTCATAAAAAATTTTTTGTTCGTTCATATGGGTTACTCAAAAAATAGGGATTTTTCCAATGATTTTGTTCACTCACAAAGGAGGGTAGTTATAGGAATCTTGATCGGATATTTTCGTAAAAATTATGTAGACGTTTATAAATGGATGAATTTTACTTATATTTCAGACGAAAAAACAAAATTCATTGACAATTTGCGTTTAATTGTATCGATGAAGAATTATACAAATTATATATCGCTTTCTAATGCAGGAAATGATTCATTTTCTTTAGGTGGTCAAGGGTATTCTAAGGCTAATATCAATCAGCCAAATACTCAAACTAAAAGATCTCAACCTTTCGTGCCTTTTGAAGGTGCAGGATATAGACTTGGAGGAGATGAGTCAAATGGATCTGAACGCTTTAATAGAGTAATATTAATGCAGCACGCTGAAACTGAAAATTCAAAAGAAGACGATCCATTAATTTAATTATTATTTGTCTTAATATCATAAAGATAATCTTATGGATATTTTGAAATTTATTAATAATTAATTTATTTTTAAATCAATTATAGAGAACTGGCATAGTTATTTACTTTTAAATACATCATAATTTACATAAAATCATTATCTCTTGCAAACAAATCTAAAAACTCTGACCCGAGCGAGCTTAAAAACGTCAGTGATTCTCTAGGTTTCGGTTTTGAAGCGCTGCTTACAGCCCTTCCTGGTTTTTCTTTCAATTTATTTCCTTTTCTTTTTGATTTTTTTTCGATTTTAATTTCCGATTTTCTCTCCTCTAATTTATCCTCAGTTTCAAAATCCTTCGATTTCGCCCTTCTTCCAGGTGAAATTGGGGCTCATTTTTTAATTCTTTTATTAAGTATAATCGGTATTTCAACATTATTCTTTTTCAATGATGTTTCTGCTTTACTTGGGATTTTAATTGACAAATCGCTATCTTCTTTAATTGATTTCATTTTTTGCTTAGTCTCACATTTATTTTCCAATTTTTTTCAAGATTCTTTGAGAGATCCCTTACTTTTTTCAGTAAAAATTGTTTGGGTGTTAGCATAAGGCTCATTTTCTTCAGAATCTGAAGACAAGTGAAAATCGTACATATTTTGAATACTTATAAAATCTCCGTCAGGATGAGGTGGAAGCTCAAGGCCCGTTGCTTTAGGAGGGGTTTTATGCCTGGATGGAGGCCTGGGGTTGCTTATTGTATTTCTAGTCGGCCTAATTTCAGGTTGTTCTTTTGGATTGTGCATAAATCCATTGAGCCTCTATTTAAAATTTACAGTAAAAAACCTATCTTCAAGATCAAAAGCTTTATCATTTTGTCTGCTCGGAGGTCTTGATATTTCGATATCACTGTGGCTTCCTTCAGAATCATCTTCTAATTCTCCAAGCCTTAGCTTGCTTTGTCTTATGTCTTTTTCATATCTTCCAGTCCTTTCAGGTGACATGTGAGGCGATTTTTCGTTTTTTCTAGATTTTGTGCTTGTTTTAAATGGGTTCGGGTAAAGTTTTACGGGGTTTCTAATACTTTGAGGTCTTGTAGGAAAGGCAAAAAGTTTAGTCGTTGTATCGGTGGTTTGTTTAGATTTTCGGCTCAAATTGTAATCTTCTTGAGGGGGAGCGGTGCCTGCTCGCAACATTGAGTCTCTGACTAAATTTTACAGCTTAGTGCCAAATGGAAGTTGCCAAGGAGATATAGACGCAGGGGCTTGATTTGTGACGTTATGCATGAACCCTTCTTGTCTCCTCATAATTTTATTTATTTAAATCAAAAAGTTGAAATTTATGACAGTTTTATACTTTATGGTGCTGGTATCGATTCAATGATTTATTATAAAAGACTTATGCACCACTGGATTGGTAAATGGTAGATTTTGAGAATGCTGAGTCTCTTATTGATGCATATACTATGCTATATCAGATTAAATTGGATATATATTTTTTTGTGAAAAATATAATATACATATTTAATCCTAAATAAAATAAAATTCAAAGCTCTGTCTTAATTCTAGTATGATATGTAAAAGAAGCATGAGCAAATATAGATTATTTTTAAATTTATTAATCTTATAGAGAAATTGTACGTCATAGTAAAATGGGGAATTCTTCATCTTTTGAGATATCTCTAAAACAAATTGCATCTAAAGAAGAAGCAAGGATTTTAGTTACTGGGATGAACTGAGCAGGAAAGACAACTATTCTGTATAAGCTTAATATTGGTGAAGTTATAGTAACCTGCCCGACAATTGGATTAATCTTAGAAAGTGTTCGATTTCGAAACTTAACTTTTGCGATTTGAGACTTAGGATGCTCTTTAGGATTTAAAACCTTGTGGAAATATTTTCATACTAATATTAAAGGAATTATTTTTGTTATTGATTCAAATGATAGAGAAAGAATGGATAATTTAAAGTGGCTGCTCCAAGAAATGCTTTTCGAAGAAATGCTAAGCCAATTACCTATTTTATTCTTTGCTAATAAGCAAGATCTGCCTAATGCAATTAGTTTGAATGAGATTACAGAAAAATTAGAATTGTTTTTAATTCGAGGGAGAATTTGGCGCATTCAAGGATGCTCTGCAATAAGAGGAGATGGATTGTATGAAGGGATTGAATGAATTTCCCATGTGCTTAATTTTGGATCCTAATGAACGAAATCAAGCTATTGCTAAAGCTTCGATTTAAAAGTTTTATTATATTCTGGAACAATTAATTGCATAATTCAAGAATTTGCTGTAATCATAGACTTAAATTCTCTCACTTTTTGATAATAATTATGGAATCCTTAATTCTAAACATCTTAGAAGAAAACTCCAAATTAAAAAATTCTGAGCTCGACTATCATCTCTCACGGTTTGGCCCAATTAATGAATCAGAAAAAGTAGCAGTCCTGAACACTTTAATAGGATCTGGACAAATTTCTATCACAGATGAAGATGGAGAAGTAGCATATCACTACCAAAGTGAAGAGCAAGCCAAAAGTATCAAATCTTTACTTCCTGAAGAAAATCTTATATTACAAATTATCCGTGAAGCTGGAAATAAAGGAGTCTGAAACCAAGAAATAAAAGCTAAAACAGAAATTCCAATTGCTCAAATTAACAAAATTTTAAAAAACTTAGAAAAGCAAGGGCTGGTATATTCTGTTAAGTCCGTGCAGTTCAAAAACAGAACAATTTGACTTTTGAAAGGAGTTGAGCCTAATAAAGATGTAACCGGAGGGTTTTTGTTTAGCGAGCAAGAATTTGATAGGAATAAGCTGGGATTATTAATTTCATACACAAAAATGTTCTTGCAGGATAAACCTGGGAGTTTAAAAGAAATTTCAGCACATCTAAAACAAAGAGTAGACAAAGATCTGACTGAGCAAGATATTAAAGAAGTTGTAAATTCTTTATTGGCGTTGCATGAAATTGAGGATTCAGGGCTAGGCAAATACACAACAATTAAATGGGCTGTTCCAGAGCCTTTAGTGATACCATGTATCGGATGCCCTCTACAAAGGCAGTGCCACGAAGATGGGGTAATTAATCCTGCTGAATGTGAATATTTAAGTAATTGGCTAGACTATTAAACCATTATTTTAGATCATAATTATCATATTAAAAATCATGTCATCTCCTATGCAAGATAATGCTGGTTTATCAAATCTTTAATTTTCGCAATAACCTCTGCATTGTGTCTGCTTAAGTAATTGCTCAGTGAAATAGGCACCAATCCTTGAGAATTAATCTTAATTGTATACGAAACCAAAATTTTATTTTCTCCTACGCTTTTTATTGCAAATCCTCCTATATCAACATTTGCCCTAATAAGCCCATTCTCCACAGGTTTATCTGGTGCGTCTACACTTTTCCATGCAACATAAATTGATCCATCTTCTGTTTTGCTTACTCCTTGTAAAATAATTACTTCTCTATTTGACAAAAACCAAGGATAAGAAAGCTGCATATAAATAAGCTTCATGCTTTCGCCTCATGTTTTGAGTACTGACGATTTTAATAGGATCTCAAACCAGAGTTTTCGCCTTTCTTCGTTTAAAATTATATCAAGTGCTATTTCAGGCTTGGATTCAATTATTATATGGCTATTATATATGTAATATCCATCGTCGTCTAGACGTCTTTTAGAGAAAATATCGTCCTTTTCGTCATATATTTCCCAGCCGCCTACTTCGTTTAAGGTTTCGAGAAATGAAACAGCGCTTTCGTGAATGTCTTCAGGGCTTATAAGAGAATTTTCCATTTTATCAAAAGTATTAATAATTTGTATCGCCAATGATAAAAGTTGAATATTTTAATCAGCAGCTGAAAAAAGTATTATTTATGCAAAAATATTTCATAAAATTATCGCACTATGAATTACTTCAATGAACAAAATAGCATTAAGTAGGCGAAAATACAGATTTGTATAAGAAACCGATTATTTGAGAGCTTCATTTATCTAAAGAATCATAAAATCTAAAATAAGTACATTAAAAAATAATTAGTATAAATGATAAGGATTAGAGCTTTAACAAGATCTTTTTCAATTATAAAACATGAAGGCTCGCTTATAGATTTTTATTTGAATAGTGTCCCTGGCCCTGGCTTAACGCCAGCATTAGCAGAATACACAGAACTGCCAAGCACAGGTTTATTTTCAGGATTTTATGAAGCAATTCGTGACTTCTCGATAGTAATAATTACATAGGACTCGTTCATGTACATAAATAGCATGGGTTATGGAATAGGATTTGGAATTATCGCATTATCTGTAGGTTTTAGACTTTTATACAGCCCAATAATATTATGAGCACAAGTTATAGCTCTAAAAACAAAAATGCTTGCACCTGAGATGAGTATATATAATAGAGACACCGCTGCACTTATAAAGTCAGGCAACACAAAGCAGCTGCAAGAGCTGAAAAATGACTTTTTAAAGCTCAAAAGATCTTATGGAATTAGAAATGATGTCCAATTTTATTCATTGACACAAGCCCCGTTTTTATTTTCTTTCTTTTTTACGCTCAAAAATTTGACAAATTCACCAGAAAATTTCCCAAGTCTTCTTTCAGATGGATTTTTATGGTTTTCAAATTTAGCAATCCCAGATCGGATTCGCTTTGCAAAATTATCCAAAAACATCATGGAGCTGGTTTCGAGAAATTTCTAGAAGTCGTTTTAGAAAATAAAATATAAACTCTATTTTCAACAAAAATAGAAAAAGTTGAAAAATTTATTCGAATTTATTTATTTTCGTCAAAAAGCTAGTTTATATTTTTCGTTTTAGAGCGACTTCTAGAAATTTCTCAAAATCAGCTTATGATGTTTTGTATAATTTTTTGCGGAGCCCCAGATCCTTATTATATTCTTCCAATTTCTATTTCTATCTGCAATTATTTGAGTATTAAAAACAGCACCGCTATTCCTGGAATGTATGGCCCCTTGGCTAAAAATTTAAAATATTTTGCATTCCTAGGAATCCCAGTATCTATGACAATGCCATCTGCTATCGTTTTGAATTGGTTTATCATGAGCTTCTTCCAATTAATAATAAACTCATTAGTTTACACAAAGACTGGGAGGAAAATCATAAGGATTCCAGAAGTTTTGCCAGGAAGTCTGCAGGATAAGTTGAGTAAAAAACTAGCTGCTCAAAATTTAAAAACAATTGATTTCTCGAAAAAAAATAATTAAAATTTATATCATTTTGTATTGCTAATAACAATTTTAACAGCCAGTAGGCTTATTATTAAAAAGAATAAGATATAATAGTGATTAATGAATGGTAAAATTATAGTTAAATTATTTTTTAATAATCGTTATATTGACGATTAATTTAATTTAAATACTATGCAAGAGATAATCATAAAATGGCGACATTTCTAAAGTGCTGATCTGCTGGTCCGCAACACTCACTCTGCATTTATGATAATTAGAATTGGCTAAAATCTGAATCCTAGATAAGCTAAACTTGTAAGCAGCTTGAGTGAAATGACCTTACCTGCCAAACCTAGGAAATTTGAAAGGCATGCAGGTTTACCACTTCCATTCTCAGATAGCGAATAGTGCTTAGTCATCAAACTGCGTCAAGAAAGTCAGAAGTCGCTCACTTATTAGGTGTCAAAGTTGGCAACACAATTGAAGTGTGCTTTAACGAGGCACATTGCCAACAAAGTAGGTCGATCAGAACCCTGCAGACCTATATAGAAAATTCCTGGGGATAGCGCGGAATACGCTATCCCCAGGAATTTAGTATACGTTTAAAAATGACAGAAGTTCTAGGCTTGCAACCGTGCAACGGATATTAAATGAGAATCGTTTTTAATTCGATTTAAAAACTATGCAAGGAATTGCTACTGCATTTATTAAATATTTTAAAATTAAATATCTTTTATTTATCCAGCATTAACTATACAAGCAATATCAATAAAAATATATATTATTGCAGAAGAATTTTCGATATACTTCTTTTGTATTTTTTCGCTTGTCTATACGAATCTTCCCAACTCCCAAACGACAAAGTGCTTTTTCGATGGCTTATTCTGTCTGCAAGTCTCATATTTTCTTCAGTTATCCTTTGAGACTCTCTAATTCTCTTATTTATGTTTAAAGATTTCAACGTTGGAGTAAATGATCGTTTATTTTTGCTTGCTGTTGTAATTTTAACAAGCCTATTAAGCAGAGCGTTATTTTGTTGCTTGATTTTTTCGATGTATTCTTTTTGATAATGAGCCTTAGTTCTGTCCTTTGTTTTTTGTAAGTCAAGAAGAGATGTACTAGGGCTGGGAACAATTGGTGGCGAATTTTTGATTTTTTCGAGTCTGGATTGATGAATTAGCTGGTGACGTTTTCAGTTAAGCTTGGTATCGATATGGATATCAATATAATTACTTGAATCCATTGTATGTATAAATTAATTATTCAGCATATTTATCACCAGCTTAATGAATCTTAAAATAACTGATTCTTTAGAATTGAAATTGGGATTTATTTTTGTTTAAGGCTAATATATATGTGGATTTGATATTTCACAACAAATTGTTTATGTCATGAATTCATTAAATTTTTCAAGTGATTGATAAGAGAAAACTGTAAAAATCCATAAATTTGTGATTATTATTTTGATTATTTACTCCCCCCCCCCCCTCCGTGAGCGAACAAAACCATTAGAAAAATCGCCATTTTTTGACCAAAAACCCACCCTCCGTGAGTGAACAAAAATTTTTTTAATAGAAAAAATTTTTTAATGGAAAAAAAATTTTGATATATAAGTGATAATTAGTATAATGAAATCTAGAGCTAATTCTGTTTAATTTTAAACAAAATTGCGTTTTAAAACATAAATTTTGCAAATTAAATTAATATTTGCTTCCCAATTTTTGCAAATTAGGATTTTTTTAAATTTCGAAAAAAATATTTTTTATAAAATTTATATATAAATTTTTTTTAAAAAAAAAAAATTAACCCCCCTCCGTGAGCGAACAAAATTTTTTTGTTCGCTCACGGAGGGGAGGGGGGGAGTTAGTAGATACACTCAAAAATTTACTGGGGCTTTAGGAAAATTAAATTTAAATGTGGAACTGTAGCACGCCAATACCAAATGCCCATCCTCGAATAGGAACTCCAATGCCTTACTCTTCTCAATCTAAACAAAGCTCAGCATCTCATTCAAGCACCCCCTCATCCCTAAGCCCTCAATCTTTTTCTCTTCGCCCTGAATGTATCAACTACTTGGTCTGCAACTATTGTGCTGATCCTTTCAGTGATTATGTGTTCTCCTGCACAACTCATCATGAAGTAAAAATTTGTGGAAACTGTATGAGAAAGAAAAACACCTGCTTTTATTGTAAACGAGATATGGTGCGTAATCACCAAATTGAAGAAATCTTAGGGATGATCTCACTTTTATGTGAGCTATGTGGACAACAAGTCAGGATGTCTGATCTTTCTAGACACAAAAAGACCTGCGGAGTTAACAGAATTCATTATTGTTCATATGAAACTGGGGAAAATAGATGTGGATTCTATAGCGAATATGCTAACGCGATATTCACACATTATATGGAATGCCATCACGTAGCTGAAGTATCAGGCTCAAGTGACGTAATTGTGCTGCCTCATGCACAAATACAGTTTAATTTGAGAGATCTGGAAAAGCCATTGAAATCTCTATATTCTTTTTCATAATAAATAAATTTTTCTATATATATTGCTCTTAACCTATTTAATATATTTTTACTATACACAGTTTACCGTGCTTTACATCATTATATTATATTTATATTTTAAATATTCAAGGTACAAAACTACTACTCGAGTTCTTGTATAGAACAAGCACTCGGTCGTTTCTCTTCATTCTGAGATCAGAACAACAGTTAAGTGTGCAGCTGCAGCTTTTAGTTCCAAAAGTGTCAGTTTTTGGATTATCAAGCTGCCTGCAAGGTGATCAAGTTGAATACCGAGAAGGAAACACAATCCTCTTCACGTCAGGAACTCCTATGCATATTGATCAATCCGATATAATTCGAAGTATCTGTGCATTTGAGTTGGATGTCTTTGAAGTCTTTGAAAAATACTCTATGATTCATGGAGATTGCAGATTTGTACAATTCGGGATTAAGTTGCATCAATAAAGAAATTATACCTTTTGTATATAGATATAGATAAAGATTTGAATGCATGCATCTTTTGTTATATAGGAGAAGAGGAGGTAAATTATGGCAAATATGACGTAGAATTGCTCTAGTGAGAAAGTTTAAATGCTATTTATAGGTAATGAGTATAATTATAAATTGTTAATAAATATTGTATAATGGAGGAAATTAGGATAGCGAAATTCTATATATCTTGCAAATTTTTATTATGAAGATCGGTTTTCAGAGAATCTTCTAGCTATCAGGAAAGCAACGAGGAGAGTTGCGCACCTCCTGATATATCCTTGGTTAATTGGAAGGCTTAGGATTTGTCCACTAAGCATACCTTAGGAAATGATCCCTAGTAGAAAAGGCGCAGGATCTGAGTAATAAGCGCCGACAACGCGTCAGTGAGATGTGCAGAGGCTGCGTAGTCTTTTTGGAATGTCTGGCTTATGTTGCACCATATTAACACTCTATAATTTAGCTATAATTACTTTATATTATTATGATAACTATAAAAGCAATTTGGATGAATGTGCATCTTACATTCTGAACAAATAAAAGGAGTCCTTGATTTCTTTCCTTTTTGATAATAGCAGAAGATGCATTCTTTTGTATTTTCAATTTTTATTATCCAATGCATTCTTTTGTATTTTCAATTTTTATTATCCAATGAATTCCTGAAATTGCTTGATTTATTACAGTTTTATTTTCTCTTCTAGCTTTGCTTTTTTCGCACAAAGAAACTGCGATTTGAATGCGGTATTTATCATATGATAAAAATTTTTGATTCAATGAAATCATGCGATTTTTATATAGAATATATGAATTATTCAGTGCTATCTCAAGAAAATAAAAAAAACAGTTTTTCCATCATTTGATTGTTCTATGAGGGTATGAATAATAAGTCATATTTTGGTCGAACATATCAATACCTCTCATAAATTTCCTATAGCGTTCAATAATTTCTGGAATTGTAATGATATCACCTTTGCCTCTTTTCTTTGTGATTACAGCTGATGTTCCTGCATTAGTTGCACAAACAACCATCTTTTTGCCATGCCAACAAGATAAAAGTATCTGATCTGCTCTTATAAACAAATATTGCTTTGATTTATTCCTGCAATAATCTGTTTGAAGTCCTTCGGAAGATATTTTCGATTTTGTTTTATTGTGCCAGTGCATTCAATTCCAAATTCTTTCAATTTCAATAACAATGGTATTGAATTATATCAATTATCAATATAAAGATGAAAATTTTGATTTTCTAGTCCTTGCAAAAGCCTCAAGCAAACGTTTTCAGGAGAGAATTCAGAAGATTCGTTTTTTCCAGGGTAAATAATGAATCTATAAACATAGCCGTTGCTTGAATCTGCTAACTCCCCCCCATCCTTATCGAACGACTCGCCATCATTCGATCAAGGATGGGGGTTAAAAAAAAATTTTCGGGAAAAAAATTTATATATAAAATAAAAAAATATATTTTTTTATTACTTTTAAATAAGAGGGTTAAGAGTATTTAATTATTATTTTTAAAGCAAAAAATTGAATTAATTTCATAAAATACCAATTTTTAATATTTTAATTTATTAGTTACCCCTTTAAACTGTATAAATTTTAATTTGTTCCTTATTAAATTAATTTATTTTTTTTAAATTTTAAAAAATCTGTATTTTATTAGATTATTGAGTTTTTAAGCATATGTTAATGACTAAATCACTTCGAATGGTTGATTCCGCAGCTTTCTGTCGTCTCAAAGCCTCTGAAAACAACTTCATTATGCACATCTTCCCAAGCTTTTGATAAATAATATATTTTTATATATATATAAAAATTTGCATGATAAGAAAATCGTTCGATCAAGGATGGGGGTTAATTTCCCCAATTTTTAGGAATTTTTACAGTCAATCGTTCGATCAAGGATGGGGGGGGGAGTAAGACAAAATTTTTGAATCCTCATTTAGTTGGTTTCATTGGTAGATACTGCTTCATGGAATTTCTTCCTTTGAACGCAATCATAGATTCGTCAATTGCTATGCTTTGCCCTAGAAGATAATATTGTTGAGATTTTGCTTCGATTTGACTCATTAGTGGATTCAATTTTTCTAGTTTATCTTGTGAGTTTGATGAGTAGAAAGGATCAGAAAGATGAAAAATGCTTCCAATATTTATAAATCTTTTAAGTCCTAAGGCCTTTGATATAAGACTACTCTCTCATAATCCATGAGTATTCCAATGCATATGATAATTTGGTTTCCTATCAATTCCCATCGTAATTATCACCCCAATGTATGCTTCTAATTCAATCATATCTATTTCTTTGATTTTCTTTGAACTTATTATTTCAGGAGCTTTTGGTTCTTTCTCATCTTCTTTTGCTTCTTCAATGATCAGCTGTGAGAGCTTTTCATTCAATATATCAATTTCAGGGTTATTCAATTTTTTTTGTTTCTGCTTTTCTGATAGCTTCTTAGTGTAATATCTTCATGAATTAGTCAGTATTTCTCCCAAGACTTCATTATCAAAATAGATCTTGAAAAAGTCTATCGGCCTTCATGAAGAATCAAACTCACGTGAATTTCTTCCAGAACTTGAGTACAGTTGGTTGCTATTCATAGTAATTCCTTCTTCTTTAATTCAATGGAGAGCCGAAAGTTGATCTTCAATATCAATATTCATCATTAAATTTATTTATTACATAAAAGTTAAGTTGTGTACTAGTGTCAGCATATCTGCTGATTTGCCCTAGAGAATGTTAAATCATAGAACAGCCAGTAATGTTACTAGTTCCTGGCCACATCCCTCAATTTAAAGAGACACTAGAAATATAAGCACCTTATTAATCTTATGGCTTATTAATAAATATTGCGAGTGCAAAATGATGATCAACTCAAAGCATTTAAATGGGGATTTTTCTGTAATCAGCTATCCCTCTGCAGTGACTCCTGGAAAACTTGCCCAGCTCGAAAATCCAATGACTACTTTCGTAACTAAGACTAAAATAGATCCTGCCCCAATTCAATCATATTTAACTGGCACGCCTAAATCGAATAAGCCAATTTTCACTTTTCAACAAGTCGATAAGTCTCAAATAAAAACAAATAGGAAATCTAGCATCGAAAAAAAGCAAGCAATACTTCCTTCCTTCTTAACAGATATTTTAGGAGAAAGCCCTCAAACTACATTTTTCCCAAACCAAACAACGTATATTCTTGATTTTGTTGATTTAGTCTATCATTCTTATTAAATTGCCTTTTTTAATACAGGTGCATTATTTATTTTTTATAATTTAATCTAATGTAGTATAAAAAAATTTTTCGATAAGCCTCAATCCTCCACCAAAACAAAAGAGAATATAAACAATTCTCAGCCTAGCTTTACAGATAGATCAGTAACTATTGAAGGCAAAGGAATCCCTTCAATACACTTTAGGGACATTAAAAGCTCATTAGGCAGAAGAAACCTTAACAGAAGTTTAAATATGGATGATCATTTATTATACAAACCTTATATCATTGAAATTTCCCCAAAGTCAAAAATGACTTTGTATTCCACAATTCCTATAAAAGAAAGCATAAGCCTGAATTCTATATTTTATCCATAAGAATAGCATTAGGCCAATAATATGATCATAATAATATTTTATTGATAAAATTATCATACTAATGACTTATTCTCTAGCATTTAGAATAAAAATAAAAACCACAAGAGAAATCAAAGCACTCTTTCTAGAAATCAAAAACTTCCCCAATTAGAAAATCATATGAGCATCGACAAAAGCAGAAGATTCGAACCCAAGGACCAATTAATTGTTATTGAGCATCACTCAAAAACTTTTGCAGAAAAACTTCAACGTGTAAAAGATATCGCTGATACAACAGAGTATTACTGTCACTAATCTATTTTACATTAAATACCTAGGCTCTCTTCTTATTGGGCTTTCTTCTTCTTGGCTTTCTTTTTCATAAATTGCGAAGTTTGAGTATAGCCTGGACACCTTTATTACCTACCATTGGATTGAAATCATGCCTCTAGCACTCCAAAATGTTAAATATTTGCTTATTAATCGCTTGGAAATTTCTTCTTATTCATAGCCATGCACAAGCTATATTGAATCTCAATTTCTTCATCATTTGTTTCAGTCTGCACGTCCGAAGCAGCCCTCGAAATGCTCCTCGTTTTCCTCGGCACTGATTTACTTCTAGTAGAATTCAGTGAAGGACATTTATGAATTCTCAAAATATCAGAAGAATCTGTTTGCTCTTTTAATGATAAATGGTTAGAAAGCGTTCTTCTTGTAGAAGTTTTAAAAATCCGACGCGGAAAATCAGTTTCTTCTTTAATTTTTTTGTATTTTTCGGTGAATCTAAAAGATGTACTTTCTAAAGAAATAGGCTGATAATGAATATAAGCGATTTCTGGATTTTGGGGCTGGTCAAGCTTGAAATTTCTATAGGGAATTCTCTAGAATGGCCTGTAATGGCATGCCTTTGGTGACAGAAACTCTGCACTAGGTAGCTCAGGCTGATCAAAACAGTTTGAGAGAGGCTCATTTGTCAACTCTCCAGTTGGCATGACAACCTGAATTGGTCCAATCAATTGGAGAGTTTTAGTCTCCAAATGCTTGCCCTTGTCAGGCCATTCTAGGGAATTCTCTATAAGCTTTAAGGATGCTTGAGCTTTATGGAGAAATGAGCTATGTTTACGGTGATTTAAATTTCTTTCAGGAAATTTAGGAAATTCGATTAAATCAGGGCACTTGTGAAATGATAAGATTTCTTGAGATTTTTCATGTCTTTTGCAGCGTTTTATTATCTCTCGCAGCTTTTGCTTTTCTGATGCAGTTGAAGGGCGTCTTTTGGCTGATTCTATATGATCTTCGTTTTCTTTTGAACTGCTCAAATTGCGTAGTCTAGGCTTCGCAGCTTTTTCTTGAGAAGTACTGGATCTAGGATTATAAGCACCTAAAGGTGCAAGAAATCTTTGATTAGAGTTTGAGGTCAATGAATTCTCGAAATCAAATGATTTTAAGTGGATATTCATATTCATTTTTAACAGATTTTTCAATATAATTATTACTATTTCTCATAGTAGAAATAAAATTTAAATATTTTTAATAGAGTAATTAAGTTTTTGTAATGTTTAAATATGTTTTTGTTTGGATTTTCTTGGCGAAACCCCTTTTCCATAAATCAACCTATTAAGACGAGCAATATCATCTTTCATTACAGAGTTTGTATTATGAGTTTTTGCTATCTGAGACTCCATCATAGATACTTCATTGCTTAGTATTTGGCATTCCGTCTTTGCTTCATCTCTTGAATTTTTAAGCCTCGAAATATCTTGCATTTGTATTTTTATTGTATTTTCAGCACTCTCAATTTTATTTTCTAGCTCATTTATTATAAATTCAGACTCCTCTGCATTTTTTGCTATTTGTTTTCTGGTTTCTGCAATTTCAATTTCAAGGTTCATAATTTTTTCATCATATTCCTGGATTCTTATATGCATTTCTTTCATAGAAAAACCATGCCTTTCCATCGCGCTTCTTTTCTCATTTTCGTGCTTTTCTATAATCAAGCTTTTTTCTCTTACTAATTTTTGTGCTTCTAGTTGACTTCCTTCAATTTGGCTTCGTATATACCTGATTTCATCATTATCTCTTAAGGCTTTTACATTTAATTCGTCAGTTTCTTCGTTTAGTCTTTGCAACTGTAGGCTCATTTCTCTTTTTTGCTGCTCCCAAGCTTTTTGCTCTCTTTCAATTGTATACTCAATATCTCTTAATTTGGAGTTTTTGGTCCGAATTTGGTTCTCTAGATCTCTGTTTAGGTTTTCGATTTTTAGCTCATATTCGTGCTTGAGCCGAGCTTTTTCAAGTTCATGGTTTTCTTCATTTTGCTGGTCCTGCAGCTCGAGATCTTTTATATTAGATCTAAGGATATCAAGGCTACGTTGTTTTTGAATTTCTTGAATTGAGAGATTATCATTAGAAGTTCTTATTGCTCTGTCGTAACTGTTTTTAATTTCTTGCCGAGAAGCTTCAGGAGATGCTGGGTAAAATCGATATTCTAAAGAAGATCTTAAAGTTTCTTTTGGAGAGCTGTGAGATAGCTGGCTATTTGATGTCCTTGGGTTATAATCCTGGGGAGATCTTGGCTGGTTTAAATTGTCATAACGGCTGGAAAACTCATATCTAGAGCTGAACGGTTTGCCAAAGCTCATTTTAAAAATCAGTTATAAATAAAAATTAATATTGTCAGTCATAAAAGACTAATTAAAGCTCAAAATTCTGAAAAATTCGTATTTTGTATAAATTTTTTAAAAACCAGGAATTTTTCATATTTAATTCCTAAATACACAATTGCAATATAAAATGGAATTTTCTCCAAGCTAATATTTGTGGCCTTTGAACATAGATTAATATCGCTATAATAGGAGAAATTTGGCATATTTTAATCTTGATAATAAATTATTAAATGGAAAGTCCAGGTGTAAGCGATGAAGAAGAATTTTTTGACGCATTCGAAACAACTGAACAGATGAGATCAAGCTCATCAAGTGCTGAATCTCAATGATTCAAATTTTCAGATGTACTGAGTCATACAGGCTCAGAAGGCAATCAATCTGAAAATTCTCATAATCCTTTTTACGATTCCACTCCCCGTATTTCTCTTTCCGATTTTTCATCACCTCGTATATCTCTATCAGAATATTCAACATACAACTCAACGTCTCATAAAGAGCCAGATTTATTACCGAACCCATCAATTAGAAATATTATAAAAAAGCAGCATAAGGACTTCTTCGAGTTCGCAGAATCTGAAAAAATCCAAGTAATTGATATTGATGAGAACATTCACAATAAAATATGGATATTAAAATTTAGCCCAGATGGCAGATTTTTAGCAGTTGGAGGAGAAAATCCAGATATCAAGCTTTATGAAGTTTCAAAACAAAGACCGTATGGACCACAAAATTTATTTTGTGAAATCCCTTATAATGTAATGAAAGGGCATAATCGGATGGTTTTAGATATTTCATGGGCAAGAGGCTCGGGATTTTTTCTGTCAGCAGGAGAAGATTGGAATGTCTTTATTTGGGGTATTGGAGACTCCCGACCACTTTTACAATTTAAGCACCCTGAAGCTGTAACGTGTGCTTGTTTTCATCCAGTTAATGCAAATTATTTCCTGACGGGTTGTAACGACAAGACTATCAGGGTCTGAAATATCCCTAGCTATGCACTTATAAGCTCAACTAAAACTCCTGAGTTAATTACTGCAGGAGCTTTTACTCCAAATGGAGATTTAATCCTTATTGGATGCTTACATGGCCAAGTCCTTATGTATGAGCCTTGCATTGAAATGAATTTACTTACACAGATTAACTGCAAAAATAGCTGAGGCAGAAAAAAAGCTGGGCGAAAAGTAACCGGCTTTGATTTTCTGGATGATGAGCAAGTGTTGATAGCAACTAATGACTCAAGGATGAGGCTTTATAACTTAAAAGATTTCACACTTAAGCAAAAATACAAAGGTTTTGTCAATGAGAAATTTCCTTTAAAACCGAATTTTTCGCATATAGAGAATTCCCTAAAATCGCCTGATTAGGGTAGGTGTCTCTGCAGATGTTTTGACCAATTTTAGCTGGTCAATCAACTGGATAGTTACCTCTCCAATCACTTGCCCTTACTGAGCGATCCTACAGAAATCCCTATAATTTAATTCATGTTATATCAGGCTCAGAAAATGGAAATATTTATCTTTGGAACACTTATTGCACATGAGCCCCGAAAATTAATCCTATTTTCTCAAGAAAAAAGAACTTTAAAAACTACAGTTATGAATATTTTCCAGTATCCAAAAACAAGTCATTTTGCTCTGCAGCTTTTGCGCCTGATAAAATTGTTAAAGATGTTCAGAATCGAAATAAGAGAGCAAGAAGTGATAGCATAGTTACTCATATAATGGTAGTTGCGTGTGAAGGAAAGTTGCAAGTGTTTTACAATAAATTTAGGATTGCAGGAATGTAAATTAATTAATATTTTTATATAAAATGGAAACCGATTCTGAGGAAACCTATAATTTTATAGAAAATAGTTTTAGTAGGAAATTATTTGGTAGGAAAAACAAATACATTATCAAGATATATGCGGAACTCTTTGCCTAACTCTACTCATTCTCGTCCACTTAAGACTGGAGCAGCAAGGTAAGGAGGAGACAGAAGGCTGGAGTCGAAAAGCGGTAGAACCTTCAGTGCGGGTGGTCTTTGATGACTGGGCCACCAATATGGCTAGCACCTGAATTTAAATAGCCTAACCTAACTCTACTCATTCAACCATTGGAATTGAGTGTTTAACAAAACAGTTTGGCAAAAGGGTAAATGCACAATTTTATGATACTGCAGGACAATAAAAATATTTTGTTATTTACCTGCATATTTATGAAGAGCCTTGAAGCGCTTTAGTTTATGATTTTACGATTGCGTGATCTTTTAGGTATTGCAATATTAAAATCAAAGTTTCAGGTAGAGCCAGATGTCGTTATTATACTTTTAGGGAATAAAACGGGTTTAACTATTGAAAATCATGAATTAACAAAAGTAAGTGCTGAGCAAGCTAGAGAATGTACAAGAGCTGAATATTTATTGTTTGCTAAAGTATCTGCTGCTACTTCTACTATGCTGAATGGAGTTTCGATAAGTTTTTAAAAGAATTTATAGTAGCTTGAAGAAAAAAGAAAATAATATCCAAAACTTTAAGAGTTAAGATAAATAAAACATAAATCATCAATTTGATAGTATTATTTAATAATTTTTAATTCTTGAAAAGTATACAAAATAATTGAGATTAAATAGTATTTAAAGTAGAATTATTATGAAATCGTTTATGGTTGAGAATTTAAACTCTGGTAAGTATACTTTAAAAATTCTCAATACCAACCATTTTATCTTTCGCCTTCGGCAATTATTTATTTTGTTTCTTCATTTTATTTTTAATCTTGTATCACTCTTTCGACTTTACAATTACAATACCTGGTTTTTTAGATACAAAAATCAGTGGGCTCAGTAATTTTTTGTCACCGAAATGTATGTATATAATTACTAAGACTCTCGGCCTCTTTCCAGTTTAAGATGCTCAAGTTGAGACCCATCTTGCTTTCATCCAGCTAACAAATTATGCATATTTAAAGCAAAAAACTGAATAGAGTGTCGCTTATATAATGATGAGAAATTGCAAGTGCTTTGTAATAATTAATGATTGCTATGAAGTAAATTAATATATATTTATAAGTAAAATGGCAGATGATTGTTAGGAAGTTTTCAAATAGAAAGGGAAAGATATATCACAAATTCTTAGACATCAAAGTATGAATCATTGGTAAAATGAAGCCTTTTTCAATCGAGATATACCGGATAATTTATCCCTAATCTCAAGAAAAGCCATTTTCCTTTATTTAGTTTATTTTTTAATCTATATATCCCATTCTTTAAATTTTTAAATAATAGTTTATCTATCATGCAAAATCAAAAGTCTTATGATAAATCAATTTATCATCATTCTTTTAATTATCAAATTGAAGATTTTAATTATTTTAAAAACAAACATAAAGCAAATAGGCTTGGGAACCCTTGATAAGCTTTAAGGCTTCTTTAACTTATGCAATGATCAAATAAAAAAGCTCCACTTTTTAACATATAATTTTAGAATAAATTTTAAACTTTAAACAATGGAAAATAATTCGTTATTCATAATTAAACTTATAAAATGAATAGTGCTCCAGAAGAAGACTACGATTTCTTATATAAAATAGTTTTAGTAGGAGACACCAGCGTTGGCAAAACTAACATTGTTTCAAGATATATCAAAAATTCTTTACCTAAAAACCAAAATCCCACCATTGGAGTTGAATTTGCAACAAGGGTTGTAACTCTTCGCTCAGGAAGGACAGTAAAAGCACAGATATGGGATACTGCAGGACAGGAAAGATATCATGCCATTGTATCAGCTCACTATAGAAGAGCTATTGGAGCACTATTAGTCTATGATATCACAAATGCCAGATCTTTTGGAAATGCACAACGTTGGATTGAAGAATTGAAATCCAAAGCAGAGCCAGACATCGTGATTATGCTTGTAGGAAATAAAATCGACTTAGCGCTTGAAAATCCTGCAGTAAGGCAAGTTAATACAGAGCAAGCTAGAAAATTCGCACAAGCTGAAGGATTAATGTTCATCGAAACATCTGCAGTCACCTCTACAATGATAAAAGAAGCTTTTGAAACACTTTTAGAAGAAATTTATAATAACTCAGTTAAGAAAAGAAAAGGCTCAGCAGCAGATCAATATCAAAAAACAGAAGGGCAGCAATTGAATTTAAGAATGGATAATAAGCCTATAAACAAGCCTTGCTGCTAGGTAGGGTAGTTAATGATTAAAGATTTTACTCTTGGTTTAAATTTTCAAAAAATAAATTAAACTCTTTTTAGCTTTATAATTATTGGCCACAATTAAGATTTTCATTAGCTTATGTAAAAGAAATTTTTTAAAATAACTCAATGCATAAGTAGCTTAGTGGTGGCTATTTTTCCACAAAGTTATAGTAAAAATGGTTAACTTATTTTTACAAATTGATTTTAAATTAAGAATCACTTTCGTAAGTCTTTCCTGCGATGCTTTCAATTTTTTTCTTTAAAGTCTCAATCATTTTTTCTTGGTCCCTAAAATTTTTCTTCATCAAGGTAAGAATTGTTGTTTTGCTTTCGAGCTCTTTATTAAGCTCATCTATAGATTGTTCGGCTTCATCCGAAACTTCTGTTTGAATTTCGCAGTCTCTTCTTTCTGGAGCTGCTTGCAATTCTAGGTTTATTTTTTTCTCTTCATGAAAAACATTTTTTGCTGAATTTCCAAAAATTTTTTAAAAAAATTAAATCATAATATATAAAATATTTACCAGGTAAAATATCTTAAAGGCACACAATTCAATGCACCTTTTTTTATTATTTACTGTACTTTGGGTATCTTTTCTGATTCTTTGTTTTATATATTCCAAAATGACTTTTGTCTTCATATTTTCTTCTCCATCATCCAACGTTTTTTCGTATTCAGTCATCCATACCTGCATTATTACTCTAAACTGATGGTTGCTCAAAAGCTTCTCGATAAAATCGGCACAAGTAGCTTTAAAATCTCTGTCTTTATGTGAATTTTCAGCGTTGATTGATTTGATCCATTCCCAGAATTGGATGTCAGAAATTGTGACGGCCTTTGACTTGTGGATTCATACTAAAAATTCTCTTATGATTTTTCTGAATTGGAATGCTTTTTCCTTAGAATCAATGCCAGCCAAAGCTTCATTTTCGATGAGCCTTTTTGTTTTTCTATATAAACCATTACTGTGCTTGTTGTGAGAGTCTCATACCCTTAGCAAATGTATTCTTTAGATCTATTTTAAAGATTGTAGACATACTGTCTTTTATATCTTTGGCAGATGGAAAGTCGCTGTCATAGCCAGAACCTCGGTCCATATTTATCCTTCTCTATTAAAATTATAAATGTTCAGTTTTATCTCCAATATTACATTATGGAATTGAATAAAAGCTATTTAGATTATACGAAAAATATACAGTATTTTTTTGAGGATTTTCAAAAATATTTTTCCCTAACTCCCCCTTCCATGAGCGAGCAAAAAAGTTTGTTCGCTCACGGAGGGGATTAATTTTGTTTTTAGAGACATTTATATATAAATTTATAGTAAAATTTATTTTAAAACAAATCCTAAATCTCAAAAATCGGAAACCAAATATTTATGTAATTTGTAAAATTTATTCTTATAATGCCAGCTGTTTAAAATTAAACAGAATTAGCTGAGATTTTATTATACTAATTATCAATTATATATCAAAATTATTTTTTTCATAAAAAATTTTGTTTGCTCACAGAGGGAATGTTTTTAGGCAAAAATAGGGATTTTTCCAATGGTTTTGTGGATTAAGCATTATTTGTGATTATTTTAATTCATAATTATTCTCCAATTTAAATTTAGCCTTTCATATTTTTTGTGAAACTGATAGTCTGAAAATCAAAGATTTATGTCAGAAATTTATAAATTAATTATAATGCTCTTTATTTTTGAGTTATTCTTAATTTACAGCACTTTATATTTGCTGATGAAATATAAGGAGAATAAATAGCCAAATAAAGCAAAATTTGTTGAAAAATGTTAGTTTGATGCCTTTATTGAGAATCTCAGCCTTCTGGTGTCTCCCCTGGTCAAAAAAAGCCTGGAGATGGCTTTTAGACAAATAAAAAATATTTTAGGATTATTTTCGACTATCTCCAGCTTTTTATTATTTTCCAATAATTATCAGCCCTAAATTTTGGTTCGTAAGTGCTCTAGATTATTTCTGATGCAAATATACTTCACTTTGGAATATTAATTAGATTATTTCAGAACAGCCTGCCATATTTTAGTTGTATTATACCTAATTTCATCTTTATACGTCATATATATATATATGTATTTCAATATTTTATTTAATAAATATCAACCCAAAGGAGCTGTGTGTAAAAATATATTTGAAGAAAAGAATCCTTATATTCCTAGGTTTATGTCCTACTTTCCGCGACCTTTCTCCATATACTTCAAAGCTGTAGCTTGATGAATTCGCATTGCAGAATAAGTTGACAAGCATTAACATTAACATTAACTATATTATTAAGAGGCCCGTCGTAATAGCTAGGGTTTCCCCACTCTACCTTCACCCTTCACGCTTCATCCGGCTGCTCACTACCAATCAATCACGACCTTCAATGTGTTGCTCCTACTGGACGAGGATGTGCCCTCGCTACCCGTAGTTGGATGAGTTACGCCATCCAACAGTACGTCGACAGAGGTTACCCATTCCGAAAATTTGAAAAACAAATTTTCTGGTAGGACTGTCGGCCAAAATGGAAATCCAAAGCCTGGGAAGTAACGCCAAGTTTCACGCTAGGGAGTTGCCCGATTGATCAGGAGGTGCCTTCTGATGCTGCTGAGCTTCCCCTTTCCAACCTTGGAAACCATTTCCCCTGACTCCCTCCCCATCTTGATCGAACGATTGACTGTAAAAATTCCTAAAATTGGGGAAATTAACCCCCATCCTTGATCGAACGATTTTCATATCATGCAAATTCTTATATATATAAAAATATATTAGTTATCAAAAACTTGGAAAGATGTACCTAATGAAGTTGTTTTCAGAGCTTTGGGACGACAGAAAGCTGCGAAATCAACTATCCGAAGTGATTTAGCCATCAACCTAGGCTTGAAAACTCAATAATCTAAAAAATAGAGATTCTTTAAAATTAAAGAAAAAAATTTTAATTCAGTAAGGAACAAATTAAAATTTATACAGTTTAAAAGGGTAACTAACAAATCAAAATATTAAAAATTGATATTTTATGAAATTAATTCAATTTTTTGATGTAAAAATAATTATTAAATACTCTTAACCCTCTTATTTAAAAGTAAATAAAAAAAATATACACACATATTTTTTATTTTATATATAAATTTTTTTTAACCCCCATCCTTGATCGAACGATGGCGAATCGTTCGATCAAGGATGGGGGGGGAGTGAGGCAAAAACCCTGGTGTCAGAATGAGCTGCGGTCGACCAAACTCGACGCTCCACTGTGCCAAGGAAAAACCTAGCCGGATATACACCCGAGCGCTTTTTCCCCTTCCACAAGGTCCCCGGCTTCTAGCAGACTCCTGGCTACAGGTGTTGACAAAAAGGGCTGGCTCGCCGTCGCCATTTTAATGTATATATAAGTTGACAAGCAAATTCTTCAATTGATAAATTGATTTAATAATAAAAATTTAGCATTAGCTATTATACCAGCTGACAGTTAAAATTACACAGGCTGTACGTACAGAACCATCACTGAGAACAGATATATAAATTTCTATTTTATGATAATGAAAAATATTAAGTCATTTGCATAAAAGTCTAAACCATTTTAAAATTTAATCTATAAGAAATTTAATTCCAGTTCAAATCAATAAAATTTCTCTTTGTAGACTCTAATCCTACTCATTTTGATTCATGATAACTTAAACTCTGCGCAGCCAAATAAAATAATTTTTAATGATGAATAGCTAATATGTATTAAATTATTCCTCTTTCTGCTTCTTAACTACCCCATTTTTCTCGAAAAACTCCATTAGAGTCCCTTTTTGGTGCATATCTGTAAGAATATCACATCCTCCTACAAACTCTTGATTGATATACAACTGTGGCAGTGTTGGCCAATCTGAATATTTTTTGATTTCTTCGCGCACTTCTGGATCTTCTAAAACGTTCACAGCTTGGAAATCTTCAACTCGATAGTATTTTAAAGCTTGAACGACATATACTTCTTTTCTTGGAGTGGCGCTGCAAGCGCAGGCCACTCCATGCGGAATTCCTGTGTTGGTTTAACCAACATAGGAGTTGGTCGAACCAAAACTGTGCGTTGGTTCGACCAACCCATGAATTCCGCATGGAGTGGCCTGCGCTTGCAGCGCCACTCCAAGGAGGTTTCTATAGTTACTGAACCCGCATTGTGGGCTATCTGGAGTTCCTTTCATAAAAAGGACAACTTTGTTTGCCTTGATTATTCTATAAATAATTTATTTGATTTAATCAGTAATTTCAATTAAAATCATGAAAAATAATAAAAGCATGGCTACGGATAAATTTATTTTAATATTGTTTATCAATAAATTCATGTGCTGACTCTGCTGCTTTTAATTTGCTTTGCTCTGGGTCAGAGGCGTCATCAATGTTTGCAAAAGCTCGAAAAGATTGAAAAGGTCGAGCTTTAAAAAGCTTTAAAGCATAGCGAGCAAACATTATTAATTATAGCCTCAAATAAGATTTTTATTAGTGAATTACATTTTTCTAAAATCAGATCTAATTATTTAATGTACATTAATTTAAATAAATTAGAAAATTTATATATAAAAAATTTATTTTTTTATGTGTTATTGTATTATCATAAATGGAACGAGTCGCCAAAAGTAAAATTTACACAAAGACCGGAGATCGTGGCGCTACTAGTCTTTACACAGGCGAGCGGCTCAGTAAAACCAACCCAGTTTTTGACGCTTTAGGAAATACTGATGAGCTAAACTCAAGTTTGGGATTAGCAGCCGCTGCATGCTCGGAAGATTCTCAAATAATGAATATAATTTTTACAATCCAAAATAGATTAATGGATATCGGCGCTTGTATAGCAACTTTTCAATCATCTGAAGATACAGATAAGCTTTTAAAAACGAGATTTGATCCTTCCCATATCTCTGTTTTGGAGAACTGGATTGATATTTTAGATGCTGCTCTACCGAAATTAACAAATTTCATATTGCCATCAGGAGGGGAAGCAAGCTCAAGATTACACATGTCAAGGTCTATATGCAGAAGAGCAGAAAGAAGCTTAGTCCTCCTTAATTGGAACAAAATGTTGATAAAATTTCCATTTTTGGGAAATTAATATTTAAATTAGAACAAAGCTTTATAAAAATAATAATTTTTTTATAGTAGTTTTTTGATGGGCAATTTAATGTCGCCAAATCAAATTTAACTAAAAATTGTATTATTGTAAAAGAGAATTGGAGTTAAATGCTGCTTTAATAAAGTTATGACTTGGATAGATAAATCTTATTCATACAGTTTTTTTTTTATCCAATTTAAACGAAGGTAAGTTAGCTGCTTTGCTTGAAAGGCAGGAAATCGATGAAAATGTTTTTGTTTACATTAATAGGCTTAGTGATTTATTATTTGTTATGGCCAGGACCATGGCATATAGGCAAGGAAAGGGAGAAGTTATTTATCAAAAACAATAAAACAATATTTGTCTAAAACGTGTGATGCCATCTGCATTTTCTGGTAAAAATGGAAATTCCTGTTAAGTTCATTTTAGGATAATAAAAAAGACTAAAAGTTGCAAAATTATTTAATTATCACGACTTGTTCTTGAAGTCGAATTTACAGAAAAGAACGAAAGACCTAAAGTTCGGCTCAGCTCTAACTCTTCAATGACCTTGGTCTCTTGGAGTTCCTCAATTAGTGTTTTCTCCAGCATTTCGAGTTCTTCTAACTTTTTCTTTACATCACTTGTCACTTTTGCTTCTGACTCAATCCTTTGATGAAATTCATCTTCTTTCGCCTTCAGCATCAGCATTGAATTTGTATTTTTTCTATGGCTGTTTACTCTTTTTTGCTTAATTGCTGATTTTGCTCTTTCTTGAGCTTTTTCTTGTTCTTCCTCAATCATTTTCTTTTTAAACTCTTCATGCTCTTTGCGCTCTTCTTTTGTTATTAGATTATTTGTTCTGTTTTTCTTAATTAATCTTTCTCTAGCTGTTTGTACACCCAATTTTCGTTTTTCAGCGAAATCTTGGACATGCTTTTTTCTTTCTTCGAGTTCTCGATATTTTTCAAGCTTATAGTCCATTAATTTTTGTAGTTCTTCTTCTCTCTCATTTTTGAATTTTTGCTCGATTTCGTGTTTCTTTTTGCAAATTTCAATGTGTTGAATTGATTTTTCTTTTTGTTGTTTTAAGTGATTTATTCGGTTTTGCATAGTTTGCAGCTTGTTTTCAAAATCTTTTCTTGATTTGGTAGCTAATCACATTTCTCGGCCTTTGGTAATTTTTTCTCGTTTTGGACTTGCGTTATCTTTGACAAACGAAAGATCGCTTCCGGAGCTTCCTACTCTATGGATTATTTCAGGTATAAATATTCTTATTTATTTTATTGTAATAATCTATATAAGAAAGAAATTTTCAACCTGAGTTTTATCAAAAGTTTATCAAGTATAATAAATGATTTTAGGTTGTTATGTAAATTTGTATTATTTAACAAAAGCTCAATATATTATATAGAAATTTCCCATAGATGGCGCTGTTTGCCCTTGATTTGCCCACTGGGAAATTTTTTGGTTCGACCAGTCCCATATGGTTTGGTCAAACCAAAAAATTTTTCTCATGGGCAAATCAAGGGCAAACAGCGCTATCTATGGGAAATTTCTATATCGCTATTTGCTAATTTTTAAACATTGCGACCTACATGTGTAATTTTTTCCACGTGTGGAAAGATGATTCCACATGTGAAATCAAAAGGGCTTCACATGTGGAATCATCTCTCCACACGTGGAAAAAATTACACATGTAGGTCGCAATGTTTAAAAATCAGCAAATAACGATATAATAATTGTTAATTTTTTTAACGAGAAAGTTTATATGTTAGAACACTCAAAAAAAGCAATTTTTTGAAATCAATTGAAAATACCATTATGAAGGATCGTTATAAAAAAATTAAAAAAAATATCTTCAGGTGTGTTAGAGATTTCAAGATTGATCGTTTTGGCTGTGGAGTTTTAGCTTCATTGGCTTCTATTGACAGTTGACTGTTAGATAATGGTGGTGGACTATCCATATCGTTAAATTTATTACCTTAATATAATATCATAATTTATTGCTTTAGGCATCCGATTCATTTTAGTAAAAGACTTTAGTTAATCTATGTGAAATAACTTCTATCTATTCTCGAAGATAATAATGGCATAATTTATTAGAAATAAAGTTTGGCTATAAGAATTTCTTCGAATCTAAATTGTAAATTCCTAAAAGCTAAAAATTAATTAAAGCATTCAAGCTTATAGCCACCTCGAATTCTATTATTGAGAAAAATTTTCATATAAAGTTGATCTTATTTTCTTATTAAAACCTTAAGGCTATTAAGAAACGACTCTTTAAGATAGATTTCTAAAAACTAATGCTATTAAATAAATTTGTGAATCAGTAAATTATCCCTATAAATAGCTATTTGAGTAATTTTAATAAGAAGCTATGTTTGCAGATAATTATTTCAATAAAGATTATGCTTTGCACAGGAATTAAATCCTGAAAAATGATTTTAAAATTCGAAAATAAGTGAAAACAATGCAGAATTTCCTATTCTTTTATTTTAATACAGGAAAATAATCTTTATCGAAAAATAAGGAGATTTGTTTTGAATTGTAAACATCATAAGGCAAATCTCAAAGAGCTTTTACTAACTTCCTTTAAAAATCTTCTATCTTAATTACAAACATACTCTCTATCTACTATTATAAGAATAATATTTGAAATATTTTGCCAGATATTTAAATGTTTAGAATTAGAATTAAACTCTTTCAGGTCTCCTCTCTATTCGACTGCTTCGAAGAAACCGTCTGAAGGTGATGGCTAATTGGGTGGCTATCACTTCTGGTAACTCTGAGACCAAACAGAAGCCCCTTGTTTCTCGGGTGCTATTGCCCTTTTAAGTCGGTGATCTTAGAACCATTATTTTCATCTCAGTTTCTTTATGTGTCTAATTATCACCTGGCTTATTCACTTTTTTCTGAGCCCTTCGAATAATCGCATTGTCTTTATCCTTTGGATTATCATAGAAAATTAATCAATTACTCCCATAATTTGGATAATCATCGTAACAGCCTGAGGGCAAGCCATCCTGGCCTAATGCTTCAGACAGAAAAGAGTCATAATTATGCCTATTGACTAGGTCGCAAAACAGCAGCTTTGTGTTTAGACTCCAGAACCCTTGCCTTAGGGTGTCCAATTTTGCTAGCTAGATCAATGGATTCACAAACGTGCCCGAATATACATAGATAACCATCACTAAGAGGACGAGTCGGACCTCATACACCATTTTTTATACATATATATTTAAATTTTAAAAATATCCTTATTTGTAGCTTCTCATAGTGGTTAAATTTCTATAAGTCCTATATTTCAATTACTTTATCAATTATCTCCTAAATTGAATTAATCCTCCTATAAAGAGCATAAAATTCGCTAGAGTAAGAAATTAAATATCATAAATATTTAGGGGGGCTTAATAAACAATGTTTGAAGCAGTGCTATCTAATGGCGTCGTTTTGAAAAAAATAGTTGAATCCATCAAAGAGCTCGTAACCGAAGTCAACCTCGAAATCACATCTGATGGCCTCAGTATCCAAGCTATGGACAGTTCTCACATCGCTCTTATTGTCCTCATCCTCAAAGCCAGTGAATTCGAAGAATTTCAATGCGATCGGCCTCAAAACCTCGGCATATCTATTACATACCTCAACAAACTCTTAAAAATAGCTGGCAACGATGACTCAATTAAATTAAAATCAGAAAGCGACTCAGGTATCCTCACCCTCACCTTTCAAGGGCCTAATAACGAGAAAATCTGCGAATTTAATTTAAATTTATTGACCTTGGACGCAGAACATTTAGGTATTCCAGAGCAAGAATACAGCGCTGAGGTAAAAATGTCGAGCTTAGAGTTCACGAAGATTTGTAGAGAATTAACACAGGTGACTGACACCTTAAATATTTCTATTGATAAAGAAGCTATAAAATTTGCTGTGAGCGGAAATGTGGGCGCTGGATGCATAACAATGAGGGGGAATGTTTCAGATAAAGTTGAAGAAAATTTATTTATAAGGGTCAATGGAAATGTAAATATGGCTTTTTCGCTCAGGTATTTGAATTTATTTAATAAGGCAGCCATGCTTTCAGAGGAAGTTGTGCTATTTTTGTCGCCAGAAGTACCAATTGTGATACAGTTTGTGTTTGATTTGGGAGAATTGAAGTATTTTCTTGCACCAAAAGTGGCTGATGATAATTAAGGTAATTGATATTTATTAATTGGGTGTGAAGATATGATAATGTTGGATTGTATTTATTTGAAAAATAGGAGAAAAGCATGTCTCCGATTATAGCTCAGTTGGTAGAGCATGGGACTGTAGAAAAATAGTCATCCCAGGGTCCCCGGTTCGAATCCGGGTGATCGGATTTTTTTTACTTATAATTATCATTGCTATTTCATAAAGGATAAAAGCTCATAGTTTGCTTCTTATATTAAATAATTGCTCAGTCCATTTAATAATCATTTTATTAGGTGAATTAAAAATAATTATATATTAGCTCATCTAAGCAGCCACTTCATCTTCTGTCGTGGTTTCAGTTGTATCTTCAGAAGCTTCAGTTGTTTCTGTAGCATCAGACGTTGAATTTGTCGAAGCTGACTCGCTTTCATTTTGTTCTTGCTGCCACTCTTCAGTTGAGTCAATTGCTTCATTAAGTGTTTCGTCAATTTCAACGACTTGGTCATCAATATCATCAATTTGGTTACTTAAACTATTGTCCATGCTCTGAATATCACCTTGAATTGCCTGTTCGCTTTCATCAATTTCAGTAACAATTTCATCAGTACTTTGATCAATAGCTTCATCAGTAGAATCAATAATTGTTTGACTGTAAACACTTGCTAGGTATTCTTGATAAGCTCTAGAGTCATCGTTTTCTTCTTCTGCTAAGCTGTCTACTTCTTCGCCAAGTCCTTGCAGATTGTCTTCAACAACAGTGCCATCGCTTTCAATGCTAGTTCCTTCAGATGCGGTATTCTGAAGTTCTTCTTTTTGATTTTCTAATTCTTCAATTTGTAATTCAAGACTAGCTGCATATTCTTTTAAATCGTTTATATCTTCTTGCAGCTCTTCAGCTTCTTCACTATCAGTGCTGCTTTCACTATCCTGACTGTCCTCATTTTCCTCTGAACTATTTTCGCTATCAGAGCTACCATCTGGGCATTGCTCATAGTAATAAAACGACGAACTGCAGCTGCCGGAATCATCTGTACTTCCAGCCAAGCAATAACTTCCATTCTCACACCATCCACATAAACTATTAGTCAAACACTCAGTGCAGTCTCCATATCCTCCACATTCTCCATCTGAGCATTTTTTATAATCATATTCACTACAAGAATCACTATATGGGCCATCTTCGTCCCCTACCATACACTCTTGTGACGAGCTGCACCATATGCAATTAGAATTTTGTAAACAGTCTGTGCATGTATTTGAAGAATCGCATTCCCCTGTAAGGTCAGCGTATTCTTTTTCTAAGTCGTCTATTTCGTCATTAACTTTTTCAAGCTCATATTCAAGGTCAGAAATTTGGTTATCTAAAAGAGCAACGCCTACTTGAGAATTTATATTGATTGCGACGTCCAATTGATCATTTAGAGTTTGCATTGAAGAACTAAATTGTGATGATAAGTCTGCTAGGTTGCTGTTAACTGTTCCTACTCCTTCTGCTAAGGTTCCTGTAGATGTTGATATACTGGAATCAGATGAAGAATTTTCGCTTGAAGTTTCAGTTTCGCTTGAATTTTCAGACTCATTTGAAGTTTCAGTGTTTTCAGTAGATGAAGTGCTGGATTCTGAGATAGTTTCGTCAGAAGTTTCAGTACTCTCTGATGAGCTGTCTTCTGGCTCATCTTCATCACTTGCATCATCTTCTGCTGGTTCAGAACTATAATCTTCAAGGACATCAGAGTCGTAGTCTTCTTCACTTTCTGATTCATCACTATCTTGATAATCCATTTCATCATAATCAGTATAAGAATAATCATCTCCATCGCTTATGCCATCTATGCTAAATATATTCTCTATTAATTCAATTTCTTATTTTATCTTATTTATATTTACCTCATGGTATTATTTCATTAAAATGATCTATCAATTAACTCAATACAGATAAGAATAGAATTTTCTATTATATTTAAATTAGGTTTTTATTAATATAAAAAAGATATAATTCATCTGAATCTTCATCACTAGATCCTTCAGAAATATCTGAGCTATCTTCATCCAAATCTTCACTTACTTCTAAAAATGCTTGTTTTGTTGATTTTTCATATCCTGCAGTTAAATAAACATTGAGACAAAGCAAAAGCAGGCATATATATTTCATCTAATTATAACTATGAGATATGCGTTTTTTAAACCCAATCGGCCTAAATGCTTATAATTTAAAAGATTTATCACAAAAAACAATAAAGAACCATTTCAGATTCATTTTAAACAAAATGCTAAATATTATCGAAATTAACTTTGTTTTGGAACTGATTGATAAAAGCCTGACGTGTTTCGCTGAGATCTAAGTCAATAATAAGAATTCCTGGCTTTACCTTGATTGTTTCAGTCCACCTTCCAAATCGATGGTCAGGACTTACTCCAGCGACTAAATATTTCCCGTCTTTGGAAAAATCAAGGCTTGTTATATACCCAAATGCTTCTACACTTGCTTTAAGTTCTATTTCTCCTTCACTTACTTTATACAGCCTGATCCACCCATCTGAACTCCCAGATGCCAACAAGTCGCTTCTCTTCAAAACTGCAAGCGAAGTAATTCATTTCCCTCCATGCAAATCTTTGAAATATTTTTCAGGTTTTTTCCTTCCTGTTTTCCATAACCCAATACTTCCATCTTGGCTTCCTGTAACAAAATGGTCAGCATTAATGATTTTAGCGCAGTCAATGCTTTGTGTATGTCCATTATATACAAATTGCGACTCTTCCAAGGTTTTCCATAGTCTTACTGATAAGTCATAAGAGCATGTTATTGCTTTTTCGCCTGGGTATGTGTCAATATCAAATATAAAGCTTTGGTGGCCATATAAAGTGTCCATAAAAACCATATCGTCCAAGTTCCACACCTTGACACACCGATCTGAAGCTGCTGTAAACAAAATGTGTGAGTTTGGGCAAAATTTCATGGCATTGACTGTATCGCGATGCCCTTTGAAATTTTCAACAGACGTGTAGGTTTGGCCATCCCAAATTCTTACAATTCGGTCTTTTCCTGCACTTGCTATATATTTTGAGTCGTCTGATACAGCGACACACATGATTTCATCAAAGTGCCCACCGTATTTTCTGTCGTGTCTGAAGCCTTTTATAATGTGCTCTTTTTGCATGGTTTCAAGGTTCCATATGATTAGGCAGCAGTCTTTGGAGCCGGAGATGCATTTTTTGTTGTCTGGCATCAAAGCGATACAGGTGACTCCGAGTAAATGGCCTTTGGCAAAGCTAGCTTCGTAATGGTCATTCAGGTTATCAGCAATTTCGATAGTAAGTCGCCCTTTGGTGTCTAGAGCTGTTTGGTTTAAAATATTTTCGACTTCTTCTTTGTTGTTTCCTGAGGCTTCTTCTGCTTGCTTTATAAGCTCTTTGGAGAGACGGATTCTTTTTTCTTCTGGACTTTCTTCAGGCTCGAAGAATTCGTCCTGGTTTTCCAAATTATCATCTTCTGCCTCGTCACTTAGAATTTCTTCATCAGCAAGGTTGTGTTTTGGTTTCTTTGTGGGTAAAGGCTCTTTAAAGGAATTTGGCCTTTTTACCATTTAGAATGATTTTGGCTAACTATGGTAAAAATAGTAGAGAGGGTAAACTAATCTCATTGAGACTTTATGTATATAATGAAGCCAAATTAGATCTCCAATGAAATTTTATAAGAAGTCTTCTTAAGTTAGAAGACAATCATTGAATTTAGGATTAATTTTATTTTAGAGGATTTGAACCAGAAAATAGTGCTTCACTACAAAATTATAGCTCGAAAGTTTAGGCATTCGAAGCTTAATATATTAAATTAAGAATTATTCATGTTTTAAGATATGAAAATTATTTAAGTCAGAGATATAAATATATAGGATACTTTCCAAAATAAACAATCCCAATAATATGAATTTAAGTATTATGAATATTATAAATTGGGAAGCCGATTTATTCAAGTAAAATTTTAATAATAAAATGATTTTTGAGGTAGCCTTAGTTTTATGAAAAATTTATTCAAAAATGAAAGTGTTTCAAAATATAAATAAAAAGTAGATATTAATCTAAATTTGCATTCATAATATTACCGCAAAATTTTAAGCACTTCATTCTTCATTTTTATATAAAATTGAATTTTAAATATAGGATAATTTAATGTAAAATAAATTGATAAAAATGATTCTTTTTTCCTATTAAACTTGATTTAGTTATTGCATGGAAAATAATGAGTTCCTTTAGCTTTTATACAAGAGATATTTGCATTTATATGCATTCTTACCAGTTTTTATAAAATTTTTTGCGACATTTTTACTTTAACGGAAATTCATGGATAAATTGAATTTGAATTTAAAATGGATTTATAAAAATATGAGAGAAAGCGATCCACTATTAAAATCAGGAGAAAAGAAGCAGCCAGACATTGCTCCTCTATCAATGATGTTTCGTTATGCTACAAACACTGACTACGTTCTAATGGTAATAGGATTACTTGGAACCCTTTGTCACGCAGTTTTACCAGGATTTTTAGCTCTCCAAATCGGGCTTATTTTCAATACTATGGACCCAACATCAGATGTAGACACATTTTATGATGCAGAAGTGAGTATAGCTAAATTACTATTTGGACTTGGATTTACTGCTTTATTTATTGGTATGATTGCAGTTACCTGCTACATCAGAGTTGGTACAGATCAATCATTAAATTTCAGACTTAACTATTTCAAAGCTTTAGTCAACAAATCTCTATCATATTATGATAAGAAAAACGCAGTCCAAATGGCTGCATCTATTGATATGGAGTGCGCTGCAATTGAATCAGCGTCTGGAGAAAAAGTTATGATTCTTATTGATGCTATTTGTATGTTTATTAACTCATGGGTAATTGCATTTTTTGTTAGTACTCAGCTTGCTTTATTAGCATTGCTTCAGCTTCCTATACAGCTATATGCAGGAAAAATTATTGAAGGGTCTGGGATCAAAGCTATTGCGAGACTACAGGCTGCTTATAAAGAAGCTGGAGGGATTAGTGAAGAAGCGTTATATGAGGTAAAAACAGTTGCTGCTAATAACGCTCAAGAACGTGTGGCCAGACTTTACCAAGAGAAACTCAAGCCTACTTTGAAAATGCAAACAAAGGATGGGTTTATGTTTGGAGTGGGCTGGTCAGTATATTACGCCACTTTATTCATTTTCCAAGGAGTCTTATTCTGGGTTGGTGCCTACTTATGCAGTTTACCTTAAATTGCAGAATTTTATTAAAAACAATTTTTAGACCAAATTCAATATTGTTCTCCTTACTTGAATATGATCAAGACAACTGGATTACAGGTGAACCAATAAGCCCAGGATTTGTAGTCACTGTTTTCTTTGCTGTTGGTGTATCATCTCATCAACTTGGAAACGCCTTACCAGCTTTCCAATATATCACAAGAGCTAGAATAAGCATCGCCTCAATTGTTCCAATTATTGACGAACCTGTAGATGAAGGCGGCAATATGGATGCTACAGGAATTAAAGGAGGAATAGAATTCCAAGACGTCGATTTCGCGTATCCTACAAACCCTGCTGTTTTAGTCTTGAAAAAATTCAATCTTAAGATTAATCCAGGACAAAGTGTATAGAAATTTCCCATAGATGTCGCTGTTTGCCCTTGATTTGCCCACTGGGGAAATTTTTTGGTTCGACCAGTACCATATGGTTTGGTCAAACCAAAAAATTTTTCTCATGGGCAAATCAAAGGCAAACAGCGCCATCTATGGGAAATTTCTATAGCAATTGTAGGAGAAACCGGGGCTGGAAAAAGCACAATTATTAATCTAGTCCAACAGTTCTATAAGTCATGTGGAGGCAGAATTTTGATTGATAAAACTGATATTGCAAGCTATAATATTGCTAGTTTAAGGACACAGATGGGTCTTGTAAGCCAAGAACCTATTTTATTTAATGCTACCATCAAAGAAAACATCCTAGTCGGCAAGCCTTATGCAACTGATGCCCAAATTATTGAAGCTGCCAAAAATGCAGGCATTCATGAATTTATTTCAAGTCTTCCTCAACAGTACTATACTCTAGTAGGACCAAAAGGATCTCAGCTATCAGGTGGCCAGAAACAAAGAATTGCATTAGCAAGGGCTATTATCAGAGATCCAAAAGTCTTATTACTCGATGAAGCTACAAGTGCCTTAGATGTTAGGACTGAAGCTGCTATTCAAGAAACAATCAACAAAATTATGCCAGGGAGAACAACCATTATGGTAGCCCAAAGACTTTCAACTGTAAAAAAATGTGACGTAATTTGTGTCCTTAAAGAAGGTAAGGTACAAGAACTTGGAAGCCATGCAGAACTTATACAGAAAGACGGAATTTATGCGACACTTGTGAAAATGCAACAGTCTAGTGAAGAAAAACTTGGACTTGGAAAACTAGAAGCTGAAGAAGCTAAAAGTATCAGAGCTCCAGTAGGTCCTGCTGCACAAGCAGCTCAGCTTGCAAGTGCTAGTAGTTTAATGGCAAGAGTCTTCTCTATGATTATTGCTTATTGGCAATGGCTTTTGCTAGCCTTTTTCGCTGCTATTCTTGCTGGTGCAGTTTTCCCTGTTTTCGGGTTTATTTTTGCTACAAATACAATTTACCTTACACAAGATGAATCTGGGGATATGCCTGGAGATGTCTTACAAAACCTCCCATGGCTTGTACTTGAAGCCTTTTTAGTAGTCTTATCCTTAACACTTTTAACTGGCAGCTTGACAAGATCTACTGCTTTGTTTACCTATGATATGAGATTTAAAGGGTTAAGATCATTTTTGTATTATGATAACTCCTTTTTTGATAGCCCAGCAAATAACCCAGCTGTATTATCAACAAGACTGAGCGCAGACTGTGCAAGAATCAACGCAATTGGTGGGCCAGTCCTTGGAGTTCAAGTTTTAGCAATTGCAGCAATGGTCGTTGCTTTAGGAATAGCAAGCCAATATTCTATTTCACTTGCCTTTCTTGTTGCTATTTGTTTACCTTTAATATACATTGGACAAAGAAAAGGCAGAATGGCACAAATCCGTGGCTTTGCCATAGTAGGCCACGAAAAAGCTACAGCAGCTGCATCTGATGCTATGATGAACCTAAAAACTGTTCACGCTTATAACTACCAAAACACTTGTATTAAAAACTACTATCAAGGAGCTTTAAGTGTAGCTGAGGAAGCTAAAAAACAAGCAGTTACCTCAGGGTTTTACTTTGGATACATGATTTTGGTACTCTATTTCACATATGGAGTATCAAGTTGGTATGGCGCTTATCTAGTCAAAGAGGATGGGCTATCTTATGAAGCAATGACATTGGCATTTTTCACTGTAATGTTCGCAACTTGGGCGAATACCATGGTTGGTGCTTTGACTCCTGATATTGATGGAGGAATTGCAGCTGCTAGAAACTTGTTTAGGGTGATTGATTATAAACCAAATATTGATGCGAGCTCTGATAAAGGAGTAATTCATCCACTGACTGGGAGTGTTGAGTTTGATAATGTGAAATTTAAATATCCAGCTAGGGAGGTTCAAGTGCTGAAAGGACTTAGCTTTAAGCTTGATCCTGGTAGAAGTCTTGGGATATGTGGAACTACTGGATCTGGAAAATCTACAGTGACTCAGCTTTTGTTGAGGTTTTATGATATAACTGAAGGTATGCTCAGTTGATTTAATTATGTAGCCAATAAGTAGATTAAGCACTTAAAATTTATAATTGGCAAACCTTTTTATATTTCATATATAAACTACCTAAAAAGCCTAAAGAGTAGCCAAGCACTTAATCGTTAATAAAGGATATAGAATTTTATTGAACGGCATTGACATCAAAGCTTTCAACTTAACCCATCTCAGAGACGAAATCGGCTGGGTTGGCCAAGAGCCTACTCTTTTTTCAGGATCTTTAAGATACAACTTGAAATTCGGAAACCCAGGCGCAACTGATGCAGAAGTTCTTGATGCCTGCAGTCAGTCACAAGCTTATGAATTTATTTCAAAATATGAAGAAGGACTGGAAAGAGACGTTGGACTAAGAGGACAGAAACTTAGCGGCGGGCAAAAACAAAGGATAGGAATAGCTAGGGCTTTAATTAAAAAGCCAAAAATCCTAATTCTTGATGAAGCAACTAGCGCTCTTGATACTGCTACAGAGAGAAAAGTCCAAGAAGCTATAGAAGGAATGAATATTACAGTGATTTCTATTGCCCATAGACTCAGCACTATTAAGTATTGCGACCAAATTATTCTATTAGAGCTAGGAGATGTTGTAGAAAGAGGAACACACGATGAACTTATGCAGCTTCAAGGAGCTTATGCAAGGCTTGCGTCTGCATAATATTTAAATTTTAAATAATTACGTTTAAAAATAATCGCAGAAATAAATTAATGCTAGTCACTATAACAGAAATATTTTTTTCTAGAGAAGCCAAACCCTTGGTGTATTGCACGGTGACCCAAACTTTCTGATACCAGGGTGCATGTCCAGGTCCATGTCTGGCAGGAGCAAGACTTTGAAGGTAGTAAGAAGATTGTCGGCGAAGCAGACGAGCGGAGCATAATAAAAGGAATAAGGATCTTCAGATCCAACAGGGAGCTTTTCCATAATTTAACTAAGTGTAATTGCTAGTCACTCTAACAATTTGAATAATAGAAAGGGAGAAATAGGATTAAAAAGGTTTTTGTTAAGATATTACCATTCGTCACCTCCGAATAAGTCCATTGCACCTTCAATATCTTCAACTTCTTCCTTTTCTTTCTTATCTTCCTTCTTCTCAGCTGCTTCTTCCTTTGGAGCTTCAGAAGTGGTCACTGGGGCGCTGCTTACTGAGGATGCACCGGCGAAGGCTTGGAGCTTTGGAAGTCCAGCCTTGATGACATTGGTTAAGTCTCTTTCGGCGAGTAGATCACATAGAGATTCAGCTCGGCTTGTGTCGAAGTCTCCTCCAATGGCATTGATGATATTTGCTAAATCAGAAGCTTTTGGTTGTGTGTTTCCACTAAGCCAAGCCAATGCGTATGCGCATAAATACTTCATCCCTATTTTTATACCCACAGATTTACATTTTAGATAAAGAGGAAATACAAAAGAAATTATTATGAATCTGATAGACTTTATTGAAATATTAGAGATAGCTGAGTGAATCCTAATTTTTAACTTCAAAAAATTATTAAATTCTGCGTATTTGTATAAAACCTACTGTTTGTGCCAATTTATATCAATTTTTTATTTATCGTGCCTATAAAACACTCCATCCATTTTATTCATAAGCCACTCGACTGCATCTCCAACTTTTTCGACATAAGTATAAGGTGGATCTTTAGCTTGTTCCCCTACCTCTCCATCTTCATCATAAATATTTTTCCATCACCACTCAGTGTTTCTTTCCATATCTCTTCTTCTCTTATCCATTTCTACTTCAAACTCTTGTCGAAAGCAAAGTTTCATTTTCTGATATAGCTCTTTGCACATTGTAGGCTCATTGAATGGGTTCGCGACTGAGCATTTAGAAAAATCATTGGCAGTCTGGTGACATTTAAGTCTGGCTGCTCTCATTGCTTCGTCTCTTAATTCTTCTTCTCTGGACCTTCTATAATAATTCAGTCGGAAATTATACACATAGTGAGGAGGCCGAGTTTTTATTGTGTAGTGGTCATATTCTGGCTCGAAAGAGGAACAGTATTTTCTGAGGTAAAATTCTTTGCGCTCTTCGACTAGTTTTTTGAGGACTGCATTTTCGTCAGCTTGCTGCATTTATAAGAGCTTATGTTAAATATTAAATAAATACTGGTAGAGAGACTCAGCAGATATAATTTAAATGGATTATTTACCCAGACTGAGAAATTGACTCATGACCCCAAGACAGCTCAATTAGATTTTCCACTTTTGCAGTATGCTGAGAAAGCGGTTCGTGGCATTCCAAAGTGACCACATCCCACATTGTGTTAGACATGAGCTCTTCTACATCTGCAGCTTCTTCTTTATGTGTTTCTACTACAATTTTGAACGTTTCTCCATTATATCTTGAAATAGGTTTTTCATAAATATTCCTTAAGGCGTTTCCAAGCTCATTTTCTACATTTATTGGTGTTGACAGTTTATCAATTTCATTGAGCCCAAACAAGGAAGTCATCCAGTTAATTCTAATAAAAAACCTTTCAATGACCTGGTTTTCCATCATAACAAGAATTACAATTCCTTTTAAAATGCCCTATATAGGATTTTACTTTTTTGTGAATGTATTCGATTGATTCCATAAACCTTATAGATTGATTACCTGAGTGATGTAGTCTTTAAGGTATTTTTCACCTGCACATTTAATGTTGACGCCAAATAAAGCATGATTGGTGAAAGCTTGAGAAGGATAAAGACCTCTGATGTATAAAAAGGAGTGGATTGAAGCTTCGAGGAAAACTGCAGTTAAGGTTTGGACTTCTGTGATATTTTCTACCTTGAACAGTGTAGAGATATTCCATATTAGTAAAAAGATATAGAATGCTAAAAGAAAACATCGGAAAAACAATAAAAAGCCAAGCCTAGCATTAAGATTAGACCGTTTTATAATAAACTACTTATCAACGCTAAATACAGGGTTATCGCCTGTCCTTCTCTCTGCACATCCACAAAATTTCATTCCGCACGATAAGCATTTGGGTGCTCGATTTCTTGCCAAATATTCGTGCCCTTCTAATTGTTCTCCAGTATAATCAAACAATGGTTTTGGCTGAGTTTTCAGGTAAGCAGGAGTGACCCATTCTGGATTCTTTTTAGCTTCAGGGTCATAACTTATGACCTGTTCTCTGGAATCATCTTCAGGTCTTGGTTTTTCATTAATGGCTCTTATAATAGATTGTGTAAGTGTATAGATCCCTGACATTTTCCCTTGCCTATCAGGGCTAAACAGTGGCTCTTTTGGCTTATGAGAAGCAGCAGGGTCATCTCTTATCCTTTTTCTTTCTTTGTCTTTATTTAAAAATGCCAACTTAAATTGAGACAAACTATAAGGAGTGATGATCGGTTTTTCCAAAAACATGTCAGAACTCTCATAAGTTTTGGCTTTTCTTTTTATGGAATCAAGGACACCTCCATAACTCATATCAGGCTTATAAAGTACACGAATTTTACTATCAGAACACCCAAGGAAAATTTGATTAAAAGTAGGGTCCCATTTAACAGCAATTACAGCACTGTCATATTTAATTTGTCCGATCTGTTTATACTCGTCTTCTGTGCTAAAGAGTTTTAATGCACCTCTTGATTCTTTTTTGAGGGAAGATGTACCAGTGATGATAAATTTTTCGTCTGGGGATAAGTCCACTTGGATCTTGTAGTTTTGATTATAGAGATTGTCCCATGTATATATTGGAGTGTCGAATTTTCGGATATCCCATAGCTTCATGGTGTGGTCTTGGGCTCTAGATAAGAATTTTTTTGAGTCTTTAAAAAATTTTATGCAAGTGATTTCGCCTTCTGCTTTGTGGGCGCTAAAGTTGATGAGTTTTGGCTGGACTGAGTTGCCTTTATCAGTTTCCCATAGCTGTAAAGAGCCATCAGTGCAACCTCCAATACACAAGTTTCCATCAATGTTCCATGTGCAAGAATTTACACCGATTTTGGTGTATTTTTGAGACCGAGCTTTATGTAAGGTTTTGTGCCCTAATTGTCTATCTAATCCAACCAATCTTCCTGCGAGATCCCAAACTCTTACAGTTCCATCAAGCGAGCTTGATAAGAAATATTTTTCATTATGTGGATGCCACTGGGATTGAGTTACCATGCTTGTATGTCCATGAGTATTTGCCATGTCTGTCATGTACATATCTCCTCTAACACATTCATAATGAACTCTTCCTTCAGGACTAAATACTTTCGGCTGCACTCCTCCAGCACATATTAAGACATGCTTATCGTTCAAACTGTATTTTACATTCACAACAGGGTGGCTTTCAATTGGCTCAAAGCTCCTGAAGTACTCCAATGATTCAGTCATCGTTGTAAAATCCCAAAACTTCACCGAATAATCCAAAGACCCACTTGCAAATCTTGAATGGGCATGATTTATATCAAAATCACTTATTGCTCGACTATGCCCTTCAATTACAATTTCATGTGTCACTGGCAAGTTTTCAATGACTTTTGTATCATCTACGTCCATATAATCGCTTTCATTGGTTCCATCTGAATTCATTTCTTCTTCATTTGCTTCTGTTTTATCTTCTCTTTGAAACAAATTATGGATTTCTTTGTCTTCCACATAATTATTGCTTATTCCTTTCCCAAAATGTGTAGGAAGCCCAAGTTTCTGCAGTTCATCAGAAGATTCAATTTGAGTGTTTTCTAAGTAAACTTGGCTTTCTAATTTTTTCTGAAGCTCTTTTAACTGTTTTTTCTCTAGCTTTTTGCGATTAAACCGCTCGATTTTTTTTTCTGTTCGTTTTTCAAGCTTGTCTTTGTCAATGTTTTTGATGACTCGACCTTTTTTGTCTTTGCGATACAATGAGTGATCGGTATTCATCTGTCTTTGCTGGAGGTAAGTAAGCTCGGTTAAGGCTGCTTGATTATCATTATAGTAGGCGATGTCTTGTCCGTATTCTATTTGGCCTAGTCTTAATTTTACCTCATAAGGAGCTGCTCGTCTAAAATATTCTTCTTCAGACTCTTCAGAGGTATCTGAAGCATCTTGTGGTCTCCTAGCTTCATTAGGAGTCCATTTAGGCTGTCTCGGGTCAATGCTGCTCATCTTAAAAATTATAAGTTAATTAAAATTAAAATGCTTATAATTCTTTGGCTTATTTTTTCATAAATTTGTATCTAACAACTTATTAAAATATATTTTCTAACCACGAATTTAAAACATGTGCTATTTTTAAACTCAATATTCCTATAGAAATATTTACTTCCTGGACCATAAACATCTGTAAATAGCTCTTTATGATCTGGCCAAGGCTCCCCTTTTGCTTTATTTTTGATCTCTAGCACTTTTTTCTTAATATTTTTTTCCATCTTATCAAGCTCCTCTTCAGTTGCTTCATTTTTTTCTATAAGCCAATCTTTTTCTTTCTATATAGGACCTTTTGCTGCTCTTGCTGCTATGGTTTCGTCTCTTTTTCTATAAGAAACTCCTGGCTCAGATACTGAATGGTGATGATATCTATATGTTGCACATTTAATGTTGACACCAAATAAAGTATGGTTGGTGAAAGCTTGAGAGGTAAGACCTCTGGTGTATAAAAAGAGTGAATTGAAGCTTCGAGGAAAACTGCAGTTAAGGTTTGGACTTCTGTGATATTTTCTACCTTGAAGGTATGGAGATATTCCATATTAGTAAAAAGATATAGAATGTTAAAAGAAAACATCGGAAAAAAAATAAAAAGCCAAGCATTGCATTAAGATTAGACCGTTTTTATAATAAACTACTTATCAACGCTAAATACAGGGTTATCGCCTGTCCTTCTCTTTGCGCATCCACAAAACTTCTTTCCACACGATAAGCATTTGGGTGCTGGATTTCTCGCCAAGTAATCAAGCTCTTCTAACTGTTCTCCAGTATAATCAAACAATGGTTTTGGCTGAGTTTTCAGGTAAGCAGGAGTGACTCATTCTGGATTCTTTTTAGCTTCAGGATCATAGCTTATTACCTGTTCTCTGGAATCATCTTCAGGTCTTGGTTCTTCATTAATGCTTCTCAAAATATATTGTGTGACTGTATTGATCCCTGACATTTTCCCTTGCTTATCAGGGTTAAACAGTGGCTCTTTTGGCTTATGAGAAGCAGCAGGGTCATCTCTAATCCTTGTCCTTTCTTTGTCTTTATTTAAAAATGTCAACTTAAATTGAGACAAACTATAAGGAGTGATGATCGGTTTTTCCAAAAACATGTCAGAACTCTCATAAGTTTTGGCTTTTCTTTTTATGGAATCAAGGACACCTCCATAACTCATATCAGGCTTATAAAGTACACGAATTTTACTATCAGAACACCCAAGGAAAATTTGATTAAAAGTAGGGTCCCATTTAACAGCAATTATAGCACTGTCATATTTAATTTGTCCGATCTGTTTATACTCGTCTTCTGTACTGAAGAGTTTTAATGCACCTCTTGATTCTTTTTTGAGGGAAGATGTACCAGTGATGATAAATTTTTCGTCTGGGGATAAGTCCACTTGAATTTTGTAGTTTTGATTATAGAGATTGTCCCATGTATATATTGGAGTGTCGAATTTTCGGATATCCCATAGCTTCATGGTGTGGTCCTGAGATCTAGATAAGAATTTTTTGGAGTCTTTAAAAAATTTTATGCAAGTGATTTCGCCTTCGGCTTTGTGGGCGTTGAAGTTGGTAAGTTTTGGCTGGACTGAGTTGCCTTTATCAGTTTCCCATAGCTGTAAAGAGCCATCAGTGCAACCTCCAATACACAAGTTTCCATCAATGTTCCATGTGCAAGAATTTACACCGATTTTGGTGTATTTTTGAGACCGAGCTTTATGTAAGGTTTTGTGCCCTAATTGTCTATCTAATCCAACCAATCTTCCTGCGAGATCCCAAACTCTTACAGTCCCGTCAAGCGAGCTTGATAAGAAATATTTTTCAATATGTGGATGCCACTGACATTGAGTCACCATACTTGTATGTCCATGGGTATTTGCCATATCTGTCATGTACATATCTCCTCTAACACATTCATAATGAACTCTTCCTTCAGGACTAAATACTTTCGGCTGCACTCCTCCAGCACATATTAAGACATGCTTATCGTTCAAACTGTATTTTACATTCACAACAGGGTGGCTTTCAATTGGCTCAAAGCTCCTGAAGTACTCCAATGATTCAGTCATCGTTGTAAAATCCCAAAACTTCACCGAATAATCCAAAGACCCACTTGCAAATCTTGAATGGGCATGATTTATATCAAAATCACTTATTGCTCGACTATGCCCTTCAATTACAATTTCGTGTGTCACTGGCAAGTTTTCAATGACTTTTGTATCATCTACGTCCATATAATCGCTTTCATTGGTTCCATCCGAATTCATTTCTTCTTCATTTGCTTCTGTTTTATCTTCTCTTTGAAACAAATTATTGATTTCTTTATCTTCCACATAATTATTGCTTATTCCTTTCCCAAAATGTGTAGGAAGTCCAAGTTTCTGCAGTTCATCAGAAGATTCAATTTGAGTGTCTTCTAAGTAAACTTGGCTTTCTAATTTTTTCTGAAGCTCTTTTAGCTGTTTTTTCTCTAGCTTTTTGCGATTAAACCGCTCGATTTTTTTTTCTGTTCGTTTTTCAAGCTTGTCTTTGTCAATGTTTTTGATGACTCGACCTTTTTTGTCTTTGCGATACAATGAGTGATCGGTATTCATCTGTCTTTGCTGGAGGTAAGTAAGCTCGGTTAAGGCTGCTTGATTATCATTATAGTAGGCGATGTCTTGTCCGTATTCTATTTGGCCTAGTCTTAATTTTACTTCATAAGGAGCTGCTCGTCTAAAATATTCTTCTTCAGACTCTTCAGAGGTATCTGAAGCATCTTGTGGTCTCCTAGCTTCATTAGGAGTCCATTTAGGCTGTCTCGGGTCAATGCTGCTCATCTTAAAAATTATAAGTTAATTCAAATTAAAATGCTTATAATATTTTGGTTTATTTTGTCATAAATTTGTATCTAACAATTTATTAAAATATATTTTCTAACCACGAATTTAGAACATGGTGCTATTTTTAAATTCAATATTCCTATAAAAATATTTTCTTCCTGGACCATAAACATCTGTAAATAGCTCTTTATGATCTGGCCAAGGCTCCTCTTTTGCTTTATTTGCGATCTCTAGCACTTTTTTCCTTATATTTTTTTCCATCTTATCAAGCTCCTCTTCAGTTGCTTCATTTTTTTCTATAAGCCAATCTTTTACTTTCTGTATAGGGTCTTTTGCTGCTCTTGCTGCTGTGATTTCGTCTCTTTTTCTATAAGAAACTCCAGGATCAGACATTGAATGGCCATGATATCTATATGTTGCACATTCTATCCAAATTGGACCATTTTTTAAAGCATAATCTTTTGCAAAGTGAAAAGTTTCTCTGACAGCTAAAATATTTTGACCATCAATTTTAATACCAGGACTTGGGTGACCTTTTGTATAAAGCTCTAAATTTGCAGAGGCTTTTTCAATAGGAGTACCCATACCATACAAATTATTTTCACATACAAAAATGGCTGGCAATTTTCATAGCTCAGCCATGTTAGATGCTTCGTATAATTGACCTTGGGCAGAAGCTCCATCTCCAAATAATATTAAGGCGACATTTGGCTTCTTTTTGTATTTTAAAGCAAATGCAAGGCCTGCCCCAATTGCACATTGAGCTCCAACAATGCCATTTCCTCCATAAAAGCTGTGCTCTTTATGATAAAAATGCATTGAGCCTCCTTTTCCTTTGCTTGAGCCAGAAGCTTTTCCGAATAGCTCAGCAAAAATATGGTCTAGACTTATCCCGCGCATATAAGCATTTCCATGGTCTCTATATGCTGTGATTAGGCTATCTTCATAAGTAACTGCAGCTTCCATGCCAACTGCAATGGCTTCTTGTCCATCACTTAAATGGCAAAAGCCTCTTATTTTTTCATTTTTATATAGGTCATCAGCAAGGATTTCTAGCCTTCTAATTGTCATCATATCAGTCAAATATTTCATTAGTTCGTCTTTTGTGGATTCTGCTTCTGTAGGGACAAGTTTTGGGTCAATATTATGAGTTTTTATGTCAGGAAGAGAAAATTTATGAGCACCTATTAATCTTCTTGAAAATCTGGTCAGCATACTTTATAAATATGGATATTTCATGATACTTCACAGACAGATTTTTAGCCTTAAATAATTTCATTATAAAACATAATAAGAGTTTATAATTGTTTATTTTAATTTTTTTCCATTTTTTGTATTTTGTAAAATAAATTCTTTCATAAATTATTTTATTTTACAATATTGGTTTATTCGTGATTCAAATGAATATTTTTTTAAATATAATTGACAATATGGATATAGACACCTACACTATTACTATGAAAGCTGAAATCGAGATTCTTCGCAAATCTTTAGCTAAAAAAGCAGATATTAAAGACTTAGAAAAGTTTATTTCCACGCTTACACAAAAAGCAGACTACGAACCAACAATTGAGCTAATTGAAAAAATAAAATCAGAAACCAAAGAATTGGTTAATGAATGCTTAAGAGATTTAAAAGCTGAAAAAAGGAAAAAAAATGATGAGTTCGGGGAATTAAAGCGAAGCCTTGAAGATGAAATACATTATTTAAGAGAACAAATGATTAAAATCTCTGAAGAAAGAAAAAAAGATTCAGATGAGCCCAAAAAATTAATGAGAAGAGAAGCAGCTTCGATAAAAAGCGAGATTAAAAAAGATATAGACGCTATTGTTGATAAAGTTAACGAACTAGAAGCTCAAAAGATCGGAAAAAGTGACATTGCTACGTTAGAGCGGGCAATAACTAGCATCAAAGAATCAAAAGTGGATGTAGGGACGTATAACGAAGTTATTATGAGAGATAAAATTATAGGGGGTCCCAGGGGATTATTCCAGCCCCTACCCTTACACGGATTAGCTTCGCGCTTCAGTGGCGTTAAGCACTAATCCCAGCTAACGCCCTTTTCTGATGACGTCATCAAAAATTGTGACGTCGACATCTTTCGGGGAGACTCACCCGAACCTGCTTGGACCAAAAAACTTCAGCAAAGGACTCTCTTAACCCCTGGTAGTGCTCAGGTATGAGGGAGCCGTCCGTTGCCTCCTTCTGGAACTACCTCTGCCATTTTACAGGCAACATAATGCTCCTCCAGAAGTACCTGCTTGGTATTGCGCCGTCGGTCTTTCGTCTGTGGGTCGAGGAGAGGTCCAGTTAGCCCAAACCTGCTCCCACCCCGGAAACCACACCTCCATCCGACCCCGTGGCCCTTCGGGGCCGCCATTTTGTTAAGTGACCCCGAATTTCGGAACTTCCTGTTTTTCTGTCGGACTGCGGCCTTCGCCATCATGGAAGGCGTAATTTCTGAAGTTATTATGAAGAATAAAAAAGAAATCTTTATGTATATTGAAGATTTAGAAGATCAAATAAAAGACAATTTATTAAAGCTTGAATCTGATTTTGAAAGATCCCTCGACAACAAAGTAAGCCTATCTGAGCTTCACAAAGTCCTCGAGCCCAAAGTCGATTCCAGCATTTTCAATAAATTTCTCGCCCAAAAAGCAGAACAAGAAGAGATCGATAAAATCATGACAAACCTTGAGCATCTCCAAGTAGAAGTCCAGCGAAAATGCAATTCTTGTGACCTTGCTGCACACGTTTCAAGCACTAAATTAGCCCTTGAAGAGGTAGCAAGAGATATGCTCGTTAAATCAAACATTAAAGATATGTGCACGCTGCTAGATATGAAAGCAAATATTGACGATGTTAATAAAGTTTTAAGTGAAATTCATAAAGAACTTGACGTAAAGCTAAGGATTGACAACTTTTCTTCATATGTAGCGGAGCAACAAACAATAATTGAAGCGCTATGTGCTGAAAATTGTGTGTCGAGATGGATATGAAAATCAGGGAATTTAGATGAAAGCAGCTATGTCCCATGGGAAGTTCAAAGTGTTAATACAGCTCCAGACAATTTTATGTGGGAAAAGGACAGGGCTTATATAATTACAGTTGCCCCTGGGCTTTATGAAGTGATGCTGGGATTTTATTCAAGGAAAAAACCAACTATTCAAATATTGGTAAATGGTGAGCCTATTTTGACAGCTATAAATTCAGCTAGTTATGCGGTCCACCACAGCTCAGGAAAATTAAGGTCTGTCAGCAATCATTCCAACGGAAATATTGCAGGCCTTACTTTAATCGATTTTATAGCGCTTCCTGCTAGAGCTAGAATCTCAATTGTTTATAATGGAGAATTGCATGCCGAAGGATTTTTAGGATTAAGAAAATTATACGTTTTGATGTTGAATTGTCAATATCACTAGCAAGCCATTTTTATTAGCAATAGTTTTGGCCAAGTATATAAATTCAGCAAAATTAATAGTAATAGTATATAAAAAATGGATAATAAGCAGAAAATTCTATCTATGCTAAATCCCCATCCTTTATTGAATGATGCCTATCGTATGGCCATTAAAAGGGTCAAAAAAATTAAAAATTATACTGATTGCCCGATGATGGCACATTGAGCGCCATCATCGGGCAATTTCTATATATACTAATTGACCAAGAATAGCCCACTATGGAGCCATTCTTGGTCTGCCAGAAAAAATTTTGACAAAAAGATCCTAATCTGCCATTACCACTGAGTTTTGGTGTTTCCAAATTTTTTGGGCAAGCCAAATGCAATAAAAAAAATTGTTCTTTTGCGATGATGCATTTGGCTTGTCAAAAAAATTTGGAAACACCAAAACTCAGTGGTAATGGCAGATTAGGATCTTTTTCTGCCATTACCACTGAGTTTTGATGTTGCCAAATTTTTTTGACAAGCCAAATGCATCATCGCAAAAGAACAATTTTTTTTATTGCATTTGGCTTGCCCAAAAAATTTGGAAACACCAAAACTCAGTGGTAATGGCAGATTAGGATCTTTTGTCAAAATTTTTTCTGGCAGACCAAGAATGGCTCCTTAGTGGGCTATTCTTGGTCAATTAGTATATATTACTTTTAATAAATTGTAAAATTATTATACTCAATTTTTCAATTTTCATATGCGAGTGATAAGAGGTCAAATATACTATAAATCAAATTAAAAATTGTGAATAACCAATTATACTGTAATATATATAAATTCATTATTATCAATATTAAATATTTAGATTTGAGCTAGAGTGGGCTTCATTTTCGAAATATATAAATCGTTCGATCAAGGATGAGATTTATTTTCACAATTTTTACGATTTTTCAACAGTCTTTTCGATTGAGGATAAGGGAGTAAGAACAACTTTTAAACATGGACGATTTTACCCATCACAAAATCGACCATTCATTCTGCAAGGTGTCCATGAACATTATGAAAAATTCAAGACAATTACTGATGAAAATGAATTTAAGGAACATATGAGAATGGCAGAAATGCTGCTTGAACATTTTAGGGCTAGTCACGCTAAAGTAATTGAGCTAAGAACTGGAGTTAAACTTACATCTTTGAATTCTCCTGTAAGTGTGTCAAAACCTGGGCCTGAATTCACGTTTTTCTAAGAAAAGCTAAAAATGATAATTCTCATAAGTAACTACTTTTAAATTTATTTTTAGTTTACTGATTTCCTATATTCTAATTTTTTTTATTATGGATTTCGATCTATAACTCGCTGCAGATTTACTTCTATTTTTTGCATCCCTATTAAAATTTTACCTATATTGTAAATATGCAATAAATTGGCACCCTCAATTTTTATATGATATCAGCTATGGGCAAAGTTTATAAAAGTTAATTAATAATTTCCCATATTCTGGCAACCTTCACATTTACAAAGAGGTGTGCAAGGCCTAGAATCTTCATAGCACTCGCAATATTTTTTAATGCAATTTGATCTCTTACAATGGCAGGCTTTGTGACTAGTAGCTGCATCTTGTCTAAAAGCTGCAGGATTTCTTTCTAAGATCTGTCTTACTGATTCAGTCCTTATTTCTTCATAGCTAGAGAGGTTATGACAATTGTGACAATTGCAGCCTACACAATAACGTCCATTAGCAAAACATTCACAGTATAATTTTAAACAGTGGGTTTTCTGACAACCACAAGGAGTCGGTGCTTGAGGAGCCGCTTCAGGTTTTATCTAGATTATTGTTGAATTTATATGTGAAATATGGTGCTTGGCTTAATATAAATGAAAAATGCAAATACCGAGATTAATCGAAGGAGGTTACTTCTTCTTTTTCAATATCCATCGCTTCTGATTCTGCGCGAATGCTAAAGGCTCCTATTGGCGGTAGAGAAGTCAAACAAAATTGAGTAAATGGAGAGATCGGTGACAAGTCTCCTCGGTTTGCAGCATCTGTTCGTCTCATTTCCATTTTTTGGTGTTATTTTAAATATTTTCTGACGACAAGGAGAATACTAATGATTACTATTGATTTTTAATTTCTTTGGGTATTATTTGATCCTTACCTGTCTCAATCTCAATATTTTTTCTTACTTCCGCCCTCTGTGAGCGAACAAAATCATTGAAAAAATCCACCATTCGTGAGTGCACCAAAAATTATTTTATAAATAATTTTTATATATAAGCGATAATTATTATAATGAAATCTCTTGCTAATTCTGCTTAATTTTAAACAGCTTGCATTTTAAAACATAAATTTTACAAATTAATTAATATTTTTGCGAATTGGGATTTTTTTAAAAAAAATAATTAACCCTCTCAGCAAAATATTTGTGTTCGCTCATGGAGAGGGAGAGTTAAAATCATACAGTAATGAGGCATTGTGAGAATAAGATATTAAATAGCCACATGAATTTTAATATTTAAAAGTTAAATTTAGAACGGATTTTTTACTCTAACTGTTGTTTTAATATTTGTTATGTTTTATGCTTATTCTTTGCCATACTCATAGATATTGCTGATATAACACTTTTAGAGTTAAATTAAGAGGAATAAAGAATTAGTTATTATTTTAAATAACTAAATGACTTAATTAATAATTCTTAACTCCCTCTTTAAATTGAAATAATATAGGTAATTTTCCATTTTTGGGTATATTAGCCACTCTTAAATTGAAAAAAACATTATTATTAAGGTTAAAAATAATAATGCCTTAGATACCCAATTTAGTGGAATAAAAAATAAAATTTAACTATAACTTGCTATTTATTTGGGATTTGAGAGTAGAATACTATTCAAGTATAGCTCGTGCTTTAAGCCAATAAATTTCATAAATTAATTTTTATATTTATACAATTTATTAAAAATATAATTAACCCCATTTGAAACAGAAATTTTTGTTTTAATTAAAACGAGGGGATAAAATCTTTATATCTTTGAAGGAAAATTTTGAGATTATTAATTATCATAATATAATTAAACTTGATTTAATAGTGCTGACTGGGGTTTATAAACAGCCCAGTAATTTTATCAATAATTTTTTTAATCGTCGTATAAAGTTAATCGATTAAAAGAAAGACACTAATAGATTAATAAGCTTTGCATTTCTCATATAAAGAGTTAATGCTTTCTAATATTCCATATGCTAAGGAGAAGCCCTAAAAATCAAAATTTCGCGCTTCAATTAAGATAAAATTGGCACAATTGTGATTAAGATTATATGAATCTGCACCATAAGCATATAATCATATTCACTCAATCGGCATATCAAATTTCTATTTTAGCTAGCTTGGGGAGACATTAGAAATTGTGATAGAATTGCGAAGAATTTAATTATATGTAGTTTTATTGTGTGAAAGTCAGTATTTGGATATTGTCATCAATAGATCTGAAGTCGGAAATATTCATCATCCATAGTTTTATTTGTATAACAATATATTGAAGTGCCATATAAAACAATATGGAAAATATTTAATTCTTAGATTGCATAAAGAAATTCTTCCAAATTCTTATGCAAAGAATCTGAAAATTAATGTAGCTTAAATCTATTTATAACAAAATATTTCCCACAACATTAACTTATAAATCGTCATGCACACTCAAAAAATAATTTAACAATTTTTAATAATAACTTTATAATTTTAGCTTAGCAGCAATTTAAGTTGTCTTTTCTTTTCTTCTGGAATATATTGTGGAAATTCAATATCAAATCTCACAATCAAATTTCCTTTTTCAATTGATCTCTTATCTAATCCAAACTTTTTCAAATCGTTGGCATACTCATTGTCCTTAAATACAGGCATTCCTTCATTTTCAATCATTTTTCTGGTTGAAAGGCTCACAACTTCATCAAATGACAGAGTTAAAACTCTTCCATCTAAAGCAGTCTAAATCCCCTTTCGATGACAAGCAAAACTATTGGAAAACCCTATTTTTTTGGTAAAGCCCATATTCATGAGAAAGAATAAACAGTAATAATTTTATAATGAAATCTCAAATTAATCTTCTTAAATTTTAAACAGATATTAATTTTAATTTTCAATTTTTATAATTGGGATATTTTAGAATTCTGAAAAAAATTATTAAAAAAAAATTAACCTCCTTTATTAGCAAGCAAAATTATTTGATCGAGCTTGAAGGGAGTAAGTAATTTTTACAATTTGTATTGGATCTGACATCAAAGCATCAACGAGCTGGATTTTCGCTGTATATATTAGGTCATTTCCTTTCCTTTGGAATGCTTCATGTGGCAATTCGACTATTTTGAAAATTAATTGAGAGTTTGGGTAATGTGGAGATTCATTACCGTCCCCTGGAAAAGAAATAACAAATATTTATAAGAATTTATCAGTAATTTTTATTAGAAATAATAAGGAAACGCATTTCGCCACATTTAATTTAAAGAAGAATATTGTCTGATTGCTATACCCTCTTCTTATTTCTAAATTTTTTGTATTCAAGACTTTTGAGGTCGTAATTCTATCATTATTCAGCTCAATCTTTTCATATGTAACTCTTTTTTGGCATCCTAAGTACAGCTCAGCAAGTGTGCACGGCACTTCAACAATCAAATCTTGTGGAGGGTCTGCTTTAACTTGCTTCATCCCCCTTGTAGCTGCCCCAAATAAACTTCCAGCTATAGTCGCTTCATCTGATCCTCCATAGAATGGATTAGGAGATCCAAAGAATTTTTCAAAGATTTCTTCAGCATTACCTCTGTATCTATATCCGCCTGTATAGCCACCTTTTCCATCAATTACTCCTTCTTTTAAGCCATATTCTCCATACATATCATAGCAGCTTTTGAAGATATCATTGCTTAAGACTTCATATGCTTCAGCAAGCTCATTAAACATGTGAGTTGCTGTGTGTGGGTCATCTGGCTTTTTAGATGGATGCCAACGAAGTGCTAATTGTCGATAAGCTTGGCTGATTTCTTCATCTGTAGCTTCTCTGGTGATTCCTAGGGTTGAATAGTAGTTTTTTGCCATAACTGAAAATTTACTTTGATTAATAGAAACAGGAAATATAAACTTAATGAAAATTAATAAATATTTGTAATATAATTATGGTTTTATATCACAAATTATTTAGAATTTAACACTATTTTATAATAGAAAACCAATTTTTGTCATTAATAAATGATGCTCTTATGCTTTGGTATAATTCTTCTTATTCCTTGAATTTAAAGATAAATGGAAATATTGAAATGATTGCTATTTACTTAAGCATATGCGGATTTTTAACCTATATTATTATGCTTATTTACTTCGCATTTAAACAAAACAAGAAAAAGTCTATTGAAAAAGAATCCATGATCACCAAAACTTCAAAATCTTTTCAATTTTCAGGCAAAGTTGATACTCAGTCAGGTATCGACCAAAGCACAATTTTAGACATAAGTGCAATCGACAGCAAGCAGCCAAAGCCTAACTCCCCCCCCCCCCTCCGTGAGCGAACAAAAAAATTTTTGTTCACTCACGGAGGGGGGTTAATTTTTTTTTTTAAAAAAAAATTTATATATAAATTTTATAAAAAATATTTTTTTCGAAATTTAAAAAAATCCTAATTTGCAAAAATTGGGAAGCAAATATTAATTTAATTTGCAAAATTTATGTTTTAAAACGCAATTTGTTTAAAATTAAACAGAATTAGCTCTAGATTTCATTATACTAATTTATCACTTATATATCAAAATTTTTTTCCATTAAAATTTTTTCTATTAAAAAAAATTTTTGTTTACTCACGGAGGGTGGGTTTTTGGTCAAAAAATGGCGATTTTTCTAATGGTTTTGTTCGCTCACGGAGGGGGGGGGGAGTAAGCCAAAATTTAAAAAGCCAAACGAAGATCCAGAATCCCTAAATTCCACCACTATTAAACGGCCTAAATTTAAAAGAAATTTAACTATCCAAATACCTGCCAGTCCCCAATATAAAGACCTTAAAAAATTGCAAGACCAAGAAAAAGAGTTTATATTTGGCTACTTCAAAGAACAGTGCTATCCGCTTTCTTTTTATTACTCTCACAAAGAGACATTTAAAAGAACATCAATGATCACCATATGATGGACAGGAATTTTTACTGAATTTTTTTTGGTTTTACTTCTGTTTTATGAAGATCTAAAACCAGGAGATAGTGCTGGGAAATTTGTCCTATATCCAATAATCTCATGCATGGGAGTACTACCAGTTGGGTTTGCCCTTACACCTCTGTTTCGTGACAATGTATAAAATATTTAGGGCTCAATTATTTCAATTATTCTAAATTTATTAGGATATATTATCAGCTGAATCGCGATGATTGCAGTTTGTTTATCAAGCTTCATATTAGAGGTAGTTTATATTTAGCTTGACGATGAAATATCATTTGTTGTCGCATTTGGGATTTGTCTTTTTATTGAAATCGCAGTTATGGAACCTATTAAAACTATTGTTAAAGCTGCTGGGTATTTATGGTTTAAAGAACAAAATATTATGGCTAAATTTTGTATTGAAATTTAAATTTCTCCATGTTTTCAATAGATTAATTTATTCAAAAAATTTTAGGATGTGCTGAGGATTTATTAATTTAAAAATTATAATTAAATTATTATTGGCTATTTGTAATGTTTACCCTAAAAAACTTGCTTTGGGCTCTGCTTGGGGTTTCAGTCTTATTTTTCGTGGCAATTAATATTCTCTCAACAAATATCAAAGAGCCTGCTAAATTTATGGAGTTTTTGCCTGATGCTCCTTTAATTCCTCTTCAACATGACAGAATTATTGCAATTGGTGATCTTCATGGGGATTATCGTGCATTTTTAGACATTCTTGATTTTACAGATTGAAGAGATGGAGATACGCTGATACAGCTGGGAGATCTTCTTGACAAAGGAGATGAGGCTAAAAATCTGCTTGATTATTAGATTAAAAGAATTTCACATACTTTTTACTAGACAAATTATTTTATTTATGCAAAAATAGCCAGTAAATCATATATTACTAACTCCCCCCCCCCTCCGTGAGTGAACAAAACCATTAGAAAAATCGCTATTTTTTGCCCAAAACCCCGCCCTCCGTGAGTGAACAAAAATTTTTTTTAATACAAAAATTTTTTATGGAAAAAAAAATTGATATATAAATGATAATTAGTAATATGAAATCTAGAGCTAATTCTGTTTAATTTTAAACAAATTACTTTTTAAAACATAAATTTTATAAATTAAATTAATATTTGCTTTCCAATTTTTGCAAATTAGGATTTTTTTAAATTTCGAAAAAAATATTTTTTATAAAATTTATATATAATTTTTTTTTAAAAAAAAAAAATTAACCCCCTCCGTGAGTGAACAAAATTTTTTTGTTCACTCGCGGAGGGGGGGGAGTAAGTTAAATGCTTAGCCATTATTTCGTAAAAAATCATAATAGAAGAGTCAAACTTTTATTAGGAAACCACGAAGAACTAAATTTAGTTCAAAACTTTAAATATGCAACTGATAAAGACACCCAAGCTTTCGGTGGCTTATCTAAACGTAAAGAGCTTTTTATGGAAAGAGATCATTATGGGTCATTTCTTATCAATAGAAATTTAGCAGAAAAAATCGGGGATATTGTGTTTGTGCATGGAGGAATTTCTGAAGAAATTTTAACCAAATTTGGCTCTATAGAAGAAATTAATCGTGCATCAAGAGACAACCCTCCTGATAGAAATGTGTTGTGAAGCAAAGGTGGCCCTATGTGGTTTGGAAAGTATGCGAGAGAGCAGGAAAAATGAATTTGTGACGAGCTGAAATTTGTACTGAAAAAACTAGATGCGAAATTTATGGTGATGGGGCATTTTGAGTATAAAGAAATCACAATGAGATGCAGCGGCAAGGCAATTTTTATTGATACAGGGATTAGTAAAGCTGTTAATGGAATAAAATCAGCAATTGAAATATTGCAAGTTGATGGAAATACAATGAGTATAAAAGCTATATACGAAGATAGCGAAGAAATTATCCCCCTGTGTATAAATCTACTTCAATAATTTTTATATTTTTTATATAAAAACAAATTTTTCAGCTTCTTAACTCCTTGCAAATTCATTTTGATCGATATATATTTGAAAATAAACTAGATTAATTAATGCTTAAAAGTGTTTAAGTACCTCTTTTCACACTGACAATTAGTCACTACATAGTAGCATTTTAAACATATCACATAATTGCAAGTTAAACATTGCACATTCCCAAGACCCTCTCTAACGTGAATTATATTTCTACACACGGGACAATTTTGAATCCTAAATGGCCCGACTCCACAGCTGCAATCATACAGCCTCTTTTCGCAAGTTGAGCAATAATATATATGGCATGTATTGCAATAATTCAATTTAGACCATGGCACTGGTCTTGTCTGCATAAAACAGCTTGCACAAGTTTTATTATCTCTGATTTTTCCAGGATAATGACATTTGCACTGGTTTTTAAGTGCCATACACCCGCCACGTATAAAATGATCGCACCCAGGACACACTGCATCACTTCCAGCTACCTCGAATATTTCTGAACAAAATGGGTTAGGGCATTTTATTGTATATAAGCTTTTTTTCCTTCTCCTTTTAAATTGGCAAATTTTTTATGAATTGGCTCTGATTATCATATTTCTGCTTATGTAGATGAATTGCTATAATAGCCAATAAGCTATATGATATTTCCAAATTCACCTTTTTCAACTCTTTTTTTAAATGTATAGTCGTTATATTTTCTCATAAACTCTTCAGAGACAAAGTTTTGTATGTCAGCTGGCTGGATAATTTTCCCACATTCCCAAATCGGGCATGCAATTTCTAAAACTTCATCGTTTATCATGCTTGTTAAATAAGTATTTAAGCAGGCTTGATGAAAATAGTGTTTACATGAATTTAGCAAATTTGTGGTCTCGTATTGGACGATTCTAGAACAGCAGCCACAGTTGGGGCCGACAAGTGGCAAAACAGGAAAAGGCTGATGGGATTTTGGGTCTATTTGAATTGATAAGTATTCCCATTTGGAGAAGCTGCTATTAGTTCTGTAGAAGGAAGTTTAGGATTTGTGCTCTTTTTAAGAGGCAATGCATTAAGCATTTCATTTGCTTCTCCAATTTTTCCTTGATAAAGTTTTATTTCAATTTTATGCTGATTTTCTTCTGATATCACACCAATCTTGACTGAGTCATAAAGTTTATTAATAAAGGTGTAGATGACTTCTGGCGATAAAGATGTTTTAGTTCTTATGCATCCAGCTAAATAAACAGCTCTTGGCTGAAGGTTGGCTGAGATTTCTTTAATTCTATTCAACTCTGAGACAATTTTTTCTTCAGCTTCCATAGTTTTATTTATAATTTAAAATTCTATATAAATTAATCAGAAAAATATTATAAAAATTATTCATATTAGCATAAGACTCTCTTTCATATGATATTAATCATTTAATGACAAAATTAATGAAAAATAATGAGAAATCACCGCAAAAAAATTAAGTCATGAGATGCTTTCTTAGATTTAAAAGGAAAATTTAAACAGAAAATAAGCATTTTGCAGGAATCTCACTTATTTTCAATTGATCCAAAAGATAAACGAGAAGAGTAAACTTGATTTAGTGTATGAATAAATCTGATCAATCCTGAGACAGTTTCTAAGTCAAAAGACTTCTCTGATTCTATTGAAGGTTATAAAGAAATATCAGTTGAAATAAGAGAAAAAATAAATAATGGTGCTGAAAATGCATGGGTTGGAACTTTGTCTGGCTTAAAAACTCCTGAACGGGTCGAAAGTTTTAGAGAGATGATGAGGATGTTCTTATTGAAGAGACCTGATATATATTATGATTTTAAGATGAATCATATAGCAGCTTTTATTATTGCGGTAGTGAAAAATGAACGCCGCGCTTTTATATTATGCTTGCTTTAAGATCCAAATCCTTTTAGAATTGAAAACTGAATTTTATTCTTATATAAGATAGAAATAGGTAACCAATACAGAGATAATGGTTCCTTTATAACTTATATTTTCTCATATAATTGAGGATATTTTACCTGAAGTAAAATTTAATTAGGACTTCTGGAGCTTAGAAAACAGAAAGCTCGAAAAGCACACAGAATTGAGAATATTTGAAATGATGGCTGAAATACTTAGGCCTAGACTTTTAAACTCCTTAACAGCTAAATTCAAAGAATCTGAAAGTAGCCCATTTGATGAAGATAAAGCTGCGTTTTTATGTACCACTAAATGAATTGGGGAATTTTTGTTTTCGACACTTTTTACAACTCTGATACTGAAATCAACCTTAATGAGGATATGGGATAACATTTTTATATATGGGATCGAATTTATTGAAAAATTTGCTTTAACTCTTTTAAGTAAATATGAGGGAGTATTAATAAATCAAGTTAAAGCTGAGATAAAAAACATAGGAAATATCGTAACTCCTGATACTTTAATGATTGCTGGGGCTGCTTTAAAAAATGCTTTTATTTCAAGGACAATGACAATATCGGTTGAAAAATTAATCAAAAAGTCTATATTAAAGCCAAATTATCGAGCCTTAGAAAGGGTTTTATTTGTGAATAGAGCGAAAAATATTGAGAGAAATAATATTCAAAGGCTTACAAAGATCAGAACATGCAAATCACTTGTCCAGGGCAAAGATAACAGTTTTTCTATTGATAAATGCAAAGTTGTTCATTCAGCTCTATCGTTTTCAAGCAATTTCGTGAGCTTTCAAGAGTTTATCAATTTAATAAATCGATTGAATTGACCATTTCCTGTGATGTTGAATATTTTCAGCACTTTTGATCAGCAGAGGAACTTATAATTAAATATGGCGTCTCAACGCTTCGCAGTCGATTTCCTTCGAGCACATATATAATTATATCCGCCAAGATTTTGCAATCTCAGAAATGGACAGCAATTCTAGATAAGCAATTCTTGACGTAACAAAACCAAGCCAAAGTCCGCTTTCAAGTTTGGATTTCCTAAAGGCGAAGGATGGCACGGAAATTGAAAAGGGATCGCCCAGCAATGTTTGCAGGCAATGCCTAGACCAAATAGGGTACTTCACAAGCGTGAAACTAGGAGTTGCGCCCTGAGCTACATATTTTCGCTTTTTGCCGAGAGTCGACCAGAAATTCCATTTTTGAGATTTTTTGTGTGGACAGCACTGGCTACCTACCCAACAGCCTCAAGCAAGGCCGCACAAACCGAAGACTGCCCACTCAACACTAAAGCCGAAAGGAGGAGACACTGCCATCCCTGGTGGAATACACTGTCTCAAAACGATTGAATCTCCCATATCGGAGATCCTCGGTGATTGTGTAGAAGTTATGACAAGAGCCTGTCTGTTAATAAGTTTTAGTTAAATTAAGATCAGCAGGGTAACAGCTCTATTAATATAACAGCCTTAAAATGTGGCTTTGCAATCATATGTGAAGGCAGCCTAGAAGAAAAGCTTGAGCTTTGTTTTCAAGCACATAGCAATGACAGATCAGGTCTGCTGAGTGTTGAAGAAGCAATCGCCCTGCTTTGCATAATAGAAACTTGTATTGATGAAAGATCATGCTTACTTCTGATTGAAGCTAAAGAATATTCCTCTTCATTTATCACAAATTCTTACGGAAAAATTGATTTAGAAGAATTTATACGATTTGTGACACAAAACAAATTTTGTAAAAATCTTATAACCTCCATTGAGGCAATCTCCTCAAATGATATCAAAATAGAAAATAAACAGCCTGCACACATTTATCAGATCCCATCCCCAATTGAAAATTCAATCGAATACTCCTATTCAGATATATCACAAGATATCAGTTTTTCCAAAAGTTTAGATCTTTCAGGCACTTCTATTGATGTAAACGATTATTTATCAAAAAGCTTAGAAATCAAGAATGATTTAATGAAAATTGCTCATAATATGGAAAGCGTTGAAGTTGAAGATTCAAATGCTAGTCAAATTGATATAAAAGTAATGTCTGATCATAAGCAAGTAAACCTATTTGATGTAACTAGATCTCCAGGACGTCCTTCTCCGTCTCATTTCAATAAAAAACGATCTCATGAAATAGATGAAGACTATAATATAATAGTATCCCCTACTCACCCACAAGAGAAAATCAATACAAATCCTGAGCCTCGCAGAATGAGCAGCTCAATTGAAATCCCTTCATTTGAAGACAAAAAAGAAGAAAAATTAAAAAGAGGGACCTGCAATCGTCTTTGTACTCAAAGTATCTGCATAACTTTTTAAATGCATAAATAATAATTTAATTTATTGCTTATTTTTCTTTAATTTCTTTATTTTTGCTTTTAGCTTTTTTATAATAGCACTTTTCTCACTCCCACCCTTTTAAATTTGAACAATTTTTTTTTTTCCAATAACTCCCCTATTCTTTATCGAACGATTCTATTGAAAAATTCCTAAAAATTGTTAAAATAGCCCTATCATCATGATCGAACGATAGCATAGATCAGTACTTTAGTCAATATTTATTATTTTATTATTATTAATTACGGTTATCGCTCACTTATTGAGCCAATTCATTTTCTAAGCTTATCCTAATCTTCACAATTTCTCCAATATAAGTCCTTATCCTTTCATTCAGCGACTCTATAATTCCCCAGCATTTTCCTTTCATGACTTGCTCCAATTTCCAACTGCATAGCACAATTTCAGTCAAACTCAACAAATAAAAATTCTCTTTTTAAAATATCCTTCAAAAATACTATTAATTCCTCTCTACAATCTCAATATTTATTATAATTATGAAAATTAATAGTTTGCATTGACAAATTAAGAGTAATTTATGTTTTTTCTAATAATTTGCACGGAAATAATATAAGAAGTGCTTTAGCCGTCAGCCTGGCTTTAAAAGCTTAATAAGCTAAAAAGTTTAGAATCATTATAAATTATCAATAAGGAACAGAAATATTTTATAGAGTGGAAAGGGGCATCTAAAATTTTTATATAATTATTCATTTTATAATTTTTTCCAATCATTTTAAACCTCCATCCGGCGGGTCGTTCAATCAAGGGTAGAGGGCAGTACGAAAATTTTATCAATGAAAATACTAATTTTATAAAATTAGTTTTAATCTAATATAATAGATAAAATGCATAGAATGCTATTTAATCAGTTTTTTGCGCTAAATAGATTAATTTTTTTATAAATAAAGTATTATGCTAATTTATATTTCTTTAAAAAAAATTAAGATGAAAATACTAATTATTATAAAATTAGCTTTGACCTAATTTCATAGAAAAAGTGCAATTAGAATTTTATTTAAACATTTTTACCTCTGAATCAAATTAATTTTTTTATTTAATTTTCCATAAAAATGAATTAAAATTCTAACTCCACCCTCCATGAGCGAGCTAAGCCATCGTAAAATCCCTAATTTTTGAAGAGCCTTTCTCCATGAGCGAGCAAAAAATTGTTTTAAAAAAATTATTTCGATATATAAGATAATAAATTAATATAATGAAATCTCTAGCTAATTATGTTTAATTTTAACAGTTTGCTTTTTAAGACATAAATTTTACGAATTAAATTAATCTTTGCTTTAAGATTATTTCGAATATGGATTTTTTTAAATTTCGAAAAAAAAAACTTACTATAAAATTTATATATAGCGCCTTCCTATAGATGGCGCGCAATGCGCCATCTAATAGAATTCGCTATATAAATTTAAGAAAAAATAGCCCCCCTTTTTATTCGCTCATGGAGGAAAGGGGAGTAAGCTTTGCAGTCAATTTATATTTTTTAAGATTTAAAAATTTTAAAAGAGAAAAAATCAAAATTCTTTTTTAAACAAAATAATTAGTCCCTTTAAATTGGAACAGGATTTTTTGTTCCAATTTAAAGAGGGGGAGTCAGTTAGCTTTTCAGTAAGCGTTTGCAATGTTTCTTGATGTGATTTTTCTGACTCCCCCCCTTTAAATTGGAACAAAATATCGGTAAAATTTCCACTTTTTTGGTAAATTAACCCCCTTTAAATTGGAACAAAATTTAATTTTATAATAAAAATTATATATAATTTTTATCTAAAAAGTTTTGATGTAAGTTAAATGTTTCTTCTTAACTAAAATTAAAAATTTATTTATATCTTGCTCTTTTTTAAAGAAAAAAGTATAAAGAGCATCTTATTTAAATAAATTTATTATCCTTAATTGGTAAATTTTAAAACAAAATTAATTTTTTTTTTTAAAAATTTTTAAAAAAATTTTTTGATAAAAATGATATTTTTTATTTGGATAGTTTTGATATAAATTCAATAGGAATTCTTTATAAAATTTCAAAATTTTACTTATATTGATATTTTTTTTAAAAAAAAAAAATAACCCCCCTTTAAATGGAACAAAATTTTTAGTGCCAATTTAAAGGGGGGGAGTGAGTGGTTTCTTAAATGCTTTAATGCAGAAAACTCTCTTCCACAGCCTAAGAAATTGCATTTAAACTTCTGGATGAATAAAATGGGGTTTAGTTTTGCCTTGAGAACTTCTGCACAGCAATAGCGGTTTAACTTTTGGGATAACCAAAGATACTCCTCAGTGCATCCAGAGACTTGGGTTTTTACCACTTACTCCCCCCTTCCGTGAGTGAACAAAACCATTAGAAAGATCGCTGTTTTTTGCCCAAAAAACCCACCCTCCGTAAGTGAACAAAAATGTTTTATGGAAAAAAATTTTGATATATAAATGATAATTAATATAATGAAATCTAGAGCTAATTCTGTTTAATTTTGAACAAATTGCATTTTAAAACATAAATTTTATAAATTAAATTAATATTTGCTTTCAAATTTTTTGCGAATTAGGATTATTTTAAATTTCGAAAAAAAAAAAATTTTTTATATAAATTTTTTAAAAAAAAACAAATTAACCCCCCTCCGTGAGTGAACAAAATTGTTTTGTTCGCTCACGGAGGGGGGGGGAGTTTGCACATCCTAGGAGGATGACCCTTAGGCGGAACATGTGCTGGAGCTAAGTTTGATGAGTATGACAGCAACACACCGGGTGAGAAGTACGAATTTGGCTGGAGACGACATTGTTTTAGAAAATCTGCCCATATAGTGCACCATTTTAAGTGAGAGAATGGCCCATGATATCACTAATCAGGCTAAATCCCTATTTAAAGAGTGGCACTGGGCACCTTAAAACACAGACATTATTGTAATGTAATGCATTTAAACTTCTGATTTTCATGATACATTTTATAATGATATAGTCTTGCGTTTTTTGAAGTAAAAGATTTTTCACATCCCTTTTCACATGAAAAAGGCTTATCATTTGTATGCTTACTAATAATATGTCTATTTATTTGTTCTTTTGTTGCAAACGACTTGGAGCAGGAACACTCATAAGGTCTTTGATTTAAGTGGACTACACGAATATGCCTTTCATAAGAAAATTTTCGTTTAAATGACTTTTTACAGAGCTCACATTTTAAGCCACAGGTTATAGACTCATAAGCATCATCATAAGGAAAAAGTTTTATTGAAATTTTGTGTCCTTGCTTCATGTAATAATTTATATAAATAATTAATAATTTTAGATTTGAAAATAAATTTTAAGTTTAAGTTTATTGAATTATTCTAGCACACTTGTGTCTTAAGTCTTCTTTACTTGAGGTCTAGCTGCATTAACAGCTCTGGACAACGGTAGGTGTACCGGCCTAACCGTCGAACCGTTAAAGCTAATAAGCCCTTCCAGTCTTCTCTTGTCAGTGCCAGCCTCAGCACTGACTTCTTCTCTTCAAGCTGAGACTCTCAAGAAGCTTTGAATTCTCTCACTAAGCTCAGATTATAGGGCAATCCTGCTTGAACAGGTGCTAGGGCCTATAGAAGTTTCCTATGTTTGGCGCTGTAAGGCCGATAAATTCTGATCGGAATTTATCGGTTGGTTGCACCAAATCAATGCCTTGGTCGGACCAAAAAGCGATTTGGTCCGACGAACTTGGAAAGCTCCTGGGAAAATGTCTGCGCTTTCAGCGCTATATAGAGGAAACCTCTATATCCCTAACTGGCATTTTTAATAATATGAAAATAAATTAACTAAATTGATTTTTTATAAGAAAAATCGAGCTTTCTATTATATAATATGCAAATATCTAAATAAGCATATTAGCATATTAAAGTCTATATAAATTATTTTAGAGAGAAAAATATTAGAAAAGCTAATCATTTCTCATCTCCTGAATAAATGCACATATATAAGTAGATAAATATGAACACATGCAGATATGTAATATCGTGCAGCAAAGGTATGCTTGGCTCAATTAACCTTCCAAATATTGTTGTAATTGCAGAAAACTGAGATCTCAGAACCTTATGAATTGCTGAGTGTAGTAGGATTCTGAATGATGAAGGCTTTGAAAGCCTAATAAGACAGCCAGTTGTGGGTATAGGAATTGCCCGAGGATGGCGCTATCTTGCGCCATCCTCGGGCAATTGAAAAAATGGCCCCACACTGGGAATTTGAACCCACGTGTGGGGCCATTTTTGGTGCGTGGAAGTCGATGTTCTACACACACCAAAAAATGGCCCCACACGTGGGTTCAATTCCCAGTGTGGGACCATTTTTGAATTGCCCGAGGATGGCGCAAGATAGCGCCATCCTCGGGCAATTAGTATGTAAAAATTGGCGATTGGATCGAGATCGAAACAGATGAGCGATGAATGCAAAAGCATAGAAATTTCAGTGAATCAATTGAAGAAAACATACAAAAGACGTGGGATAATCCTGATTGTTGTGGCACCTTTGGAATTGAGGAGCTTAGGACTGGAGACTGTCACAATCTAATTTTTTATTCAGGGAAAAAACTAACTCCACATAACTGATTTAATTTAATTTAGATAATCGATAAGCCTTATAAAAGGAAAAATTTAGCTTATTATTATTTTGCTACTTATTGATATGACTTTAGTTAATAATCTATCCAGAGTAAGGGATTTAGAAGTATCAAACGCAGCCATACTCTCAGGCTCATTCAGGCCCCTTCATCATGGCCATATAAATCTATATCTTATTAAATAAATCTGTGTATATGCTAAATATTATTATAATTCTATTTAATTTATATGAAAATATCATAAAAAACTCAGCCAAAATAGAATATTAAAGAAAGCTTCAGAGTTTTTGCACTCCAAGCATGCACTTTTCGAGCTCACTATTCAGCATCCTGACAAAGGAATTGTAACTGAAGAAGATTTAACAGCTAGATTAAAAGATTTCTCCCAACCAATTATGATTACAAACCGATCTCTATATGTAAATAAATCAATGCTATTTAAAAACAGTACCTTTATCGTTGGGTACGATACAATTGTCAGGATCCTTAATCCTATATATTATAGTGATGCTAATAGCTTGATGATCGCTATGGGGGAAATTAAGCTGCATGGGAACAAGTTTTTGGTAGCTGGAAGAGTTGTTGATGAGGAATATAGAGAACTGAGGGTTGATGAGGTTCCTGACGTGCTAAGAGGGTTGATTATACCTTTACCAAATTTCAGAGAAGATGTGAGCTCAACTGAAATCAGAAATAAAATGCTAACTGCAGATAAGTAATTTAATATTTTATAGGTTCGATAAGCAAAATATTTTGCTAAATAATTTTAAAAAGAATTCTTTTCAGATAATTTTTTGAGAATTAGCATAAATTAAGGCTTGGAATTACTGAATTGGCTCCAGTAGGAAGCTTGAGACAGTCAATAGTTTTCTTGCTCTTTATAATCTTTTAGTTTTTGATTTCATGAATTTTGTTGTGATCTTCAATACTGCTCTTGCTGCTTTCAATCATTGCTGCTTTTAGTGCATTCATTCTGCTCATTATCATTCAATATTTCCCAATCATCTTCTTTAATATTTTGCTCTGTTCTTCAAAGCTCTTTTTCCATTTATTAGTTTAAATTCAAAGGATTTATTGAGATCGCGAAGACATTTCTAAATAAATGTTAAATATCAGTCTAAATAAAGAAAATGATTACTTAGATATGCAATCTATTGAGAATAAAAAAGTAATTAAAATAAAATAAAGAAGAACAATAAAATCAAGAATAATATAAAAGTCCCTGCTTAAGTAGATTACTAAAGCCATTAAAAGAGAAATGTATTTAAAAATAATGATTTCTTCAGATCATGGAAAATAAAACCTTAATTATTATTTAAATTTCAGATTCTATCATTTACTATTTAATTAATTACATCAGTTATGAGTTACATGAATCGAGGACTCTGGACAGGTCTTGCTCGACCAAGCACATCATCTTCAAGGGCTCAGCCAATGCCATTAATCACAAAAGGACTCGGAGGATCCAGTTCTTCAATTGCCCCAAAATCAGTTAGAAGTCTATCAAAACCTTCAAGTTCTGGAGTATTCAAAAAGCAAAGGTAAAATTTACTCACTCCCCTTTAACAGTGAATAAAAGCTATAGAAAAAATTTTACCTTTTTAAGTTAAAAAATCCTTTGCTAGTCAAAAATATTTTTTTAATATTATTGTTTTATGCAAAATATTTATATTTATATATAATTTTTATAATAAAAAATTATATAGAATTTATAAAAGCAAACTAAATCCCCCTTCATCGGCGAGCAAAACAGTTTTCCTTGTCTACTAAAGGGGAGGCCAGGAAAACCGAAATCCCTGCAACTGCATTCAGGAAATTTTATCTCAGAGGCGATCTCCCTGTAGTCGTTAATTTCCTAGGTGCTCATAGAAAAATTGCATGGAAGGTTGAATTGGAGCTTCTCGATTATCATCATTACCTGCCTTTGTTTTTTGAAGGACTAAGAGAAGTCGAAGAACCTTTCAAATTTATCGCAGACAAATCTATTGATGATCTATTAGACAGATGCCCACATAAAGTGTTACCTGTGCTTCCACAGCTGATTATACCTATTAAAACTGCGTTAAATACAAAACACTCTGAGGTTATCGTTGTTACTTTGAAAAAGCTTCAGAAGCTGGTTAAGTGCGGAAATGCTGTGGCTGAAGCATTGGTGCCTTACTACCGACAAATTTTGCCAATTTTTAATATGTTTAAAAACAAAAGATTAAATATAGGGGATGAAATTGACTATGGGCAATATAAAGGATGCAATATAAGTGACTTAGTTCAAGAAACTCTGGAATTATTTGAAACCTATGGAGGAGAAGATGCTTATATCAACATCAAATATATGGTCCCTACTTATGAATCCTGCATGTTCTAGAATTAGATTAGATTAGATTAGATTAAGCCGCTCGCACTTGCAGGGCCGAGGATTTGTACCACACACACTCCATCGCCCATGGTGAGGCCTCGGCGGAAACCCTCCTTGTTGCCTCAAGCAAGGGATTCGCACAAAGTGAGTTGTCTTTCCGAAAATCCATAAAAAATGGATTTTCTGGTCGACTGTCGGCAGAAGGTAGAACTCGAAAGCCTGGGACATAACGCCCAGTTTCACGCTAGGGAATTGCCCTATTGGTCCAGAGGACTCTGCTGGGCTTCCCCTTTCCAACTTTTGTGCTCATCTTCCCCACTAGGGAAAAACCACCCTGAATTTAGACTTGGGCTAGGCTCTGAACACTACCAGAATTGCTTACCTAGCATTGCTGTCAATTTCTGAAGTAGTAAAACCTCGCCTGATATAAATAAAATATAAGTCGAGTATGCATGGCCTCCCGGCCATGCCCAGACGAAGACGCCATATTTTATTTCATGTTCTAGGGATAATTTTAATAAAAGTTATAATAATTGTGGGTTAAATTGAATTATAAGTATCCCAGATTTCTTTGAGGCTTCTCTCTTTCTTTGGAAGTTGATAGGGAAGATGAAAGATCTTCTAAACCTAAGAGAGCGTCTTCAAGGTTAATTGGTTTTTCTGGCTTCTGTTGGGCTTGGGGAACTTGAGATTGGACCAGTGATGGGCTGAATTTAAGCTGGCTGATTGAGATTCCTGAAGTCGTATCTAGATTGTGAGCGATTTTGATATTGGATTTGGGAGGGGCTGGATATGCCTGCGGCTGTAAAGGAGGAGAGCTAGCTGGTTGATAAGGCTGCTGAACTGGCTGCATAGGGGAATGAGGATTGTTAGGTTGGTATGACTTAATTGGAGCTTGGGATATATTATTTTGATAGCCCGGAAGGATTGTAAGCTGTAATGGAGATTGTACATTTTGATAAGGTAGAACTGTTGGCTGTGATAAATATGGCTGCATTGGAGGCTGGGATGAGCTGCTCTGATAAAGTGGGATATTTTGCTGGGGAGAAGGCCCTTGCGAAATATTTACTGATGGAAAACTAGGTAGCACTGGGGCCGTTTGAAGATTTAGCATTTGAAGAGGTTGACTTGGAGTTGTTTTTAATGATAAATTTGTAATCTCTTGTGTCCAATCTGGCTGAGATACCGTTGCTGGTGATGGTTTTGTATTTAGGCTCTTAAACATATTATCTTGTTGTTTGGGGAGTGGGTTTGACTGCTGTTGAGAAGGTTGGGATATTGGCTGGAAAATATCAACTTGACCTCTTGTTGAAGGTAAATTATTGATAGCTGGCTGGAAAATATCATTTGCTGGCTTAGGCTGAAAATTATCATTTGCAGGCTTTGGTTTAAAAATATCATTAGTTGGTTTTGGTTGAAAAATATCAACTTGTGCTCTTGTAGGAGGTGGATTGTTGATTATTGGCTGAAAATTGTCAATTGATTGCTTTGGTTGGAGATTTTGATTTGTAGGTTGAGATTTTGGAAACTGAGACGAAATAGGTTGGAAAATATCTTTAGACATTTGAGCAGGGACTTGAGAAGAATTCTGTTGGAAATTATTGATTGGCTGCCTATTTTCTTCATGAATAAGCTCTACATCAGGCTGTTTATATTGATATTGTTCTTGTCTCCTTACTGGAACGCTAGTAAAAATATCTGGAACAGTTTGTGCTTTGCTGCTTTGTGGTGGCCAACTGAACTTAACTTATTAACCATGACGTTTAACGTCTCCTACGGGGTTGCTCTTCCAGGACTACCACCACGCTCTCGTCGCTCGGGGCCCACCAGTTGCTGGGACAGCTGGCTTTGATCTCCAACGTGCGCCTCCTGCGCGATGTTCCGGCTTCGATGCTCATGAATGAACTACTTTCTCTGTAACGAAGGTTGCCTGCTAGGAATTCCAAAAAATGGAATTTCTGGCCGACTTTCGGCAAAAAGGAAAACTTGTAGCCCGGGGCGAAACTCCCGGTTTCTCGCTAGGGACTTGCCCGAATGGCCTAGGAATTACCTGTAGGCACTGCTGGGCTTCCCCTTTCCAACTCCAAGCCTCCTTTTCCTTCGAGGTAAAATCCTAACCTGAGAACGGACTAGGATCAGGCTCTGTACACTGCCAGAATTGCTTACCTGATATTGCTGTCCATCTCTAGCTAGGCAAAACCTTGCCAGATATAATTAAATAGGGCTCGAAACTGTCTGGCCGAGAGGCCAGATCAAGTTGAGACGCCATATTTAATTATGCTTTGTGGTGGCCAATTATTTCCATTTGAAGGAATCCCTTGCTCTTGTCTCGGCTGATAATTTTCATAAGTTTCATTTTGTGTAGTACCACTTCCCGGATTTCTATACCTACTCTCATCACCACTATAAGCAGGGGCATTATTGCTTTGGTTTCCAAAAATTTGATCGTACCCTTTGTCGACTCTTTCATTTGTTGGTGCTTGATAATTATAACTATCACTTCTATTTTCATACGAATTATATCCACCTGAATACCCACTTGAAGATCCGCTTGAATATCCACCTGAATATCCGCCTGAATATCCACTTGAATTTCCACTTCTACCATATTCGTCTGATGAGATCCCTACATATTTTTCCCTATTCCTTCTCGAATTTTCCCTTTCCTCTTCAAGCAGCCCAGCATTTGCCAATAAATAGCTTATTTGTCGTGCTTTATCCCTTACTGGCCCTCCTTTTTCAATAACCCCATTTTCTCGGTAGCTAAATGTTTCAAATCCTTTTAGTTTGTGAGCGGAATCCCTTAACTCATTTACCATTCGAGGACTGCCTGATAAAAGAAGTGAATGGATCAAGCATAGGGTTTTATTAATTTTTTTCCATTCTCGTTCTGGAGATTTTAGATTTTCCCAAAGCACTCTCATGATAGTCTCGATATCGATTTGAGAAATCGTTCTGTCAGCAATTGCTAATTGGGTTGTTTTTGGAGGGATAGCGTCATCGTTCATTGTTGACTCTATTATAAGCCGCTCGAGTCCTGTTTTGGTCAGTTTGTCTTTAAAATTGACTGCTGCCTTTTTAAGACTCTCCATATATTTTTATGATTTTTGCGATAAGAAAAATTATAATTTTCTAGCTCTATTCTCAATATGTAAAAATAATATTTATTTTTGATTTTGAATGTCAGCTCTTTATAAATTATTTGTTAAAAAATTTTTCTCTAAAAAGAATATTATATAACAAAAAATAGTAAATAAGCTAAAAGCTGGATTAATAGTTTATTCGAATCTAGGAAAATTTGCCATCTACTTCTATCTCTTAGCTATTATAACCTTTATTTTGAATCATATAGTCAAGATTATATTTTAATTATCTCTATTTAATTTTGATGTATATTTAGTTTTGCTGCTCTTCTCCTTCTTCCTCTCCTCCTAATTCTTCTTGCTGAATTTCCTGAATTTCCGCAATCAATTGATCTCTTTCTTCGTTTGATAGACCATGATTAGATTAGATTAAATGTTTGAGCAGGTATTGCTGGATTATTTTGGCTATTATCCCTTCAAGATCTTGCTTCGCGTTTATGGTTAACTCCACCTAACTCCCATTTTCCTTCCTGCCAATAAAATTTGGGTGACAAAGTCGTCTGTTAGAGTTCTTATCTGGTCTAACTATGGACCTCGTTTAATGCTTCAAGTTGCTCTGCATCTGGGATGGTACCACAGATGATCACCTATAGCTCCTTTCTCCCCGTGCTCCTAACTAAAGTTTTAGCGCAACCCTTTGCATTGAGAAATGTTACATAAGCACAATACATCTTCCGTTAGGTTGGCCGTCGTGAAAATGGCTTCCTCTATACTAGGACATGCCAAAAACTGACTTCAAATACCTAGTTGTAACGGATCCCTCTTCCATAGGCCTGAGTCATCCTACAGACCTATTGCAATCTGCCATTTAATTAAGTGTTGATTAACCATGAAGATTTGCAAAATTAGTTACCAATTCGACAGCATCATCATACAGGTTAAATTTCAAAGTTGCTTCTTCGCCACCATCTATTTTCACATTAAGCTCATATTCCTCAATTTCTTCTACTTCTTCTACTTCTTCTTCCGCTGATAAACTTTCATTATTTCCTTGCTGTGGCTGTGAGCTATCTTGCTCGTTTTCGCTCTTCTCTATTTCTTTAGGAGAAGGTAGACTTTCAGAGCTTGGGTTTAAATGATCAACTTCTTCTTTTTTGTCTTCAATTTCTTGCTTATAAATTATTTGAGGCTCGTTTACAGATTTTTCTTCAACGCTAGTATATTGGAATTCTTGGTTATCAGACTCACTATGGGAGTATGACTCTTGAGATAATCTTTGGTCATTTTTGATTTTTCTTTCTTGCTCTCTTTTAATTAGCTGCTCAGTCCTTGCTTTCTTTTCTTCAAGAAGTTTAAGTTCTTTTAAATATTTGATTTGCTGCTCCCTTTGTTCACTTTGCTCTTGTTTTTCTCTTTCTCTAACTCTTCCTCCTCCGTGAGCGAATAAAAACATTGGAAAATCCCTATTTGGTAAAACCCACCCTCTGTGAGCAAGCAAAAATTTTTATGATAAAATAAAGTGATAATTAGTATAATGAAATCTCGACTAATTCTGTTTAATTTTAAAACAGCTTGTATTTTAAAAACATAAATTTTGCAAATTAAATTAACTTTTGCTTGACTTGAATTTTTAAATTTAGGAAATAAATTTACTATATAAATTTAATATATAAGATTGTACAAAAAATAATTGATCTGCTTCCTGAGCGAACAAAATATTTTTTTTCATTTGCGGATAGAGAAATAAGTTCTTTTTCTTTTCTCTCTTTTCTCTTCCTATCTTCCCATTCTTTCAATTTTGCTTGTTTTACTTCATCTCTCAAGTCTTTATACTTAAACTGTATTTCTTTTTCTTTTGCTTCATTTCCAAGGCCAAATCTCCAGACTTCCGTTTCTTTATCATAATCATAGCCTCTTGCAGTCTTCTTTTTGAAATCATCTTTAGCCTGTCTCCCTTTACTCATCCTTTCAATTGATGCTTCTATTCCATAGTGCTCATCAACATTATCAGGGATAACTTTAGTTTCTATATTTGGTCTGAAAATGCAAACAGATAAAGTTTTTTCCGGCTCCATGTCAAATGACCGTGGATTTTTGACAGTATACATTTCATCGAAATCCATTTGGTCCAAAATTTTTGATAGTGCGGGCATTTAACCGAAAATTAACGGTTTTTTTTCGGTCAAATGTCTCACTATCAAAAATTTTCGATCAATTTTCGGCCAAAATTTTCCAGTGAAATGGACACTATCAAAAAGGCAAAGCCATTTGGCCTGCACCCGTTTTTTCCAGCTCTTCTTCTTGAACCCTTTTAGCTAAATTTTCTTTCTTCTCTCTTACAGGCTGTGCCAACTTATAAAGAGCTATCCCTTTATGTATATCTTTCTCATTACTCATTACTTTATAGTATTCTTCAGTCAGTTCGTCTCTTTCTTTTTTCTTTTCAAGATCTCGATAAAAGTCAGGCATCTCTGAAGTGATAGGCTTAAATGTGCATTCACTGTAAACATTTTTATCGATTGCCTGCTTGATTTGATCAATCCTTTGTTTGTGCCTTTCTCTTTCAGCTATTAAAACGTCTTCTAGCTTTTGATTCCTTTCTTGGCTTCTCGATGCTCTCCAGTCGTTGGCATATTGCTCGCTTTCTGCTATTAAAGTTGGCTTGAAAGGATACTCATACATGTATTTTAGTTTTTCGTTAAAGCGCTTTTCGTTGGGCTTTTGGGTGCGATTTTCAAAGAAAAGCCTGAATTGGCGGTGGATTTTTTGAGCCTCTTCTTCTTTTAGCTTGAAGTTGTCGCCTTCGTTCATCCAGTATATATAGTAGCCCATAACTGCTATTAGGAAAATCAGAAGGGATTTTTTTTCAACTGTGCTTTCTGATGTGCCTCCTAATATTTTCCAAGCTTCAACGACAAGATTTCTCTCTGTCTCATAGTTTTTTTCGTCTTCTTTAATGAAGAGCATTGATCTAGCTTCCTCGCTATCACAAATTTATTTTTATTTATTATTTATTAATTAATCAGTAAATAGAATATTTTTATAATTAAGAGAGTAAGTACATCAAGGAATGCAGTATAATTTAAAGATACCAATTCAGGGTCTCTTGACTTTAAGTATTCATCAAACTCAGCTTGCACTTTTTCAATCAAAACTTCTTCAGAGCTTTGATTAGCGTACTTTTGTGGCTTCTTTTTTTCCGAAACAGTGGGACTTTTTGTGTTTTGCTTTTTGGATATTTCATAAAGATGAACATCAATAGGCTGGTCTCTTACAAGACTCTTAGACTTCGGGTTAATAGTTGGATGGAAAGGCTTGGCTTTATCTTCACTATCATCAGACTTATCAAGAGGATTTGCTTCTTTAATTTTCATTTGCTCTATCTGTTTTTGAGCTTTGGCTTTATAAATCTTATGAAGTCTCTCGTAAGCTGGCTCATTTCCTTCTTGCTTTTCTTTAACCATTTTTGCGCTTTTTTTGCATATTTTTGGATGATGAAGAGTATCGTCACTTCTGCTTTGGTTTTTTTCTGCTTCTTCCCTCATTGCTTTTAATTTATCCTCTCTAGACTGCAAAAACTTCTTCTGGTATTCATAAAACTCTTGAGTTGTCCTTTTCATCTCATCTTTTTGGTTAATTTCAGGCTTAAAAGTGCATATTTTCCCTTCCTCTTCTTTTTGGTCCTCTCTGAGTTTCTCTACTTTTCTTTTGGTTTTTTCGATATGTGGGTAAAAGCGCTCTTTAGCATCAGTAGGCTTTCGCTTTGAAGGAGGAGAAAGAATTGATGTCCTATCAACGATCCCAATACTTGAAACGTTGACCACTGGCTGATGAGTCACTTTAGTTATGTTGTCAATATTGGCACGAATATGATCATTTTGACTTACAGACGTAGACTTGCCGGGAACATAGTTGGTGGTGGAGTTTGTAAATCTGTGCCCGCTATAAGTTATATCTTGGACACGAGGGTTAAGAAGGAAGTCCATATCGTATGTATTTGGGTTGGTTGTGTCTTTATTCAAGACAGGGATTGAAGAAATCCTTGGAGATTTTTGGTTCCACAGTTCTTCTGTTTTCTTTTTTTTAGTCTTTTTGGGTTTTTGAGGACTTATTCTAACTTTTGCTGGGGATGCGTGATCAAGCATAGGTAGCAGCCAGACACCCCCAGCCCCTCCAATAAGGGAACCCCCACCCCCCTAAAAATGTACCCCCCACCCCCCCTTTGACAGATGGCACCCCCACCCCCCCTCTCGGGTTTATCCTATAGAAGTAATTGATAGGAAATAAGCAAAATAAATTAAATATAACCCAATTAAAACACTATATTGTTAAATTAAGTCCACAAATTACTTTATATTTATGATTAATTAATAAATTTAATTAATTAGCAATTAATTAGAAAATATATTAAAATTTGTTTTTTATATTTATAAATATAATGCCAAAGATATAGATGATGGCATTAATTATTAAATTAGCCAAGCATAATACAATAAATTGCATTAAATTTATTGATTCATAAATTAAAGCTAATCTGATGACAATTGTACAAGGATTGCAGGACTGAATTGGTAACAGGATTCAATAGTGCTAATAAAAATAGTATTTGCTATTGTCAGTTTTACTTTTTTGATCTCTAATTCGACTTTTAGCCATTGTTCCACAAAGTTCATAAATATATGCAGGATATATTGCCAATTAATACCAAAGATCATTATTATGCTTGCTAACAAATTTTTTTAGATTTTTGTGTGCTTACTAGTTATAGGAAATTCTCACCCCATTCCATCTACTCCTTAATCGACTGTGCTACGCTATGTGGATATTGTATAAATCAGTAATTTTGAATATTTAAAATAATAATTTATTTATTACGTCTGCACTAAATTGACATTTGTCATATATTTATGCTATATTAAGGGGTGGGGGCGCCATCTGTAAAAGGGGGGTGGGGGTGCCATTTTTTAGGGGGGGTGGGGGTACCATTTTTTAGGGGGGGTGGGGGCACCACTTTTAGGGGGGGTGGGGGTGTAGGGTTGCGACCTATGCTTGACCAGATGCGCTTGGCTTTATTTCACTGTTTGCTTTAACTGCTTCTTCAGGCTGAGATTTTTGGTCTGGCTCTTTGCTTTCCTCTTCTTCCTTGCTTTCTTCTTCGCTTTCACTGGGCATGTCAGGCTCTTTATCTGACTCTCCCATACTAGATGATGACGAGTCAGATTCAGGTGCCTTTTTCGCAACGGAAGCCATTTGAGAAACTTCTTGAATTGTAGTTAACCTAACTGCTCCAGCTCCTTCGTCGACGTCCATATCTTCGTCTTCATCGCTCCAATCTGAGTCGGATCCTGCACTTATGCTGTCACTGCTGCTCATGGATTTATATATAAATGGCTCAATGGCCAATAAAATTGAAATTTAATTAAATTACTTTTCGAAATTCAAATAAAAGGTTAAGACTGTTTGAAGGATTTTGGTGATATAATTATCGTAGCCTTACTAAAATATATAGGAATCTTGCTGATTTTTGATGTTTTCAAGTTTTTATATTACATCCGCTTAACTTTCAAGAATGCGAAGTTATTTTATAAATTTAAATAATGTGCATAAATAATAATCATAATTTATTTATAAAAAATTAGTTTTTGCTGTCTATAGACTAATAAAAAAGAATTTAAATTGATTTAGCTTTAAAGAGCAAGCTGATATTTTATTTAATATCTTTTATGACCCATAAACAGTTATTTAAATAAATAATGAAGAAAACAAGAAGGGATCTAGTAAACTCGTCATCAGAAATGCCTTCTCCTGTGGCCAGAAGATCTCCAGTAACAAAATTAAAAAACCAAAGAAATCTTACTCCAGTTCATCTCAAACCAGAAACCCCAAAAGAAAAATTTGATTTTTGGATACCTGACCAAATTCTTAATATAGAAAATTTACTAGTTTCAAAACAAAGAACCCTTGATTTATTAAATTCAAAAACAGAGGATCTTGATAAAGATCTTGAATTACAAATTCAAGCAAGAGATAAGCATATCAATGAGCTAAATAAAACTATTTTAGCTCTCAAGACAAGCTTAAAAGTAAGTGATGAAAAAAGAAAGCAAGCTAAAGAACACGCAATTGAAGCCGAAAGGCTTGAAGAAGAATTGCAGGCTGAAAAAATCCTGAAACTTAATGAGGAGAAAAAATACTTTGACTTGAAACTAGAATTTGATAAAAGTAAAGAAGAATGAAAAGACGAAAAAGAATCCCTTCAGCTTCTACAAGAAGCAGTCACAGAAGAGCTCGAAGCTTCTAGAGCTCAAGTAGCAAGCAAACAAAACGAAGTAAACGCAATTAAATCTGATATTATCCAAATATCAAAAATCATTGACCAAATGACTACACTTAACAAAGATTTGCATGATAAAATCGATAAAATACACGCAGATATGGAAGAAACCACTAAAAGATATTATGAAGCTAAAGTAAAAGCAGACAATGTAGAAGATTTTGAAAATACAATAGCACAGTATATGTCAGAGCAAACGAGGCTGCAGAAAAGCAATGCTAAGCTGCTAACCCAGCAAGAAGATATGAAAAATTATTTAAAAGTTGTAGAAGATGTTAAAGAAAAAATCAAAGAAGCAGAGGAAGGCATCGGCGCACAAGTAAAAAGATTGGATGTCGAAAAACCAGAAGATGATGAATTGCTGATTTTTTTAAGAAATATTGAAAAAGAACTAAATGAGACGAAATCAATGCTTATTAAGCATACCCCGAAAAGCTTCAGCGTAAATGACACTGAAGAATCTGTTAGGGAAAGAGTAGTTCATCTTGAAGAGCAGCTTAAAATAATGAACGATAATATGAAAACTGCTTTAACTTCACAAAATCCTCTTTTAAATCAAATAGAAGGGCTAGAAAACACTATGAAAAAGATGAGAGCGGAATATGAAGACAATGCTAACAAAATAAGAAAGCACGCTGATATCATGAAAGAACAAAATGATGCTTTTAGAGACAAATTAGATGTAGCAAGGCAGGAAAATGAAAAAAAAGAAGCTGAGCTGCAAAAAACATTGACAAAACTGGCTAATATAAATAATAGAGTGGATACTTTAATTAAAAGAGGAAAGGAACAGATTGCAAAAGAAGAAGAGTTAAGAAGAGAAACTTCACTGTGGAAAGCAAAGTATTCAAGCGTTGTTATGGAAAAGAAAAGTAATGGAGTCAATAATCAGAGAGAAAATAAAATTAAAAAGGCTTTGTTTCAGCTGCAAACTCTCAGAGAAGAAATATATACTTTGTAGAGCATTTTTAATTCAATAATTTATACATTAAAGATATAATTTTATTCAGTATAAGCAGATAACTGGCAAAGATCCAACAAATTTATTAAAATAAGTATATAAAAAAGACACAGAAGTAATCGCTAAACATAAAGAAATTGCCAAACTGGAATCTGAACTTCAAACTAAAAATGACAGTCTTCAAAAGGCATATTCCAAAATGAAAACCATTGAAGGTGACATCTTAAGCAAAGTCAGCAAAGATCTCGACGAAAAAGACCGCCAAATAATTTTGCTAAAAGAAATGCTTCGAGGTGCTAACACCGAGGCTAGATCTAAGAAAAAATCTGAATCTTACACAATCCACAATACAGAGCCTAGCAAGCGTCAGCTGTAACTAAATAATCTATTAATTTTTGCTTACTTTCTACTGATATAATTGTCATACAGCTCTTGAAACATAATCGCCACATTTTCATAAGGAAATCCCTTTGGCCTTAAATAATTGTTCACCTGCTCCAGCGTATAGTCCCTGCTGTAGCATACTTTTACTGCCCTCGCCAGGTTCATCTTATGCTCAGCTGGTGTGGCTTTATGGAGCGCTACCAGTTTTTCTATCAGTTTATAGTCTCTTCTTGCGATCTTGATAACATCTGCGAGATACTTGCTGCCTACTTGTTCTGAGAGAAGTAAAGCGTATTTCCTTAGTTTTGAGCATGAATCGAATTGCCTTACTCTTTTTCGTCTTCAGGCTTTTTCTCTTTCCACCTCTCTTTCAGCGTGCTCGAAGTAGTCATAAGAAGATCTACCTGAGGCATGGGCGTTGCATCTTGCACAAAGAGATGCGGATTGCTTTGAGTATAGAATTGCGCGTTTCACTGGATCTCTGCAGCCTTCACAGTGTGTGCTTAGCATATGTCCCCCTGCTTTTGAAGCCATTTTTAATTATATTAAGAATTCCAAAGAATGGGACTTTAATGGGGAAACTATGGATAATATAGATTTATTTTATAATAGGAAATGCCCCCTATTTAATTTTAAACGCTAATCCAATATTTATCCAACTTACTCCTTTTGCTTGAGAAGGCGTTGATCTAATCTTCTATATTGTTTTTTATTTTATTAACTTGCCATATTTTTGTAATTATTTTATAAAACATTAATAATTTTTAAGGCTAGTTCTAAAAATTATTTATGACCAAAAGAGTTAGGTATTCTAATTATTTTGACATCATTATGGTCCATTATGAAACATTATCATGCTTAATTATTTTAAATGCAATTATGGTTATTATCGCTAATCTATAAGTATCCATTTTTTATCTGAATTGCTTGCATATCATACTTATTATCTATGTCTTTCCGTTTTGCTTATTTATAACATTGCTACTTACTCCCCCCCCCCCTCCGTGAGCGAACAAAAAAATTTTGTTCGCTCACGGAGGGGGGTTAATTTTTTTTTTTAAAAAAAATTTATATATAAATTTATATAAAAAATATTTTTTTCGAAATTTAAAAAAATCCTAATTTGCAAAAATTGGGAAGCAAATATTAATTTAATTTGCAAAAATTATGTTTTAAAAAACGCAATTTGTTTAAAATTAAACAGAATTAGCTCTAGATTTCATTATACTAATTATCACTTATATATCAAAATTTTTTTTCCATTAAAATTTTTTCTATTAAAAAAATTTTGTTTCACTCACGGAGGGTGGGTTTTTGGTCAAAAAATGGCGATTTTTCTAATGGTTTTGTTCGCTCACGGAGGGGGGGGGGGGAGTTAGAATTTATGTCTTCCCATCCCAATTCCTCCATTTTGCTTCCCAATCAAGCTCGCTCCGAACTGTCCTAGTCCTCCTCCAAGTTTAGCTCGGCTTGTCACAAGGCTTGGTGGTGGATTCCTTGCTTCTCCAATCCCAATTAAGATTCCTGATCTTGTATGTGGCCCTTCAATAAGTGTATGCTGACTTTCGGAAGACAATGAATGATGCCGACTGTTTTCAGCTTTGGGGACATCTAAAAAGCTGGCATTGTGATTAAGTGTCCTATGGTTTTCAGTAAAAAAAGGATGCTGCAGGCACTGATCAGCTGAAGGTCGATTCGCTGGGTCCCAAGCGAGGACTTGCTGTATAAAATGAATTGCATCTGGAGATGCATTTGGCATTAACTCATGTAAAGGCATAGGTATGTACTGAGGAAAGCAGTAGCTGACTTGAGATGCAAGTCTTTGTCCTTCAATTCAGTCATTTGGAGTCCCTAGGACTGAACATATACGATTGAGCTGGTCTACTTCGCTTGCTCCTGGGAATAAAGGTCGCATCATGTAGAGTTCAGCCATTATGCAGCCGACTGCATATATATCAACTTGCCAATTGTATCTTCGGCTGTGTAGCAAAATTTCTGGAGCTCGGTACCATCGAGTGGCTACATAATCTGTATAAGGAGGCTGACTTCTGATTTCTTTTGCAAGCCCATAATCTGCTATTTTAAAAACCCCATCATTGACCAAAATATTGTCAGGCTTCATATCCCTATGAAAAAATCCACTTTTATGTAGCGCAGAAAGCCCATTTAAGATCTGTCCAATGATATCTCTTACTTGCATATCAGAACAAGGAGATCCTTGTTCAGTCATCAAGTGAACCACATCTTTCTCACAGAATTCAAAAACTAGATGCAAATCATCGTTTGCTCTAATAACTTCTTTTAGCCTGACAACATTGGGATGAGTCAATTTTCTTAATACTTTAATTTCTCTTAGCTCTAGACATTCTTCTCAGCTGTAAAATTTTTTTTTCATTCTTTTGATAGCTACGAATTCGTTAGTTCCTTTTACAACTGCTTTATAGACAGACCCAAAGGTCCCATCCCCTAGTGTTTTTATAATTTTGTATCGCTCCATGCTTCGAGTTATAAAAAATATTTTTCTATTTGAAATTACTTAAAACATTTTGAATGGTAGCATCTTTAACAGTTCTAAAGGTAAATCCATAGAAAAATTAAATTATTGGCTTCAAGTTCTAGATATTTTTTATTAATTTCCAATAAACATCTTTCTATTTTGAAAACATTGGATTTTCTTTATTAAAAATTGCAACTTTCCTAATGGTTGTGGAATTAATTTTTCACGCTGGTAGCGCTTTATGCTAAAAATGCTTAATATTACTTGTTACCAGCTAATATTTTCCAAAACAATTTATAACTATTAATAAATTAGCAATTTTTTCTGCGAGAGAAATAATTTTATTCATTAACATAAATGAGGTTCAAGTTTTGTGGAGATATAGAGCCTCCAGAGTGGCTTTTGGCAGAGGTTAATCAGTTATCAAGAATTGTATTTTCTAAATAGACTGCTGTGAGAATAAAGTTGATATCTACAATAATTGCGAAGCAAATCTCAGAGAATAAATTTGACATGGAGAAAGCTTGGAAACTCTCTTCAGACTGCGGCCTTAGCAAAGAAGAAATTCAATCTGCCCTGGCATCAATTCATTTCATATTCTCCACAGCTGCAAAATTCAGCGTCACCTCAAATGTCTTAAATGATGAAATAGGACAACTCGGACTTCCTCTAGAAAATGCTTTAGCTCTCAGCAAAACTTATGGAGATCATCTCAATAACATGCAGAGATCATTAGAAAACAGCTTTTTAAGAGGTAAATTCTAAAATAGTTTCAAAAGTCGAAAATATTAGTTGGAAAGTCGATTTAGACTTAAGAACCAAGTCTACAGATGCATCTATTGTAGTTACAACATCTGATCTCCAAAGGCATCCAGTATGCTTATCAGCTCCACAGCTAAATTTATTAATTCAAGAGCTTTCAAGAGCTAAAAATCTGATGGAAAAAATAAGTAGACCAGCTGAGTTAAATTAATAGCTTGATTTACAAAATCTTTAATAAATATTTAATAAATGACAAAGGAAAAAATTTTGCCGACTATTGGCTTTATAGTGGCAGCTTATATCTGGACAAATGTTGCTTATAGAAAAGGCAAAATTTTGGAAATTGAGTATTTTTCTATGTGAATTGGGTATATGCTGAAAAGGTCAATTGATGCTCTTTTCATACACATTAGGTCAAATCAACAAGACACAAACTTATTTATGTTTTTTATGGAATGAACTTATTTATGGTCCTTTTCTTCGAATATTTCTAATGAAATCTATACTCCAGAGTTTATTAGACCTGATAATTGGATTATTATATTAAAATTAAATTAAATTGTTAAACTGGCCATAAGCGGGTTTACCCACTTCCCTTTGCATCATCTCAGCTCCAAGAATAGCAGTCTCCATAATCTCGGAGTTTCAGCGTGCTCTACCTGCTCTATAGACAGTGCGCCTCGTAGTCCAATTTCTGTCAACGCCACCATTATATTTCTTATTATATTAGGAATTCTTATTTTTTCAGTTGGACTTATCTGTAATACATATGTCCATCTCCAGCTGAGATCATTTAAAAAGGCTAATAATGGTGTTAAATTGATTCCAACAGGATTTTTATTTGAATATGTATCATGCCCACATTACTTTTTCGAGCTACTTACATGGCTAGGATTCTATATTGCATCCCAAACTATGTACTCCTTAATGTTTTTAATGACAGCTTTATTGATTACTACTACTTGGGGGAAATCAAAACATATGAACTATATAAAACAGTTTAATGGAGAAAAAGACAAGCCAAAATACCCAAATAGAAAGATAATAATTCCATTTATTTACTAATCATCATTTAACTACAAAAAATCCCAGTATTTTGGCTTTATAAGCTTTCTTCTTTTATCATCTTATTAATTAACTATAAAATGGTTGATAGCAAAGAAGATAAGAATAAATTTACAAATTTTCAGGCAAGTCTAGCATTGAAAGCAGCACTAAAAGAAAACAAAATCAACTTAGAAAACGATCCAGCATACCCCGCTCTTAAAGAAGCTGAGGAAGGTATAATGCAAGCTTCTCGTATATGCCAAGTTTTAGCAGCAATAATACCAACATGTGCACTTTACAAATTTCGATATAGGCAAAACTTCCCAATTACTGAAATCATAATGAAGATTCTTACAATTTATGGAGTGATAGGAGCTGGATATTATATAAATCCTTCAATGACTAAATATCATGAGCTCATAGCACAGATTTCTTTAAGGAGAAAAGATGAGCTTCAAGCATATGTAGAGAGCCATAAAAATTCAAAATAAAATCTTCATTAATTTTACTTAAAAATCTAAATTCATGTCATGGTCTCTTATTAACTGATAATTTTTTGATAGTAAACAATGCTCTTCAGATGGCAATAAAATTCCTGTTCGGTCACCTGGGATTGGAAGCTTTATTTTGTTCCTCTGCTCAGCCAAATTTTGAAGCTCTGGCTTGGACATTCTGGTTTTAAATGCAAATTTTGTGCGGAAATCTATAGATACTTTTATGTCACGAGGCTGAATTGTGTCATTTCGCCGGTCTGCGTGGATTTTGGCGCCTGATAAGATTTCGTGGATGTATCGGTCGAAAAATTCGTGGAGAAGGAATGGGACGTCTTCTGAGTAAGAATCCACCATAGAGTTGAGGATTTTGGTGACTGCTTGGAATTCTCTTGGTTCCCCCATTTTGAATTAATATTTGTGAGGATTTCTCTATCAATATTCAGTGTTTTGTTTCTAAGCACGATTATTATAAGTAAAATCTAATTATTTTAATAAATTTCAACAATTGCGCATCTAATTATTAAATATTTGATTAAATCAGATTAATTCCTTTCAGAAGTCTTGTAACGCTGATAGTTTGAATTGCAACTGGATATCTTCTAGCTAGCTGAGCATATGAGTTGATGTTCTTTGGCAAATAGTTATTTCTTTCTAGTACTTCTCCCATGTTTTTGAAATCGTCTGAGTTTTTCAAGTCTTCGATATCTTCTTCACAATAGCAGCTTTTTTCTCCAAGCCAATCAAAAACATAATAAATTTTTCCATCATCAGGGGGTCCAAACAGACCTCCACCAAATCCTGCCATTGCAGATTGATTTAACATCTTAGTCAAAAATTTGAAATCAATGTATTTCCTATCCCATACATCTGGAAGCTGTTGGAAGGGTAAACAACTAGATATATTTCTATTTCTCAATAAGAGCTCTCCTAGCCCAAGCTCAGATTTTACTTGAAATATCCTTCCAATTGCATAGATCTCAAGCATCTCATGTAAGAAGTGAATTTTTTGCAACAATTTCCCTTGATCTTGATAATGCAGCCACAAGAAAAATTCAAGAAGCATATTAGGAAACGGAATACTTATTTCCAGCTTCAAATTTTCTATTTCTTTTCCTTCGAGTTCTCTTTTAAAGAAGTCAGATCTTTCTTTTAAAATTTCTGAGGAAAGCATAAAGGTGTCTGTGCCATTTACTATAATAGTAAAATCAGCAGGCTTTTCTGATGTTCCAACAGCAATATTAAGCCCATATGGTTTGGCATTTAGCAAACTTTGACTGTCGTTAGTAAAAACTAGCTGAATTTTAGATTTTGGTGGCTGAGCTAATGCAATAGGATCGTCTGAATTTGATACAGGCGAGAATAAAGACTGAGGGGGCTGAGGAGGTTGGGAAGTAGCGTTTGAAAAGGAGAAAGAGCTTCCTGTTTGTTGGTTTTGAGCAGGGAAAAAAGAAGTTTGGGGTAGAGATTGAGATTGTTGTGGAAAAGCTTGAGAATTGATGTTAGAACTTCCAAAAAATCCTCCTTGTGATGACGGTTGTTGATTAGCATTGCAGAAACAGCTTTTAGCATTCACTGGCTGCTGAGGATTATTGAATAATGATGATTGAACAGGAGCAGCCTGGCCAAAAAGTCCACCAGATGATTGAGATTTAGATTGAGGCTGACTCTGAGGTTGAGAAACTCCAAACATTGACATTTATTATCAAAAATTTATTTAAAATGGAAAAGAGCAGAAATGATAATAGGAAAATAGGGAAAATGGATATGTAAAAATACCAGAAACATTTAATATTTCGGTAAAAAAGACGTTTAAAATTAGTCCAAAGCTCTTATTTTATTTATAATAATTTGTTAGCAAATGCTAAAATTATCTATATAAAGCCTCGTGTCTCCAAGCACACAACACTAGATCCAGTATTCCTATGCATACTCGGTTCCATGCCAACCCACTCGCGTTGTCCTGCTTTTGCACCTCCTGCATTAGTTCACCCTACTCTTGCATAGCCTGAAATGCCAAACTTTGTGCTGGTTCTATTGTATTATCTCATTCAGTATCACCGATTCTTGTGCCTGTTTACTCTGCATTCGCATAGCCTATAATACAAATTCCTGCACCGGCTCAACCTGCAGCACCACATTCAGTATCATTGCGTCTCGAATCACTTTATTTGCACTATTCATCGGCTTTATTCTTTATGTGCCATACATATGGCAGAGTGCTAGCATGTACTCCTCAGTTTCTATCACTGCGCAATTACTGCATATCGGATTCTTGGTTAGGTGTCTCCTGTATGCGCAGCGGTTACTGCTATTAAAACCTGCTCTCAGCCTGTGCATGGCACCAATTGCCATGTGCATATTGGAATTGATCAAGACACATGTTGGCGAGTAAGCTGTTTCAGCCCTCTAACGACCATCTGTATAATTTCCATCGTCCTATGTGTCTCGGTTTCCAGTATATTCGTAATTTCCTTCAAGTTGCACCTTCTTATAGCATCTTCCAAAGTTGCCTTTCATTCTTTCGCTCCTGTCCTCCTTATCAGCCTATTGTTATGCATCTCCAGTCTCAAGCTGTCTAGATGCTCTGCAGTGTGAAGATAATACTAATCAAAGTAAAATCATTAGACCTCAGTTGTTTGACCACATTTCTAGCAAACTAGAAATAATTCGCTCTCAAATATATAGATATAGAACAGAGCAAGAAAAGTTGGAAAATGACATAAGACATCTTAATTCCAAAATAAAATCTTTAGAAGAAAAAAATTCAATGGAGGAAAATTAATTCAGATTTTATAGAAATCAAAATGTCCTTCAATGCGATGCTTTTGAAGTTTTGAAAAATTGTGTACACAATTTTTCAAAAGCCAAATTAGTAGCCTCAAGCTTGAGTTAGAAAAACAATTATCAGGCCGACTGTCTTTAGCAACTGTAGTATCATCCACTGCAACCAATGATAAGCAAGGCTTAGAAGAAAAAAAACTAAGAAAAGAAGCAACAGTTTTGGCCTTGAAAGAAAAAACTAAATTCATGTCATGGTCTCTTATTAACTGATAATTTTTTGATAGTCAACAATGCTCTTCAGATGGCAATAAAATTCCTGTTCGGTCACCTGGGATTGGAAGCTTTATTTTTTCCCTCTTTACAGCCAGATTTTGAAGCTCTGGCTTGGACATTCTGGCTTTAAATGCAAATTTGGTACGGAAATCTATAGATACTTTGATGTCACGAGGCTGAATTGTATTATTTCGCCGGTCCGCGTGGATTTTGGCGCCTGATAAGATTTCGTGGATGTATCGGTCGAAAAATTCGTGGAAAAGGAATGGGACGTCTTCTGAGTAAGAATCCACCATAGAGTTGAGGATTTTGGTGACTGCTTGGAATTCTCTTGGTTCCCCCATTTTGAATTAATATTTGTGAGGATTTCTCTATCAATATTCAGTGTTTTGTCTCTAAGCACGATTATTATAAGTAAAACCTAATTATTTTAATAAATTTCAACAATTGCGCATCTAATTATTAATTATTTGATTAAATCAGATTAATTCCTTTCAGAAGTCTTGTAATGCTGATAGTTTGAATTGCAACTGGATATCTTATAGCTAGCTGAGCATATGAGTTGATGTTCTTTGGCAAATAGTTATTTCTTTCTAATTCTTTTCCCATGTTTTTGAAATCGTCTGAGTTTTTCAAGTCTTCGATATCTTCTTCACAATAGCAGCTTTTTTCTCCAAGCCAATCAAAAACAGCATAGCCCAGGAGCGATTTTTGATCGCCCATGGCTATGATAATCAGAAACTCCTCGAGTTGGTTTTTCAACTCAAATTGACAAACCACTCGGGGAGTTGACTAATGCCTCTCATAAAAGGTATTTGCCATCCCCGAGTTGGTTTGCCAACTTGAGTTGAAAAACTAACTCGGGGAGTTTCTGAGCCTCATCATAGCCCAGTGCGATCAAAAATCGCTCCTGGGCTATATAAATTTTTCCATCATCAGGGGTTCCAAACAGACCTCCACCAAATCCTCCAAATCCTGAGAATACCATTGCAGATTGATTTAGCATCTTAGTCAAAAATTTGAAATCAATGTATTTCCTATCCCATACATCTGGAAGCTGTTGGAAGGGTAAACAACTAGATATATTTCTATTTCTCAATAGAAGCTCTCCTAACCCAAGCTCAGGTTTTATTTGAAATATCCTTCCAATTGCATAGATCTCAAGCATCTCATGTAAGAAGTGAATTTTTTGCAACAATTTCCCTTGATCTTGATAATGCAGCCACAAGAAAAAGTCAAGAAGCATATTAGGAAACGGAATACTTATTTCCAGCTTCAAATTTTCCATGTTTTCTCCTTCGAGTTCTTTTTTAAAGAAGTAAGATCTTTCTTTTAAAATTTCTGAGGAAAGCATAAAGGTGTCTGTGCCATTTACTATAATAGTAAATTCAGCAGGCTTTTCTGATGTTCCAACAGCAATATTAAGCCCATATGGTTTGGCATTTATAGGCTATTACCTAAAATTGCCGGCAAGGGCGTAAGGATGGAGAGCTTCTGACTCCAACTGGTCTGGCCAACTCAGGTTGGTTTGTCTGACTGGAGAGTGGGTAAGTGAAACACAAGAGGCTCATTTGCCAATTCTTCAGTTGGTTTGACCAACATAAATTGGCCAGACCAACTGAAGATTAGAGCTCTCCTGCTTATGCCCTTTTCGGGCAATTTAGGTAATTAGCTATAGCAAACTTTGACTGTCATTAGTAAAAACTAGCTGAATTTTAGATTGAGGTGGCTGAGCTAATGAGATAGGATTATCCGAATTTGATACAGGCAGGAATAAAGATTGAGGCGGTTGAGGAGGTTGGGGAGTAGCGTTTGAAAAAGAGAAAGAGCTGCATGTTGGTTGAGCAGGGGGAAAAGAATTTTGGGGGAGAGATTGAGATTGTTGTGGAAAAGCTTGAGAATTGATGTTAGAACTTCCAAAAAATCCTCCTTGTGATGATGGTTGCTGATTAGCATTGCCAAAAACGCTGCTAGTATCCACTGGCTGCTGACTTCCCCTTCCATGAGCGAAAAAAAACTTGTTTGCTAACTGAGTTTTTTTTTTTATATTTTATAGTAAAATTTGTTTTTCAAATTAAAAAAATCCCAATTCATAATAAATAAGGAGTAAAAATAATTTAATTAGGTAAAATTTATGTTTTAAAATACAATTTGTTTCAAATTAAGCAGAATTATCTAGAGATTTTCATTATACTAATAATCATTATATATCAAAACAATTTTTTGTTCGCTCACGAATGGGTTTTTAGCAAAAAATTGGGATTATTAAAATAGTTTTATTCGCAACGGAGGGGGGTGAATATTACTGAATAATGATGATTGAGCAGGAGCAGCCTGGCCAAAAAGTCCACCGGATGATTGAGATTGAGGTTGAGGCTGACTCTGAGGTTGAGAAATTCCAAACATTGACATTTATTATCAAAAATTTATTTAAATTGGGAAAGAGCAGAAATGATAATAGGAAAATAGGGAAAATGGATATGTAAAAATACCAGAAATGTTTAATATTTCGGTAAAAAAGACGTTTAAAATTAGTCCAAAGCTCTTATTTTATTTATAATAATTTGTTAGCAAATGCTAAAATTATCTATATACTCTGACCCTTACCTAATAGCACACATATACATAAAATGGCGTATGACGTCCGACCCGTCCACTCGTGTGACGGTAACCCATGTATATCCGGGCATGGTTTTTAGGAGGAATGATTAAGTCCAGCAATATCTGGAGCCCAGAGGCGATGGGCGAACGCACAGACCCGCTGATTTGTGGCCAGATCCTTGGGCAGTTAATCGTGAATCCTTTTTCCAGCAGCGCCCTAGCCAGTGGGTGCCCGAAATGGAGCAGGGTGATTTCCCTGCTCAGGCTGCTTTCGATGGCTTTGCCCCGAACGACGGAAGTCGTTGAGTTTTTACTCAGGGATGACCTGGTAAAAGGGGAGGCAGGCTAGACTTGCAAGACGGCGGTCCCTCCGGTTTAAAGGGCCCTTTATTGTGGCGACACCGGCCAGGGTAGGTACAGTTGGCCTTAGACGGGCGAAGGGACTGAGTTGGAAATGGTGGTGCCCAGCAAGGGTCTGCGGACACAAATAGGGCAACCCACTACCGAGAAACCGGGGTTTCGGCCCGGGCTCAGAGGAACCAGAGGTGGAAGTCCACCCAATTCGCTTGTGCCAACACGCTACTGGAAGTAGAGACTTTAAACATTTAATCCATAACATAACATAACATAACCTAATAGCACACATAAAAATTGTGTGGAAAGCTAGCCTGCCCTCTTAGCACCTGTAGCCAGACAGAAGTCCGGTGATTTTGTAGAAGGAAAAGCTGAATGCGGTGAGTGTGTCCTCCATTTTTTTCCTCGAGGAAGGATGTGACTTGGAATTAGGAAAGGGATAGCCCAGCAAGGTCAGAGAGCATCCGTTTAGCCATTCTTGCATTTTCCCAGCGCGTTTCCGGGAGTTGTGCCTTGGGCTACAACTTTCACCTCCTGCCGATAGTCTGATCAGAAAATTCACTTTATGGATTTCGGAAAAGATACCCCGTCAACTTACGGCATGGTGATCCAGCATCTTTACCTCCTGGTAAAGAGTGCAATGCTATCGTCCTGAAGGAGCATAGTAGCCTTCAGATGTGGAATCAGACTGCCAAGCAGTGGGGTTATGCCAAGCAAGGAACATTAAAAGCTTTTCAAGCTGCGGGAGCCTCTCTATAATAACCTAAATTCTTTACATAATAAATTTTAAATTAATAATTTATATATATAAACTTTCTGCTATAAAAATATTAACATATACTTGATGTTTAAGCCTAATTTAAAATTATAAAGCATATTCATATGCAAAACATGAAATAACTGACGATTCCGTCATCTAAGTATAGACGCATAGGAGATTCCCGATGATGGCGCTCAATGTGCCATCATCGGGAAACGTGTTTTAAGGGTCTACACTGGAAATAGGTTCCACGTGTGGAGCCGTTTTTGACACGTGGAAAAATCCTCACTTTCACGTACCAAAAAGGGCTCCACAAGTGGAACCCATTTCCAGTGTGGACCCTGAATTTTAGTTGCCCGATGATGGCGCATTGAGCGCCATCATCGGGCAACTTTTATACTTTTAAAAAGCCTGGAATAAGTTAAAGATGGATGAAGAAGCTGATTTAGATCCAAGGCGACTTCAATCCACTCTTAAAATCAATACATCATATTCCCCCATTCAACACAAAATCTTTTATTTTCCATCAGGCTCTTTAAGTTCTCACAAAAATTCTATAGCATTTACAGAAGATGAGCTTGATTCTAATGCAGAAAATCTCTATAATCAAAACCAAAGTAAAGAAGAAATTTCTCAGTGCTCAGAGTATGAAAATTTTATTGCTTATCTTCCTCAAACTCCTAATACAGAGTCTAATATAAAAACATTGAAAAGAGACAGTAAGCTATCAATGCAAATAACTGGCACATTGAATATTGCAACAGAAGTAATTTTTGAGATCAGGCCAAGAAATTCTATCAAGTTATTGAAAGATGAAATTGATTGCTTAAAGCAGTCATTAGACCTATATAAAATTGAATGTGAGAGATATACAAAGGAAAATAAACAGCTTGTTTTTGAGATTCAGCAAAACTCTAAAGAATTGCAAAATTCTTCACAAGAGCAGATGAGGCATAAATCTGAAGCAAGTTTGCTTCAGAAAAATCTAAAAGAGATGGAAGAAGAAATGATAAAAATTTTGGAATCAGTTGAAAATATTAGCGAGGATGAAGATAATACTAATCAAAGTAAAATCTCTAGACCTCATTTGTTTAACCACATTTCTAGCAAACTAGAAGTAATTCGCTCTCGAATGTATAGATATAGAACAAAACAAGAAAAGCTGGAAAATGACATAAGACATCTTAATTCCACAATAAAATCTCTAGAAGAAAAAAATTCAATGGAGTGCTATAACAGGAAAATTGAGTCAGATTTCATAGAAAATCAAAATATTCTTCATGACAATGCTTTTGAAGATTTGAAAAATTGTGTAAAAGACAAAGATACATATATTTCCCAACTAGAAAGCCAAATTAGTAGCCTCAAGCTAGAATTAGAAAAACAAATATCAGGCCGACTGTCATTAGCAACTGAAGTATCATCTTCTGCAACTAATGATAAGCAAGGCTTAGAAGAAGAGACAAAAAAACTTGGAAAAAGAGCAAACAGCTTTGGCCCTGGTATGGGGGAAAATCTCCAAAATGAGCAGCTCATTTATCAAGATGTTTTGAAAGATTTAAAAGAAATCACATCAAGAGCAACAAGGGCACTAGATCACAGCAATATCATGAAAAAATCGAATTCAGTGAAGAGCTCCCAAGCTCAAAGCACTTCTCCATTTTTAAAGAAAAAAGAAATAACTTTAATAAAGCCATTGGCGAGGAAACCTAATGGTGAATATATTAAAAAAACAGAAACTTTGACAAAGCAGCTGGAGTACGAAAGACTGAAAAAGAAATATGGAGGGATTTCTCCTTTTAACTCCGGAAAAAATAAATAATTTTGAGCCTAAACGAAACAAAATACATAAACCTTTGGGATTTAATTATAAAATTATTTGGATAATTTAGATGCTTTAATATTAACAACTTTAGACATTCTATCTTGTTTAATAGAGAGAAAATGCCCTAAGCTCAGAAAAAGTAAAAGTTAGTTATTTCAAAGCTGTAGATCTCCATAAATAGTCATAGCTCTCTTGAAATTTTGGTGAAATACTAGAGATAAATGGATTTTTCAGCTTTTAATAATAGTTTTACTCTTTTTAAATGTATCTATCCTGCCATAAAGCTAATTTTTAAATCTCTTATTATTTAGTCAATTATATTGCTTGCATTAAAATATAAGAAATAATCACTCACAAATCTCAAAGATTTTATTATAAAAATTATATCGGCTTAAATATCTATAAGACACAATAAAATATGAGCAGAGAAGAGCGTAAGTCATATAGAAGGCCTCCACCCCCTATAATTGAAACTCACGAAATTCAGCATGGTCAAGGCCAAGAAGCTGCTCCATTATATACAGAAGAGCCTATTTCTATTGAACCCCATGATTTCCGTAATGAAGTTCCAACATTAGAAGTCATTTTAGACGCTCAGCGGACCCCTCAGCGTAGTGAGCTTGCAAGAATGCCTCAGAGGTCTCAAAACCCTCGTTATTCTTATGAACACAGCATACAAAGCGACAGTGGAAGCGTATGGGATGATCCTAGAGCTCTCCAAATGGAAATAAGAAAAAAACGAAGGCAGCTTGAAGAAGCTAAGCGTAGATGCATGCAGTCGGAAAGCGAATTACAAAATGAAAGACTAAAATCAACACTTTTAGAAGAAGAAAATGAAAATCTAAGGCGAGAAATCAGGAGAAAGGAAAGAGATAGGAGTGGAAACCAACATGTTGAAGGAGAAATAGAAAGAATAAAAGCTAATCTGGCATATAAAATAAAAGAAATAGAACTGATGGCAAAAGAACTCCAAGCCAGCAAGGCTGAACGTGAAAAATTAAAAGAACACATAAAAAACACATGGCAAGAATTTGAAGCTTTCAAAACTCAAAGTGAAGAAAACGTAAGATTTAGTTAGAGAAGAAGATTGCAACAGACGCTAGATGAAGTTTCTGCTAATCAGAATTTTGTGCCGCAAAGTGAAGCTATTGCTCAAGTTTTGCAGCAGAAAAATAAAATTGCGCTGGAGCTGCAAAAATCTGAAAAAAAATCTGCAGAAATGAAAAAAATGATTGAAAATCTGAACAGTGAGAAAATAAAGGATATAGAGACAAAAGAGAACGAAATAAAAAGATTAAATGAGATTTCAAAGAAACAAGAGGAAATTATATTGAGTATGAAGCAAGAAAATGAGCAATTGAAAATTAGAAGCAAAACAGAGCATAAAGAAATACAAACAGAAAGACCACCGGAGATTATTTTGCCTCCTTGCAGTGAAAGAGAAGAGCCAAAGCCTGAAAAAGTGAGAAAAATAAATCATGAAAAGTCTCCTGACATTGAAGAAGTCAGAGAAACTCCAATTGAAGATATAGCGCCACCTCCAAAGGCTGAAGAAATGAAGTTTGAATTTTCTGCCGAAAGGAAGCCTATTGGAAGCCATTTTGAAAAAATAAACCATGTGAATTTATCTGATCCCTTTATGATGGCAGAAAATCCAGCTAAAAAAAGCAAAGAAGAAACTAGCTACCAGGCATTTCAGCCTATTTCAAATCTTTTTGATGCGGAGTCTTTTGAAGAGGACATAAATCCTGAAATAACTAGGATTCCTCCTTCAGAAGCTAAAAGCGACCCAGAAGTGCAAACATGGACTCAAGAAGAAAATAAAGAAATTCCAAACAAAAATATTGAAGCGGCAAATTTCTTTGAAGAAAACACAAATACTGACTTCTTTTTCAGCACTGGCGCAAGTGATGCTACTAATTTCTTCGATAATATCGATCAGTTTAGCGTATCTAAGCCAATTGTCCACGCTTCTGAGATCAAGAACCCTCAACAAAACATTAAAAAACCTATTTTGGAAGCTCCTAAAGATGATATTACAGCAATATTTGACCCTAAGCCTAAAAAAACTATTTCGGAAGCTCCTAAAGATGATATTGCAGCAATATTTGACCCTAAGCCAAACACTCAATCTCAACATAGCAAACAGCCTTCTCAGCATTTATTTAATGATAATATCGAGAGTCTTTTTGATTCTAAGCCTCCACAAAAGCCTCAAAAGCTTGACCAAACTCCTATAGAGTCATTTAATCAGAATATAGAAAGTCTATTTGATTTTACTCCAAATGTATCAAATCCTTTTCAATTTAATGAAAATATTGAAAATACGTTTGAAATTAAAGAGCCTGAAACAAATGCATTAAACTATAAACAAAGCTCTCCACCAGTTCACAAAGCTACTCAAGGTCAATCGAATAAGCAAGAAAACAGCCAGGCATTTCAATTTGAAGAAAGCGTAGCTGATTTCTTTTCTAATGTATCCAACAATAAAGACTCAAACAAGAAGTATGGAAATATTCCTAGCAGTTTATTTGATTAATATGTTTTTATGCTAATAAAAGACTTTTAAATCGTTAGATCAAGATTCCTTTAAATTACAATAAATTATTTATTATTTGATAATTGCTTTGCCTAGACTTTTTACTCTTGGCGCTAATAAAGGTAATAAAATATTTTAACGGCACGGTGACACAGCGTCTTTACCATCAGGTAGCAAGTGCAGGCCATTGCCCGGAGGGAGCAACACAATTTACCGAAGGCTGCGATTTCCAGACTGGCGAGCAGGGGTGGAGTGAAGCAAGTGACGTGATAAGCCGACATGACTAACTGGGAGCTTCTCTATAATCTAATTAAGTAAGTAAGTAATAAAATATTTTAATTTTTTCAAGCATTGCGATAGCTTTTTGATACTCTTGGATCATCTTGATCACAAAATCTTGCTTTTTGCTAATATCCACATCTATTATAAAGCATTATATAAACTATGGAGATCTAAACTCAGCAGATATATTTTTATTGACTCATAAGATCTTTGAGATGTGCTACTCAAAGGAGTTGCCAGCTATCCTCTACTTTCTGGGAGATGGCTTATCTCTTGCATCATTTCATTTTTGATAGCTTTAGCATGAACTGATCAACTTCCTGTTTCAATTTTAGCCTTTTTGGCGAATTATAACTGCTTTTAGGCTGAATATATAATTTTGGATTATAAAAATAGCATTAAGCAACCGATTTCTAGGTCCTATTGGTATATTTATATCAATTAAATCTTCTTTAGTCAAATATTGCAAATCCTTCATAAGAAATTTTATTTTCAATAAACATTGGTAGTAAACCTTCAAGATCTCGATGATTAAAAAATTCGCTTAATCGGTTTTTTGTTTTGATTTTTTCCATTTATCAGATTGTGTTTTTTAGGTAAAGTTTTAGCTTTGATTTCAGATTTATCATAGTTTAATCTCATTGAGCCTGAGCTTAATTCACGAGTGTAATGAAGATTTTTTGTTTAAGGAAAAGAACCATACTTTGATTTAAATAAATTTTGAGATTGCTTTATTGATATAACATTTGATCAGCTCTTTCTTTTATATCATAAAGACTTCTCTCTTTTAATGTTAATCTTTGCGATTATTTTTGCCACTATAATGAATTTCTTTTTGATATTGAGACATATATTTTTTATTTTACCTTCAACCCTTTTATTATTAAATTAATATTATAATTTGAATAATCGAAAAAGGCAGATAAATACCTTATCAATTATAAAATCTATCTTATTTAATTGGCTTATAGTATAATATTTTACATGATGCTAGATATTTTATATAAATAAAAAAAAATATAGTAAGGTTCATATTATGTAATATAAACAGTCGTGATAAATTTTTCCCTATATCTCTGAGTCGTTGTAAGGCCAATCACACGCTCATTTGCCCTTACACCCACATGGTTCAAAATCACATGTGGCGGTATCGGCAGCTCATTAGGTGGCAAATTGTTTTCTCCTGCAAGTTCTGCATTAGTCTGCGTAATTGGAGAATTATGCGGAATAGTCTGTTTCTGCCTATAATCAAAAGAATTAGAGTGATTAGCTAGTACATATTGCAAATGTGTAGGCAGCGGGTCAGGGTCCATAGTTGTCAAATCAGCGCACAGCTCCTGTGTATACATATTCCCCATCATTTTCTGGTCCTCAGCTTCATATTTTGGCTCAGGGATGCTGCTTGTATCTATCCAATTGTTAATATTTCCATGTTGATCTTTCTTTATAGGCTGATCATGGGCAAATCTCCATTCATTGTCAATAATAAATTTATAATCGTGAACTCCTCGTTCTAGTTGTTTTTCTAGGACAAATTCGTTGCCTCTTTTTTCCATTCGGATACGTTCTTTCCAGTTGTTGAAAGAGCCAATGATAAATGCTTCGTTGCCGCCGTGGTTCCACTTGAAAGTGACTGTAACTATATTGGGGTCTTGAACAGGAGTATTTTCTACCAGTGAAGATGCAATTGAGCTGCCTTGGCTTGTATCGTCGAGGTTGAGGCTGTCTGTTCTGTCAAGGTCTTTTTGGGCGTGGATGAAAGAGTTGGTTTGATTGCTTTCTGGGCGACTTGTTTGAGAACCCATTAAAGTTTTATTATGATGGAGTTTTTTTTAAAAATATGATATAGAAAGAGCCCTGCTGACTTTACTCTGTGAATGCAGAAAAGGCATTAATGCTAGCTAATAAATAGGCAAGTTGACATTTTATTCGAAAAGGCCTGGTTCTGACTAATAAATTTTGATTAAATACGATTAATTAGCTGTTAGTAATGCTTGTTTATGCAAAAGCCAACTATAGAGTTTTGAAGGTCCTTCTCCTCTTGCAATGCCTCCGTATACTAGAGCATCTCGCACAACGAATGAAAGACTTTCTGCTAATGCGCAAGTACTTGCATGATAATTAGGATTTAACTTTGCGTGATTTCCTCTAGCAATTTCTTCAACTTTGTCTATCCTTTCTCTCTATAAATATTCAAATACTGTCTAAAGATTTATTTTAGAAAATAAATTAATAAATTCAAGCTACTCACAATAAAGAGTATAAATTCTCAAAGCTAAAATCAAAAGAGCTGGCTTTTTCCTCAATCACATCACTCAATATTTTCCCTTCATGAAGATCTTTGTTCTTTATATCCCTTAAGAAATCTTGGCACTGAGCCCAAGCTTCTCCGCTATTTTCCTGGATTTTTTGCCCTAGGAGCTGTAAGAAAAGTCTCAATACAAAAATAGTGTCCTCTGGAGGGGTTATTTCGAGATAAAATTTTTCTTCTTCTAATTCATTGAGAGCTTTTAATGACTCTTTAGATTTCTCTGATAGTTCAAAGGCTGGCTCTTGAGGTTCTGGGTTTTCTGAGGTAAGTTTTTTTATTGCTTCTTGGACTTCTTCTAAAGTCTTATAAGAAGGCTCATCTATGGCTTCAGAGACAGGCTCTTCAACCTTCTTTTCCTCTTCTACAGGAGCTGGCTCTTCGACTTTCTTTTCTTCCTCAATCTTTTTGGTTTCTTCTTTTTTCTTGCCAGGGACTTTTTTCTTCTCTTCTTTCTTCTCTTCTTTCTTTTTAGGTTCCTTTTTCTCCTCTTCTCCTCCTTTTTTCTTCTCTTCTTCCTTTTTCTTCTTCTTTTCCTCTATCAATTTATTTTTCTCTTCCATGTCTTTGCGCTTTTTCTCAGCCTCTTGAGCTTGCTTTTGTTTGAATTCTTCTTTTTTCTTGGCTTCTTCTTCGGCTTTTTTCTTCTTTGCCTCTTCTTTTTTCTTATTTTCCTCTTCTTTTGCTTTTTCTTTGGCTTCTCTCTTCTTTTCTTCTTGCTCTTTTTTCTTTTCTAGCTCTTCTTGCTTCTTTTTCTTGATTTCTTCTTGGTGTTTTTTGATTTCTAGATCTTTTTGAGCCTTAAGTTCAGCCTTTTTCTTACTTTCCCTAATTTGCAAAAATCTTTTTATTTGAACATAATTTGGAATTTTTTTATATTTTAATTTGAAGAAATATATTAAAATCTATTATTAATTTTTGAAAAATTCAATTATATTTATAATAAATTTTATTGAAATATGCAGTTTTTGTTCTTTCCTAATTATGAAATTAGCTTCTTCTTCCTTTTCTTTTTTTAGTTCTTCATTGACAGGGCTGGTTGCTCTACCAGTAGTTGCACGTGTTGTCTTAGGCCTTTTATCTTTTTCAGGAGGAGAAATATCCCCAACATTTATTGAAAGCCTTGGTTTGCCAGCTGACCCAGTCCTTTTTGAATCTTTTCCATTAGGTTCTAATTTCTTAATAAGCTCCTCGAGGTATGTTCTTTGAGTGTGGATGGTTTCTTGAAGTGGAGAGAGTTTAGAATCAATCATTTCTTCAACGAGGCCTTTGATTGCTGTCCAATCCATATTTTTATATATGATTTATTTTAACTCGGTAAAATTACTTATGGACTAAGGGGCTGAGACTATAAGCAAATCCGTAAGAAATCGATCAGCATCTATAATTTGTACCAAAAAGAAATTGGTTATTTGTAAAATATATTGGATAAGCTATTCGAATTATTACTTTTTTGAAACTGCTTAAATAGCAGAATGAATACATTTGAATTTTTTAAAATATTAAAAGAATAAATTAATATTCGAAATAATAAATGCAAAAATGACAATTTTGCATTCTTGCTTACCCACTGTTTCAAAATTTTTTTCCCATTTTTATAAATTCGTGAATTTTCTTATTTTTAATCTAGCGTTTTAAACATAACTCTTGGTAGCCTACTTCTAGCTCTCATAATCTTCTTCATGCATATTAATCTATCTTTGAAAAATCTAAATATCATACAGCCCTAAACTTAATAACGCTGCAGCTAAAAATTTATTTTATTAAATTTTTTTATCTAAACCTTTGAATTTTCAAACGTTATGGATTAATGTTTCAATAAATTATGAATTACTCTAATTAGCATTATCTTACTTAAACCATTATTTTGAATACCAATGCTGTATATAGTATAACTCCGAGCACAGAATTAGGATCTAATCTTACTGTGGTGGTGCCAGAGAATTTCTATTTCTCCATCTTCCAAAATTTGTAAAAAGTTTTTAGTTTTTTATAATAACTCTTAACTCTCCCTCAGTCTTAATTGAACTTTTCGATTTAGAAGACTAAAATATTTTTAGTATAAAAATTTTTATAACTAATAAAATTTTTTATATGAGCTCGTGATAAGGGATAGAGAATATGCAATATATATGCAAACACGCTTTACATTATATTAGAACACTTAAGGGCAGTCATGCAATATAATCTCTAATATTGATTACTATAAAATAAGCAGTTAGATTTAGGTATTTCAATGGTTTTTCTCGATCAAGTGATTGAGTGGGAGAGTAATAAAATTTCAAATCTCTCATCTATAGCATCTAGTCAAATTTAAGATATTTAAGATTAAAAAGTAAAAAATTGATTAAAGTTAATATCTTAATTTATCTATATATAAACAAAAATGCAAGAACAGTCAAGGAAGCCAAAAGGAGGATGGAGGCAGCTGGAATTTCGGTACGTCATGTGCATTCCTACATCTCTCTGTGCAATTTGCATATTTGCTGTTGTCTTTGTGATATCTCTCATACTCGGAGCAGTCCTTTTATCCTACTCATATCAAATCGTCGATTACAAAGCTCGTTATGACGATATATGTGAAGATAAAATTAATAAAATTTGCCCCATCAGATTAAATTTCACTGACAAGTTATCAAAGATAATTAAAATATGGCGTCTTCGTCTGGGCATGGCTCCCGGCCATGCAGCCTCGACTCATATTTTAATTATATCCGGCAAGGTTTTTACCATTTCAGAGATGGACAGCAATGCTAGGTAAGCAATTCTGGTAGCTTTCAGAGCCTAGCCCAAGTCTATTCTCAGGGGTGGATTTTTCCTCGTGGGGAAGGAAGGTGCAAGGTTGGAAAGGGGAAGCCCAGCAAAGTCCTCTGGACCATTCGGGCAACTCCCTAGCGTGAAACTGGGCGTTACGTCCCAGGCTTTGCATTTTTCCTTTTTGCCGATAGCCGACCAGAAAAATCCATTTTTTTGGGTTTTTTCGGAAAAGCAACCCATGTACAAGCAAGTAGCTCATCCATGAGCCGTCGAAGACGTGGATATTTGCCCTGGAAGCACCCTGGTGATCAAAGCGAGTTTGTCTCCAGCAGACTGGTGGGCCCGATGCGACGAAAGGCGAGTGATAAACCTGGAGTTGTAACCCCGTAGTGGACGTTAAAGCGATATAAATTCTAATGTAATGTAATGACAAGTTATCAAAGCCAGTCTACCTTTATTTCGAACTGAAAAACTACTTCCAAAATCATCGAAAATACGTCAAGTCATATTGTCAAAACCAACTTGCAGATAAATCCTATGACTCCTCTTCTTGTCAATATTGCTCTCCTTACCTCCGCGCAGATGATTATCCCGATGATAAGCGCAATAAAATAACAAAGCTTGATGGGGTTTCAAAATTTAAAGATCATGATATCGTCAACCCTTGCGGTCTTATTGCTTTTAGCTTATTTCGAGATAAGTTTTACCTCATTGACAAAAGTGGTAACAATATTACAATTGAAGATAATGATATTCATTGGTTTACTGATGATGATTCAAAATCTCATTTTTACTTATAAGCCTTTCTTTGCTTGAAGTTTACCCTCCTCTTCGTTGTTTCTTACAGATGCCTGGCATAACTTTTTCTATAGCTTATTAGTTTTTTTTCTCTCTATTTCAACAGCTCTCCTTCCAGCTTTCCTGCGAATTAACTTGTGTCCTTCATGGGCGCTAAAGATCCCAGTATTCATTACCTTGGGTTTGTGGTATACTGGATGGCGTTATAAATTGAGAACCTTCGGCTATATTCTTTATCATTTCTGAGAAAATTCTTTAAGTGTGGTCAAACTTTGTAATCAAAATTGACAAAAAAGAATTTTCTATTTAGAAAGAAATGAAAATTTGATGTCACCATATTTTTATTATTGTGATTATGATTCAAAATACAAAAATTCTGATGACTATAAGCAAAAGCAATATAAAGACTTTGAAGATCCACATTTTAAAGTTTGGATGAGGACTTCAGCTACTTCTACTGTAAGAAAACTTTATGGGAAAATTGATAAGAACTTGGATGGGAAAGATATGTGACTTAATATTTCGAATTATGAAGATTATAGCGATTTTGATGGAGAGAAGTGGGTTATTTTTAGTACTACAACAGGAATTGGAGGGAAAAATTTGGTTTTAGGATGGTCGCTAATTGTTATTGCAATTTTAAGCATGGTTTGGATTATAGCATTTAGTTTGATTGCTTATTCGAAGAAATCTGTAGATCTTGAGGCGGAGTTGAAGAAGCTATTATAAAAATTAAAATTTACTCCCCTTCCATTTCGTACAAAAATTTTTTTACTCACGGGGGCTATAGTTTTATTTTTTTGAATTAAAAAAATCGCAAAATGAGAAAGCAAATATATATTTAATTTTTAAAATTTAGGTTTTTAAAAGCAATTTGTTTAAAATAAAACAGAATTAGCTAAGATTTCATTATAATAATTATCACTTATATATATCAAAATTTTTTGTTTCTCTAGCAGAGGGTTTTTTCAATGGTTTTGCTCGCTCACAGAGAGGAGTTAGAAAAATTGTAGCTTAAATTATTTATTCTTTTTGAGACCGCATGCACCATGAAGAAGTTTTTCGTCTTATTGATCATATTTCTGATGAATATTTAGCAAGATATTCTATTAGCACTGTAGAAATAGACTTTGATCAGCTTCTCCAAAATAGCATAGGCTTAGTGCTGCTTTCATGTTATATATAAAAAACTCAAACAAGGAATAAATTATCTCGCTGATATCGGCACCAATAGTTGAGTAAAGACAGATCAAGTGTGCTAGCATAATCACTTATACTGAGAAGTAAAAACACTATATGAAATATCTTATTGTCGATAAAATGTAATTATTATTGAATGGATCCTAATTAAAGAATGATATATTAAGCTATAAAAATGAGGCCCACACAAAATACTTAAAAACACATTAACGCCATAGCTCAATAGTGAAATTTATACACTATTATCTAAATTTAGAATTAAAACATCAATTGGATGCTGATATAGTTTTGGATCAATTTTAATCACTGTCTTTTCTTCTACTTCTTCGTCATAAATTGGCTTTCTTCCTTTGCCAGTCAGAGTATAAAAAACTACAATTAAAGCAATTAATAAAATTAAACCAAACGAGTTTATTACAGAATTTGCTGCAAGCCACTCAGTTTTTCCGCTTAGAATCATAGTACTAGATGTCATAATTTGCATAAAATAAGCTGATACCACCATTCCGCAAAGCAAAGAAAAAAGGATGGGATATGCTGAGGAAGTGATATCTACATAATAAACGCATAAAAGGTTGTGGAGATGTATATAATACTAAATAGCAAATACTCGGATAAAAAAGAAAATGATGCTTGGTATCAGAATTATCGGATAAACTATAGAAAAGCTTATGCAAATAATTAAAGTATTCAAGGTAACTGCGAATTCCATTGAAAAATCAAAATCATCTGCACTATATGCTAAAGCTTTCTCTATTTCTGTATAAGCTCTCAGCGATTTTGCCTTGACTTTTGCATATTTTGGGAGTATTAATAAATCCAAACCATTTTTTATAAATGCTTGATGGACCATAAAAATTGTAAAAAATTCGCCAGCAGCATTATGGCCTCTTAGTCATAACAGATTGCTATGAGCTAGCCTTTGTGACTAAAAATGTGTTGATTATATCATTTTTATTAGACCGGTTAATTTAAAAATGGCAATTTTAAAGAATTATTTTATTTTTTAAAAATTTAGAACTGATTCATCAAAAATAAAAAAATGCATTAGACAATCTAAGACATAATGATTGCGTTAAAGCATTCTATTTCAGTGAAGAGGCTATAATGCTTGTAGCAAGTTCATTTTTCCAGTCATTTTCTGAGGTTAAAATCATCTCAATTATTTGGTAAAATTGTAGTCCAAGGACTGGATACAAAAATATATAAAATGCCAAATAAAATAAATATTTTTTAAGACAGCTGTTTGTAGCTTCTGCTGAATTGTAATGCTTTTCTAGCTTTACAAGATAAGATACAGCCCGAGGTAAGATAATTTGTTGGTAAATTAGAAGAAATAATGAAGGCAAATACATCCCAATAGCATTCCCAATTGAAGATCTTACTCCTATCTCTTCAAGCCCTGTACTTATATACAGAGAAAAGGACGAAGGAGTTAAAATTACAAGAAAAATAACAATAAACAGCAAATTAATACAAATTCCTGTGTAACTATGATAATTTTCCGGAGTGCCTATATTTTCTCATATAATATCTGAAGGAGCAGGGGTTTCATTTTTATGTCAATCTAAACTCTGAAATAAATCATTCCTTATAGTATATCAGAAATAAAATGGTGACGTATGACGGAGTTGAGCTCCGAGGTGTCTCTCCCATTTTGGGCAAGGCAGGGCTCCACAAATCCATTCGACCGAAATAAGACCGGGTTGGGGTCTAGTAGGGCATGGAGAAGGAGTCTCTTGTCCTCCCCGGTTTAAAGTTTTATTTCTCCGCAGTAGGTTTGCCCAGCCCAGGCTGGGTTTTGTCCTACCACCTAGTCCTTCTCTGTCGGGACTAGCGGAGCGCTCAGACGCGGGCGAAGAACCCAGGTGGGCTAACCCTTGGGTTCGAGTGGTTCAGACCGGAAAACCAAGTAAAGCAATGGGAAGAGGAATTTCCCGCTTGGAGCCGAGACGGGGCAAAGGCTAGTGTGCAAACACTTATGGCCAGTTTAACACTTTAACTAACTAACTTATAGTATATGGCTCTGCAAGTTCTCTAGATAAAGATCTGTTACAACAAATAACAAAAGCAGCTCCTGAATTTGTATTTTGTGAGTTATTTATATTTTCTTTTATCTTTTTAGCAATATCTTCCATACTTGATTTAATATTTTCAATGAGATTTATTGGATTAGCCTCATCAGATAGTTTTTGTGATGTTCCTTCTATCCCTAATTGTTCTTGGTGTAAAAGATAGCTTAATTTCAGAGAAAGTTCTTCGTATTTTTTATAATCTTCAATAATTTCTCCATAATCTGGAACCACATAGACATTCATGATTCCATTTCCATAAGTTTTTTTCAATCATAAATGAAGCTTATGGCTGAAATCTCTTGGCCCATATTGCCTTGGAATGTTTGAAATATAAACAACGTAATCTTGAGGTAAATCTGCTAGTATCACAAAATCAGAATTGACTGCTTTTTTATAATAAAGCCTTGCAAAAAAATAAACCACAAGTGAAAAAAGTAAAATTGTCAATGCTGGCAAAATTAGTCCTTTATCATCTTTAATGATATGAGTAATACTATATTGCCTTAAATCTTTATAAGAATCTGAGCTTCCATAATAGTAGATTGGGATAAGAAAGCATAAGCCAAAAAATCCAATACAATACAATGTGTATAATATATACCTATGAAGAGTTATATACAAGAATCCTCACTCGCCAAGATATCCTGATATTTCCAGATCAGATAGTTTCATTATCATCCATGAAATTTCAGATAAACTATATTTCGCTTCATTCATGCAAGGCTCTTTAAATTCGTTATCGCCAAGATCTAACTCAATATTTTGACTTCTTAGTTTTCTATAAATAAGAAATAATATAAACAGAACCAAAAATATACAAAAATCAAGCATAATAGAAAACCCAATAGATGATAAATTTTCTGCCATTTTCTGCGAAATTATTATTAAAAATTGCAGAAATCATTTTTTGGTTTATTATAAATAATCACAAGCTTTTTGATAATATTTTAAAAATGTTATTTAACATTACCATACTTATATCAATATCTTTACAGCTAACTACTGGCTAGCTTTTCTACTTAAATTCGAAAAAGTCCTTACATTCACCCTTTTACTTGTACTTGTTGGTGGATATGGCACTTGGTTATCTAAATTAAAAGCATCAAATGCAATCCCCACGTCAATAATACTCAAGTTTTCTTCTCCACAGATGTCAGAAATTATTCAAGGCTCTTCACTTATTAATTTTGCTGGATCTTTGGTATTCATGAGGACTCTTCTTACTCTTACAAAAATGTCATCTCCTAGTTTGCTTCTTAAAAAGTCTCCCATCAGCATAGGCCTAATAGGAGAGCTTGGGCATTGCTTTAATATACTTTCTGAAAAAGTAAAGCACCTTTGTGAAGACCTTGACGTCGCTGAGCCGTCATTTTTTGACGGAGGACTTTTTTTAGCACATTGGGAATGGGTAGCTGTCTGAACATTTGCTGAATCAATAGGAGTTTCTGGCTTATGGCTAGATGGAGCTGATGTAGGATGTATTGGGTTTGATTTATGAGGAATGTGAGTGGGGGTAGGGATATTAATAGAAATTTCTTTTTGGTAGCCTTTTTTGACTTTCCTCATGTTTATGCTGAGCTCTTTGCGCTCCTCTGTAAAATTAAAATTGGGCATCGCCAAAATTGCAGATGCTGAAGGCCGAAGATCTTTGCTTTTATTTAGCATGGATGAAATCAAATTTTTTAAATTTTCACTGTATTTTTCTGGGATAGGAGTTGGCTCTGTATTTAATATTCCATTAACTACTGCTATAAGGTTTTCTCCTTCAAATGGCCGTTTTAAGGTACAAAGCTCATATATAATGCAGCCCAAGCTTCATATATCTGCTTTATTATCATATGGCTCTCCTTTGCATATTTCTGGAGCCAAATAGTAAGGTGTTCCTACACTAGTCACAGCAAGTTCATCGCTGAAATTGAGGATTTTTGAGATCCCAAAGTCCCCAACTTGTACACCTCCGTCTTTTGTTAAAAAAATATTATGGCTTTTTAGATCTCTGTGAATAACCTTATTGTTGTGAATATGGTTTAGCGCTTCAGCGAGTTGTCCAACCCACTTCCAAATTTGAGTCTCGTTAAAACTGCTATTTTGATCTTTAACTGATCGAATTCGAGCAGCAAGATCTCCACCTTCGGCGTAGTCCATAATAATGCAGAGATAGCTGTCATCAATAAAGCTTTCATGGTACTGAATCACATAGGGATGGTCTAGCTGCTCCAGTACATTTACCTCTTTACAATTGGGCTGTTCAGTTTCTAAAGGCACCTTTTTCATTGCAACTAAGGCACCATCTTCTCTTTCAACAAGAAAAGGGTGAGATATGACGTGGGTATTTGGTATTCTGTGAGTTGATCTGCATCCAGAGGGGTGAAGCCACATCATGGCAGCTTTCTGGGTGGGTATTTTGGTCTAGAGTCTGATTCTCTACCTTTTTTCTGGCTCGGAGACGTACCTACCGGTGCAATGTCACTCAGCAATTAGCAATATGAAGCCTGTATTATGGCTCAGATGGCCAGGAGGAGGCAAAATGGTTCATCCAGACTCTGAACCTTGTCGGAATTAAGGGAGTCTTCGTTTCCGGGACCAAAGATAGGGATAGGGTGATCTCCCCGAGAGAGAACTCCTATGCCACCATTTTAGGCAACTTCAGGAATAAAAGAGCAGGTGCGAGGATAGCGCTTAGCTCAACACGGAGCTATACATGAGATGGCGAGGGACTGAAATAATCCCTATAGACCCGCTAGAATTTTAATCTAATCTACACAATTAAAATGGAACTGCTTGGCAAGGGTAGTTCCCATTATTCTGGGCTCAGTGAAGCGTAGCTTTGGTTCTTCTGAGAGTTTTACCTATAGAGACAATATCCACTGACATTGGATAGTGGTTAAAGAGTATTCTTTGATACTGGAGGCGAGTCGATTTTTTAACAGTCGTGTAGCTGCCGATCCTTTTCTTAGAGCTACACTCGTATCTCACGTGTAAGGCTTCAGAAAACAAATACGAGCTATTTAAGAGTTGTCTTACTATCTATAGTGAACTACACTGACTGGCACGGGGTGCTTTTGGCTCAGTTTCGAGCCAAAAGCACCCCGTGCCAGTCAGTGTAGTTAACTATAATTAGATCTAATTTCTTTCAACAAGCCAAACTTCACCGTAACGACCTCTTCCTAAATTTCGAAGCTTTCTGTAGCGATCCATGTTAATAATTTATAATATAGAGATATAATATATACAATAAATAAAAGCATTCTAATGATTCGCCATTATCACACATGCTAATTTAAAGTAGGAAAACGGAAACCAGTAGGAGTACTTATATTCACAGTAGTTAGGTATAAATTTTTCTTACGAAAATGCTTGATGATTTTTAAAGATCAAGATTTTTGTGATTTTTAATGTGTTTTGTGTGCTTCAGTTGGATAGGATTGAAATTTAAAAATATCGTTATGGTGAAAATTTCAATGCAATTTATTTTTTAAATCGTTGATATAAATCAATGGCTTTAAAATTTTATGATTAAATAGCTGCTTATCCTATGAATAAATCTTTAAATTATTTAATTAGCTATTAATCGTAAAAATAGTTGAAAAAGATATTCGGGAAAGTTAATTTCAAAACAAATAATATTTATTCGACAAATTAAACTTAAAAGAAATATAACTAAAAATGGAAGACGAATATGAAAGAGAAGGAGTCGATACTTCCTTACTCCCCCCCTTTGTGAGTGAACAAAACCATTGGAAAAATCCCTATTTTTTGCCCCAAAAACCCACCCTCTCCGTGAGTGAACAAAAATTTTTTTAATAGAAAAAAAATTTTGATATATAAGTGATAATTAGTGTAATGAAATCTCAAGCTAATTCTGTTTAATTTAAATAAATTGCATTTTAAAACATAAATTTTATAAATTAAATTAAATATTTGCTTCCCAATTTTTGCAAATTAGGATTTTTTTAAAATTTAGAAAAAAAAAAAATTTTCTATAAAATTTATATATAAATTTTTTTTAAAAAAAAAATTAACTCCGTGAGTGAACAAAATTTTTTTGTTTCACTCACACACGAGGGGGGAGTTAGAAGATTTTGAATCATATGAAAGCTATTTGAATTCACATATCAGCGAAATAGATCGCTATTACTTAGAAGATGAAGATCTTGCAAGACAGCTTGTTGAGCTTGGAATCCAAGGAAAAGGGGAAATCCTCACTAGAGATGAATTCGAAAAACGGAAGAGAGACAATGAAGCAGCAAAAAAAGCCAAACAAGAAAACGTGCCAAAGAAACTAGCGAGCGCTGATAAAGATCTGACAGGAAAGCCTTTTCTGCAAGCCTTAGCCAAAAGAGAAGAGCAAGTCCGCAACGGCCGACTCACTACAATCATTTTTATAAGAGATCTGCAATTCAAAGGAAATAAAAAAAGAGAAATATCAGGATATATTGATTATAACCATAGATTAAAGACAGAAAACTTTGAAGAGTATTTTAATGGGACGAAATTATTGCTGCCGACTCCTCACTTCCCCCTTTCTAAGTGAACAAAAAATTTCGTTCGCTCACGAAAAAAGGTTATTTTTTTTATTAAAAATTAAAAAAATCCTAACTTGAAAGCAAATATTGAATTAATTTTTGCAAAATATATGCTTTAAAAATGCAAGCCAATAAAATTAAACAGAATTAGCTAGAGATTCATTATATTAAAAAAATTTCTATGAAGGGTGAGTTTCTATACAAAAAATAGCGATTTTTCCAATGTTTTTGTTAGCTCACAGAGAGGGGAGTCAGGATTTAAGCTACTATTATTGGGATGGACAAAAGACAAGTATCAATGAAAGCCCAAATTTTAGAGTAGACACTTACAGCGAAAGTGGCTTGCAATTTAAGAATAAAAGAGATAGAAAAATCATAAACGTTGATCCAGATGCAGAATCTCCTGGAGATAACACACAAAGGATTGAAATACCAACTCATGAATATGCCCAAGTTGTGTTATATGATCATTATACACGTCGTAAAAATTAATTATTTATTATTAAACATCCTTATAAAATTTGTACTATAAATCTTCTATTTTTATTTTCTGGCTGTTTGAGTCTAGATATCTTCCAATTTCTCTAGATCGGTCATCATGCTTTGAAATATTCAAATCCAAGTATCGGGAATTAGCAGATTCTTCAAGATTTCTTACTTTTTCTTTTAAAACCTCTTGCTCTTTTCCTAGATTAATAATAATCCCACTTATGTCTTCGAAGGAATCACCTTTGGCGCCTGATCTTGGGGAAATTAGGGCGTCTAATACTGCACAAGAGTTTAGCCTTTTCATGCTTGGATGCTTCTTTTTTGAGACTTTTTTCTTTGCTGAAGTGTTTAATCTTGATGCTTTTGACTTAATTTCCATAATATTATATTCCTCTGCTTTAGCATTTTATTTATTCTCAATTTTTTAATGATTCTATTTATTATTATGGCTAATTTATTAAGGTGGAATTAGGCTTATCTGCATCTTGAACTTTTATTTGTAAATCCTAATTTGCATTTACTCTAATAACTTTTTCTTTTTCAGTCAAAATCTTTGAATACTCCCCAGCTTTCAATTCAATTTTTTTCTTTAAATTATCCTCTTTTGTGTGTTTTTTAATTTGTACTTCCTCAAACAGCTTTTTAAACTTTTCTGCTTCATGAAGTGCTTGATGATATAGCTTTTTTAATTGTTTTTTCTCCTCTTCAAAGCTTTCAATCAACCTTTTTCTTTCTTTTTTCCAATTATTTGCATCAATAGCATGCTCTTCAATATGCAGTTCTTTTTCGCTTGCCATGATCTCTAATTGAAGCCTTATCACTTCTTTTTCTTGATTTACTTTAATTAATTCTTCTACAAGCTTCTTTAAATCATTTTCTAAAGAATCAATTGTATCAATCAGATTTCTTTCTCGTTTTTCCCGCTCTGCTATATGTGCAACATATTTTTCAAACCATTCTTGCTTGCAAGAATTAAAAGAATTATCCATGCTTAAATATATGAAATTAGAATTTCCTTAATTAAGTAAGAGTTAGGCTTCTGTTTTCAATATTACTTCAGTAATTTTTTTCCACAATGTATTAAATAATCAGATTAATTGTGTAAATTGAAATCAATGCAGAAATCATCGTCCTTGATGCAATATGAATTTCTTAATTTTTTATTTAATGTGATTATTCTTAATCGGTGTGCTGATGGAGAATTGCAGGAACAAGCTCAGCCCATCCTTTTTGGATTTTTCCTTTCACCATATCAGGGATGTCTCCACTAGGGTCAAATTGTACTAAAAATGTTACCTTGCATCTATTATCAGATATTGGGTCAATATATATTGTCGCCATATTTAGGTTTGCTCTTACACATCCTTCAGTGAGTGGAACTTCAGGAACTTCCAATGATCTTTCTATAATCGTGTATGAGTTTCCTTGAATTCTGGTATCTGAAATATATATAAATTCTCTGTTGCTGATAGGCCATTTCATTGGAAGAACCACAAACACAAGTTTTCTAGTTCCTTCTTCAGCGACTATTTCAGAATTAAGAGGTCCAGGTGCAGCAATTGGATTTGCGGTGTTTCCTTTGCCCCATCTTGTTTCAAGTGACCAATTACTGATGAAATTAAACATCTCTTCAGCAGATCTAGCAAATTCTGATTCTCCTTTTCCTGCCACAAGAGATGCTGTGTAAGGCTTGGTATAGATTTTTATGCCGTTTTTTTCTTCTTCAAAGTGCCAGTCACCATTTTTGAGCTGATCGGATTCGGTTAGTCCTTGAGTGACCAAAACATTAGAACGAGAAACCCAATCTTCCATTTTATTGAAAAACGCATCTTTAATTAAGTGAGTGCAGACAGAAATACATATCAAAATGGATGATAGTAAATTAATAAAATATAAAGAAAATCAAATAGAAAAATTGCAATAGAAAGAAAATATGATAGTAAAAATGAATAATTTTTTATTTTAAAATTTATATTTATAAACATTTGTGAGATTGGGTCATTTTATTGTAGCAGGCAATTAATTGTTAATGTAATATATATTGCTAATTCCTATAAGACAATTATTGCCTAATGGGTCATTTTATTTAGTGGATAAATTCTTCTAAATAAGTAGACAGATTATAAAATACTTATTTAATGATTTATATGATTTTTCATTTTCCCATATTTTTCCTAACTTTAATGAGAACAAAAAAGATAAATATCAAATTGCTTAAGTCAATGTAATAATATCATTAATTATTTATATTTAACTTGAATAAAGTTCTTGAGAATTTATCATAAATTGTTGCTTGTTGTATTTTTGTGCAGGCTGGGGAATTGGTATAGAAACTGAAGTTTTAACTGCATCAAGCTCTTGAAGAGCTGTTACTAAGCTTGTTCTTTGATTTTCTAATTCTTTTTTATATGTATAGCCAATAAAGTTATTATCCTTTCTGATTTTTTTCTTTCTTTCGCTTTCTGGAGGGTAAAAAGGCTCAACTTCTTCAAATTGGTCAAAATTTGATGTGTCAACTTCACTTCTTAACTACATAAAACTTACATCTGGCACCCAAGGTGCTCTTGAATTCCTTAAATTTTCCCAATTAATCCCCATAAAGAAAGGATGGCGCTGTATTTCTTCTACACCATTAATTCCAAGGCGATTTTGACGATCACATATCAGTCTTCTTATCAAATCTGTTACAGATCTGCTTAAATTCGCTTCACGAGGAATCGCCAAAGTTTTACTCCAATGCAGAATTTTTTGACAAGTAATTGAAGGTTCATCAGAGAAAAATGGGGGATAGCCGACAACCATTTCATATAAAATCACACCTAAGCTCCACCAATCAACAGTTTCAGTATATCCATTTCTCTCAAACACCTCTGGAGCAATATAATCAGGAGTTCCTACAGTAGAATATGCAAGCACTCTATTTCTTTTATAGTCACTTTTCTTGTCAATGTATTGCTTTGTTTTGATGTCTTCTTCTATTTTCCTTAAATTTGCGTAAGGATGGTCTGTTTGAATTTCGCTCATCTTACAAAGGCCAAAGTCTGAGAGCTTTACATGTCCTTGAGAATCTATTAAAATGTTGTCTGGCTTTAAATCTCTATGTATATAATTCAATTTATGGACTGAATCCACTGCCATTATCATTTCAGCTATATAAAATCTCGCCTCTGCCTCAGGAAGAATATCCCGCTTAATCAAAATTGTCATTAAATCTCCTCCAGGAAGATATTCCATTGCCAAATACAGGTATCTTTCGTCTTGAAAAGAATATTTCAGCTCAACAATTCACGGATTATTCGCCAGAGCTAGCACATTTCTTTCAGCCCTTATATGCTGGACTTGATTTTTCCTTATCATTTCTGACTTATTCATTTTCTTCATGGCCAGGATTTCACCTGAAATCTTGCTGCGGACCACTCTGACTTCTCCAAATGCGCCTCTTCCTATGATAGCAATTGGCTCAAAATCATAAATTGTCGTCCTTTTTCGTTTTTGTCGAAGCTGTTCTGCTTCTTTGTGGAGGATTTCTTGCTTAATTAATTCTTGGTCTGTGGAGGAGAGACTCAGCTCAGTCATTTTGCGTGAAAGCTCGTTTCAGCCTTCACGTTTTTCTGATTCTTCTCGCTTGAGTTTGGAGTATTTTTGCTCAATATATGCTTTTGCAGCTTCAGCTTTTTCTCGAGAAACAGATGAAATTTCAGGTCTTTCTCTTGTTTCAGGTTTTCTTGCAGAGGTTCTTTGGTCCATGTTATTAATAGTGTTAGATTATTTAATTTATCGATATTTAAAATTATGATAGCAAAATCATGAATTTTTGTGAAACAAAAATAAATAAACAAACAATTTTAACCTAAAACTGTCAATTTTAGGAAAATATTATGATGATAAGAAAATTCTCAGTCTATATAAATATGGATCATTGCTGCGGAAAAGACAATTTTATATGATAAAAAACAGCTGAGCAATCATAAAATCTTTATATTGATTATTTTCAAAATTATTATTATTAAGATAATTGAATTTTTTATAAAAAAGGAAATTATTTTATTATCAGTTCTTAATTTTAAGATTCAAATTGTCAAAGTACTATAAAAAACTAGTTAAATTTATAATTTTAACGTGTGTCAGGAGTGGATAAACTTGCCATCCCTTCAACTTCTTGGCTTGTTGGCCTGCAGCTTTCTACAAGAAAATTAGAAATTGGTGCTTCTTCAGGTTCCCAAGGAACAGGAAGTTTCGGCTCTTCTCTTATAAAAGTATTTTTTGGGTTCACATGAAAAGGCATTGCAATTCTTGCAGGTTTCCCTTTGCAGGATAAATCATAAAACACAAGGACTTCAATTACAAACATGCAGTTAATCATAGGAGTTTGGTTGCTGCTAGGGTTGAGTTCAGCATTGTTCATCTTAAGCTCAGCATTATTCAACGCTGCATTATTTTTTAAGATTATTGGTATTGCAATCATATAAATTACATAGAAAATAAGAGATAATGACCTTAATAATTCTAAAAAAGCTTAAAAATAGCCTAATATATATTCAAAGTCTTTTTCATATACAAGACTGGTAAATGCGCTTATCCATGTAGCTCTTGATATGCTAGAAAGAGTTTTTACAATGCGAAAGGTCTGGCTACTTACAGTGACTTCAAGAACTAATGACACTTCACCTGTCACATAGTTAATTGGTGCTTTACAATTTGTGTTGTCTGGATCTAATTTGTACCTTAAGGTCCCTTCTATTTGGCTATGCTCTTCTCCTTTGACTGAGAGCTTTAAATATGTGTTTCCTTTATTTGTACAGCAGCAGCCATAGACAGATTCTCGGGTTTCTATAGAAATATTTGGCTTGGAGTGTGTTTGTTTATTTCTCACCACAAACATCCTGGAGTGGCTTAAAGTCAAATCTGAATGGTGGGGTAATTCTAATCTGATATTCACAGAATATTCTCACTGAATTGAATAAATTTTAGTATTGGCAAAGCAAATGCTCTATTAGAAAATAAATATTAATTTATGAATCAAAAATTATAAAGCATTTTTCTATGCATAATAAGAAACTTGGGCTTTAATGTAATAATTTCTGGCATCTTCTCCTGCGTAATAAAAAGTTGACGGAGAATATTGAGGAAGCTTAAAATTGAAAGGAAATACATACTGACCTGCCTGAATTCCTTTTTTTCATTCTTTAATGGGAACTTCAAGCCTATAAACTTCGCTCACTTCTTGGATCTTTGCTTTTTCACTAGAAAGAGGCTCGTAGACAAAAACTTCTTCTGCGCCTGTGGACAATAGATATTGAAATGGGGGGGAGCCAACTCAGCCTCTTAATTACTGTAGCTAGAATGCCATAAGGGTATGCAGGGAGCTTAAGGAAGAGAGGTTAGTGTCCGATAATGTTTGCCAATAAGGTTTTCCTGGTTTGGTGAAGCGCAATATAGCTAGCTGGCTGTAAACTTCTTTCAAAATCTAGGTTTTTGCCTCAGAGGGGAATGGAGCACAGTGCTGAAAAGAGATCTCTCAGCAGAGCCATCGGCTATTTTCCCAACCAATCTAGACTGCTTCCTAGAGTGAAATCAGTAGTTACACCCTAGGCTGTCGATAGTCGATCAGAAAATATGACATTTTGAATTTTCCATAGTGAGTAATCTTTGTTGAGATGCGGCAGTGTAGCAAAAATTATTCAAATACAAGGAAACAATCCAGGCCTTGTCCGGCATGAAAATCTTTTGCAAGTTCGTGCTCGAACTGGTGAGCAGATGACTGATGGAGGTAATTATTTGGAATTAGTTAAAACTTATCTATAAGTAATATAATAATGATGCCTGTAGACGATAGAATTAGGGATCCTGCAGGATAATCGCTAGGAAGATTCAGCAAAATTTCACCAGTTACTTTTTCTCCTGCAACATAATGAATGCAGTCAAGGAAAAGAAAGACCATCGGTGACGAATCAGGAGCAATAGATCTAGTTACTTGAGGATTTGGGTGGCCTTGACTAATTAATTCTAAAGTTTCGTCAGAGTCGCTGCTACTGCTGCTAGACTTTACCATTTTCTCGCCTTCAATTTAATAGTTAAGTTGCTTTGAAATGTCTAAGAGCATGAATTTCGCATTATATCTAAATTAAAATTTTAAGAAATAATAATGCAAAAGGCTGATTTAAAAAGATTACATATTAAAAAGCCTACTTATAAAATTTTTGAAGAAAAATAACATTTATAATTATAACGAAAAATCCAGTTAAAGCTAGCAATGCTGCTTAGAGCCTTTAATAATTAAGCTTTTTTAATAATTTTGGTCTTTATATAATACATATTAACATTAATAAGCTAAATAGCTCTTACATTCAAAAATTTTGGCTTTAGCCAAGCCTATCTCCATTTCAATACCCTCAATCTCCAGCTGCCTTTCTTTCTTAGCAAGATTAAGTCTATACCTCTTCTTCCGGACATTATTAATTTTATGGTTCAAGCTGTCTATTTTTGATTTGAGTTCCTAATTATAAGTTACAGAAATCTTTTTCTTACTAGTTTGGATCAAATTTTGGTTTATTTCATATCCTTTCCCTCTATTTTCTGATTCCTCCAGCTTCAATTTTAAAGTTTTTACAGGAGAAAAATTTTCTTTCGTCTGAATTTTTTGATTTTCTTTTCTCTTTGCTCTTTTTTCTTCCATCTCTTTGAAAAGCTCAGCTCGCCTTTCCACGAACTCAATTTTAGACTCAATAATCAGTTTTTCTTTTTCTGAAATTTTCTTTTCGCACAATGCTATTCTATCCTGTAAATTGCTAATTCCTGCTAATTCATTTAATCTTTTTTTAATAAATTCCACCATTTCTTGGGAAACAGCTTGATCATTTTTCGATATGAATTTTTCTTGATCTTTTACTATGCTATTTTTAAGTGTTGCCGTCTCTTTTTCCAGCCTTAAAATCTCAATAGATTCATTTCTGATATGTGTTGATATTTTTTCTTTCTTTTTTGAGTTCTTTTCTTGTCAGATTTTTAGATTTCTTTCTTTTTCAGCCATATCTAAAGTCTTAGTTTTGACGTCTTGTCTTAGCTTGTCAAGCTGCGCTTTATGAAGCTTGCATAGCTGATCTTTGGCATTATATTCTTCTAGCTGAATTCTAGCTTTTTCTGTAAGAGAAGTCATATCAATAGTGTTACTAATCCTATCAAGCTCTAAATCCAGGTCATTGATTTTCCCAACTAAATTATTTTCATTATCTGCCAGTCTTTTATATTCAGCTTTTTTTTCTTCGATTCTAACCTCAATATCATGCAAGTTATGGCTCAGTTTCTGATGATGCCTTTCCTTTTCTTCGATTAAAGATTTTGTATTATTCATATCTCTCATCTTTTTCTCAGTCTGCAATTTAAGCTTGTCGATGCTTTTTTTAAATGCTTCCAATTGAGAACCAGATCTATTTTGAGGTTTTGGAGGGGTTTGTATTTGGATTTTTATTTGTTTGTTGGCAAATCTTTTGACTTGATTTGTACTGATGATGAGATAGCCTTTTTCTACCTTTGGTTTATCATCTATACGTAAGATTTTTAGTTCTGGGTCTTGAGAGATAGTTTCTCTTATAGGAGGATGGTCTAAAAGTCATCGGTGCTCTTTTATTTCGTGAGCAGAAATTCGTTTAACTGATTCTTTTTCAAGCATACGGGAAATTAGGTCTTTTGCCAAAGGGGACATAGAAGCTGGAAATTTTGTTTTGGCAACTGTAATCTTGGTAAGCATATCTTGCTTTCCCACTCCTTTAAATGGTGTATCACCTGTTAATAATTCTTAAGTTTAAACTTATTACAGGTTTGGCTGCTGCATATATTAACGCAGTCACTAAGAAACCCTGCAGGAAATTTACCCTCTTTGCAAAGTCGGCGGGAAAAATTTCTTTGATTTAGATGGCTCATCGGGTGAGCTTAGGCTCGAGCACCACCTTTTTTCTTCTTACCGCCTCACGTCATGACTCTTGCGAAATAGGGTTCAGTGTCTCTCGTCTCCTCCTTGCCTTTCTGCTCCAGTGTTGAGTGGGAAGTCTATGAAATTCTGCGGCTTGCTGCTTAGGTTGACAGCACAAAAATCCCACAAAATGGAATTTCTAGTGGACTATCGGCAGAAAGGAAAAATTTCAAAGTATGGGGGTTTAACTCCCAGTTTCACGTTAGTTATTTGCCCGAATGGTCTAGGCATTACCTGCATACTTTGCTAGGCTTGCCCTTTCCAACTCTGAACCAACTTCTCCATTGAGGTAAAATCATATCCTGAAAGTGGACTAGGGCATATTACCGGAATTGCCGATCTAGATTGCTGCCCATTTCTAGGTTAGCAAAACCTTGCCGACATAATTAAATATGTGCTCGCAGGAATTTGGCATAGCAGACCGCGAAGCGCTGAGACTCCATATTTAATTATGCCTGCTAATAATTCAAATAATAGAATTCCTAAGCATCATATATCAGCTGAAGTATCATGCATTTTTTCTTCTATCATTTCAGGCGGCAAATACTCCAAAGTTCCACACATAGTGTGTCTAGGAGTCTGGGTATCATCAGTATAATAGTTTGACCATCCAAAATCTGTAAGTTTCAATCTTCCATCCTTATCAATCAAAATATTTTCCGGTTTTATATCTCTATGTATAATTGCTGGTATATGCGAATGTAAATACTCTACCGCAAGCACAATTTCTCTAAAATATTGTGCAGCAACACGCTCTACAAAGCTTCTTTCTCTATATAGTTTGCTAAATAAAGTTCCACCTTCAGCAAGTTCCATAATCAAACAAAAATATTTTTCATCTTCAAAATGATTGTAAAGTTTAATGATATGAGGGTGGTCAAGTTCATACATAATGTAGACTTCTCTGCAGAATTGAGGTATCATTCGTATTACTTTTTCTTTTGGGACTTGCTTTAGAGCATACAATTTATTTGTTAATTTATGCCGAACTCTTCAAACTTGCCCAAAAGCACCATCACCAAGTTTTCTTTCAAATTCAAAATCTTCGCGCTGGAGTTCAGGCTCTTCGCCGTTTTCAACTGATGGAGATTCAAATAAATATTTCTTAAATTGTCGGGACATTTGAGCTTCTTTGGAAAAATGAATTATATTAAATATAGGAAAGTTATAGCATATTTAAGATTTTAAATTTTATAATTAGAGAACTCAAAAAATAATAAGGCTGGAAATAATTGTTTTTGCGAGGAAGCTTATTTATCATATTCAAAAGAAAAATATTATTATTTAAAAAGTAAGATTAATAGAAATGATTTATAAATTTCATATTTAATTTCTGGTTGATAAAATCGAAAGAATCTGATATCTAAGGATAAACGAGTTTGGCATTTTTTTCTGTCGGATTTGGAAATTTAAAAGTATTCGTTTTATAAATTAAGGCTGTTACAAGTCTTTATATTTTTTAAGTATTAAAATACATTTTAATGGCATCTTATGCTGAAACAAATTGGCGTGAATTTAAAGTTGATGGAAACGCCAAAGTGGAAAATTCAATATTTCCGAATAATTGTGCCAAATCTACAAGATATACACTACTTACAATCATCCCACTGAATCTTTTCGAGCAATTTCAGCGTTCTTCAAACATATGATTTCTACTTGTATCGGTTTTCCAATTAATTCCTATCAATTTAAACCCAACAGACTCTTGAAGCACAATTGCACCATTAGCAATACTCCTATTTTTTACCCTTATAAAGGATGCCTATAATGACTTGTATAGGTGGAAGGATGATAAAAAAATAAACACTATTCTCTACAGTCGCTGAAACGGGGAAAACTTTGTAAAAGTTCAGTCTAAAGATATGCTAGTTGGAAATATTGTCTTGCTAAATGATGGAGACATTGTGCCAGCTGACATGATTTTATTAGCATCTGAAAAGGAAAAAGAGCAAGTATACTTAGACACTACAGGTATTATTGGAAATGCGATTTTCAAGGAAATTAAAAAAATTTCTGAAATCCAGCGATTTTTAAACTCTGTAGAAGATGATTCAATTTTAAAAAAATTCCAAGCCAAGGTGAGAATGGGAGAACCCAATAGTGATTTTTCAAAATTTAGAGGAAAGATAAAATTAAACGGTTTTCCCAAAGCTTTTGATATTCATGCAGAACAAGCGCTTTTTAGGGGTGCTAAGTTAAATGGGACATCCTGGGCAATTGGATTAATTGTATATACTGGGCATGACACCAAAACATTGCTGAACACAAGAAAGCCTATTAAGAAGACAAGCTCTCTAGAAAGAAGAATAAATAGATGGGTCGGGATCATTTTGCTAATACTATTTGGTCTAGTTGTTTTTTCTATCTGTGCTTATTATTATATATCAGAGAGTTCAGACCGATATTCATACTCAACTTATTCTCTTCCTGAAATGTTTGTGACGTTTACTTTGCTTTTTAACAATATTATCCCAATATCCCTTTTTGTGACCATGGACATCATAAGAATCCTTCAAGTAATTTACATACAAATAAATTCAAGGCAAAGGATAAACTTTAAAACTGGAGATATTAATGAAGACCTTGGACAAGTTGAATATGTTTTATTGAACAAAAGCGGGGCCCTTACTGAATGCGAGTTTACAGTTCAATTATGCATGATTGACTCAGAAATATATAGGAGGGTTGAAAATAATGAGCAAAATCTGATTTCTGATGAAGAAAAAACATTATTTTTGAAGCCAGCTGCTTTTAATATTAATTACACTGAACGTTTTAGCAGCGAAGGCCCTAAAGATGAGGCGAAATCATTCGAAAAGCTTTCAGAAGAACTTAGAGATAAATCCAGTGAACAAAAAACAGAGTTTTTAAAGTGCTTAGCTGTATCTAACTCACTCCCCTCCTCCTTTAAATTGGAACAAAATATCTGTAAATTTTCTCCTTTAATAGGAACAAAATTTAGGAAAATTAAAATATGTGAAAATAAGAATTTTTATAAAATTATTTTTAAACTAATTTAATTGAAAAGTGCAAGTAGAATATTATTTAAACAGCTTTCACACCAAATTGATAAAGTTTTTGAATTAATTTTCTATAAAAATAAATTAAAATTCGTTTAATTTAATATTTTAAAAATATTTTATAGAGAGAATATTAATATTTTTTAAAAAAAAATTAACCTCCTTTAAATTAGAACAAGATTTTTTGTTCAAATTTAAAGAGAAAAGGGAGTCAGCTTTTCCAAACAAAATCTCAAGTCTTTCACCAGATGACAAAGCACTAAGTGCTTTTAGTTTAGATTTAGGAATAAAAATCCTATCAAATTCTACGAATTCTTGTGAAATTGAGATAAATGACCATAAGTATTCTTATACAATACTTGGATCAAAGCCGAGCAATAGTAATTCGAAAAAAGCAAGGGTTATCGTTAGAGCAGGAGAAAAAGAACCTGCCTAAACTTAAAATATAAACTAAGATTATAAGAGAAGCTCTCTGTAGGCTGGTCAAGCGGACCATATTCACCTCTGTAACGCTCCACTGTTGCTTGCCAGCCTGGGCACGGCTTCTTATTGTGTTGCTCCTCACGGGTGAGGGCTTGTACTCGCTACCCGCGACTAGAGGTGCGAGGCCATAATGCCGTACGCTAAAGGGTTCGGCCTCCAGAAAAATCAATTTTCTGGTTACCTCTTGGCCAAGATGGAATCTTGTAGCTCAGGACGTAACACCTGGTATCGCGCTGGGAAATTGTCTCAATTGGTCAGAAGGAACCTCACTGGTGTTCCTGAGTCTCTCCCTTTCCAAATCGGAGTCCCATCTTTCTCCAAGATAATGCCTTGACCTGATCAGCTGCAATCATCCTAATCTGACTTTGCGCTCCACCAAACCAAGTAAAACCTGGTCAGATACATATTCCAAACGTCATCCTCCATTCCACAAGGTCCTTGGATTACCCCAGTTACAGGTGTTTAAGAGGATAGGTTGCTTTCGCCCTGCCATTTTAATTTATATATAAAAGAACCTGCCATAATGTATATAAAAGGGTCATATGAAGCTATTATACCTTTGCTAAAAAATGATGATATCAGGCTGAATCTTCTATTTGACGCAAAGAAAATTATTAATGAAGGAACAAAGCCAGTTTTTCTAGCTCGCAAGGTGCTTTCTAATGAAGAACTAAAAGATTTCCTTCAGAAAATAGAAATTGCAAGGTGCTCCCCTTTAAATATCAATTACAAATACGAAAACATTTATTCAGAATTTGAAAAAAATGCAGATTTTCTTGGAATTGTAGGTATTAAAGATACAATTTTGCCTGAAACTATTGAATGTGTAGAGGCTCTCCAAAAAGCTGGAATAAAGCTATGGCTGGCAAGTGGGGATTCTGAAGATAACACTATTCAGTCTGCATATGGGGCAAAGCTTTTAAATTCTCACACTTCACTTGTTCATATTAAAGGAGCAACTTCTGTATATGGGATCACCAAAATGCTGCAAAGAGTAATAGCAACTCATATTTATCATGAAATAGCAAGGAGTAAATTACCTACTTTTGCTGCTCCTCAGCAACTAGCAAGATTTAATAGTGCTCCTAAAGAGAAAGCATTAAATGACAATGAAGATAATCCTGAAACAGACAGTATTGTTACTCCCCCTCGTGCGTGAGTGGAAAAAAAAAAATCTTGTTCGTTCACATGGGGGGTTAGTTTTTTTTTTAAAAAAATTTTATATATAAATTTTATAGAAAATTTGTTTTTTTTTCGAAATTTTAAAAAATCCTAATTCGCAAAAATTGGAAAGCAAATATTAATTTAATTTATAAAATTTATGTTTTAAAACGCAATTTTTTTTAAAATTAAACAGAATTAGCTATAGATTTCATTATACTAATTATCACTTATATATCAATTTTTTTTTTCATAAAAAAATTTTTCTATTAAAAAAATTTTTGTTAACTCACAGGGTCGGTTTTTGGCAAAAAAATAGGGATTTTTTCTAATGGTTTTGTTCACTCACGGAAGAAGGGAGTTAGTGAATACTTAGAAGAAGCTTCTATAATTTTAGAAGAAATCAGCACGGCAGGCAATGCTACTTTAGCTTATCAATCATTACTAAAAATCGGCTCAACACTTGTTGCAGATGACTACCTTTCTAAACATTTTTTCCCTGAAACCGTCAATTTTTCAGTGTCTTTAGATAGAAAATCTTTTGAAATAGCTTTAAGCGACCAAGATTCAAGAAAGCTCATGGCATGTGTCTTACTAGCTGCAAAATGTGTATGTTTTCATGATTTATTGCCAAAAGACAAAGACAATTTAGTCAAGCTTCTAAAAGAAAATTTGTCTTTTAAACCAGTTGTGCTAGCCATAGGAGCAGGGAATAGTAACATTTCAATGATTCAAGGAGCTGACATTGGTGTAGGAATTCAAGGTAAAACTCATAGCCATGCTTCTAACTTCTGTGAAGTCTCTGTTGAGCATTTTTCTGTATTAAAAGACCTTCTCCTTCTATATGGACATAGAAACTACACAAGAATGTCCAGAATCATTCTTTTATTTTTTTACAAAAATTTTATATTGACTGCTGTAACTTTTGGGTATATTTTTATGAGTGATTACTCAGGAGCAACTATATATAACTCAGGATTACTTGTGGGCTATAATTTATTATATACAACGTTTCCGTTATTTATGCTTGGAGTTTTCGATCTTGATATAGAGAGAGCTAAAATTTTTGAACATCCTCAAATTTATGTGCAAGGGATTGTAAATAAGCTTTTTAGCTGGAAAAAATTAGTTTATTACTCAACTTTGTCAATTGTTCAGGCTGCCATCATTCTTCTGCTTGTAAGTGAAGTGTTTGATAAAGCAATAAATAATGATGGATTTAGTGAAGATCAAAATCTGTTTGGAACAACAATGTTTATATCAACTGTTTTTGTGGCTCTATATCAAATATGAATTGACACATTTTCTTATAACATACTATATTGCATTTCCCATATTCTTTCCTTGGCTCTCCTTGTTGGCTATATATGCATATCAAATGAATATAAATTCCCTAATTGGGAGCAGCTTGGAATTGGCACTGAAATTTCTAAATTTCCAATTTCCCTTATCTCTTTTCTTATAACTCCATTATTAGCAATCGTCCCAGGATACTTCTATAAAGCTTATATTATTTTATTCAAACCAAGTATGAGGGAATTAATAATGGTAGCCCCTGAAAAAGCTGAAGAAATTGAATTTAGCAGGCTCGCGAATTATTCAGGTGGATTACTCAATGCATATCGAGACTCATCAATATGAAAATCCAATAATGAAAAAAACAAATTTGATATGAATTGAATGCTGAAATTTATTTCTCCTTATATAGAAAACCTATATAGAGATCACTATATCCACGACCATATATTAATGTATCGATTGATTTGCGGCCTTATATGGATCATTTTATTGTTTTGGACAATTTATGAAGTCGTCGTGCAGAGTCCATCACTATCTTATACCGTGATAAGGATTGTAATGGTATTGGCCTTTTCAGCTGTATTGCTGTTAGTAATGCTTGACTATTTTAAGCGACATTATGTGTTTTACACGCTCGCCATTATTTTTCTTTTTATTATTGCGATGGCAATAAGTGATGCTAATTATGAAAAAACAGGACTTTTATCGACGTCAATGGTACCAGCAATTTCTTATATTTTGTTTGATGTTGACTATTTGAGCATTACGCTGTTGAATATTATCAATATTGGATTATTCCTAATGGCACTTTTGATTTATTATATAGGCAATTCCAGCTATAGAAATTTCCCATAGATAGCACTGTTTGCCCTTGATTTGCCCACTGGGGAAATTTTTTGGTTCGACCAGTCCCATATGGTTTGGTCAAACCAAAAAATTTTTCTCATGGGCAAATCAAGGGCAAACAGCGCCATCTATGGGAAATTTCTATATGGGAACACTGAAGCTATTTTATTAATAATAAAATCAATGATTTTGATAGTAACACAATTATAATGAATAATAAAAAAACCATTTATTTTTTATAGAAAAATCGAGGTTTGTGTAGCAAAGGATAGCTATTTCAGTAACTTCTGCATTCATTGGCTATTTTCTTGACAAATCTAAAAGAGAAGAGCACAAGTTGATGAATATTACAGAAAATGCTGTAGAAAAAATCCAAACAATATTAAGCTATTTGCTTCCTTCATTCGTAAGAAACCGAGTTAAAAAAGGTGCCCGATATATTGCTGAAGATCAAGGCACAGTCACCGTCCTCTTTTGTGATATCTATGATTTCGATAGAATCTGTAAAGAATACAATCCAAATGAGCTTACAACTTTTTTAGATCAAATTTTCCAAAAATTCGACCAAATGTGTGACACCATCGGTGTAACAAAAATTGAAACAGTAGGTAAAACTTATATGGCCTGTGCAGGATTAAAAGACAGTGAACTTGAAATGAGTAAACATCTAAAAGAAGTGACTCATGCCAGAAGATGCATAGAAATGAGCCTTGCAATTATCAGAGAAATCCAATCAATCAAATTAAAATATGGGTCCACATTACAAGTGAAAATTGGGATAAATTCTGGACCAGTAACTTCTGGTGTTGTAGGATATCATAAGCCTCAGTTTTCTTTGGTCGGCGATACTGTTAATACAGCTAGTAGAATGTGCTCAACGTTGGAGCAGACAAATGCGATACAAATTTCAAAGGATACTTATAAGCTCCTTGAAAATCATAATGGCTTGAAATTTGAACCAAAAGAGGTTGAAGCAAAAGGTAAAGGACTCATGAAAACTTTTATTGTCACTGAATCAATTGAAGGATCTGTGGAAGATATAATCTTGCCAATGAACACAATGATGAACAACCCTCCTATTGCTCAGAATTTTGATCCTCAGTTTGATGATGAAGATGACGATACATATAATATCAGTCGAAGTTTAACTCATTTCGATATTTCTGACAAAAAATCTGCATTTAAAAAAAATGACCCAGGAATAATCAAGCCAGTCAAAATTTGTGATTTTTCAATCAGGGAAACGGAAAACCAGAAGAAGTTCAGACTGGAGCAGACCTTGAGAAATTATGTAACTGTACTACTTGGATTATCAACTGCTGTTATTGCGTATGGCATGCTTTTAGCGGTTTCTATATTAGAAGCATGACTTCTATCAGGATATTCTGATGCTAATATAAGTATTATGAGAATAGTTATTGTGGGAGCATTAATAGGGCTTATTGTTATCCACAGATTAATGAACAAGATGAGGTTCTACCCACTTTTTACCATCCCAGTGCTTCTTTTGATGCTAATTACGGTTCTTTATTCTATTTTTGATGACAAAAAATTTAGTGATGACCTTATAGCCCTTGAAATTATGTACATCATTATTATACTTAACCACGCATCAGACATGCCGCTTTCTGCCATTATTTTAGTGAGTATTGGGATATTTACACCATGGGTTATTGCAGCGGCTTTAAATGGATCAGATTTAGCTAATATTTTATTGGTGTTTGGATTTGCAATTATAAACACTTCTGCAGTTTATTCACGTGAACAAAGGGTGAGAATAAATTTCAATTTACAACATTTAGCAGAGAGGGAAATTCAAGAGACTGACAAGTTATTAGTGCAAATGATGCCACCCCATGTCCTAGAAAACATGAAGCAAGACAAATCTATTACTGATAAGCTGCAAGATGTTACTTTACTATTTGCTGATATTGTAGGATTTACTGCCTGAAGTTCAAATAAAAGACCAAAGCAAATAGTAAAAATGCTAACTATGAGCGAAAAAATTTTTGTTTTCAAAATTTAAAAAATTCCAATTTAAAAATTGAGAGATTATAATTAATTTAATTTGAGAAACTTATGTTTTAAAATGAATTTTTTTTTCAGAATTAGCTAGAGATTTCATTATAATAATTATCACTTATATATCAATTTTTTTGTTCGCTCATAGAGGTTGGGCTTTTGGGCAAAAAATAGGGATTTTTCCAATAGTTTTGTTCGCTTGCAGAGGGGGAGTAAGCGAGTTATTTACTCAGTTTGACAAAAAATGTGTAGAACTTAGTGTGTATAAAGTCCACACAATCGGAGATTGCTATGTGGTTATGGGATACAATGGAAGTGCTAACAGAGATATTGGCAAAGAATGCTTAAATATGCTGAAAATGGCTCAGAATATGATTGAGATTATTAATGCTGTGAATTTGCTTCATGGATCTGAGCTGAACATGAGGATTGGTCTTCATACAGGAACTGTCATTGCGGGAATTATTGGCACCAACATTGTGAGATATGATATTTATGGACCAGACGTGCTTATAGCCAATAAGATGGAAAGCAATGGTAAGCCAGGGGAAATCAATGTTAGTGACAAAACAAAAGAATTATTGGAAAAAAATTATAATGGGGAATTTGAATATACTTTTAATAAAGAAGTACCTGCAAAAGCAATTGATAGAGTTCATCAATCATACTTCATAAAGCCTGCAAATTAATTTCAAATAATTAATTATTAATAATCCTTAATTTAGCAGAAATTATATTTGGAAAAGAATTGAAGCTTAGTTTAAATGTCTGTATTGGGCATCATAAAACCCATTATTTTCAATTATAACCCATAATTGCTTCACTCCATAAATAAGATTTCAATTATAAGCATATTACATATGATCAAATAACTCTTTTCTTCTTGTTTATTTATAGCTCATTAAACTTCTATCTAAGCAATTAATATTAAATAATTTCTTACCCCTCATATAATTTTTGCATTTATAGAGGGATTGCAATGATAATATTGTAATATAATTCTGGCAGATAATAAATGATCATCCAAATAAAGAATCTTCGTGGAGAACAAACTAGCCTAGAAATCGAGCCTCATTTTAAAGTAATTGAACTCAAACGTCTAATTCAAACAAATCAAGGCCACGCAGTTGAGTCTCAAAAGCTTCTTTATAAAGGAAAGATTCTTGATGATGAAAAACCTCTTACAGATTATGCTGGGCTATAATGTTTATAAAACTTATTTTTTATAATAATTTAATTGATAAATACTCTAATGTCACCTAATTTCAGTTATAAATTTATCAATTTGGAATATTCACATTTAAAGTGACAAATACTATAAAAAAATATATAGCAATCACTTTTTCCTATAAAAAAAGTTATCAGTTTGATTATAAAGGGAACTTTACTCTACAAATAGCTATATCAAATTACAGAAAACGCAATCTTAGTCTTAATGGTTACTCACAAGAAGGCTCCAGAGAGGCCACAGCCAGAACAAAACCAGCCTGCCGATATTTTAGTACCACAAAGACAAGAAGCTCCAGCTCAACTCAACGAGGCTGATGTAGCTCGTCTGATGGAAATGGGCTATTCCCGAGAAGAAGTAGTCGCTGCTTTAACTGCAGCTCACAACAACTCAGCAATTGCTATCGAATTTCTAATGTCAGGCTATGCCCCTATGCCTGAAGGTGAGGGCGAGAGTGCTGAATACGAAGAAGAAGAGGACGAAGAAGACCCAGGTGAGCCAGGTGAAGAAATAACCTCCACCACCTTCGATTTCCTGCTACAAAGCCCTGAATTCCAAAGTATAAGAGAAGTTATATTACAAAACCCTGAAGAGCTCAATGTTTTCTTGCAGCAGCTGGAAACCACCAATCCAGAGCTTCTAACACTTATAAATGACAACATGGACGAATTCATCAGAGTTCTTGGAGGAAGAAGAAGGCAAAGAGGGGCCGTCCAAATCCATTTAACCCCTGAAGAAGAAAATGATGTAAGAGAACTAATCCAGCTGGGATTTTCACAGGAGGACGTCATACAGGTGTATCTGAGCTGTGATAAGAATAAAGAAATGGCTGCAAGCTTGCTGTTTGAGAATTTCCAGCAAAATTTTCAAGGTCAAGGGTTCTCTTAGAGGATAAATAAATCCCATTTGCGTAATTAGAATTAATTAAATATTCTTATGTAGGCCAATGGTTATAGTAATAAAAATATTTAATCTTCTAATTATGTATGAGTTACTTCAAATTATTTTGCATGAACTGAAGTAAGCTTGCTCTCTGGTTCGAGTTGATTTTTGGCTTTCCTTGCTGCTGAGAATGATTTTGGACTGATTCTACTCTTTGGTTGTATATTCTAGCTTTTTTCCCTTGTAAATCAGTAGGCACAGACCCTGCTACTATATTGATTAAGTCCTGGTCATATAAATTTTTATTTTCTTCTCGCCGTTGTGCTTGCTCTTTCTTTTTTTGGTCTTGTTCAAGCTTTTTTTGATGCTGCCTTTGCAGTTCTTCGAAATTGTCAGCTTCAGCTTTGGCTGCTTTGGGGTTTGCCATCATTTCGCTTTGCTCCAGGCGATTTTGCATTTTTTCTTGACGGACTCGGATTTCTTTGGTATTGGTACGCTTGTTGTGATCACCTGATGCATAGCCACGGTGCTTATTCCTTGTATCTTTTGTAGGAAGATCACTGAGGCCGTCATCATCTGGCATCATTTTTCCAATGCTGGGATTAAATTACAAAGATTTCATTTAAGACACCATAAATATCCAACTATTTTGATGGTTCCTTTGATATAAAACCATTCAAAATTACATATAGAAACCTCCTTGGAGTGGCGCTGCAAGCGCAGGCCACTCCATGCGGAATTCATGGGTTGGTCGAACCAACGCACAGTTTTGGTTTCGACCAACTCTCCTATGTTGGTTAAACCAACACAGGAATTCCGCATGGAGTGGCCTGCGCTTGCAGCGCCACTCCAAGAAAAGAAGTATATTGTTTATTACAGAAAATTTAATTGTGATAAATATGTAATAAATCTATTTATTATAGAGTTTAAATTCTTCTAAATATAAGTTTATTTTTGTATTTTGGATTACGAGATCTTATTCATTTTTTACTAGTGCAATAACTCGAGCCAAAAACTCAGGAGCATTTTCTACTGGATATGGCAATGCTATCATCACAAACCCTTTGTCGGGCAAGTTTTCCAATTTCATATTTTCGATTTGGTATTTATTATTTCTAAATATCGTATAATGTACTTCGAAATCTACTGATTTTCCAGGATCTAGAGAAAGAGTGTCTATTCCTATAGCGTTTATATTTCTTTCTCTGCATAAAAATTCAGCAGCTTCTCTGGAAAACCCAGGAAAATGCATAACTCCTCCAGAGTAATGAGGATGCTCTTCTTCAGGGTTATGATTTTTATATTCATCTGGCTTATTGAATTTAGCACCCCAGCCTGTTCTCATACATACAATAGAACGGCAAGGAATTCTCCCATTTCTTGATTCTCATAGGTTGATATCTTCAATTGATAATTCATAGTCATTATTTTTTTCACATTTAGAAGCAACATCAATGAGGACTCCTTCAGAGATAAGCTCATTTGGCTGAAGATCAGAGATAGTTCTACCATTTGGTAAAAAGTGCTTTGGGGCATCAATATGTGTTGCGGAGCCTCCAATAAATTGGTAAGTCTCAATCGAGTATTCTTGGTCGTTAAAACTTCTGCGAGAAAATGTAGGATCGCCAGGCCAAATAACGGTATTTTCATTTATGGTATGGGTGCAGTCAATAATGCTTGTATTTGATAAAAGAGAGTTGAATAATTCACTCATCTTTTATGATAAAATAAAGAAGGATGCTAAAATATAATAATTTTAAGAACTTTTATTAAAAATATTCAGCTAAATTCTAAAATTAGGTTATAAAGGCTCTGCATAGAGCTGGTTAATCACATCAATGTATTTATTCTTTGCATGGAATCTCATCAGTTTTTGAGTTGGGGTCAGCAAGTCTTCAGGAGTCCAAGGCACTGGCTCAATATATATCTTTTTAGGCTCCATGCCAAATGACTGTGGAATTTTGATAGTGTGACATCTCCTAGGGTAAAATTTATCGAGTCATTTTTGATAGTGAGACATTTGACCGAAAAAACTGCTAAATTTCGGCCAAATGGTACACTATTTAAAAATTTTCGGCTCGGTGAAATGCAAACTATCAATGGACCTGCACCCATCTTTTTAACGACCTCGAACCCAAGCAATTTTTCTTCTTTTGCGAGTTTGTTCATATCTTTAATAATATCTTCTTTTAGTTTAGGATTTGCACAAATATCAGCAAATGGTGTGTCTTTGCCTACTTGGTTTGCATCTGTCCAAGATTTTCTGATATATTGCTCATCAGGCACTATAATGGCGATTAAGTAAGATTGGAAAGAATCACCATAGACGAAAATCTGGTTAATGAAGAAGCTTTTTTGGTAAGCAATTTCTATCTTTTCAGCGGCAACATATTCACCTTGTGCAAGCTTGAAGAAGTTTTTCTTTCTATCAATTAGTTTTAAAGCGCCACTGCCTGGCAATCTGATAGCGATATCTCCAGAATGTAGCCAGCCTTCTTCGTCTATAGCTTCTGCTGTTTGTTCAGGACTTTTATAGTATCCTTTGAACACAGGTGGCCCTCTGAAGCACACTTCTCCTCTTGGTGCCCTTTGGCCGTCCTCGCTTACATCAGTACTGAAATAGTTCATGTCTGGAACGTCAACTAATTTTATTTCGAGAGTGGCTATTGGTCCCCCAACATATCCATATCCGGTGTCAGTAGGCTCAGTGAGCACAGAGCCTGCACAAGTCTCTGTTTGGCCATAACCTTCTAAAATTGGGCATGAAAAGACAAGCCTTAAGAATTTAAGGACATCCCCAGAAATAGGAGCTGAGCCAGTGAGCATCAATCTTACCCTTCCTCCAAGCACGTTTTTGACTTTGGAAAACACAAGCTTATCCCATACTGAGTTTATAAGAGTCCCTGTAGTTTCGTATCCGTACATTTTAGCACTAAGTCCACGGCTTACAAGCATTTTCTTAACTCCTGTAGCTGATGCAAACTGCTGTTGGATTAAATCGTGAAATCTATTAAATAGCCTTGGGACTGATACAAATACAGTTGGTTTCAACTCAGCCAAATCTTCTCTAATTTTCAACACATCTCCAGCGTAAAAGCCATACTGAGCGCCATGCAAAATGACAAATTGAGAAATAATCCTCTCTAGCATATGGGCGAGAGGTAAATAGGATATGTAAGAATCATCACTTGAAAAGTCAATTCCAAAAGCAATGATCCCTGCAAGCGTAGAAATCATATTTTGCTGAGTGATTACTGCGCCTTTGGATCTGCCAGTTGTTCCACTTGTATAGCAGATAGTATAGATTGTGTTAGGGGTTGGAGGCTGGTCTTCTCCTACTTTTCCAATAACTGCGACTTCAGCTAGTGTCATAATTTCCATTCCGAGCTTGCCAAATGACTCTTTGAGCTGTTCAGTGACTTCTTCGAACTGGATAAGAATTCTTAATGATTGTAGACCTCCTTCACTTCTGAGCTTCAAAATAGTTTCCGTTTGCTTGGCAGCACATGCGATCCCTTGCATTCCAGTTTGTTCAACAATGTATTGGATGGTATCAGGCTGCTGAGTGTCATAAAGAGGGACTGTTGTAATTCCTTGGCACATACACGCGAGGTCAGTGATTATCCATTCTTCACGATTCTTAGAATAAATCCCTACAAATGACAGCCCATCTTCATTCTTTTGAGTTAAGCCTAATGAGGCTAAGCCATAGCCAACGTGAGCTGCAAGATCTGAGACTTCACCGTAAGTTTTCCAACGATATGCACCAAGAGTACCGTCTGGATTTTTTACTCTTGTGCCGAGATAAGGCTTGGATGCATGACGATTCACTGTTGCTTTAAAATTTTCATATAGGGTGACAGCGCCTGTAGGTAAAGGAGTGCTGAGATATGGCTTAGCAAACAAGCAAATTAGCTTAATTTAACTAGCTTCTAGTTGGGTCTCTAGTTTCGCAGGGTGTGTGATGTACCTTTTTCTCTGTCTTGTCGCTACTCTCGAACTCATGTCGGGCCTCAAGGTCCGGCTCGCTTCTCCTAGTCCCCGTAAAGTCAATGGGAACCTAGAATAAAGGAAAACACTAGCGGCTTGGTGCGTTGTATAGCTCTATCCAAATTTCTTCTAGAGCCTGTTCGGCCTAGGGTTCTACCTTTTGTATCAGCAGTATAAAGAGGTAAAACATATAATTCCTAGCCATTTAATTCTCTCTTGTGCAATAGTCTACGAGTAAAAGCATAAATCCTTAATAATAAAATTTGGGTGAGGGAAAAGAAATTCAAGGAATGAGTATCTTTCATTCGAAGCCATTTTATTATTAAATATGGCTTGGCTTTGGGATTGACATAAATAGGTGATTCTCCTGGCCGCTCAGAGCCTATTACAGGAACCGTGTATTCGAAGTTAGGTTTACTCGTCCCACCACCCATTATATTTATTTGAGAATGAAAATGTGGAGAAAATAGCCATTACTAATAAATGTAATTAAAGGGACAATGAAATTAAAGCGCAGTTATAAGTATTTTTACAAAGCCTTTAAAAATAAGGATAATTTTTGAGATTTCGCCAAATTTTGGTATAGCTTATTGTTGCTTTAAAAAGGGACAAATAAGAAATAAGTTCACTGCATGGATATCTTAATTTAGCTTCATATTAATATAGCATCGCCTAATATCATATTGATTTTAGAAAAAGAATAAAATATAGAATGGAATGGAATTGAGCTTAAGAATCTTTAAAATACTAATCTAAGCTAGTAGTGCTAATTTATTAAGCCCAAAAGCTGGAGAGTGTCAGGTACACCAAGGTGGTAAATGCAACAACTCCAGACACACTCACATTCATTATGATCGAAAAAGGGTCTTTTTCATCCAATTTTCTTCGAGCAGGAAGTGACACATTTTGTAATCTCTGCTTAGCAGGCTCATCAAATTTGTCAGGAGTTGGCTTGGACTTCTTTTGGGCTTTCTCTAATTCCCCCTCCGTGACCGAACAAAACCATTGGAAAAATCCTATTTTTACCCAACTCCCATTATATTTTTTTATGAAAAAAATATTTTTATATAAGTGATAATTAGCTTGCATTTTTAAAACATAAATTTTGCAAATTAAATTAATTTTTGCTTCTCAATTATTTTTAAAAAAAAATTAACCACCTCCTTGAGTGAACAAAATTTTTTATTCACACGGAGGGGGGAGAGTAAGTTAACTTCTGGCTTTTTCTCTTCATAAATTGCTGGGGGGATTTCATCAGAGAATTTGAGGTCAATAGACTGAGCAGAAAGTATATGATAATCTTTATCTATATCCTCTTCATTGTAAAATTCTACAGTGACAGATACACCTAGAATTTCCATTCCGTTTAAGAACAGTGCTTTCTCAGCATCACTATCATCTTCAAAGAGGACAGTGACGACTGGAGGCTCAAATCTGTCAATAGAGAATTGAGTGCTAGATAATTCTACGAATTTCTCAATATCACTATTAGTGGCTTCAATAGGAACATTTGAGATTTTTATAGTTCTAACCATTATTTATATTCGTAGCTACATAAATTAATTTTTATTAATTAGCTTATTGAATCGATTCTTCAATTAGGATATATTGAAATTGGCTTTTAGAAATTTGAAAGTTATGCTAAATAATCATTAATCTTAATTATCAAGTATTTAGAATTGGCTGTACAAATGAAATATCAATTAAATTATTTTCTTCTAGTTAACAAATAAAATCAGATAATGTCCACTCCTCGAAGAAGTATCCGACCTAGAACAGCTATTTCTCAAAGCGCTACTCTTACTCCCGCTCCAAATTATTTTAATATAAAAATAAGTGCTAATTAGTTTAATGAAATATCTAGCTAGTTCTGTTTAATTTTGAACAACTTGCATTTAAATCATAAATTTTACAAATTTAAATTAATATTTGCTTTCTAGTTTTGCGAATTGGGATTTTGAAAAAAATTAACTAAATTATTTTAAAATAATTAACCCCCAGTGAGCGAACGAAATTTTTTATTCGCTATAGGAGAGTTAGGTGAAAAAATAGAAGTTTTTCTCCCCAAAACTCTCATCTTGCAAAAAATTCAAATATTCGCCAAGTTCGAAATCTCTTGATTACACAAAATCCAAATGACTTTATTGACACACAAACTATCGGAAGGTTTCAATGCCCCTTTACGGCTAAAAGTACAAATACATCAGAAGCTTCTGACCAGCTAAATATCCTTAAAAAAAGATTTAACTTCTTTAGAAATTCTTGAACAAAAGAAGAAACTCAAAAAGAAACATTAGGAAAAGAATTATGACAGCTTGAGCAGCAAGAAGCTATTATAGGAAGCAGAGCAGAGTCATTAAATTCAAAATTAAAATACCTAGAAGAAAATCTAACGAAAACCAAGCTGGAACAAGAAAAATCAGAAAATGACCAAATGGTGAATTTAACTATTTTGGAACGAACAAAGCAAAATTTGATCCATTTAGAGATAAAAGCAAATAGTCTAAGAGAGGATCTAAAAAATAAGGCATCCCTGCTTGATGATGAACACAGAAAGAATTTAACCTCCAGAGAAAAAAAGAAAAGATCTATCAATGTGTATAAAAAGCTGAACAATTCAGTAGAGTATGAAATTAAAGAAAAAACACAAATTGTATCTGCAATGAACAGAGATTTTAAATCTCGCCAAAAAGCTATTGGCAAGAGAGAAGACAGAAAGAAAAGACATGCAGAAATCTCTGAAGCTGCTGAAAATGAAGAAAAAGATTTAAAGCTGAATAAAAGCAGAGAAGGATTCTTAGCCCATAGGCTATGGGCTCGGTTTTTGATCCAGAAATTTGAGAAATCTACAAAGAATTCAAGTCAATACGAAACAGCTTTTCATAAGATAAGAGCAGCCACAGGACTTAACGATATAAACCAAGTTATTGACAAATTTTTAACAAGCGAGCACTCTTATGCGGAATTGATGAAATCTGTGTACAATCTAAAAACCAAAATCACTGAAACTAAAGAAAAAAACACAAAATTGGAAAGCGACCTAAAGTCTTTTGGGATTGCTGAAAAAGGTTTAAAAGCGAGCAATAAAGAAGAATTGGAAAATAAAATAAATGGACTTTTGAAAGAAAATGAAAATTTAAAGCTTAGGCTTAATGAGTTCGTAATGAACAAAACTCAAGTGCTACAGTGAGGAAGAAAAATGCTTACAAAACTAAATTCGGGCTTTGGCACTTATAACCAATATGAGGATGGGCCATTTTCTCAAAGCGAGCACATTTCAAATTTGCGAGAAATCTTTATAACACTGAGGGAAAAAATTATTCCTTTTATACTTTCAGTGAAAGAAAAAAGCGAGCCTGGACAAGAAATAAAAAATAAATCACTACATCAGAATGTATATGAAGCCATTTATGAAATTCCTGATAAGGATAAAGAAAGATTTATGAAGATCAAAAGAATTTTAACGAAATTAACGACTTCAAATAGCGAAATTGAAGCAGGCTCTTGGGATTTCAAAGAGACTGAGCCAGCTGATGCAACCCCTAAGGTAGGCCAAACTGAGATATTATTGGTTGGAGAAAAAAGTAAATGGAGAAGACGCAGCACAATAAAGCAGGCTTAATTTTTATTGTGATGTTCCATTCGTTTTACAATAAATTTATTTTATTTTTAAAAATCAGTCAATTTACACATAAAAATGGGATGGATGGCACAACTAAAGTACTTCATATATTGCTTGTCAACTAAGTATTTTTTAGTAAGCCTTAACTAGCTCTGCTGTTTGATAACAGCGCTTATTTTTTTCAAGCTCTTTTTTGCTGGTTTGATTTCTCAAACTTTTTTGTTGATTGGGTGAATTTCTACAACAGTTTTTTTAGTCCTCCTCAGGATTTATTTTCTAGCAAGACGAGTGCATTTTGAAGAGGAGCGGCTTATAGCATTCTGGCTATTTTTCCGAAAAGTTATAGTATAAAAGCTACTTTATCACCCTTAAAATAATAGAAAATTAAAGAAAAATGGCCATTTTAGTACTAAAACCTTTAGGAAATATAAATATATGCTATAGGATTTTAGATGTTGTAATTCAGAGTGCTGTCGATCAGTATATCGAACAGCTTCATGAGGCGACATTAAGAAGCATTGATTATACCTTAGAATCTATCGATATATCCAGCAGCTTGCCTCACATAGAAGCTGAAGAAGAGAGCTTTTGCTCTATTTGCATGAATGACATTACTAAAGGACAAATTATAACTGCACTAGGCTGCCCTCATAAATTTCACTCGGAATGTGTTGATACTTGAATAGAGACAAAGCCTTCGTGCCCAGTGTGTAAAAAACGTGTGTCAACCGATAATTCAACTGCAGATAATTCGGAACTCTATTTATATACTCAAGAGTACTTTAGTATGTAAGAAAGTTTATTTTATAATCTTCAGATCTCTTAAGTTTTTTAAGTCGAGTTTCTTAGTCACCAATTTTTATATGCTGATCTGAAAAATACCAGGTTTAGGCCTTATCTCTCCCTAAAAAGCTGATTAAAAAAACTAATTAATTATATTTCAAAATTTTTAATTTAATCTCAACAATTAGCTAATTTTAGCATTGCTAGCAAGTTCTGTGTTGTCTGACTTTTGTCTTAAGCATTCAATGAAATTATTCTCCAAAGCCATATTTAGACCATATAGCACTATTATTTGAGACATATCATTATGAATTTGAATAAGCCATATAAAACTAGCGATAATAAAAAAGATTTTTAATTAAGATATCGCATATTAATTTTTTCTATTATTTTTAAAAATTAATTAAAGTAATATTTATTTTTCACATTTATAGCAAGACAAATAATTTGGATAACTAAATTTATCATTTTCCGACAACTTTTTTACATTATTCCAAAAAACCTAGCAAATAAAAAAGTTGATAATTAAAGAAATGTCAGACTCTGCCTTATCTAAAGACAAAAATTATCAGACAGCACGTGATATTTTCAAAGAAGAATACCACGACTTAATCGATATATGATTATGCAACGCAACCAAAAACGAACTTAAAGGTCTAAAGATTATTCGAGCAATAACTAAACATCATGGCCAAAAAAAATTCAGAAGCTCCAAAAGGCCCTCTGCAAACGAAATCCCACAAGCTACTGAAGCAATGAGAAACGCTATGAGAAGTTCATATTCAATGGAATTTGGAAATTTAACTTCGAAAGTTAGCAGTTTTAATGATATCTTTAAATATAGCAAATTGTCAACTCTTCCTTACGCAACAGTTTTAAAGTCAACACCACTGTGATTTATTGAGCACTGGCTATCTCTAAATGATAAAGAAGATTTCAAGATTTTAATGTTGGATGCTCTCAGAGGGTTCCACTCTGTGGCTAAGATTCAACGGTATATTCCAATTTCTATCCAAAAAGAAAGCTATGACTGGAAAACTCCTGAGCCAAAACTTTCTATGAAATTGCACTATCCTGTATCCACAGTCAAACTTTCTAGAAAAACGACAACACTTCCACCGATAGAGAAACGTAAAAGCATTAGTGAAGATGTAGGAAGAAATACTATATCTGCAAAGGATATTAAAGACAATATGAATAGAGCTAATAAGCACCTGATCAGCTGGATATCTGGAACAACTTTAGCAAACCAGTCTTCTTATCATGAGTTCTTTGTGCCTCATAACCCAAAGTATAATAAGGTGAGCAAAGAGCATTATATATCATCATCAGTCAAGCTTCTACCTGACCCAAAGATTATGAATAATTAATCGCTTTAATTAACTTTAAATTAATTACAATAAAATTATTTTATCAGACCATTCTAATTATAAATTTTGGTTACTTTAAAATACGTAAATATTTTATAAATCGTTTTGTAAATATTTCAGATGTCTTGCAACATTTTTTGTGTTGTCTCCGGTTTCTTCTGACTCCAGATCTTCTTCTGTGAAAATCTGCGGTGCATATTCTTGCATTTCGAATTTTTTGCCTCGGTTTAGGACTTCTTTAATCTTTTTTCTCCACCTTTTTTCTTCTTCAATGTCCCTAAAAGTTTGATACATTTTCAGCATCGCTGCTCACTTATTTTTTTCTTTTTCATATGAATTTATGACTTCTTTCTCTTTTAAGCATACCAATACTCCTGCTTTTGTGTCATAAACTTGGTAGTTTGACGAGTTTAAATTTAAGAATTTGGATGATGGGCTTTTTTGATCATGCCCAAAGGAAAATTTATTGTTGAAATCGGGCTTTGGAGTTTTCGCTTTTATTTTTTCAAAGGAAAGTTCTTGGTCAGCATTGCAGCTTGAGTGTTTGCCAAAAGGAAGTTTGGGAAAATTAGACAAATCAGGATTTTTGATAGGGCTTTTTACGAGTCTTGGGCTAAGTTTAAAAGAAAAAGCCTGCTTTTGCTTACTCCCCCCTCCGTGAGCAAGTAAAACTTTTGGAAAAAACCTATTTTTGGTAAAACCCACACTAGTGAGTGAAAATTTTATTAATATAACAATTTTTTATAAAAAAAAATAATTATATATAAGTGATGATTTTACGATGAAATCTCGACCAGTTCTGTTTAATTTAAACAGTTTTTATTTTTAAAACATAAATTTACGAATTAATTAATATTTGCTTTCTAATTAATTTTTTAATTTTAAAAAAAATTTATATAAAATTATAAAAACGAACAAAATTTTTTTGTTTACTCACGGAGGGGCGAATTAGGAGTAACTGATAGAGCTGGCTCAAATTCTCCTCGGATAGCTTGCTTTTCTAATACTTTGATTTTTGACACTGGGTGTTTGTTGTTATAAACAATTTTAGACAGCTTAATGATATTTCTAGCAACTTCTGGTGAACACGCATGTCTTGGCGTAACTGACGGAGGGCATGTGTCTGATCTAGCAATGTTTGTAGGCGTTAAATTATAGCTTCTCTTCATGGATTTTTGCTATATTCTAATGAAGTTTTATCATTTTATTTTTTGGAAATAAGGAAAATCTTACAGTTTTATAATTTTAAATTACTATTAATTAACCGAAATTTAGTTAATAAAAGTTAATAGTGCTAAGCCGAGAGATAAAATACCTGCTGAGCCAGTATCATTGTGAGGTGGCGTAGGAGTAGGTGGATTAGGATTATCAGGGATCCTGCTCCAATAGTCGTTGTTGATAACAGCCTGAACGCATTGATCGTTGTTAATGTAAGAAACAAAGTTAGTGAAATTCATCATGGCTGAGTAATAGTTATCAGAATCCAATCCTAGAGCGCTAGCAACCATATCTAAGCAATCTGAATAATATCTTCTTGTTGTCTGGCACAAACTCATAGCATCTGATGTCATGAGTACTGCAATCTGCTTCAAATACTTAATACCAGGCTCGTCTCCAGGGAAAGGAGAACAGTATTTTTGAGCATCGCCGTTAAACCCACACTCACAAGATCCCACAAATTGTTGGTTCAAATTCGAATTGTAGCCAATGCATTGAGAACTTGTAGTGCACATAGCAGGGAACGTTGGCAAGGTGACTGGAGCTTCAACACAGGTTCCTCTATCATCAATTCCATTATTATAGCAAGTTCCGCTTTGGCATAAGCTATTCCATCCACTTATAGGGCATGGCACAATGGCTCCGAGTGGTGCTGAGAAATACTTGACACAGGTCCCTGGGAAATTATTCCTTGTTGCATTGCATCCAGCTTGAGGGACACAATCGTATTCTGTGCCACATTGATCAGAACCGATAGGAATTAAAGGCACACAAATAAATACAAAATTGACTGAATAGCAGTAAGATCCGACCTGACATTCGCTGCTGTCATGGCATTGTTGGCCTAAAAATGTGCCTTTGCATTTCCCTGAAGTGCAAGATCCTGAAATGCATTGAGAGTTTGTAGTGCAGAGTTCTCCAGGGTATAGAGGAGCTGCAGTAGGAGCAACTGTACAAGTGACATTGTTCCATTGATTTCCTTGGATTTGGACAAAGTTGCAATAATCACCTTTTGGACAAGTTTTTATGGCAAATTCGTTAGACCCTTCGAGATATGTCATACAGCTGTCATATTTCCATTGCAAATCACTTCTGCAGCCATATGCTTTGCAGGTGAAATCTGAGGCAGAAACTCTCCAGTAGTCAGCATTATAAATAGTTTGGGTGCAGTAGTCATTTCCTTGATATCTTGGGGTATCGCCTGCAAGTATTCGTATTTATTAAAATAAGGCATTTAAAATAAATAATTTGTTTTTCTAAAAAATTCCATACAACAATTATTGTATTCTCTTTAAGGCGGAATAAAAATATTTTGGGTCAAATTTAAGACTTGAGCTGCTGGTAATGTCTGCTGGAAACAATATGATGTAAATCTGAGCATCGTATGGCAGTTTAAAATACCTGGTTGTGATACATGCTGAGAAATCAATGCTCTTGTAATAACTGCTGGAGGATCCCCTGTCCAAGCATTGCAGTAAGCCAGTCCATTTTTATCCATTCCACAGTTGCATGTTCCTACAGCTCCTGTCCCAGCGCTGTTGTGAGCAGTGCAATCATCATCAGCATTACAAGATAAAGGATATGGCTTGTCGCTCTTAAAAGCAGGCACACAAATTCCTTCTCCATTATGATTAGGGTTAATTTGGGTGCAAGCTCCACTTTGGCATAAATTTGATTGGCCTTCTGAAAATCCAGTGACGCACATCCCAATTCCGTCTCCATTAGCAACGCTGTAATATGGTATGCATGTCCCAGAGTTATATAAAGTGCGATTGCAGGCGAATTGATTTTGGTGCTTATGCAAAAGTAAATTTTAAATTAAAATTTTTGAAATTAAAAAAATTCAATTTTTTCTTTAAGAAAATAAAATTACTGGATTTTGGCAATCATAATCTGAATTGCAAAAATTGAATTGAGAAGCTTGAGCATAGCACTTGCCAGATGAACTGCAATACAACCCTACATTGCACTGCTCATGATTTTGGCATAAAGATCCAAAAGGAAGCCCTGCACATTTATTATTTAAACAATTCCCTGATAAACATTGGGAGCCTAAATAGCAGAACTGGCCTGGGAGTAAGTTTTCGAGAGTCTTTTGAGGGCGAGGTCCACATGTAAAATTCTTTGTGATCGATGGATTCACATTACAGGTTGGAGAGAATACCGAAGCTTCACAGATTTGCATCTTTACGTCGCCAGTTTTAGTTTGATAGGCGCATGTTTCGCCTAAATCGAAGCCTCCTTGATGGCAAGAATACTTTGGACAGGTTAATGCAGAGACAACTGTCAGAGCAAGAAGAAAGTATATCATATTTATTTGTTCACCTATAAATAGAACTTAATGTGACATTTTAGAATAGATAAAGGAAATTCTTAGCTTTTGTATCTCTTAATGGGAGAAATACAGCAATAGCTTTGGGTTTTTGGAATGACATTAGCTGAACTTATTGCATGTCTAATTTCGAACTGATATTATTCAATTAAAGCTAAATATTTAGAAAGTGATGAAAATTCTTAAACATCCTCTTTTAATTTACTTTTTAAAAGATGCCAAGTTGTATGAGGTTTTGGGTAGCTGCCGAGTTGATCTCAGCCCTAGGCAAGTAGATACCATACCTCTGCCTGATTGGGTCTCCACACCACACGGGCTTTTTTCTTGATTCGTAGACGAGAAATCGAAGGCTCAATTCTGGTGAAGCAATATTTGCCGGTAAGGCAGGGTAGCTCCAGAATGAGGCATTCAGTATCCCATTCATAACCTGAGCACCGCCAAGGATTAAGATAGCCCTTACTTTAGAGTTGGCCTAAGCATGGCCGGAGGTCCCTCCGAGAGACTGCTGACATCAACATTATTGTGACGTTGACAAGAAAAAAAACTGCTCGACGCCATTGAAATAGAGCTGCCTAACCTAAAGCCGGCCTGGGACTGAGGTGCTAAAATAACTAGCTATAATTAAAGCTAATCTCATTTTTAATTCCCATGGTGAATTATTATCCAAATTTCTTAATTATCTATTTTTCACACTTATTTCTATGAAATTCTCATAGGTGTATATCTATGACTCAAAGGATCATAAACATAAGTCCTTGGACCTGAGTTCACGAACGGTGGTGTTTCATGTCTCACTTCATTTAAACTTGCAATCAGTGAATCATAAAAAGTCGGGCTTTTTGACTTGACTTCATGGTTTCAAGAATTATTTGACTGCGACTCTGAAAGTATAGGAATTTTCTTTCTTATATCAGTTTTTACCTTAAAATCTGGCATTGATTTACTCGGTGACAATAGCTCCATTTCTAAATCATTAAGAGCTTGGGTTGAAGATGCATAAAGTAGCTGCTTTTCAATGGCATCTATTTATATCTTACATTGCCTATACAGTTTTGGACCCAACTGAGCTTTATTGATTTTATCATACATCTTCATTCCTGGGACTGAGTACTTTGACTTTAATTTTGGGGAGCGGAAGCCATGGTTTTGGTCTGTGACAAAAGTTTCTTCTCTGGGGCTTTGGTCTTCTTCTGTTATTTCTTCGTCTTTTGGATTAATTTGCTGAGGATGAATGTATTGGCAGATAAAAGGGACTGACTCTGGCATATCCACTCCAGTGGGAAGAATATCATGCCTTAATTGTGTTTCCATACTTTGGCTTGTGTTTTTTAGGGGAAATTTGATAGAAAAAATACGCCGAATTCTGCAAAATGCATGAACTGTAACTTTATCAATATGGTCTAATTTAACCCTAAAGCATTGATTAAGAAACGCAGGAATATCTATACAAATATTATTCCACATGTCCTTTATAATCGCATTTGAAGGTATTTTTGCTGAATTATAGCTTTTAATAATTTCATTGCACTGTATAAAAGTTAGCTTCTTTTTTGCAGCCATATGATCAGTTACATCAATTTCAAGCATAAACGGTTTTCCCTTCGGAATAAAAGCTTGGACAACCAAATAAGGCAGCCTGTTCTCTGTACTCATTTTTGGGACTCTTGGGCTGATTATCTTTCCTTTATTTGTAAGTGACAATACCATGCTCTTCGAAAACCTATCATTTAGCTCAGAAACCTGCCCAGTAATCGCAGAATTTTGTAAGGAAATTTTATAGTCAGCGTTTAATACTTCGCAATATAACAAGCCATTTCTCATAAGATTTTTTATTTTAAACATTAGAGATTATTATAATGATTTAAGCGCTTAGCTCTTCACTCATTACTTGGAAGCTTGATGAGTTTGATTTCTGATGGCTTGGCGGTTTCTTTGTGGCTTGGACAGTTATTTCGATACTTGATGTGTCAGCAGCTCCGTCAAAGTTTTCTTCATATAGAGAGTCTGGGTGGTAAAGACAAATTGAAGGGATTAAAACAAGACTTACCGCCCAAAGAATTATTTTTTGAGGAATATGCAAGTATTGAATAGAATATCCTATTGCAAAAGAGCAAATCATAAAAAATAAGCAAAGAAATGAAGCCAAACATCTACCGTATGTTGGGAATGATTCTTGAGTTATAATGAACAAGAATGTAATTACACTGAAAATTGCAGGAAAAGTTATTATAAGTCCATAGCTTGATACTGTTTTTAGCATAGGGGAGTCAATGTAAGTCAATAAAGGAATTGCACATGCTATGATGAAAAACGCAGATGCAATCATCGTAGATCGTCGAGTTCCAATTTTGTTGCCAAATATAGCAGCTTGTGTGGATAATAAGAGGCACAAGATGCAGCTGATTGTAAGCTCAAATAAAGAATAATTTATGAAATACTTGGATTGGCTAACAATGATTCCTAATTCAAAACCGACAATTAATCATGAAAAACTGCATCTGAATAGCATTTTCCTAACTTTCCCCCCTCTGTGAGCAAACAAAAAAACATTTTGTAAGCTCACGGTGGGGATTAATTTTCTTTTTTTAAAAAATTCTAATTTGTAAATTTAAGAGTAAAAATTAAATTTAATTATTAAATTTATGTTTTAAAATGCAAGCTGTTTAAAATTAAAACAGAATTAGCTATAGATTTCATTATAGTAAATTATCACTTATATATCATTTTTTTTTTTCATAAAAAATTTTTGTTCGATTGCGGAGGGTGGGTTTTTAGGCAAAAAATAGGGTTTTTCCAATGTTTTGTTCGCTCACAGAGGATGAGAGTAAGTCTTCTTGAAAAAAACACATACTTAAATCCTATGTGAATACCTTTATCCTCATGTTTTTCTTTTTCTAATGTGCTCTCGTCTAGAGCCAGCACAGCAGTTGCTCCAGATGGCTGGTCTGACACATGAGTCGATATTTTGCCTGCTTTTTCGTACTCATTAAAAGCTTCCCCTTCTAATTTTTCCTGAAAGCTTTCTTTTTTGTTAACTTCTGATATAAATTTCAGTATTTTCCTTGCTTTAGAATATCTTCCAAGGTTGCAGGCTAAAAATCTCGGTGACTCTTTCAAGGACCGTAATGGGAAAATTGCGATTAGCCCAAAAATAACTGACGCTATAACCGAAGCTCTTCAGGACAAAAAATAATTAGAGGCTGCATAAGCAATAGCAAATGCCATAGTCACTAAAACTGTATTTAGTAAATAAAAAATCGGTCTAAAAGGCTTGTCTGAGAGTTCAAAAATCCACACATAAGGGATAATAATTGAAGCAGGAAGCGATAAGCTACAAAAAAACATAATTGTCGAAAAGAATCAAGGTGTTCGAGAGCAAATGAGCACAAATCCAGTAGAAGCAGAGTGAATGATCCCAAAAAATAAAGTTTTTTTTCTTCCGTATATCTCAGCAAGTTTTCCTAATACTAAAATTCCTATAGAGAATCCTACGCCAACAATTGCAATCAGAATAAAGATATGATACTTCATGCCGCATAAGAGTGTCCTGATTTATAATTACCACTCGGAAACCGCACTTTTTATTTCGTGAGGATCAAAAATGAACTCTCCAACTCTGCACGCTGTTTCTTCGCTACAAGTTTCTAGACCTGCTTTATCTTTGCATATAAGACTAGGGATAGTCAAGCTATACTGAAAGCCAAAAAGTAAAATAAAGCCATGCAGTAGGCTCAACCACAGCCCAATGCTGGATTTCAATTGAAAGCTCCCATGTCCACCTACTAATTTAAAAGCCTAATTTAAAAATACTTCATCGAAGCTTACTCCGCCTGATTGCATTATATTTATTATTTTAAACCTATACTATATTCCCTTCAATAGTCAAAACTATAGTGATTTTCATTAAGCCATGATTTATTTATTGCAATTTAAAGGAAAACAGGATATTCAATGATTTATTAATTATTCTTTTTTAATAATTATTGCAGAAGCACCTCCACCGCCATTACAAATCGCTGCTGAGCCATAGTTTCCGCCTTCTTGTTTTAAGACTGATAATAAAGTTACAACTATTCGGCATCCAGAGCTGCCGACTGGATGGCCCATAGCAATTCCGCCTCCATATGCATTTATTTTTCCTATATCATAGTTGAGCAGCTTCGAATTTCCGACTATCACTGATGAGAAAGCTTCGTTTATCTCTATAAAATCAAGCTGATTTATTGGCAAGCTTGCTCTTTGTAAAGCTTTTTTGATTGCCAAGCTAGGTGTCAATGGAAAATCAATGCAGGCTTGTTCAGCATCTGCCATTGATACTATGGTTGCTAGTACTTTCCAGCCCATTTCATTAGCTTTTTTCCTTGAGCACAGCACAATTACAGATGCTCCATCATTTAGCCCACATGAATTTCCAGCTGTTGTTTTTCCGTTTTTTAGCACTGGTCTTAATTTTTTTATATCAAAATCTCCTCCTTTTAAATTATCTTTATCAATAATTTTCCCAGCTTTTTTTTGATTTTGGATAGGGATTACTTCATTGACGAACTTATTCATTTTCCACGCATTTGAAGCCTTTTTATAGCTTTCTTCTGCATAACTATCGAGTTCTTCTCTTGAAATATTTACTTTCTCTGAGACCTTGTCAGATATAAAAGGTGGCAAGTGTCCAGAAAAGGGATCAATAAATGCATCATGGTCAATAGAGTCAAGAGCTTTATGGTTTCCTCTGACCAAGCCGTCTCTTATTTTAGGATGTAAATAAGGTGCATTAGACATGCTTTCCATGCCTCCTGCAGCTGCACAATCAGCACTTCCTTGAGCAATCGACATCGCAGCAAGCATAATTGCTTTCATCCCACTAGCACACAGCTTATTTAAGATCATGCAGTTTGCACTATCACTAAGACCTGATTTTACTGCCACTTGTTTGGCTGGATTTTGCCCAAGGTTTGGGGAAAACAAGTTTCCCATATAAAGCTCTTGAATATTATCTGTATTGATATTGTATTTAGACAGAGTCCCTGCAAGAGTATTTGCTGCTAAATCGATAGAACTTATTGCCGATAATTCACCAAAGATCCTATGAACTGGCGATCTTCCAGCTGCCACAATGCAAACTTCTTGAAGCCCCAATAAATGCTGTTCAATTACTTTGAGTCTCCTTGCTTCCATTTATAAGAATATTAAATATCCAATTACTCTAAAGCTCTAACTCCCCCACTTTAAATTGGAACAAAATATAGGTAAAATTTTCACTTTTTTGGTAAATTAACCCCCCTTTTAAATTGGAACAAAATTTAATTTTATAATAAAAAATTATATATAATTTTTTATCTAAAAAGTTTTGATATAAGTTAAATGTTTCTTCTTAACTAAAATTAAAAATTTAGTTATATCTTGTTCTTGTTTAAAGAAGAAAGTATAAAGAGCATCTTATTTAAATAAATTTATTATCCTTAATTGCTAAATTTTTAAAAAAAAATTATTTTTTTTTTAAAATTTTTTATTGTTTTTAATAAAAATGATATTTTTTTATTTAAATAGTTTTGATATAAATTCAATAGGAATTCTTTATAAAATTTCAAAATTTAGTTATTTCTTGCTTTATTTTAAAGAATAGAGTATAAATAGCATCTTATTTAAACAAAATTAGCACTTTGATGATAAATTTTCTAAATTTTTTTTTTTTAAATTTTTTTTTATCAATAAAAATAATAATTTTTGTGCAAATAATTTTGATGCCAATTAATAGTGGCGTATAACTAATAATGAAAATTTAGTTATATCTTGCTTTTTTTAAAGGATAAAGAGTAAATAGCCTTTTATTAAACAAATTTATTAATCTAACTCGATAAGTTTTTTGAATGAATTTTTTTTTAAAAATTTTTATATATAAAAAAATTTTATATTGAAATTTAAAAAAAAAAAAAAATTAACCCCCCTTTAAATTGGAACAAAATTTTTAGTTCCAATTTAAAGGGGGGAGTAAGAAATTCATAAAATTGACCTTGTTATCTTTTGGATCTCCTTTAAACCTGCCTAAGTCGTTTCTCGTCCTCCTTGCAACCTTGATTTCTAAGAAACAAGACCCTACTGTCTGCTCCATTTCGTTAAAACTTTTATCAAGCTCTTCTTTTGTTGATACAGACGCTACATATTTGTACCCACAAGCCTTTGCGATTCTAGGGAAATCAATGTCAAAACCATTAGTGGGCTGGCCTCCTACAGTATCATGGCATCCGTTGTTTAGCAAGATGTGTCTAAAATTAGGCAGCTGTCTTGAGCCATTTGTCGCAATTGATCCCATGTGCATGAGAAAAGAGCCATCACCATCGAAGCAATAAACTTTTTTTGATGGTTTTGCAATTGCGATACCTAGTGCTATGCTTGAAGTATGCCCTGATGAGCCTACACAATAGAAATCTTGGTCTTGGTGCTGGTTTTTATGATGCCTTATATCTGATAGCTCTCTTGAGGCAAATCCACTAGTAGAAACTACTATATCGAACTTAGAAAGTTTATCAGTCAGCTTGTCAATTGCATCTTCTCTACTCATAGGGAGGTCTACCTTTATTTGACTTTTGGAATCATAGTCCACAAAATTTTTACGTCTGACAAGAAAAGCATAAGGAGACCCTCTTGATTTCAAATGATACAAAGCAGTGTCAATTGAAGCTCCTGAGCCTTCTTCAAAGTTTGGCAAAACGTCGTAATTGATACTTAAATCTGTCAATAAGTTGCTCATAACTTTCCCTTGGACTAAATGCTGAGGCTCATCTTTTTTGCCTGGCTCACCACGCCAGCCGATGAGGAAAAGGATGGGGATTTTGTAAACTCTGGTATCACAAAGGCTGAGGATGGGGTTAATAACATTGCCGAGGCCTGAATTTTGTAAATAAACGATTGGATATTTGCGTGTCGCCATATAGTAGCCTGCAGCAACTGAGACAGCTGTACCTTCATTTGCTGTTATGATGTGCTTGTTAGGTGGATGATTATCGGCTATATATCCAGTAAAATCTTTTAAGAAGGAATCTGGGACCCCTGCATAAAAATCAAATCCTCTCTCTGAAAATTGCTTATAGAGAACTTCAGAAGGCAAGAAATCTCTTTCTAGCTCTTCAAGAGGACCTGCATCGTGAGTGCGAATCCATCTTTGGAGAGGGTTGAGATTTCTTAAAGTTCGCGAGAGCAGCATATTATTGTAATAATATATGGATAAAGAAAATTTCGGGGAAAAATTTAGATTTTATTTTATTCAAAATTTTTAATTTTCTAATATAAATAGAAAGTATGAAGAAAATAATTGCCTAAAAATTTGCTTTATAAAATAGCAAAATAGAGATTCTAAACCCATATTTATACTATCAAGCGTTTCCCTATTATTTGATTCATTCTATATAATTCCATTAGACAATTTTATTAATTTTTCATTATTCATTACTTTAAAGCAGCTTGCTTGTCGCGTTCTTATAGACTTCGCTTTCATTCTGCATCAGCTTTATATATCTCTCCATATAAAGTGAGTAGCACTCGAAATAGTCGCTTTCCCAATTTACTTGCTTTATATTTGTGTTTTGATCTTTAGGAATGAGGGCTTTGCAGGTATCAAAGCACTTTTGTTTTTCCTTTTCTTGCTTTCTTTGAAGGTCAGCTATAAGGAGCTTGAATTCATCATGTTGGGCAAGGCATTGACCACGACCTTCTTGGTAGCATCTTTTTTCTATCTCATAAAACTTGTTCTGGGATGATTTAATTTCGTTTGCTACATTGAAAAACCTTTCTTTCAATGCGTCTTGGGATCTCTTGAACCAGCTGTCCTCTGAACTGATAATTTTTGAATTATCTACAAACACCATTATTTTATAAATGAAAACAAATTACTGAAAAAATATGTTTGAGCAGACTAATATGGAAATTTATATAGTCACAACCCATCAAAATCATAAAAAATTATCAATAAAGAATATCGGATTAAATATTATCCTTTATTGTATTTTATATTAAAATGTTGCGCCATTTCGAAAAGTTTTGAGAAGTTGCTTATCCATATATATTTTCATCATAAATTAAAATTTCCCGAAAATGCAAGCTCAAAATGCATATAGCAAGGACTTCTTATAGTTCACTTTGAGATATAAATTGGCATTCTAACTATTGGAGTTGGCTTATTAAAATAATTCTATAAGTTGATGAGTGCAGTTTATAATTGACATTTGCCAAATTATAGAGTTGGTTTGGTAATTTTTGATACCTATCCAGCATGTAGGCTGGAAGACCAATTTATATCTAACTCCCCCCCCCCCTCCGTGAGCGAACAAAACCATTAGAAAAATCGCCATTTTTTGACCAAAAACCCACCCTCCGTGAGTGAACAAAAATTTTTTTAATAGAAAAAATTTTAATGGAAAAAAATTTTGATATATAAGTGATAATTAGTATAATGAAATCTAGAGCTAATTCTGTTTAATTTTTAAACAAATTGCGTTTTAAAACATAAATTTTGCAAATTAAATTAATATTTGCTTCCCAATTTTTGCAAATTAGGATTTTTTTTAAATTTCGAAAAAAATATTTTTTATAAAATTTATATATAAATTTTTTTTTTAAAAAAAAAAATTAACCCCCCTCCGTGAGCGAACAAAATTTTTTTGTTCGCTCACGGAGGGGGGGGGGGAGTAAGCAAACTATAAATTATCCTAGACTATATCAATTAAAATATAACAGCTAATCCGAATCATAGTTCAATAGGCTTTTAAAGTCTTTGATATATCGATTTTCCTGTAATTTTAAAAGAAGATATCCTATTTTGAATATAATAAGTTTATTTTTCTGAAGAATAATTTATTCTAAAATGTAATTTCATTAGATTTCCTTATTCACCCTATTATCTAGCAGAGTCACTTATAAATAACTTACTCTCCTTTTTGAATTAGCAAGGTATATGAAGAATTACATTTAGGAAAAATAACTCATCAGAGGCAGTCCACAAATTTTTTTATATAATTTTTTTTAATAATAAATAATAATTATTTTAATTAAGCCTTAACTTATTAGCTCTGCAGCTTAAGCTTTGTATATTATGTTAGAGAATTATTTAAAATTTAAAGATTTAAAATATTCTAGTTAATAAATAATTTCTATTAATATTTTAATATTAAAAGTATTATCTCTATAGCAAGCAAAACTCTTTATTGCTCATAGAGGGATAGCTACTAATCTTTTCATTATTGCTATCTCTTGAAATGCTGATTTCTTCGTCTTTCAATAGCTCTTTAAAGTTTATATTTTTCACAACTTTTGTAAAAGGTTCTTTGCCATCACTATCCAGATAATTGGAATTTATAAATGAAGTATTTAAGGCGTCTTGCATAATGTGAAAAGCGGCATCAAGATTGCATCTGATTTGCTCTGGGTCAACACTTTGATTGCCAATTGAATTTTTATCATAAAATAGAACATCATTAGAAATGCTGATATCATTTGATATGCGTAGAGAAATTGAAGACTCATCTAATGGAAAAGTCTCTGCATTGACTATTAATCGTCCTGTTTTAGCTTTTTTATTATTTTTCCCAAGCTTTGAATTAGGATTTCTTTTTTCTTTTGCTTCAGGCGATTTATTTGAAGCTTCTTCAGTGGGCTGTGTTTTTTGAGGACTTTTAGCTGCTGCGGTATTATCAGATTTATTGTTTTTGATACTGAATTGGAATTACGACTTTGGTCTACTGCTGAACATAGCTTTAAAGCATGAGCAGCACCCTTTGGATTTATTATTCATTAAATCATTTTGGCTACTTTATATTTACTTTGATGAGGAAAAAATTTAATGAGAAATAATAGGGAAAGAAGGAGTAGTATTGAAAACTAAGATAATAAGTATGCTAAATTAATAAATTTAGTATTCCTTTTCTTAACTAATAGAATTATAAAAAATTTGATAGCGTTGTCTTTTGTAATTTTTTGTGTTAAAAACTTCAGCTTTAATTCTGATTATTATTTTTGCTTAAATTCAACTGAAATGTTTCAAATAAACAAAACTTTTACATATATATTTAAACCGCAATTATGATGGCGCTTTTTCATGTATTTTTAAATTTAAATTTATTTCATCATTTATTTCAAAAGTTTTTTATGGCATTCTTCAGACTTTTCAGTATTAACGCTTTTCATATTTATTAAATTCATTATCGCCGTAATGATAAAATATCGAATGGTTAAATTTTACTTCAAAAATTTAAATTTCACTTTAATCAATAATAAAACTTATTTCCTAGGAATGGAGTCTCAGTCACCTTTAAAGATTTTATTAGACTCAAGAACCTATGCCATCTATAATTTTAGGTCCTGCAGTTATGAGTCTCTCTATCAGTAATCCCTATTCAGCTCTATTGCCAAATTCATAGATGATGACGACCCTACCTTTGAATTACTGGTTCCTTTCGGAAATAACTGAATTCATATAAAGGATGATATTTCATTAACTACTTATGTTCTTCGAGCAGTTTGCCCACTTATTTATGTTAATGAACCAGGTAAATATTATATAGGGACTCCTTGTATATTAAGAGCACAAACTTATAATATAACAAAATTTGATGATGATCCTGACTGAGATAAACGGAAACATATGATTGTCCAACAAATCAAAAAAACAAACCCTGATATCCTATGTCTGCAAGACATAAAAAATGACCCTTATCATGGACAATGTCTATTTGAGAGAACTTTTAGATGGCTTACAGAAAGCTTTTTATTAGACAAGCCCAAAGGAAGAAACATGCTTAAAGAAATATTAGACGCAATACCTGAGTATCCGTATTATTATTGGCATGATTCGATGGTTTATAAGGATGGGACAATAGAAGGTATTGCCGTTATTTCAAGGTATCCTATTTCTGATGTAACTTCAATAAAACTTTCATCATCAAAGGAAGACTCAAATGAAAGGTATTGTATAAGAGCCCTTATAAGCCACCCAAAAAAAGCATTTGAAGTCTTTAATGTCCAAATGACAACTGACAATAAGCGCCAAGTTATGCAGGCATCAGAAATCTTAGGATTTATGGATAAAAGTGATAAAGGGAGGATTCCTCAGATCTTGTTAGGAGATTTCAAAATCAAAGAAAAATATCAGGTGCCTGGAGATGTATTAGAAGGAAAATACCATATAAAACAACAGCTCAGCACGCTAAAAGACGCATGAAAAACGAAGGAAAGTGAAGGGAATGGCTTCACTTATCCAAGCTGGAGTTCATATAATAGATTTGATAGGATCTATTATAGAAACCTTGAAGAGCCGCCTAATTGTGAGGTCGTTGGAAAAGCATTGAGTAAAAAAACATGGGCATCTAGCCATTGCTCAGTATATGCTGACTTCATTCTTTCGTTATGTTAAATAATGAACAAAGTATAGTTTTAATATTTTATATATATCTTAAAAAAGATACTAACTCCCCCCCCCCCCTCCGTGAGCGAACAAAAAAATTTTGTTCGCTCACGGAGGGGGGTTAATTTTTTTTTTTAAAAAAAATTTATATATAAATTTTATAAAAAATATTTTTTTCGAAATTTAAAAAAATCCTAATTTGCAAAAATTGGGAAGCAAATATTAATTTAATTTGCAAAATTTATGTTTTAAAACGCAATTTGTTTAAAATTAAACAGAATTAGCTCTAGATTTCATTATACTAATTATCACTTATATATCAAAATTTTTTTCCATTAAAATTTTTTTCTATTAAAAAAATTTTTGTTCACTCACGGAGGGTGGGTTTTTGGTCAAAAAATGGCGATTTTTCTAATGGTTTTGTTCGCTCACGGAGGGGGGGGGGGGGGGGGAGTAACATGAAATTTCTTATATGTCAAATAAAATGATACATGCGAATTATGTTTGTTAATTAATATAATATTATCTCCCAGCCCTCTTCCTCAAATAAACAGTGAGGAAAATAATAATTGCCCCAAACAATGCGCAAGCTCCAAAAATGATATATAAAACTCCAATGAACGCCACTTTCCCTCCGAACCTTGAAGTCGTACTAATTACAACCCACTTTTGTCCATTAAAAGAGGCGACATCATAATTGTTTACAATAACAACTTGGTATTTCCCTTCAGGCAAGTCTTGCTCGATCCTTCCCCATAGCTTCCTAAAATATGGCAGTCCAGCTACATTCATCCAGACAATGAAATGTTCATTCTCTACATCAATCCACTGTACTTCTTCTGAATTATCGTTTTCTTCGAATTTTTCGTCAGTGTCTACATCCCATGCAATTTTATCATTTTCCATTTCAATTTCTATAAAACTATCTGTATCATTAGAAGTTATAAATGAGAAAGTGTCATTAAAGTATGCCTTGGGCAGTAGTCCACAAGGGTTTGCTACATCGTCTTCAGTTAGATTCAAAGTTGTGTAAAATCCTAAATCTTCCATTGTTGTTACTGGGTCGCAGTATTTTTCGACATCGTTTTCTGATCTATCATCTCCCATTAGTTGATAAATGTCACGGCTCTTATAAAATTTTCGATGATTTTGATAGAAATTTTTAATTTCATAATAAAAAAAGATCGGCTTTTCCATGTACTCTTCAACATCTAGCTCTACAACGCAGGTCCTTGGAGTTCTTCAGTCTGCTTTGCATTCTCCTATGTCATCGTATCTTTCAGAAACTTCGTAAACTTCATTTGATTTTTCTATGACAAAACAGCCAAAAATGATGAATCCAACCCCAATTACGATGTATAAAGATCCAATTACTACTGAGTTAGGTGAGCAATTCCAGCCTCTGAGCCGTTGCTGCTTAAAATCTGAATTGCTGGGCTTATTAGACTTCTCGCTTTCCATTTTAATAGCTGTTTCTAATAACAATATCTATGCAGTTTTTACTAATTTCCATCATATAGTATTGGATTGCATTTAAAATTAACTCATAATCTTATTCTATTGAATAGAGAGAACTTTCTTGGATATCGAGAAATAAAATAGTGACGTCGAGAAAAAGATGGAATTCGAGACACTACCTATAGAGCAGGTAGGACCTGCCCCGAAGAAGCTGAAAATAGTGCCTCTGCCACTTTTTGAAGTAGGCCTTCCGGTTTGGGGATGCCTGTCGAAGAGGGAAATTTTTGTTTTTCCTTCGGAGGTTTTCCTGTCCCTACCAGATGGGGCTAACCAAGTTTTGCTTCCGACTTAGTCTTTGCTTATCGGGACTAATGGGGCATCCGAAAAAGGTAGCTCTAGCCTAGGGAGGTTATCCTTAGGCTAGGTGGGCTTACACACCAGATCGGCAGCTAGTGGTTTATCAGCTTATGACCTTATAATTTTAACTTAAATTAACTTGCATATCATTATAAATACCAAAAGAATAAAATTATAATAAGTCTTAGATTTAAGAGTAAGGTTTATTAATTGTTAGAAAGGAATTCATTGATTTATTTTTCAAATAACTTGTTAAACTGTTAACTTCTCTTTAAATTGAATTAAATATAGGCAAAATTCCATTTTTGGGTACTTAAAATAAAAATATATTATCTCAACTTGACTGATAAGAAGTTCTAATTTTTATTATAAGAGAATCAAAATTATTCATCAAATGCTAGTTGCCATAACTATTTTTTGATTCAATATATAAGCACTATAATTTTTTATTTCAACAAAATTTATATTTTATTATTCTTATTATTCAGTACTAGATAAATGCAGCTCTTATGTGATAATTTAATCTAAATTAATTTGCAATCCTCCAAATGCTTAAAAATAAAATGGATTCTTTACATGTAATTCCTGGAAAAGGCCTTGGCGGACAATTTACCCTTGGCATGAGCATCACCAAAGCTATCAATAAATTCAAAAATCTCAGCACCAAAATCCCAGAAGTTCAAGTAGTCGAAGAAATAGAAACTAAAAGAATTTATCTGATAGTCCCTGATTGCCGAATTAAATTGGTATTTGACGAGCTCTATCAGAAACTAATTATTATTGAAATAAATTGTACTGAATGTGAAGCACCAAATATCCTCATTGTTTTTAAATCCCAAATGTACTCGAATTATCAAGAAATTCTTAATGATTTGGAGGACTCATTTATGCCGAATTATTTAGATGAAAATATTATATTGGAGACTTATCATGGCATGAGCATAATACGTGATCAAGGAAAATTATCAAAAATTTTAATTCATAAAGGGAATAAACTGCCAGAAATTCAGGGGATACAAATGCCAAAAATCAATGAATATTTGGTATATTTGAATGAAAAAATCATAGTAAAAACACCTAATGGGAAATCAATTGAGCTTGCTTGAGGGTCATTTCCAGAGACTGTTATTGAGATCTTAGGCCCGCCTGATGAGCTATTTTATAAGCAAAGCCAAAATGTGCAATCCAATGACTATTTTTATAATTATTTTTCAGAGGGCTTTGACTTGATGTTTGATGGAAACTCTAACCAGTTAAAAAAAGCAATCCTATATACAAATATGCCAGATTATTATTTATTTAACGAATATGACCGCTGTAATTTTAAACTTTTTGTTAATGAGCATCTAGTGAATCCGCTTACAAAGTGGGATGAAATTATAGAGATTTTTGAAGGCCATCCAAAAGATGAAGGAAATAGAAGGTATCCGTATGGGTTTGAGCCGACAAGATATTTCAGCTTTAAAGGGGTGTTGTTTGAAGTTTCAAATTCGGGATATATAGGAAGTATTACAATTTCTTTATAGTGTAATTAAATTTAAATTATTTTCAAATTATTACAGGTGTCTTGCTCTGATAGGTCCTTTAGGTTTAATAAACTTATTACTTTGTTTATTATCTGCAATATTTGATATATCATCCAGATCTTGCATAAATTTCTGCCATGGATGTAGCAAAGGCGGCTCTGGCGTATAAGCTTGAATTCCTTTAGGCTGCTTCTCAGTTGAACTATTTTCTGATCGAGTTCTTCGGGTTTGCTTATCTATTTCCTTACTCCCCTCCGTGAGTGAACAAAAAAAATTTGTTCGCTCAAGGAGGGGGTTAATTTTTTTTTGAAAATTTTAAAAAAAAATCCTAATTTGCAAAAATTGGGAAGCAAACATTAATTTAATTTATAAAAATTTATGTTTTAAAAACGCAATTTCATTAAAATTATACAGAATTAGCTCGAGATTTCATTATAATAATTATCACTTATATATCAAAATTTTTTTCGTAAAAATTTTTTTCTATTAAAAAGATTTTTGTGCGCTCACGGAGGGTGGGTTTTTGGGCAAAAATAGGATTTTTTCTAATGATTTTGTTCACTCGCGGGGGGGAGTTAGCAAATGACTGCTTATCAAGCCTATATCCTTTGGATAGATGCTGAAATCTATTCAGTCCTGATGAACTCAAATCTGGAGTCGGATTTGTCGATTGATTATTTGTTGATAAGTCTTCCCACGGCTGTAAAATTTCTTCACATTTTAAAGAAAGTTTTGAAATGTCCAGATCAATTTTTGATAGATTTGCACTGGTGTTTGCACTCGCTAGCGCTGTTGCTATCTGTTTTTTCGAAAAACTGCCTTTTCTTAAATCAACTCTCTGCATTTTTTCAGGCGGTTGAGGTATTTGTTTAAAAGATCTTCTAATTTCTGCATTTCTATTTGTAAGCCTTTGCTTACTTTTTAATTCATAGGGAGTGCAAATATCTTCTTTATCTATGGGAGACTTGGGGAGAAGAATATGTGTATCTATTTCTTTAGGTTTAAAATGGGTAGGAGTATATCATCTTTGGCATGTGGATGAATTAGAATGTGAAGGCGAGTTTGAAATAGAAGAATTTCCTTTTTTTTGAGCTAGTGGGGGCAGTGTTTGTGGAGACTGTGGCTTGCCTCCTCCTTGGTCTGGAGTGTGGCATCTGAAAGAATCAACTTTTTTACGAATAAAATGTGGCTCTGATTTAGGCTCAGGAGGTTTCGGGACTAATATTCCTCTGCTTGGTGATTTGTTAGTTCGGAGAGGCGGTGACTGTTTATGGACATCACGAATATTTACGAAAACTTTTCTAGTTGGGCCTGCACATCGTTGAACTTTCATATTTAATCTAACAAATTTTCAAAATTATTAAGCTGATGCATAATATTGTAAGAGAAAATCTATTAAAAGTAAACAAATATGATTTTTTTCCTATTTTGCTATTTAAAAAGGCAGATAATTGGAAATTTATAAATGAAAAAATTATAGGTTTTAGCTAAAATATTCAGCATAATATTTAAAATGGCAGTTAGGGATGGGTCCCTAGTCCTGATGCATCAGGTCGGACCTATAAACCGAACTTAGTAAGAGAAGTCAAGCTGAGGGTTTCGGCTTGAAGAGAAGTAGTCAGTGCTGAGGCTGGCACTGACGAGAGAAGTCTGAAGGGCTTGATAACTTTAACGGTTCGACGGTTAGGCGGGTTGACCTAACGTTGCTCAGAGCTGCTATCGTAGCTGAACTCCAATAAAGAAGACTTAAAAAGCACTAAATGTGTTAGAAAAATTCATTAAACTTAAACTTAAACTAAACTTAAAAACATACAGGAATCTTAATAAATTTTAAATGGCCTTTTTATAATAATATAGAATGTGGAAACAAAGAGAGCAACTTCATTCCACAATTGATTTAGAATTCATAAAGGCTCAGTTTTATATGTCAAGGGAAATACCTGATAAGACAGAAATTTTAGAATCCCTACTTCTATCGTTAATTGAATCAATTATCTTTTATAATCCCTCTGACCTCAAATGTCTTAGCAAACTCCGAGAGGTGTTCGAGTTTACAGGAGAACCCCAAAATATTGAAAGCATCATTGCCGATCGGGATTGCAATAAGCTTGATGGCTTAACTGATAATTATTATTTTTCAAGTACAGCTGCTAAAATTATTAGCCAGAAGTTCAACAAAAGACAAATTCAAGCCAAACTCTTACTTAGCTTTGCCAATTTTTTCAATGTAAGTATAATAAAAATCGCTTTTCAAGATCAAATAGGCTGGAAGATTTCCTCATATGGTAATTCTAAATTATCACTGTATTTATATTGCAAAAATAGTAAATATTTCATTTTGTATCCATATTACTATACAAATGATGGATTAAAGGAAAAAACTTTTGATGAATTTTATTTGCCCTCATATAAAATTCCATATGAATGTATATGCAATCAAAATAAAAAATTGTATTCAGAGTGCAAATGCTCTAAAATTATGACAACATTATATAAAAACGATAATGAAAACTTATATGGAAACTCTTTACCAGTTCGTATAGCATGGGCACGCTAAAGGAGTGTTCTTATGCTTGCAGCTATGTGGGACTCATCTCCTTCAATTTGACAAACCAGATCTTTATGTCTGGATTAGCCATCTTGTTGTTGGCTCTCCACTTGAAGATGACGAGTCAAAACACCAAGCTCCTGAGGAGGCAAAAGGATAAGGGCACGCTAAATATGCACCACAATATAATTATGATCGTGAGATCACTAGTTATGGCTTTCAAAACATAGATCAATATCCTCAGCCCGAGCAGGAAAGTGGTTGAATGATTAGAATTATTGATAGACTGCCAAGTGCTTGAAAAACAGCTGGGAAAGAAGGAGTAGAAGTATTAAAAGGTACAATTTCACTTTTATCATGTATGCCCAACTTTTACTAAATTCTTAATATGTCCCATGGTCAAGCAAGGCCATTGGAAAACCTATTTTTGGGAAAGGCTCATCTTAGTGAACAAGCAAGCTATTTTGTAAAGTTATTTTGATGCATAAATAATAATTATTATGATGAAACCTCTAGCTAATTCAATAGAATTTCTTACTCCCCCCCCTCCGTGAGTGAACAAAACCATTAGAAAAATCCCTATTTTTTGCCCAAAAACCCACCCCCTCAGTGAGTGAACAAAAATTTTTTAATAGAAAAATTTTTTTATGGAAAAAAAATTTGATATATAAGTGATAATTAGTATAATGAAATCTAGAGCTAATTTCTGTTTAATTTTAAACGAATTGCTTTTTAAAACATAAATTTTATAAATTAAAATTAATATTTGCTTTCCAATTTTTTGCGAATTAGGATTTTTTTAAATTTCGAAACAAATTTTTAGAAAATTTAAATATAAATTTTTTTTAAAAAAACAAAATTAACCCCCCTCCGTGAGTGAACAAAATTTTTTTGTTCACTCACGGAGGGGGGGGAGTTAATATCTATTTTTCGAGTTAGATTTCATCTAAAAAAAATTAAACCCTACTATAGTGTACGAAAAAGATTTTATTCACTCATATGGGGGAAATTTAATATTTATGTTTTAATATTTTAGGTTAGATTGAAACGATATGAATATAGCACAAGCCATAATGTGCATTAATTATTCTTTAAGCTCCCTTATTGAGGCTTAAACTTGCCTTGAGATTATTTGTAACTAGAAAAAATGTCAATATATTTTATAAATATGCAATCAAATCTGACATTCCATAACATAAGTCTCTCAAATGTAACAGAGATGCGAAAAATTCAAAGCTATTCAAATGTTACCCACGATTTTTGATATGAGTATCATTGCATGACTGACTGAAAAGAATATTCATTTCTATGCTATTTAGACGACATATGTGTTGGGTCATTAGTTGCAAGATTTAAAAATAAAACTTCAAATCTTTATATCATGGATTTTGATGTCGCCCTTGACTATAAAAGAATGAAAATAGGCAGCAGAATGATGGAACATCTTAAAGAAATTGCTTCTAAAATATCCAAAATTAGCAGCATAACACTTCATGTGTGGACAAGCAATGAAGCCGCAGTTAATTTTTATAAAAATCAAAACTTCGAAATTGTGGCCCAGTTGGATAATTATTATTATGAATATCAACCGACAACTGCTTTTGTGTGTGAGTTTAAAATCAAGAGAGACACAAATTGTCTTAAGGACTGTCTTTTGTTTTGAAGCAATGAAGAGAGCCAATCGCTATAAATTAATCTAAGATGAACATTATATATATTTATTTCAATTATTTGATTTTATAAGTAAAAGGATTAATATTTTAAAACTTCAACTATCCTATTATTTATTATTTAATGCTAGTTTGCAGCATTTCCCCTTTCTTTATAACTGCGTTAGCATCTCTACAATTATCAACACCTGCCATCAGTAGTGCCAATAGCATCAACATAAACAGCTTCAAAAACAGCTCGCAACCAAGCAACTTTATTATTTAGGTTCATTAGGTATTTTCATTGAAAATCCACATAATTTAAATTTTGATTTTTATTGTAATGCCCACTTGCACACACCCCATCTTAGATAGTCCATCAAAAACTATACTTATACTTAAACATAGAGAAAATAATATTTTCTGCTTGTTATCATTATCTTATATTCACATAATAATCAGGAAAATGGCTAATATTTAGAATGATTTCATTCATTGCAAAAAGGTAAAGAATTAGTAGAATTTCCACTTCAAAGACTTCACAACCTCATGAAAAAATCATGTGTGTCTGCATGCTCTGTGCACACAAAAGCCTCCGTTCTACTTCATCTTCAGTTTCCAAAGATCCAGTACTGCAATTATTCATTCTAATGCACATTTCCTCACCAATTATTTTTTTTATTTTAAACGGCTCAGGATAAAACTTTCAACTTTTTGATGACAAAAATCATCATGTCCGAAAATCGTTATAGTAAAAATTAACTTAAAATTTTATGCAAGTATAGGGGAATTTCATTTAAATGCTATAATTTTAAATAATAGGATTGGTATGAAAATAAGCCATTAATCTTATTAAATTAGAAAATCTGATAAAGCATTTTTGGCTTTATTGATTCTAAAATTAGATATACTTATTTACCAAGAATAGCCCACTAAGGAGCATTTTTTGGTTGGCCAGACAATAACTGGCTTGCCAAATTCGTTTAGCATGCCATATTTTCTGGCTAACAAAGTTAAGAATGGCGAACCAAAAAATGCTCCTTAGTGGCCTATTCTTGGCAAACAGGTATATATCGAAAAGCCTGCTGTGCGCTGACTAGTGAGGAATACTTTCTTCTTGCCTTTAGCTTCATATACATTGAAATGGCGTGGTGAGCAAACCAAACCTCTTAGCACTGCAGCCGGTAGGCATATGGGTAAAGTCGGAGAGCTTGTGGAAGGGGACAGGGCATTCGGAAATGTCTTCCGGTCAGTTTTTACTTGATTTTGTGGAGCGCAATTCCGTGCTAGCCGATCACTTACTCATATCCAGGTCAAGGTTTACCCCTGTGGGAGATGGTTTGCTGGAGTTGAAAAGGGGACACCCAGCACACTTGGCCAATAGGGCAAATACCCCAACGTGATAGCAGGTGCTGTGCCCTGGGCTCTCTGGGCTTCATCTTGGCTGAAAACTGAACAGAAAATTTGTTTTTCAAATTTTTTTGAAAACAAATAGTGCAGCCCTCGTTCGTAAGGACAATACAATTGAAGGCTGTGTCCGAACTGGCAAGCAAACGGTGGAGCATTATGCGGAGGCGATTAGTGGCCTGCGGGCCTGCAGTGGACTTCTTTATAAGTAATTATTTAATTTAGTTAAGTGTGAAGCCTTTTCAGCTTCAGTGTTGACTGCGCGGACTATGGGCTCTTACTCCCAGCATCGAGTGATTTGGGAGTAGTTTGATCCAGAAAGAAAAACCTGGATCTACCGGGTGATGGATATATGCCCTTAGTAGCTGTGGAAAAAAAAAACTTAATCCTGAATTCAGACCACAGCATCTGGTATCACGTCGAAGTCCACATTAAGGGTCCCAAAGTACACTTCTAAGTTGCTTCTTATCAGCTGTAGGAACTAATAAAAATCTACCTGGATATACACATCGCCATTTTATGTATTAAAAATTAGATCCAATTTGCAATTTATTTTAATTTATTTCCATTATTAAGAGTTTAAATATTAATTACAAAAGTTCTTAACATTATCCATAGCTATGAAATGATTATTTTTTAAATTATTATTTATCTGACATCAATATCCAAAGGTGACAGCTTATCTTCTATTAGAAAATCTTGCTGAACTGCTTCTATTTCTTCATCAAGATCTTCTACACTCGAAATTTCACTTGCATTTTCTGAAGAAATAGCTTCTTTTTTCCCAGGGCATTTCATCAGAGATTCAACCATTTCAGTATAATCTTTTTTCTCTTTTTTTTTCTTCGAATAATATATAAGCTGGTTGTATTTTTTATATTAAATCCCCCTCCATGAGTGGACAAAAAAAATTTGAGAGAAGCTAATAAAATTTATATATATTTTTATTGTAATTTTTTTTTTAAAAAATTCAGATTTGCGAACATTGGAAAGCAAATATTAATTTAATTTGTAAAGGTTGTGTTTAAAATTCAACAGTATTAACTAGAGATTTCATTATAATAGTTATCACTTATATCTCAAATATATTTTATAAACAACGTTTGTACCAAAAATTTTTTTTTTCGTTCACGTCAGGTTGGCTTTCACTTAAAATAATAAGGAGTTTTCCAACGGTCCTGCTCACTCACGGATAGAGAGGGGGTGAGTTCTTTTAAATTAGGTTCTGCTGAGCAGCTTGTAATAAGAAGCCAATTATTAAAACTAAGCCTAAATTTCGGAAATTTCATATTCATAAACTGTTCAAAAGGTTCATTATCTTCATTCATACTAATTTTTGCTAGATAAGCTGTAAATATTGATAGCATTCTAGGACTTATTGTTCTTTCTTCAGGTGATGTAGAATTAATCAGTATACCTCAATAGATGACTTCTAGTTCATTAAAAAGCATCACATGGGCAATTGAGTTCAATAAAGAATAAACTTTCTTATAAGGCCAATGCTTAGATAAGTAGGAATCATTTACAAGTTTTTTCAGTAAAAATTGCCGAAGATGACTGACACCTGAAGAGTGAAATTCTTTACTAACTCCCCTCCATGACAGAGCAAATCAATATTTTATTTTTAAAAAATTATATACAAATTTGAGATTGAAATGTTGAATTTTGCAAATTAAATTAATTTTTGTCGGGATCTCATTATACTAATTATAACTTATATATCAAAATTTTTTTCATGCAAAATTTTTTTGTAACTCGTGAGGTTTTTTTCGCCCAAAAATAGGAATTTTCTGAATGCTTTTTTTGTTCTCCACTGAGGAAGTAAGTTTTTCATAAAGATCTAAAAATGGAGTGTTTGGTGGTGATTTAAGCATTGCGGAATCTGCAATGTCTAGTGGAGTGAATATTGAATCAGCCAGACAATTGCTGCATTCAATATTTAAAGTCATATGTCTGTATCTTGAATTCATTTTTAATATTTAAATTTCTGATGTAAAAGAAAATAAATACATTTTTATCTGATATTATTAACTTTTAATTATTTTGTCCATATTTATTTTATGGTAGCTAGCATTTAGATTATTTAGTATGAAAAAATCGCTATCTGATATGATTTTTTGATAATTGATTGTTGAGTATTCAAATATTTGCATATAATGGATAATCTTACTCCCTTTTAATAGCGAGCAAGATTTTTTTGTCTCTTTTGGTTTTGATATTCTTAAAGGTAAAGTTAGCAAATCCTGGTATAGGTTAAATAAATTGATTTAGCTTAATTTTTTATATTTTTCCTTACTCCACCCCCTCCGTGAGCGAACAAAAATTTTTTTAATAGAAAAATTTTTATGGGAAAAAATTTTGATATATAAGTGATAATTAGTATAATAAAATCTCGAGCTAATTCTGTTTAATTTTAAATAAATTGCGTTTTAAAACATAATTTTACAAATTAAATTAATATTTGCCTTCTAATTTTTGAGAAGTGGGATTTTTTTAAATTCGAAAAAAAAAAATTTCTTTAAAATTTATATATAAATTTTTGTAAAAAAATATTAACACCCTCCGTGAGCTAACAAGATTTTTTTGTTCGCTCACGGAGGGGGAGTTAGGAAATGATAAGTTTAATTCATGTAAGCAATCTCGAGAAAAAAGTTGGATTTCTAATTTATGTATATAATAATTAATCATAAAAAACGCATTTCATAACAAATAATATTTGAACAAATTCCATTAAAAATATCAAAAATTTTTCTAATCTCTGAATAATGCACTTTGTTATGCTTCGAGTGCTATTTATTTTTATAGTTAAAAATAAGCTGGCATTATTCAATATCCCATTATAATTTTTCACCAAATGAAAGACTCTATGCTTTATCGCAATCTCGGAGATTCGGGTCTCAAAGTTTCAGCTCTTTCATTTGGAAACTGGCTTACAGGGCATACTCCAGAAGCTGAAGAGTCTCAATTTCAATGCTTCTCAAAAGCAATTGACTCAGGTATAAATTTCTTCGACACAGCAGAGCAGTATGGAAACGGCACAGCAGAATCTATTTTCGGCAATATTTTAAAGCGAGGTGACTGAAATCGTGATGATTTAGTTATAGCGACCAAATTTATTAATTGTGGTAAAAAAACTGGATTATCCAGAAAAAGATTGATTCAAGGTATGAAAGCATCCTTATCTAGGCTTCAGCTAGATTTTGTTGATGTGATGTATCTGCATAAACCTGATTATGAAACACCTATAGAAGAAACAGTTAGAACAGTTAACCATTTAATTGAAAAAGGAAAAGCAGATTATTGGGGAACTTCAGAGTTTTCTGCATACGAAATCCAAGAAATCCATAAAATTTGTGACAAGTATGGGTTTATACACCCAGTCACAGAGCAAGTGAAGTATAACATGTTTGTCAGGAATAAGGTAGAGGTAGATTATGTTCCTTTATACGAACGCTATGGAATGGGAGCTACAATATTCAATCCTCTAATGGGAGGAATCCTTTCTGGGAAATACAATGATTTAAACTTTCCAGAGGGATCAAGAATCTTAGACCCAAATTTGACCCCTGGGAATAGAAAATTAATGCAGAGCTTTTTCTTGCCAGAAAACAGAGACAAAACTAGAAGAATGTTTGAAGGGTTAGCAGGAATTAGTCAGGAGCTGGAATGCACACAAGCACAATTAGCAATTGCTTGGTGCATCAAGAATAACGATGTAAGCAGCGCGATATTTGGAGCTACCAGGCCTAGTCAAGTTGAAGACAATATAGGAGCTGTTAATGTTGTTGGAAAACTGACAGCTGATGTTCTGGGCAGGATTGAGGAAATCATAGGAACAAGACCTCAACCACCTATTAATTGGAGAACTTGGACACCCATGGCTCCAAGGAGATAATTAATAACTATTGATTATTTAATATATTGATAAGCTTAAGTAGCCTTTATAACAATTGCAAACTTCTAGTTCCTCAATTTCATTCTTCCTGCTCTAATTAATCTATCCATTATTTTAATGCTGTTAAAATAAAGCAGATTGTAAAAACTAATAAAGCTGTCATAGTTTTCAAAAATATGAATTGTAGATTACAGCATAGCCCTGCTCCTGCTTTGGATTAGGCTTGACTGACGTTTTCCAACATCAGATAGGAGTTGACTTTGCCAACAAGCATTGGTTCATCAACTCCCCATCTGATGTCTCCTGACATCAGACAAACCAGTCCAAAGCAGAGATCGGACTATATTATTTAAATATTAAGTATTTAATCTTTCTTTAGTAACTTTTTTTTTATATAAAATTATAGTAACTTTCTAAATTTATTATAATTAATTTTTATGTTGCATAAATAGAATGCAATGTTGTTTTTCCTACAAATTATTTAAGCAATATCTAATCATAAATTAAATATGTATCGTCAAATGACTATGGAGCAATACAATGCTAACCAATACTGACTTCAGGGAAATGTATTTTTTGAGCAAGGCAATTTAACTGCCGCTTGGCAATTATATACAAATGCCATAAAAGCAAATCCAGAATGCCACGAAGCTTTCTATTCCCAAGGGCTAGTGCTCCACAGATTAGGAAAACTCTCAGACGCCATCAGCGCATATGATGCATGCCTTCAAATAAACCCAGCCTATGTCTACGCATGGACAAATAAGGGTGCAACACTATTTGACATGGGTAAATATAAAGATGCTATTAGGTGCTATGAGCAAGCTTTAAAGCAAAATCCTACAGACTCCATTGCACACCACAATAAAGGAATTTCCTGTGCAAAGTTACGTCAGTACCCTAAAGCTATAGAATGCTATGATATTGCACTTAAGATAAATTCTAGATATGCCCCAGCTTATTATTACAAAGGGAACGCTCTTAGGAGAATGGGAAAACCTGAAGAGGCGTTATTTTGCTATGATGCTGCTATTTCTATAAATCAGAGATATATCCAAGCATATTTTCATAAAGGGAACACCCTTTTCCAATTAAATCGGAATGATGAGGCAATGGCATGCTTTAATACAGCAATTAGGATTTCTCCTAATGATTCAGCAGCACACTATAATAAAGGAAACGCTCTTAATAGAATGGGATTGCCTGAAGAAGCGCTAGAATCTTATAATTTGTCAATAAGGTTAAATTCAAAAAATACCTTAGCATATACAAATAAAGGTGCAATCCTTGACAGTCAAGGAAAATTCGAAGAAGCCTTAGAATGCTATAATGCAGCTATAAGAGCTAATCCAGATAATTCATCAGCTTATAATAACATCGGCCTTGTCCTTCATAGGCTTGGAAAATATAGAGATGCTTTAGGATACTATATTGATGGAATTAAAAAGTGTCCAGATTCCTCACTTTTATACAATAATAAAGGAAACTCTCTCTTCGAACTAGGGAGAGTTGCAGATGCTATCCAAAGCTACGACATAGCTATAAAGCTTGATTCAGACAATATTGAGGCTTATAATAACAAAGGGTACGCTCTTTTCAGCATGAGTGAATACAAAAAAGCATTAAAATGCTACAACACTGCTCTTAGCAAATCTCCAACGTATGCAAACGCACATAACAGAAAAGGCGCACTTCTTTTTAATATGGAAAATTTTGAAGAAGCTTTACAATGTGCAGATGCTGCAATTAGACTTAATCCTACATCTGTTTTATATCTTTGCAATAGAGGAAGAGTGCTCAATAAGCTTGGTGACAGAAAAAGAGCTTTAGAAGATCTTAACAGGGCTGCTGATCAAGCAAGAACTGGAAAAATGGGGAATAATTTAGACAAAAATAACATAGAGTACATAAATGAAGTTCTAGGTCCTGAGCGAGAAGAGCTTATAAGAGATTTAGGAGAATTTCAAAGCGAAATTATTAAGCAAGAAGAAAAACTTTGGAAAATTCTAGAAGAGGCTGGTGATGATCCATATGTAGCAATGTTGGTTCGAGAAGAGAAAAAGAACATTAAAGAAGAAGAAGATTTTATCTATTCTAAAATATGAAATTGCATAGGTTCAAATAATAGAGATCCTGAAGAAGTAAATGAATCAAAAGCATTGATGACAGCTATTTTAAAAAAGGTGTGTGAGCGCATGGAAAAATTGGAGAACGAATCAATGAATAAAGTCGATAGGAGCGAAATTGAAAAAAGTGCCTTTAAAGTTAATCCTGAAATAGAAGGGAATCCTTATCTCAAGCAATATTACTCAGCTTTATATGGTAAATTATATGATGCAATTACTGAAGCTGATGCAATTTCTGGAGGGCATATTGGATTGGACGATGCAAATTATAAGACAAACCTTTTCGCAATGGCTATCACCTTAATCCCAATGGTAGGAGAAACCTTAAGTATGGCTGCAGACGCTCTTGTCAGGCTTAAAAAGCGAAACGATATAAAATCCGAAGCAATAAAGCTTAAAAAAGTTTTAGGACTCAACCCAAGTGACCGCAACAATGCAATTAAGGAAGCAGCTGAGACTATTACTTTACAGTCTGCTCCCAAACTATACAATATTGAAATTAATGAAGAAGTTGAGCATTGACTCAATAGGGGATTGGTTGAAAGGGGAAGATCTTTTTTCATAGTTAATATGAATAGAGGTTTATATGAGAAAAAAACAGAAATTTTGGGTTGCATTGATGCCTTGAAAATAATTTTTGCAATTGTTAATGATCAGATACCAGAAGAACTAAGTCATGAAGCTCTGGTGAATCAGCTAGTCACAGCTCCGAGTCGATTAAGGTTTACAAAAGGCAAAAAAGTTTCAATGCCTGAACATAAGCCTTGCTGTGTTGTATTTCCAGTATTAAAAATTACTTATGAGAACAAATTACTGAATGAAATTAACTTAATGAGCAAAACATGTAAGTTGACTGGACAAAAATTATCAAATTTTGTGAACTTTTTAATAGGATAATTAAGATTAAAATAAAATATTGTGAAATTCGTTACAATTTTGAATAAAAAATTTTTTATATGTTGCAAATCGATCCACACTTTTAACTAATGTAATCGAGGCTTGCTGAGATCGGAGATCTTAGGTAGGGGAAGTGTCAGAGGTATATATATCAGGCTATAAGTATTTAACTTTAATAGCCGATTCTTTGGGTTGCGACAATTTGCAATCAGCAAAGCTAATCTTTTGTTAGCCAAGTCAGGATTGGTTTATTTCCACCGCCAAAAGAATCTGGCTACTATGATAATTCTGATAGGCTTTAAAGGCCAAGATACTAGAGGTAGCGTGTGACAAATAAGGAATGATTCCAGAGTGAAATCAGGAGATACGTACGCAATCATTTTGGATAACGGATATTGATATCAGACTCTCCTCGATAGGAGCAACCTTCACGATTTCGTGAAGCACTAGCTTGAGATCAAGCAGGGAAGCACTAGGGAAGGGAATAAAGATTCGAAGAAAACCTGGTGTAAGTTATCAATAATCCCAAATATGGGAAAACGAATAAATGGATTTTAATTTATTTTATGTTTTTTTAATTATAAGCTAAATAAAATCATCAATTAATACTCTGCGTTATTATAACTAAAATATATCAATCTTTATGCTATAAAATATAAAATGAATTAAAGTGCTTTTATCTTAAAGAAGTTTTTCTGCTTTAAGTAGGAGGTTTGTCATATTTTAACAAATATATCTATTCTTATAATTAAACAAAACAGAATTTACAAGTAAAATAAAATTATCTCTTAAGTATGATATAATAAACCTTATTAATGAAGGCTTTAGTGATTGTACCAAACTGACTAATATAAATTTGGCAATTAATTTTTAAATTATCAAAATTTATAGGAAATATAAATATAATGGCAGACTTAATAGAGGGTTTGTTGAAGATCTGCTGCAATGAAAGCTTATGTAAGTGCCTATCAACTGATTGCTGCTCAATTTGCCAATCTATGCCATGCGATATATTTTCCAATATTGGCTCCTGCTGCTGTAAAATGTGTGAATGCTGCTTACTCCTATCTTTAGCGAGCAAAACCATTGAAAAATACCAATTTTTGAAGATTAACTTTTTATTAGGTTTATTATAATATATTGTTATATATATATGCAATGAATGTTATAATGATATAACAATTAATTATTAAATTTTATATAACTTCCATTCAAAATATAAGTTTCCATTTTTTCTTTCAAAAAAGGCTTTTTTATCGCTCACAGAAGGGAGTTAGCATCTAGTGCAATTGGTAACATAAGTGGGGATTGTAAATGCAAGTGTAGATTTCCAAAATGTTCAGACTGCGATCAAATACTCTTTGCCCACTGCGTGCAAAAGGTAATTCACAATACTGCAGGTGTTTCAATATGATGTGATTATTGATGCAATGGGATTTCACGTGGTATTAAAAGATGTTGTGATTGCCTCAATATATTTACTTGCTTTGGAATTCCTATCAACGATAATGTTTATTATAATAGTTACGGCAATAACTACAACAACAACTACAACAACAACATTGTCGTCATTAATGAGATGGGTAATTCAGAAGGTCAGAAGAATTCAAATCAAGTAACCAAAAAAGCAGACTCTACGCCTGCTGCTACTGCAAATCCAGAATATTCTCATACTGCGAATCCAGAATATTCTCAAATTGAAATCCAAAACAATAGCCAAGCAGAAGAAGAAGGAAATGGAAAAGAAAATGAAGAAATGCAAGGGCAAGCTCCTATGATTGAAGCTGACGAATTTTAACTTGGACTATATAGTGCCAATATGACAGCAGAGAACTATGTATTAAAGTTTCCTTTTATTCCCTAACTTGTGACGTCACCTTCTTGACTGCATTTACCTCTCACTTTTCTTGATTCCTGCGAGTGTGCCTAAGAGTCGCTCGCTCCATCATGAGTTTAATTGTAAAAATCTTTGCCTCCTAAAAAATAAAGGATGATATCCTGAGGCTGCGCCCTCCTATAATTGCTTTCCTGATATATAGCGTCTTTCTTAAGATGGCGCATTGCGCGCCATCTTAAGAAAGGCGCTATAGCTGGGTAATTTTCGCCAATCCCATAATAATAAAAAATTATAGATTGATAGTTCTGGAGAAAGCTTACTATAGTGACACCATTTTATTATTAATAAGCTGGCGAATCAATTTCTGCAATAAATGTCGAAATTGAATCGGATTAATGCTTAAATTACGAAATAAATAGCTCTTCTTGCCTATATACTCACTTACAAATAAAAGGAAATTATAGATAATAATTTGCAAAAAGACGTTTTTAATTATAAAAGATAATCACAAGGGTAGATTAAGTAGCATTACTTTATATATAGAGAAAGATAAGGCAAAACTTACTAAAGAAATCAGATATTTGTAAAGCTTCAATGTAAGTGCGTAAAATAAATTTATATAAACAATTAGTTATATAAAAAAAAAGCCGGCTTAGGTGCTAGAATATTTTAAATGTTATTTTTATAAATATTAAAATATTTAAATTAACAGATAAAATTGAAAAAATAAAATGTAGCAATCAATTAGCAAACAGCTTGTCTCTTTAAAGCTATCTTAAACTTTATTCAGGCTTGTCAACTATTTTTGACATTTCAATTTCAATTTCAAAAATGAATTTATACATTTTGCCGTAAAAGATCCATCTAGAGAAGTAACAAGGCATAACCATTTTTTGTCGAAAAGTGGCCCCTATTCTTGATTTATTGATGCTCATAATCATAATTGTATTTTTCCAAAAACAGTTTAACTCAAAAATTTACATTAGCCAGCTAGACTAGTTTGAATTTTAAAGCAATAAATTATGATTCTCAAAATATGAGACATATAGTCTAAGAAGCCCATCAATTGAATTCCATTAAGATCATTATAACCACATAATGGCAATCAATGGGGGCGCATAAACAATATCATCTATAAGAATTTAAAATAAGTTATATTAATTGGCAATATTTTGCTGTACCTCTACACTGAGAAAGTCACAATGATAGAGTTTCAACTTTAATTATTTATGTTTACATAATGATGATATTTTGTCTTTCTAATCCAGACTGCATTAATACTTCAGCTACAAAACTGTTGAATCCTGATGGTCCACAAACCCAAGCTTTTTTCGGTTTTTGCTTTCCATTCTCAATCAAGAGTTCTCGCAAGCAGGGCTTTTGTTTTTTACTACTTACAATCAAAACGAACTTAAAAATATTTGAATTCACAGCTCTTTCTGTAGCACTTATAAGATCATATGCAAAGACATCTTTTTTCCTACGAAAAGATACGATAAGTGTAAGCTTGAACTCATGAGGGTTATTTCGATTTACCCAAATGTAGTGAACTAAATCTAAAAATGGTACTAATCCTGTGCCACCTGCAACTGCTATAAATTCTCCTGACTCACCCCCATCCTTGATCAAACGATTCCTAAAAATTGGGAAAATTAGCCCCCATCCTTGATCGAACGATTTTCATATCATCCAAATTTTTAATATATAAAAATATCTTTAAAATTTAAAATTTTAATTCAATAAGGAAAAAAATTAAATTTATACAGTTTAAAGGGATAACCAAAAAATCAAAATATTAAAAAACATATATTTTTTATTTTATATATATAAATTTTTTTCATCCTTGATCTAACGATTGAGAGCCGCTCGATCAAGGATGAGGAGGGAGTGATAAATTATCAACTGACAGCCCTGGACCTAAAGGGCCTTTTAAAGCAATTTTTTCATTTTTTGCAAGTGATTTTAAGTATTCAGTCATAATACCCCCTTTATAGACTTTTATAATAAAACTCAGTCCTTTTACATCATTTCTGGTTAATTCAGTTATTTCACTCCCTTCATCAGAAACTTCTTGTTTTCAGCTATCTAAATCTACAAAAATGCAGCTATAATACCTTGATATAGTTGTATATTTATTTGTTAATGAAGATTTAACCATAATTGAAGCCTTAAAATGTTTTCCAAGCCACTCAGCTTTTTCTCATACTGGATTCAACTCGAACTCTTTGGATTTAAAAGTAATTATATAAGTCCTGTGGCTGATTTTTCTCTTTTTAGCCATCCTTCAAATCATATTATTTTGATCTGAATTATTTTTATTGATTAAAAAATTTTCAGGATATGAAATTGTATTAATTGATAAATAATCAACAATTTTCATAGCTATAGGTGAGTGTGTATATGGGTTTAGAAAATTTTTATTGCTGCATCCTACTAAATATTTTCCTATGTCCTCTCCTTTGATATTCTTGAAAAGTGTAGCGCCTCCAGGATGACTGTATTGGAAAGTAGATATATCAAGGACATTTTCATCAAAAAACACATATTCTTTGCCATTTTCATTAATATCTTCAATCACTTTTAAATGGCTTATTTCAAGCAGCTTTTTCTTAATGAAAAAGTTCATAAAAGGCAAAAATGGGCTAAGGCGATGCCTTGACTCAAGCAATACGAGCAAGAAAACGATGAAAAACATAAAAACAAGATCCATCTGATGGGAATAGTCATAGATTAGCTGCAAGTCATAAATCCCGTTATTTAAAATTCCTGCTATATATAACGTCCAGCCAATAAATTGATGTAATTTACGTGTATATGATATAAAGTAAGCATTTTTTCCATACCACTTTGTGACAATGGAAAATATTCCTAATAGACCTTCTGCCATCAATAATGACAAAAGAACAAGCCCTAGCATATCATGGCATCGATCATAATCATCGATAATAGGTATTGTAGGCTTGGTTTCTTTATATTTTTTGCTTGAATTCCACCATGTCATTCAGATTGCTGGAATTGTGCATACTAAATGTCCAACAAGTCACAGATGCCCAAGCCACTTAAAATATCGTGCAAAAGCAATTCCAACTTAACTTAGAAATTAGAAGGCGTCTGCTGTTTTGATTACACAGTCACCAAGGACCACGATGCGGGGTTCACCTGCTTTTCGCCGTCTTCGGATTCACCTTGCTCGAGTTTGGACAATGATACGCTAGCCAAGCTCAGCTCTGACGCTGCCTTTTCCCCTTCTTCAGCTCCTGGTGGCATGTTATTCTGAAATGAGATTTCAACCTGAACGCCTACTCCTCCCCCTTGCGGCTTGAGTGTTGAGTGGGCGGGCTATGGACTTCTGCGGCTGCTGCTTGGGTGAACGAAGTTGACCACTCAAAAATCCCAAAAAAAAATGGAATTTCTGGTGATCTCTTGGCAAAAAGGAAAAATTCAAGTCCTGGGGCGTAACTCCCAGTTTCACTTAGGCAGTTGCCCGATTGGTCTAGGTATTCCCTGTTGTCTCAGCTGGGCTTGCCCTTTCCAAACTTGAACCCTCCTCCCCTTCGAGCTAAAACCTAATCCTGAATTTGGACTGAGGGCTAGGCTCTGAACGCTGCCAGAATTGATTACCTAGCATTGCTGTCCATTTCTGGGTTAATAAAACCTTGCCCGATATAATTAAAATATGGCGTCTCCACCTAGCATGGCCTCCCGGCCATGCAGCTTCTGAGCACATATTTTAATTATGCAAAATCAATTCCAATAGGTACTGCATAAGTCCACAGTATAAGCATCAGGCATCTATGAAATATTTTGCTGGTCTTAGAGTCCTCAGCAACAAGATCAAGCCACATATCATTTGGATCTAAATTGATTTTATAATGTACTGCTTAAAAATTACCGCTAAAATCATGCTCTGTTCAACTGTCTTTTTTTTGGGTTGCACAAATCATGTCCATCTCTGAATTAGGCTTTATTATATGATCAAATGTATCGCCAGTTATCAAAAGTCTCGAAACAACTGCAGTAAAGCCAGTCTCTGTGTAGCTTCAATCTTCGAGAAATAAATCATCTCGACCACCTAATGATTCATCTGTAGGAGGAGTAGCCTCTTCTATTGCGAATAAGTCCATTTTGGTGGGCGGTTCACCATTATTATTAGCCATTACAACTATCATATCAGTGTGAATCATATCGGTACCAAACCCAATTCCACATCACCCAGCATCGCACTATATAGAAATTACAATAAAACTGAATCGAACACTTGTGAGGTTGAATTCAAACCCGAGAGAAAGTCTATCTGAAAGTCGAATATATTTGAAACCTAATGCAAGTTTGAGCAGAACAGAAAGGATTAATATGATAGAGAATTGCATCAATATATTAATAAAAATAATTCTAAGATGGAGTGAATATTTGTATATATTCTGATAAGAATTTGTGATTATAAAATGTGAGCGCTAGAATAAAGGCTGATTAAAAAAACAAAATTGTTTTTAATTTTGTTTATTATAATGGTAATAAATTCTTGATGGAGAAATTTTTAGTGGTCTAGCTTTAGGTTTAATGCTAATATGGATATATAGAGAAATTTATGGCAGAATTATATCTATAAGTTTATATAGAGCATAGAATTAGCATTAAACAATAACGTTGTTTATAATTGGATAGTAGGGTACTGATGTGTGAATGCTTATGAAAGGTTTATTTAACTGGTATATATTAAGAATAAAGCCAAATGATAAAATATGCAATCATTATATTACAGGCTCAAGCTGTGCTATGAAATGCTAAAAATAAATGGAATCGTAGCAAAAGTTTTCTCCAATATATTATTTTTGAGCCGATTATCAAATAGTATTTTATACTCTAAAAATTCTACATTATATGTTTTTCTAATTATCTTAAATTTCCATCGGAATTTAAATATTTTAAATAGCTAACTATACATATTTAATCCAAACTCAAAAAGTTAGGCTCTCCTGATAATAGCAAATATTGATTTGTGAGAAGAATATTTAAATCCAAGTGTGAAAAAGCTGTGAAAGAATCCTTCTTAATATCATAGCATTCTAGATTTATTAAACAGCAGGCTTAATTAAAATACGATCTTTAAATAAAACAGAATGAGAATTGGGTCAATAACCTTGAGGAAGAGAATTCTGCTTACTCCCCCCCATCCTTGATCGAACGATTGACTGTAAAAATTCCTAAAAATTGGGGAAATTAACCCCATCCTTGATCGAACGAATTTCATATCATGCAAAATTTTATATATATAAAAATATATGAGTTATCAAAAAGCTTGGGAAGATGTATAGAAGTTTCCTATGTTTGGCGCTGTAAGGCCGATAAATTCTGATCGGAATTTATCGGTAGGTTGCACCAAATCAATGCCTGGTCGGACCAAAAAGCGATTTGGTCCGACGAACTTGGAAAGCTCCTGGGAAAATGTCTGCGCTTTTAGCGCTATATAGAGGAAACCTCTATACATAATGAAGTTGTTTTCAGAGCTTTGAGACGACAGAAAGCTGCGGAATCAACCATTCGAAGTGATTCAGCCATCAACCTAGGCCTAAAAACTCCATAATCTAAAAAATAGAGATTCTTTAAAATTTAAAAATAAAAATTTAATTCAATAAAAACAAATTAAAATTTATACAGTTTAAAAGGGTAACTAATAAATCAAAATATTAAAAATTGGTATTTTTATGAAATTAATTCAATATATGCTGTAAAAATAATGATTAAATACTCTTAGCCCTCTTACTTAAAAGTAAATAAAAAAATATATATATATATAGCGCTTTCCCGAGGATGGCGCGGAATGGCGCGCCATCCTCGGGAAAGTCAACTAAGCATCCACACGGGAACTGGGAGTTCCACGTGTGGATGCCATTTTTGACATGTGGGATCCAAACTTCCACATGTCAAAATGGCATCCACACGTGGAACTCCCAGTTCCCGTGTGGATGCCATCCTCGGGAAAGCGCTATATGTATTTTTTATTTTATATATAAAATTTTTTCCCCAAAAATATTTTTTTTTAACCCCCATCCTTGATCGAACGATGGCGAGTCGTTCGATCAAGGATGGAGTGGGAGTTAGTTCATTTATTTTATTCTATCCCTTCTGCTTTATAAAATTCTATTTAGCTACTGCTTATGCTATTATGAATAGTTACTTGAAGAAATAGTAAAAATAGCTAATTGCATAATCAGATTCATTTAAATTATGAAGATGGTAAAGGTTATTAAGATTAAAAATTATTCTTTAATATCAAGCTAATATTTTTGCACATTTTTAATTGGAAGGGTGAATTATATTTTTCTGATATACTTTGATTAGATCCTCCCAAGAATAAACTCATGATAGCGGTGGCTTGCTTGCTGATGTGCCTGATGAAAGCGTTTTAATATTTCTATCTTTATCTATTATAAAACTGTGACCGATTGCAGAGCAGTAGTAACTATAATTTCTATTATACTTTCAATGAAAGAATGCTGAGCCATTGGTAGGATTAAAGCAGAGCTAGTATTATAGAGGTATTGCAAAAGATCAATAGTTTTAGCTGAAATTGTCATTGAAACTTTAATCTCAATCTTGATTATACTTATCGGAAAGTCCACTGCAATATCAAAGGATTCATCCTTCCCTAACTCTTCCCCGCTTGCTCGCCAGTTCACGTTTAACGATATCGGAAGGCTGCTCCTTCATTTATAGGGTCAGCTCACCATTGCGGATCTGCTTTACTCTAGAAAAAGCTTGCTATATGCACAGTTTCTGATGCCATTATCCCTTCTTCAAGCTCCCATGCCACGTGAAATGTTGTCTACGGAATTAATATGTGGTTGATTCACCACGCCATTTATATATGCCATTGAAATCAAATTCAATGAATTAAATTGTCCAAGACTATTCTTTTTTATAAAATAAATTTCAATTTCTTTGAATGGCTCACTTCCAAATTTGTATAAAGCTCTTCTATATCTCTTTTAATTTGCTTATATCATCTTCTATTTTAGGCATTTATCAACATTGCATCGATTTTTCGAACTTTTCAGGCTCGATCTTAAGATACTCTTCTATCTCCTTTACCTTTTGGCATGCTAAGTGTTCTCTCTTGAGACGAAAAAAGAATAATTTCATTGTACTCAACATCTAATTTGTATTAAACTGCAATAAATTGAGTTTTACATTCTAATTTACATTTTTAAAGAAAAATTCCTAATTCTTAGAATCTCCATTTGCTCAAAGTAAAGATCAATTCATCTCACGAGCTTTTTGATCATTTGATTTTTTGTATGCATACTGCAAAATATAGTGCGAGCAGTGCATTTGCAGATAAGCTCTGGGCCATTGGGAATTATCTATGAAGCACTTTTTGGCCTCATATTTATAAATATTATTATTAAAATTTGTCTAAATGCTAAAATTGAATTTTATCTTTGCATTAATGAAGCAATATCTGCTAAACTTGTAGAATTTGCCTTTTAGTTTGAGGGAGCAATATTTTAGTTATGATTTGGTAGATGCTATGGCCTTAGCATTATGACCCTCCTTCCTTTTAACTATTATCAACTAAAGTTTAATTATTTTCACCTATTATTTTATTCAATTATTTAAATCCACCATCATATAATTAAGTTTATAATGGCTGGATATGAATGATGATATTTTATTGGGCCAATTTATTTTTGAATTAATATTAGGCATAATCACGAACTTTGATATGTATAAAATTATCGATTGAATAAGAATTAGAGAGAGCCTATAAAGAAAAATCCAGACATCAATTTTATTTAAAGTAGGACTGAAAATTATTAGGCAAAATACTCACTTTATTTGGATTTCTGATAATGCTTTTTAATAAAAATTTTCTTTTTGCTGGAATCCAGATACCATAAACTCCATATTTAATTTGAAATTAAAATCAATATTATAATTTCTTAATTTCCATAATGATTTTAATTATTCTGAGTGAAAGTAATATATGTTGCCATCTTTGTTTTCAGATTGAACTCTATTAGTTGATTATTTCGATTTACATTCTAGATTATGTAAATGAGCTTCCAAACTTGCTAAATTTAAACATTTGCTAAAATTTTTATATCAAGAATTTATTTTGTATATTTAGTATAAAATAAATGCCTCCTTTAAATGCTACACTATAAGACTGAACAATGCAATTTGAGAGCTGATTATTTCCAATAAGCTCCCATTTGGAAATATCTCCTATACAGCCTTTAATTATTTTCCAATTTTGGTTAATTTAATTTTATTAATGGACTTTTCATTGCAAATTGCCATATTTCACTTTGATAAATATTTCTACCGAATTCAAGAACATAAACTCTCTCATTGTATGACAATATTGATTTGTTTAAAGAATTGTTCAACTTCAAATTTTGGATTTGTGTATAAGAATTTCGTATAATATCGTAAATCATAATCTGGGTGAGGCAAATAGCAGTTATCAATATTTTATCTTCAAATAATGCAGAATGAGGAGAACAAAAGCAGCCTTGAGGAAGAGGAGCCAAATTTTCTCATGTCTTCCTTTTTACATCATATTTTTCAGATACACCATTTTGTACCCCTCCTAAGACATATACATAATTTTTGTAATATGTCAATGCAGGGCTAGTTGATTTTGTGCCAGATTCCAGCATTATCATATTTTTATCTTTGTCTATCATGAAAGTTCAAGCTTCTTCTTCATTATTATCGCCCCAATTATTATAGAAACTGATAGTTCCATTAAAGAATATTAAAAAATCATGATGCATTAAAGCACTTCCTAGTCCAGAGCTGTTAAATGAATAATTAGCCCCAAATCTATTGTATTGCACGGATTGACTATCTTTTTTCGAGAAATTCAGAATTTTTTTTGATGTTTGCATCAATGATAAATTCATAATATTTAAATCTGTGGAATTATTTCTTATAAAATGGATTTCTTCAGAATTGACTGTAGATTTATCACCTCTTTGGAATGGATTTACTTCTAAAATTTCATAAAGATTTTCTATATATGCTTTAAGCTTATCTAAATCTGATTCGATTTCAGGAAATTTTCAGCATTTTATTATCTTTTTACACTCTTCAGGATCAAGTTGAAGCGGTTCTTCAATCTTATATTCTGTAGGCATGTTTAAAACTCTATCTTGGGTTGCAAAGAAAATGATATCATTACATTCGGCATCTAATTTATGATATTTTTCGATAGCAATACTTAAAGATGATTCAATTGTTGTTAAGAGTTCTATATACTGTGAAGCCAACGAATCAAGGCGTGAACGAATTTCCTTCTTTAATTCGTTTACTTTCTCAATTACTAGCAGCCTTGATTCTGGATTTGGCTGGAAATAAAGATCAATTCACTCATGAGGCTTCTCAAACTTCTTAGTCATATGATTTCTTGCATGACTGCTGCAAAAGATAGTATGTTCTGGGGTACATTTGCAGATATGCTCTGGATCGTTTGGACAATTAGCTACAAAACACTTGAATGGTTTCATTATTACAATTAAATATTAACATATAATCGATTCTTCTATATACATCGGCATTATGCCCAATATTTAGTATTTAAAATAGCCTATCTTAAATTAAAATATAATCAGTGTTTCTGAATTTTATTTTGACATATGATGTATGTAATAAGCATGCCAATCGATTATATGATCTATTAAATTGTCAGGATTATTCTGAATCGCTAAGTATGAAATAATTGTATATTAAATTCAAAACACTGTATCTGATCGTAATAGGACTGATCTTTAATAAAACCATACATTAAAATGCAATACATAGAATAGTCAATATGCACTATGCCGCTTCTTTGCATGATGAAAAGAGATTGACCATCCAAAGTATAATGCTTTGCAGATCAAAGCCTCATTATCTATCATTTCAGTGAATAAAACTATCCAATTCTCAGATACAACAATTTATCGCGAAAAGAATTCTCAAGGACATACCAAAATGAGTATAACCCATGATCTGTTTTAGATCCCCTAGGCTATACGTTGCCGCCTCAACCTGTGCGATTGACAATGAAAAATATAGTGGTAATTGCCACTTGTGGGGCTGACTTAGAAACTGATGTTGCCTGAGCACCCCGCAGGTTGAGGCGGCGATAGTAACCAAAGCAGTCCCTGGGCTATATCTGCAATTTCTGTTGAAAATTCTTATATAAATTTTATTTCATTAAACAACTGCTATGACGCATGCTTAATATTTAAAGAACTTTTAAAGGATAATGAAAAAAGTCTTTTAGATATTCTTTACGAAATAGTGATGATGTCAAAGTACTACAGCTAGTTAGATTGTAGGTAAGCTCCCTGTCGGGATCCGAGGATCTTTATTCCATTCCATAACGCTCTACTCGTCTGCTTAGCCGAAAATCTTAACACGATCTTCAAAGTCTTCCTTCTACCAGGCATGGGCCTACACACTTCTCTCTGGTAGTCAGAAAGTTTGAGTCGCCCATGCATACACCAGCAGGGTTGTACACTATTGAAAATTCAAAAGGGTAGAATTTCTGGTCGACTCTCGGCTAAGATAGATATCTTAGCCTCGGGAATAATTCTTGGTTTCACAGTGGGGAATAGTCCTAATTAATCAAGATGAATGAGATTGACACTAATGAGATATCCCTTTCAAACTTTGGGATCCATCTCCCTCTGAGGTAAAAGCTTGGCATTGGAGTAAAGCCTTCAGTCAACTGGTATTGCGCTTCACCAAACCAAAAAAAAACTAACTGGATACACATATCGAACGCCAAGCTCCCTTTCTCAAGGTTTCCGGCACCCTTTCGGATGTCGGCTACAGGCATTAAGAGGGTAGATTGATTCCAACGCTATTTAATGTATGATGATGTCAAAAAAATCAGACAAAATTAATATTGCCTCATCCAACGCTATAACTCTTTTGAACCATTCTGGATACCAGTTTATTAACAAGAATATGGCAAACATTAAGATTCCTAATGCAGACTTATCAGGATCATTCTTTTTCCACTCTGATCTGCAAAACTCCAATGTTCAAGGAGTAAACTTTTCCCAATCCTCCTTGCTTTTCTCTAATTTTAAAGGATGCAGCCTTAATTTTCAGTCAATTTCTCCTTTCATTACTGATAATGCAAAAATTCTATCATTTTCGTTCTCTCCGTGCTACCAATGGCTTGCAACTTGTAACATTTATGGCAAAATTGGAATATGAGATATGAAAAATCGGAAAAAATTCAAATTATTTTCAAATTTAAATGTTCGTGCTATTTCACTGTCATATTTACCAAACTTAAAATTGATAATAGCAAATTTAGACAATAAATCCATTGCTCTTATAAACACAGAAACTGCTGAACTTAAAATTCTATTTACTTCACAAAGTTCAAATCAGATAAATTTTGTCATTTCTCCCAATAAAGAGCTAATCGCTGTTTGGGATGATGGTGCAGACTCTTCTGATAATACAGTAGCTTCGATATGAAATTTAAAAACCTTAGAAAGAGAAAGATTAAAGGATATATATAATAATAATAAGAGTTGCAAGCATAAGATAATGGGATTTTCACCTTGCAGTCAGTATATTATAAGGATTCCCCCCTCATTTATCCAATTTTCTAGTCTTTTATCATTTATCCATTTTTCTAGTTTTTTTTATAGGAAAAAAAATTGTTTTAGGACCTCATTTGTCCAATTTTCTAGTCAAAATTTTGATAGAAAAAAATATTTTTCAGGACCTCAATTGTCTCATTTTCTAGTTTTTTTAAAAGCAAAAACTAAAATTTAGGGCATTCGAAAAATCCAAAAAAGACTAGAAAATGGGACAAACATTTTTGACTAGATTTTGGGACAAATGAGGTCCTGAAAATTTTTTTTATCCTATAAAAAAAAAAAAATTAGAAAATTGGACAAATGAGGGGGGGATCCTTATATTTATCCAATTACCTAGTCTCATTTCATCATATTTATAATGGCTGTATAAATATAAATATAGGATTAATGCCTCATAACACTGTAAGCGCAATAGCACTTTGCCCTATTGATAGTTATTCAATAGCAGTAGGTTTTGTCGATGGCTTCATTCAATTGTGAAAAATAAATTCAAACTGAGACGGCTGAAAAAAATTTAAAATTGCAAAATGTGATACCTCAATTAATGAAATAGAATTCACAAATAATGGAAAATACTTGATCTCGTTAACTCAATCTGCGACAATTTCTATATGAGATCTATTCGAGAAAGCCTTGGTTTGGGAATTTCCGAAAAAAAGCATTTATGATAAATATTTTGGCTTAAAGACCGTTGCTGATGGAATCGCATGTGCTTCTGATAATTCTATACTAATATGAAAAATCGAAGGCAAAACTAAGAATTTCGAAGGCCATAAAAAAGCAGTTTCTATAGTGATAGCATCGCCACGAGGAGATTTAATTGCTTCAGCAGGACGTGAGAACACGATAAAACTATGAGATTTAAAGAGCATGAAATTAGTATGAGAATTTCACTCTTATGATAAAAATACCACATCCTTAGCTTTTTCTCATTGCGGCAGGTTTCTTGCCTCCGCGTTTGTTAATTTTCAAATATGAGACGTTGACAGTCTGCAAGAGCGTAACCTTCTTAAGCTATATCTAAAGCCAGTCCATTCAATATCATTTTCACACGATGATAGTTCATTGATAGCTGGAGGCTCAAGTCGATGAATATATATTATAGATTGCAAAAATCAGGAAATCAAACATAAACTATCAGGTGGGAAGCAAGAAGTAAAATCAATAGCAGTTTCAAAATATGGAAAATATATTGCAGTTGGAAAATACTTCTATTATATTGAGCTTTGGTATAAGGAAAATGAGGAATGGAAAAATAAACGCTTGAAAGGATACACAAAATACATATGCTCAGTAACTTTTTCTAATTGTGAAAAATTTTTGCTGTCCGGATGCTCAAATGGAACTACTTATATTTGGGATGTTGAAGAGGGGGCTGCTGTAAAGACACTTATAAATGGTGACGCTCCTAATTTTTTTGTGACCTTTTCACCATGTGAGAAATTCATTGTTTGCTGTGTGGAAAACGGAAAAATAATTTTCTGAAATAAAGATTTAGGACAAATAGAGCGCAAAATTTTGGGCCATGATGGTTTAGTTACATCAGCTTGCTTTTCAGTTTGTGGGGAGTTTTTATTTACGAGTGGTAAGGATGGATCAATTAAAAAATGAAACGTAAAGTCTTTTTTGAATAGAAGAGATAGCTTAAGCCAATGCAACAGTAGTGGAGGTATAGAATTGGTTTGGTCATCAGTAAATGGGATATTGGCTCTTCATGCGTCTAGTATTAAAATGAATGATTCATCATAATTGATAAATAATAAAGATCAACAAATATTTTTTTAAAATTTTCAGCATGTTGATAATCTTTAAGGATTAATTTAAGTTAAACTGACAGAGCTTCAAATTTATGGTTTTACTGCTAATAATGGGTGGGTAAGTATAAATGAGATGATGATTATGATGATTTTATCAGAAATTATGTTTTAGATCAGACTCAGATTTTATGAGAAAATAATTCTAAATCAGCTCAGATGATGTATATAAGAAACGTTTAGATTTATCATAAACTATTGAGACGGTCTTTAGAAGGCTCAGTAATATCCTGTAATCCTTAATGCAAGTAAAGTTACAACCTTATTATAATCATCATCAATTGGAATTGCTTTTAGATTTTAATTGATGAATTCTATTAGTTCGAATATAAATGAGTTGATAATAATGTTTTCAATTGCTTTAAATCACTTGCAATATTAAAAAAAATTAAAATATCGTTAGTTGCAATTTAAGCAACTAACGATAATATCTAGGGGTTAATAACCTGATAGATAATAGCAGCTATAAAAGAGTATGGATTAAATCCTCTTATTACTTTTTTTAGAGTTTCCTCAACATATGGCAATTCTATCAAAAATTTGATATCTGAAAAATCTTTTTATAATTCAAAGGCTTTTATAATAATTGCATATTGAAAAAAATTGATTTACTGTCTAATGAACTAATAATCAAAACTTCTAATATAATTCTTCAAATAATTCTATAGTAATTTTTAAGCCATTTTCATGAAGCCATAAAAAATAAAATGAAATTATAGTTAACTACGCTGACTGGCACGGGGTGCTTTTGGCTCGAAACTGAGCCAAAAGCACCCGTGCCAGTCAGTCTAGTTAACTATATCTGGATTGCATATCTTTAAAGACTATAACCAAGCATCAAGCAATCAAAGAAGAGTCTTAATAAAGCTTGCAGAGCCTTTTATTGATTCTCTTCAACATATTGATACAAATTTCAACGAAACTATAGTGATCTCAGACTACGGCTCAGCCGAAGGCTATAACTCAGTTGCATTCTTTAATCAAACTCTCCCAAGATTTCGAGAATTTTCCCAAAAACCTATTATGATTATTCATAACGACTTGCCAGAAAATAACTGAAATACAACCTTCAAAACCCTCGAAGATTCAGATTCTTACGTTAAAATCCCAAATGTTTATTTTTCCGGGCTAGGAAGAACTTTTATTCAGCAGATTTTCCCCAATAATTATGTTCATATCGGAATCTCTTCCTTAGCCTTTCATTTTTTGCCTCAATCTTTCTCAGTATTCGATCACATTTGTCCTTCATCTACAAATGACCTTATATTAAAGCAGCAAATAGCAGAAGTTGCACATAGCCATTTCATTAATATTTTAACTCAAAGATATAAAGAATTAGTCGATCTAGGGAGATTGCTTATAATTATCCCAACAGAAACTGTAGGTATGCTATATCCTGCAGTCCCAATACAAATAGTTAATGAAAATATGTATGCTAAAGGGGTGATAAATGAAGAAGAAAAAGGAAAAATAACGATTCCCACGTATGGAAAAAGCGATGAAGAAATCCAAAGGGCTTTAGAAGAAGTCAAGCATTTATATAGAATTATAGAGAATAAAAAAGTTGATGATGATTGAAAACTTACAGAAGAAAATAAAGAAGAATTTTTGGAGAGTTTGAAATTATTGGCTATTAAGCATCTTGAAACGTGCTTAAAGAGGGTGGTTAAGAGAGATGAAGAAGAAGTTAAATTAATAATTGAGGAATATAGAAAAGAAATAGAAGTTATTGTGGAAAACACACCGTTCACAAGATTCCCAACATTCCATTTAATTATATTAGAAAAAATTCCTTTTTAATAAAATTAACTATGAAGTAAAGCATATAATTACTTTACTCCCCCCCCCCCCCTCCGTGAGCGAACAAAAAAATTTTGTTCACTCACGGAGGGGGGTTAATTTTTTTTTTTAAAAAAAATTTTATATATAAATTTTATAAAAAATATTTTTTCGAAATTTAAAAAAATCCTAATTTGCAAAAATTGGGAAGCAAATATTAATTTAATTTGCAAAATTTATGTTTTAAAACGCAATTTGTTTAAAATTAAACAGAATTAGCTCTAGATTTCATTATACTAATTATCACTTATATATCAAAAATTTTTTTCCATTAAAATTTTTTTCTATTAAAAAAATTTTTGTTCACTCACGGAGGGTGGGTTTTTGGTCAAAAAATGGCGATTTTTCTAATGGTTTTGTTCGCTCACGGAGGGGGGGGGGGGGGGAGTTAGTAAATCTAAATTAGTATAAATTTCATAAAGCATAGATCCGATATCTGCCTGGCTTAATGCACCTCTAAGAATAAGTTTGAAAGGCTATAGGTTAGGTTTCTTATAAATACTTTAAGAAACAGTCTGTTAGGAATTATTTCTTTGAATTTACAAATATGCATGGAATATCCTTATATCCATACCGATCCAAATTTGTCATGTCAATGCTATTTTATGTAATATTTAATAAAAAGTATAACTCCTTTACATTTAATTAGGATTTAGGATGTGTATTTTGATTCTTTATAATAGAGTAACATGAAAATTTCATTGAGAATATCCAATCTTTTCTCAAATATAATGAGCATACAAATAGGCTATAAGGATGAAATTGTTACTATTTGTCTATGACAGGGAAAATATAGTTCTACATATAGACGACAAGCAATGAGAACGAAACGAAATAAAAATATGCTCTAAACTAAATTTATATATTTTCGATTAAAAGGAGCGAATTTATGACAAGGAGGAAATAAATTCAACAATATGATTATGTAAAAATAAAAGCAGCTCTGCTACTGTAACTTCAATAAACATTGTTTAAGTATTTATGCCTCTAGGCTTTGCCGAATACGTCTTAATTATTCTCTATAGGATTGCAGCTTTTGGGTGACAATTCAACTCCCAAAGTAGGCAAATATACAGTATAGCCAGAAGTTGGCTTATAACTTACAAGTGAAAAGAAACTGCCTGAATCAGCCAAACATTATCTAGCTATATTACTACTAAGATTAAATTTGCTTAATGGCTTTGCAAAGCAATTAATTTAGCTCTGTGTCTTGTAAACCCTCTTTATTATGAATTTCTCTCATAAGAATTAACTCTAAAGATCGACGTCTATGGGCTTTCAACAGTTTCCTAATATAAAGCCCCCCTCCAATGATGCAAGCAACAATTGCTATAGAAACTAAAACCCAAATCCATCAATAATTATCACTTTTCTTTCCTCTGACCTCTCTATTAAAATAAAGATACTTTGAGGCAACCTCTCCATTGGCATTTTCTGCAATAACATACAAATAAAACGAGTTTGTTCCCCACAAATTAGTCATTTCTGAGTACTCTTCTTTGCTCATTTTAGGGAATATCAAATAATTTTCATTAATTTTATAACTTCTATATTCATTCCTATGGCTAATATAGAATGTAAGTATTGAATTGCCAATAAACTGCATGCTGACTGGATATAAAAGAGTATTTATTTCTGAGGCGTAGATTTCTGATATAATATTAGATGAATTCTTTGCTTTTGTGTCTCATATTCTAATTAATAGCCCTAGATCGCTCCTTCAAGCAGGGCATGCAATGTATCTATTATCTTTTGAAGAAACAATATTATTTAGCACAAATAAATAGTCAGATTCTGGTAACTCGTAAGCACCATAATTCAAATCTTCTTCTAATCTAGTGTAAGATCTTAATTTAAATGATTTCATTCATCCTTCAGAATATATATAAAGTGTATCTCCTCATAATCCAAAATTTAAAAAATAATAATTGAGTTCGATATAAAGTCCACCTACTAACTCTCCCTCCTTGAGTGAACAAAATCATTGGAAAAATCCCTATTTTTTGTCTATAAACCCACCCTCCGTGAGCAAACAAAATTTTTTTCATAGGAAAAATTTTTTATGAAAAAAAAATTTGACATATAAGTGATAATTGCTACCACAAAATCTCTAGCTAATTCTGTTTGATTTTAAACAAATTGCGTTTTAAAAATAAAAACTTTACAAATTAAATTAATATTTGCTTTCCAATTTTTGCGAAGTGAGATTTTTTTAAAAAAAATTAACCCCCCTCCGTGAGCTAACAAGATGTTTCTGTTCACTAACGGAGGGGTAGTAAGATACTTGTAGAAGTTTTAGTAGTTTGTATAATTCTTATTCCATATTGGTTGTCAATTATATACCAATAAACAGTTTCAGAGTCTTTCACTATGAATTCAGCTAGAATAGCATAGAATGAATTTAAACCCAAAGAAAAATAATTTATGACTTCACATTGACTAATGCTAATATCATTAATCTTTCATCTTCCACTATATCTGTAAATGTTATTTATATAATTTAGTGTTGAACCGTAAGTATAAAATGCCAAAATCTCAAAACTGTGAGCATCAAGAGGGGCAACTTTTAGATAGTTGTGATCGCTATATGTATTAAAGAGCCTGCATTTAATTATTTCAAAATTTATATAATCTAACTCTCATAGAATAATAGCATAAGCAAATTCCGAAGTATAAGTGGTTGTGTTTTTATATTCAATTGCTTCTGGAATTCTATAAATGCATGAAGTTATTAATAAAGTGAGATTATTTTGTGTGTGAGGGAAAACGTCCATAAAGTAGCACTTCAAATCATTAATATTTGAAATCTCAGTTAAGTTCAAAGCCACAGCTTTATTCGTCAACCCAGTAGCGTCGATTATGAAGAATTCAGAAAAAGACAAAATTACAGCGATCTCTGTATTGGGTATAATAATATGGCTGGAAATACCATTATGCTTATTCAAATCGTATTTCCCCAGTAATTCAGTTCGCTGAGGAATGACTGCAGGCCAGTTTTCTACTGTTTCATTGAAAGAGTAATTTCCATTAACAGACAAAGTCATCAAAATATTTTGCCCCTCAAAAAATTTACTTAAATCTAATTCGTATCTCTCGTTATATGGGATATTTTTATGATTTTCTCAATTTTCTTCTTGATACCAAGGAAAATTTCCATTAATTACCAAATTTATAGGGAAAGTTTCTTTTAATAAATTTTCTTTATTAAATGCAGCTATTGAAATGCTTGTTTGTAAAGAAAAGTCTTTTAAGTACTTAGAGTTCCCAATGTGCATATAAAATGTATAATAAAGTGAGCATCCCACGTTGCTTTCTTTATTAGGGCATGAGCTTATATAGATTTCAGCATAGTGCTTATCAGGATTGAAATTAGCAATTCTCATATCTCCTCAGTCAAATAACCCAAATGATAATAGGCTTGGATTGCTAATAGGCAGCGTATAAAATAAAGAATTATGTGATGGCTGGTCGCTATTAAAGATATATAAAGCACTACTAGTTATCAAATAAATCATATTTGACTCTCCATATGTTCCAACAATAGGCTCATATATATTTGTCAAAATTGTTTTCCAATATTCTAAAGAATATCCATATATCTCAATAAAATTTTCAAAAACAAAACAAATTTCACTTCCTGTATTTATAACATTTTTAGCACCTGATACTTTTCCATAATAATTATAAGGTTCAGTTGTTTTAATTATACTAAATAAGTCTACAATAGCTGCACCTAAATCGCTATCTATTATATAAATGTAGAGCATAGAATAAATTGAGGAAGATATTTCTAAGTCTGTAATATTTCATGAAGAGCCTTTTTCAAATTGCTCACCAGTTAAAGAAGCTATATAAACATATTCAGAAGTCTCATTATTGTAATATACGTCAATTTGATGTGAATTTGCACATATAAGATAGCTATAATCACATAAAAAGAAAATGCAATCTATTTCTGATGGAAATGTCTGAGTGATTCCACTAGAATAAAAATAACTTATAATTAAAAATGAATTTTGACTTGGCTTAGAATATATGACGTAGCCTCTGCTTCATAAAAATTTTATAGGATTGGTAACATTTATAGTTATAGGGCCATAGCTTGTATCAGCCATAACTTTATTATCATAAAAATATACGATATTTGCTCCAGAAATTAAAAAATTTGTAATATTGCTTGACAGAGAAACATTTTGATATAATTTCAGTTTGTTCATAGCAATGATTTCGAAACTAGCAGTATTTAAATCGGGAAGATCAACTATTGTGAATTCAAGATTTGGACCCGAAAAATAATCATTCAAAGCTATATAAAAATAGGTTCCATTTTGTCCGTCAGCTATCAATTCGATAGGAGAGATGGAAACTGGCCGATACATGTCGATTTGGAAAATTTCTTGTGAATTTTGAGGAATTGAGTTGACATATAAAGTACTGGAAATTATGTCATCATTTTGAGATTTTGCAGTGATTTGGACATAGTAAGTTGAATTTCCCCAGATTTTAAGGCTTCACTCTTCTACCTCCCCCTCTCCTTGACTGAAAGTTCGCTCACCGAGGGGGGCTAATTTTTTTTTTAAAAAGTTTATATAAAATTTTATGGTAAGTTTTTTTTTTTCGAAATTTAAAAAAATCCCAATTCGCAAAAATTGGAAAGCAAATATTTATTTAATTTTTAAAATTTATGTTTTAAAACGCAATTTGGTTAAATTAAACAGAATTAGCCCTAGATTCCATTATACTAATTATCATTTATATATATTTTTTTCATACAAAATTTTTCATTTAAAAAAAATTGTTCGCTCACGGAGGGGGATTTTTTCCAATGGTTTTGCTTGCTTACGGGGGAGAATAAGTATGCTTTATAAATCCTTAAGCCATCCATATCAAACCTCAAATAAAATATACCATCATTTATTAAAAATCCTCATTGCCCAGTAGCTTGAAAACTTTCTCCAACTAGATGACTTATATCAATTTTATATAATATTTGAAGCGGCTCTACTCAGCTTAAACCAACTGATAAAATTCCATTATAAACAAAATGGCATTCGGTTAGAGTGAAATTAATTCCACTAATTTTCTCTCACTCAAACAATTTTATTTATAGGATTAGTTTTTCTTCTGCACAGCAATAGCAGTTTCTCTGGAAGATAAGCCAAGGCACTGCACTAAGTACATCAAGAGGCTCGAAGTTTTACCTCTCAGGACACACGAGGAAGGTGGCCCTTAGGCGGAACACGCGCAGGAGTTGAGTCAAGGGTAGACAAGGCAACGCAGCCGTCGAAGCCGTAACACCAGTGCCATGGTGCAACAAAGCGGATCAATCCAGAGGTCTATGGGTCCGACACGTCGCCGAATATGGTGGCAGCACTGGAAACGGCTACCCCGTAGTGGACGTTAAACGTAATAGATAAGATAATGATAACGATAAAATTCCATTACTAGACTGCACAAAGTAATAATTTTCAGTAATTTGAAGGCAACCATTCTCCCAATTCATTCCTTTTCCTTCCAGAAAACCTATAAATGATCGCTGTAGCGGATTTTTAAAAAACAATACTCCTGAGCTTGAAATAACTCCTAAGAAGTCAAAAGAATATTCTCACATAGAACTGAGAGTCCCAACATAGCCATAATAAGCTCATTCATTTTCTTTAAAAAATATATCCCGAGACCCAGACATAATATAATTAATAAGTCCAAAATTTGTATCAAGAATGTACAAATAAATTGAATTAATGTACATACTAGCAACTGAAAGTTTGCTTATTAAGACTCCATAATATTTTGATATTACTTGATTAAGGATAGGCTCTTCAATATTTGTTATATTATATAAATAAATTGCACTAGGTGAGGATGAGAATTCAAGATAAATAGAAATTATGTTGCTAATCTCCCCATGAGCTAGGATAATATTAGAGGCATAAGTAGCTTCACTGAAGTTCACTCATTTTGGGTTTTCTAGAGCTGATAAATTTAATAAATTCATATAATAAAAATTGTTTCTCCATATAAGTGTATTTTCCTGCTGCTTAGCTCATATTAAAGCGTAAGAGATTTGACCATAGTTACTTGAATAAATTTTTATATCTTCTATTTGAGAATATTCTATATTTTCCCCTGTGTCAATAAATCCATTTCAAAACATTTCAATTTCTCCTCGTTCAGAAGAAAAGTTATAAAAAACAATATATTTAAGATTATACCATATTATGATTTCATATGATTCAGGAATTGGCCTTCAGGATATTAAAGGCTTGAGAGATGAATGGGCTCAGGTTTCATTTCAGCTCGAATTTTGAAATGGGAGGAATGCTAGAATCTCAAATTCGCATTTATTTTCAAGTATTGCTGAACCAGCTGTCATATTAGAATCGGAGATTGCAAAAGATAGATTGTTTCCACTGAAATAGTCTGATAAGTATAGCTCATAAGATTCTCCTTCCGTTAAGTAAATTGATCCGAGTTCCCTTTGTATCATGATTGAAAGTACAGCAGGAAAGAGAAATAAATACCTCACCAGCATTTAATTATTTTAATAGTTAAAGTTTAATGATTTCGAAAGACAATTCAATCGAAATGAAATTGTTTTCTATGAATTTTCTAGATGCTAGAAAATATTTAGTGATTTTTTACAGATGACTCAAATACATTGCTATATTATTTATCCAAATGTATTGTGTCCTGCTTTAGGCTTACAGGAACTAAGATTTTCAATTACTACTACAATTTGGTGAAAAAATACTTCAAAAAGTAAAAGATATGGATTTTTCTTTTAGATAGACTTTCTGGGAATATTCAAAGGAAATAGCTATAGTAATTAAATAAAATAAGCTGCTGAATCTAAAACGTAGCCTCAAAAATCTTGATGCAGATAATTAAGAATTTAAGTCTAAAATAATTTGAGTCATCATTATTTATTATAAAATAATATTAATTCTTATTTTATGCCTTCAATGCTTTTTCATCAAAATATGTTTGAACTATTTTATGCTTTGACCCAATTCTTTTAGCAAAGTTTACGCTTGCTGTGAAAAAAGCTAAAATTGCAATAAGAATTAAAAATCTTGCCAGTCAATAGGTAAAATCTAATAAATTGCTTTGAGCCAAAGTCTCTGCATTTATCTCGCGTGTAAAATAAATGATCGAAGAATTAACAGCATTGTTCATATTTTCTGCAGAAATTGTAATGCTGAAATTCTCAGTTCCCCATTCATTTATCATTTCATTATACTCAATTCTGTTCATATTTGGAAATATTAAAGAATTTTGATTTATCTTGAGTCTTTTATATGTAAAACTAGAATAAAAAATTGCAGAAATTTCATTTTCGGTGATAAATCTTGCTTTTAGCATTTTCGGAGCGAGATTAGTGAGAGAGAGAGATAAAAGTTAGGGTAGAGATTCGAATTGATTTGAGATTTTGTATCTGAATTGAATGTGTGCACTGAAAAATATCGATTATCCATTGAACATATAATAGGACTATGTGCTCCAATATAGATACCTTCTGATCCTTTCAAAACATTATAATCAGAGTCTTTTTCAAAATAAATGTATTCTTTTATCTTATAAGACACTATTGCTGACATAGATGAAGAAACATATAAAATATCTCCACAAAGACCAAATGGTATGAAATAGTTATGATGATGTAGATTGGAAGCTCTCCTACCAAACGGCTTTTTTGGTTATTATTCGTTTCTAAAACCCTAATTCCATAATTTTTGTCTGCTAGATATCAGTAAGAAGTTTGAGAATTTTTTACTTTGTAATCAAGTGACACAGGGGAAAGCGATGGAATATCTAATGAAAGAAAATTTATAGTTTCTAAAAGCTCAATAGTTATGAGATTTTCAATTCATTTTCCTCTAAATCTTAAAACATCATTATAATCAAATATGCTATTATCACCCATTGCAACCATTATCTCAGTAAGCGGAGCAATTTTCAAGCATCATGGTCCTACAGCAATACTGAATACGCTATAATTAGTAATTTTTAAGCTAATAAAATCGATTTCCCACAAAATAAGTGCATTTTTGAGAGCAAATTCTCTCACTGTTTTCACAAAAAGATGATCACTTGGAGCTCGATAAGTGCAAGATGTAACTATTAATGCCAAATTTTTAATTGTATGTGGAAAGGATTCGACTAAAGAGCAAGCCAAGTTTTTGAGATTAGTATGTTCAGAAATATTCAAAAATTTTTCTTCATCGTTAAAACCTTTTGAGTTCACAAAAAGAAAACCATTTTCACTGACTATCAAAGCTATTTCTGTGTGGGGAAGAATAATATGGTCTTTCATTCAGTTATTTTTTGCTTCATATTCTCCTACAACTTCTACTCTTTTCGGTACGAAAGCTGGTAAAATTTCTGATGTTTGATCATGAATATTAATTTCATTGATATTCAAACTCATATTTAAATATTGTCCATGAAATGAGTCGCTTAAATCTACCTCAAATCTATTAGTATAAGGTAGATTTTCATGAAGAACTAATTTGTCATTTTCTATTCATGGGAAGTTCCCATCAACGTGCAACAATAATGAAAAATTGGCTTCCATTTTGTCATGGGCATTATATGCAATCACTGAAAAACTTTCATTATAGCATAAGCTCTGTAAACTATCAATATCATCAGCAATTATGTTAATTTCATAAACAGGAGGGAAAACCTTTTTACTTGGAAATGAGTTCTTGTATATTTCAATAAGTTTTGCATCTGGATTATAATTGGTAATCAATAACTCATTTCAACGATATCATCCACAAGAAATGATTCCTGGGCTTTGGATTTCAAATGAATAGACCAATGCATCATGTGACAATAGACTAGGATTGTATACATAAAAAACTGTACCTATCTGTATAAAAATAATGGATTGATACACAAAAGCATTTGTAAGTGGTCCCACTGTTTTAAAAAATATAGTTTTTTCGAGTTGAAAAAGATAATTATAAACTTCAGCTTTGTCTTTGTAAATAAGCCCCATTTTTCTTTCTTCTAGTATCAAAATTTTAATATTCCTTTCGTTTTTAATGCGAATTTAATTAAGTTATTCATCTTAAAAATACTGATAGCAAATGCTCCAAAATTTCTGTCAAGTATATAAATAAAGCCATTATCCTTGCTAAGAAAAGCATCAGCTATTTCTAACTTAAAATTAATTTGATCCATAATTTCAGTTAAAGAAAATACTTTTTTTCAAAACCCACTCCAAATATAAATAATCAATTATTATAGAAATCAAAAAACATGCAATCAATCTCTGATTCCATTTCATCTAATAAATTCAGCGTTCGAGCATCAGATAAAAGGGTTGATATAAGAAATATATTATCACTTGGACTTGAATAAACCACATAGTATCCACTATTTTCCAACATTCTTATTGGGCTTGTTATATTTAAAGTGACTCTGAAATCATACTTTCCCTCTAATTCAATTTTATTATCATAAAAATAATAAAGTATTGATTCAGCAACTAGAAAATTTCGAAGACCATCAGGAGAGGTTCTGCTTTCTTCTAATTCTAGCCTGGTTAGATTAGAATCTCATATTTGAATTTTTCTGAATATGGGAAAATAAACTCATATGTAAGGTTTGGTCCTGAAAAATAAATGGAGGGAGAGAATAATATCATTGAGTTTTTTTCATTTATTTGTAAATCTATAGGCTCAGGCACTTTTATTCGCCCTTCTTCTAGTGCCAAAATCCTATCAGAATTTTTTGGAATTGAAATGACGTTTAAAATATCTGATATTTCTTAACTATCATTGTCTTTCGCTGTAACCTTTACATAAAATAAGCCTCCAGCTATTTTTAGTTTTCATTCTTTTAAATTAATTCTATAAGCTCTAAGTCCCTCTTCTTCAAATCTTTGGAAGTAATATGAATTTTTTTCTCTATCACATAATATGTGTGGGATTTTATTATCGAAACTCTTCAAATTAATTTTATAAGTGACTTCGACTTGATTTTCTTTAGATATGGACAATATCGACAATATTCCACTAGCCGATTGAAGGAAATAGTAGTTTTGAAATTCATATCCCTGGATTCATATGTCTTTTTCTGGATTTTTCAAAAATCTTCTTAACCCTAGCGTTCCACCCGTTCTTTCAATTAGTATGATTCCTGAGCTAGCTTTTATTATCATTTTTCAAAAATCTGTAAACTCCATTGAATAAAGCTCTCCGAAATAACTTAAATTTATGTTTAATTCTTCTTCAAAAATTTCTAATGGGCAGGTTTTATAAAAAGAAATAACACCATAATTTGAATCTAAAATATATATATATTGAGTTGCTGTTAAGATACTTCTTATAGAAAGAGAGCTGCTCATAATACTATTTTCTCATAATTTGAAATAGCTTGCACTAAAATAGGTTCATGAAAATTACTTATTTCATAAATATACAAAACATTAGGAATACTTGAATTTTTATGAAATTCGCAATAGATGGGAAAATACTTATGCATACTTCCATGCCCCATTACAATTTTTGAAGCGTAGGTAATTTCATTTAAATTTAATTTTTCAGGGTCGTGGAAAATATAGTTATCCTGAATTTTAATCATATACATATCATTTCTTCATAAACCATTGCTTTCTTGCTGTTTTATTAATACAGCCAGATAATTGTCACCACGGCTACCTCTCAGTTGCGCAATTGCTTGAATTTGAGAATTTTTGTGCTCTGTACTTAGAGTTGTACTTCAAATAAGCTTTGTTTCTTCTTTAACACCGAAAATTTATAAACAGCTAAATAATTATGGTTGAATCCCACAATAACTTGAACCTGTATATCTTGCCACATTACAGCAGGCTGAGTATCCCAAGAGGGCAAAGATTTCTCTAGCTTTTCATATGGAATCGTAGATAAATGATGAAAATTGCATTGATTTTCTATTCTTGCAGAATTATTAGTCATGTTGGTGTCTGCTATTGAAAACGATAAGTTGTCTCCAGAAAAGTAGTCTGATAAAAGAAGATCATATGGCTCACCTTCTGTTAAATAAAGACTCCCTAATTCTTTGCGTAGATTTAACGAGCTCACGAATGCTACGAGAATAAAAGAGCTTATTAGCATTTATTAAATTAAAGTCGATGAATGAGGTGATTTAAATGCTAATCAAATGGTGAATAATTTAAAAGAAAATTCTTTTTTATTTAAATATGCTTATTTCAATGGAATTTATTTTTTTTACAATTTTAACTAGTAGCTCAACTATATAGCTTTAAATTTATGAGTATGCTAATTTATTGTCTTGCGAACAACCAAAAATTACAGAAAACTCTCATACGCAATTATGAAAACTTGTATATAAACGAGGCTTATTACACTAAAATAATAATTATTGATGCATTTAAGTGATTATTATAATTTTTCTCAAGCATTAAAATATAGCCTTAATGCCTTTTAATGTATCATTTTATAAGAAAATTAACCCCACTCCATTTGTGAACAATAAAAGTTACCAATATTCCATTTAATTATATTAGATAAAATTCCTATTTAATAAAATTAACTATAAAGTAAAAATAATCACTTTTGTAAATCTAAATTAGTATAAATTTCATAAACATAGATCCGATATCTACCTGGCATAATGCACATCTAAGAATAAGTTTGAAAGGCTATACTTGGTCAGGTTTCTTATAAATACTTTAAGAAACAGTCGGTTCAGAAGCCTTATACCATTAAAATATGTTTTTAAATTTTAGTATAAAAATAAATCTATAAGATACTTGAATATGCAATATTTGTGTAATAGAAGAGTAGGCTCTTTGAAAATATATAAGCTCGAATCTTCTTCAATAAAAATAGGGTTTTTTCTTTAAATCTACAAATACAAGTGAAAAGAAACTGCCTGAATCAGCCAAACATTATCTAGCTATATTACTACTAAGATTAAATTTGCTTAATGGCTTTGCAAAGCAATTAATTTAGCTCTGTGTCTTGTAAACCCTCTTTATTATGAATTTCTCTCATAAGAATTAACTCTAAAGATCGACGTCTATGGGCTTTCAACAGTTTCCTAATATAAAGCCCCCCTCCAATGATGCAAGCAACAATTGCTATAGAAACTAAAACCCAAATCCATCAATAATTATCACTTTTCTTTCCTCTGACCTCTCTATTAAAATAAAGATACTTAGAGGCAACCTCTCCATTGGCATTTTCTGCAATAATATACAAATAAAACGAGTTTGTTCCCCACAAATTAGTCATTTCTGAGTACTCTTCTTTGCTCATTTTAGGGAATATCAAATAATTTTCATTAATTTTATAACTTCAATATTCATTTCCATAACTAATATAGAGTGTAAGTATTGAATTTCCAATAAACTGCATGCTGACTGGATATATAAGAGTATACAATTGTGAGGCATAGATTTCTGATATAATATTAGATGAATTCTTTGCATTTGTGTCTCATATTCTAATTAATAACCCTAGATCGCTCCTTCAAACAGGGCATGCAATGTATCTATTATCTTTTGAAGAAACAGCATTATTTAGCACAAATAAATAATTAAATCCTGGCAACTCGTAAGCACCATAATTCAAATCTTCTTCTAATCTAGTGTAAGATCTTAATTTAAATGATTTCATTCATCCTCCAGATGCTATATAAAGTGCATCTCCTCATAAGCCAAAATTTACAAAGTAATATTGGAGTTCGATATAAAGTCCACCTACTAACTCCCCCCATCCTTGATCGAACGGCTCGCCATCGTTCAATCAAGGATGGGGGCTAAAATAAAATTTTTAGGAAAAATTTTATATATAAAATAAAAAATAAATGTTTTTGTTTTTAATATATTTTTAAATAAGAGAATGGTTCGATCAAGGATGGGGGGGAGTAAGATACTTGGAGAGCTTTTAGTAGTTTGTATAATTCTTATTCCATATTGGTTGTCTATTATATATCAATAAACAGTTTCAGAGTCTTTCACAATGAATTCAGCGAGAAGAGCATAGAATGAATTTAAACCCAAAGAAAAATAATTTATGACTTCACATTGACTAATGCTAATATCATTAATCTCTCATCTTCCATTAAATCTTTAAATGTTATTTATATAATTTTGAGTTGTATCGTCAATATAAAAAGCCAAAATCTCGAAACTTTGAGCATCAAGAGGGGCAACTTTTAGATAATTGTGATCGCTATATGTATTAAGGAGTTTGTATTTAATTATTTCAAAATTTATATAATCTAACTCTCATAGAGCAATACCATAAGCAAATTCCGAAATATAGGTGGTTGTGCTTTTATATTCAATTATTTCTGGAATTCTATAATTCAGCCCCTCCATAAGTGAAAATAAATATTTTTTTTCGCTTATGGAGGGGGTTAATTTTTTTTTAAAAAAAATGTATATATATATTTTATACTAATTTTTTTGCCAAAAATCCCAATTCCCAATATTGGAAAGCAAATATTTATTTAATTTTTAAAGGTTATGTTTTTAAATGCAATTTGTTAAAAATTAATTAGAATTAGCTAGAGTTCATTATACTAATTATCGCTTATATGTCAAATTTTTGTTTCAGAAAAAAATTTTGGACAAAAAATCGGGATTTTTCCAATGGTTTTTCTCGCACACGGAATGAGTAAATGCATGATGTTATTAATAAAGCGAGATTATTTTGTGTGTGAGGGAAAACTTCCATAAAGTTGCATATCAAATCTGTAATATTTGAAATCTCAGTTAAGTTCAAAACCAAAGCTTTATTCGTCAACCCAGTAGCATCGATTATGAATAATTCAGAAAAAGACAATATTACAGCGATCTCTGTATTGGGTATAATAATATGATTAGTCTTACCATAATGTTTATTCAAATCGTATCTTCCCAGTAATTCAGTTCGCTGAGGAATGACTGCAGGCCAGTTATCTACTGTTTCATTGAAAGAGTAATTTCCATTAACAGACAAAGCCATCAAAATATTTTGCCCCTCAAAAAATTTACTTAAATCTAATTCGTATCTCTCATTATATGGAATATTTTTATTATTTTCTCAATTTTCTTCTTTATACCAAGGGAAATTTCCGTTAATTATCAAATTTATAGGGAAAGTTTCTTTTAATAAATTTTCTTTATTAAATGCAGCTATTGAAATGCTTGTTTGCAAAGAAAAGTCTTTTAAGTAATCAGAGTTGCCAATGTGCATATAAAATTCATAATAAAATGAGCATCCCTCATTGAATTCTTTATTAGGGCATGGGCTTGTATAGATTTCAACATAGTGCTTATCAGGATTGAAATTAGCAATTCTCATATCTCCTCAGTTAAATAACCCAAATGATAGCAGGCTTGGATTGCTAATAGGCAATGTATAAAATAAAGAATTATGTGAGGGCTGGCCGCTATCAAAGATATATAAAGCACTACTAGTTATCAAATAAATCATATTTGACTCTCCATATGTTCCAACAATAGGCTCATATATATTTGTCAAAATTGTTTTCGAATATTCTAAAGAATATCCATATATCTCAATGAAATTTTCAAAAACAAAACAAATTTCACTTCCTGTATTTATAGCATTTTTAGCACCTGATACTTTTCCATAATAATTATAAGGTTCAGTTGTTTCAATTATACTTTTTAAGTCTATAATAACTGCACCTAAATCATTATCTATTATATAAATGTAAAGTATAGATGGGGTTGAGAAAGATACCGTTAGATCTGTTATATTTCAAGAAGAGCCTTTTTCAAATTGCTCACCAGTTAAAGTAACCAATGGAGCATAGTAATAGGTATCATTATTGTAATATATGTCAATTTGATGCGAATCTGCGCATATAAGATTCCAATTAGTAATTAAAAAGAAAATACAATCTATTTCAGATGGAATGTCCTGAATTTTTCCTTCAAAAGAAAGATATGTGCTAATTAAAAACGAATTCTGATTTGGTTTAGAATATATGATGTAGTCTCTGCTTCATAAAAATTTTATTGGATTGGTAACATCTATAATTATATCGTCATCATTTCGATCAACTATAATAACTTTATCATCATAAAAAGATACGATATTTTCTCCAGAAATTACAAAATTTGTAATGTTGCTTGACAGAGAAACATTTTGATATAATTTCAGTTTGTTCATACTAATGATTTCGAAACTAGCAGTATTTAAGTCGGGAAGATCAACTATTGTGAATTCAAGATTTGGACCCGAAAAATAATCATTCAAAACTATAGAAAATGAGGTTCCATTTTGTCCGTCAGCTATCAATTCGATAGGAGAAATGGAAGTTGGCCGATACATGTCAATTTGCAAAATTTCTTGTGATTTTTGAGGAATTGAGTTGACATATAAATTATTGGAAATTATGTCATCATTTTGATCTTTTGCAGTGATTTGGATATGGTAAGTTGAATTTCCCCAAATTTTAATTCTTCATTCTTCTAAGTATGCTTTATAAATCCTTAAGCCATCCATATCAAACCTCAAATAAAATATATCCTCATTTATAAAAAATCCCCATTGTCCAGTTGCTTCAAATCTTTCTCCAATTAGATTTCTTATATCAATATTATATAATATTTGAAGCGGCTGTGCTCTGCTTAAAGCAACTGATAAAACTCCATTAATAGACTGCACGAAGTAATAATCTTCAATAATTTGAAGGCAACCATTCTCCCAATTCATTCCTTCCCCTCCCAGAAAACTGAATGATAATTGCTGCAGCGAATTTTTGACAAACAATATTCCTGAGCTTGAAATTACTCCCAGGCAGTCATTATAAGATTTTCACATAGAACTGAGAGTCCCAACATAGCCATAATAATTTCATGCATATTCTGTAAAAAATCTACCCCGATAGTTAAACATACTATACCCAATAACTCCAAAATTTGCATCAAGAACGTACAAATAGATAGAATCCATGTACATACTAGCAACTGAAAGTTTGTTTATTGAGATTCCATAATATTTTGATATTACTTGAGTAAGGATAGGCTCTTCAATGTTTGTTATATTATATACATAAATTGCACTAGGTGAGGATGAGAATTCAAGATAAATAGAAGTTATGCTGCTAATGGCCCCATGAGTTAAGATTATATTAGAGGCATAAGTAGCTTCACTGATGTTTACTCATTTTGGATTTACTAGAGCTGATAAATTTGATAAATTCATATAATAAAAATCGTTTCTCCATATAAGAGCATTTTCCTGCTGCTTTACTCATATTAGAGCGTAAGAGATTTGGCCATGGTCACTTGAATAAATTTTAATATCTTCTATTTGAGGACTTAGATACTCTGAGTCAATAAATCCATTTCAAAGCATTTCAATTTCTCCTCTCTCTGAAAAGAAGTTATAAAAAACTACATATTTAAGATTATACCATATTATGATTTCATATGATTCAAAAATCGGCTTTCAGGATATTAAAGGCTGGAGAGATGAATGGGTTCAGGTTTCATTTCAGCTTGAATTTTGAAATGGGAGGAATGCTAGCATCTCAAATTCGCATTTATTTTCAAGCATTGCTGAGCCAGTTGTCATATTGGAATCTGAGATTGCAAAAGATAGATTGTTTCCACTGAAATAGTCTAATAAGTATAGCTCATAAGATTCTCCTTCCGTTAAGTAAATTGATCCGAGTTCCCTTTGTATCATAATTGAAAGTACAGTGGGAAAGAGAAATAAATACCTCACCAGCATTTAATTATTTCAATAGTTAAAGATTAATGATTTCGAAATACAGCGCAATGGAAACGAAATTGTTTTCCATGAATTTTCTAGATGCTAGAAAAGTGTTTACTCCCCCCTCCGTGAGCGAACAAAAAATCTTGTTCGCTTACGGAGGGTTTAATTTTTTTTTAAAAAAATTTATATATAAATTTATAGAAATTTTTTGTTGGGATTTAAAAAATCCCACTTCGTATAAATTGGAAAACAAATATTAATTTAATTTTTAAAGTTTTATGTTTTAAAACGTGATTTGTTTAAAATTAAACAGAATTAGCTAGAGATTTCATTATATTAACTATCACTTATATATCAATTTTTTTCCCCAAATAATTTTTCTTTTAAAAAAAATTTTTTTTCATCACGGAGGGATGGTTTTTGGGCAAAAATAGGGATTTTTCTAATGGTTTTGCTCGCTGACGGAGGGGGGGAGTTAATGATTTTTTACAGATGATTCAAATACATTGCTACATAATTTATCCAAATGCATTGTGCTCTGCTTTAAGCTTACAGGAAACTAAGATTTGCATAATTTCTACTGCAATTTTGCGAAAAATACTTCAAAAAAGTAAAAGATATGGGATTTTCTTTTTAATAGACTTTGTGGGGATATTCAAAGGAAATAGCTATATGAATTATAGGCATATCCCTTAGATAGCCCGATATGGGCTAGGGATAGAGGCCAAAACTTCACTCATTTGGTTCGGCCCAAAATGAATTAAATAAAATAAGCTGTTGAATCTAAACTTAGGCCCAAAAATATTGATGCAGTTAATTAAGAATTTAAGTCTAAAATAATTTGCGTCATCATTATTTATTATAAAATAATATTAATTCTTATTTTATGCCTTCAATGCTTTTTCATCAAAATATGCTTGAACTATTTTATGCTTTGACCCAATTCTTTTAGCAAAGTTTACGCTTGCTGCGAAAACAGCTAGAATTGCAATAAGAATTAAAAATTTTATCAGTCAATAGGTAAAATCTAATAAATTGCTTTGAGCTAAAGTCCCTGAATCTATCTCACGTGTAAAATAAATTATGGAAGAATTAACAGCATTGTTCATATTTTCTGCAGAAATTGTAATGCTGAAATTCTCAGTTCCCCATTTGCTTATCATTTCATTATACTCCATTTTGTACATACTTGGAAATATTAAAGAATTTTGGTTTACCTTGAGTCTTTTATATGTAAAACTAGAATAAAAAATTGCAGAAATTTCATTTTCAGTAATAAATCTTGTTTTTAGCACCGCCGGAGCGAAATTAGGGAGAGAGAGATAAAAGTTAGGGTAGAGATTCGAATTGCTTTGAGATTTTGTATCAAAAATAGTTAGAAATAAGGATTTTGAATTGAATGTGTGGACTGCAAAATATCGATTATCCATTGAACATATAATAGGACTATGTGCTCCAATATAGATACCTTCTGATCCTTTCAAAACATTATAATCAGAGTCTTTTTCAAAATAAATATAGTCTTTTATCTTATAAGACACTATTGCTGACAAAGATGAAGAAACATATAAAATATTTCCACAAATACCAAATGATATAAAATAATTATGATGGTGTAGATATGGAAGCTCTCCTACCAAATGGCTTTTTTGGTTATTACTAGTTTCTAAAACCCTAATTCCATATTTTTTGTCTGCTAGATATCAGTAAGAAGTTTGAGAATTTTTTACCTTGTAATCAAGTGACACAGGGGAAAACGATGGAACATCTAATGAAAGGAAATTTATAGTTTCTAAAAGCTGAATGCTTATAAGATTTTCAATTCATTTTCCTCTAAATCTTAAAACATCATTATAATCAGAAATGACATTATCACCCATGGCAACCATTAGTTCAAAGTCAAGTTCAGTAAGTGGAGCAATTTTCAAGCATCATGGTCCTGCAGCAATACTGAATAAGCTATAATTAGTAATTTTTAAGCCAATAAAATCGATTTCCCACAAAATAAGTGCATTTTCGAGAGCAAATTCTTTCACTGTTTCTACGAAAAGATGATCACTTGAAGCTCGATAAGTGCAAGATGTAACTATTAAAGACAAATTTGTAATTGTATGTGGAAAGGATTCGACCAAAGAGCAAGTCAACTTTTTGAGATTAGTATGTTCAGAAATATTCAAAAGTTTTTTTTCATCGTTAAAACCTGTTGAGTTCACAAAAAGAAAACCATTTTCACTGACTATCAAAGCTATTTCTGTGCGGGGAATAATAATTTGGTCTTTCATTCAATTATTTTTTGCTTGATGCTCTCCTACAACTTCTACTCTTTTCGGTATGAATGCTGGTAAAATTTCTGATGTTTGATCATTAATATTAATTCCATTGATATTTAAGCTCATATTTAAATATTGTCCATGAAATGAGTCGCCTAAATCTACCTCAAACCTATTATTATAAGGTAGATTTTCATGAATAACTAATTTGTCATTTTCTATTCATGGGAAGTTCCCATCAACGTGCAACAATAATGAAAAATTGGCTTCCATTTTGTCATGAGCATTATATGCAATCACTGAAAAATTTTCTTGATACCATGAGCTTTGTAAACTATCAATATCATCAGCAATTATGTTAATTTCATAAACAGGAGGAAAAACTTTCTTACTTGGAAATGAGCTCTTGTATATTTCAATAAGTTTTGCATCTGGATTATAATTGGTAATCAATAACTCATTTCAACGATATCATCCACAAGAAATGATCCCTGGGTCCTGGATTTCAAATGAATAGACTAATGCATCATGTGACAATAGACTTGGATTGTATACATAAAAAATTGCGCCTATTTGTATAAAAATAATGGAACGATGCACAAAAGCATTTGTAAGTGGCCCCACTGCTTTAAAAAATATAGTTTTTTCAAGTTGAAAAAGGTAATTATAAATTTCAAATTTGTCTTTGTAAATAAACCCCATTTTTCTTTCTTCTAGTATCAAAATTTTAAATATTCCTTTCGTTTTTAATGCGAATTTAATTGAGATTTGCTTCTCAGACATATTGATAGCAAATACTCCAAAATTTCTGTCAAGTATATCAATAAAACCATTATCCTTGTTAAGGAAAGCATCGACTATTTCTAGCTTAAAATTAATTTGATCCATAATTTCAGTTAAAGAAAATACTTTTTTTCAAAACCCACTCCAATTATAAATATTAATTGTTTCGCTATTTCCACATAGTAATCAGTTATTATAGAAATAAAAAAGCATGCAATCAATCTCTGATTCCATTTCTTCTAATAATTTCATCGTTCGAGTATCTTTACTTACTTAATTACTTAATTTAACTCTCGACCTCTAGTTGGGCCCCTAGATGCACAATGCCACAAAGGCATATTTTTTTTCTCCGTCTTGTCGCTACTCGCGTACTCGAGTCGGGCCTCGCTGTACGGCTCGCTCCTTCTAATCCCCGTGAAGCCATTTGGGAATCCAGAAGTACGGGAAACACTAGCGGCTTGGCGCGTTGCCTCGCTCTGTCCGACTTTCCTCCAGCGCCTGTTCGGCCTAAGGGTCCTGCCTTTCATATCAGCAGGGGAAAAAGAGGTAAAACACGCTGTATAAGGCTGGCGATATAAAAAGTCCTCGCCATTTTACACCACCTTGTACAGAAGTCCACGTGTAAAAACCTAACCCATCGTTCGAGTATCAGGCAAAAGGGTTGATATAAGAAATATATTTTCACTTGGACTTGAATAAACCGCATAATATCCACCATTTTCCAACATTTTTATTGGGTTTGTTATATTTAAAGTGATTCTGAAATAGTTGATTCCTTCTAAGTCAATTTTATTATCATAAAAATAATAAAATATTGATTCAGAAACTAGAAAATTTCGAAGACCATCAGGAGAGGTTATGTTTTCTTCTAGTTCTAGCCTGGTTAGATTAGAAATTTCATATTTGAATTTTTCTGATAACGGGAAAATAAACTCATATGTAAGGTTTGGTCCTGAAAAATAAGTGGAAGGAGAGAATGATATCATTGAGTTTTTTTCACTTATTCATAGATCTATAGGCTCAGGCACTTTTAGCCGCCCTTCTTCTAGTGCAAAAATCTTATCAGAATTTTTTGGAATTGAAATGACGTTTAAAATATCTGATATTTCTTGGCTATCATAGTCTTTTGCTGTAACCTTTACATAAAATAAGTCTCCTACAATTCTTAGTTTTCATTCTTTTAAATTAATTCTATAAGCTTTAAGTCCCTCTTCTTCAAATCTTTGGAAGTAATATGAATTTTTTTCTCTATCACAAAGTATGTGTGGGATATTTCTATCACCATGATTATCTAAGCTCTTCAAATTAATTTTATAAGTAACTTCGACTTGATTTTCTTTAGATATGGAAAATATCGACAATATTCCACTAGTCGATTGAAGGAAATAGTAGTTTTGAAGTTCATATCCCTGGATTCATATGTCTTTTTCTGGATTTTTCCAAAATCTTCTTAACCCTAGCGTTCCACCCGCTCTTTCAATTAGTATGATTCCTGAGCTAGCTTTTACTATCATTTTTCCAAAATCTGTAAATTCCATTGAATAAAGTTCTCCGAAATAACTTAAATTTATGTTTAATTCTTCTTCAAAAATTTCTAACGGTCAGGTTTTATAAAAAGAAATTACACCATAATTTGAATCTAAAATGTGCATATGTTGAGCAGCTTTTAAGATACTTCTTATAGAAAGAGGGCTACTCATAGATGCTATTTTCTCATAATTTGAAATAGCTTGCACTAAAATTGGCTCTTGAAAATTGCTTATTCCATAAATATACAAAACATTAGGAATGCTTGAGTTTTTATGAAATTCGCAATAGATGGGAAAATACTTATACGAACTTCCATTTCCCATTACAATTTTTGAAGCGTAGGTAATTTCATTTAAATTTAATTTTTCAGGGTCGTGGAAAATATTGTTATCCTGCATTTTAATCATATATATATCATTTCTCCATAAACCATTGCTTTCTTGCTGCTTTATTAATACAGCCAGACAATAGTCACCATGACTAGCTCTCAGTTGCGCAATTGCTTGAATTTGAGAATTTTTGTGCTCTGTACTTACTCCCCCCTCCGTAAGCGAACAAAACAATTTTGTTCGCTCACAGATAATTTTTTTTTAAAAAACAATTATATATAAATTTTACAGAAAATATTTTTTTTTCGAAATTTAAAAAAATCCTAATTTGCAAAAATTGGAAAGCAAATCTTAATTTAATTTATTAAATTTATATTTTAAAAACACAATTTGTTTAAAATTAAACAGAATTGGCTCGAGATTTCATTATAATAATTATTATTACTTATATATCAAAATTTTTTTTTCTATAAAAATTTTTGTCGCTCACGGAGGGCAGGTTTTTGGGCAAAAAAAAGGATTTTTCTAATGGTTTTGTTCGCTCACGGAGGGGGGGAGTTAGAGTTGTACTTCAAATAAGCTTTGTTTCTTCTGTTAACACCGAAAATTTATAAATAGCTAAATAATTTTGGTTGAATCCCACAATAGCTTGAACCTTTTTATCTTGCCACATTACAATAGGCTGAGCATCCCAAGAGGGCCAAGATTTCTCTTGCTTTTCATAGGGAGTTGTAGATAAATGATGAAAATCGCATTGATTTTCTATTCTTGCAGAGTTATTAGTCATGTTGATATCTGCTATTGAAAACGATAAGTTGTCTCCAGAAAAGTAGTCTGATAAAGGAAGTTCATATTCCTCACCTTCTGTTAAATAAAGACTTCCTAATTCTTTGCGTAGATTTAACGAGCTCACGAAAGCTATGAGAATAAAGGACCTTATTAGCATTTATTAAATTAAAGTCGATGAATGAGGTGATTTAAATGTTAATCAAATGGTGAATAATTTAAAAGAAAACTCTTTTTCTTTAAATGTGCTCAGAACATTGGAGTTTATTTTTTTACAATTTTAACGAGTAGCTTATGGATATGCTAATTTATTGTCTTGCAAACAACCAAAAATTACAGAAAGGTCTCATATGCAATTATGAAACCTGTATATAAACGAAGTTTATCATACTAAAAATAATTATGCAAAAATAAAAGCTGCTCTAACTCTGTTATGGTAACTTTGATAAATATTTTTTGAGCATTTATGTCTCTGTGCTTTGTCCGATGCTTTTAAATATTCTTAATAGGATTTGAAGCTTTTGGGTTACAATCCAACTCACCGATGGCAAATATACACTACAGCTAGAAGTTAGCTTATAACTTTCAAGTGAAAGATCGAACTCTCTTAACCAGCCGAGCATTATCTAGCTATATTACTACTAAGATTATAATTGCTTAATGGCTTTAAAAAGAATTAATTTAACTCTGTGTCTTGTAAACCCTCTTTATTATGAATTTCTCTCATAAGAATTAACTCTAAAGATCGACGTCTATGGGCTTTCAACAGTTTCCTAATATAAAGCCCCCCTCCAATGATGCAAGCGACAATTGTTATAGAAACCAAAACCCAAATCCATCAATAATTATCACTTTTCTTTCCTCTGACCTCTCTATTAAAATAAAGATACTTTGAGGCAACCTCTCCATTGGCATTTTCTGCAATAGCATACAAATAAAACGACTTTGTTCCCCACAAATTAGTCATTTCTGAGTACTCTTCTTTGCTCATTTTAGGGAAAATCAAATAATTTTCATTAATTTTATAACTTCTATATTCATTCCCATAGCTAATATAGCATCTTAGCGGGACTCCGAAAATTTAAGTATTGAATTTCCAATAAACTGCATGCTGACTGGATATAAAAGAGTATATATTTCTGAGGCGTAGATTTCTGATATAATATTAGATGAATTCTTTGCTTTTGCGTCTCATATTCTAATTAATAACCCTAGATCGTTTCTTCAAACAGGGCATGCAATGTATCTATTATCTTTTGAAGAAACAATATTATTTAGCAAAAATAAATAATCAGATTCTTGAAATTCGTAAGCACCATAATTAGAATCTTCTTCTAAACTCGTGTAAGATCTTAATTTAAATGATTTCATTCATTCTCCACATGCTATATAAAGTGTATCTCCTCATAATCCAAAATTTACAAAGTAATAATTGAGTTCGATATAAAGTCCACCTACTAAGATACTTGTAGAGTTTTTACTAGTTTGTATAATTCTTATTCCATATTGGTTGTCAATTATATACCAATAAACAGTTTCAGAGTCTTTCACAATGAATTCAGCTAGAAGAGCATAGAATGAATTTAAACCCAAAGAAAAATAATTTATGACCTCACATTGGCTAATGCTAATATCATTAATCTCTCATCTTCCATTATATCTGTAAATGCTATTTATATAATTTTGAGCTGAATTGTCAATATAAAATGCCAAAATCTCAAAACTGTGAGCATCAAGAGGGGCAACTTTTAGATAATTATGATCACTATATGTATTAAGGGGCCTATATTTAATTACTTCAAAATTTACATAGTCTAACTCTCATAGAATAATAGCATAAGCAATTTCAGAAATATAGGTAGTTGTATTTTTATATTCAATTGCTTCTGGAATTCTATAATTCCCCACTCCGCAAGCGAAAATAAAATTTTTTTCACTTATGGAAGGATTAATTTTTTTTTAAAAAACAAATTATATATAAATTTTATACTAATTTTTTGGCGAAAACCCCGATTCACAAAAATTGAAAAGCAAATATTTATTTAATACGTAAAGTTTATGTTTTTAAATGCAATTTGTTTAAAATTAATTAGAATTAGCTAGAGTTCATTATACTAATTATCGCTTATATATCAAATTTTTGTTTCAGAAAAAAATTTTGGACAAAAAATCGGGATTTTTCCAATGGTTTTTCTCGCACACGGAATGAGTAAATGCATGATGTTATTAATAAAGCGAGATTATTTTGTGTGTGAGGGAAAACATCCATAAAATTACATATCAAATCTGTAATATTTGAAATCTCAGTTAAGTTCAAAACCATAACTTTATTCGTCAACATAGTAGCATCGATTATGAATAATTCAGAAAAAGACAAGATTACAGCGATCTCTGTATTGGGTATAATAATATGATTAGTTTTACCATAATGTTTATTCAAATCGTATCTTCTCAGTAATTCAGTTCGCTGAGGAATAATTGCAGGCCAGTTATCTACTGTTTCATTGAAAGAGTAATTTCCATTAACAGACAAAGCCATCACAATATTTTGCCCCTCAAAAAAATTAGTTCCTTTTTATGGTGCATTCACCATGAAACTATTTTTTTAAGCCTTTTTTTTAATCAACATTTTTAATATTACTTCTGTCAAAAGAAATATACTCAAATGATTAAAAATAACTTTCGAAATAGTCAATATTGGGTCATTTCAAAGCAGTTTGACCAAAAGAGATTAAAAACAAAGGCGCAAAAAAAATAAACCCAAAAAAAATTTATTGTGATAGGCAAGTGCTAAGACACACAAAAAATTTACTTAAATCTAATTCGTATCTCTCGTTATATGGAATATTTTTATGATTTTCTCAATTTTCTTCTTTATAACAAGGGAAATTTCCATTAATTATCAAATTTATAGGGAAAGTTTCTTTTAATAAATTTTCTTTATTAAATGCAGCTATTGAAATGCTTGTTTGCAAAGAAAAGTCTCTTAAGTACTCAGAGTTGCTAATGTTCATATAAAATTGATAATAAAATGAGCATCCCACGTCGAATTCTTTATTAGGGCAAGAGCTTGTATAGATTTCAACATAGTGCTTATCAGGATTGAAATTAGCAATTCTCATATCTCCTCAGTTAAATAACCCAAACGATAATAAGCTTTGATTGCTAATAGGCAGCGTATAAAATAAAGAATTATGTGATGGCTGGCCGCTATCAAAGATATATAAAGCACTACTAGTTATCAAATAAATCATATTTGACTTTCCATATGTTCCAACAATAGGCTCATATATATTTGTCAAAATTGTTTTCCAATATTCTAAAGAATACCCATATATCTCAATAAAATTTTCAAAAACAAAACAAATTTCACTTCCTGTGTTTATAACATTTTTAGCACCTGATACTTTTCCATAATAATTAAAAGGTTCAGTTGTTTCAATTATACTTTTTAAGTCTACAATAACTGTACCCAAATCATTATCTATTATATAAATGTAGAGCATAGAATAAGTTGAGAAAGATATTGCTAAATCTGTTATATTTCATGAAGAACCTTTTTCAAATTGCTCACCAGTTAAAGTAGCCATATGAGCATAGTAATAGGTATTATTATTGTAATATACGTCTATTTGATGCGAATTTGAGCATATAAGATAGCTATAATCAATTAAAAAGAAAATACAATCTATTTCTGATAAAATTTTCTAAATTATCTAATCGATTTCTTCTATTCATTTTTTTGTCTTAAATTTAAAATTGTTAAAATTCAACCTTTTCACTTATGGTATTCTTTTTTTTAGTGATTTTTTGCAGATGACTAAAATACATTGGGAATTTCCAAATGCATTGTGTCCTGCTTCAAGCTTACAGGAAACTAAGATTTTCATAGTTACTATGACAATCTGGTGAAAAATACTTCAAAAAGTAAAAGATATGGATTTTCTTTTAGATAGCAGTTGTGAGATATTCAAAGGAAATAGCTATATCTATTAAATAAAATAAGCTGTTAAACCTAAACCTAGCCTCAAAAATCGTGATGTAGATAATAAAGAATTTAAGTCTAAAATATTTTGCGTCATTATTATTTATTATAAAATAATATTAATTCTTATTTTATGTCTTCAATGCTTTTTCATCAAAATATGCTTGAATTATTTTTTACTTTGACCCGATTCTTTTAGCAAAGTTTACGCTTGCTGCGAAAACAGCTAAAATGGAAATAAGAATTAAAAATCTTATCAGTCAATAGGTAAAATCTAATAAATTGCTTTGAACTGAATTCACTGAATCTATCTCACGTGTAAAATAAATGGTCGAAGAATTAACAGCATTGTTCATATTTTCTGCAGTAATTGTAATGCTGAAATTCTTAGTTCCCCATTTGCTTATCATCTCATCATACTCAATTTTGTTTATATTTGTTTATATTAAAGAATTTTGGTTTACCTTGAGTCTTTTATATGTAAAACTAGAATAAAAAATTGCAGAAATTTCATTTTCATTGATAAATCTTGCTTTTACCATCATCGGAGCGAGATTAGGGAGAGAGAGATAAAAGTTAGGGTAGAGATTCGAATTGCTTTGAGATTTTGTATCAAAAATTGTTAGAAATAAGCATTCTGAATTGAATGTGTGGACTGCAAAATATCGATTATCCATTGAACATATAATAGGACTATGTGCTCCAATATAGACACTTTCTGATCCTTTCAAAATATTATAATCAGAGTCTTTTTCAAAATAAATATAGTCTTTTATCTTATAAGACACTATTGCTGACATAGATGAAGAAACATATAAAATATCTCCACAAAGACCAAATGCTATGAAATAGTTATGAACATTTAGATATGGAAGCTCTCCTACCAAATAACTTCTTTGGCTATTACTAGTTTCTAAAACCCTAATTCCATATTTTTTGTCTGCTAGATATCAGTAAGAAGTTTGAGAATTTTTTACCTTGTAATCAAGTGACACAGGGGAAAACGATGGAACATCTAATGAAAGGAAATTTATAGTTTCTAAAAGCTGAATGGTTATAAGATTTTCAATTCATTTTCCTCTAAATCTTAAAACATCATTATAATCAAATATGTTATTATCACCCATGACAACCATTAGCTCAAAGTCAAGTTCAGTAAGTGGAGCAATTTTCAAGCATCATGGCTCTGCAGCAATGCTGAATAAGATATAATTTGTAATTTTTAAGCTAATAAAATCGATTTCCCACAAAATGAGTGCATTTTTGAGAGCAAATTCTCTCACTGTTTTCACAAAAAGTTGATCACTTGCAGTCCGATAAGTGCAAGATGTAACTATTAATGCCAAATTTTTAATTTCATGTGGAAAGGATTCAACTAAGGAACAAGTCAAGCTTTTGAGATTAGTATGTTCAGAAACATTCAAAAATTTTCCTTCGTTGTTAAAGCCTGTTGAGTTCATAAAAAGAAAACCATTATTACTGGCTATCAAAGCTATTTCTGTGCGGGGAAGAATAATATGGTCTTTCATTCAATTATTTTTTGTTTGATGTTCTCCTACAACTTCTACTCTTTTCGGTATAAATGCTGGTAAAATTTCTGATGTTTGATCATTAATATTAATTCCATTGATATTCAAACTCATATTTAAATATTGCCCATGAAATGAGTCGCTTAAATCTACCTCAAATCTACTATTATAAGGTAAATTTTCATGAATAACTAATTTGTCATTTTCTATTCATGGGAAGTTCCCATCAATTTGCAACAATAATGAAAAATTGGCTTCCATTTTGTCATAAGCATTATATGCAATCACTGAAAAACTTTCATTATAGCATGAGCTCTGTAAACTATCAATGTCATCAGCAATTATGCTAATTTTATAAACAGGAGGGAAAACATCTTTACTTGGAAATGGGCTCTTGTATATTTCAATAAGTTTTGCATCTGGATTATAGTTGGTTATCAATAACTCATACCAACTATTTCGTCCATAAGAAATGATTCCTGGGCTTTGGATTTCTTACTTACTTACTTACTTAATTATCTGGTGTTTAAGGTGTCTAGTGCCGCAGCCCAAAAGGACCTATGGCAAAACTAGTGACGTAGGCGAGCCATCTTGGAACAGGTCAGCCCTGGCCAAGCCTTCTATCAACTCCTGCTTCACCAGCCTTGCTGCACGTCTCACCCGGCGCGATGCCGTCGCCCTTGTCTCGACTCAGCTGCTGCACGTGTTCCGCCTAAGGGTCATCTTCCCGTGGAGATGTGCTGAGAGGTAAAAATCCGAGCCTTTTGATGCGCTGAGGAGGCGTTCCTCTGGTTATCCCCAGAGTTAAACCGCTATTGCTGTCCAGAAGTTCTCGAGTGAAAACCTAACCCTATAAATAAAATTCCATGAGGGAGAGAAAATTAGCAAAGCTAATTTCTCTCGAACCGAATGCCATTTTATTTATATGGGCTTTGGATTTCAAATGAATAAGCCAATGCATCATGTGACAATTGACTTGGATAATATATATAAAAAATTGCGCCTATTTGTATAAAAATAATGGATTGATACACAAAAGCATTTGTAAGTGGTCCCTCTGCTTTAAAAAATATAGTTTTTTCGAGTTGAAAAAGATAATTATAAATTTCAGCTTTGTCTTCATAAATAAGCCCCATTTTTCTTTCTTCTAGTATCAAAATTTTAAATATTCCTTTCGTTCTTAATGCGAATTTAATTTGCCTCTCAAACATACTGATAACTAAAGCTCCAAAATTTCTGTCAAGTATATAAATAAACCCATTATCCTTGCTAAGAAAAGCATCAGCTATTTCTAACTTAAAATTGATTTGGTCCATAATCTCAGTTAAAGAAAATAATTTTTTTCAAAACCCACTCCAACTATAAATGTTAATTGTTTCGCTATTTCCACATAGTAATCAGCTATTATAGAAATCAAGAAGCATGCAATCAATCTCTGATTCCATTTCTTCGACTAAATTCAGCGTTCGACCATCAGATAAAAGGGTTGATATAAGAAATATATTTTCACTTGGATTTGAATAAACCACATAGTATCCACTATTTTCCAACATTCTTATTGGGCTTGTTATATTTAAAGTGATTCTGAAATAGTCGATTTTTTCTAACCCCCCCTCCCTCCGTGAGCGAACAAAACCATAAGGAAAATCGCTATTTTTTGCCCAAAAACCCACCCTCTGTGAGCAAACAAAAATTTTTTTAATAGAAAAATTGTTTATGGGAAAAAAATTTTGATAATAAGTGATAATTAGTATCATGGAATCTCAAGCTAGCTCTGTTTAAATTTAAACAAATTGCGTTTTTTAAAACATAAATTTTACAATTAAATTTAATATTTGTTTTCCAATTTTCTAGGAGTGGGATTTTTTTAAATTCTAAAAAAATTTTTTTTTCTTTAAAATTTATATATAAATATTTTTAAAAAAAACATTAACCCTTTCCGTGATGAACAAGATTTTTTTGTTCGCTCATGGAGGAGAGTAACTCAATTTTATTATCATAAAAATAATAAAATATTGATTCAGAAACTAAAAATTTTCGAAGACCATCAGGAGAGGTTCTGCTTTCTTCTAATTCTAACCTGGTTATATTAGAAATTTCATATTTGAATTTTTCTGAATACGGGAAAATAAACTCATATTTAAGGTTTGGTCCTGAAAAATAAGTGGCAGGAAAGAAATATAGCATTGAGGTTTTTTCACTTATTCATAGATCTATAGGCTCAGGCACTTTTATTCGTCCCTCTTCTAGTGCCAAAATCCTATCTGAGTTTTTTGGAATTGAAATGACGTTTAAAATATCTGATATTTCATGGCTCTCATCGTCTTTTGCTGTAACCTTCACATAAAATAAGTCTCCTACAATTCTTAGTTTTCATTCTTTTAAATTAATTCTATAAGCTTTAAGTCCCTCTTCTTCAAATCTTTGGAAGCAATATGAATTTTTTTCTATATCACAAAGTATGTGTGGGATATTTCTATCACCATGAATATCTAAACTCTTCAAATTAATTTTATAAGTGATTTCGACTTGATTTTCTTTAGATATGGAAAATATCGACAACATTTCACTAGCTGATTGAAGGAAATAGTAGTTTTGGCATTCATATCCTTGGATTCATAAGTCTTTTTCTTGATTTTTCAAAAATCTTCTTAATCCTAGCTTTCCAACGGATATAAATTAAATGGCGACACGATTCGACCTGCCCTCTTGGCGCAGCAGTCCAAACCTTATGGCTACGGCGAACTGGGACGGACTCCGAGCCGAGAATCTAGTGCAGGCTCAAGAGGTGTGTATCCTAGGAGGTTTTGGCTGCTTTCCTGTGGTTGGAAATGGAGGTGCCTAACAGCTTCCTTTGGATCCGAGGACCCATGGGCATACTTCTACCGAGGAACTGAGGGCTTCGGCCCTGGCCACAGGGGAACAGCCTTTTTCCTTTAGCTGTCGAAGAAAGCACTTCGACATCCGATAGTCTCCAAGGATCCTTGGAATCAAGCTACTCCAATCGCCCGTAGCAGGGCCGCAGAAATCCATAAGCCGCCCACTCAAGACTGAAGCCTCAAGGCAAGGAGGAGACAGAAGGTACCGGAAGGGCACTCGTAAGAGGGATAGACCCTCTGGGCTGGAGTCGAAAAGCAGTAGAACCTCCTATACAGGAAGTCTTTGGTGACTGCGTCACCAATATGGCTAGCACTGACTTTAATAATCCTAATCCTAATCCTAATCCCTGGCTTTCTAACCACTCTTTCAATTACTATGATTCCTGAGCTAGCTTTTATTATCATTTTTCCAAAATCTGTAAATTCCATTGAATAGAGTTCTCCGAAATAACTTAAATTTATGTTTAATTCTTCTTCAAAAATTTCTAACGGTCAGGTTTTATAAAAAGAAATTACACCATAATTTGAATCTAAAATGTATATATATTGAGCAGCTGTTAAAATACTTCTTATAGAAAGAGAATTACTCATAAATACTATTTTTTCATAATTTGAAATAGCTTGCACTAAAATTGGTTCATGAAAATTACTTATTTCATAAATATACAAAACATTAGGAATGCTTGAGGTTTTATGAAATTCGCAATAGATGGGAAAATACTTATACGAACTTCCATTTCCCATTACTATTTTTGAAGCGTAGGTAATTTCATTTAAATTTAATTTTTCAGGGTCGTGGAAAATATAGCCATCCTGCACTTTAATCATATATATATCATTTCTTCATAAATCATTGCTTTCTTGCTGCTTTATTAACACAGCCAGATGATAATCACCATGACTAGCTTTCAGTGTCGCAATTGCTTGAATTTGAGAATTTTTGTGCTCTGTACTTAGAGTTGTACTTCAAATAAGCTTTGATTCTTCTGTTAACGCCGAAAATTTATAAGCAGCTAAATAATTTTGATTGAATCCCACAATGACTTGTAACTTTATATCTTGCCACATTACAACAGGCTGAGCATCCCAAGAGAGCCAAGATTTCTCTAGCTTTTCATATGGAATCGTAGATAAATGATTAAAATCGCATTGATTTTCTATTCTTGCAGAGTTATTAGTCATGTTGGTGTCTGCTATGGAAAACGATAAGTTGTCTCCAGAAAAGTAGTCTGATAAAAGAAGATCATATGGCTCACCTTCTGTTAAATAAAGATTCCCTAATTCTTTGCGTAGATTTAACGAGCTCACGAATGCTACGAGAATAAAAGAGCTTATTAGCATTTATTAAATTAAAGTCGATGAATGAGGTGATTTAAATGCTAATCAAATGGTGAATAATTTAAAAGAAAATTCTTTTTTATTTAAATATGCTTATTTCAATGGAATTTATATTTTTTACAATTTTAACTAATAGCTCAACTACATAGCTTTAAATTTATGAGTATGCTAATTTATTGTCTTGCAAACAACCAAAAATTACAGAAAGCTCTCATATGCAATTATGAAAACTTGTATATAAACGAGGCTTTGTACACTAAAATAACAATTATTTGATGCATATAAGTGATTATTATACTTTTTATCAAATATTAATGTATAGTCTTAACTATTTCCATGGATTCAGCGCTGCTCTGGGTTTCTTCTCCTCCCTTCTTGGATTTGAGCTTGCCTCTTGCTGCAATGACTCTCTCATACTCTGCTTCATTGTGGCCTCTGTTGTTTCAAAACGGCACAGACTAGAGCTCCAGCATGGCTCATCCATGCAGTCTGGCCTTTGATCAAAAATTCTTCAGAGAACTCCATCGCCTGCTCAAGGGTAACAAGCTGGAGGCATAGAGGATGTACCAACACTCCATTTAATTATATTAGAGAAAATTCCTATTTAATAAAATTAACTATCAAAAAAAAATAATCACTTTTGTAATCTAAATTAGTATAAACTTCATAAAACATAGATCCGATATCTACCTGGCATAATGCACATCTAAGAATAAGTTTCGAAGATACCATTAAAATATATTTTTAAATTTTAGGTATAGAAATAAATCTATAAGATACTTGAATATGCAATATTTGTGCAATAGAAGAGTAGGCTTTTTGAAAATATATAGGCTCGAATCTTCTTCGATAAAAATAGGTTTTTTCTTTAAATCTACAAATAGCCAGAAATTGGCTTATAAATTACAAGTAAAAGATCGAACTCCCTGAACCAGTCGAGCATTATCTAGCTATATTACTACTAAAATTATAATTGCTTAATGGCTTTAAAAAGAATTAATTTAACTCTGTGTCTTGTAAACCCTCTTTATTATGAATTTCTCTCATAAGAATTAACTCTAAAGATCGACGTCTATGGGCTTTCAACAGTTTTCTAATATAAAGCCCTCCTACAATGATGCAAGCAACAATTGCTATAGAAACTAAAACCCAAATCCATCAATAATTATCACTTTTCTTTCCTCTGACCTCTCTATTAAAATAAAGATACTTTGAGGAAACCTTTCCATTGGAATTTTCTGCAATAATATACAAATAAAACGACTTTGTTCCCCACAAATTAGTCATTTCTGAGTACTCTTCTTTGCTCATTTTAGGGAAAATCAAATAATTTTCATTAATTTTATAACTTCTATATTCATTCTCATGGCTAATATAGAATGTAAGTATTGAATTGCCAATAAACTGCATACTGACTGGATATAAAAGAGTATTTATTTCTGAGGCGTAGATTTCTGATATTATATTAGATGAATTCTTTGCTTTTGTGTCTCATATTCTAATCAATAACCCTAGATCGCTCCTTCAAACAGGGCATGCAATATATCTATTATCTTTTGAAGAAACAACATTATTTAGCAAAAATAAATAATCAGATTCTGGTGACTCGTAAGCACCATAATTCAAATCTTCTTCTAGACTCGTGTAAGATCTTAATTTAAATGATTTCATTCATTTTCCACATGCTATATAAAGTGTATCTCCTCATAATCCAAAATTTACAAAATAATAATTGAGTTCGACATGAAGTCCACCTACTAAGATACTTGTTGAATTTTTACTAGTTTGTATAATTCTTATTCCATATTGGTCGTCAATTATATATCAATAAGCAGTTTCAGAGTCTTTCACAATGAATTCAGCTAGAAGAGCATAGAATGAATTTAAACCCAAAGAAAAATAATTTATGACTTCACATTGACTAATGCTAATATCATTAATCTCTCATCTTCCACTATATCTGTAAATGTTATTTATATAATTTGGAGCTGAATTGTCAATATAAAATGCTAAAATCTCAAAACTTTGAGCATCAAGAGGGGCAGCTTTTAGATAATTATGATCACTATATGCATTAAGGAGCCTATATTTTATTATTTCAAAATTTACATAATCTAATTCTCATAGAATAATAGCATAAACAAATTCTGAAATATAAGTGGTTGTGCTTTTATATTTAATTGCTTCTGGAATTCTATAAGCACATGAAGTTATTAATAAAGCGAGATTATTTTGTGTGTGAGGGAAAACATCCATAAAATTACATATCAAATCTGTAATATTTGAAATCTCAGTTAAGTTCAAAACCATAACTTTATTCGTCAGCATAGTAGCATCGATTATGAATAATTCAGAAAAAGACAATATTACAGCGATCTCTGTATTGGGTATAATAATATGATTAGTTTTACCATAATGTTTATTCAAATCGTATCTTCCCAGTAATTCAGTTCGCTGAGGAATAATTGCAGGCCAGTTTTCTACTGTTTCATTGAAAGAGTAATTTCCATTAACATACAAAGTCATCAAAATATTTTGCCCTAACAGAAAGAGAAAGCGCTTAAATGCAGGTGAAAAGGTAACTATTGCTAAGATACTCAAAAAATTTACTTAAATCTAATTCGTATCTCTCGTTATATGGGATATTCTTATTATTTTCTCAATTTTCTTCTTTTTGATAACAAGGGAAATTCCCATTAATTACCAAATTTATAGGGAAAGTTTCTTTTAATAAATTTTCTTTATTAAATGCAGCTATTGAAATGCTTGTTTGCAAAGAAAAGTCTCTTAAGTACTCAGAGTTGCCAATGTTCATATAAAATCCATAATAAAATGAGCATCCCTCGTAGAATTCTTTATTAGGGCAAGAGCTTGTATAGATTTCAACATAGTGCTTATCAGGATTGAAATTAGCAATTCTCATATCTCCTCAGTTAAATAGCCCAAATGATAGCAGGCTTGGATTGCTAATAGTTAGTGTATAAAATAAAGAATTATGTGATGGTTGGTCGCTATCAAAGATATATAAAGCATTACTCGTTATCAAATAAATCATATTTGACTTCCCATATGTTCCAACAATAGGCTCATACATATTTGTCAAAATTGTTTTCCAATATTCTAAAGAATACCCATATATCTCAATAAAATTTTCAAAAACAAAACAAATTTCACTTCCTGTATTTATAACATTTTTAGCACCTGATAGTTTTCCATAATAATTAAAAGGTTCAGTTGCTTTAACTATACTATTTAAGTCTACAATAACTGCACCGAAATCATTATCTATTATATAAATGTAGAGAGTAGAATAAGCTGAGAAAGATATTGCTAGATCTGTTATATTTCATGAAGAGCCTTTTTCGAATTGCTCACCAGTTAAAGTAGCCAATGGGTCATAGTAATAGGTATCATTATTGCAATATACATCAATTTTATGCGAATCTGCACATATAAGATAGCTATCATCAATTAAAAAGAAAATACAATCTATTTCTGATGGAATTTTCTGAATGATTTCATCAGGGTAAAAAGAACTTATAATTAAAAATGAATTTTGGTTTGGCTTAGAATATATGACGTAGCTTTTGCTTCATAAAAATTTTATAGGATTGGTAGCATTTATAGGTATAGAGCCATAACTTGTATCAACTATAACTTTATTATCATAAAAAGATACGATATTTGCTCCAGAAATTAAATAATTTGTAATGTTGCTTGACAGAGAAACATTTTGATATAGTTTCAGTTTGTTCATAGTAATGATTTCGAAACTTGAAGTATTTAAGTCAGGAAGATCAATTATTGTGAATTCAAGATTTGGACCCGAAAAATAATCATTCAAAACTATAGAAAAATAGGTTCCATTTTGTTCGTCAGCTATCAATTCGATAGTAGAAATGGAAGCTGGTCGATACATGTCGATTTGGAAAATTTCTTGTGAATTTTGAGTAATTGAGTTGACATATAAAGTACTGGAAATTATGCCATCATTTTGAGATTTTGCAGTGATTTGGACATAGTAAGTTGAATTTCCCCAGAATTTAATGCTTCATTCTTCTAACTCCCCCCCGTGAGTGAGCAAAACCATTGGAAAAATCCCTATTTTTTGCCCAAAAACCCACCCTACTTGAGTGAACAAAATTTTTTTAATTTTATGAAAAAAATTCGATATATAAGTGATAATTAGTATAATGAAATCTCGAGCTAATTCTGTTTAATTGCGTTTTAAAACAGAATTTTATAAATTAAATTAATATTTGATTCCCAATTTTTGTAAATTAGGATTTTTTTTTAAAATTTTAAAAAAAAAAAATACCCTTCGTGAGTGAACAAAAATTTTTTTGTTCACTCACGGAGGGGGAGAGTAAGTATGTTTTATAAATCCTTAAGCCATCAGTATCAAACCTCAAATAAAATATGCCCTCATTTATAAAAAATCTTCATTGCCCAGTAGCTTGAAAACTTTCTCCAACTAGATCACTTATATCAATATTATATAATATTTGAAGCGGATCTGCTCAGCTTAAAGCAACTGATAAAATTCCATTACTAGACTGCACGAAGTAATAATCTTCAATAATTTGAAGGCAACCATTCTCCCAATTCATTTCTTTCCCTCCCAGAAAACCTAATAATGATTGTTGTAGCGGACTTTTGAAAAACAATACTCCTGAGCTTGAAATAATTCCTATGGATTCAAAAAAAAATTCTCACATAGAACTGAGAGTCCCAACATAACCATAATAAGTTCATTCATTTTCTTTAAAAAATCTATCCCGAACACTAGACATACTATACTTAATAAGTCCAAAATTTGTATCAAGAACGTACAAATAAATTGAATTCATATACATACTAGCAACTGAGAGTTTGCTTATTAAGATTCCATAATAATTTGATATTACTTGATTAAGGATAGGCTCTTCAACGTTTGTTATATTATATAAATAAATTGCACTAGGTGAGGATGAGAATTCAAGATAAATAGAAATTATGTTGCTAATCTCCCCATAAGCTAGGATTATATTAGAGGCATAAGTAGCTTCACTAAAGATCACTCGTTTTGGGTTTTCTAGAGCTGATAAATTTAATAAATCCATATAATAAAAATCGTTTCTCCATACAAGTGTATTTTCCTGCTGTTTTACTCATATTAAAGCGTAAGAGATTTGACCATAGCCAGTTGAATAAACTTTAATATCTTCTATTTGAGAATATTCTCCATTTTGCCCTGCGTCAATAAATCCATTCCAAAGCATTTCAATTTCTCCTCGCTCCGAAGAAAAGTTATAAAAAGCTATATAGTCTTTTGGCATAATTTAGTAAAATGCGTCCACTTGTGGATTCGAACTTGGCATGCGAAATAGCATTCTGTATGTCGAAGCATTTAGAATTCATATGTGGAACGCTATTTCACACTTCAAGTTCGAACCCACAAGTGGACCCTTTTTATTAAATTTATCCAAAAGACTATATATTTAAGATTATACCATATTATGATTTCATATGGTCCAAGAATTGGGCTTCAGGATATTAAAGGCTTGAGGGATGAATGGGTTCAGGTTTCATTTCAGCTTGAATTTTGGTATGGGACAAATTCTAGCATCTCAAATTCGCATTTATTTTTAAGTGCTGCTGAACCAGTTGTCATATTGGAATCTGAGATTGCAAAAGATAAATTGTTTCCACTGAAATAGTCTGATAAGTATAGCTCATAAGATTCTCCTTCCGTTAGCTCCCCCCCTCTGTGAGCGAACAAAACCATTAGAAAAATTTCTATTCTTTGACAAAAACCCACCCTCTGTGAGTGAACAAAATTTTTTATGGAAAAAAAATTTGATATATAAGCGATAAATAGTATCATGAAATCTCAAGCTAATTCTCTAAAACATAAATTTGCAAATTAAATTATATTTGCATTCCAATTTTCGAGAAGTGGGATTTTTTTAAATTTCGAAAAAATTATTTTATTTAAATTTATATATGATTTTTTTTAAAAAAAAATTAGCCCCTCCGTGAACGAACAAAAATTTTTATGTTCGCTCACGGAGGGGGGGAGTAAGTAAATTGATCCGAGTTCCCTTTGTATCATAATTGAAAGCACAGCGGGAAAGAGAAATAAATATCTCACCAGCATTTAATTATTTCAATAGTTAAAGTCTAATGATTTCGATATAAAGTCCAATGAAACGAAATTATTTTCCATGAATTTTCTAGATGCTAGAAAAATATTTCCTCCCTCCCCTCCGGGATTGAACAAAACCATTAGAAAAATCGCTATTTTTTGCCCAAAAACCCACCCTCCATGAGTGTACAAAAATTTTTTTTAATAGAAAAATTTTTAATGGAAAAAATTTTTGATATATAAGAGATAATTAGTATAATGAAATCTAGTGCTAATTCTGTTTAATTTTAAACAAATTGCTTTTTAAAACATAAATTTTATAAATTAAATTAATATTTGCTTTCCAATTTTTGCGAATTAAAATTTTTTAATATTTTTTATAAAATTTTATATATAATTTTTTTTAAAATAAAATTAACCTCCTCAGTTAATGTACAAAATTTTTTTGTTCACTCACGGACGGGGGGGTTAGTGTTTTTTGCAGATGACTCAAATACATTGCGGTATAATTGATCCAAATGCATTGTGTCCTGCTTCAAGCTTACAAGAAACTAAGATTTGCATAATTACTACTACAATCTGGTGAAAAAATACTTCAAAAAGTAAAAGATATGGGTTTTTCTTTTTAGAAAGCCTTTGTGGGCATATTCAAAGGAAATAGCTATATGAATTAAATAAAATAAGTTGTTGAATCTAAAACCTAGCCTCAAAAATCTTGATGCAAATAATTAAGAATTTACATCTAAAATAATTTGTGTCATCAATATTTACTATAAAATAATATTAATTCTTGTTTTATGTCTTCAATGCTTTTTCATCAAAATATGCTTGAACTATTTTATGCTTTGACCCAATTCTTTTAGCAAAGTTTACGCTTGCTGCGAAAATATCAAGAATTGCAATAAGAACTAAAAATCTTACTAGCCAATAGGCAAAATCTAATAAATTGCTTTGAGCTAAAGTCTCTGAATTTATCTCGCGTGTAAAGTAAATGGTCGAAGAATTAACAGCATTGTTCATATTTTCTGCAGTAACTGTAATGCTGAAATTCTTAGTTCCCCATTTGCTTATCATCTCATAATATTCAATTTTGTTCATATTTGGGAATATTAAAGAATTTTGATTTATCTTGACTTACACCCGTCCTTGATCGACTGATTCACTGTAAAAATTCCTAAAAATTGGGAAAATTAACCCCACCCCTTGATCGAACGATTTTCATATCATGCAGATTTTTATATATATTAAAATATATTAGTTATCAAAAGCTTGGGAAATGTGCCTAATGAAGTTGTTGTCAGAGGCTTTGAGACGACAGAAAGCTACGAAATCAATCATCCGAAGTGCTTTAGTTATCAATCTAGGCTTAAAAACTCAATAATCTAATAAAATAGAGATTTTTTAAAATTTAAATTTTTTAATTCTATAAGAAACAAATTAAAATTTATACAGTTTAAAGGGGTAACCAAAAATTCAAAATATTAAAAATTGGTATTCTTATAAAATTAATAAATTTTTTGCTGTAAAAATAATTATTAAATACTCTTAACCCTCTTATTTAAAAATAAAAAAAAAAAGTTCCCGCACCTGTTCCGCCTAAGGGCCACCCTACTCGTGTGTGTCAAGCAGAAAACCATATGTCTCCTAACCCTGGACCAAAGAAATACCCTATATGATATTCCATATTGGTGTTGCAGATAAACTTCCACATGGAAAAAACTGAACCCCATAATAATAAAAGCAAAGGAAGGAATAGTTCTCGGAGATAACTAATTTCGCACTGAGCCATTTTATTATTATCGCATCAAGAGCATACAAATACATTGAATCCATGTACATACCAGTAACTGAAAGTTTGCTTATTAAGATTCCATAATACTCTGATATTACTTGATTAAGGATAGGCTCTTTGGTGTTTGTTATATTATATATATAAATTGCACTAGGTGAGGATGAGAATTCAAGATATATAGAAATTATGTTGGTAATGGCCCCATGAGCTAGGATTATATTAGAGGCATAAGTAGCTTCACTGAAGCTCACTCATTTTGGGTTTTCTAGAGCTGATAAATTTAATAAATTCATATAATAAAAATCGTTTCTCCATAAAAGTGTATTTCCTGCTGCTTTATTCATATTAAAGCATAAGAAATTTGACTATAACCAGTTGAATAAATTTTTATATCTTCTATTTGAGAATATTCTCCATTTTGCCCTGTGTCAATAAATCCATTCCAAAGCATTTCATTTCTCCTCGCTCTGAAGAAAAGTTATAAAAAGCAATATATTTAAGATTATACCATATTATGATTTCATATGATTCAGGAAATGGCCTTCAGGATATTAAAGGTTTGAGAGATTAATGGGCTCAGGTTTCATTTCAGCTTGAATTTTGGTATGGGAGGAATGATAGCATAAAATTCGCATTTATTTTCAAGAATTGCTGAACCAGTTGTCATATTGGAATCTGAGTTTGCAAAAGATAGATTGTTTCCACTGAAATAGTCTGATAAGTAGAGCTCATAAGATTCTCCATCCGTTAAGTAAATTGATCCGAGTTCCCGGGTGAAGGTCCAATGGCATTGCCTTTTTGAAGTGTCCATTTCACCGAAGTGTTTTTGGCTGAAAATTGGTTCAAACTTTTGATAGTGAGATATTTGACCAAACAAAAACATTAATTTTTCAACCAAATGTCACACGATTAAAAATTTTCGACCAAATGTATTATGGTGAAATGCAAACTGTCAAAAGTCCACTGTCATTTGACATGGAGCCAGAATTCCCTTTGTATCATAATTGAAGTACAGCGGGAAAGAGAAATAAATAGTTCACCAGCATTTAATTATTTCAATAGTTAAAGTTTAATGATTTCGAAAGACAGAGCAATGGAAACGAAATTGTTTTCTATGAATTTTCTAGATCCTAGAAAAATATTTAGTAATATTTACAGATGATTCAAATACATTGCTACATAATTTATCCAAATGCATTGTATTCTGCTTTAGGCTTACAGGAAACTAAAATTTGCATAATTACTAATACAATCTGGTGAAAAAATATGAATTAAATAAAATAAGCTGGTAAATCTAAACCTAGCTTCAAAAATCTTGATGTAGATAATTAAGAATTTAAATCTAAAATAATTTGCGTCATCATTATTTATTATAAAATAATATTAATTCTTATTTATGCCACTCAATGCTTTTTCATCAAAGTATGCTTGAACTATTTTATGCTTTGACCCAATTCTTTTAGCAAAGTTTACGCTTGCTGCGAAAACAGCTAGAATTGCAATAAGAATTAAAAATCTTACCAGCCAATCGGTAAAATTGCTTTGAGCTAAAGTCTCTGAATCTATCTCACGTGTAAAATAAATGGTCGAAGAATTAACAACATTGTTCATATTTTCTGCAGTAATTGTAATGCTAAAATTCTCAGTTCCCCATTCACTTATCATTTCATTATACTCATTTATGTTCATATTAGGAAATATTATAGAATTTTGATTTATCTTGAGTCTTCTATATGTAAAACTAGAATAAAAAATTGCAGAAATTTCATTTTCAGTGATAAACCTTGTCTTTAGTATCTCTGGAGCGAGATAAGGAAGAGAGAGATAAAAGTTAGGGTAGAGATTCGAATTGCTTTGAGATTTTGTATCAAAAATAGTTAGAAATAAGGATTTTGAATCGAATGTGTGGGCTACAAAATATCGATTATCCATTGAACATATAATAGGACTATGTGCTCCAATATAGGCACCTTCTGATCATTTCAAAATATTATAATCAGAGTCTTTTTCAAAATAAATGTAGTCTTTTATCTTATAAGACAATATTGCTGACATAAATGAAGAAAGATATAAAATATCTCCACAAATACCAAATGCTATGAAATTGCTATGAATATTTAGATATGGAAGCTCTCCTACCAAACGGCTTCTTTGGTTATTATTAGTTTCTAAAACTCTAATTCCATATTTTTTGTCTGCTAGATATCAGTAAGAAGTTTGAGAATTTTTTACCTTGTAGTCAAGTGACACAGGCGAAAACGATGGAATATCTAATGAAAAGAAATTTATAGTTTCTAAAAGCTGAATGGTTATGAGATTTTCAATTCATTTCCCTCTAAATCGTAAAATATCATTATAATCAAATACCTTATTATCACCCATGACAACCATTAGCTCAAAGTCAAGTTCAGCAAGTGGGGCAATTTTAAAGTATCATGGTCCCGCAGCAATATTTAATAAGCTATAATTTGTAATTTTTAAGCTAATAAAATCGATTTCCCACAAAATAAGTGCATTTTTGAGAGCAAATTCTCTCACTGTTTTAACAAAAAGATGATCACTTGCAGTCTGATAAGTGCAAGATGTAACTATTAATGCCAAATTTTTAATTGTATGCGGAAAGGATTCGACTAAAGAGCAAGTCAAACTTTTGAGGTTAGTATGCTCAGAAATATTCAAAAATTTTTCTTCATTGTTAAAGCTTGTTGAGTTCACAAAAAGAAAACCATTATTACTGGCTATCAAAGCTATTTCTGTGTGGGGAAGAATAATATGGTCTTTCATTCAGTTATTTTTTGCTTCATATTCTCCTACAACTTCTACTCTTTTCGGTACGAAAGCTGGTAAAATTTCTGATGTTTGATTATGAATATTAATTCCATTGATATTCAAACTCATATTCAAATATTGTCCATAAAATGAGTCGCTTAAATCTACCTCAAATCTATTAGTATAAGGTAGATTTTCATGAAGAACTAATTTGTCATTTTCTATTCATGGGAAGTTCCCATCAACGTGCAACAATAATGAAAAATTGGCTTCCATTTTGTCATGAGCATTATATGCAATTACTGAAAAACTTTCATTATAGCTTGAGCTTTGTAAAGTATCAATGTCATCAGCAATTATGCTAATTTCATAAGCAGGAGGAAAAACATTTTTACTTGGAAATGGGCTCTTGTATATTTCAATAAGTTTTGCTTCTGGATTATAATTGGCAATCAATAACTCATTTCAACTATTTCGTCCACAAGAAATGATCCCTGGGTTTTGGATTTCAAATGAATAGACTAATGCATCATGTCACAATAGACTTGGATTGTATACATAAAAAATTGTGCCTATTTGTATAAAAATAATGGAATGTTCTACAAAAGCATTTGTAAGTGGCCCCACTGCTTTAAACAATATAGTTTTTTCAAGTTGAAAAAGAGAATTATAAATTTCAGCTTTGTCTTCATAAATAAGTCCCATTTTTCTTTCTTCTAGTATCAAAATTTTAAATATTCCTTTCGTTCTTAATGCGAATTTAATTTGCCTCTCAAACATATTGATAACAAATGCTCCAAAATTTCTGTCAAGTATATTAATAAAGCCATTATTATTGCTAAGAAAAGCATCAGCAATTTCTAACTTAAAATTAATTTGATCCATAATCTCAGTTAAAGAAAATATATTTTTTCAAAGCCCACTCCAACTATAAATATTAATTTTTTCGCTATTTCCACATAGTAATCAGTTATTATGGAAATCAAAAAGCATGCAATCAATCTCTGATTCCATTTCTTCTAATAAATTCAGCGTTCGACCTTCAGATAAAAGGGTTGATATAAGAAATATATTTTCACTTGGATTTGAATAAATCACATAATTTCCACCACTTTCCAACATTCTTATTGGGTTTGTTATACTTAGAGTAGTTCTGAAATAGTTGATATCTTCTAACTCAACTTTATTATCATAAAAATAATAAAATATTAATTCAGCAACTAGGATAAATAAAATGGCATTAGGTTTGAGCGAAATTAACTCTGATAATTTACTCTCCCTCAAGCAATTTTATTTATGGGGTTAGGTTTTCTTCTGAGAACTTCTGTACAGCAATAGCAGTTTAACTCTGGCAGATAAGCCGAGGCACTGCTCAAAGTACTTCAAGAGGCTCAAAGTTTTACCTCTCAGCACATCCGAGGAAGGTGAACTTAGGCAGAACACTCGCAGGAGCTGAGTCAAGAAAGGAAGGCAAGGCAACGCAGCCCGTAGAAGCGTGAACGTCGTATATGCCCGTGCCCTGGCGCAACAAAGTGGATCGATCCAGAGCTCCATGGGTCCGACACGTGGACAAATATGGTGGCAGCTCTGGAAATGGCTACCCCGTAGCGCATGCTAAACGTTATAAACTTATTAATATAAGATAAAATTCAGCAACTAGAAAATTTCGAAGACCATCAGGAGAGGTTATGCTTTTCCCTAATTCTATTCTGGTTAGATTAGAAATTTCATATTTGAATTTTTCAGAATATGGGAAAATAAACTCACATGTAAGGTTTGGTCCTGAAAAATAAGTGGAGGGAGAGAATAATATTATTGAGTTTTTTTCATATATTTGTAAATCTATCGGCTCAGGCACTTTTAGTCGCCCCTTTTCTAGTGCAAAAATCTTATCAGAATTTTTTGGAATTGAAATGACGTTTAAAATATCTGATATTTCGTGGCTGTCATCGTCTTTTGCTGTAACCTTCACATAAAATAAGTCTCCTAAAATTCTTAGCTTTCATTCTTTTAAATTAATACTATAAGCTTTAAGTCCCTCTTCTCCAAATCTTTGGAAGTAATATGAGTTTTTTTCTCTATCACAAAATATGCGTGGGATATTTCTATCACCATGATTATCTAAACTCTTCAAATTAATTTTATAAGTAGCTTCGAATTGATTTTCTTTAGATATGGAAAATATCGACAATATTCCACTTGATGATTGAAGGAAATAGTAGTTATGGCATTCATATCCCTGGATTCACATGCCTTTTTCTTGATTTTTCCAAAATCTTCTTATTCCTAGCTTTCCTCCAAATCTTTCAATTACTACGATTCCTGAGCTAGCCTTTATTATCATTTTTCATAAATCTGTAAATTCCATTGAATAGAGTTCTCCGAAATAACTTAAATTTATGTTTAATTCTTCTTCAAAAGTTTCTAATGGCCAGGTTATATAAAAAGAAATAACACCATAATTTGAATCTAAAATGTACATATGCTGAGTAGCTGTTAAGATACTTCTTATAGAAAGAGAACTGCTCATAGATGCTATTTTCTCATAATTTGAAATAGATTGCACTAAAATAGGTTCATGAAAATTACTTATTTCATAAATATTTAAAACATTAGGAATGCTTGAAATTTTATGAAATTCGCAATAGATGGGAAAATACTTATGCATATTTCCATGCCCCATTACAATTTTTGAAGCGTAGGCAATTTCATTTAAATTTAATTTTTCAGGGTCGTGGAAAATATAGCCATCCTGCACTTTAATCATATATATATCATTTCTTCATAAACCATTGCTTTCTTGCTGTTTTATTAATACAGCCAGATAATTGACGCCATAATTAGCTCTCAGTGGCGCAATTGCTTGAATTTGAGAATTTTTGTGCTCTGTACTTAGAGTTGTACTTCAAATAAGCTTTGATTCTTCTGTTAACGCCGAAAATTTATAAGCAGCTAAATAATTTTGGTTGAATCCCACAATAACTTGAACCTTGATATCTTGCCACATTATAAAAGGCTGAGCATTCCAAGAGGGCCAAGATTTCTCTAGCTTTTCATAGGGAGTCGTAGATAAATGATGAAAATCGCATTGATTTTCTATTTTTGCAGAGTTATTAGTCATGTTGGTGTCTGCTATTGAAAACGATAAGTTGTCTCCAGAAAAGTAGTCTGATAAAAGAAGATCATATGGCTCACCTTCTGTTAAATAAAGACTCCCTAAGTTTTTGCGAAGATTTAAAGAGCTCACGAAAGCTATTAGAATAAAAGACCTTATTAGCATTTATTATTTTAAGTCCAGGAATGAGGTGATTTAAATATTAATCAAATGGTGAATAAATTAAAAGTAAGCACTTTCTCTTTAAATATGCTTATTGCATTTGAATTTATCTTTTTTACAATTTTAAGTAGTAGCTCAACTACATAGCTTTAAATTTATAAGATATGCTAATTTATTGTCTTTCAAACAACCAAAAATTACAGAAAATTCTTATATGCAACTATGAAAGCCTGTATATAAACGAAGCTTATTACACTAAAATAATAATTATTTGATGCATATTAGTGATTATAATAATTTTTCTCAAACATAATGTATAGCCTTAATGTATCATTTCATAAGAAAAATTAAGCATTCTTTTATATATCTGTAAAATTATTATAGAATTAAAGTAAATACTCGCTTACTGAGTCACCATTCATATGCAAGCTCAAAATTTCAAACTAGTGAGAATAAAATAGTTTATTATTGAGCTCCAAAGATGGAGAGTAAGCAAACAGATATGGGCAATGAGAAGAAAGTCGGCGAAAACAGAAAATTGAAAACCCTAAAAGAAGAAATACCCAAAAAAATAAAATGCGACGTTGAAGAGCTAAAAATTATTGTTGAAAGACAAGAAGAGATCCTAGAAAATCTTACACATTCATTTAAAGATTCAAAAAGCAAAAGCAGCAAATTGCAATATTTGTTGTCCGAGACACATGACTGGAAAAACTCACTTGCTGAAAGAAACGAACGACTAGCGATGAGATTCCAAAAATGCATACCTGCTAAAAAAGAAATTCCTGATAGCTCTAATGCAAAAAAAGATTTAAAAATTGATATTGAAGATAGATTGTCTGAAAATGATATTCGAAGCATTGGCTCTACTCCAAAATCCGCTACAAACCCAGGGAATCGAATAAAATTCAGGCGAGAACCTAAAACTCCAGCTGAATCTTTATTTTCAAAGTCTTACTTATCATTTCTTCATATTTAATTAACTGTCTTATTGTGTTGCATGAGAATAATCTGCAGTCTGCAAAACATTAACTCCTTCGTCAGTTTCTTCAGCAATTGTCAGCCTGCAATATCCTTCTTCGCTGACTAAAAAATCTGTATTCAATAAGATTGAAGTCAGGCTTTGCACAACTATCATGTGACTGACTATAATTAAGACATCTTCTTGTAGGATTTCAGTATATGTATCCCATACATATTGGATTCTCCTTTTGTATATTTCATCAGGCTCTGGGAAGGTTGGCCTTGCCAAATGGTTATTCATGATAATTTTGGCACCGCAAAACTTTTCAACTTCTTCAATTCCTCATAAATTGTGTGTCAGCCCATCAAAAGGAGAATTTCCCAAGCCAGCGACTAATGCCCCAAAGCCTTCTTCTATGTGGATTGGGATATTAAAGAGAGAAGCTATAGCAGCAGCTGTCTCAATGCATCTTAGAGTTGGAGAGCTTACCAAATGAACAGTTTTACCAGACGGTATCAGACTATATATTTTTTGGGCAGATTGCTGTGCTTGAATTAGTCCTTTTTCTGTTAGTGTTGGATCAAAATTTACTGGAAATTCCCTGGTCGTTGCATGTCTGTCTCCTCTTTCTCCATGCCGAAGAGCTGACTTTACTTAATTAGCTGGTTCGAGTCCACTTTGTTAATCGGGTTACCGAGGATCCCGCCATGGGATTCATCCGCTTTGCGGTAACGTCTACTACGATCGTCGGAAAGGCGGGTTGCATGGCCATCACCTCCTCCTTGCTACAACGGGGCAGCTCCAGCTTTAAGTGGGCAGACTACAGGTTCCCGAGGCCTTGCTTCAGGCTGCAGCGACGAGGTTGCCCGAACAGAAAATCCAAAAAATGGATTTTCTGGCCGACATCGGCAAAAAGGAAAACTTATAGCCCAGGCCATAACCCCTTGGCGGGTATAATTAAATATGTGTTCGAAGGTTGCATGGCCTCCGGCCATGCCCAAGCTAAGACGTCATATTTAATTAACCCATGCCGGAGAACAAAATACAGTTTTTTATTACTCATTTTATATAACTGTCAAATTTTAATGGGTAGCAATTATTTGTGCTTAAAGATAAATTAGCTTTGATTATCTTGGTCTTTAAACATCTCCCTTGCAATAACTAGCCTCATAATTTCGTTTGTCCCTTCAACTATTTGTAAAATTCTTAAGTCCCTAAAAGCTCTTTCTACTCCATAGCTTCTCATAACTCCATATCCTCCATGCATCTGCAATGCCATATTGGCGACATCAAAACAATTGTCAGTCGAAAACAATTTAGCCATCGGCCCCATTGTGATTCTTGCAGGATTGTGATTATCAAGCAACTCAGCTGCGTGTCTTACCATGATTCTTGACCCTGTTAACTTTGTTAATGCTTCAGCCATCTTGAATCTTAGGTACTGATGATCAACTAATTTCTTTCCAAACTGCATTCTCTCTTGCATGTATTCTTGAGCTTTTGCTAACGCAAACCAAGCTCCTCCTAAGGCGCAGCTTGAAATATTGATTCTTCCACCATCTAAAGCTTGCATAGCGATTTTAAAGCCCGTTCCCATCCCTCCAATTAGGTTTTCTTTCGGCACTTTGACGTTGTCAAAAGATACAAGCTGTGTAGGATGGGAATTTCACCCTAATTTTAATTCTCGTCTACCAAAACTAAGTCCTTGAGTTGGTGACTCAACTGCAATACATGATATTTCTTTAGGTCCTGTTCTACACATAACCAAATATAGATCGCTTGCATCACCTCCTGTAATGAACATCTTGCTTCCATTTAGAATAAAATAATCCCCCTCCACTTTCGCCACTGTTTGCAAAGAGGCAGCATCTGAGCCACTTTGCGGTTCTGTTAAGCAATAACTTGCGAATTTTTCGAACTGAAATAGCTCAGGAAGTCACTTTTTCTTTTGGGCCACACTTCCGAAATGATCAATAACCCATGCACACATATTATGGACTGTCATATAAGCTGTAGTGCCTACACACCCAGTTGCAAGAGCTTCAAAAACTAGTGAGGCTTCTAAACGATTGCAGCCGATCCCTCCAAATTCATGTCTACAATATAAGCCTCCAAACCCAAGGTCTGCTGATTTTTTAATCACATCTCTAGGAAAATAGCCTTTTTCATCCCACTCATTAGCATACGGAGCGATTTCACTTTTGCTGAATCTTAAAGCTGTCTCTTGAATAGCTAACTGCTCAGATGTTAGATTCCAGTTGCCATTAATAATCGAGCTTACAGACCTTTTGATGCTAATAGTTGATTTTGATAGCATCAGGCAATTAATTTAGATTAGATTAGATTAGATTAGATTAAAGCTGTGTGTTTATAGTCCCCACTTCCAAAGTCTTCGCGTTCCGCAGCGGAACCGCTGCGGGGTGGGCTCCCTAAAGGCACTCGAGCCCGGCCGAAACCCCGGGCTTCTCGGTAGTGGCAATTTCCCTCCTGATCCGGGTCATACGGATTTTGCCGGGAACCACCAATTTCCAACTCGAGGCCATGTCTACCCAACCCTGCTCGCCTCTGACCAGATCGCCCCTTTTGATCGGGACCCTTTTCGACTGGAGAGACTTGTGCCCTTGAGATCTGCGTCGAGCTTCGCCTCCCCTCTTTCCCGGATTATCTCCAAGAAAGAACTCAGCCCCTTGCGGGATTCGGGGCTAAGCCACCAAGTAGCCTAGGCAGGTAGTTCACTATGCCTCTTTCGGACACCGAGTCTGGGCCTCGGTGCTACTGGCAAAAAAATGCGAAAAACTGCTGCCCGGGTCAAGTCCCAAAATCAGCGGAAATTGGGCTGGGCCTCTCGCCTCGAGGCTAACTCTTCCCTTGAGTAGCTCTCCGCATCCAAAAACCACGTCCGGTATACATAAGGACCCCGCCACGGAAGGACGGGTCGCTCGTCTCCGGCCATTTTATGTATATAGGTAATTAATTTAAAAGCTAAAATATATTTAAATATAAAATTAGATTTTTATATGTAAAATTTTTAGAACAGGCAATTAAAAAAATATGAGGAATTTTTAAATTAAGAATTTTTAAAGGAAAGCATGACTACATAGACTTTTTTTATTTCATCCCAATTACAGTAGTATTTTCCTTCAGCAGAGTCAACCTTCATATTTGGGACTTTAAATGCAATAATTTCATAGGGGTCAGCAGCGAACAAGACATATTGATACCGATCATCAACAGGCTCTCTTGTCTGCTCATAGCATGACATTATTCTATGTCTCGGGCGAATATTTGGATCAATTTCAGGATAATCTACTTCAAAAACTAACGATTTCTGCCCAGTGACTGGATCTTTTTGCTTTGTTACGCGGTATCCAGGCCTCCCAATTTTAATAATTCGCTTTGGAAATACTCTAGGCTTTTGCTGTGGAAATACAGTGACATCTTTTCCATCCTTCATCTTCTTCCTTTGCAAGTTTGTTTGATGCTTCTTTCCTTGTGTATGTGCTAAATACGAGCCTTCGTTGGTATGAAGAGTTAAACACAGTCTGCATTCATAGGTACCTATATGATTTTTCATAAAATACGGATCTTTTGTGATATCCATCGTTTCTATAGCAAGACGCCGTTGGCGTTCCCTTCTTTCAGCATTCAGCATAGCTTGGGTAGCAATTCCTCCTCCTCCAGCCTTTGCACCAGCACGAGTTTGCATATCCATTTTATAATTTATATTTTATCATGTCAATTAGAAATCCTGATACTTTCGATAGAGACAGTCTTGTTAAACTTGCAAGAATTTCAGAGCATTGTGAACGATATGAAGATACGGTAGAATTTATTAAAGCCTTAGCAAGAAAAGCAGGAGAATTAACTATTGAAGAAATTAATCTTTTATCGCTTCCGTATATGTGCCTTATCAATCAAAGAAAAACTTCTATACGAATAATAGACTCAGTTTTGAAAAAATCAGAAAACAAAGAGAATTTAGATATTCTTACTAGCTATAAGCAGAATATTAAAGAAGAAATTATATTTTGGTGTGAAGATCAAATAACCTTGATTAGTTGGTTATTGGAGTTTATAAATAATGAAGATCCTAGGTGCCTAACGTATAAGATGTTAAAAGCTCATAGATATCGAGATTTAATTGAAGTTGAAAATGGCGACAGAAAAGAATCATTTCTGATAAAAGCTAAAGAAAATTATACTGACTCTCCGCCCTCTGTGAGCTAACAAAACCATTGGAAGTCTTCCTATTTTTTGCCCAAAAAACCACCTTCCATGAGCGAACAAAAATGTTTTTAATATAATTTTTTTATGAAAAATATTTGATGCATAATTAGTATTATTATAATTAAATCCCTAGCTATTCTGTTTAATTTAAAACAACTTGAATTTTAAAGCATAAATTTTATAAAAAATTAACATTGCTTTAAAATTTATTTCGAATTTTGAAAATAATTTACTCTAAATTTATATATAAATCTTTTAAAATTAACCCCCCTTTGTCAGTGATCAAAATTTTTTTCTTATATTTCGCAAAGGGGGGGAGTGAGTGGTCTAATCTTGCAAATAGCTTATGCCCTACTCATTCACAGAAACTAGGCATGGCACTCAACTTAGCATCTTTTTATTATGAAATTGAAGGGAATAGAGCTGCTGCACTTGAAGTTCTTAATCAAACAATAATAAGTGCAGAAGAAGAAATTTCACGCCCTTTAGGTCTTATATATACTGATTCTTATAAATAGCTATTTTTTTCAAAACAATTTCATTTACTAACTTTTTAAAGATAGTTAGCATACTCAGATACAGCATCTACCCTGAAAATACTCAAAGACACTTATAATAGTTTTAATTCTGAAGAAACAATATAACCAATTTTACTATAATTTCTTATTCTAGCTTAAACTGTCTTAATCTTAATCTAAATTAACAGATGGGTAATGTGCCTTATTGTTAAGCAGCTACCATTCATTCATTCTTATTTAGAGGTCGTAAGACCATTTTATGGCGGAGCCAAAGCTCACCGCGCTAGGCCTTATGGCCTTAATTACCCACCGCTAGCGACGACAAGGTAGTTTATCTCCTCATCTCACGCCCGTTGTCTTGGCCAGAACACCCGTCTTCAATTTGATTACACCCCATTAACTTGCGTCTCCTCCATCGGAGTCCGGTGAGCTGCGGACTTGCTTCCATCTTGCCTTAGACGATCCCACCTCTCTGCCAACTCTGAATTGCGCAGAGACTCGTGCAGCCTACACTGCCCAGTCTTCGTCCCACACGCCCTTGATGCCGTCTATCTCGCCAGCCATCCTATCCCAGGAGCCCTGAGTCCGTTGACCCGATGGCAGGGCTCGGCTGAGGAAAAGCTCAAGGTCTGCTGAAATAACTAACTTAATTTAAGCATGCTCTAGGTCGGTCGAGCATGCTTTCTCGGACATTTATTTCTGTTAAGCAGCTATCAATGACCCCAAAGGGTTCATCCGTTTTGCGACATCTACGCCTCAGCTATGTCAAATGGGGATATTAGCAGCGAGGTGCATGAACAATCTTCTTCTTCTCTTCTCTAGAATCCGCCTCATCGCCAGGACGGATTGAGTATGCACAAGGAGTACACCTCCTCCTTGCCAATTAAGAGCTTCAGTTTTGAGTGGCAGACTGGCCCTGCTGTGAACTCATTTAATAGTAGCTTGATTCACGAAAAATTCGGAGTCTAACAGGTGCTTGGTGCGGTTATTAGTAGCTACAGTTAAAAAGAGTCAATTCCTAGGCCCAGACCACAACACCTGGGATCGCGGAGAAGGTCTACCCTAAGGTTATTAATTATGCTGCCATGCTACCCCTTTCCAATCATAGGAACCGAGTCAAAAACCTACCCAGGATACATAAATCCATATCAGATCTGAATCTCGGCTAGCTTCTCGCCCAGTTCTCCTTGACTATAAGGTTGTCGGATTCTCTTAGGTCGCTATTTATATTTATATCTAGCTTACCCTATCAATTGCTTCATCTTGAGTCCATGGGTTTTCTCTTTTAATTTTTTCATCTTCCTCCCTGGTAAATTCTTCCTCAATCCCATATTCAGCCCTGATTTGATTTGGATCTTTACCTCTAAACTTTGTTGCAATATAAGCAAAGCAGATTTCCATTAGGCAAGCAACATCTAAGTAATTAAGCGCGAACATCAAATCAGCCAATCCATCATCGTCAAAGCTTTTCAAAAACTCAACATCCCAAGGATCAGAAAGAATTTCCTCAATTTTGCTTGTTTTTAATGGCTTTTCTAAAGGCTCTGGGGGGATAAAATCATGATGCTGCGCGTATTCAAGAATTCGATTAACTCCCCTCTGTGAGCGAACAAAACAAATTTTGTTTGCTCGCTGAGGTTTTTATTTTTTTAAAAAAATTATATAGATTTTTTTTTTTGAAATTTAAAAAATCAATTAGTAAAATAGAAGGTAAATATTAATTTAAATTGTAAAATTTATGTTTTAAAATGCAAGCTGTTTAAAATTAAACAGATTTAGCTAGAGATTTCATTATACTAGATATCACTTATATATCAAAATTTTTGCTTGGCTAACATGTTTTTGGAAAAAACAGGGATTATTCCAATGAGTTTGCTCGCTCATGGAAGAGGGGAGTAAGCATATTAGTTGAAACCTGAGCTATTGGAATGTCTTCGCCTTGCTCACAATCTTCTATAACATTCTTTACTAGTATGCTCAGGTTTTTAAATTTCGATATTGACTGAACCCTGTCACCTTCTTTAGTTACAAACGTTATTGGACTATTTTCAGATGCCATAAGATATTTATAAAATTTTTAATCGTCAGCTTCATAATGAGCATAGCATTTATCCTTTTTAAGGTAATCCCTGATTATCATAATAGAATAAAATAATAAATAATTATAATCTCAGACTTCATCTAATAATTCAAATTGGTATAGATAGAGTAAGAAAAATAGAAATAGTGCATATTTAATAGAAATATAATAATAAATTTAAGTTTCGACTTTCTTATTGTATTTATAAACAATTTTTTCATAAATAAATATTTATAGATTCTTCTATTTTAATTAAGAAGGCATTATTATCTCAAACAATTATATAACATATGCTTAATATAATCCTAAGAAAGCTTTATTTAGAATATAATTATCATATTGTTCCGTTTTATTCATTTTCTGGCGGTTTCTTCACATAATAATCTTAAAATAAGTTAGAAGCCCTTTATAAATGGAGCAGAGAATTTACAAGAAATTCTATCCGCTCTCTTTATTAGCACCCCCTTTGTTTAGTGAGAAAAATTCTATTTTAGAAAAATTACAAAATTGTTTTTTTACTATTAAATTGTTTTACAATAATCATTTACATATAATTTATAATTGTAATAATGAGATTATTAACCAATTATATTATATTTTAGACAGTATACCATCCTAAAACATAAAATTTGTGTAAAATAAATTCGAATTTACCTCAAGTATACAAGTTTGGTTTTTAAAATCCGAAAATCTTTTTTTAACAATTATAGATTTTTAAATAAAAATTAACCCCCTTTAAAAGCAAAAAAATATCTTGTTCGCTTTTAAGGCGTGAGTAAGAATAATTTCTCACTATCCGCCTAAGCTAAAATCCGTTTATCAATCTGCATATTTCCCCCTAGCGAATAAATTTCATAATGAATATTGATCGACCAGAAGCCCTCGAAAGAGACGAACTCATCTATCTTGCTCGCCTCGCCGAGCAATCTGAGCGCTATGAAGAGATGGTTGGCTATGTCAAAGCCTTCGTAAAAAAGACAGGCCAAGACTTGTCAGTGGAAGAGAGAAACATCCTTTCAGTGGCCTATAAGAACGTGGTCGGAGCTCGCAGAACCTCATGGAGAGTCCTGAACTCGATTGAGCAAAAAGAAGAGCGCAGAGGAAACGCAGCCCACAAGCAGGCAGCTGACCAATATAGAGGTGAGGTTGAGACTGAATTGAGAAGACATTGCGATGACATCTTGAACGTCATTGATACTGACCTTATTCCAAGGGCTGCCAATTCAGAAGCAAGGGTCTTCTATGCTATCATTTTTATAGTAAATGGTAGTAGTTAGATTGTAGGTATAGCTAAGACTTATTTATAATAAATTGAATAAAATGAAAGGAGACTACTATCGCTACATGTCAGAATTCGCTCAGGGGGCTGCCAAAAACGCCTCAGGAAGTAAAGCTGAGGAATCTTACTTGCAAGCTTTTGAAATCGCCAAAAATGAGCTTCCTCCAACTCATCCTACAAGATTAGGCTTAGCTCTTAACTTCTCAGTATTTTATTATGAAATAAAGCAAGAGAAAGAGAAAGCTTGCGATATGGCAAAATCAGCATTTGATGAAGCAGTTCCAGAATTGGACAACATTTCTGAGGAAAGCTATAAAGACTCAACTTTAATTTTGCAGTTACTTACTCCTTCGTGAGCGAAAAATATTTTGATTTATATGGATAATTAGTATTAGGAACTCTCTAGCTAATTTTGTTTAATTTTGAACAAATTGCATTTTAAAACTTAATTTTAAAATTAAATAAATATATGCTTTACAACTTTTGTGAATTGGGATTTTTTTTAAATTTCGAGAAAAAAAAAATTATAAGATTTATATATAAATTTTGTAAAAAAAATTACCTCCTCCGTGAGCGAATAAAATCTTTTGCTCTCTCACGGAGGAGGGAGTTAGGGATAACATCACCTTATGGACAAGTGGGGAAGGAGAGAGAGACTAATTAAAATTTAGATTAAAAGCGAATGAAATTTGCTTAAAGACAAAATTTATACTTTTTATTTTATGGGAAAAATCCGCTATTCAAAAATATATTGAATATTAAGCATTTTAGATTTCGAATACAAAATTTTAATGCAAGTAATTAAATTGATGAGATAGATTTTTTTAAGTATGAAACTCTTCTTTCAAATGGAAAGATATTCATTCTCGTCGTATATTCTAATAAATATCCTAAAGTACTTTGATTATTACTTTTCTTGTCAAAATATTTTTCTGATAATCAAGAATTCGTTAAGATTTTTACTAAATTCCTTTAATAAGTAATTAATAAGTATTTTTTACCGCTAATTAATTTAATAGATAATTTTTAAGCCTAAAAAAATTAAAGGAGAAAATATGCAAAACAATAATTATATTACATCCTATTTAATGGAGTTAAAAAATAATCTAAAGACTCATAGCCCCAATGAAAAACTCATTTTAATTTTAAGCTTTTTATTTAAAATTTCAAAAAGAAATTAAATTAATTTTACCCTGTTTAATTGCTTTCAGTAGGTAATCAAAATGCAAAGTAAAATTATATTTTAATTTCTTTAATGCATTTTTGCATTCAAAAAGGCTATATATAGCAAGTGAATAAATTACTCCAGTATAATATGAGTTGCATAATTCATAATTATAAAAAATGAGTAATGAAAAAACTCGAGCCCTCTGCTATACCAAGGTGCAGCCTTCTTATTTCGACATCGTAGACCACAATGCAGGCTTCTATAAGTCTGACATGAGAGGGTTTTACATAATGTTCACCCTAATCAGTAGCGGCTATATTGGCATTTCAGCCTTTGCAAAATTCACTTCTTCTGGAGTTTTCGTAGAAGATTCTTTCTTTCGGGCGATGCTGGTAGATTTCGAATTCGTAATTTTGATATGGCCAGCCTTTTCTCTCTATTGCTGGCTGGCATTTCTTTTGCAACTAATGATTTTAAGAGGATTTCCAACCATAATGGCGAGCATTTTCCAGCATTTTACTCAAACTTTGATGTTCATAGCTACATTTTATTTGGTCGTTACCCGAGGGTGAGGGTTTTCTCAAACTCTTTTTGCTTGCATGCTTACACTCACACATTTTATGAAAATGCACTCATATACCATGGTTAATAGAGACTTAAGAGAGGCGTATTTAGCTGATAAAACAGCTTCACATGTGTATCCAACAAATATCACTGTCAAAAATTTCTGGAAATTTATGATAACACCTGCTATAGTCTATCAGCCAAGTTATCCACAAATTCCTGCGTTTAGGACTTCTTATTTTATTCAAAAAGTAATTTTAGTAGGAGTCCAACTAGCAATGCAATACATGATAGCAACAGATCATATTCTTCCAGTGGTTAAGAGATCATCAGAACTCTCTATTGGAGAAATGATGTTAATGCTAAATAAGCTCTTCGTCCTTGACAGGAACGGGGATTAAAACCCCTTAATCCTAATCGTCCCCAGAGATAGGGAGACACCTTCGTCCCACCAGAGGTAAGGGATTCGAGCGTATTAATTCCGACTTCAATAACTCCTGGAGCCGATCAGCCTACAATCTTCCAGTTTCTCAATACTCCCCTTTAAGTTGAATAAAATATAGGTAAATTTTCCATTCTTTGTACTTTAATCCCTTTAAGTTGGGAAAAGGTTTTTTCTTCCTATATAAAGAGGATGTTAAACAAATGCCAACTTTTTGAGCCTTGATCAATGGACTTATTATTCACTCGGCTTGCTAGTCTTGTCCTTTCCAATGATGGCTTCACATGTAAAAACTCAAGTCATAGGGATTATTAGCTCCTTGTGGCTTACTTCCCCCTCCGTGAGTGAACAAAACCATTAGAAAAATCGCTATTTTTTGCCCAAAAACCCACCCTCCGTGAGTGAACAAAAAATTTTTTTAATAGAAAAATTGTTTATGGAAAAAAAATTTTGATATATAAATGATAATTAGTATAATGAAATCCAGAGCTAATTCTGTTTAATTTTAAACGAATTGCTTTTTAAAACATAAATTTTGCAAATTAAATTAATATTTCGTTTCCAATTTTTGCGAATTAGGTTTTTTTTTAAATTTCGAAAAAAAAATATTTTTTAAAAATTTTATATATAAATTTTTTTTAAAAATAAAAATTAACCCCGTGAGTGAACAAAATTTTTTTGTTCACTCACGGAGGGGGAGGGAGTTAGTAAAACCTGCCGATATACACAAAGGTTTTCTAGCCTCTCTGCATTTTTTATTGATACTGAGTCGTTGCCTGCTGGTGTTGAAGAAATAGAGTCAGGAGTTCGGGTAGTTCTTCAGCGCCTATTTTATGTATATTATTTGAAAAATGATAAGCAGACTTATTGTTCCTGTTTTGATTTTTTATTTTATGATTTTCCTCATCCTCTTTGAACAAATTTTGAATTTATTTGGAGAACTCGCTCTTTTTGGAGATAGAGAATTTTATTCAGATTGGTGGAATGCAAGCACTTATGAAGAGTTTAATAGAAAATGAAACAGACCAGTACATTTATTTTTACATAAACATATATACCAAGAATGTAGATTTAGACACAAGCTCAGTGAACAGACCTCGAAGTTCTTTACCTTTGCGTTCTCAGCTGTGTGCCACGAGATGGTGCTTGCCTTGATATGCAGAAATGTAAAGCCTTATTTGTTGGTGCTGATGATTTTCCAAGTGCCTTTAATCATTTTCCAACGATTTATAAACAAAACACTGTTTGGGATGTACTTTGTTTGGTCAGGGATGATTATAGGCCTTCCTTTATTGCTCACTCTCTATACAAGGAGGTTCGCCGAAGCTAAACAAGTCTTCTATGAAGGCTTATCTTGGAGGAGATGTTAAACAAGGAGTCCCTATTCTTTAAATAACTAATTAAATTAACCTCTATACAAAAGCATCCTATTAATATAAAGCATTACTTATGATTATGTATATACTATGATAATAGTTTTTTATACTGTTTTTGAGTATATATTTGCCGAATTTAGTGAGAAACAATATTCCTAATTCTAAATGGTATTAAAAAAATTCCGAGGTATTAGAAGAATTCTGACGTCTGAATTAAACTTATTAAATATATTATACTTGATCCGCTTTTTATCTTCAGCAGTAAGCTTACGATGTGTAGGATAACTTTTTCTTCGATCAATTGAAAGACTTTGGATAGCTTTCATGTTATCCATGTGCAATTCATCACAGCCTTTCATAATTTTGTTTAAAGTCCTTAATTCCTTTGACCTTTTAACTCCCCCTTTAAATTGAGGCAAAAAATTCTCTAATATTAAATGTGAATTTTAAAATTTATCGATTCAAAGTGCTAACTTGTTTAAATGGTATGCTAATTGCTCTTCCAAATATAATAGGCAGTTTATAGGTAAATTTTAGATAAAAAGACATTATATTGGGTGATAAGCTATTTAAATAGATTTAAACATAAAAATTAAATTTTGTTCCAATTTAAACGGGATTTAATTTACTTCAAAATACAGAAATTTATCGAAATTTTGTTGCAATAGAAGGAGAAGTAAGATCATGATTACTTTTAATTACGAACGATGGTGTTTTTGCAGAAAAAGGGGTAAGAGTTGGTGTGAGTATCCCTTTCGATGTGCTTGACATAAGTCTCAAAGTTACATGCTCATCCATCTGTCTGGGAGTGGCTGACGCAGCTATAGATGATTTTATTGTTATATCATCCACAAATCTTTTGTGTTTCATATATCTAACCGCATCTTTTAGATTAGGGGAGTGCAGCACAGTTTGTGTCGTTTTTTTGCCCCAAAAATCAGAAATAGTTACATGTGCTGCTTTATTTCTGTAAAGAAGACTTGTTTGTGAGTCAGAGTCCAATTCTTCTTGATTCAGTAGCCCAAAATCGTCAATTAACGTGATTTTACTTTTTGTGACCTTTTCATTTTCATTTGCAGGAGAGCCAAATAAAGGCTTTATGCGAACTTTAGCTGAATGAGGAGGGATCTCGATTTGCAAAGTTGGGCTTTTTCTGAGCTCTCCTGTGCTTATTGGAGGTAAAAATGAATGGGCGTATTTGTTAGCTTCTGACTTGGTTTTAAGCAATGGAGGCTCATCAGATAGGCTTTCTTCATCTGTGTTACTTTCAACACTGGATGATTTTCTGTGTTGTATAAAATTGAACTGTGGAGGGAGAGGCTTTGGAGTTTTAGAGCTTGCTGTGTACATGGAAATTTTTTATAGCCGAAGATTTTTTATTTTATCACAGATTATCTTATGAAAAGAAACTAATATAGGGGTTTTCCCTATATGGCCCGATAAGGGCCGTAGGCTCTCCGTGGAATCTCTCTGTTGGCCAAACCAACTCAGTGCATTGGTTTGACCAATTCATGGTTGGTTCAACCAGCAGAAGGATTCCACGGAGAATCAACGGCCCTTATCGAGTTATATATAGAAATCACCTATAGAATTTAAGAAACTTATTTTTGCTTTGAAAGGAGAAATCGATCTTTTTACACTGGTTAAAAGACATATTTTATAAAATTTTTATAACTCACATTTTGATCAGCTCACAAATCTTTTTTTTGGCAATTTTATTCATTTTTATAATGATATTTTTCCTATTTTCAAAATAATTCTGTTGTTAATTTATTTGAAATACTTATTCTGATAATGAATAAAGAATAAATTTGAGATTTTTTTAAAAATTTACTATAAAAGATAGAATTTCCTTTAAATATGATGCTTATATAAATATTTATGTTATATTATAATAAAAAATTTCTTTCTTTATTTTCTAATTTAATATTAATTTATAAATATTTAAGTCATATTATAATAAAAAATTTCTTATTTATTGAAGAGTTAGCTTAAAATTTAATATTAATTTAGATTTTTATGAAATTCATTGACCAATTAGACTTCAAATAAGCGCAATTTGCATTAAGAAAAACTATGCCTTAATTTTTGATCTAATTGATCTAGCCAAAGTCTTCAGAATTAAAAAACTCTTCAAATTCAAAATGTGCCAAACTAAACGCTCTAATTCTAAATTGACCCAATTCTAGACCCAAGACTCAATTTTACCCTACCAATGGAATAATTATATTAAGCTTTAGAAAACTGTGCAAATACACCCATGAGCTCGATAAGCTTCTTCAGCTTGCTCACTTGCAATACTCATATGTAATTGTGGATGAGGTCAAATTTCCACTAGTGTTCCGACAGATTCATACTTATTATAAACAACTTGGTGGCATGTGGGTGCTCTTGAGATAGTTCCAGTTGAAGAGTTATCTGCAGCAATTGAAAGAATTCCATCATCAGAGTTTTCATCGCTGAAATTGCTTTCCTGATCCATTTTAATTTTACTACTTTCAATTGCATCACTAGCTTATAAAGGAAAATGATTCTTCATAATGATAATTGAAAAGAAACGGTATTTAAAAGTCATTTTATTGGGAGATGCTAAGGTTGGAAAAACAAGTCTGATAAAGCATTTCATAAATCGAGAAAATTCTGATTTTAGTCCTACTATAGTACCAGATTTTGTTAATATCCCACAGCCTCGCTTTTGGACTCCCTTAGTCTTGATCTACTGAGGCGATCTGGATTGGCTTTGCCAACTTATGCTGGTGAAACTAATGGTAAAGCAGCCTAATAATGCATATTTATCAATTCAATGGCTGGGAATCAGCTTCTGGTCGTCTCGGGAGACATTAGGACTTAGGCAGTCCATAAGCGTGCAGATGTATAAAGAAGTGAATGCAAATGGAAAATTAGTGAATCTGAGGATTTGAGACACTTCAGGGCAAGAGAGGTATCAAAGTTTGTCTTTTGGCTTTTATAGAAACACTGATATTTGCATTCTTGTATATGACATAACTTTGAACCGATCTTTTGAAAACCTCTCATATTGGATCGAAGATTTCAAGACACAAATGGGCATTAGCAATCCTTCAGAGTTTCCTTTTGTTTTAGTTGGAAACAAAGGTGATAAGCATAATGGCAGAACAGTCCCGATGGATATAGTTAAAAACTGATGCAAAGCAAATGGAAACATACCTTTTTTTGAAGCATCGATAAGGGACAAATCTTCCATTGATGCAATCTTTGAAAAGGCAGCAGAAATTGCAATCCAGAAAATTGGGATTAAAAATATCAGGCACAGCGCCATCAAGCTGAACAAAAGCAAAGATAAAGAGACAAGCTTCAAAGAAAACTCTTGCAACTGTTAGAATTAATGCATTTTCTATAATAATATGTCTGCTTTATTGATTATTGACGTCCAGAATGACTTTTGCGAAAGGGGGTCTTTGGAAGTTTCTAACGCAAACGAAATCATCTCACTGCTCAATGCTTTGAAAGAATCTGATAAATTTTCACATGTATTTTTAAGTCAAGACTGACATCCAGAAAATCATATTTCCTTTCAAGTAAATAACCCAGGCTCTGAGTTGTTTAAAGAAAAGCTTATTGAAGAAACAGGAATTCTCCAGATGATGTGGCCTGTACATTGTGTTCAAAATACTCCTGGAGCTGAATTCCACCCTGGTCTAAATATAAAAGACACTGATATAATTATCAGAAAGGGCCAAAACCCTCAATATGACTCTTACTCTGCTTTTGGGTGTGTACAAGACAGAACAACTTTATTAGATGAATTGTGGGCAAAAGGGATTGAAAAAGTGTATATCACTGGGCTTGCTTTTGATTATTGTGTCGGCTATACAGCTATTGATGCTGCAAACTATGGTTTTGAAGTTCATGTGATTTCTGAAGCAACAAGAGCTGTGGCACCTGAAACTGCTGAAAAAGCTAGAAAGATTTTTCAGGAAAAAAATATTACTATATCAAGACTGTCAGAGTTTCTTGATAATTAAAATTGATCTTCTTAATGCATAAATTATTATCCAATTCTAAAGTTACCTTTAACTAGAATGGGCCACGATATAGTCTGAAAGCACACCAATTTCAACATATTCTTCATTGTGCTGCTCCAAACTCTTCACTTTAACTTTTCCTTCATCGAGCTCAGTTTCTCCGATCCAAACGATCCAAGAAATTCCTGCTTCACTTGCGTATCCAGCCTGGCCTTTAGGATCAGATTTTTCTTTATAGCTTGTTTCTGAAGGGATTCCATTCTTCCATAGCAGATTGCAGATTTTGATTCTTTCGTTCATTAAGTTGTATTTGTCAGAGTTTCCAGCTTGAGCGACGAGAACTGATGTTTTTGGATACATAAGATTAGCTTTCTTGAATCTATCTTCAATGATCGTAAAAATTCTTTCAATCCCGAGGGCGACTCCTACAGCTGGAACTGGATTCTTGGAGTTATTGAGCTTCATGATAAGTTCATCATATCTGCCTCCGCCTGCAATAGATCCTACACCTTGTGTAGTATCAGTAAGCACTGCTTCATACACTAGCCCTGTATAATAATCAAGTCCTCTAGCCAAGCTTAAATCATACACTATATGTGGTGTGATTTCCAAGCATTCTAAAAATTCAGCAAGCTTCTCTAATTCAGCAATTGTAGATGTTGCTAATTCATGTGTTTTAAACGCGTCATGTGCCTTAAGAAGCTGCAGAACCTCTCTAGGTGATCCTTTGATGTTCACAAATTCTCCAATTTTATCTGCACATTCAGGTGATAGACCTTTATCAGCTATAGCAATTGCCCGAGGATGGCGCTATCTTGCGCCATCCTCGGGCAATTCAAAATGGCCCCACACCGGGAATCGAACCCACGTGTGGGGCCATTTTTGGTGTGTGGCCAACATCGACTTACACGCACCAAAAATGGCCCCACACGTGGGTTCGATTCCCGGTGTGGGCCATTTTTTGAAATTGCCCGAGGATGGTGCAAGATAGCGCCATCCTCGGGCAATTCCTATATCATTTCTTGTCTGACCTTTTCCCATTCTTCTTTATCAAGCTTATCAATTGAAGAAGAAATAGTGATTCTTTTATTGACAGGGCATCCTGATACATCTAATAGTGAGTCCAACAATTTTCTGTGACTTACCTTCAGCACAAAGCCAATATTTAGCTCAACTAAAATTTCAGAGACAATTTTAAGGACTTCTGCATCTTGCATCATGGTAGGTCCAGTGCCGATTAAATCAAAATCGCATTGATAAAATTCTCGGAATCTTCCTCTTTTCATCTGTGGCTGATCTCTTCTGTAGACTTTGCCTATTTGGAATCTTTTCCATTTATTTAGTCTATTCATGGCTACATATCTTGCAAGAGGAACAGTAAGGTCATATCTCAGCGATAATTGTTCTCCACCTTGGTCAGCCAAATTATAAATCAATTTGCTGCTTTCATCACCATATTTTCCTGTTAGCGTTTCTCTTAGTTCCATGACGGGGGTATCAAGTTCACCTGCCATATGTTTTTTAAATACGTTTCTTATTGTGTTGAATACTTTTTCTCTGATAGCCATTTGGTCTGGACCGTAATCTTTCATTCCTTTTGCAAGCTTTGGGACTCTTGTTTCATTATTTCTTGCTTGGAAAAGATCGTCGAGAAAGTTTGAGAGGGCTAAAGCATTTGACTGGGTTTCCTTTAGGTGAGTATATAATATTTTATTGCCTTTTCCAAGTAATATAGGGCGAGGTTTAGAAGCGCCTTCATTGATTTTCTTTTCAAGAGCTTCTAAGGCACTAAAGTTTTGCATTATTTCAGCGTATGCGTTGTTTTGCAAGTCAGGGACAAGTCTCCTTAATAATTCAATGATTTCTTCAAGGTTAGAAGAAGTTTGGAATCTTGTCTCTGAAATTGTTCCTTTTCTTTCTTCTGAATTATAAAAAAGCTGAATCACAAGACTTGATAGCGCTGAGGCAGCCTTAATTAATGGAGCTCTGGACCTATTAATGGTTGATTTTCCAATTTCAATAATAAAATGGCATTCGGTTCGAGAGAAATTAGCTCTGCTAATTTTCTCTCCCTCATGGAATTTTATTATTAGGGTTAGGTTTTCACTCGTGAACTTCTGGACAGCAATAGCGGTTTAACTTTGGGGATAACCAGAGGAACCACTCCTCAGTCCACTCAAGATCTCGGGCTTTTACCTCTCAGCACATCCCCACGGGAGGATGACCCTTAGGCGGAACACGCGCAGGAGCTGAGTCGAGCGACAAGGGCGACGGCATCGCGCCGGGTGAGACGTGCAGCAAGGCCGGTGAGGCAGGAGTTGTTAGAAGGCTTGGACGGGGCTGACCCGTGCCAAGATGGCTCGCCTACGTCATCAGTTTTGCCATAGGCCCTTTTGGGCTGCGGCACTAGACACCTTAAACACCAGATAATTAAGTAAGTAAGATTTTCCAATTTCAAATACATCATTATTGATTTCTCTTTCAATTGTTTTTGATTCGTCTTCAATCAGTGCTCTTAGAGTCCCAATCAATTGAGCAGCATCAATAAAAGCTTCATTTGGCTGATTCTTCTTACTCCTCCCTCTGTGAGTGATCAATGCCATTGGAAAAACCCGATTTTTGCCCAAAAACGCACCCTCCATGTGGGCGAACAAAAATTTTTTTATGGAAAAAATTTTTCGATATATAAATGATAATTATATAATGAAATCTCTAGCTAATTCTGTATAATTTTAAACAGCTTGCATTTTAAAACATAAATTTTAGAAATTAAATTAGCATTTGCTTTCCAATTTTTTGCGAATTGGGATTAAAAAAACATTCTATAAAATTTATATATAATTTTTTTAAAATAAAATTTACCCTCCTGAAGCGAACAAGTGTTTTTTGCTCGCTCACAGAGGGGGAGTTAGCCATCTTTGAGTCCAATAGCAAAGACTCGAGATTCACCAGCGAAGTCTTAACTCCATTGGAGACTCCCGAATACAAAGGATCTTGGAAAATTGACCCATCAAGATTCTGCACTTCAAAAGAAAAAGCAAGCCCAGCGTCTAAAAGTGGAAGAGTTATTCTTATGCTATCAAATAAAAGCGCAATTCGGGCCGCATCAAGATTTTTCTTCTGGAAAAAGTGTTTACTCTCAATAGCTGTAAATTCTAGTCCTTCGAGGCTAAGTAAACCAGGATGGTTTATTCTCTCTGCAAACTGAGAGACAAGAGAAGAGTGGGCTTTGTCTTTAAGTCTTAAAAGAGCGTTTAGACCTACAACTGCATCTAGCTTAGTGAGTTCATGGGTTAGATTAAGAGGAGATGTGTCAGTTGGAAAGTCTTCACTGAGAGATTGCAATGTTTCAGTATCCAAAACAATTTGTAATCCAGAATGGATCTTGGAAATATCAGCAATTGATAGATTTCCACCACTCAAAAGCAGACTTGCTTTTTCCATATTTATATCAGATATAGTAGGTATATCTATTCTTAAGTATTTAGCCATTAGCTGTCTTTTATATATATACCATTCTGCTAAAATATCGATTTTTCATATCCTAACAGATAGCGTTTTATTATTTTATAGCCATGCATTAAGTTTTATTGTTTAAACCTAATTATCATCTCTATTGTTATGAATTTTCTATTATTTTCTCAAATTACGATTCCTCGCTTCCTATTTGACTTTCCAATTCTTTTATCCTTCTCTGCAGTGCTAATAATTGCTGTTGCAGAGCAGTTTTTTCTCCTTTAAGCTGCGTGATTTGCTGCTGGAGTCTGCTATTTTCAGCCTTTTGGTGAGAAAAGTGCCTTTTCATTTCTTCCTCAACCCTGTTGATTTCGCTCATCAAGCTTTTCCTCACATCATTAATCTTCATGTTGAGCACATTTTCAAGAGTGTCTTTTTCAGATCTTAAGATTTGGACTTCTTTCTTATGGAAGTTCATTTCTTCTGTTATTGATCTTATCATTTCTTCTAGCCCTAAAAGTTTCCCTTTTAATGATGCTGAGCCTGAAGCAGTTTGGCCCATAAGAGAAGCCATAGAGCCTTGAGTATTCATCATTTGAGTTTTTGCTGAAGCATTTTCTTCAAATCCATTTCCTGGCCTAAATGAACCGCTGTAGCTACGCATGTGATTTTGGCTAAGTGACATTAAAATTTTGAAATAGTAACTGTTATAAAATATTATAATAGTAAAAAATATCAGTTTGGCTGTATACTATAAACCATAGAGAAATCCTTGTTAATCTCTTGAAAATGCACATATCAGCCAAAAATAATAAATTAAAGCAAAATCAGCAATTATCTAAATTATTTTATTTTAACTTTGTTTATATCAATTTTAAGAAGTAGGAAGGGTCCAACTTAAGCATCGTTAATGAATTATTAATATAAATGGAAGAAGTAACACTCCAAATTGCAAACCTCCTATTTAATAAGGAGTCTTACTATTTGCAATTTTTCATAGAAGAGTATGGCAGGGACAGCCAATTGTTGCAATCAGAATTTTATTTGTTATTTCGATCTTCTGATATCGGTTTCACATATCTAGAACTTGAAGTCCTCTGTAAAGATTTTTACTCTTGGATTGAATCTGAAAGTAATTTTCAGTTAGAAATTATCTCATTTGAAGTACTCACAAGCTGATTCAATGAAAATAATGTTTATAGCTTCTGCAGTGAAAGTGATACCTTATCTCATAGCATTCGTAACGAGAATGAATCTTCAGGGACTTCAATATCAGTCCGGCTAAAAGACAATCTTAATAGTTTATGAGACGCAGCAAATAAATTTAAAGAAATATCCAAAAATTTAGAAGGTTGCATTATAGATTTTAGGGTGCTTTCTTCACATCAAAAAATAGATCATTTAAATGTTTTTCAACTGAAAAAGGAAAATTATGAGGAAGATGAAGGGATTTATGCAAGGCAAGCTATATGCTCATCACTTGCTACTATAAGTAACAGGAGTAAAAATATCAAAAACCAGCTGGAAAAGCTGTTCATGATATCTGCTGAAGATCTTTATAGCTCTTTGTCAGGAGTATTCATTGAGATATAGTCTATTTTATATTAAAATTCGTTAATTATGATCTCGTTTTCAGTATTTCTGAGTAATAGGTATCTCAAGATATACATTAAAATGGCGACACGTGTCAACCTGCCCTCTTGGCGCAGTAGTCCAGACCTTATGGCTACGGCGAACTGGGACGGACTCCGAGCTGAGAATCTAGTGCAGGCTCTAGAGGTGTGTATCCGGGTAGGTTTTGGCTGCTTTCCTGTGGTTGGAAATGGAGGTGCTCGACAGCGTCCTTTGGATCCGAGGACCCATGGGCATTCCTCTACCGAGAAACTGGGGGTTTCGGCCCAGGCCACAGGGGAACAGTCTTTTTCCTGTAGCTGTCGAAGAAAGGCACTTCGACACCCGATAGACTCCAAGGAGTTGATCCCTGTAATCAAGCTACTCCAATCGCCCGTAGTAGGGCCGCAGAAATCCATAAACCGCCCACTCAAGACTGAAGCCTTAAGGCAAGGAGGAGACAGAAGGTACCGGAAGGGCACTCGTAAGAGGGATAGACCCTCTGGGCTGGAGTCGAAAAGCGGATGAGCCTCCTGTACGGGAGGTCTTTGGTGACTGCGTCACCAATATGGCTAATGCCTGGCTTTAAATAATCCTAATCCTAATCCTAATAGGTATCTCAAATATATATTCTTTATAGAAGCTTTCAAAGGAGATTGGAAAAATAAAACCCTTCGATGGTGCCAAAATCCATCCGGAATTTCTTGATTAAATTGTCTTAAGGACTGCTCTAAAACCAAAAGCTCAAATAAAGTTTGTGCATCATTAAGATTATCCAAGCATTTCTTGAAAAGTATTTTAGGACAAAATGCTAATGATCTGAGGTCTTGAATTGCATGGATCCAATTACCGAATGTTCCTCTATTCGCAATAGAAAATTCAAGAGCTTCATATAGTTTTTTGTCTGAAAGTTTGCATCTTGAAAATAAATGAAGAGCCATTTCTGCATCCTCACTTGATAACTTCTCAATGTTTTCTTGTAAAAGCGATGAGATTTTTGAAAGCATATGAAAATCAATTTTTTCTGCCAAAATAAAGCCTTGGAGGATCTTTATCAAATCATTTGAAAATTGGATTTTGGGTCCTAATTCTTTGTATATACTTTCTTCATATGGTATCTTTTTCAAGGGCTCAGCAAGCCAATTTGTGAGCTTTGCAATATCCTGCTGTGAGATCTCATTCGGGATAGATTTGAGCATTTGTCCATTTATTTTCCTATAAAATGACCAATTTCCAATGTTGTGAGATCTTAAAACATATGATACTTGAGAAAGATCATTAAATGATAGAGTGTATAACCCAGATTCAATAAAAGGCTGTGTTTGAGCCAGAACTTCTTTGAAATATGGCTTCATTGATGCATATCCTGAAAATGCTTTGACTGCTTCTGCAACAGATGATGCATTTTCTTGGTTTCATAAGTGTGTACACCGCTCAATTAGAGCTTTATAAAAGCCTTCGCTTCCTTGCTTTTTATTAATGAATTCTTTTGTTATGCTTATAATTTGTGAATGGGAAAGCTGCTTTAGCTCCTGCATAACTTTGCTTTCAATGTGATGCATTTTTAATTGTCATAATTAGACTAAATACAAAATAATTTTAAATACTGTTAGTCAATTTGCTACTTTTGATCTATATGTTTAGTATTCTATCTAATTCTATACCTCTAGTGGATGTTCTTCTGTTAAAAAATAAAATTTTATTGCATAGCTCGCATGTATTTTATTTATTATGTTGAATTTTATTTTCTTTTGCATACAAAATTTAATGCCTTATTTACAGATTTCTGATTATTCACTGACTTAAATTTAGCTTTTTAAAAATGAATATTGCTTCTCGCTCGCTTCATATACATTCATAAGGAGTGACCTTCCAACTCTTGCTGATGATGCTCGATAAAGGCAAAGAATCTTAAGGAAGAGATTTAACCTCTGATATGAATATCCAGCTAGGTTTACTGCGCAGGTTGGATAACAACGTTGAGCTAATAGGCCAAGAGCTCATCCCTGATATAGGTTTTTCTTCAAAACGAAGTTTGAAAGCGCTCACCAGCAATAATGTTATATCTCGACCAGCAGAAAGTATCCCACCGCAATGCCATATATTGAGTCCTGGGCTTCGAGTTTTCATTTAATCAAGAACTGACCAGAAAATTCCGTTAAAGAAACCTGCTGAAGCTCAATAAATGACACAAATATTCTGATGTCAGGTGAGCAGGTCATACCCACGCCTGAGAGGATTAGTACAGTGCTAGGCTGTGTGCAGATTAGCTAGCAAGCAGTGGAGAATTATGAAAGGGAATAAGGGCTTTGTGGGTCTGAGAGTAAGATTTATCGATAATTTTAGCTAACTAGTAAGCTTCTTACTCACTTTCATTCGGCCAGCAAAAAATAAATCATAAAATTAACTTTTAGCTTAATAGTTATAATTTAGTCCTGCTCGTCTAAATGCACGATCATGCCGCAAAAATAATTATGGAATGCGTTTAATTCGTAAATGCATATGAATATTACTTGCTAAATACTGATATCGGCTATCCAGTTTTTCCTAACATCATCCTATGCAGAAGCTATTAATCTACTCTATTAAATTAAAATATTCAAGGCGACTTCCTTTTTAGTCTGAAATATCCATTTTAAAATTGGTTCTGGTGAAGAAATTCCAGCTCCTGATTCGTTTTCAATTCTTAAATTTCAATTCATTTCTCTATTCTTGTCATTATGTAATAGATCACATATTTGACATCAGCTGTTGAATTAAATTAATATAAATATAATGAAAATAATACTTCTCCTATTCATTTCTGTGCTTTCGAAGCTCTACTTGCCCATCCGCAGTATAGAAAAACAGCTAGGATCTGAGCAGAACGACACAGTAGTGGCTGTTTCTAACTACCAAAATGTAAAGTTTACTCAGATTGCCTATACTGTCCAAGTATCGATTGGGACCCCTGGCCAGATTTTTGAGCTCCTTCTTGATACAGCCAGCTCTGTAAATTTAATATAGGATATTTGGGTTGTTGATCATGCATGCTTGAATTGCAATAAGCCTTTAAATGTCTTCTATCCTTCACAGTCGACGACGTTTTCTGATAAATTAAACCCAATCCACATTGACGTAATCATTATGTAGCCTCAATTCAGTGGTGCTGAAGCCCTTTTAAGCACAGATAATGTTGAAATTCAAGAGCTCACTGTAACTGGTCAGACTTTTGCACTCGTTGTCTCAGATTTAGCCTATCAGGGTGCGAACTGGGATGGAGTCCTAGGTCTCGGCTTCAACAACACCTCCTCCAGCAACTTGATACAAAATTTATACAACCAAGGTCTGATAGAGCAGCCTTTGTTTTCGTTGTATTTGAACAACGATGAAGACGATGACTCTCCAAACTCTGCGCTAGTTCTTGGCGGAGTCGATGAAGAGTTTTACGAAAGTGGAACATTTACTTATTTCCCTCTCTTGGGTGACCAAAACATCTGGTCAGTTTATCTTTCGTCCGTTGAGGTTGCCTCTCTACCTATTTCGTTTGGCGGCGAAGTGTTGTTTGATATAGGAACTTCTCTTATTTTTGCTCCAGAGACTGATTATCACGCCATAAGTGAAATTTTCAGACTTAATTATGGCTGTATAGAAGGAGACCAAGTCCTCTGTCCCTGCTCAGACTTCAGTAATTATCCAAATATCACATTTAAATTGGGTTCTTCCTCAAGCTATAGCATCCCTCCTGAAGCTTATTTCACCCAAAACTCAACTACTGGGTCGTGCGTTCTTTTGCTTGGACAATCATCGACTTCAGCACCTATTTGGGTTTTAGGGACTGTCTTCTTAAGAGAGTACTATACAACTTTCAGCATGCAGACTGACTATAATGCAGCTCAAATTGGGTTGGCTCAATTAAAAGTATCTCATCATAGAAGACACCATAGTGGAGGTTCAACATCATCTGATGATGATGACTTGCTTGGACTTAAAATTGGGCTTCCTATAGGAGGAGTCATAGCTATAGGAGCTGCTGGAACTGTAATTTGCTGCTGCATTTTGAAAAGAAGAAAAGCTAAAAAGGCAAAAGAAAATAAGGACAATCAGCAAAAACTGATTATCTATGTAGGAGGAGATGTTCAAAGACCTCCTGAAGTTCCTAGCTTCATTGAGAGTGTTGATGAGCATTATCAAGAAGTAAAGCCAATAGTGGTTGTAAACGACCCTGATAAGAATACTCAAACGGTATTCTACCCTTATTTACCACCAGTAGCAGATAGCTAAATTAATATCTTAAAGATCTCATTTATTAATGTTTTTCTTAATAAATTATTATTGTAAAAATATATATTAAAAAATATTTATAATACAATTTTTTCAATTGCGAGCTCTATTCCAAATAATAAAATATAAATTAATCTAAATTTTAATTTAGCCTAAAAAAATTTTGTGCTTATTCATGCCCATCATTTTCCCAGCACCCATCATATTATTCTTATTCTGTGAAATTTTAATTATCTGATCCCATCAAATAATTGAATGAATTATCACAAATTGCTGATACACCCAAAGCCTATTTTTATCATGAAGATTAAAAGTCTACTTCTCCTTATTTAAAAAAATGTTCATATTAATAGTTTGCCAGATTTTCATAATACATTTATTTATTATCAATGGATTATATTAAATGATGACATTTTTATCAATTAGATCAATAATATGGATGACCATCAAACTTATTCTTTTTCTGACACAACAGAAATGTGCAAAATCCTGGAAGAAGGCACCAGATCTGGAGAGCCTTCTGAAATTCTGATAAATTATAAATGTTCATTTTGCAACAAAATTCTTTCTTCAAAGCAAAACTTGAGAGAGCATGTCTACATCCATACTGGAGAGAAGCCTTATATTTGCAGGGAAAAAGGATGCGGCCTTGCATTCCGACAAGGAAGTCAGCTTTCTGCCCATAAAAGAATTCATTCAGCGATAAAGACTTACTGTAATAAAAGAAAAGAAAAAAATTATTTGAAAGTAATAGCCACTTAGTTGACGTATTTATTGCTGAAAGAGGATATGAACAAGGAAAAGAGCATGATAACGAAGGCAGAGATTAGCAGCAATGACCAACAAGAATTTATCAAATTACCTCCAATTAATAGTTCGTGCAATCAGCCTGGAAAATAGATTGAATTTAGCCTTATTTTGATTTGAATCTCATTTATTGTCCAAGAATTTAATAATAGTTTTCTTAAAGCTATGTAGAATAAGATGTATAAATGCCATTATCAAGTCAGCCGTAATATGCACCAAACTGGTGTTTTTCAATAATTAAGCACTTAAGATAAATCTATTATACCTTTTATAATGAATAAAGTTGCTGAATATAGTAAATAGAAAAACTGTTTAGCAAGTATTAAGTTTCTATTCATAAAAAAAGTTATATTTTAAAATTCAAAGTGAAACTAATAAATAATTTAAATTGCTTTTAAATGAAGATTTAATTAAATTCAGCTTTAAAAAGTTTATTTCGAATAATAGCATAATCAGTGTTGTTATCTTATTAATAAAGAGAGAGAGAGATTAGTTTAGAGAGGTTAAGCGGGGATTCTTTCAGCCCCGAGCCAGTCGGACTTCAGCTTCGTGCTTCATGTGACACTAAGCACTAAGCACTAAAGCCACCTAACGCCCTTTTCTGTCGACGTCATCAAAAATGGTGACGTCGACATCTTTCGGGGAGACCCACCCGAACCTGCTTGGGCCAAAATTTTCAGCAAAGGACTCTCTTAACCCCTGGTAGTGCTCAGGGTATGAGGGAAACGTCCAAAGCCTCCTTCTGGAACTACCTCCGCCATTTACAGGCAGCATAATGCTCCTCCAGAAGTGCCTGATTGGCATTGCGCCGTCGGTCTTCTCGTCTGTGGGTCGAGGGGAGGCCCAGTCAGCCCAAGCCGCCGCCCACCCCGGAAAAGTCGCCTTCATCCAACTCCGTGGCCCTCTGAGGCCGAGATTTTTGTGCTCAGCCTCAGACTCTGGTTTCTTTTTTCTTCTGTTGGGACAATGGACATTCGCCCAATGATGGCGAAAATTTGATTATTTAATAAAGAAGATATTTAAATATTTAATTAATTAAATATGGGCTGCTGTGAAAGCAGAGCAGTAACTTCTAATTAGAACTCAGACTTCCCTCCAAGGTTAACTCCTTTACAATCAATTGTACAAGAAAACTCTATTGATGATCCACCTCTCAAGGAGCAATCATTTTTGACATTTCGGGTCACCCAACTTTACAAGAAAAGAAAATGACGAGACTTAATCAAAATGATATACAGTAAAGAGCCCACAGACATTGACGCAGTTAAACTAAAACACAATCAAACAGTTCCTTCTACAATCGGTGGCCTTTCAATTGCATATCTTGCAGAAGCATCAAAGTTTGAATGCAATAAAATCCACTTTTATATCCGAGGCATTCTAGAAATTTTAATACAAAATTTAAAACTTGGGACCGAAGAAGCGCTACAAGAAAATTCTTTGTTGCTCCTAAGCCGGTGTGTAGGATTTTTTTCAGAAGGAGTTATCCATGATTTACTTAACCAAAAAATCTTTGAACTACTCATTCCATTGCTAGGAATAAAAGAATTGAGAGAGCCTGCGATGAGGACTTGTGGAATGATCTATAAATGCAGGGAAAAAGCACAGAGAATATTTTTTAAATTGAAAGGGGAAGAAGAATTGGTCAAAATTTTGGCGATTGCAAATACAGAAGAAAAAGTTATGGAAACATTGATTAATATTTTGTATTTGATATTGGTAAAATATAAGCAGGACTCACAGAATAAGCAAAGCCAGTTTTGTATAAATAAAATAATTGAAGCAGGATTCCTGGCTGCAATTGATAGGATTGATGAGAATTTTGTAAAAATTATATAGAAAAAATCAAGAAATTATGACGAACTCTTATCAGCGATTTTGCAAGTAAGATATACTTAGCATGAGTTTGTTTTTTAGTAGTCTGAATATAATAAATTTTTGGTAAATTTAATATAATCTCTAGCTATCTCCTTTGTCTTATATATTATATATGTATAAAATATATCAGATCGTGCAAAATGCTCATGAAAATCGTATCGTTCTTCTTGATCTCATCATCAATATGTAAATTATAAATCGAATATTAAACATGGTTCACACTTTTACATTAACCTAAAATGGCTTATTTTATTACTAAATCTTAACTATTTTCTAGTTTCTAATTATTTTTTAAGATTATTCTATTTGACTCTTATCAATCACACTCTTTTGCTGAACGGCAACTTCATTCAAAAATATCGATGCAAAAACTCCTCCTACAATGCCACCTAAGTAAGGTGCGATAATATAAAGCCAAGTGATCCCGAAATGATCATCATGCTGTAATAAATAAGCCAAATTAATTCCAAGCCCAACAGCAGGATTAAAACAGCCGCCAGTGATTCTTCCAATTGCCCAATTTCCAGTAGTCAATGTAAGGGCAATGATACCTCCAGATACAACAATTGCATCGTTTACCGAGCCAATCATCAAGACATTCGCACAAAGAATTGTAGTGTAAATTAATTCAGCAAAGAAACCTTGAGATCCATCATAATCTGAAGAAATATCAAAGTAGACAGGATATCGAACTATACCCCAAGCGCATAGAGACGCGATAAAAGCAGAGAAATATTGAACAACCATGTAGAGGAGGAATTTTACCAATTCTGGCTGGCTGAGAGTATTGTTGATGTATTTTCTTGTGATGATTGAAAGGGTGATAGCTGGATTAAAATGAGCACCTGATACAAATGCAGTTGCAACCATTGCTGCCCAAAGAGCACCGCCGACTGTAAAAGGCTCACTTGTACTCACACCTACTGTGAATGTTAGGACAAATGTCCCAATTGCTTCAGCTAAAAGCATTCGAAATAGCATTTTCTTATTATTGGCTGAAAAAACAATAGCTAACTTGCAATCAAAATTTAAATGGATAAATAAAGAAAAAGTAAATTTAGCAAATAATTGTGTGTTCTCCCAGTATTTGCAATTAATAAATTTTCTGCCCAATCCTAGGCTAAAGAATAAATTAAATTCTTTTTAAAAAATCATTTTTGTAATTATTTTGGGGCCTTCCATAAAAATAAATTTCTGTTTTAATCTTAACTACGATTAATGTCAATAATGAACTTATGCATTTTTCTATGCCATATTTGTTAATAAATCTATGGATCCTCAGACCACCGCAGCCACCGAGGAAGCGAAAGAAGAGGATTACGCCACAGAAATCCACGAACAAGAACGCAAAGCTCAAGAAGCCATATCAGCTCTTCCTGAAGAAGAAAAACAAAGGCTCCAGCCAGTCTTAGATTTGCAAAAACAAAGAGATTCTCTTTACCTTGCATATCTCGACGAGTTGCGTGCTTTAGAAAACAAATACGACTCCCTTTATGCGCCTCTCTACGTCCAAAGATCCCAGCACACCAAACAAATTGCAGGGTTCTGGCTGAAAGCTTTACGGTCTAACCCAATGACATCGACCTTCTTATATGAACAAGACGATCCTCTTCTCCAGCATTTAGTCGATATTCGCTGTTTTGAAGACCACAAATCAGAGAACTTCAAGCTCGAATTTGAGTTCACTCCAAACGAGTTCATGGAAAACACAATCCTCACAAAAGATTTCACTGTCAATGGTGATGAGCCAATAAAAACAGTTGGGACTGAAATCCACTGGAAAAACGACAAAAACCTTACACAAAAAATCAAAAAAACCAAGAAAAAAGGGAAAAAAGGCAAAGTTAACAACGTCACCAAAGTCGTAGACAACCCAAGCTTTTTCATGTTTTTCAAGTCTCATGACGGAGATGAAGAAATTGATGAGGAAGAAAGCGACGAAGAAGGATTCATGAACGATCCTCTTGGAGAAGACTATGAACTGGGGATGGAAATAAGAGATGAAATCATACCAAACGCTGCTTTGTTTTACCTCAATGTGAGGCATGAAGAAGACAAAAGTGATGATGAAGAAGGGCATGCACATGCAGCAAAAATTGACGCTTCTGGAGCTGATAAGCCAGAGTGCAAGCAGCAATAATAATTTTAAATAAAATCAAATAGAAAATAGGGCCTGATAATTAATTATAGAATGGAAAGGGACCAGCAACAGGATCTGTTGGAACAATATTTGTATGATCTAATTAATATTCAGAAAAATTTCGAACAAGCAGCGCAGACAATAATAGAGTACTCTGGGTATTATAGCTATGAGCCAGAACTTGAAATGAAAAAACAACAGTCCTCACAAGGAACTAAAACGATTCCACTTAACAATCCTGGATCGTCAGCACGAACAATTCCTATAAGGATGCCAGCACATCAAAACAATGGCCCAGTATTCTATCAGCAGTCTAGACCGAATGGTCCATCGATCCCACTCCAAAGAAGATAAATGCTTAGTTGATAGATTAATATTCTTCTATTTAAGAAGTATGAACAAATAAGTATTTAACTAACTTTCTGATGGCATGATAATTATTATAGAATGAATTCATATTGGATGAGTTTTTAAAAATTAAAAATTGATAGAGACATTATCTTATAAAGCATGCTACCATTAGCAAACAAATAAAAATATATCTAATAGCAAATAATTGAAAAGCATGCTTAAAACAGCTATTTGAGGAATAAATTGAGAAGAGCTAATATGGGATCTTAAGTATTACAAAAACCAGATATATATGAGCAAAGAAAAATTTGAGACTTATAAAAAAGCTCATCTTCCTGAAAGCTAAAAAAATGTTGAAAACGTTTTTTTATACTTTAAAGAATGATTAGACAATAAAAGACTTGAGAGAGAGAGATTAGTTAGAGAGGTTAAGCGGGGATTATTTCAGCCCCTAGCCAGTCGGACTTCAGCTTCGTGCTTCATGTGGCACTAAGCACTAAGCACTAAAGCCACCTAACGCCCTTTTTCTTCGGAGCCATCAAAAATGGTGACGTCCTCAGTCTGTCGGGGAGACTCACCCGACCCTGCTGGATCAAAAATTTCGCAAAGGACTCTCTTAACCCCTGGTGGTGCTCAGGGTATGAGAGGATCGTCCATTGTAAAAGACTTGAAGAATCTTAAAATTTTAGCTATAAAATTGAATATTGTATTTTATGAATCTCCAAATAATTTTGGCTTACAGATTGTATAGCGCCTTCCTATAGATGGCGCATGCGCGCCATCTATAGGAAGGCGCTATATCCTGATTAGATGTTTCTGCTTATGAGTGTTCTGTTCATTTCCTTATATGTATCAAGGCACTGAATAAGTTTTCCTTCCAAAATTTTTAATTTAGGCTATTTTATTGTCTAAATCCAATCCCATGTTGATTAAACAATAATGGGGGTTAAAAAAAAATTCCGAAAAAAATGTTATGCAAAAATTTCTGTTCGCAGTCTTTTCAATGCATGTTTTAAGGCTTTTAACCAGAATAAGTATATTTATGCTCTCTCAAATTTTGCTTGGATGAAAGTATTTTATGGCAGTAAGAGCATATATGAATAGCCTTTAACCTTATTGACTTTCTAATATAATGAAAACTAGGCAATCGTTCTGGATGGCCACTAAATGAGTTTCTAAAGAAAGCCTATTATTTTTTGTATTATAATAATAAATCAAGTTTTTGCATAATCTAAAGCATCGACTAAATGAACACATTTTAAGTATATAATTTAATGGTATAGAATAATAAGGATTTTTGATTGTTGATTTTATTTGAATTTAATAATTATTAATAATTGCATTTAATAAAAAAGTAGATTATTAATCATTTCTAAATTATAAATCCTGACATACTCTTTTCACAAAAATATATGCTCGCATATTAAGAAGTGATAATAAAATAGTCAAACCAAGCATAATAAGAGAAAAAATGATTTTTGATCTGTGATCAATGCTGTGCTATTTGATTAAGAGTGTATCAGAAATAAAATGAATTGAATAGCAAATAAGTATTATCATTTTTTTCAGAGCAATAAATCACTATTCTCCAAATAGTACTGCTATGCCTAATATCCCTATTTTGTTTAAATATGGGTGCATGTCATTGCAATCAGAAGCAAAACGAAATAGGTTCAATTGAAATTGACAATGCCATCGTTGCCCAAAAACAAGAATTATCCAATCCTTATTTAAATGAAAAACTCTACTCAAATCCTTTTCTGCTTCAATCTCAAGCAGCATTTAGAGGCTACCTATCTCGATCATTATTCCAAAAAAAGGCTTCCAAAGAAGCCGAAGAAGAACTTGAAATTAAATTCAATTTCGAAGAATTAAACGAAGTCCCTAAAATAATCTCACAAAGCGCTGCAGAAACTCTGAAAAACCTCGTCAATTTCACATATAAGGATAAAGCAATTGGAGTTATAAATAGAGGGCCAGTTAAACTTCAAGACCACAGCATCTATGTTGGTGAATGAAATAAATCTGGAACTCCTTGTGGGAGAGGAGAAAGATATCTATCTGATGGAAGCTATAGTAAAGGAATTTGAAAAGATGGGAAAATGCATGGACATTGCTTGCAGGTATTTGCAAATGGAGACTATTATGTTGGAGACGTTTTTGAGGATACAATTCAAGGGCTCGGGAAACTGTTTACGATAGAAACACAATGCAGTTATGAAGGAGAGTGGAAAAATGGGAAACAAAATGGATTTGGGGTCGAAAACTGGCCAGATGGAGCTAGATTTTCAGGAAATTTTGTGAATGGGAAAAAGAATGGAAAAGGAAAGTTCATTTGAGCAGATGGGTCTATGTTTGATGGAGATTTTCTTGACAACCAAATTACTGGGTATGGGAAATATAATTGAGCTGATGATAGATCTTATGAAGGACGATGGCTAAATAATATGATGTCTGGGACTGGAATATTCTTATGACCTGATGGAAGAAAGTATGAAGGAGAATATGTAAATGACAAAAAAGAAGGCAAAGGTGTATTTACTTGACCTAATAATAAAGTTTATGAAGGAACCTGAAAAAACGGCAAACAGCACGGCATAGGCGAAATTCGAGCTCTTGGCAAAAAAACTAAAAAAGGAGAGTGAAAAGATGGGAAAAGAATAAGATGGATCGCTTAAAATCCTGAATCATTGCTTTCTATTATAAATACATTATTAAGGAAACCACAATTAAAATATGCATATAACCTAAATCAAACTTTGAATTCAAAACATCTTTATAAAAATATCCAATTAGTAAGCTTAATGAGCAAATAAAGTTTAAGACTCCAAAGATAAGACTTTCAAGGTATCTTGGAAAGTTTTGACAAAATTACTGATGTTGTCTCCAATCTCATCTTGGTGAGAAAGCCTAGACGTCACTTCAGCTTCAATTCCAGATCTCATATCCTTCATAAAATCAAAAGCAAGCTGCTGATTTTTTTCCAAATTTTTGTCTTGTGTCCTCATTTCTTTTCGTGTTTGATCTCTAATCTTTCCAAGCTCCATCAGTTTATCAGTGACTTCGTCATCAAGTCTGCAAGTCATTTTGAATATTAAATCGTCAAGCTTTTCTAGAATCTGCTTTTCTCCTTCAATTCTTTCAGTTTTTTCTCTTTCGTAGAACATTAGTAAGCTATCATATTGCTCTCTAACTGGGTTAATCAAGTTTTCCAAATAATTTTTTCGTTCTTCTTTTTCATTGTTAATCGTTTCTTGGATTTTATTTAATCTGTCTCTGTTTCGAGTTTCCATTTCTTTTCTCAAAGCTCTTTCTTCGTCTAGTTTTGAGTTGGTGAAGTCTCTTAGCTCCTTTAATTGGAATTCAAATTTTGATTTAAAAGCTTTGAGCATGTCGTTTGCGCGTTTTTCTTCTGCGTTGACATAGTCACGAGTTGATTGAATTTTGCGATAGACATCTTGGAATTTGGCTTCTAGCTGCTTTTTAGTTTCTTCTCGAGCTCGGAGCATGTCTTCATAGTCATTTCCTAGCTCGTTCATTTGATCTTTGAACTCCTCTCTTCTATCTCTGTTGTCAGCTGTGATTTTAACTGTTCCAGTTAAATTTGGGGTATAGGTGTCCATCTTACAAAATTTTTGTTTAAATTGAATAAAATTAATTAGAGTTGTTTCAATAATTTTATTTGCCATAAGAAGATCATAATTATTGCTTATTTTAAATAGACCTGATCATCTCAAACATAAATAATTTAAAATGGCTAAATCTTTAAGAGTAATATGCAGGATATCTCCACCTCTTTCAGCTGACTCTCAGATTAGATCTCGTTCAAGCACTATCACCATAAAAGATCAATCTTTTAATTTCGATGCTGTTTACCCAGAGTCCTCAAAACAATCAGAAATCTACACAAAAGAAGTCGATTATTTAGTCAAAGGCGCTACCCAAGGATTAAATGGCTGCTTTCTAGCATTTGGCACTACACAGTAAAACGTATTCAGGTCTGGAAAGAGTTACACTCTTCGAGGAGGCGAAGGTAAAAATCGAGGAATTTTATCAAGAAGTGCAGAAAAATTGCTTAACTGAATAGAAAAAGAAAGAAGCCATGGGAGAAATTTTGAATTAAAAATGAGTGTTATTCAAATTTATCAAGATATCATAAGTGACTTAATGATTTGTGGGAGTAGAGGACTAGAAATTTCAGGAGAGGAGAGTCCAAAGATTGATGGCTTGACGGAGCACAAAATAAATAGGATTAATGACTTGTTTACACACTTAAGGCATGCTTTACAGATGAGGAAAGGCTTAGTAAAAGCTGATTCAAAACTGAAAACAAGATCACATTTTGTTGTATTTTTAAAAATTTATGAAAATTCGAATGAAGTCTCTGAAATTGCATTTGCTGATTTAGCAGGATCTGAAAACGCATCAAGCGATCAAAATGTTATTAACGCAAACTCAACGTCTTTGGAAGAAAAGAAAAGCATAGCCAGGACATTTAATATTGTTTCTAAAGTCTTGACAAGGCATGAAGGGATCTGAAAAGAGTGCAAACTTACTGGATGCCTAAAAGCTCATATGGAAAGCAATGTGATTTTTTGCATTTGTGTTACTTCAGCTCCATCATTAGCTAAACATACTTCAGCTGCTTTAAAATTTGCCTTGAGAATCAAAACGGAAGCGGAGGATACTAATAATCCTTATATATTAGAAGTTAATCGAATCAGAGACGATGTCAAAAAAATTCAAAATGGCCAAAAAGATTGCACACTTGAATGGATAAATGAAAAGCAGGGCATAATACACCAAATTCATGATGAATTGATGAAGGACACCAAATTGATTGCGTCTAGATATGTCCATGAATGTCAACTACTTACAAATGAGCTTGAAGAAATGAAAATCAAATTTCTAGCCAAACCACCAAAAGGTGATAAAAATAAAAAGAAAAAAAGCAATAGTAAGGAGCTAGAAATCAGACAAAAATCAGAAAAAGATATAACTCAATCTCTTGCAAATGTATCTCCAATAGCAAAAAAGGAGCTTTTCCCTTCTCCACCTAGAAGAGAGTGTTTAACTGAAAGAAGTCGAAACGAAAATGAAGATTTTTTGATAACTGATTCACAAAACCACCTTAAAAAAATTGAAGAAATTAATTTTCAACTACGAGACAGAGAAGAACAAATTACCCGATGCCGCAAAGATATAGACTACCTACAAGAAATTAATAGGGACCAAGAAAAAATAATCACTGAGCAAAATCAGAGACTGAACGAAGGATATGCAAAAGTTGCAGAAATGTCTGCAAGAATTCAAGAGTATGTTCTAAGACTCCAACAAGTTAAAGACGAAAATTCAAGAAGACTATTAGAATCTCAAATGAAAAACTCAAGAGAAGAATTACTAGAAACACAAATAAATGAATTAGAAAAACAGATGAGTCATGAAAGAGATGGCCATAGAATCCAAATAAGCCAGCTACAAGCTGCAATGTAAGATTTATGTAGAGATCAAAAAGAAAGGCAATTACTTGATTTATTGTCTTCAAGAGAATTCATTAATAAAAATCAACCTACATATAGAGAAACTTCTCCGTATAGACGCGATAACTCTTTTAATAATATTGAACTTAGAGAAGCCCAAGAAAAACTCCAGCAAAACTCCCGCACAATCCTTGAATTCGAAAAAACAATTCAGCTTCTGCAAAATGAAATCAATGAAGGAATAGAGTCAAGAAAGATGAGAAATTATGATGAAGCCAAGCTAAAAAGTGAAAATTTTGAGCTTGCAAGAAATAGTCAAGAACTTGAAGACAAATTAAATGAAGTCACTAGAAGAAATGAAATTCTTGAGATGAAAATCAAAGAATTTCTTAAGACTGGCAACGAAACTGAAGTGATGCTAAACCAATCAGCTAAAAAGAATTCAGAACTCCAAGAAGATATTGGGGAATTAATTAGGTTTAAAAAAGAATTCGAAGCTGATAAAAACAGGCTGATTGAAGACAATAGCAAGCTAGCTGAAGAATTAAATGAAATGATAAAAAATAACGAAGACTTGCAAGAACAACTGCAAAATTTGTTTAGGAATAATGAAAACTTGCAAGAGCAGGTCAGAAATTTATCAAGAAATAATGATATGCTGCAATATGAAATTGAAGCTTTAAGAGATCAAATTGAAAAACAAAATCAAGAAAGCTATGCGTTTAAATGCGATTTAGAAGACAAAAAATATGAAGTGGATGTAAAAGAAAAAGAAATTGAAGACATGAAGAGGTCATCTAAATTTGAGCAAGACGAAATTCTAAAGCTGAGAATAAAAGCAGATGATCTCAACAGTCAAATATAGCGCCTGACTTCTTATTGATATCTGAGGAAAATTACCCGAGAAGAAAAATTCCTTTTGACAATTTATAATATTCTGAAAAAGTCAAATTTAAAACTGGCAAATAGGAGATATAAGATGAAATTTTTAAATTAAATTTTGACTTTTTAGATTTAAATCAATTTTTTAATTTAAAAGTAATTGTCTTAAAGATCTATAAAAGGGCACACACTATAAAAGAGCTTCTAATTGAAAACAAAAAATTAACCAAAGAAAATAGAGACTTGCATGAAAATAAAAAGTCTTTAGAAAATGAGATTAATAACCAAAACAATAAGTATGAAGAAGCACTACAAAGGATATCTAGACAGGAACAAAAAATAGAAAGACTTCAAACTCAGTCACCAATTTCTTCAGGGAACGCTTCATCATACGAAATCAAAAAATTAACCAAAAAAATAAAAAAATTAAAAAAAGAAAGACAAGAACTCCAAGACAAGTTAAATAGAGGTTCAAAAATGACAGATGAAAGAATGATGGAGTTAATTAGAGAAAGAGACTCGGCTGTGCAAGAATTGAATATGTGCAGAGATGAGCAGGTTAATGAGCTCACTATTGTGGAAAACCAGATCGATGTGATAGAGCAGGAATTAATTAAACTAAAAGAGCAGAATGCAGTTTTAATAAATATAGCTCATCTACCTAAGTGGATTGCCATATGCCTGACCTCTCCCAAGATATCGGGGTTTGGTAAAACCAACCCTTGAAATGGTAAGTCTTAATTATCTTGTGGATTTACCATTTTAAGGGTTAGTTTCACCAACAACCCTACTGTCTCGGGAGACGTCGGCTATATGACAATCCACTTAGGTGATTAGCTATAGAGAACAAGAAATAATGAAAGAGCTAAAAAAGTCCGAAGATTTGAAAGAAAAGTATGTGGGCAAGGTGGAAAAGCTTAAAGAGGAAAGAGAAAGCTATAAAAATTATATTGCTGAAGCTGAAAACTATATTAAAGAGTTAGTTGAAAAGCAGCAGAAAGTTACAAAAAGTTCTATATTGACAGATGATCGAGGGCAAGCTGTGAGCTCTAGATTAAGAGCACTAGAAGATATTAAAAATCTTATTAAAGCGCATAAGCATCAATAATTTAATATAAGTATTAAAATCAGCTTGATCAAAATTTTAAATTCAAGTAAATGAAAGAATTCATTATAATAAAATGAAAAAAACTTCCAGTGCTGTCAATATAAAGCCGTGAAATGAACTTAAAAATATTGAAGAGAGAGAATGGTCTTATAGTCCCCTAGCCTCATTTTCAAATTTATTGGCATCCCCTAAAAATAAGCTGGGATTCAGAGATCACATCATCAGTACAAATCACTTAAAGAATAATGAAAAAATGCTTGTCAAAATAGCCGAATTAGACCGAGACACACCAAAAGAGAACAAAGTTTTAACCCAGGACTCATCTTTGCCAGATATTTTATCATCAAAAATCAAGCCACGCTTGAATTTATCGAAAGCCAGAAACTCATCATCGCATAGAAATATTAATATAAATCAAGGAAAAAATATTAATGATGCAGTTCATTCATCAAGCCAGTCCCCTACAGGAAAAATTTCACTGGAATTAGCCAGCAGAGGGATGAAAACTCCTAATAAAAATAACACCGGGCATACTCATAACAGTTTTATATATAACTCTATAGAATCATGTAACAACATTGACAAAATTCCCAGCCCACAAAATAAGCATGAGCCCAATTTACTCGAAACTTATAAATTTTTGGAATCTCTTGGGAGTAGGAAAAGCACCTCTGAAATTCTTCTTTCAGCTGGATTATTATATAAAGACAGGCCAGTAAACCAATCTCACAAAAAATCTAGCAAAAATCAAGTCAAATCTTCTTATTCTCCAAGGCGTCACTATGCTTATTCTCCAATCCCAGACACATACTCCTTAAGCCTTCAATGCGTAGATTTTTTGGTAGAAGAATTACAAAAGCCTGGCTTTGATCGAGATGTCGACACAATGTATGATTTAACAAGGCATTTAAAATTTTTTATTCAATACAAAGCAGATATTGTTAAACAAATGCTGAGAGTAGCTAATTATGAATTTTATAATAAAGGACAAATGATTTTCAAAGAAGGAGATGTAGGAAGGTGCTTATATGTTGTTTTAAGAGGATCAATAGCTGTGCAGCAAGAACCAATAAGGCTTGGAGAAATGCCTTATATTGTAAATTCAAGATATGATGGAGAAGTTATTGGCGAATATGCAATAGTTAGAGGAAATATCAACAATGCAAATGATAAGAGAACAGCATCATGCTTTTCAGGGGAAAGATTAGATTAGATTAAGATTTGCATTTATAGTCCCCACTCAAGCCTCGCATTCCAGAACGATCGCTGAGGGGTGGCTCCCTGAAGGCTTCTTGAGCCTGGGCCGAAACCCCCGGTTTCTCAGTAGTGGCATTTTCCCTTCTGATCCGGGTTATACGGATTTTGCCAGGAACGACCATTTCCAACTCAAGGCCAGATCTACCCAACCCTGCGACAATTTGGCAAGATCGCCCCTTTTGATCGGGACCCTTTTGGACCGGAGAGACTTGCGCCCTTGGAATATCTTGTCGAGCTTCGCCTTCCCCTCTTTTCCGGATTATCTCCGAGAAAGAACTCAACCCCTTGCGGGATTCAGGGCGAAGCCACCGAGTAGCCTAGGCAAGTAGCTCACCCTGCCTCTTTCGGTCACCGAGTCTGGGCCTCAGCGCTACTGGCAAAAAGAATACGAAAAAAACTGCTGCCCTGATCAGGCCGCAAAATCAGCGGAAATTGTGCTAGGCCTCTTGCCTCGAGGCTAACCCTTCCCTTGAGTAGCTCTCCGCACCCAAAAAACCACTTCCAGCATAGATAAGGTCGCCCGCCACAGGAGGAGGGGTCGCTCGTCTCCGGCCATTCCATGTATATGCTTTGCAGGGGAAAAAATGCCATTTAATTAAAATTACAGCTGAAGACTATATGAAGTCAGTCCGAGCTAATATTGATGTTGGTAGCAAAATTTTGACCTTTTTATGTGGCTTAGGCCCGTTTGAGCATATCCCTTCAATTGATTTAGCACTTTTGGCCAATACTTTGAATAAAGTCTCATACGGATTAGAAGAGCCTGTGCTTGAAGCTAACAGCATTCCTAAAGGAATGTTTATAGTTTACCAAGGAAGAGTCAAGATCACTTATCCTGCTAAAATAGCACAATATAGTGAATCAAAAAATAAAATTTCATACAAGATGAGCATGAAAGATTTTCAGCTGCCTAGAGGTAGCTATTTCGGACAAAGAGTGCTTGCAGGAGATAGAACTCCTGCTAAATATTCTGTTATATCAGCTTCTGCACAAACTTCGATTTTGGCCATTACCCCGCATGAGTTTAGCTTATTATTTACATTTAAAGATGAAACTTTAAAATATCTTACAAGTTCTCCACAGTTCGATTTAAATCCGCCTCATAACTTTAGTTAATATTGTGAAATTTCACATTCTGTTCCCTTTTTTTAAAAAATTTATTTTAGAAAAATCAAAAATTAAGAATAATTAAAGTAAACTGATTAAAATTTAATTTGGATGTGGTAATTTCTTATCATCAAATAATAGTTTAAGCAGTTTATATGAATTTTTGTATTCTTAAGATTGATATGGGTATGATATCAATTAATGAAAATTCTTATGTTTATCTGTTGAATATGACAGTCTTTGAAGGATGCTTCTCTGAACTAACTATTAATTTGGATAATTTTCTTAGTTAAAACTGTGTGTACATTTTATTTTTTTCATTTTGGATATAATGACTTCTCCTAAACCAAAGCTAAACCTCAAGTCTGGAAGTGCTTCAGAAGAAACTAAATTCCACAAACTCACTATTTCAGAGCTCACTTCACGTCTGCATAAAGCTCAACAAAAAATTTCTAGTGACAACACAACAAAAAAACCTGCAACTTCTGTTGTCTCTCCTAGAAATTCTCTAAAGTCTGCTGTGAGCCCATCAACAAAAGCTTCCCAAGCAGCTCCTCAAGCCAAAAAGCCAGCTACACCCCAATTTAAATCTCCTCAGCCTGCTAAAAAAGAATCAACAAATGGGAATACCTTAAATATTTCAGCTACCTTGAAAGCCTTGGACATCTCAGGTGCCTTGAAAAGACTAACACCTTCCCCTTCACAGCCAGCAAAGGATAAACTTGTATCAAAGCAGCCATCTCAATCTCCCAAAAAAGAGATGCCAAAAGGGAGGTCTTCAGACATCTCTCTCAACTTGAAAAAATTGGGACCTTCACCTTCTATGCCATCAATGGATAAATTAACTCAAAACTCCCCACGATCTCCAAGAAAAGAGCCAGCAAGTGGTTCGGATACCTCACGAAGCTTGAAGGTAGTAACATCGGCGCCTTCTATGTCGGCAATTGATAAACTTATGCCAAAAAAATCATTGTCTCCAAAGCAGCCTGTTAAAAAAGCAGATCTTTCTGCGTCGCTGACATCAAAAGCTACAACATCATCTAGCCCACAGTTAACTCCGTCTAGTCCTCAACAAGCACCACCTAGCCCTCAACAAGCCTCATCTACTCCTCAGCAAGCTCCGCCAACCCCTCAGCCAGCTCAGCCTAGTCCTCAGCCAGGCCAGTCTACTCCTCAACCAGCTCAATCTAGTCCTCAACCTCCACCTAGTCCTCTGCTTACACCAACCACACCTCAGTCAGCTCAGCCGAGCATGCCTCAGCAAAGAATAAGTGAAGATCCTCAGACGAAATTTGATTCAATGGCTTTGCCTCTTTCAGCTCCTGTTGCCTATAGACTGTTTAAGTATTTTTTAAGTACTTTTGAACATACAGAGATTTTAGAATACAATTGTAGCACTGTTAAAATTATTTAGACTTCCCTAACGCTTCCCCGCTTGCTCAGCAGTTAGCGTTTTAATGATATCGCGTGCTGGACGAGGGTCTTCACTCGCTGCCAGGTATTCGGTAGAGATATATTGCTTACTGCCCTTTTAATTGGAGCCCAAATACTATAAATTTTTTAAAAATAAAATTAGTCTATTCAGAGTTCTAACTGCTTAAATGACAATGGCTTTCACTCTCCATTAGTATGGTTCAAAGCTATTTATAGAGAAATTATTAGTTTCACGTCTGAAATTTCTTATTAAAATTAAATTTTTGTTCCACTTTAAAGGTTGATAGAATTTTTATTGATATTTTATTTCAATTTAAAGGGAGGAGTTAGGACTAAAATGCCAAAAACTTCAAACTTATGGAGTAAGCTTTAATAACGGCTTCGATGATGAAAACGGTGACTATAATGTTGTTATAGGAGATCACCTTGGATATCGATATGAAGTAATCGAAATACTTGGCAAAGGATCATTTGGCCAGGTAGTAAAAGTCTTTGACAATAAACTGAAAGAGTTTTTAGCAATGAAAATTATTAGAAATAAGGTAAAATTCACAAAACAAGCAGAAGATGAGGTAAGGATATTAAAGCTTGTCAGAGACAATGATCCAAAAGACAGCTATAATGTGGTTCACATGAAAGATTTTTTCATGTTTCGTAAGCATTTATGCATGGGCTTCGAAGTCCTCAGCTCCAATTTATATGACTTGCTCAAAACTGCCAATTTCGGTGGTGTAAATATTTCAATTGTTAGAAAAATTGGCTTTCAAATTGTGCAGGCTTTGAAATTGCTTAAAACTTTAGATCTGATCCACTGCGATTTAAAGCCAGAAAATATCCTTCTTAAACCTGATGGGTCAAATGATATAAAATTAATTGACTTTGGCTCTGCATGCTTTGTCAATGGCAAAGTATTCACTTATATACAAAGTCGCTTTTATCGAGCGCCAGAAATTGTTTTAGGTGTTGATTATAATGAAGCCATTGATATTTGGTCTTTGGGCTGCATTATCTTTGAACTTTATACAGGATATCCGCTCTTCCCTGGCGAAAATGAGACCGATTTACTACTTTGTATGATGGAAGTCCTTGGAATTCCTCCAGAAAAGTTTTTGGAAAAAGCATCCAGGAAAAGAATGTTCTTCGATGCAAGAAATGCTCCGAGAATTGTGCCGAATAGCAGAGGGAAGAAAAGAAACCCAGGAAGCAAGAGTATACCAGAACTTCTTGCTGGAGCTGAGCCACATTTTATTAATTTCGTTGAAAGTAAGCGTTATTTTAGGATGTTTAACGTGGTACCCAAATAATAGACTAACTGTCGATGAAGCTGTATCGCATCCTTTTTTCAAAGAGCCTATTAAGAGAGTAAGGAGCCAGCGGCCTAACCCGAATAACCTCAATCACAATAGAAAGACTAGCCTTGGCGATCATAATCCAGCACCAGCTTTAAAGTATAACCCGCTCTTCCCAAAAAATACTCCACATACCACAAAAGCTGCAGATAAAGGATTTACCTTTAATTAAGCCTGAAGACCATTTATTTATAGATAGCTAACTGATTATTATAAAAAATTTAATAAAAAAATGTTCAATTGACAATTCTTATTTTATCACCTTATGACGTAGGCAAAAAGTTAAATGGAACGCTTTTCAGGTTTATCATAATTAATTGTTGCAGAATTGTTATTTTAACACCCTGAGACATCATTATAGAACCTTATCAAAGGCAAAGCTATTTATAAGCAAAATAATGTTATCTCAAAGCGTTTCGAGCATTTTCTCTCCATATTTGCAAATCTTCTCCACAAAAGTGTGGCGAATCAAATCACTTTGTTCTGGTTCATTGCAGTAATTATTATTTTTCTTTTGTGAATGTCGAATTAATTCAGTAATTTAAACATAATTATGTCGCCTAATAATAATTGAATTGATAAGAGATGGAGTCTGAAGAAAGCTTAATAGCAGTCCCAATTCCTGTTTCAGAAATAGGTCCGAGTGTTCCTAGCCCAGCTTATCCCAGTAATTATTGGGTAAACTGGCAAATCCATAATTCCTTAATGAATATTCAGTCCTTACCTGAATCCAAGTATGTGACCTCATCTGATGATGACATCGTCAAATTGCCTAAGAAAAGAGGTAGAAGGCCTCTTAGACCCTTTGATCCCATTAAGAAAAAAACTGAAGAAAAGGATAAATACTGGCTTCGGTCTTTTAGAAGCTTTATGAAGTTCAATTACCCCAAAATAGAACACACATTAAGCACCCAGGATAAAGTATTTTTACAAGAGTATTTGAGCCCTAGAGGCAAGCCAGACAAAGGGAATAAGTTTTTATCGTATGGGAAGAAGTACAAAGACTATCTGTTTTCTCATCAGATATTTGTTGATCAGTATAGAGAGTGGTTCAAAAGCTACGGTCAGGCAGAGCTTTCGAAAAAATGCAAAGTAGGGAGCGATTTATGGTTTGTTTATTATGATTATGCATCAAAAGACTTATTCAGCTACTCTGTAAGCAAGAAAACTGAGGATGAACACAAAGAATCTGAAGACTTGCTTCTTGCAAAACTTGAGGAAAATCCAATGATGCAGGTTATAGGCTATTACTATATCACAGCATTTTTGAGGTTTTTCGAAAATAATAATGCTAATAAAAACAATTCTAGTTAACTTTTAAATTTTCAAGCGACGGTTGCGGGCTTTTCGAATCCATTTTGCTAATAAAAACCTGAATTATTTTATCTTAATTAGATTACCATAAGCCCTCCCTTTACCAAAAAATAAGTTTTAAAATAAATTCAAAATTTTCCCTGTAGTTATCTATGATAATTCAAACTTTAAAATTCCCATCTTTTAATAGTCTAAGTTTGAAGCAAATGCTTTTATACATCTTTTTGATTCTTAATTTTTAAATAGGAAAATGCTTTGAAATAAGGCCATATATGCAAGGATGCTAATGCATGATCAAGTTTGAAAGTTTGCTTATTTTAAAGCATTTCCAATAACTGTTAGAGTATTGTGCATGTAATTAATAAAGCAGCAGGTGATTTTAAAGAAAAAATTAACTTTTTGAAATATTATATGAATTATATAAAAATATTTGGTATAGAAGCTATATTCGAGTCAAATCATAATATTTGAATAGAAAGAAATACTTATTCCTCCGCCCATGGGCTAGCAAAAACAATTGGAAAATCCATATTTTTTTCGCCAAAATCTATCTCCATTAGCAAACAAAAATTTTTTTAATAGAAAAATTTTTATATATAAGTGAAAATTATTATAATGAAATCTCTAGCTAATTCTGTTTAATTTTAACTCATTGAAGACAATTACACCCAAAAAAAATACCCAAAATCTATTTTTATCTCTGTCCCTGAGCTTTCCCTTGCCGATTAGAAACTGCCCAAAAGTTACTATTATCAATTATAAGATAATACATATTTATCTATCACATTTATGATTAATGAAACAGCCACGATGTATTGGCGCGTTGCAATCAGAACATTTATAGTAGGTTTTGCTGTCTTTATTCAACTGTTTACAATAAGTACATCTTCTATTCATTTCTCCCTTTATTGCCGCCTTTGTAATTTGATTACTATTGCAATTATATTCTATCAATCCTAAAGCCACTTCCATTCTAAATTCTTCATGACTAAGTAGTCCATCACTGCTTTTGCTATGGTTTTTATAAATTATATAAGAATTTATCAAAGCGATTTGAATGAAGTAGTAGAAACATGATTTTCATCATTTATTTGACCTTCTTCCAACTGTATAGCTTTGAGAGAGAGAGAGAAATCTTTATTACTTAAAGGCCTTTATTTCAGGGCCATGTCCCGATTAAAAATTTTTTAACTTTCTTCTTTTCCTAAAATCTTTGGATAAAATTTTAGTAAAATTTTCTGAACCCACGTAATCCGCGATTTTTTCGATTTCTGAGTCTGATATGAATTTTTCTATTTCTGATGAAATTTGAATCTGATCTAAATTTTATTTTCCTGATAATGTTTGATTCTGATATCAATTTTATTTTTCTGATAAAATTTGAATCTGATCTAATTTTTATTTTTCTGGTGTTCAGGATTTTCTTATCGATTGTCTTCTTATCATCAATGATCACCTCAGTCTTCCTATATTTGAAGGTTTCCCTGAATAGGATCTACTTCATCTAGTATTTTTCCATCTAAACAACTTAAAAACTCCAATATTTTGTCATCTGTATCAACATTTTCTGTATCACTATCATTTCATTCATATTCTGATTCAGAATTATCAAGTAATCCTGTATCAATAAGTTCATTTAATAGTAAAAGTTCGAAAAATTCATCCTGTAAAGCTCCGTTTTCTTCACAAAAGGAAGAAGAATAGGAAACATTACTTTCCGAATCTTCCATTAAAATAAAAGTCGTATAGCTTTGAAGAAATTGATCAAAGTGATCAACACCTGACATGTATGCTGAATAATTAGCTACGATATCAGGTTTTATTTTTTAACTTCTGACGATGATCTGGCTGATTTTTCTTTTGCATTTGTTGATTCAATATTGGAGATAATAAGGATTGCTCTTTTATCGAACCAAGCGCAAAATAGCAAAGGATTACTGAAATAAAAACACCAATCGATTCATTTTATTTATTTGAAACTTTGGCAATCCTTTCCTATTTTTTCTCACTGCTCCAGTTGCTCCGAATCCTTGATTTGTTAAAATTCTGAATAATTCAGGACTTGAATATCAATCGCCGCAATATATGTGATGCCAGTTTGATCTTAATTCTTCAATCAGTCTCAGTGTCACAGCCTTTGCGATATTATTTTCTATTTTTGCTGATTTTCCAGGGTAAATTTCATAATTTCATAAATAGCGTGTTTTTTTGAATCGCACAATACAAATACCTTGAATCCTCATTTTTATTGGCTTTGTTGATATATACTGCTTGGAAATGTGGTGGCCTTTGTATTTTATTATGCTTTCATCAATTGAAATTTCTCTGCCTAATTCATAATTTCTTTTGCAATTTTGGCACAAAATTTCAGCGATTGGACTAAGTTTAGATAACCGTCCAGCCCATTGAGATGATGAAGGAGGTGATAAGTGAAGTATTTTGGAAATACCTTCATACCTATATCTGCTCATTGTACTGGATATAACGCTATTATGATAGAGAAGATTGCTCGATCAATAGTTTCTGATCTGACTTATGTGAACTAAACCAAATAATATGCTCAATCCAATGTATTTTTTAATTTCTTCTTCAGTTACATCATATATATAATTGAAAAGCAATGATTCTCTCTTCATTATGCTTCTTATTCATCCATAAATAAAATTGCTTGAGGGAGAGAAAATTAGCGAAGCTAATTCACTCGAACCAAATGCCATTTTACTTATGGGGTTAGGTTTTCTTTAGGAAATTTCTGTACAGCAATAGCAGTTGTACTCTGACGGATAAGTCAGGGCGCTGCTCCAAGTATATCAAGAGACTTGAAGTTTTACCTCTCAGCACACCCGAGGAAGGTGACCCTTAGGCGAAACACGCGCAGGAGCTGAGTCGAGGAAGGCAAGGCAACTCAGCCCGTCGAAGCCGGAACGCTATATTTGCCCGTGCCCTGGCGCAACAAAGCAGATCGATCCAGAGGTCTGCGGGCCCGACACGTGTACAAATATGGTGGCAGCTCTGGAAACGGCTACCCCGTAGTGGACGTTAAACGTTATAGACTTAATAAGATAAGATGCTTCTTATTAATCCAGCGTAAAGATTTGTATTTTCAACGATCAGAGTTTATCATTTCACTATTGAAAAAGCTGTAAAATAATTCTAACGGAGGTTTTATTTCAATGTTTGGACTTGGCTCATGAGATGGCACTGCGCTCTCTCTAATAAGATCTCTGGTTTCTTCTCAATCATCCATAAAATCTCCTTCAGTTGTGAAGATGCAGAAGAATCACTATCAATTGATCCGCCACTGCTATCATCACTTGATGAGTTAGGTTCTTGTTCAGTGTCTAGCGACATTTAATAATTAATAATTAATTCATAACCATCAATTATTATGTTTTGATAGAATATTGGTAATTTTTGTATTCTTATGGGAAAATTTGATGTTGTCGTCAAAGAGTAAAAAAAATTTTGAAAATTAAATTAATTTTTACTTCTCAATTTTATAAACTTTGGACAAAAAAATTAATCCTCGATGAGCGCACAAAATATTTTTTTGTTTGCTCACGGAGGGGGGGAGCTAGATTACTATAAGTTCCTGAATTATTTATTTGTATGATTTTTGCACCAAACTTTATATACTTACATTTTTATATCTGATTTTTAGAGCAAGCTATAAACTATATATACAGGAGCAATTTTTAAATCGCCCTGTGCTATGAGAAGGCTCAAAAAGTTCCCGATTTGGTTTTCAACTCAAATTGGCAAACTAGCTCAGTTGGTAAATGTCTCACATAAAGCGTAATATCTCTCCCCAAGTTGGTTTGTCAACTTGAGTTGGAAACCTAAATCGAGAGGATTCTAACCTAGGACGATCAAAAATCATTCCTGGGCTATATATAAAAATCTCTTCTTGTCAGAAAACTTCTTTATTATTTATTTAAAGATTAAATATAATAAAACGAATAAATTTAAGTCATGAGCGGAGACCAATTAGAGGAATATCGACGTCGTATGCAACAAAGACACACTGGTAGCGATATCAATAGAGATGAGGAGATTGCAAGAGCTCTGCAAGAAGAAGAAAATGAAAGAGTTCGTAAACAAGCATTAGCTGATGAAGAAGTAGCCAGAAAGTTGCAAAGCCAATACCAGGTTCCAGAACAGTCTAATGTTTCTAGTAACCCTCCTGTTTACGGCTACCAAGCATATCCAGCTTATCAAAACCCTGCTGCAAATCAGCCTCCTGTATATCAAGCTCCACCTCCTCAGCCAAGGCAAAACCCATATTATGCTCCTCCTCCTGGCTATGGCAGAGAAAATCAGCCTCTTTTGCCTCAAAATAATGAATCTCGAACATGCTTACCTAATGTCAACGATAAATGCCTAGGAGTAAACACCCAAGTCTGTGTCTTAACAACAGCAGGGCTAATGACTATCGGAATAATTGTAGCACTGGTAATTATAGCCTCCACTTAATAAATCCTTAAAATTTTATTAGAAATTTGTGAATTATCATTCTGTCCATGACTGACATTATAAAAAACCAATATGAGATACTACCTCCAAATGCTGGGGGTCCCATCAAAACTTACAAGCCCGTGCTTTATGCTCTTCTTTGATTCCAAAAGATATTTATTTAACGCAGGAGAAAACCTGCAAAGGTGTCTTCTCGAGTCAAAGGTCAGAAAAAGCAAAATTACGGATGTATTTTTGACTGGAATTCATACAGAAGCAATAGCAGCTTTACCAAGTTTGATGCTGAATATGGCAAGTGATACAAGAAAAGGGTACAGATGCAAAATCCATGGTCCTGTAGGTATTGCTGCTTTTATTGAAGCTGCGTGCACGTTTTCTTGATTAGATAAATTTGACATTATAGAGTATGGGGATAGAGATGTAAACACTCATATATCGAGAATCACCACAGAAAGAAGCTATAAAGATGAAAATATTTCTGTCAAAATCGTCTCACTCAATTCCTTTGATGAACGGTGACTGGAAATGCCTGATGGGAATAGATTAAGAATGCCTAGGGAGTCATGTGCAAGCTATTTCATCGAATGCATGGCGCATCCTAGGAAATTTAGAGTTGAGAAAGCGAAAGAGCTTGGAGTCCCTCCTGGTAAATTGTTTGGAAGACTAGCAAATGGAGAAACATTAGAAATCAATGGAAGGGTGATCACTCCTGATGATGTACTTGACCCTCCTTCCAAGCCACCTGCATTTGGAGTAATTGATATTCCTTCAATTCAATATTTATACCCTCACATTTCTGATGTGATTTGTAACTATTTTACTGGAGAATTTGACTTTTCAGCACTTATTCATATGTCGCCCACCACAGTTCTTTTAGATCCTGGGTATCAAACCTTCTTAGAAATGATGCCTGAAGGCACAAAAAATATCGTTTTTAATAGACATCTTACAGCAAATTTTAAAAATACAATGCAAACTCCGATTTTTAGAGGATCAGATATTTTATTGACTGAGTTAAATGCTGTTTCACCTAAAAATTTCAAGCTTACTCCCCCCCACTCCGTGAGTGAAACAAAACCATTAGAAAAATCCCTATTTTTTGCCCAAAAAAAACCCACCCTCCGTGAGTGAACAAAAATTTTTTTTAATAGAAAAATTTTTATGGAAAAAAAATTTGAGATATAAGTGATAATTAGTATAATGAAATCTAGAGCTGATTCTGTTTAATTTAAAACGAATTGCTTTTTAAAACATAAATTTTATAAATTAAATTATTATTTGCTTTCCAATTTTTGCGAATTAGGATTTTTTTAAATTTCGAAAAAAAAAATTTTTATAAAATTTATATATAAATTTTTTTAATAAAAAAAAATTTAACCCTCCTCCGTGAGTGAACAAAATTTTTTTGTTCACTCACGGAGGGGGGGGAGTTAGTACCGAGATGTATGAAAAAGTTGATCTTTTGCTTGAAGAAAATATCAAGAAAAATTTCAAAAATTTAATAATCCCTCAGTTTAAGGCGAAACTTAACCTTAGCCCTCCTGAGATGAATGGAACAATTGATGAGACAGACTGCTTAGACCCTTTAAACCCAGAAGAAATAGTGAAAAGAGTGACAGATATGGAATGTCCTCCATTTCTGACTTTAAACAGGATTTCTTATGAAGACTTCATTGATATGTCTCAGCCTAATTCTGATCCAGCCGTACTTTTGTTAGGCACCGCTTCAATGAAGCCAGGAAAATACAGAAATGTCAGTGGAATTTGAATCGGTGAATTTGGCTCAAGCCTTCTTTTTGACTGTGGAGAAGGCACTTATGGGCAACTCTGCCGGCATTTTGGGGAAGATATTAATCAAGCTTTAATAGATATCAAAACCATTTTTATTTCCCATTTGCATGCCGATCACCACTTAGGCACAATCAAACTGATTTATGAGAGATCCAAACTCACCAATGAGCCCATCACGATTATAGCTCCCATTGCATACCAAATTTACTTACAAATCTGCAATGAGCTGATGGGACCTTTATTATTTAGATTTGAGCCTATAACAAACAACCACATATTGCCTAATTTCTCTTCAGTCCAATGCATAAAAGTAGATCACAGCATAGAAGCATATGGGTTTGTAATCCAGCACCAAACAGGCTGAAAAATCGTATATAGCGGGGACACAAGACCTTGCCAGGCACTTGTAGAAGCAGGTAATAATGCAAGTTTGCTGATTCATGAAGCGACCTTTGATGATGACTTAGCTGGAGATGCAAGTGAAAAAATGCATAGCACTATTGGAGAAGCGCTTAATGTGGCTGTACAAATGAATGCTTGAAAGGTAGTGCTAACTCACTTTTCCCAGAGATACTCGAAAAGGCCTCAAAATGCGCAGGTTGACGCTGTTGTAGGATTCGATTTGATGAAGATTAAGCTGTCTGAGTCTTATGAAGCTGTGCAAAATGTAAATAGATTGCTCAAGCTGTTTGAAGAGACTGAAAAAATAGAAGGAGAAGAGGAGCAGGCATAATTTTCAAGAGTTCTTACTACTATTAAAAAATCCATTAAGTATTTTTAATACAAAAAGTATTATTACACTAAAAAAAAAATATTCTTGTGCAAAGTTAGGTATTTTTGCTAAATTACTCCTAAAAATTCTTTCTAATTCCGGATTATTCAATAATTTAATAAGAAAATACTTCACCTGTACTTGTTGCAGAATAAAACATGGTAAGTTGGTTTACAATTCTCCTGGTGATTGGCATCACAGCTTTCACTGTATACCTTCTAAAGATCTATCCATCAAAGAAAACTCAATACTACGTCTACTTTTTTGTGTTCATCGGCTGGTATTTAGCATTTGTGATCGTAACAGTGCTTCCATACGACGTTTATTTAAGTTTAGGAGGAGAAGGAAACAAAGATGACCTACACGTTTGCTGGAACATAATTTATTGGATAATTTTCGCATTATGCTGGGCTCTCCTGCCAATGATGCAAAATTACCACATGGCTGGCGAATTTACATTTCTAACCAAGATGAAAAGAGCTTTTATTACAAGACTTAGGATGATTGGAATAACTCTTGTTATGGGAGTCATTTTTATTTTATATTTAGTCATTTCAGGAAACTTTGCATCACATAGGCTTCCAGCAATTCTTGTGGCATTGAGCAATATCTGGTCATTGTTTATAATCATGGTCCTGCTTGGGTATGGGCTGGTTTATATTCCGAAAACATTTTGGCAGAATGGAAGTCTTGATACTTCTATGAAGCTTGCACAGTTAAAAGCTGTTGAGCTTGATCAGTCGAAGATAGAAGCAAAATATAACTTAGATCAAACTGTAGGAATAGTAATGAAACTTTCTAGAGATGTGACTGAGGTGGATCCTCTTCATAAATATGTTGATAAATTGCTTGAAAAATGCCCACAGCAATCTATTGAGCACCAAAAGAGCACGAGATCATTAAGGAGTATGGAGGCTCATGATGAGAAAAAAGAAATCACATATAAGTATTTAGTAGGAGTTAATAGAGATTTGAAGAAAAATATTGCTGAATTCGGAAGAAGTGAAAGGTAATTAAATATCTAGAGTCGTTGGGAACAACATCTGGAAGCTGCTTTTCGACTTGAGGACATCATAGCTAACAAAAAAAATTCAAATAAATGGATCAGAAGTAACTTTTGGCCGGCGAAAAATGGGAAATATGCAAGGTTTAGAGAAGTCTTTGAATGGATCTGGTATACCCGTCTTTCTCCAATTTTGTGCAGACTACTAGGTCTTTTATTATCAGTAGTCAGCATATTTGTGGTATTAGGCGAAATTACACTATTTGTCGACACACCAATTGGCGTCTTTCCATTATTTTTTAAAGATAACCATGGAAGTGTAGGCACACTGATTCTCTGCTTTATGCCACTTCTCTACATCATAGCTAGCATCTATGTTTCTCTCTTCAAGTTAAGGCTTAAAGGCAGATACGGGCTTTATAGCCACAATCAAACAGACCCTCCAAATCTTATATGGAGTGCTTTTATTATGGCCCGTCTAACGCCCTCAGTATGTTATAACTTTTTGCTATTTATTAAAGTCAAACATACACAATTCAATAAAGTTATGGGCGTTATTGACTTAGTCCCAATTTTTGGTCAAGGATTTACACTGTTTTTCCCTATGATTTTAATAGTGTTTTGCTTATTAAACATTACCAATTTTTATGCAAGATTAATGGAGAAAATGGGGATGGACCAGTATTCCTTTGCAGATAAGATTGATGATGCAAAATTACTTGAAGGTAAGTCACTACTGCATAAAGCAAGGTCTGATAGAGAACGTGGAAGTAAAGGCACAATAACACCGTCTGGAAGCTTTGTAGAGTCTGGAGGATATAATGCACAAATAAGGTCTAAATACGAGCATATCAGAAAAAGCTTGGCGGAAGAAAGAAAAAATAGCATAACTGCGCCATTGAAGCAAAAGGACATTTACGATTTCTAAATTTATTAAGAAGCATTAAAAATCAATGAATAATTTTTATTATTAAATGGTTAGTTTTATCTGCAGAATATAGCTTATTAAATCAAATTAATTATCGTTATACCTTTCAATTTCTCTTCTAAAAAGATCTCTGAGTGTTTGCATATCTAGATCTTCTTCTCTATCAAAGATAAAATCAGCTGGAACACTAGCTAAGCTCTCTAACTCAGGGCGCCTTATATCACGAAAATAAGGATGCTCTAAAGCTTGGTCTAAGGTAATTCGATTTATCGGCGAGAAAGTTAAAAGTCTTAATAAGAGATTCAGTTCTTCAGGAGTTGACCCAGGATACAATTCACGAAGGTCAACAGGCTCATTAATTGGAAAAGATCTAACATAATTTAAAGCTCTTGGATCTGATATAAAAGAGCAGTCATCGTCTGATGGAGTTCCTATGATCCTAAAAATCATATTTAGCTGGTCATTATTAGAGGATGGGTATCCTCCCCTTTGATTAGTTGCACTGGGGTCAGGCGATAATGGGAAACAGCTTTTTCCAGGGAAAAGAGGAGCTCTTTCTAAATACTGCGAAATGTTATCTGAAATCATTCCAAGCAGTTCTGCAAAGACACAACCAAGACTCCATATATCGATTTCCTTTCCATATTCTTTTTCAAGTAAAATCACTTCTGGAGCTCTATACCATCTTGTCGCAACATGATCAGTAAGAATTCTTTTGGTTACTTTTTTAAAGTCTCTTTCTCTCCCTGCTATCTCATTGGACTCCAATTGATTATTTGCAGCATTTTGGAAGCTTTTATTCAGTCCTTGATAACTTCTAGAAAGACCAAAGTCACAAATCTTAAGCGAGCAGTCTGAGTTTATTAAAATATTTCCTGGCTTGATATCGCGGTGAAAAATATTTGCTGAATGCATATATCGACACCCACAAATAGCTTGATACATCAAGAATTTTACATGAGTGTGATCGAGGAATGTAGAGGATCTTGCAAGTTTTTTAAGGTCACTATCTGCATGCTCCATCACAATATAAACAGTATTAAAGAATTCTGGTTGCGAAGGCATCAAAATTTTCTTGATTTTTATAATTGTGGGGTGATTTAAGGATCTCATGATCGAAATCTCTCTTAGCATCCTAGTAGCAACAACTTGTTGATCAAAAAGAGCTTTGATGCTTTTGATAGCCACTTTTTCGCCAGTTTGGAGATCATTAGCTTCACAGACAGATCCATATGTGCCTTGCCCAATCTTTCGAGTGAGCTGATATCTGGGAGGAAGCTCCCAGTTTGGAAGACTAGATGCCATTAATTGTAAAATGGCGATTTGAGTTGCTAAGATTAAGCATTGTATACTTATAAATACTGCGAGTTATGCTAGATAAATAGCATATAACTCACTCAAAACTCATCATACTAATTAATTAAAAATAATGTCAGTCTCCAGCTATCTTCAATGGGTGAATTGAAAAAAGCAACAGGAGTCTCATAAGAAAAAAATTGAAGAAATTCAACGATCTCATTCATCATTAGACAATTTGCCTCCAAAGCGATATAATCACTGCTATAATTCCAAATCTTTAACTGATAGATGTAACTTCCATATAGTTCTAAACGAAAAAATATCAAAAGAAAACTCAGCAATGCTTAGCAGACTTTCATCAATAATTAATTCGCCACCTAATGTCCAGATTAGCCAAGGAAATAATGAGCTGGGTCTTTGGTCTCAAACTTGTAAAGCAGAAAAAAGGAGAAAACTTTCATTTGATAACATCGCTCTAGCGAAGAGAATAATTAACACCAAAAGCCAAATAAATTTCAGTAAATTTGAAGAAGAGTATAAACAATCAGTAAAATATAGTGATATAAGAAGAAAAAGAAAGAATAAGTTAAGTACTGATAGCCAAAACTTGGTGATCTTAGTAAAAAACGAGCTAAAGGCAATGCAATAAGCATATTTTAAACCTATTTAATAAAATTTCATTATCTAAGCAGTTGTTTTTTTATATTATTTGATTCTCTTTTTCTCTGAGCCAGATTTTAAGATTCACATTATAAATCATTAAATATTTTTTATTATGACTTCAAGCCCTAAGCATTTCTCTCTTGAAGATTTTGACAATTATGAATCAAGACGTGTTGTAAATTCCCCCAGATCCCTTGAAGCTTGCTATCGAGAAGGTATAGACCCAGAAGAACTTCTATTTGTCCCAAGAGAAAAGTTTCAATACAAATCGGTTTCTCCAGGTGTCCAAGATCTTCAATATGAATTTTTCGAATCCAAACGGCTAGAACTCTTACATATAGCCCGCAAAGTAAGACGACAAATTATTGCAGCCGATGAAAAATTTTCAAGATCTTCTTCATTAGGATCTCTAGCTCATCAAAAATTGTATGGAAATGACATAAAAAGAGCCAAAGAAAAACAAGTAAGAAATCTTACAAGACTTGTAAGCTATGAGACACTAGCTGCCAAAAAATTAAATGAAAATCAAAAAAAAGAACAGGAGAAAGCATTAGAAGAAGAAAGAAAGAAAAAAGAGCTTATAAAGGAAGAAAGGCAAAAAGCGGAAATAAAAAGGCTGAAAGAGATAGAAAAGCTTAAAAAGGAAATAGAAGAGGAAAAAGAAGCGAAAATGAAAGCCTTGCTACAGTTTGAGCATGATATGCAAGAGGCAGAGAAACAACAGTATTTAGAAGAAATGAAGCTGAAAGAAATTGAGTTGAGGAGGCAAAATAACGATAAAAAGTTGAGAGAGCATTTAAAGAGAGTAGAAGAATTTTTATTGGAAATGCAAAGAGAAAAAGAACTTATACTATTAAAGTAAAAAGAAAATGAATAAGGAAATACTTTTAAATTATTCTCATAAAAATATATAACTATATTTAGACTTTATATGAATTTTCGATCCAATATGGAATAGAATGAAGGCTAGAAATGAAGAAGAAAAATGAAGACAAGAAAATATTTTGAAACACCAAAAACGACTAAGAAAAAAAATCCAAAAACAAAGAAAAGCTAAAGAAATAAGAAGTGAAATGGTCAGAGCTTCTCTAGAAGAGCAGCTAGAAAAGAAGCGTCAAGACTATTATGTAAAAAAAGAGATCGAAGAAAAAAAGACCAAAAAATTTTTTACTCTCCCCTTTTATGCACACAAGAGATTATATAAAAAATAATTTTTTTAGAAAATCAAATTTGGAAGCATTTGAAATGAAAATGCAATTTAATTTATAAAATCAAGTTTTTGAATGCAGGCTCTCTAAACTTTAATTAAGTTTCCTTATAAAAGTTCAAAAATAACTCATACAAACATTTTTATATTAAATATTTTCTGCCATAGGGGAAGATTTTTCCAATAGTTTTGCTCACTCTTAAATGGAGGATTAGAAGAAAAAGCCGAACAACTTAAAAGTATCCAATCATTAAGCAAAGAAAGAGATTTAAAAATATTAAAAACACGAGAAGTTGCTGAAGCAATTATAGAAGAGCGGCGTCAAAAAATCACAGAAAAATCAATTAAAAGCCAGCAAAGGGTGGAGCATCAAAAAGATTTACTGCAGCAGCAAATTGAGTTTAAAAAGAACTTAGATGAGCTGAAAGAGCTCAAAAAAGAATGAAATATCAAAAGACAGAAAAAGAAAGATGAATATTTAAAACAAATGGCTAGATTGCGCATGAAAATGGAAGACGAAAGGCTGCAAAACTTTTCAAAAGAAAGAGAAAGAATGATCCAGACAAGGCAAAATATCAACTCTGAAACCCAGCTGCAGCAGTTTCAGGTAAAAGAAGCATTATTTAATATGGCAGTCACCAAAAAATGGGACACAAAAGAAATAGCAACAATATTAGAAAAAAATTCTGAAGGAAAAGCAAGGTCGCTGAGAAGCACTCAAGACAGATTTCTCGAAGCTCCTCCTCCAGTATCCAGATAATTATAAAAATAATTTATATACTTACAGCTGAAGGTGAATGATCCATATCTCTGAAATCTTCATAAAAGTCTACAACCCTTATCCTTTCTTCTAATTCTCCTTCTCCAGACTCAGATCCCATAAATTCTACACTGTTTCTTCCAGAGCTGTCTTCATAATCCTCTATATACTCATGTGAGCCTTTCACAAAGTGTCCTAAATCTTCTTTATTTTTCTTTTTTTCTTCTTTTTTCGCTGGCTTTGGCTTACCAAATTTTTCTTCTTCACTGTCTTCCAATTCATCCAATAGCGAAATTTGTTTTACGTGACCTCCTGAGGAGTTTCCTAGGAGTTCTGCGAATTGCAGATCTTCAGAATCAGGCAGCATTGGGGTTTCTTCTGCTTTTACTCCATAATGGCTTAAAATTTCTTCTAATTCATCAATATTAATATGCACATCGCCTTCATCTTCATCAAATTGAAGAGCTTCAATCATCAAGATTAAATGATCTTTCTCTATATTGCTCATGCCAAGGTACTTTAAGGCTGATACAAACTGGTCAGGAGAAACTCTACCTTTTTTATCTGCAAGAAATACAGTTCTCACACTTTTTTTAAGTTTATTCAAATTTTGGGCAATCATTGATAAATAATGTCTGACAATTTTGGCTTGTTCTTCTTCAGATAATTCTGAATGCTCGCCTTCTTCACCTCTATCGATATAAGCATTGAGAAATTGCTCGTATGGAACTGAATCGAGCTGATTATTATGAGAATAAAACAATAATTGCATATAGCTGAAAACTTCTTTAGGGATTTCTGCGCCGAGTTCTTTTAATGCGTTTTTAAATTCAGTCATTTTTATAACCCCGGTTTTAGTTTTATCGAATTTTTTGCAAAATTCGAATAAATGCTCATAACTTTTCCTTTTCAAGTGAGCAAAATCATGAGAAAAACTGTACTTTTAGAAAATTAGGTACTTTTTAAGGTGCAGCCTATATTTTAAAATATAATTAATAATTTTAATAATGAAATCTCAAGCAAGTTATGATAAATTTTAGACAGGTAGAGAGTTCTAAAGCTGAAATTTTTTGAATAAAATTAGATTTTTATTTAATTCTTAAAACCCCAAAAAAACATTTAAAATAAAAATTAATCCCTCTTAGTTAGCAAGTTTCTTTTCGCTAAATAGTAGATAGGGTAAGCGCTTCCAACAAGCATAGCAATTTCCCTATCAAATTCTTCCTCATCCTCTGGGGAAAATAGTTCCCAATTATCTAAAAATTTTAAGAATTTTGCAACAATTTGCTTGGGTGTACTTTTAAGCTGCTTGTATTGGCTTTCAGGTATATTTTCTGTGCCTTCAGGTTCTGTTAAAAACTTGGCTAGCAAAATAGATTCTGATTTCTCTTCTATGCTGAAAGGCTCTTTTTTAAATAGTAAAGCTAATTCTTGATAAGTGATAGGTTTATCATTCTTCTGTTTATCATCAAATAATGCAGAAGAAAGTTTTTCTTTTGGCAGACGATTAAGTTGCATTCGAAATGAAATATGCTTTAACGTGTTGGAAACTTGACTTAATTTTACAATCGAAATTTGGGCTTCAGATGGCTTTTTTTCAGCTGCTTTTTGAGGTGAGGGTTCTTGCTTAGGATTCGTTGAAGCCACTTTTTCAGGCTCTTTTACTTCTTTAGTAGGAGGCGTCGGGTCTCTTTTCGGTTCTTGCTTTTTTTCTTCGAATTCATCTAGCAATGAAAGCTGCTTTGGTTGGCGACCTGATGGGTTTTCAAGTAGTTCTCCAAGTTTTGAGTCAGGCAAATTCGAGATTTTTTCAATTTTGACTCCATAATGGCTTAAAATTTCTTCTAATTCGTCGATGTTAATGTGCACATCTTCAGTATCCTCATCAAACTGTAGGGCTTCGATCATTAAAATTAGATGCTCTTTCTCAATGTTGCCCATTCCCAATTCTTTTAAAGCAGAAACAAAACTGATCTGGTACTTAACTTAATAATTCAGATTTTAATGTGATACTCTATTTATTAGCAAGTTATATCAGACCTCACAACTTATGGCATTAAAAATCATCTTATCAAGCAAGTATTCTAGAGGTCTCCACCAAAAGGGCAGAAGGTCTTCACTGGTCTTGTAGTCCTCTCTCCCTAGCTCGACTCCAGCTCGTGATCCACCTAAGAGCACTCTCCTTGGATATGCTAAGCGGTAAAAACTATATATCTCATTTCCCCTTAGACAGCTGAAATACCTTATGCGGTAATCCATATAGTACAAGCACGGTTATACTTCTCCTCACCTCCTGGCAATTCCAGTTTAGATGAAACATGAAAAATCAATTTGACTCTTCAAATATAAAATGATGAGCTTGCCATTTTCTTTTTCCTGTTTTATTTAAAATAAAATCGCCAGGGGTGTGGAGGGGAGTTAAAATTGAGCCATAGCTGTTTGCGAAGTATATTGACATTATGCATAAAAGTTCGCCTAGAAAATCGAACCCCTTAATAATAAAATTTTCAGAGGAGGCATAGTTCTCGGAGAGAACTTATTCCTCACAGCCATTTATTATAATAACTGATCTGGCACAATTCTGCCTTTTTTATCTGGTCGAAACACAGATCTAGTCGTTTTCTTCATTTTGCTTAAATTTTGTGCTATCATTGTAAGATAATGTCTAACAATTTTAGCCTGTTCTTCTTCAGAGTAGTCTGAGTGTTCACCTTCTTCGCCTTGATCTATATAAGCATTTAAAAATTGCTCGTATGGAACTGAATCTAACTGATTATTATGAGAATAAAATAGTAGCTGCATATAATTGTAAACTCCTGTAGGGATATCAATGCCAAGCTCCTTAAGTGCACTATTAAACTCACTGCTGTTTATTACCCCGCTTCGATTTTTGTCGTATTTTTTGCACGACTCATATAAATGATCATAGGTGCTTCCTATAAGAATAGCAATTTCTTTATCAAATTCTTCTTCATCTTCTAATGAAAATAGTTCCCAGTCTTCTAACACTTTTGAAAATTTAGCAGCAATCTGTTTTGGAGTGCTTTTTAGCTGTTTATATTGACTTTCAGTGATATTCTCTGTGCCTTCAGGCTCGACTAAAAACTTTGCTAATAAAATGGCTTCAGATTTCTCTTCAATGCCAAATGGTTTTTTGCTAAATATTAAAGCTAGTTCTTGGTATGTGATAGGCTTATCATTTTTTTGCTTTTCATCAAATAAAGCTGAAGAAAGCTTGTCCTTTGGTAAACGGTGAAGTTGCATTCGAAATGAAATATGCCTTAATATGTTGGTGACTTGATCCAATTTGACTGTTGAAATTTGGTTTTCAGATGACTTTTTGTCAGCCGTTTTTAACGGAGAAATTTCTTGTTTTGGCTTAGCTAGATCTTTAGGTGGAGGAGTCGGAGCCTGCTTAGCTTCTTTTATTGGTGGAGAAGAAGCTTGCTTAACTTCTTTCGAAGGCAAAGCAAAAGCCTCTTTAGTTATTTTTACTTCTTCAATGAAATTTACTTCATCTTCACTAGAAATAGGATCGTCCTCACCTCTGTAGTTATATCTTTCATACTGGATTCTTAATTGATGCAAAGAAATGCTAGCAATAGGTATGCCTGTAAATTCCAAAATCGCTTCTTTTACATGAGTGCCACTTATTTCTTCTCCATTTACTTTGCAGCCTTTTACAATTTCATCAAGCTCAAGTGATCCTTTTTTATTCCTATCAAGCTGGGATAATAATGTATCAATATCAATTCTCTTTTTTTTTATAATTCGGTTGAGTGTAGCCAGAAGCTTATTTGGGTTGTCCAGTAGATTATTTGAAAGTGGCAAACCTTGGTTCTTTTTTTGTTCCCCTTGAAATTTCTCAATAGTTTTATTTTGCTCTTTAATGGTTTTTTCAGCATTAACTAGTTTATTTTTGGCATCATTAAGTTCCTTTTGTAATTGCTCTAAAGATTTTTTAAGCTCCCCATCTTTCTTTGACGAGGCCTGTCCTGAATTTTCAAGCTGCGATTTTAAATGACTAATTTCAGCGAGAAGGGCTTCAGGATCATCCTTGCTGCTAATGCTCTTTTTCTTAAGTTTTTCTAGCTTTTCTGCTCTTTCCTTTCAATGTAATGCTTCAGTTTTGATTTGTCCCATCAATAAATTCAAATCTTTGTTTTCCTTTTTCAAGTTCTTTACAATTGCATGATGGTCATCAGAAGTACCCTGAGGGAGTTCTCTTTCTCTTATTAGCTCTTCTAGATGATGTCTTAATCTTGTGCATTCATCAATATACGCTTGGATTTCAATTTCCAATTCAGAGCCTTTGGTGTTTTTTATACTTTTCTTGAGAGATGAAATTTCATTGTCTTTTTTGGCGAGCTCCTTCTTATGGTCTTTTACTGATTGTCTTAAATTAGAGACAAGGTTAGCATATTTAAGGTTGTTTGGAGTGTATTTGTCAGCATTTTTAAGTTCTTCAGCAAAATACTCTCTTTTTTGTTTTATTTCTTTTTCTAATTGAGAAATTTTTGTTTTGTATTTAATCAGTTCTTCATTAGACATATTTAGCTGTAGCTTTAAGGCTATGTTTTCTTCATATATTTTTTCCTTGTCCATTGAAGTTCGTCCAAGCTTTTGCTTAGCTGGAACCACAATATCAGCATCATGATTCGGCTTGACAGGAGTTCTTGCCTTTGGCGGCTGTTTTTTAGCTGAGGAAGGTCTTTTTATAGGCTTATTAGGGCTTTTTGAAATTTTTGCATTATTTGGTTTAGCGCTTTGAGGCCTATTTTGCGATGTTTTTGCAGCAGGTTTCATTATCGCCCGCTCTTCAGCTTCGTCCATATAGTTTTCTTCCATATAAAATGACGGTGGGGTTTTAGGCTCTTTTTTCCTGTTGGCTCCTAACGGCTGATGACTTGACATTTATTAATTGTTAAGCTAGCTTCAAGTTTTATTAAAAAACAAATATTTATCGAAAATTATCTCAGTCTAATAATTCTTCTTACAGGGGATCTACTTAATGAATTTCCAGATGAACTTTTCTTAGGAGTTAAATGAGGTGTATTACCATTCTTGCGTATTTCTGAGTACCCAATTCGAAAGGAGCCTAAAAGTGGCGAAAAGCCTTGTGAGGGGGAAAATTTCCTGTTAGGTCTACTCAGTTCTTTCAAACATTCATTAAAATCTGTGTTTTTTACTTTAAATTGCTGCTTTGGAGTAGGAAGTTTTAGAAATTCTTGCAGTGCAGCAATATCATGATCTGTGAAAAGCTGCCCAGGCGCCCGGCATTCGATTTCGTTTTTCAGGTTTTTGATATTTGTATCCTTTTTCAAATCCTTTATAAAAGCGTTAACCATTTCTTCTGATCTTGGACTTGGCAAATGAGATTTTATCCTAGAAATAAAAAGTCTTGCTTTCGTTATTAATTTATCTAAATGTTTCGAACAATAACAAGAATTTTTATGTGCAAAAGAGTCGCATGATTTTATAGCACAATAATTCGCTTCAATGATTTTTAAAGCTTTTGTTTCTTTTGTTTTAAATGAATTTTGGTCAGAATATTTTCTCTTCAGATGCTCTTTTTCTCTAATTGAAGTGTTTAAAGATTTCCTATTTAAAGTGGATATAAATTTTACCGGGGAAATTCTTAAACTTCTTTCAAAAATGGGTGGGCAGATATGATTGCTTTCTAAATTATTCGATAACTCTTCATAACAAAAATTATCATACTCATCAATATGCTGCGATTCTTCCAGCACATTGATGAATTTATCTTTGCTAATTCCTTCCCCATCTCTGAGTTCATGGAAAATTAAATCAAATTCTAAAAATTCTGAGCCTAAACCAAGAGCTCGAGAGGATTCTTCAAACTCATCAAACAATAACTCAGCCCTCTGATAATAAAAATACTCGGCTGCTGTATATAAATTTGGGAAAATTCCGAGTAACTTTTGCATAAAATTTGTGGCATTATCAGTCGTACCTATCATATCTCTTAAGTATTCAGGCTCTTCGTCATTAGTTTTATCTAAAAGTTTGCTTGATTCTTCAGTGCTAAAAGACCTGGAAATAATAAAACTTTTGTTGCTTGGCTTAATCCCTCTATGTTTTCTATAGTAATTGCCCGAGGATGGCGCTATCTTGCGCCATCCTCGGGCAATTCAAAAAAAATGGCCCCACACCGGGAATTGAACCACGTGTGGGGCCATTTTTGGTATGTGGAGAACATCGACTTCCACGTACCAAAAATGGCCCCACACGTGGGTTCAATTCCCGGTGTGGTTCCATTTTTTAAATTGCCCGAGGATGGTGTAAGATAGCGCCATCCTCGGGCAATCACAATATTTGATTTCTTGACACCTCTTTCAGATGATCTTGCTGATTGCTTTTTGTGAGCTGTTCGTGAAAGAATTTTCTCTAAAACTTCAATGGAAATTTTATATTCTCCATCTTCATGCAAAAACCCATAAACTTTGATGAATTCTCTAAGCTCGGTTACTGAGTAGCTGATCTTTATTGAAGCCAAAAATTCCCTAAACTTTTTTGGTGATAGGATTTTTGAAAATTTTGATTTTAAAATCATATTTGAGTTTGATAGACTTATGTATTTCTTCTTAAAACCAGAACGAATTTTTGAGATAAACTCCAATATAAGGTGCATGGAGCAAAGTCTAATTGAATTTTACTCTTGCTCAAGTGGCAATTTACTACAGCCTAGATTTTTGCATAACTTAAAAGGATTTTTATGAGAACGGTTGATTGAATTAGCCTCTTCACTAAAACTTTTATTTGACATTTATTATGTAATTTCTTAAAATATCTTTTTGAATGAGGTAACTAATCTGGCTCTGTAATAGCGATTAAAACTTTAGAATGCAAAAATCTTAAACTAATTTACTCAATTGGTTTATCATTTATTGAATTAACTTTTTCGACAATTGCATTAAAAATTGGCATAAAATCAAAGTGATTTCCTGATTCAAGCTTAAAAAGCACCAAATATAAATCATTTTCGCTTTCTAAAATCGAGACTTTGAAATTTAAGGTGTCCCCTTCAGTTACGATCGAAACTTTGACTTTGTAGCTATCTGTCGATGCCTCACATTCAGAATCATAAGTAGCAAGGGTATGAGAAAGAATAGTCATAACCTCGTGTGGCAGCAATCCTGTGAGAAACTGCGAATATTTATTTACCACATTGAACTTTTCACAGACTTTATGCGTATTTAGAAGATCAGCTGGATACGAAAATGATAGTGATAATTCTTCTGCTTCGCTCACATCTCCTCTGAAAAATCTTCCACGATTGTATATGATCCCTGCATTTTCCCCTGCAGAAATTCTTTGTTGCTTTGCTCGTTCTGCAGCAATTACAGCTTGTTGTCTTCTTAATTCTAATTCTGAAGATATTTCGTTAGGATTTGCTACTGGACCATTATATCATGGATGGGATTTTATTGAGGCTAAATTTAGCCTTTGAGATGAGTCATACGCTAATAAGGACTCAATAAAATTTTTAAACTCATTTGATAAGTCAGCTTTTCTGTGAAGTTTCCAAAACCTTATTTCGTGGCTTGCTAGATGCTTATAATATGGATCATTTAATATAGCTCTTTGAAAAGGAGGGTCTTTGGTGGCCATGATGAATAAAATAACACCAGCTGCAAAAAAGTCTGATAATTCTCCGTTGCAAGGCTGCAGCATATGCATTTCTGGTGCCATATACATTTCGTTTTTTCCTTTGGTTTTTACTTGTCCGTCTCTGTCTCTTAATATTGCACATGACCCAAAATCAGAAATTTTTATATTAAAATCTCGGTCAAATAAAATATTTTCACACTTTAAGTCGTTGTGGACGATCTGTGAGTTATGGCAAGCCTCTAAGCCATTGATTAACTGATGGAATAAGCCTCTTGCGACGTTTTCGCTTAATTTTCCAGTTCTGCTAATAATATCAAACAGCTCACCATTAGGGCATAATTCCATGAGTATATACATGCATTCATAAAACCCTCGGTCTTCTTTTTTCACATAAACTCCTTGTCCATTTCAATTAACTATTGAAACTACATTTGGATGATTTATTCGAGAAAGACTGTCAGTCTCTCTCAATAAAGCTTCTCTAAGATAGTTCAATAAAGAATCATCTCTGGATTTAACAATTTTTGCAGCATAGAAAACCCCCGTTTTGGGATCTTCAACAAGTTTAACTTTTGTGCCAACCCCTCGGCCAATAGTTCTGATAACATTGAGTTCGTCTAATTTACTCATAATTATAAAAAGAATTAGCCATTTTATCATAATTTTTTAGATTATTGAACTTGCTCGACGATCTCAGTCAGAGTAAAATCATTTTCTGAAGAAACTGATAATACAAATGGTCCATTCATGCCGCTCTCATAAGTTGTAGGCATCAGCATGTATCCACTTGGACTAGGGTTTGGCTCATCTAAAATTTCTACTATTTCATTCAGTGGCATAAACTCAGGCTTTCTCAGTCATCTTTCTTGCTGAGGTTTTGTCATGATCCCATCAAATAAATATAGAGCCATCATACAGCCGACTGATTTTCTTGCAATTTTGCTGCTCCATAAGCGTTCTGGGCGGCTTAATGTGATTTTAGCACTAATTGGGTTATTCCCTGAGAATTTGAGTAAATATTTACTCCCCCACTCCGTGAGCAAAAAGATTTTGTTCACTCAAAGAGGTGCTAATTTTTTTTTAAAAAAAATTTATATATAAATTTTATAGAAAAAATTATTTTTCGAAATTTTAAAAAATCCCACTTCTCGAAAATTGGAAGGCAAATATTAATTTAATTTGTAAAATTTATGTTTTAAAAACGCAATTTGTTTAAAATTAAACAGAATTAGCTCGAAATTTCATTATACTAATTATCACTTATATATCAAAATTTTTCTATCAAAAAAATTTTTGTTCACTCACGGAGGGTGGGTTTTTGGGCAAAAAATAGCGATTTTCTAATGGTTTTGCTCACTCACGGAGGGGAGAGTTAGGATTATTTCCCCAGGTAAGATTTTCCAATTGGTTAGCATAAGGTCTCTCATACAAATGGCATCCTCCTGAGTTTCCTTTTTTCCATTCTCCTGAAAGGACTACATTTTTTGAGTCCTGCAGCCTTTCAATTGTCACTGGATAGTTGCTGTAAATTGTCAAAGAGTATAAAGCTTGAATATTTTCTTGGCTAAGCGAAGGAACAATTAAATATGGCCCATGATGTGGCTCAAGCTTTTCATAAATGCAAGAAAAATCATCATACTGATAATGGCTCTCAATAAACCATTCATTTCCAAGTATCTGCAGCTTCCTTTCTCTTTCATATTCCGGTATATCTCTATCAGCGACTTGTACTTGTGTTTTTCCTCTCGTCCCCATGTTTAGATTTTTTTTGGTATTTGCCCTTACAGGTGCATGGCATAAGACCATCCCTACAGTAAATCCTTTAGCTTGTCTGAATTTCCCAGTTTTTCTTAAAATAATTTTTAATAGGGTTGTCGTTTCGACTTTTAAAAAATATTGAGGATTTATGCACCATAATGGATTATCACGTCCATTTCTAAGCGTTCGTCTTCCTCCAGCAGTTTTTTCAGCCCATTCTCCTTTCTCAATGATTTCATAAGTTTCTGGTAACTCTAGAACTTCTATTGATTGGCTTGAAAAAAGTCTTACTCCCCCCATCCTTGATCGAACGACCCACCATCGTTCGATCAAGGATGGGGGTTAAAAAAAAATTTTTGGGAAAAAAATTTTATATATAAAATAAAAAAATATATATATATATATTTTTTTTATTTACTTTTGAATAAGAGGGTTAAGAGTATTTAATAATTTATTTTTACAGCAAAAAAATTAAATTAATTTCATAAAAATTCAATTTTTAATATTTTGATTTATTAGTCACCCTTTTAAACTGTATAAATTTTTAATTTGTTCCTTATTAAACTAAATTTTTTTTTTAAAAATTTTAAAGAATCTCTATTTTATTAGATTATTGAGTTTTTAAGCCTAGGCTGATGAGTAAATCACTTCGGATGGTTTATTTCGAAGCTTTCTGTCGTCTCAAAGTCTCTAAAAACAACTTAATTATGCACATCTTCCCAAGCTTTTGATAACTAATATATTTTTATATAAAAATTGTCATGATATGAAAATCGTTCGATCAAGGATGGGGGTTAATTTCCCAATTTTTAGGAATTTTTACAGTCAATCGTTCGATCAAGGATGGGGGGGAGTTAGCCAAAACATTCTCCCTTTGGATTTTTTGGAGGTCTCAGCTTCAAGTTTTTTTCCATCAATTTCTAAATATGGAACTATTATATAGTGGGCTTCTTTTTTACCTTCAGGAGGCTCTAATACAAGATCTTTTGTGATTTCTCTTTGAGCGAACCTTTGAAGTCCTTCTGCAGCTGAAGCGACTACGTCGTCTTGGTCTTTTTCCCAGATTCGGTTTTTCTTATCAATGGTTTTGATTACCAGGAAATTGCAAGGCAGATAAGGTTTTTCTGACAGCTTTTGGTCAGCTTGCATTAATGATATAAACACATGAGTTTTTTTCTTTACAGTAACCCTATACTGTGGGTTGTTAAACCATTTATCATCACTATCCATTTTTATATGCTGGGCTAGTTCTTCATCTCTATCAATTTGTATTGGAGGCGGTCCTCCAGCTGTTTTTCCTTCCCATTTCCCATCAATTGAATATTTCTGCCATTTTTCTGGGAACATCCTGCATACATAGAGCCTATTAAAATGTTTTTTCCAGTCATCATAAGCCATCCACCAAGTTCCATCTTTTCCAAACTCATAATTAAGCTCGTCTTTAAGTCCTCTATGTTTATCCCATTCTTCATCTTCGTCAGCAAAGGTTCCTTTCCATTCTCCTTCACCCCATGGATTTCTGATTCTTATCAGTTTCAATGGCTGAGGCTTGGGGATATCTCTAACGTCCATAATTCCATAAGCGTGGTTGCTCCAAATTCCATCATTTCCCATTTCTTCTCCGTTTTCTCCTTCTTTTTCTTTCAGTGAGTTGCTGCAGCCAAGCAAGCATCCTTGTTTAAAATACCTTAACAAACTATTTCAAAATTCATCACCCTCAAGCAGTGAAGCTGTGTCTGGGTCTTTTAGGTTGAATTTTTCGCTGGCTTCGCCTGTTAAGTCTACCAAGGCTTCAGCCATTTTGCCGCCGTTTAAATTTTCGTATGTCCTATGCAGTTTTGCATAAGCTTTTTCTATTAGCGGGAGCCACATTTCGTTGGGGTCTTTGCAGTGTGCATAAATAGGTGCTCCATAATTGGAGTTGTAAAGGTTAGATTTATATAGCCATAAGCGGGATACCTTAACATTAACATTAACTTAAATATAGAAAAGTTCCACTTAAGGGCCCTACCTCCACCCGTTACGCTCCACTCGGCTGCTCACCACCGACCGACCACGGCCTTCTAAAGTGTTACTCCTTCTGGACGAGGATGTGCACTCGCTACCCGAAGTTGGATGAGTTTCGCCACCATACCGTACGCCAACAGAGTTGTTAATTCGGAAAATTTGAAAAAACAAATTTTCTGGTCAGACTCACGGCCAAAATGAAAATCCAAAGCCTGGGACGTAACCCCCAGCTTCACGCTAGAGAGTTGCCCGATGGGCCAAGAGGAACCTCATTGGTGCTGCTGAGCTTCTCCTTTCCAACCTTGGAATCCATTTCCCCTGAGGTGAAAACCTTGCCATCAGAGTGAACTGCGGCCGACCAAATTCGACATTGCGCTCCACTGTGCCAAGGAAAAACCTAGCTGGATACCTATACCGAGCGCCAAATTCCCTTCCACAAGGTCGCCGTCGCTATTTTAATAAGTATGCCATAAGCGGGATACCACTAGATGGACTACCTTGACTCCAGGAAAGGTAACCTAAGCTGGGTGTATATATAGGATTTGCCCTAGGATGGCGCTATATGGCGCCATCCTAGGGCAAGCGAAAATTGGCTCCACACGGGAACCGTATTCCACGTGTGGAGCCATTTTTCCACGTGTGGAATCCATATTTTCCCACGTGGAAAAATGGCTCCACACGTGGAACACAATTCCCGTGTGGAGTCGTGTCTCCAATTGCCCGAGGATGGCGCAATATAGCGCCATCCTCGGGCAATTTCTATATATCTGAATGTAATGGTGTAAGGCCCAGCCAAAATTCCACCCTCTTCAATTTTCTGGCGAAACTTGCCTAGCCTAAGGATCAGCTCCCTAGGATAGAGCCACCCACTGTAGTGTGGTCCGATAGTCCCGATAGACGAAGAAAATGTGAGAGGCAAAATCTGGCTAGCCCATCTGGTAGGGACAGGAAAGCCTCGAAGAGAAACAAAATTTCCATCTTCGGCAAGGCTTATCGAGCATAAAGGCCTACTTTAAAAAGGAGCAGAGGCCCTGTTTTCAGCTTCATCAGAATGGGTCCAATCTATTTTATAGAGAATGAGCCTCGGAGGCCAATTTCTGTCAACGTCACCATTTTATTTATGGAGTTGTAAGGGATTCTTGTATCAATAATCACTTGCTTTCATTCGCCATTTTTAAAGAACTGGCAAGTGACGAAACCATATTCCAGCATGAATTCAGTGTTAACAAAGAGCCTTTCTAGTAACTTACTCTCCACCCCCATAAGCGAACAAAAAATTTTGTTCGCTCATGGAAGTAGTTAATTTTTTTTTTTCAATTTATAAATTTTTTTGTTTTGAAATTAGAACAATTCCCCAATTGGAAAGCAAATATTTGTAATTAATGTTTAAATTGCTATATATACTAATTATCACTTATGTATCAAAATTTTTTCATAAAAAATTTTTGTTTGCTAAGGTTGGGTTTGCCAAAAAAAAAGGCTTTTTCCAATGGTTTTGCTCGCTCACAGAGGGGTGAGTTAGGATAAATCGCTAGACAGCACAGCGAGCCCATAAACCAGCAGTCACCAAGAGATCCTTGTTGTATATCTCCTGGAGAAATTCCATTCGCAAAAAGCACAGGGTTGTCAGCTATATCTTTTGGTCTTACCCAAGTTTCGCAGCCCATCCCACGATCATATTCTGGAATATTGTCAGGATCATTATATAGAGAAGTAGGAGCTGCAGGGAAATCTTCGTCTTCATATAAGCAGTGTTCTTCTTTGCAGCGCTCAATAATAGCTCTTTCCATTTCTTCTGTTGAAATTAAATCTTTTTCTCGAAGGTCATCAAGGTTTATTGAGCTGCCTAAGCTTGCTTTTCGGCCTTCATGGTCTGAAATAAATGAGTCGTGGCCTTCCCCTCCTTCGCCTTTATCATTGGAAAATTTGATTTCGTAGTTTGGGCTCTTTTCTTCTTCTAAGTTTTCGGTTTCTTGAGGTGTAGGGATTTCAATTTTTGGTTTTTTGGAAGAAATGTTTTCAGCGGAAAAGCCATGAGGGTGGTCATTAGGGTTTGCAGATTTTGATGGGTCTTCTATTGTGATATGGCCTGAGTTTTGATCAGGATCTTCTTGAGATGGAGATGTAGGCTCTTCCATATTAATTGTTATACAGATTGTTTAACAGATGAAATTGAAAATTAATAAAAATAAGACTGCCCACAAATATTTATTATGCTTGCCTTAATTTTGAATAATGTTTACTTATTATCGATTTAAATTGCAAAAATGGATATAATCGACACTGAGGAAAAACCACAAAGCTACTTTTTCTTTCAGCTCTTTACAATTATTACTACCTTTTCTTCAGTTCCTATTGTGCTGTTTGTATTTCTTCAAGAACCTAGAGAAAAACCTGAATCATACCCAGCTTTTTATGCAGAGTTTTTTAGCTACTTTTATTGTTTTTTGTTCTTTTTGTGGACTTGGGCGTACTTTACAACTTGTGCATCAGGGCAAACTAAAATAAAAAATGCTATGGTGAATTATATTTAGATAGGCTTCTCAGGAGGCCATTGTGAGAAATGCAAAATTACAAAGCCAGACCGGGCTCACCATTGTTCAGCGTGTGGGACTTGTATTGCTAAGATGGATCATCATTGTGTGTGGACAAATACGTGTGTAGGGTACTATAACTACAAAACTTTTCTATTATTTGTAGGATATCTTTCGTTAGGGACCTATACTTATGATTATTTATCTTATGAATATATAGTGGCGCCTGATAAATTTAATCTGTGAATTGCATTGAAGATTTTAGTGTATTTAGAAACAGCAATTGTGTATATAACAACATTTTTAGCTACGGCGCTGTTTTCAACGCATATATTAATGGCATTAATCAACTTAACAACTATAGAATATATAAAGGGAAAGCCATTCATATATCCATTTTGCTACAGTGAGATAGATGCAGCTGCAAATCAGCATCATTTAGGTCCAGCAGTTAATTGATTAGAAATTTTTGGAAAAAATCCTCTATTTTGGCCTATTCCTATACAACACAAAGGAAAAGAAGATGGGCAATTTTTTCCAACAGTTCCATTACCGAATGAAGAAGATTATATTAATTTTGAAAAATTCTTTTAATAGTTGTCAAATAATTTTATATCAGCGAATTATTTGCAGAGGATGCTTATGTTATAGATGCTAACTCTATATGCCTCCTTCATATTTTACATCATAAATAGTTGTTTTCTATGATGACTAAATTTCAATAATATAATATAGTAATTGCCCGAGGATGGCGCTATCTTGGAATTGAACCCACGTGTGGGGCCATTTTTGGTATGTGGAGAACATCGACTTCCACGCACCAAAAATGGCCCCACACGTGGGCTCAATTCCCGGTGTGGGGCCATTTTTCAATTGCCCAAGGATGGCGCAAGATAGCGCCATCCTCGGGCAATTGCAATATATTTAAATAAAAGCCATTATCACCTATAATTTTACAAATATAACTTGCTCCGAAAATTTAAATTCATAATCAGAACCATTAGCAATTAAACATGGCTGACCTATTTAACACTTTTTTCACATCTCTCATAGCAGGAGGGTGTGCAGGATGTGCAGTAGATTTAGTCTTGTTTCCATTAGATGCAATTAAAACCCGCCTAATGGCAAATGCAACAGCCAAGCTTGAACTCTCAAAGATTTACAAAGGCTTATCTATGGCAATGGCAGCGTCATTTCCATGTGCAGCTACCTTCTGGGCTAGTTATTGCTCCATGAAGTGGATTTTGGAAAACTACGCAAGCCCAAGCTCTCCAACAATGCTTCATTTCTTATCAGCAATCTTTGGAAGCGCTTGTACAGCTTGTGTTAGAAATCCTTTTGAAGTCGTGAAAAGTTTGATGCAAGTGGGTGCTTATAAGTCAGTTCAGAGTGCGTCACAAGGAATTCTTAAGACAAAAGGACCGTCTGGCTTTTATGTAGGATTATTATCACTGATATATAGAGAAATCCCATTTGATGCGATGCAAATGATCATTTATGAGTACTTGAAGGGCTCTGACTATGGCGGGAGCGAACTAAGCTTGTATAGGCATTTGATTAATGGAGCAGTTGCTGGGGGATTTTCAGCCTTTGTAACAACTCCGATTGATGTGGCGAAAGTGAGGATACAGACAGATAAAGGTGAAGGAAAATATAGATCCTTCTTACAAACTATTAAGCTAATATACAAAACTGAAGGTCTTCCAGCATTGTGGAGCTCTTGGAAGATCAGGGTAATTTATATTACTGTAGGAGGTATGATGTTTTTTGGGACATATGAAGCTGTAAAAGCAGAAATGGCAATACAAGTATAACATGACTTATAAATTTCTTTAAGATTTTGTATTTTGCTAAATGCTATAGCTTCTTTTCTTAGCTCATTTGGTCAGACAAATAGGGTACAATAAAACAAATTCCTTTCAATTTTTATTTTAAATTTTTTAATAATTGCGCTACTTCTATCAATAATCCTTTAGTTTTGTTAATTTTAATGCTAAAAGAAAATTATTGTTAAATTCCAGATTAAATTCAAGTAGGGCAAGAGATTTATATCACCGTTATATCATTATCTAAATTTAAGATCTTTACTATTTTTGAATTAAATTATTAAAAGCTGTAAGAGTGAAGTCTTCTTAAGAGTATTTCATTTTTGTACTCATTATTAGAGTAATTTTTCAATTCACCCACCACATCTTTTTCTTCATCGAAATCATTATACTCTCCTTTCCTTCCATGCCTTGCACTGCAAATAATCCATGCCACTAGTAAGAAAACGACTCCTAAAGTGCTTGCAAAAAGAACAGTCCTGAATCCCCATCTTAGCCCTTCAATAGGATCTTCATAGTAATCCATAACAGTCGCTGATATCACTGGGGCGAAATATGAGCCTAAATTGAAGGCTAATTGTGAAAAAGAGCTAGCTGAAGATTGGTATTCTCTTGATAATGAATTTATATTGATTCCTGTCGCTGTAGGAAATAAAGCGCCCCCAAAAAACATCATAATCCATAACAAAGGGCAAACATAATTGAGTGTCCCTACAAACCCAATTGAAATAGAAAACACTGATGCGAATAGTGAAAAAATCACACAGAGCTCGACAGCCGTTATTAAATTTTCACCTTTATAGCCTCCCATATGATCTGAAAGCCACCCTCCAAACATAACTCCAGACATTGGCCCAGTCGTACAAATAATTGAAAACAATAAGACGACTTCTGCAGGATTTGAATTCAGCACTTGTATTAAATATAAAGTTATCCAGTATTGTATGCCTGTAACTACAAAACAAAGCGAGCATAAAGAAAGTGTAATAAAAATAAACAAAGAGTTTGAAAATAGCATTTTAAGCTGCTGCATATAGCTTGATAAATGACTAATATTCACAGTATCCATTCTTACAAATTTGCTTTCCCCTGTAGGGCGGTCGCCTGGAGAAACTAAAGTTGTGGTTTTCCGGAAGTCTGTTGTATCAATGATATCAATGTTTTTGTAATATGTAGCTCTCAGCCAAAGGAGCAAGGGGATTAGAAATACCACTTGGATTTGAATAGCAGTTCTCCATGTACCATAGTCATAGAGAATGTTGATAATCACACCAGCCATTACGTAGCCGATTATAATTCCTAATGTAGAAGAAGCTTGCAAAGCAGCAAGCCATTTTGTGCAGCTTTCTGGAGGACTAAATTCATTAACCCATACAGGTCCATAAATAACAAAAAATGATTTAGTGAATCCCATAATAAATCTTGTTATATAGAGAATATACAAATTTGATGATACTGAAAATACCCCAGCTGATATTGCATTTAATAGCATTACACATGACAAAATTTTTTGAGCAGAAAATTGCTGGAATACAGACGTGACTACTAATGAGCCTACACAAATTCCTAAAAAGACAAGAGAGCCTATAGCAGCTTGTTGCTGAAAGGTCATGTCTATTTCTTGAGTAATTTTAAATAGTGAAGCGGGAACTATACCTGTATCAAAATTGAGGATTAAAATAGATGAACAGAATAAAGCGTGGGTAAGTCTTGAAGAACCTGGCTGTTTTAGTAGTGGCTGAGGACTTTCAGAAAGTTCTTTAGCTTTTGCTGTACCTCTTACGTGAATTCCTAAGTTAGCAGCTGCAAGGACATCTGGATCTTTAGACATAATTAAGGTTTTTTCCTTTAATTTACATATTTCATTTTGGATATTCAAATTTTAAGGCTGATTCTTCATAAATAGTTCTAATTAGCAATATTGATAAAGTATTTTTAAAGATATTTAGATTCTTTATATTTTAATTGATTTAGTTATTTTAATATCAGACATAAAAAATTTAACTGAAATGTTATCCGATAATTAGCAAAATTATTGAGGATTTTCTTGGTTACTGAATGTCTTAGAAATTTCATCGAAAAAATTGCCAAGAGCTTCGGCTTCTGCTTTCAGCTCAGAAATTTCTTCCTCAGTCTTATCTTTGATGTCTCTGTTGAAATCTTCAGGTCTGCCACCTTTGGAGATCATGCTAAATCGCTTTTACTCAAGTAATTCATAAGGTATACCGCAGTCTCCAATTTCATTTTTTAAGTTTGCACTTGTTGTCAATAATGTGTCTAATGAATCAGTGTAGCTATCTCTAATTCCCCCTTCCGTTAGTGAACAAAAAAATTTTGTTCGCTCACGGAGGGGGGTTAATTTATTTTATTAAAAAAAATTATATATAAGAAAAAATGTTTTTTCGAAATTTTAAAAAAATCCTAATTTGCAAAAATTGAGAAGCAAATATTAATTTAATTTATAAAATTTATGTTTTTAAAAACGCAATTTGTTTAAAATTAAACAGAATTAGCTCGAGATTTCATTATACTATTTATCACTTATATATCAAATTTTTTCAATGAAAAAAAATTTTGTTCGCTCAGAGAGTGCGGGTTTTTGGGCAAAAAATAGGAATTTTTCCAATGGTTTTGTTCACTCACGAAGGGGGGAGAGTAAGTAATCTTTACATTAATTCTGCTAGCTGTACATCAGTTGCTGCTCCTTGTGCAGCTTTCTTGATTGCATTTGCAGTGTTCATGGACCTTTCTATTGAGTTAAGTAGTCCTCTGATTTCAGGGTCCATTATTTAATTATTAATTTAAATAATTATTTGCTAATAAAATTTATTGATAATTAATTTAAACAATAAAAAATAAAAAATTAATCAGAAAAGTAATATATTTATTGAAAAAATCAATATAATCGAAATCTGTATTATCTAAAAATTAATTGGTTCTTGTTCTGATTAAGAACTTGTTGTCTGTCTTTCTAGTATGATAAGTCGCCATTGCATCTTTCACACCATTCAAGTTAACTGTTGCACAATAATTTGTATTAAAAATGTCCTCCATCAATTTTTCAACTCTTTCACAGAGCTTAATTCTTTTCAAGGTAGGTAAGCAGCACCACCATTTCATGAAAGAAAGACCTTTAAGCTTTTTTCTTGGAGAAAATGACATAGGGTTGATTGTGCACGGCTCCGTTGAGAGTCCTCCATATACATAGACAACACCAGGCTCTTGAATAAGTTCATATAAATGCCCTGTATGCTCTCCAGAAATAGCGTCGAAAGCAATTGTGGCTCCTAAATGTCTTGATAAGTCTTTAGCTCTATCCAACCAGCCTTCATTTGAGGATACGATGATATTTTCTGTCCCACAAGTTCTTAATGAAACTGCATCTTCTTCACCTCTAACGATCGCAATAACTGGAATGCCTAAATAGCAGCAATATTTAATTAGAGATTTTCCTGTCATGGAGGCAGCTGCATTTATTATGACTGCTCTATGGTTGCCTTTTTTGATTTTTCTTATATGAAGTTCGGTTGTCAATGCGTTGGAAAACATAGTGGCTGCTTGCTCAAAAGGAATATTATTCACTTCGCCATATATTTTTAAATTATTTTATATATATATAATAATGCCCTATTTATTTATAAATCCATTTATCTTTGATTGGCAGTACAAATCTAGCATCAGTAACACAGAATTCTGAGAATGCACCAGTTGAATTAGGACCATAAGCCATAAAGCAGACACGCTTATTAAGGAGTGAGTTAGGAAGAGCCCCACCTCCACTTCTGACGACAGTTCCAGATCCTTCTATACCAAGAGTTTTATTTTGAAGTTGATAGAAATATTTGCCCATAAACATGAGTTCGTCCATTGGGTTGAGTGTTGCAAATTCAGTTCTTATAAGAACGTAACCTTCTGGGACATCAGGAATATTCATTTCTTTTACACCTAGGGTGTTGAAATTTCCAAGCTTATCAGCTACAACTGTTTTTGTTTTGTTTGCCATTTAATTATACTGATTGGTTTTTTTGGAGCCCAAATCAATGAAGAATATCTGGTCAGCCATTTATAACGGATACAAAATTAATGATTTAAAAAATAGAAAAATTTTAAAAAAATGACTTAGTATTTAATTTATGAATTTTCCTGCCAGCATTGCAAATATAATGATATATGAGATTATTAACTGATTCAAATAGTCATGATGCTTAATTTATATAATAATCAGGAGAGATAGAGACTCAACTTTATATGAGTTTTTTAAAATAATTAAAATTAAAAGATAAGATAAATAATAAATGGGCTATATGCTTTATTGCTTATTTAATATTTTTTTAATAGAATTATTAACGCAATAATATACTATGGCGACCCACCCACCCTCTGAGTGGTGGCTCAGCAGCAAGCAAATTGGAGAATGAATTGATACATAGAGGCCATACAAAATTGACCTAAAGTCATATTCAGACATAGCCAAAGTCTTTATAAAAAAATCAACAGTATTCTCTTCTTTGCTGAGGCTATGTAGAGAATTAAAGGAGTTGGAAATCATAAGTAGATTTAACAAGAGATTCTGTTGAGCCTATCAAGAAGGGGATGCAGATAAGGCTGAATTGAAAGCTAAAATATCTAGACTATCATTGCAGCTTAATATCCTCAAGATTAAAGCTCCTACCCCCTCATTTAACTAAGTATATACACTATTTATAAATTATTTAAGCCACTACCTTCGAAAATTCAATTTAAATCTAAGCTCTTATATAATTTTCTATTATTCATTATTGCTTGTGCATCATCTATTTGCTATTGTGCAGATTTTTCCATTTACTATTTAGATTTAGGCTTCTATTTATTAATAAAAATGCTGGTTCGACAAGCGCGTATGCTCACCCGTCCAATTTTTAATTCTTTCAGATCATTTTCTTCAATTTCTCATAAGCGATTAGCAAAGGCTCTTGAAAATGAACTAGAGTATGATCATAAGATATACAAAGAAGAGGATGAAATTTCATCATACATGAGAAATAGTGGATTTAAGCTATTCGAACGCGAAGATCACACATTAGTTACTCTCCAGAAGAAATTTAACGATGCTGAAGTTGAAATAACTTTTCATGTAAAAGCTCCATCCGTTGATGAAGCCGATGAGCCTGGAGAATCTCAAAGCAATCTAGAGCAGGATGAACCGCCAGGAATTTATATAGATTTTCAAGTACTGGTTAATTTGCTTCTTTAAAATTAAGCAAGTTGTTTTGCTTTCTAATAGAGCAGTCGATTTTTTACTTGAAAATTATTATAAAATTGTATATTTAATGAGATTTAAATTCTTAAAATTTGGAAAGAAAATCTATTTTAATTATTGAGGTAAATTTAATGATCTCAATATAAAAATTATAATTAAAAAAAATTATGAAACAATTTTGTTTGCTCTTGAAGGTTTCGATTTTCCATTAATTTTACTTGCCATTAGGAGTAAGAAACCGAACACAAACACAGGTTTCATCTTTGAATGTCTTTGCCTGGATCAAGAAATCACTGTTGCCAATGTCGTTTTTAGTGACAATTTAGCTAACATAAAGCGTCAATCGACATTTGGTAGAAAAGGTGGCGAATACAGAGGTCCTCAATTTGTAAATCTTCACAAAAAGGTCCAAAACTTGCTAACAGAGTATTTGAAGGACTTTGGAGTTGATGATAATTTAGCTTTTTTTATTGAAATGTATTCAATTGACAAAGAGCATAGGTGCTACATGGAATGGCTCAGACATGTTAAGAATTTCGTAAATTAAATATTAAAAGACATTTAAAAAGAAGGTATTGCTAATGATATTAAATGAGGAGAAACTCCAAGTTTTTTGAGCCATTTTAATGCTTTTCTTTCTATAAGTTCCCATGAGGATTTAGTGTCAAGATGCTTTTTTTGTAAGAAAGCAAGAGCTAATAGTGTTGCCCAGATTTTTTCAGAATCCGGCAAAGATGAAATCTCTTGAGGAATTTGTGAGGAGCATTTAAGAAGCTTTGAAACTCTATTAAGATCCCAAGAGCCATCAAATAATTGGAGAGTTAGAAGCTGCATATAAATAGATCCTTTGACTTCGATTTCTTTTTTAGCTGGAGATTTTTCAAGTGATCTACTTCTAGATCTTTTTCTTTTATCACATTTGATACTTGTTTCCTGCTCTTCCAATGCACCACTAAAATTTGAAGAACTTTCTGATGATTCCTCAGCTTGAAGGCTGAAGGATTCTTGTTTTCATTGTTTACTCAATTTTTTCATAGTAATTCCTCCATGCCATGTTTTTTTAGATAGAAAGCTCAATCCTCCTCCCCCTCTGCCTATACTTACTCTACCTCTGCAGGCAGCAGATAGACCAATCATTGATGCAGTTTTTCTAGCTTTTGTTCTAAATTTGCTTCTCATATCTGGCTGTGGAATTTCTCTTAATTCCATCTCTCCACCAGCACTGCTCGTATTCTTTTTTACAGCAATAAAAGCTGTATATTTTGAGATCAATTGATATTTTACTGAAAGCTCCACAATATTTTGAGTATTTCCAGTGGTTTCAAGCACCGTAAACTCATCAATTCTATTTTTTGCCCATAATTTAAAAACATCGTTCCCTTCTATTTTATTTCCAAAATTAACAGAAAAGGTAATTTTTTCATCTGCTTTGGTATCAAAGCATTCTAGTAAGATTTCTTGAGTAGGAATGATATTTCCAAGATGTGCATAAATAGTAAGCCTTTCTCCATAATAAATATTTTTTAATTTTTGAGGAGAATAGACAATATTTTCTTTTGAAGTCATATGAAGATTCGATATTGCAGGCATCATGCATTTTTTTAGAACATTGATCATTTCTCCTGACATATCTTTGAGGTTTTTAATAAAAGAGTGCAAACCACCCCCAGCTTTAGCACAGGATTTTACTAGTTCTGTAGATACATTTTTTGGTGCAGGTCAAATGACATTGCCTTTTTGATATTATCCATTTCACCGAAAAATTTTTTGGCCGAAAATTGGTTGAAAATTTTTGATAGTGAGACATTTGACCGAGAAAAAAAACCGTTAATTTTCGGCCAAATGTCGCACTCTTAAAAAATTTCGACCAAATGTATTTCGATGAAATATAACTGCCAAAATTCCACTGTCATTTGACATGGAGGCTACATCTTTACCAATGCCAAATGCATTAACTCTCGAAGATTCTGAATTATCAAAAATTAATTGTATTACTCTTTCTGGCTGTAAGACTTCGCCATCTGTTACTAGAAATATTGATCTTGGGTATTTGGAATTAGGCGAAGACTCATATATAGATAATAATGGATCATAAATATTAGTTCCCTCCATATCTGCTTTAAATTTGTTGAGTTTTTCAATTGCTTCAGCTAGCGAATCTTCAGAATACTCCACAGATTTTTTAAACATTGGGGTATAATAGCTCCCAAAGCTTATAATATTAAATTTTGATTTTTCTGGTAAACTTTTAAGGAAAATTAACGTTGCTTCTTTAGCCATTTTGATTTTTTCTCCTTTCATTGAGCCACTCCTATCTAGTAATAATATAAATTCTCCGCTTACTTCTAAATTTTCAATTTCTTCGTTTCTATCATAAGGAATAAAAGAAATCAGGCCTGCATAATTTCCTTCATCTTCTTGCAAAATACATTGGGGAGCATTCACATTTAGATTTTTATAATAAATGACAAGCTCAGAATTAGGATAAAACTCTGCATTTTCATTGAATTTTGCTTTTAGCTGAGTTTTATCTTCGTTTAACTCCCATAATAGATAGTCTGGTTTGCAAGAGTAATCAAAGATTTCAGTTTCTGAATTTATTTCTAATTGAAAGTTGAAATCATATGCGCATCCCCTGACTTTTATAGAGTCTGGCCTTTTCTGTTTAAGAAACTCACCCTTTTGAAGAGGGGTAAGCGACTTAGGTAAGAATAATTTTCAGTTATCAAGATTATTTTGTACTGGGCTTGCATATCTGAATTCTACAGTTACTGTCTCTCCTGGCTGCAAATTCCCAACTGTCAAAGTCATCATATCTTTTTTATCAGACTTCGCCAGAAATGCAGAGTTTCCTTCAGATATAGCATCTTGGTATATTTCTGTGGCTTCTTCTAGCTCCTTGACTATTCCAGTCACAATAGATCCATCTTGTAGATGAATTTTTATATCAGTTATAGCACATTCGTCTTCTATAGGAAAGACATACTCGCATTCGATTGGCCGATCTTCAATATTTTGAAAAACTTGAAAAAGTTGAGTTACAGCTAAAAGATTGTTTACTGTTACCTTAACATCAATGCTCCTCAAAGGAACTGGATGACGATCTTTTAATTGCTGATTTTGATAATAGAATGGCCTCATGCATCTACATCTGCATTTCCTCATTTTATTATTATAATTAATAATTTAATACATCTCTAACTCCCCCCCCTCCGTGAGTGAACAAAAAAATTTTGTTCACTCACGGAGGGGGGTTAATTTTTTTTTTTAAAAAATTTATATATAAATTATATAGAATTTTTTTTTTTTTCGAAATTTTTAAAAAATCCTAATTTGCAAAAATTGGGAAGCAAATATTGATTTAATTTATTAAATTTATGTTTTAAAACGCAATGTGTTTAAAATTAAACAGAATTATCTCGAGATTTCATTATACTAATTATCACTTATATATCAATTTCTTTTTTCATAAAACAAATTTTCTATTAAAAACATTTTTGTTCATTCACCGAGGGTGGGTTTTTGGGCAAAAAATAGCGATTTTTCTAATGGTTTTATTCACTCACGGAGGGGGGGGGGAGTAAGGATATGTGCTTGTATTTTTTTGCTTTCTTGTAGCTTATCATCATTCTGCTTTACTCTCTCCTCTTTAAATTTTTACAGATATAAAACATTCGTTCCTATAAAGAAGGTAAATTTTTTTTGAAAAAAATGTTAATATTAAATTTTAATATAGAAGAAATTTTATATTATTCAAATTTATTTTTCAAAGTGCTAGCTTAGGTAAAAGGTATCTATTTATACTCCCTCCTTAAAATAGAACAAGTTTTCTTAAAATTTTCATTTTGGCAACGTTAAATTCGGTATAAAAAATATTTTCACAGAAGCGTAATTTTTACCTATAGGTAATAAAATTTACCCAAACTCAATGGATGGCAGCATTTTGCCCAAATTTAAAGGAAGGGAGTTAACAAATATTTTAATTTCTCTATCTCATTCCTAGATATTGATGGCTCTGCCAATAATGACGTAAGCTTCTTTCTATATTCTAACTGAGCTCTTTCAAGATCTAAAATTTTGGAGCTGATACCCTCCATTTCAGAAGCCCTCGTTCTCGATGTGGTCAATGGTGAGGAGCTTCTTATTGGAGATATTGTTCCAGGACTTTTTGATCGAAATCTTGGCTTTTGGCTATGTCTTTCTGAATAAGGTGTATTAAAACTAATCTTGTTTTTCAATATTTTTATTTTACTTTGCAAATGATCGATTTTCTTATCCTTCTCTATTGTTAAGTGGTTTAATGCACTTTCAAGCGCTAAATATTTTCTTTTGTAAAGTTTGAACTTCTTCTCTTTTTCTTTGAATGCTAGCAGTTCTTCTTGTAATTTTTCACAAGTTTCAATTAAAACAGAGATTTGTTGATTTTTCTTTTCTTTGAAATGAGACAGTTCATCCTTAAGTGTTTCTGCTTCAATTTCAATTTTGTGATTTTCTTTTGGATTTTGAATGTTATGTTGAATGTATTCAAGCTCGTGCTTATATTTTTCAGCTTCTAAAGTGGATTTTTTTAATCCTTTTTCAAGTAAAGCAATTGACTGTGAGAGTTCATTATTTTTAAGCTCAGAGTCATTGAATTTTTTTCTTAAAAATCTGTTTGATTCTTCAAGCTCCTGAATTTTATTTTCTAAGTCTCTGATAATTAAGAGTGATTTGTTATCTGACCGTAAATTATTTATTGATGGACTAATTTCTGCTGATTTATGTATTGCACTGTATTAAAAATACTGTTCTTTATAATATTTTTCAAGATCTTGCTCTATGCTTGTTTCCATTTACAGTGTTCAAATATAATTTTTATTAGGATTATTCTATGCTATTATGATAAAATTTGGATCTTTATCTGCAAGCTAAAACCATTTTATTAATTTAATATAGTCGTAATCTTTTTAAATACCAAACCTTAATTTCGACAATTGTTAGAATGGTATAATTTTCCACTTAAATTCAAAAACGTTTTCAAATCAATGTATTTTCCTACTTTATCTTCTAGCACTCTTGCCATCTCATCATCGACCTTAATCCCAAATGCGCTTTCACATAACTGTATATAGTCTTCAATTCTGATCCCCAAAGGCGTTGATTTCAAACTCTCATAAGTTCTTTTCAAAAATCTATCATAATGATCCCAAGGCGCTTTTTTGTCAACGTCCATCATGCATCTTACAAATTCATCTTCAGTTATGCTTTGAAAATTAAAATAAGGCTAAATAAATATAGAAATTTTTTTATTAAAATAAAATATAAACGCTCAAGCTATTTCCCTTTATAGAGCATATATATTCAGGGTCTTCACTAGCCTCTTTAAAAGCATTAACCAAGCTATTTTCAAGTCTTCTCAACGCATCTTCTTCATCTCTATGGACAACTTCTCTTTGAATCCGAACTACAAAAGTGGCAAGTTCCGTAATCCTGACTCTTAAGCTTCCAACAGAAATTTGTCGCAGCAGCATTCTATAAATTTCTCTATACTGTTCTTCGTCGTTCATAGGTTTTTTATATAAATGGAATCGACTACAAAAGAAAAATTGCTCCCTATTCCTAAGAGGTCATTTTTTGCGAAACTCTGTATGTGTTTTTGTTTGTCAAATAAAGCTCATCAAAGTGATGATATTTCTATGAGCCCATTTGATACTTTTGCAAGCTCGACTTGCAATGATCCTGATGTCTATTCTATCAAGAATTATTCAGCAGACAAAATTTTATACTGTGCTTGATTAAGATTTTAAATAATTTTATATAAAAAAAGCCTGAAATATCCCAAATTAAATATAATTTAATACACATTACTTATTAGGAGCAGAAAATAAAAAGATTTTGTGTATTTTTAAACATATGGCAATAGAGTCTTTAGAAGACCATAGGATAAGTGGAGAAAGGCCTCCAGAAATTGAAGAAGAAAATTGACGACAAAGGTACAGAATTTTTTCCAAATATGATGAAGGGATAAAACTAGATTGGGATAGCTGGCTTGTAACACCTCATGAAAAGATCGTAAAATCAATAGCAAAATATGCAGTTTTAAGAGGAAAGCCTAATTCTGTGATTGATGCGCTTTGTGGGGTTGGTGGTTTTACTATACAATTTGCCAAGTATTGCAAAGTCATTGCTATTGATATAGATCCAGTGAAAATAGGTTTTGCTCAAATAAATGCTGAAGTTTATGGGGTTAGTGAAAATATCGCTTTTATTGAAGCTGATTTTCTAGAAGTTGCTCATGGGCATAGGGCAGATCTGACGATTGTATCGCCTGATTATTTGAAGTGTGGAGAATCTTTTGATATGAATAATTTTAGACCAGAACTCCCAATACTAATAAGTTCTGCTTTGAAATGTTCACAGTCAGTTTTAATCTAACGATGACCCCCCCCCTCAATCTTCATGCCTATTGCAACAAAAATGCAATTTTTTTAATATAAAATTTTATATAAAAAAAATAATAATTTTCATGTCTCTTGAAACAAATTATATACATTAAAATGGCGACACGTGTCAACCTGCCCTCTTGGCGAAGCAGTCCAGACCTTATGGCTACGGCGAACTGGGACCGACTCCGAGCCGAGAATCAGACGCAGGCTCAAGAAATGTGTATCCAGGTAGGTTTTGGCTGCTTCAATGGTTGGAAATAGATGCGTTCAATAGCGTTCTTTGGATCCGAGGACCCATGGGCATTCCTCTACCGAGAAACTGGGGTTTTCAGCCCAGGCCACAGGGAAACAGTCTTTTTCCTGTAGCTGTCGAAGGAAGGCACTTTGACCTCCAATCGCCCGTAGCAGGGCCGCAGAAATCCATAAGCCGCCCACTCAAGACTGAAGTCGCAAGGTAAGGAGGAGACAGAAGGTACTCGTAAGAGGCATAGACCTCTGGGCTTGTGTCGAAAAGCGGTAGAACCTTCCGTACGGGAGGTTTTTGGTGACTGCGTCACCAATATGGCTAGCACCTGTCTGTAATAATCCTAACCCTCTTGCAACAAATTTTCGATGCGCATCTTAAATTTTTCCGTACTTTTTAGCTAGATAAGTTTAATAAAATGCGAGCGATGACAATAACCGTCCAAACCTCGATGAGAAGTTCATTGACACGCCTACAGCAGCGCTGCTTTATGGTCTTTTTGAGAAACTCACCTTGAGAAAAAATGCATTAATTTTTTTTATAAAAAATGTTGTGTTGCAGTAGGCATGAAAATTTTTTCGAAAAATTTTTGTTGCAATAGACATGAAGATTGAGGGGGGGGGTCATCGTTATTTTTGCCTCCAAATGTAGATGTACAACAATTTGCAAATGTAATTTATGAAATCGACGAAACACAGCCTTTTATAGAAATCACATTGCTATTTGATGGAAGCCACTTAAAAGCTGCTTCCTGCTTGCTTGGACCAATCGTAAAATTCCCTACAAAAGATGTGATTCTTGCAATATCAAGTAGGCTAGGACTTATTAGAGAGCAAAAAGAATATTTAAAACAAATTGTTGAACAAGTTTCTATAAAAACTCTGATGGATCTTGTTAATGAGACTGAGAGGATTGCAAAAGATGTAAAATATAAAGGAAAGAAATTCTTGGAACTTGCTATGAAAATTCCTGATATTAAATTAGAAGGAATTCCTGTTTTATTTAAAGGAGAAAATTATGAACCGATTTTACAGATATTCAAAGAAAGAGGAGATACTATAATTGAAAAAGAAATTGAGGGAGACGCGATTCTTGAAATAAAAGGTGAAAGAATTGTAGGGAGTAAAAACATAATTGAGCACTTAAACTCGAAGAAAGTTGATATGAAATTTATCACTGAAGATGATATTAATTTTGGCTAAACACATTTCAGCACTTTGATGCTAATAAAACTAACCCTTTAATATGAAAAATTTCATTTAAAAGTTTCTATCCATTTCTCATTTATTCAATATAAAAAGATGCATCAATAAAGAGAGCAAAATATTTATTTACTTGCCTTAGCTTCTTCTTCAACTCTTTTTTGGATATATTTTGTTAATGTTTGCGTTCCAAATCCAGTCCCACCTTTTGAAAACTGTTCTCTATCTGCTTTGCTCATAGCTGGTCCTGCAATATCTAAATGAGCCCATTTCACATCTTTTTCTATGAAATTCTGTAAAAACGATGCAGCCTGGCTGGCTCCTCCATATCTAGATTTTCCAGAGTTATTGATATCAGCAGCTGCTCCTTCAATAGCTTTCTTATGTTCTTTCCTTATAGGTAGTTGCCATAAATCTTCTTTATAAAATTCTCCTGATTTGATTATTTGATTAATCAAAGCGCTATCATTGCCAAAAATTCCAGCAGTTTGCTCACCTAGTGCTACTACACAAGCTCCAGTCAAAGTGGCTAGGTCTATTAAAGTATCAGGCTTTTCCTGCTGCTGAGTATACGTAAAAGCGTCAGCAAGACATAAGCGCCCTTCAGCGTCTGTGTTGCCAATTTCTACAGTTAAGCCTTTAAGTGACTTTATTATATCAAGAGGTTTGTATGATTTGTGGGAAATCGCATTTTCTGCAATTGCTAAGGTGCATGTAAGATTGATTGGGATTGACATTTCGACTGCCCATTTAAATGCTGATAACGTAATGCAGGCTCCTGATTTGTCTAAATACATGTCTTCAATTGAGTTGGTTGGCTTTAAATTGAGTCCACCAGTATCAAAAGTCAGTCCTTTGCCAACTAATGCAAGTTTCTTGGTGTTTTGAGGGTTTCCGTTGTACTTAAGAAGAATCAAGTATGGTGGCGTTGAAGCTCCTTTGCCGACTGAATATAATAAATTCATGCCTCTTTCTCTTAATTCTTCACCTTTGATAACTTGCATTTCAACCTTGCCAGGATTATCTGAATACAGTTTTTGAGCTTGTGCAGCCAGAAATTCAGTATTTCCTTCAGTTCCTCTGGTATTGCAAAGATCTCTTGCGTATAATGCGCATACCCCAGAGTGGATTGATTGATTCCAGCTTGACTCATCAATTGTTAAATTGTGAAGCAAATTTAGTTCTGTCAGTTCTTTTTTATCATTTTTCTCTTCACCGTTTTCCTCTTCTTTATGCTTTTTTGCCTTGAGTGGCGCGGTACGGGCGCCACTTCGGCAAGCTCCTTCTTCCAGTTGGCCGAGCCAACTTAGGTTGGTTCGGCCAACTAGAATTGACAAGTCTCCCCAAAGGCCTCACTTGTCAATTCTCCAGTTGGTCGAACCAACCTGAGTTGGCTCGGCCAACTGGAAGAAGGAGCTTGCCGAAGTGGCGCCCATACCGCGCCACTCAAGGCAAAAAGCTATATTTTCTTTGCTTGATTTTGCTGAAAATTTATAATTCTTTAGCAAAGCTGTATTTGCCCAAATTTCTAATTCCTCTTGTTTTGTTCCCCGAGGGAATAAGACATCGGAATTTTCAAGATTTCTAGCTTTTAAAGCAGTGATTGTCTTATTAGCGCTAGAGAAAATGTCTTTTTCATCTAGTTCTTGATATAAAATCCTATCATATGTCCCTTTCGGATATGTCCATATAGATTTTAATGTTTTTAAATCATCTAGCTCTGCTTGATTTAATTTTGCTGACTTTGGTGCGCCTTTTTCTTTATCAAAAAGAGTCACTATATACATAAAATGACCGGAGACGAGCAACCCGTCCTTCCGTGGCGGGTAACCTTATGTATACCGACGTGGTTTTTGGATGCGGAGAGCTACTCAAGGGAAGAGTTAGCTTCGAGGCGAGAGGCCCAGCCCAATTTCCGCTGATTTTGGGGCTTGACCCGGGCAGCAGTTTTTCGCATTCTTTTTGCCAGTAGCGCTGAGGCCCAGACTCCGTGTCCGAAAGAGGCGGGGTGAGTTGCCTGCCTAGGCTACTTGGTGACTTCGCTGCGAATCCCGTAAGGAGTTGAGTTCTTTCTCGGAGCTAATCCGGAAAAGAGGGGAAGGCGAAGCTCGACTCAGATCTCAAGGGCGTCAGTCTCTCCAGTTAAAAGAAGAAGAAAAAATTTACCTTATCCCTACCCAATTTCACAGCGTCACACTACTTCGACCAACACTCCCAGAGCCACCATCACTCCAAGCACCACTCCCAGAACCAGCATTACCCAAACGCCACCACTCCCAGAACCAACATCACTTCAAAAAACCACTTCCAGATCTCCCAGAATCTCACAGTTCTCCCAGAATCTCCCAGGCTCCAGACTCCACAATTCCTAGAATTCCCTCAACTCCCTCAACTCCCTCAACTCCCTCAACTCCCGGAGCATCGACCCCAAAACATCAACCCCCTAAAGGCCAGCAACCTCCAAAGAGCCCCAAAAGAGCCATCACCCGGCAGTTTTTTCCGGGCAGCAAGCCCTTCCCCACGGAAGCAACCTCCCCGCGGCGACCTTCCGGCTGTCTGCCACGTAAGGAGACCAGCTGACCCTTTAGCAGCCGGACGATTCAATGACTATCGCTGTCGTGCTTCAGGCCTCTTCCTCCACTAGGAGTTCCTTCCTCTCCTTTTCAGCAATTAACCACTCGATTTCCTGTACGATCTCCTCCACAATCCCTGCCTCCAGTTAAAAAGGACCCTGAAAAAGGGGGCGATCTGGCCGAGCTAAGCAGGGTTGGGTAATGCTGGCGCTTAGGTTGGAAATAGTGGTTCCCGGCAAAATCCGTATGATTCGGATTCGGAAGGAAATACCACTACCGAGAAACCGGGGGTTTCGGCCAGGGCCTAAGTTATTGCAATTGCCCAAGGATGGTGCTATCTTGCGCCATCCTTGGGCAATTTAAAAAATGGCCCCACACCGGGAATTGAACCCACGTGTGGGGCCATTTTTGGTGCGTGGAAGTCGATGTTCTCCACATACCAAAAAAAATAGCCCCACACGTGGGCTCAATTCCCGGTGTGGGGTTATTTTTGAATTGCCCTAGGATGGCGCAATATAGCGCCATCCTCGGGAAATTACTATAGCCTTGAGGGAGCCCACCCCGCAGCGAAATCGCTGCCGAACGCATGGTACTTAGGAAGTGGGGACTATAAATACAAAGCGTTAATCTAATCTAATCTAATCTAATCTAATCAAAAAGAGTCACTGCTGATTTAAGGTTTGGTCCATTGTGAGTGAATTTTAATGCGGTATGGACCTTTCTTATAGAAAACCCTAACATTAAATTTATTAACAAAAATTGTGACTATTATTAAATTTGCCTATGATTCACTTTCCACACTGGAATATCCAGAACTTTCAGAATAATACTTTTCATGATTTATATTGTTCAGATCTAAAGTAGGCACAATTTCAGGCTTTTCAACTTTTCTAGGAGGTCCTGATATAAGCAATTCTTCATCATTTTCACCAGAATTCCTTTCTCTATTATTGGTTTTTTCTTCCTTAACAATTTTTCGCTTCAAAATGCATTTTTCATAGACTTCTTCTACAGGGTATCCTCTATTTTTTAATTCAGAAATCAATTTAAGCAGCTTTTTTTCTTTTGTTTGGAATTTTTTTAGTTGTTCTTTCATATGTCTGCACATGTCAACTAAAATCTTGTTTTCAGCGACTATGTATTTTCATGAGTCTTCATCTTTTGGCATATCATCTGTTTTTATATTTGAAATTAATAGTAGCCTTTCGTGCAATTTTGCGTAGCCAGATTCGCTTTCTTCTAATGATCTACTTAATCCAGCATTTTCTTTAGCAAGTTTTTCTATCTTTTTAATTGTAAGTTTCCTATCTTCTAATAATTCTTTTACTTTCTTATTGAGATCATTGGCTTCTTCTTGTAAACACAAATTGTTTTCAGAATTTTTTCAAACAGAAATTCATTCCTCATAACCATCTTTTATTTGTCTCAGTAAAGATCCATAAGTTTTGTCTTTTTCTATGACTTCTATAAAGATTTTTCGATAAATATTAAATTTATCATTGTCCATTATAGATTCTGAATCGTTTTCCTCAATTTTTTTCAATTTCTTCAATGTTTTATGCGGAAATAAAATGGAGAGCATACCGACCTGCTCTTTTCTGGAAACTTCTGGCTTTGGGAATTTTGATGCAGTCTGAAACTGAGAAAGAGGAGGAAGGTTTTAGAATTTTTGTGCCCGAGATGGATTTTTCTTGGTCGGGACTCCACGACAGGGACTTTTGCCTTGAACCATGGGCCAGACAGCAAAGAAAACTCCAATTTTTTTCATATGAAGGGTAATTGGAATAGAAGGAGGATTCGGAATTTCTGCCTAACATCCTATCCCTAGCCAAAGTTGGCGCCTAACGCTATGATATTCAAACGAAGTAAAGGATGCGTCTCTCAAAAGATAATGTCACCATTTTTTGGTAACATCGACAGAAAAGAGTGCATGCAAGCCGATGCCTCTGGTGAGAAGCCTGAAATCAGTAAGTCAGAGAGAGGGCTAAAATAAACCCTCTGAGATTACGCTAATTAGCTTAATCTTAATCGATACAATAATTTATTTTCTAAGCTTTCAGCGTCATTTTTTGACTGAGTCAAGATTCTCCGAGAATCTTGTGTAAGTGTAGTAAATGAGTTACTTAACGATAAAATATTTCCTGTTGGAGTTTTAGATTTTGAGATTTTTTGAGTAGAGTCTATAGAACTCAATGATTTATTTGAACAATTTATAACAGAAGCTTCTTTCCCTTTTTTATGCTTCAGCTGAATTCGTGAATTTGTATAATTTTTTTTGAGTTCTGAAGATACAGAGCGAAGCTTTATAGGAGTTTTATCATTAAGAGTTAGCACTGAGGAAGATCGGATTTTAGATATAGCAATTGCCCGAGGATGGCGCTATCTTGCGCTATCCTAGGGCAATTCAAAAATGGCCCCACACCGAGAATCGAACCCACGTGTGGGGCCATTTTTGGTGTGTGGCCAACATCGACTCACACGCACCAAAAATGGCCCCACACGTGGGTTCGATTCCCGGTGTGGTGCCATTTTTTGGATTGCCCGAGGATGGCGCAAGATAGCGCCATCCTCGGGCAATTCCTATAAAGACTGACTATGGGCATATGGGGAATCACTGAAAAAGCTCGCCTGCCTTTGAAGATATGATGAATCATTTACTGCTATTATTGGAGCTGGAGGATTTTGAAATAATGCCATTTTACGTCTTGGCTTGAATTTGAATGATTCTTGGAATAGATTTGTGTTTGCTTTTGTGATTTCAGGAAACCTATGCTTAGACATAAATTAAATAATGCTATTTATTTCAAATGTATCATGCAGATATGTAAATATTGCTTTAAGCAACCTATTTCACTATAAAATTCGATCTTGATAGGTATTGTAAGGCAAATTTTAAGAGATTCCATTTCAAATTTAATGCCAGTTTATTTAATATTTTTAGATATTTTTAAAGCATCTATCATGATACTCAAAAATTCAGCCCTGATCTTTTATAATTGCTAATGATTATCAAAATAATGAAGATATTATTTCAGCTTTATTAGAAATTTATAATAAAATGCTTATTAATTAGGAGGAAAAGATGGAGACTATACATAAAATTTGTGGCTTACTGAATATGATTCAATCTTTTGGTTATTCACGTAAGTGCTCTCTAGTTTGAATACATCACAAATAAATTAATTTATTAAGAAATGAATTGTTAATTGCAATAATTAACAACATGAGTGGAAATTGATATCATCAGTAATGTATTAAATGCTATATCTTTAAAATCTATATCCGAATGTAAGCTAAACTCTAATATAGGCTTAATTAATTTCATTTTATTAAAATTAAATTAGCCATGATAAGCAATGAGCCAAGCTCAATCACAACTTTATCTAGCAAAGCAAGCTATATAGATTACTATGAGGAAAGCTTGCCCTATAAAACCTTAAAAGTTGATAGCAAAGCTAAAAATACAATTCTAGAAGCAATTTTCGAGGTCTATCTGCTCTGCTTCTTTATCAAGAGCCCAAAGCGGCAGTCTATTATAAAGCAAAGAATTAAAACTATTTTCATTAATATCATATTTGCATGCCAAATTATTAGCTTTTTATGAACCTCAAATACTTCAATAAACGGATGAGAAAGTAACGTAAAAGTTTGAAATTATATTGGCTCTTTGCGATTTGATAATTTATGTATTTATTTTGATGCAATAGATTTGTGTCTTTACTCTTCTATTATGCTTTCCTTTACATGTATATTTGGAGCAGCTCTTATGGTAATTGCTATTTTATTGAAAAGAAAGATATCTAAACTTTTTGCTCGGGTTTTAGGAGGATTTTACTTTTTTTTTTCTGATTTTATTTATATTCCATCTATAACTTTACTTTTGATTTGTGTTAAATATAGTGTGAGTACGGAAACTTATGCATTAGAATATCAGGAAAATAATAAAGCATCATCTTTTCAGCTATCACCTATATTGATACCTTGATTATTACTATTGCTTATTTTTATATTTTTCATTGTATTGCTAAAATCGGCTTTTTGCGGAGATACCAGGCATTCAAAATTTCCAAAAGTAGTTTCTGCAAAAGCCCATTCAATAATCGAAATATATACAGTCCTTTATTCTACAATAATATCAGTATTTTATGTATTTTTTGCTATTAAGCACATTATTTTATGTCAAATTATAACAATGATTTTGTCACTCGTTTTAGTTTATAAAACAGTCAAATCATTTCCTTATTTTTCACCATTCAATAACTGCATTGTGGTGGTTAGATTCTTAATTATTTCTACAGTATCTTTTGCATTCATCTTTGGGAAATGAATAAATACTGCTTATGCTATTTCTCTGCTATCATTTGTTTTTGTGCCATCTTTATCATTGATAGCAATAGAAATAGTTGTGCGTGCTTATCAAAAATCAATAAGAAATAGAATATTCTATGTTGAAACTATAAAAAATGGATATGAGCTTGAACTTTTACTTCGCCAGTCTTTATGAAAGAAAAAAACTGAGATAGATAAATCAGTTATACGGGTTTTTGCAGATTGCTATCTTAAAACTACTCTTCATGAAGTAAAACTATTAGCGATATGAGAAGCAAATTTCTGCTTTTATAGCTTAAAAGATGAAACTTTAGCAAAAGTTAAGCTTCATAAAGCAAAATACTCTAGTTACAGTTTGGAAGGTAGCTATCATGAATATTTATGCAGAAAAATATTTTCTGAGAGCGCTAAGCTTAATGAAAATACAAAATTTTTGGATTATATAAATGATTTCAATAAGCTAAAGAAAGAAGATGAATTTTTTTGTGTTCTGCTTCAGGATTTTTGAAGAGAGATTATATTGAGAAAGCCAAACTTAAATAAAATAAAATCAATAATGCTAAGGATATCAAATTCAGTTTTATTCCTTAATCAAGAATATACAAGACTAATTACTAGCTTTCCGAAAAGCTCAGAAACTCTTTTGTTATATTCAACTTTATTACAGAAAATTTTTTTTAACAATGAAAAAGCGATTCCTCTATTGAACAGGCAGCATTCTTTAAATAGAATACTTAAACATGAATTTGAGAAAAAATTCAGTGTGTTTGATGAAAATAATGGAATTATTTTAGCCAGCTGAGGAGAAAAAGAGGACCAAGGAAAAATTTTTTTTGCTAATCCTAGAGTCGCTGATATGGTGAAACATCCTATAGATGAGCTTATTGGGAATAATATCTCTATATTTATACCTCATCCTTACGATCACAATTTTGCGAGCTCAATGAATTATTATCTTCAATATTGTTCGAAATCTGACTTAAAATTGCCCCCATTTATTTATTTGCTTTCTCCAAATGGCTATTTAGTTGAGTTTATGTTTAAAGCTTCAATCACATCATTATCAAATATATTAACTCTATTTATTCTCTTAAAGGAAAGTAATACAAATCATCAAATTGCTTTGATATCTGAAACTGGAGAAATCTATGCACATAGTGAACTATTTAACTTGTACACAAATTTGAGATACCCATTTTTAAAAGGATTTTACATTTTTGATGTTTTTCCAAATTTGAAATTTTCTGATATTATACCTAACACGCTTATCAAGTTGCAAAATAAATCAGAAGATACTTATATAGTATTTTCATTCTGGGAACTTGATGGTATAAAGATAAACTATGTATTGATAATAGATGATCCTAATGAACTCCAGGACTGAAACATCGAAAAGTACAGAGAAATAGAAGATGTCTATACACCAGTAGTAAATAAAATTTTTCCATTGCCGAAGTTTGGTTTTTTATCAAGTATATCAGAATATGATATTATAAAAAATGACCCCAGTGGAAAGCAGATAAAAAATGAAACAACAGGCATAGTACATTCAAATGATATTACTCAACCAAAAGATTGAGGATTATATGAAGATGAAGGGCCAACTCATAGCATATCCCAAAGCTCTTCTGCAATTCAGAAGAAAAATCTTGGAATAAAGCTCAGAGAAGATGCAACTCGGACTATAAAAATTTTCAATATTATTCTTATATCAGCGGTATTTGTCATTTAGATTACTATTAGTACACTAGCGAATGTAGCAGTTGTGCTTTTCACTGTAATTGAAGCAATGAAGCTGAGTGATTTAAAAATAGCAATAACTCTTGGAAAATTAGAATACTCCCTTATTACTATAGCTAACTCAATCCGAGATATGCAATTTCAATTTCTTCTTTATCCAAACGAGTTACCCAGCTCTGTTTCCGATTTGCAGGTAAAAATCAGCGATTTAGAAGATCTCCACGCAAATATTTCATTTAAACTATCTGACTGGGATCTTTGCCGTGGAAAAAACATTTTTATAGAAGAAGCTGTTCCGGTATGGAAAGGAAATATTATTGAGAACGAAAAATTGATTAATACAATTTCTGAGTTTATCGGTACAGTAATTTATATATAGGGAAAGGATGTCATAAGAAAAGCAAACAGTTTAGAAGATTTCTCATCTGAAGGTAAATATATCGTCTCAAACGGATATGGAAGTGTTTTTCGCTATACAAACAGTTCTCTTTATGATTTTGCTCGTTGCCAGCACGAATCAATTGTTGACCTCACTGAAAATATGAATTACTTGCTGCTCAGCAGTTTTGCTATTCTTATTGTTTGTATAGTTGTTCTAATTCCGTTTACAATGTCTATTGAAAATATGTTTAACTCTTTCTGGAATCATATAAAAGCTCAAGCATGTGATGCATATTTTGATTTAAGGCAAAATTGCTTAGATAGACTATACAGTATCCACGGGCAAAATGATGCTCAAAACTTGCCTCATAATACAAAATATATGAGCAAAACTGCCAATATGAAAAGTCCCTGAAGATATATATGAAGGATCAGCTTATTTTTATTATGTTCTTTGCTCTTTTTTTTGATAAATTATGTGTACATATATCCGAATGGCCATAAATACGTAAAAATGAGACCTCTACTTATCAAAACTCTTATAAGCAGAAAAATTTCTTATGTTAATTTGGTTTCTTGGTCAAGAGAAACAAAACTAGATGACCAGCCTTTAAGTCTTGAGCATATTTTAAATACATCTTATCAGTTTCCAGAGCCAGGAATAAAGCTAAATTCACTGTACGCAAACGCGCTTTATTCAAATAAACTTATAAGAAATCCAAAATATGAAGTATATAGGTTGCCTGATGATGGCGCTCAAATGTGCCATCATCGGGCAAAACCAGAGTGAAAAGGGGTCTCCGCACGGAAATGGGTTCCACGTGTGGAGCCCTTTTTGGTGCATGGAAGTGAGGATTCTCCACGTGTCAAAAAGGGCTCCAACGTGGAAACCCATTTTTCGTGTGTGGGGCCCTTTCCTGGTTTTTGCCCGATGATTGCACATTGAGCGCCATCATCGGGCATTTATTATATCTTTTAATTCTGATTTTATAAAATATTTTTATGAGGACATGAGCCATCAAAATGAGATTTTTAAATATGGAGTGTACTCTGCAGGAAATATAATTCTCTTTGATGTCCATTATCATTCTATGCATGATATGGATGCTGATAGTGATCAGAATCCAGATAGAAATATGACTTATAAAGAAGAAAATGACAAAGAATGGCTATCTATTACTGAAAAAGCAGAAAATCTAGCAAATATTTATGATGATCTTATAAATTATGCTGATGATCAAAACATGTATATAATCCAAAGACAAGTCATGTATGTTCTTATTGTTCTCGTATTTTATATTTTGTATTCAGCATGCTTATATTTGTTTTTTTATGTTCCTTTTCTTGCAAAGGAAAAAGCTAATCTCAAAAAAATGGAAACAATAATGACTTTGATTCCAGCTCATGATAATAAGCATTAATAAAATCAAGAAAATTATTTTAAAGCTTCACATAAATTTCTTTCATCATTTTTATAATATAAAAGCTTACATCGATCAAAAAATATGAGATGATGATGCTTTATGATTATATTTTTTCTTTATCTTTAATTTTATATTCTTCTCATCATAATTTATTTTAAATTAATTTGTTCTACACAAAAAAAAATTAGAAACACAGAGAAATTTTCCAATGCAAATTTGAATCTCTAGCAGTCAATTTATCAAATTTCAATAAATCTTTTGACGATTTTTTAGCTATTAATTAAATTTACTAAATATTATTTCTTTATAGTTTATTTTTACCTCACAAAGCTCTTATCTTAGCAATTCTTTTGTAAGGATATAAAATGCTGAACATACCCTCTTACATCGACGATCCAAGCTATCGCTATAAAATGCCAGCTTTACAAATAACAGGTGAAAGTCGTGGCAATGGCGTGAAAACAAAGCTTGTAAACCTTTCAGATGTGTCAAAATACTTGAATGTCCCAACTGAGTATCCCCTGAGATTTTTTGCTGCCGAATTAGGAGCCAGTGCTGAGTACAAAGAGTCTGAAAATAAAGCAATTCTTAAAGGTACCTTCCGTAGAGAAGATCTTCAAAAGCTGCTAGACCAGTTCATCGAAAAATTTGTGTTATGTTCCAAGTGTCATTACCCAGAAATTACCTATCGGTTTAAGAGGAATAATTTAATCTCTGACTGCAAAGCTTGTGGCAATGTAAAGCCAATGGATATGTCTCACAAAATCAGCAACTTCATACTCAAACATCATCCCAGGACTGAAGAAAAGCCGCCAGCTGCTAGCGAAAAAAAAGTAACAGGCAAGAAAAAAGTCTCGAAAAGGAAAAAGGAGGAAGAAACAGAAGAAAAAATAACCCTTGATCATCCTGATGTTTTAGAAGCTATAGAAAGAATTTCTCACCATATAGAAGAAGCACCTGAAAAAATAAGTGAGCATATAAATAATATTTGCATTGCTAAATATGGATATAAAAATGGTGGGGTGAAACAACCCAACATCTAACGACTGTAGCTGGGGAGAACTAAGGGAGTTTTGGCGTTTGGTATGTGTATCAGGCCATGTCTTACTTGGTTTGGTGGGCGAATGTCCGGGTTGCTGACCGCAGACTCACATCCCAAACCAAAGCTTTACCTTGGAGTAAGATGGAGTTAGAAAGGAGTGCCTCAGCAATACCAGTGAGATTCCTCCTGGTCGATAGGGAACGTTCCCAGCACGATACCAGGCATTGTGTCCAGGGTTTACGAATTTTCATCTTAGCCAACAGGTGACCACAAAATTTGTTTTTCTAATTTTCTAGAAGCCAAAAAACACCGTTGGCTTACGGCACTGTGAAACAAATTTTCTGACTGTCAGGAGTATGTGCAGGTCCCTGTCTGTTAGGAGCAAGACTTTGAAGGTCATGAGATGATTGTCGGCAAAGCAGATGAGTGCAGCTTTATGAAAGGGAATAAGGATCCTCCGATCCGACAGGGAGCTTTTCTATAGCCTGCTAAGTGTAAGTTTATTGCTAAATCCTCATTAGTGGATGAACAAATCATTACCCTTTATGGGCGAGCAAAAAAATATTTTATAACAAATACTTAATATATAATGATAATAATTCTAACGAAAATCTCTCCTAATTCTATTGATTTACTTAGATTCTAAAACATGGATTTTTAAATTAAATAATTTTTACTGCAAATTAGATTTTTTTAAAAGCTATAAATTTATATAAATTATTTTAAAAATAGATTAAATCATTCATGAGCAAACAAAATAATACTCAATAAAGGAGTGGGAGTAACAGCATTGAGCCTGATTTACGCGTTTATATAACCTTGAAATCCATTTTCGGACTTAATTTACTCAGATTGTTGCAAGATCCGGCAAAGATCTTTATATTAAAGTCACAATCCGAGGCATATCCTGAGGAGCTGTTAATGGCTTTATCAGTTATTTATATTCCTGATGAGAGCTTCCACAGTAAAGTGTCAAGAGTATTGATGGCTTTATATGAAAATGACATTTTTACTAGCTCATTCTCCATGAGTAAAACGCTCTTGTTCGCTCAAGAAGTATCAATTTTTTTTATTTTAAAAAATTTAAATATAAACTAAATAGTAAATTTATTTTTTAAAAAAATCCCAACTCGCAAAATTGGAGAGCAAAAGTTCACTTAATTTGTAAAATTATGTTTTAAAATGCAAACTATTTAAATTTCAACAGATTTCATTATACTGATTATCATTATATACCTAAATATTTTTTCATAAAAAATTTTTGTTTGCTTCACGGAGGGGGGCTTTTGCCCAAGAAATAGAAAAAATTTTCCAAATCGTTTTGTCGCTAATTGAGGAGGGAGTGAGGAATTCTTAACGTCATGGTCAGAAGACGAAGCTGTGTTTAATGAGTCTTCAATTATTTATAATGCAGATTTTCTGGAAACAATGAAAAGATGTGCTACGGATTTTTTAACTTGATTACAAAACGCTGAATGTGAATCAGAAGAAGAAGAAGAAGAAGGAGAAGGAGAAGGAGTAAAAGAAGAACAAAAAGAAGATAAAATTGCAATTCAGCAGCAAATTATTCAACAGCAGCTTGAAGAGCAAGCTAAGACCGCAAAGCCAGCTGAAGAGCAAGTTAAAGAGCCTGTAAACGAGACTGAAGTAAAGGTAGCTGTTGACTTAATGTCTCGCATGCAAGTTCACGAAGATTTTAATATCGATGATATTTAAGTCTTATGAAGGCTAATTTCTTAACCTAGTTAGACTATACAATATTTTCCAAGCTATTCAAAATTAATGAAAATTTTTATGAGTTTAATATAGACTCTGATTAAATAGAAATTTATTATCACGGATGAGTGACTCTCCAAGTTCGATTCCTTCTTTATTTTCTGGTGAAGACACCTCGATTGAATATATTCTTGGCTATCTGCATAAAAATGAGTCTCGCGGAGTCCAGGATTTTCTTATAAACAGACTCTATGATTTTCCATCCGATCAAGTCGTCAATTTTTTACCACAGCTCGTCAACATTTCGATACAAAGAGAAGATTGCGAGTCATATACATCTTTTTTCCTTGACACAGCAATAAAAAACCACTTTTTTGCTGTCAAGCTGTACTGGCTGCTACAAGCGAATTTATTAGATTGCCAAAATCAATTTGTAAAGAAGCTTGAGCATATCATTCACAGCTTGGAAAAAGCTATAGTAGATGGTCAAAGGCATAGAAGAAGTTCTGGATATCAGCCACCTCATTTATTTGCACTAAATATAGCTGAGACTGAGGAAGAATTACTAATTCATAAGAGAGCAAGAGCTGACTCCCCCTCTTTTAAGAGAAATTGAAAATCTTGCTTTGCAAATCTTTAAAAGAAAAATTTATAAATTATGTTAAGAATGAAAATATTATTAGTCAGAGGTCTTATTATAGCAATTATTAATTATAAATAAAAATATTTTATACATTAAAATGGCATGGAAATCCAAAAACCCTCTTGACACGTGCATCTGGTTCCTTTAGCACATCGGGATAGGCCACGGGAAAGGAGGCTGGTGTTCGGAATTTATATCCGGCCAAGCCGTACTTGGTTTGGTAAAGCGTAATGTTAAGGCACTTTACTCCATCCAGATCAATATTTTTTGCCTCAGAGGAAATGGTCCGAGAGCTGGAAAGGGATTTCCCAGCAGAGCTACAGATAAGCTTTATTGCATATCGGGACTGTTCTCCCAGTGTGGACCAGAAGTTTTGCCCTGGGCTTCATATTTCCATTTTTGCCAAGAGTCAATTAGAAAATTCAAGCATTTTGAATTTTCTATAAAGGGATGCGCGGCAACCCATTCACCAACCATAGCAACTGCAAGCCTCATCTCAGTAGAAGCAACCTTTGTGAGATTGTGCGCGAACTGGCAAGCAGGTGAAGGAAACTTTACAGGTGGAGGTAGTCCTTCGGGAAATACAATGGGCTTTTTGATAAGCATAATAACGAATTAAGAATTATTAATTCTACATAAAAGTATTTTAAGTTAAAAATTTTTTTGCTTTAAAGGTTTTTTTTCTATGTTTTTGATTGCTATTAAAGTGGATAGAGTGAGTATTTCACTGATCAGCATAAACTCGCAAATACTTTGGCAAAAATTTCGATAACATTAATAGGAGTTCCGAACGATGAAAAAGACTCAATGCTTAGGGCATATATTCTAGGTTATGTAAGCATACATACTTTATTATTAAAATACTCGTAACTAGCTTTTAATTAAATTTAGGAAATTATATCATTATTATTAAAAATTATTTTCACTTGAAAAGAGATATACAAAATGTCGATACTTGAATAAAAGATACAAGATTTTGATATAAAAGATCAGAGAAATCCTTATATATCCAAAGAATCTACAGAGGAATCGTGCTTCCTATCGAATTTCAAGGCTCCGATTCAAAAATTGAGCAAATTGTTAGCATTCCCAGCGAAGAAAGCAAATGTTTCAAAACCAAAGCAAGAGTTCCATATAAAATTATTATAGAAACCATCGATATCAATGAAGATGATTTGAACGAAACTGAGCCCGCATCTCCTCAGGTTGCCCCAAAATCTGAGATAATTGAAGGTCTAAATGTTGAAGACCTGGAAAGCTCATTAATTGACAAAAATGAAGCAAGATTTGCTGGTTTTGAAGAGTATGCAAGAAAGGCTAGACCTGACAAAGAAGACAGACAAGATGTTATTTCAATGGCTGGATCTGATGGTTCTGAAGAAACCCCATGGGGAGAAAGCTGAGAAGAAACCAAAGCAAGGCTTCAAGCCAGTTCAGCATTCGGTTATTATAAATCCTGAAATGCCAGAGCAGTTATAGTAAAAGGACATGACGACTTAAGACAAGAACTCTTAGCAATGCAGATTATCAGAAAATCAAAAGAAATCTTCCTTGAGGCTGGACTAAGTATTTATTTAAGGCCTTATGATATCTTGATAGTTTCACACAATTCAGGATTAATTGAATGTGTTCCTGATGCTGTATCATTGCATAGTATTAAAAAAAATACTAAAAATTATACAAATTTAAGAGACTTTTTTGCAAGGACCTGGGATACATCATTTGAGGAAGCTCAAAGAAATTTTGTGGAGAGCATGGCAGGGTATTCATTAGTATGCTATATTTTGAATTTAAAGGATAGGCATAATGGAAATATTTTGCTTGACTCTAAAGGTCACATTATTCATATCGATTTTGGATTTTTTTTGACTAATTCTCCTGGTGGAAACATTAACTTTGAGAGTGCTCCATTTAAATTAACTAAAGAAATGATAGATGCCATGGGAGGTTATGATAGCGAAATGTATGTATATTTTAAAGTTTTGCTATTCCAAGGATTTTTGGCTTTGAGAAAGCAGTTTGATAAGCTAAGACTTTTATTGGATATGATGAAGCATACAAATTTCCCATGTTTTAAACACCCGTCAAGAGCCATTTCGGATTTCAGGTCAAGGTTTCAGCTTAATTTAAATGAAGATCAATGCTTGTCGTTTATAAATGATTTAGTATTAACCGCCGCTGAAAACTGGAAGACAGTGAAGTATGATTCTTTCCAGAGATTTACAAATGGAATTTTGCCTTAGCCCACTTCTATATAGCGATTATTTATTTTTTTATTTTTTTTAATATTATTCATATATAAGTATGTGAGTTAGGAATAATTTAAATTTGCTTTATAATTACTAAAAAAAATTCGCAATATTTTCTGAATTTTTCATAAACATAAATGAATCTAGAAAACGTGGACGATGATTTACAAGCAGGTCCACTTCCACTAACCTCTGATCTTTTAAATCTAACTCCTCTTTCAAGCCCTACAACAGATAAAGTTGCCTACAAAAAAGACAAAGTTTGCACAATCTGCGGATCTCCTTTTAGTCTATTAGGTTCCAATCAAAAATACACATGTGGGTTTTGCTATCGTGGGGTCTGCAATAAATGCTCCATGCAGCAAATTTATGAGCCTGTCAAGCGAGAAATTCTAAAAATCTGTGACAATTGTTATACCCAGTTCATCCAAACACAAATCACAAGCAAAGTTCAGTTTGAAATTATGGATGTTCAAGCACAGATCAGGTTTATACAAGAAAAGGTAGATGAAGAAATAAAAGCTTTAAATAAAGAGCGTGATTTGTGTAAAGAACTCAAATCAAAAATCCTTATTGAAGAAGGCAAAATTAATCATAACTTACGATCAGACCAAAAAAGAAAAGAAAAAGTCGAAGATGCTATCGAGAAGCTGGACGATGTCATCATGAAGCTGGAATCCAAAGTAGTCGAGCTTCAGCTACATTTGAAAGGAAAAGAGATGAAAATAGCTCAGTATAAAGAAGAAATCGAAGACCTTAAACTGCAAACTGCGACAGAGAGAGTTAATAGAGAAGATTTAAAAGAAAAAATTGATGCTTGTAGGGCTGATAATAAAACTGTAGAAGAACAAATAAAAAAGGCAGAAGAGGATAAGATACAGGAAGCAAATATTGTGGTGAGCTCAAATGAAGTAGAACTGACATTGAAAATTGATAGACTAAAAGCAGAAATAAGGGAGCTTGAAAAAACTAACATTAAAGCTGAGAGAAAGATAGCTGAATTAAGAAATGAAGGAGGCGTAAAAATAGCGACTGTAAGTCAGTTGTCGAATTCAATTTTAATCTCAAGTACTGGGATTAATCCAGAAGCCTTTTGTGCACAATTCGATAATCCTTATAAGATGGCGAAAGAACAGTTTAAATTTAATCAGCAAGAAATAGAAGAACTCAAGTATGAGCTTGAAGAGCTCAGAGATACTGACAAAGAAGTTTTTAATGCTGATGAGTACTCTTTGCCTCCACTTCAGTCCCAGTCAAAAAGATGCACTATTCAATAATATATTTATATACATCTGTTATTTAAAAGTGTATTTTAAAGAGTTATTTTATCATTAATCTTAATACTGACTATTTGTCAATTAAAGGAATTAATAAAAGTTCAGCTTAGTGACTATTCATAATAAATGGATTCAAATTTAAATTCTTTCAATCAGCAAATTCTCAATGAAGATTTGAGTTTTGAAATTATTGACAACAAAGATGACGAAAAATCAGGCCCGAGGATTATGAGCCTTTCACCTTTAAGATCATTTAAGCCAACAAACCCAAAATCATATATTTCTCAATCTGGAAGAGCGAAAAGATCATCTAGCCAAAAAATTTCAAAATTCAAGCCTTTGCGCATCCCAAATAGCAATTATAAAGCAGCTCGTCCACGAGGATCAATACTTTCCATAATACATGAAGACCCAGTAATTTCTAATCTTAATTTTACTCCTATAAACACACCAACTGTCCCTAATCTTATAAGAAACCAATCAACTGTTTCAAGAAGGGCCTTGACGATTTCTACTCAGTCTTCTATTTTCAGTCCAACTACCTTATTTTCAGAAAATTCCCCTATCAATATCATAAAATCCCCTTTTGAACCAATCATTTCTACACCTACATGCTCACAAATCAGTCTTGAAGAAGCCATTATGAAGTCTGCGAAGCGTGTGAAGCTTTTAGCATCAGGTAAAAGAATTCGCGACACCAGCTGAACTGAAGTAAAAATCAAATCAGAGTCCACAAAATTGGAAACTCCACAGCTGAACTCAGAAGAAAAAGAAAATTTAATTTTAAAAGAAATGAGGTATTCACAAAGCAATTTAGATTTGCTGTATTCCCAGCCTAACTATTCAGCATATAAGCAGAAAAATGAAAACTTGAAAAGAAAATTTGTGGAGAAATTTGAAGAGGATGACAAATATAAATCAAAAAGAATTAAATACGATTAAATTTGTAATTAGGAATGGAGCTTTTGGCCAAAAAAGGTAGTGATTAAACAAATGCACAATAAGGATAGAGGCTTTGGAGAGTTATTGATGCAAGTGATCATAATTTTGTTTAAAAAATAAGCTGTGTCAGGAGATAAAGGTTCTTCTAAATTCGCCAAAATAGCGTAAACTCATTTCCCAAGATTTTCAAAATCATTTTCAACTCAATCTGATAGCCATTTAACTAGCTTTAGAGTAGTCACATGGTCAATTTCTTTGATTTTGTCTAACAAAGGATCATTATTCATCATGAAGTTTCTCCATTCTTCCTTATTCGGCTTGGTTTCGTTTTCTATTGCATTCTGTTTCCATTGAAACAAATACTCCCTTAATTTTCTGAAGTCTTGGTTGATTTTTTCTATTTGTTCATTTGTTAAATTTAGCACAAAATCCTTCGGGATTTGGCTTTCAGACATCATATTTTGCTCACAATCCATGCTTTCCTCAATGTAAATGCTTTTTTCTTCATAATCTTTAGCCTCATTCATGACGCTCCTCAAATACATGCTCGCCTCATCCTCATCGCTATCGCTCAAAACTAAGACTGGGTTTAGTGATTCATCACTATTCATTTATTAAGGCTTATTTATATGAAATTTTTAACTTACTGTGAAGCTGAACAATAGGCGCAAATTAGTGCCAAGCATTTGTCCTGCTTCGAGGTATTGCCCTGCCTTGAAATAAGTGACCATCTTATCATTGTTAGCAGTTATAGCGCTCTTTTTCAAGTAAAATCTGACCATAAATTCGCTGAAAGTTTGAGGATCCTTAAGACCTTCAATATCAGATATCAAAGTTGCCAATTTGCAAGAAGTGTAAACTGTTTCCACTTTTGTGTTGAATAAGGTCAGCATGGCTGGGACATCGTTGCAAGCAGTGAAGTTGAATAATGCACACTTAATGGCCATTTGGGCTACTGCTTCAAAGCCTGGATGCAAAAGAGCAGTGTTGTTATAGCATTTTGAGAGAGGAGATAGCTTGGTTTGGAGACCTTGGGCGACACCCAAGGTGAAATTTCCAAGGATTTTTACTGGGTTTTTAGGGAAGGTACTGGCGTCGAGGGCTTCTTCTGCTGGATCTGTGACCTTGATTTGGCTAGGTAGTTTAAATATGACGTCTTAGCGCTTTGCAGTAGGCTATACCAATTCCTTTGAGTATTTAAATTATATCTAGCAAGTTTTTGCCAACTCAGAGGATGATAGCTAGGCTAGATAAGCAATTCAGTATTTTTACCTCAAGGGAAGAGAGACTCAGATGTTGGAAAGGAGATGCCCAGCCAGTCTACAGGTAATGCCTATACCAATCGGGCAAATTTTCCAGCGTAAAGCCAAGAGTTACACCCTAGTTAACAAAATTTCCACTTTTGCCAATGGTCGACCGACAACCCATTTTTTGGGTTTTTGTGTATCCCCTCAGCCTCAAGCAAGTCCGCAGAAGTCTAAAGATTGCCACCCAACACTGGAGCCGGAAGGCAAGGAGGAGACACTGCCATCCCTGGTGGAAATTACGGTCACAAAGCGGTTGAATCTTCCTTATGGGAGATCCTGACTGCGTTACAACTAGGCTATCGCCATCTGTTAATTTAAGTTAGATCTGGCTAGGTATTTCAAAGCTGAGAACTCCCAGGGAGAACAGAACAATTAAGACAACAAATTTCATTTATTATGTTGAACTAAATATGACGCCAAAATCAGGTCGAAAAGAACAGATTATTAATTAAATTAATGCATAAAGGACAAAATAAAATTTTATTAATTATCCAGATTAAGTAATAATTCTTCCAAAAATTGGCGAAATATCAGCGTTAAAAAATGAGAGAGATCAAAAGGAAAAAGATTGGGCTGGTCAGGCTTGTGCACTTGGTATTTATATAATTATATGCGCATGCCTTGAGATTTAAATTAGTAATTATGTGAAAATGAAAGGGTGTGATCTGGGTGAAGGAGATTTTCTATTTTTGGAAGGGAAAAGGCTTTAAGAATGCATATAATAAAATCGAAACAATTTTTATATTAAATTCGATTATTGCCAGTTATGGAATTTAAATATGAGTCACAGGAACATGAGACGAAAATTATCAATGTCAGCATAAATGCAAGTGCTTCAAATGCTGGTAATTGCAATTAAATAAGTAAAAGAATTAGCTAAAATGGGGAAAATTGCTGATTTCATTGCTTTATTTAAATTAAGAAACGCATAATAAAATCACAAAATAAAATACCTTTGTCATAAATTTAAATACGTCATTAAATTTTCATTATTCCCAATTTAGTATAATTTAAATAAAATAATCATGATCTTAAAAAATTAGATTAACGAATAACTAATTCTTTATCACAAGTAAAGTATTTATATGAATTATTTATTTCTTTTCAATTTATTCTTAAAATCCTCCTTTTGGTCGATTTTTTCTGAATTTTTAATTTCTTCAAGCTCCTTTTTTAGGGCATTAATTTCTTCTTCCTGTGTTCCAGCCTTTTCTTTCATGATTTTCATAATTTTGATAGGATTCATAATTTTTGCACAAAATGTTACTGGATTTGAGCCACCTTGAGAAACTAAAAGAGAGGTTGAAAGAGCAGAAACTGCAGCAGTTTTCGCTCCTCCTTCTTTTCTTAGTTCCTGCTTTTTCTTTTCAAGCCTTTTATTCTCTGCCCTTTGCTCTTCGATTTGAGTACGAAGCCGACGAAGTTTGAAAGTTATACTAAATAAATCTGTGTTTTTATTTTATATTTTATTTGTGGTGGAGAAATTGCCTAATTTTATCATATAACAATAATTGAAATTGCACGAATTTAGTTGGCTAATGTTGAATTAAACTGATAAGGAATAATTCGACTTCGTCTGAAGGTCGAAATGAATTCAGAATGCCAAGTTCTTGTTCTTCTTGACTACGTACAATGTCATCATTAATTTTTGTACAGTAAAACTTGCTTTAAGACCTTGCTCTTCTATTAAATAGAATATTTTATAATATTAATATGCAGTGAAAAAGGAATGGTCATTTTTATATTTAAATAATAATAAAAACATAAATTAAAAGCAAATTCACAATCACTTATAAATGACATAGAAGAGTACTGGATTCTTAGAATGAAATAATCAAGACCCATTATTAGAATAATAGGGTATTCACAATATTATATTCTTCTATTGAATTTTTAATATCTGAACACGCATTGTTGTTCTTATCAGTATTCCCTTGTATGTCAGAGATTTCATTCTTATAGTTATTGACCTTTATTTCTTTTGCTTGCGCTATTAAGCTCAGTTCTTCAACTTTCGCTTCTAATTTTATCATCATTTCTCCATATACATAAAATGGCGGACGGCGATCGACCCACCCTCTCAGTGGTGGTTACCCATGTATATCCGGGCATGGTTTTTGGAGCCAGGAGTTAGCCCAACAACGTCTGGGACCTCGAAGCGAGAGGCCTAAGCGCAAAAGCCGCTGTTTTTGTAACCAGACCCATGGGCAGTTACTCGTGACTTCTTTTTGCCAGCAGCGCTCAGCCCAGTGAGTGCCCAAAATGAGGCAGGGCGACTTACCTGCCTAAGCTGCTTTTGTGGCTCGCCCCGAATGGCGAAAGCTGTTGAGTTCTTTCTCGGGATGACCGGAAAAGAGGGGAAGGCGAGTTAGACAACTAAACGGGGGTCTCTCCAGTTTAAAAGGTGCCCTTAAATGGGCAGATCTGGCGGACGACGCGGCAGTGTTGGCGTAAACTTAGGCGACGATTCAAGTTGGAAATGGAGGCGGTCAGCAAAGCCGGTATGAGACGGCCCTTGACAATGCCTCTACCGAGAAACCGGGGTTTCGGCCCGGGCTTGGTGAACGCTCTGCCACCACACGGGAAACCGTAGAATGCTTCCTCGGACGTAGTGGGGACCTTAAATACCTAGCGTTAATCTAATCTAATCATCATTTCTCCAATTCTTCCAATGCTTGCTTGTATCTTATCCCTTTGCCTTATTGTTCTTTTATTATTCTGGTCAATTTTCTCTTCAATTTCCTTATATTTTTGTTTGCCTTTTTGATACATCTCTTTTTCGCTTTCATAAGCTTTCTGTTCCTTCACTATTTGCTCTTCTATAAATCTGTTTTGTGCCTTCACATCCATAATTTCAAATTGAATTTTGCTGGTAACTTGGGTTTTTATATATTCACTATAGCAGTTGTCACAGATTTTAAGAGCTTCATCTTTAATTGCTTCGTAGACCGTCTGAGAGCAACACCGGCCACATACTCCATGATAGCAAAACTGGCACACATTTTTTTGAGTAGACCCTAAGAGTGTAAAAGGAGATCCACAGATAGAACAATTTTTATCTTTTTTGTAAGCTGATTTATCGGTTTTTGGGTTTGAAAGATAAGAAGTATCGAAACTATTAGGCAATGAATCTTTAATTGTCCCAGAACTGTTCAAGCTGCCTAGACTCATTACGTATTATATTAGTTTTAACTTTTATTATTGGTTTTAGGAAAATTTATAAGAATTTTATTGGGATATTAAATTTTGGATTTTTCCTAATGATAATGAAAGAACAAGCACTGTGGGATCAGGGAGCCTGGCCAAAAGAAATTTAATTTCTTGCAGCACACTTATATCAGGTTTAGAAATTTGATTGGATAAGCTTTCTTCACTTTGCAATTTGTCGAGACGTTCACTGATAGGAATTATTGAAAAATTATATAAAAATTCTTCAGCTTTTTGGAGTTCATAATTCTTAGTTATTTATTAGTGTTTAGCGTGCCGTTTCATTCAGCAGAACGGTAAATTCCAACTTTTGCCTCGGACTTCTCTAAATCTCACTGGTTGCATTGCTTCGCTCTTTAGAAGCCTCCAATTTTATCCCACCTAATGGTTTTTCTCCTCTGGATAGGCATAAAGAGTTGCTCTAGTCTATATGTAGGATGGTCCTGGCATTGTTGGATAAAGATTCATTGGAAAAGCTGAACTTCATAATAATAAAATGGCCTGAGATGGTCAAGTTCTAAGAGAACCTATTCCAACAATATCATTTATTATTAAGGAGAGTATAATTCAATTGATCATGAATCAATTGAATTTCGCTGTGCGTAGAAATGTTTTCAAGCTTCTTTAAAGAAAATTCCAGTTCGTTACTATAGCTTTGACAATTTTCAATGATTTTTTTTATAAGAGTGTCTTTCATTTCGGTTATTGCGTTTATGTGAGTATTAATCGTGGCTTTTAAAGCTAATTCAATTTCTTCAGCTTGGGATTGATATGAGTTGATTTTTTCTGACTGAGAACGAAGCTTTTCGATATAAATATTTGTTTTCTCTTTTTTCAGCTTGAGCTCATTTATTATTTTTTGAGAACTAATATCGACTATCTGGTGTGAATTGTGGCTTGATAAGCAATTTGTGCACAATAACTCTTTATCTGTCAAGCAGTATTCTTAACTTATCTAGTTTAGACTGTGTGATAAAAATATTTACAATATATTTTTTTCTAGATATAAATCTTATCATATAAATAACTCAAGAAATCAAACAGTTCTAGTGTATCTAGAGATAAGTAAGTTATGGGTTTCACAAAAAATAGTTGATTTCGAATCATCAATCATACTCATCCACGCGTTATCTCATGGTAAATTATCCGGGTTTTCGTCAAAATCTTGCCCATCAAAAGGACAATAAATAACTCCTTTTCTTTCATATTCCGACTTAAGACACTTACCCACCTATCCTTTAAGCAAAAATATATTGCTCATCTTGAAGGGGGCTAATTTTTATAATTAATTTTTTACGAGATTTAATAAATTAAAAAGCTAACTCACTCCCTCCAGGAGCGAAAAAAAAATTGGAAAAATTCATATATTTCGCTCAAAAACGCAGGGAACAAAACATTTTTTTAGTATAAAAGTGTATTATGGAAAAAAAATGATATATAAGTGATAATTAGTATAATGAAATCTCAAGCTAATTCTGTTGAATTTTAAAACAGTTTGCATTTTAATATATAATTTTACAAATTTTAATATTTGCTAAAAAATTACTATAAAATTTTATATATAAATATTTAAAAAAAAATTAGCCCACTCTTTAAGCGAGCAAATTAATTTTGCCGCTTATCGATGGGGAGTAAGAGATTTACTTCATTACTTGGAGGTTTTTTTTCCAAAAAATAAGGATTTTTCCCAATTATTTTGCTTGTTCATGGAGGGGAGTTATAGCAAGCAGTATGGCTACATGGCAGTAAAACTGGTATAGAGGTTTCCTCTATATAGCGCTAAAAGCGCAGACATTTTCCCAGGAGCTTTCCAAGTTCGTCGGACCAAATCGCTTTTTGGTCCGACCAAGGCATTGATTTGGTGCAACCTACCGATAAATTCCGATCAGAATTTATCGGCCTTTACAGCGCCAAACATAGGAAACTTCTATATTTCATTCTTATTATTATATAAACCATTGCATTTCTTGCATTCAAAATCATCATTGCTCACATTGATAGCTTGAAATGTTTTTCTACTAAAAAGTATAATCAATTTGATTAATTTTGATTTATAAATTTTTAAATTAATAGCCTATTAAATAAATCAATCAATAGGAGAATAAATCAAATTTGTTAAGAGACTTTCTAAACCTCTCACATGAATCATAAGCCCTGTGAAATTTCTCGATAAGATAAGATTTATTTTGTGCATGATCTTTGCTGCATTGAATGCATAATTTATGCAAAGTAGTTTCTGGGGGTGAGAAAGATTCCAAATCAAACGAATGCTTTATCGGCTCAGGATTCATAAGCGGTGGGTTACTTTGCAGGCATCCCATTTATCTAGCTTTGTTATATTTTACTATTTTATATCAATATTTTTATTGAATATTCATATCAATAATATTAAATCTAAGTTTATGCATATATTTATAAAAAAGATATATAAAAATAAGGTCTCCTTAGCTTAATGCTTTTTCTTTTTAGGCTTTACTTCCTCTTCGCTTTCTTCACTCTCGTCTTCCACTTCTTCTATTCTTGTCCTCTTGGCAGGTACTTCAATTTTATTTGTTGCGTCTGTGGCTGGGTTATACATTCCAGTCTGTGCAGGTCTTTGATATGCAGCTGGCCTTTTACCTGAAAGCATGCTTGGTGTCAAATTATTTTCTAACTCCCTCCCTATCGTGAGTGACAAAAAATTTACTTGATTATTTTTTTAAAAAATTATATAGTAGAAAATAATTCGAATTTAAAAACAATCCCAAATGGAAAGCGAATATTATTTCGTTTTAAGATTTATGTTTTAGAATACAAGCTGTTTAAAATTCATCAGAATTGCAAAGGGATTTCTTATATTAATTATCATTTATATTCAAAATATTTTTTTCATAAATAATTTTTTGTTCGCTCGGAGGGCTTTTACCCAAAAATCCAGGATTTTTCCAATGATTTTGCTCTCTCACTGAGGAAGGAGTAAAAATTTGACCCTTTTGTCAAGAGCTTCTTTATGCTGTAGCCCAATGGTGGCAGTCTCTTGGTCGCCGAGAGCGTCCATTCTGATACAAAGTGCGCATTTTGCAGCTAGTGATCTGCTGATTTTTCCTTTTGTCTTAGGTGTAGCTTGTCCTACAATGCTAGCATGATAAAGCAGTCCATATTTTGGTGTATCATGCTTTGTTCTGATTGCTCTGAATAACGCTTTTTCAGCACCCAAAATTTGTATGGTTGAGGCTGGATGTTTTGCTAAATTCACCAAGCTTCCAGCGTGTGCAATTAATCTTGCCCCTACAAGTTCTCCTACTAGAACAGTCAGATTAGGTGCGATGGCGTTCATTCTATTCTTTAAGTATTCACTTAAGTTTGTTCTGTATTCGCTTAAACTGATGACTTGGTCACAAAGTGCTTTCATATTGTCCATGTCGTCTTGGGTGATTTCTGTCCCCATGCTAAGCTCAGCTGCCTCTTTGATTTCTTCAATGATGTCTTCGTCTGTAATTATTGATGCTAAATTGACTTTGGCTGTATTTTGTCTTTCTTTTATTGCATTGACACATTTGGCGTATTCCACATTATCAGTGACTATTCTGGCAAGCTCAGGGAAATGCCATGAATACCATTCTTTTAGTCTCATAGCGTAGTTATTGAGTTCTTTGTCAATGTCGTCTAATAAATTGTTCCACAAATACTTAACAAATTAAAAAATATTTTTTATTATTTTATTTAGAAATAATTATTATGCTTTCAATATGAATTAAGGCTATTCTTTGATTAATCCAATGCATAGTCTAAGCAAAAACAAGTAATGATTCTCCTTAGTTCACAAGTAATTGATATTGCAGAGTATAATAAATTGACAGCTTGAACAACCATAGTGTCAACTTTATCAATTGAGAACTTCAACGTATGCCTACACAGTGAATGAGCCAAACCCAAAGCCATTGCTTTCTGCTCTTGAGCTGAAAGTCCTGCAATAAGCCCTTCAATTTGTGTACGAATTCCTCTTATCAGTTCCTGATATTTCGAGCTATAAAGACACTTGATCCCCAATTTATCTTCTATGGCTGACCTTAGCTTCTTATCCAGGACAATAAGCTCATCATCAATCTCTTGCTGCACGATATTTTTCCTTAAAAATTTTGTCAATGATCTTGAAAGTTCATGGTTCGCCAAAGAAGCTGCAGCTTGAAGTGCAGATTTGGCGTCTTTGAATTTGTCAAATGCTTTGAGTTTGACTATTTTGCTTGCATTGTCCAAGGTCCTGAACTCTTCTGCCAAGTTTTCCACTTGCTTTAGCTTTTTGTCCTTGAGGACTTTAAATAGAGCAAAGCCACCAGAGGTCTCGAAAAGGACCAGCATATTTATGGAATAATAAGAATAATTTAATAATCAAGCATTAACGGATGTTAATACCTTTTTCTTTCACTTGAAAATCGGCGCTTTAGCAATAAGGAAGAATTTAAGGAGCTTTCTATGATCCAAGGATGCTCCAGACCTTGAGATGCAGTTAAACGGAGCTCTGGGTTCCATTCGAAGCATTGCTGGACGAAGTTTATGAAGTTGGGGTTGGAACCTTTTAATAGCTCGTTTAAGCTTCGGCTCCCAGGGACTCTTAATAAGCCTTTTGTATCAGCTATCAGCTTCGGCTCGCCATTAGGGTAAAAATATGTTTTATTTCTGGTTGCTTGGGAGATAAACGATTTCGGAGGAGCTCCAATGACTTCCATTATCAGTGCAAATTGTTCTTCTTCACTTCTCCCTGGAAAAATAGGCTGCCCAGTATAAAGTTCTGCTAAAATGCATCCTAAAGATCACATATCAATAGCAGTGGTATAAGAAATCCCTAAAATGATTTCTGGGGATCTATAAAATCTGCTTTGAATATATGTATGAATTTTTTCGTTTTCAAAGCAAGATGACCCAAAATCAATTATTTTAATTGTCGCTGAATCTGGCTTTTTCAATAAAATATTCTCTGGTTTTAAATCACAATGAATAACTTGATTTTCTGCTAAAAACTGAAGTGACACTAACAGCTGAATTGCGATTTTTTTGATCAATTTTAAAGAAACTCCATTGAAATGGTTTTTATGGAGCAGTTGGTAAAGATTTATTTGTAAAAGTTCAAAGGCAATGCATATGTGATTTCTAAATAAAAAATAATTTTTGATTCTTACAATGTTTCTTTTATCGTCAGGGTCATTTTCTAATAGCGATTGCAATATACGGATTTCAAACGAAGCTTGAAAATGGAACCGTTTTTTGTTTTTAATTATTTTGATTGCTACGTTTTCTTTTCTTTTGTGGTCAAAGCACAGACAGACTTGTCCAAAGCTTCCCTTGCCTAGAATGCTATGTATTTCATAGCGATATGCAATATGGTCTCCTTTATATAAACAGTAATCCCCTTTGTTGTCGTCATACCCATCATTAAACGTAAAAGGAGGTGGGTCGTCTCTGCAGTCTTTTTTAGCGATAAAATATACCTCGGGATATTCCAAAATTTCGCTTTTTTCTTTATCAGTTAAATCTTCAAAAAACTCAGTCAAAGCAATTTTAGGGGAGATTGGGAATGACTTTTTTATGCTTAGAGCAGAGCTAGAATGCAGGGTATTTGATTTTTTTATCGAAGTATTTGAGCAACTTTTAATTATTACCTGCGTTGAGTTCATTGTGTTCTTCTTTGAATTTGTCCTTGTTGAGCTAGCCAATTCAAAGTGTTTCCTTGTTGTGGTATCAGTTGTCGTCGTAAGTGTATTAAATTTCAAATGAGAAATGTTTAGTGGCTTAATCATTTTTTTGATAGGAGATTCTTCCATCGGCTGTAAAGAGGAATCTTTGTGTCTGATTATTAAATCTTTTAAGCTTCTATTAGGTTTCGATCTATGCCTTCTAATTGTAGTAGCTTTAGGGGATAATGTCACATTGTGAATCTTTGTTGTCGAGCTATTCATTTATACATAAACTCAAAATATTAATGCTCACTTAAAAATAACTCTGTATAGCTATTAAGGTATTTATAGAATGCTGCAGATTAATGGAAATGGAGAAATTTAGGTATGATTGAAGAGAGAAACCGTTTGGTGGTAAATTAGAATTTAAAATGATTTATGATTAACTTTAATGCAGTGCCAAGAGTTATTCAGAAGTCCTCGGAAATTCAGAATAGGGATAATATCTCGAGGCTGAGAGTTACCAGAAGAATCTGTAGCTTTGACACAGACTTCGTTGTGAAGCTCTGATATAGAGATTTTGGCTTCCCAGAGAGACCAAGATCAGTGTCTTTTGTGGTCAGCAGAGTCTTTGGTTAATTCTGCTTCTTGCCAAGTTTCTCCATTATCAGTCGTTACATCAACTCTTGCAATTTCATTGCCCCCTCCACTATAAGCATACCCTTTAAAGGTAACTTTTCCTTCTACACTTTCTACAAATGCTCCGTCTAAAGGATCACAAATAGCAGCCTGGACATTCATTTCATATAATGGTGGCCTTTTTTGAAAATCCGTATTATCTATGGTATCATTATTTCCGAAGATTTTATAGTCTCTTCTATGCCATATTAAAGGACTCTCTTTATCATCAAGTGTAATTCGTTTTACTCATTTAACATTCCTTACGCCTACATACCCTGGGACTATTAATCTTAATGGAAATCCATGATCTAATGGTAAAGGCTCACCGTTCATTTCTAGCGCTAAAATAACGTCTCCATTGATATAGGTAAATCTTATAAACTGCCCTATAATGGCAGGACATTGGAGCAGGAAGCACTCGAGTGGCTGGACCAACTCAGTCTGGTCAAGCTATTGGAGAGTTGGCAATGGACCTCTCTCCTATTGGTCTGACCAACCTCAGTTGGCCCAGGCACTGGGAGAGTTTCCAGTTCCAATGTACTGCCCTTATAGGGCAGTTAATAGGATTTGCCTATATCCATAATTTTGGAAAGAGGAATATTAGTACCAAATGGGCCGTTTGGGTCTGAGTCGAAAGCTTCTATATGAGCATGGCTGTAATTTGCCTTCGGATTCGCATAATTTATAATATCTCTAACTCCCCCCCTTTAAATTGGAACTAAAAATTTTGTTCCAATTTAAAGGGGGTTAATATAAAATTTTTTATAAAATATATAAAAATTTCAACAAAAAACAATTTCAAAAACCTATCGAATTAGATTAATAAATTTGTTTAATAAAACGCTATTTACTCTTTATCCTTTAAAACAAAGCAAGATATAACTAAATTTTCATTATTAGTTAATACGCCACTATTAATTGGTATCAAAATTATTTACACAAAAATATATTATTTTTATTGATAAAAAAAAAATTAAAAAAAAAAATTTTGGAAATTTATCGATCAAAGTGCTAATTTTGTTTAAATAAGATGTTATTTATACTCTATTCTTTCAAATAAAGCAAGAAATAAGTAAATTTTGAAATTTTATAAAGAATTCCTATTGAATTTATATCAAAACTATCCAAATAAAAAATATCATTTTTATCAAAAAAAACAAAAATTTTTTTGAAAATTTTTAAAAAAAACAATAATTTTTTTTTTAAATTTAGCAATTAAGGATAATAAATTTATTTAAATAAGATGCTCTTTATACTTTTTTCTTTAAAAAAGAGTAAGATATAAATAAATTTTTAATTTTAGTTAAGAAGAAACATTTAACTTATATCAAAACTTTTTAGATAAAATTATATATAATTTTTTATTATAAAATTAAATTTTGTTCCAATTTAAAGGGGGGTTAATTTACCAAAAAAGTGGAAATTTTACCGATATTTTGTTCCAATTTAAAGGGGGGGGGAGTAAGTCTTACACCTTTTCATTCAGCACTGCCAATAGCTCCAGCATTTCACATGATTCCACGAACATTTTCATGCTTAGCCATATCCGCTCTTCTGTTTCCAGCGCACTGAATGCATGATTTTACAGTCACAAGTTCAAACTTTGAGGATAAATCATCAAGAGAAAACTCTAAACATTTATCATCTTAACTTACTTAACTTAATTATTTGGTGTTTAAGGTGTCTAGTGCCGCAGCCCAAAAAGGACCTATGGCAAAACTAGTGACGTAGGCGAGCCATCTTGGAACAGGTCAGCCCTGGCCAAGCCTTCTATCAACTCCTGCTTCACCAGCCTTGCTGCACGTCTCACCCGGCGCGATGCCGTCGCCCTTGTCTCGACTCAGCTCCTGCGCGTGTTCCGCCTAAGGGTCATCTCCCGTGGAGATGTGCTGAGAGGTAAAAGCCAGAAATCTTGAGAGGACTGAGGAGCAGTTCCTCTGGTTATCCCCAGAGTTAAACCGCTATTGCTGTCCAGAAGTTCTCGAGTGACAACCTAACCCTATAAATAAATTCCATGAGGGAGAGAAAAATAGCAAAGCTAATTTCTCTCGAACCGAATGCCATTTTATTTATAAACATTTATCATCAGATAATACAAGCTCTAAACGATATGTTTGCGGGTCTATTATAGGCACTGGCAAATGGTTTCTTACGAAAAATAATTCATTAGGAGTTGTAGGATTTTTAACTAATAAATCATTAGGTGTTTCTGCATTAAATGGCTTCTCTCCGTGAGTAACCATTCCTGGGTTACGCTTTGGATCATTTTTATAGGGGTCATCTAAAACCATAATTTTTTCTCCTTTTTTTAAGTTGCCAATTCTCATCGACTCAAGCATTTGATAAACATGAGTCTTGTGGTGGGCGCGATATAAATTTCAGAAAGGCTCAATTGAGTTTCCAGCCCCAAGTAAAATTTTATCTCCTCCAGGATGATGCTCAATAAAATGAGTTACGTCATAAACTCCTTCTTTGAAGCCAATTCAAACTGATTTTTCAGGGTTTTTGTGCTTGGAAATGTCTTCCCAAGAATAATCTGGCAGATCAGATCTTCTCTTACCAGCTTGAAATTCTTCAGAATTCGCATATCTGGTATAAGCAAAGTAGCTTACTGACGAGCATGCTAATAGTTTTAACATTGTTGAGAAAATATAAATAGCTATTAAATTTGAAAAAATTTGGCCAGTATTTTATTTTAACGACATCTTTATTCATGATTATTGCTGTGAGAAATCAATAAATATGTGAATCTTTATATATGAAAATTTATTTCTGAGGACTCTGATGCGATTCATTTAATTTTGTTTGTAATCGATGATCTTGGAGGCTTATTTAGTCAAAATAGGTGTAAGGAATTTTATAAAAATAAATTTAAAAAATATCACAGATTGTCTTAATCTTTTCTTCAAAACTTTTTATTCCGTGCCTTTATTAGTTTTGCAGATCTTTTAAACTAATTTAATTGTAAATTTAATTTGATATCGCTTTTGATTTGCAATATTATAGAATTTTTCACGCAATTTATTCTTTTCTGAAGTTAATTTTACTCAATATCATTTCCAAACTTATAAACATAAATATTTTGAGAATTTAATATAATTTAGAGAAAAATCATTTAATTTTAAAAAGTTATCCATTTTTATTAATTTCCAAATGGAAGAAGATGAGGATACAATAACCTTCACAATGGCAGAGTTTGGCCAGTTTCAAAGCGAAAAATTAGCTCTGAAGCATGAGAATGATCGTTTGAAAACAATTGCAGATAAATACGAAGAGCTGCTGAAGCACTCATCTCACCCATTAGCAGAAATTAATGAACTTAGGAGCAGTGTTCAAGAAAAAACAAAAACTTGTGAAGAACTAGAAGAAAAATTGAGAAATATACCAGAATTTAAAAGAGAAATTATTTTGCAATCATTAACCTCAGTAAGGAGAGAAGATATGATAGAAGAAGAAAAGCATTTATTAGAGCAAGTTTTAGATATTGTGCAAAATATATGACCACATTGGGCGAAAGGAGAAATACATAAGCCTGAAGAAAAATTTATAAAAAATCTAGCTGACCACAACGAAATCCAAAAGCTAGGAAAAAACAACAAAAAATTAATAGAAGGTATGGATTTAGCCAATGAAAGATGCAAGCTTTTAGAAAATTCACTTCTAAATGCTACAAAATTAAATGAATCTCTGGAAAGTCAAGTAAAGGAGCTCCAATCTCAAAAAGAAAGGCTCATTTTTGAGCTGGCAGAAAAAGAAGAAGAAGTAAATGAAGCCAGAGTTGCTTTAAAGGAAAAATATGCTGTAGAGTGTTCCAGAAAAGATTTGGAATCTGAAATAGAAAATTACAGACAAAAAGTATCTGTACTGGAAAATGAGATTAAAGAAGAGAAAAAGAAGCATGGGGAGAATTTAGAAGAAAAAATAAAAACCTTACAAAATGAAAATGAAGAGCTTCAAAAAGCTTTAGCAGAGTCCAAAGGAAATGAAAATTTATTGACGATAGAGCACAGAAATCTCAAGTCTTCAGCAAAAGAAACGCTCCAAGAGCTCAACACAGTTTACACCCGAAACAGAGAGCTTGAATCTCAAATAAAAAAAGCTGAAGAAACTCTCAAAAAAGCATATTCTGATCTAGAAGACGCCAAAACTGAAAAACAAATAATCCAAAAACGCAGCATGCACGACTTAAAAGACCTAAAATCCGAGCTCGCCAGAGAAAAAACAGCTTTAGAGCAGTGTAAAATGGAAAAAGAAAAGCTAACAAATGAATTCCGGTCTCTTCAAGACTCTCAAAAAGTTACTACCAAAATAATTCCACAAACCCCCACACATCAAGAAAAAAAGCTTGTGGAAGCTCTAGCCCAGCGCGTAGGAGAGCTTGAAATGGAAAACAAAGCTTACAGGGACAGAATTTTAGAAATCGATGGCGTATTTTTGGAGCTTGAGAACTCAGAAAAAGAAAATGAAGAGCTTCGAAACGAGATCAATAGGCTGCAAATTGATATAGCGACTCTTGGAGCGTCATTTAATGAAATGATAAGAAAAGGAAACTTCAAATAAATAATTATAGTTTCATAATTAATAACTTTTTTGTCTAGAATGGCTAACTGCTGAGGAAGGAAGAGTTGCTGACAGCATTTCCACTGGCATGTTTTCCCCTTCCACCGATCTATTACTATCCGTGTCTGAAGCTTCACTAGTATCTCTTGCTTGTTCCTCTAACAGCTCTTCACCTTCAATAACTTTGATATATTCTTTTGAGTCCTTTCCTTTTGCCTGAGCCACGTCAATATCCATCCCAGAAGTGATTGACCCAATATCAGGAGCTTCCATGCTAGAGCCTTCAGATTTATTATTATCTAGCATTTCTATATCTTCTTCTTCAATCACCACATTTTCCCCAAAAAACCTTTTAAATAGCTCCCCTTTATTGACTTTTGCCCTGATAACCTCATGTGCAAGCTTAGAGCTCCAGGTGACTTTTGACACATAATTAAACTCATTGTGGACAATTGAAGTCTGTTCTGTCGCTTCATCATAAATTCTTTGTCCTTTATAAACTTGTCGAAGAACCCTTATAATTGTGGCGTGGCAGAGACCGAATGATCGGTCAAGGTTGCTAGTTTCGACCTTTGGAATTAGATGCTTGTCCGATTTTGTGACGAATCTTTTCTGGATTTCTCTGATGTTTGGGAAACTTGCTATGTATTTGTTGGTTACTGGGTCTATTGTCATGTATTTGCATCGGACAGCGAATCTTTCCATGTGTTTCTGCTTGTTCTTGATAATTATTGTAAAAGGGATGCATGAGTCGTATTTTTGCATGAGTTTTTTCATAACACCTACATGGAGATGGACTCCTTCTATAACGATGCTGATCCCACATTTGTGGTAGCTGTCTATTACTCTTTCGAGATATTCATAAACCTTTTCACATTGTGCTAAATAGCCTTTAACGCAGGCTTCTTTTGGACTGAGGCCCTGATTATTTATAAAATTCCCTGCTTCATAAGTCGAACAGAATAAAACTTGGTTTTCGTCCCTAGGCAGCACATTCCTCAATATATGTCTGATAGAATCAGTCGACAAAAGACTTGAAATTCCTAATCTGCTTGCCAATAGAGATGATAGGGTGCTTTTTCCAGTTCCCGAAGCCCCACCTAATAGGACAATTACTGGTCTCTTTTGAGAAATCACTTCACACGCGATATGAAAATCAATCAAATGCTGATCACCATAATATCCTTTAACTTTAAATGCTGCCAGTACTATTTCATCTATTGATGAAGACATCAATGTAATTGCTTGAATTATCTGATAGCTGTGTCCTTCACGAATACGAGTTTTTGACATGATGAGATTAGATAAGGATGTAAAAATTTGGTTGGTAATGAAAGTAGCATCATCTTCCTTTATCCCCATAAATTTGCAAATGCCAACAAGCTGTTGGCGATTGTATTTAAATGGCTTGCTTGTTGGGGGTGGGAAACCAAGAAAACAGCAGCTATGGCTTTCACATCGAGAAGCTTGGTGGCTAGTAATCACTTGAGCGAAAGCCTCATCAGAGAGAATGTATATGTTTTCTATAAAGAAATTGTTCTGTTGACACCTTTCGTCTATGCAGACTGAGCATGAAATGCGATCCATTGTATAGTAAATCAATTATGAGATTTCTGATACTGACATGTCTTTAATGTAATTTGATGTTAATAGAAAATTAAAGTAGTGGTAGTTTAAACAAGAAATTTTTATTAATGTATCCTCTTTTAGATTAATTAGTGGCAGCTTATATGAAATTACAGCCGTAAATTCAAAAGAATAAAGCACATTATTGTGTTAAACCTTATCTAATCACGTTCAATAGAATTTAAGCATGAGTTATATATAGATCTTAATTAATTTCGACAGCGCTTTCTGGATTCTGGTATGTCAGTGATTTTCATATCGGGCGAATAGCTGTGGAAGCGCTCCAAGAACAGAGAAGGATTCACATATTTCAGTCCTTGAGATCTTAACTCCAAGCACATGTTAAATATTTCTTGGGCTGTGTCTTCTCTTCCTTTGCTGTATGCACGATTGCAAGCATGTTGGGAGTCTTTAAAGAGCGTAGTTAAAGCATTAGCTGCTTGAGTAAAAGTAGTGTGAACTCGGTCTTCCATTATATATAAATTAAAATGTATACACACTATACAGTTAATTTAATTATGTGCTTTTGATATTCTAAACTAGAGTTTGAATTGTAGTTTGTTTCTTTCTAAAAGAAATTGAAATTTGTGTGTATTTAGATTATTTCGGGAGAGATCGAGATATTCCAAAGTTAAAAAATTCTTAGCCCCTCCGTGAGTGAACAAAACCATTGGAAAAATCCTTATTTTTGGCCAAAAACCCATCCTCCGTGAGCGAACAAAAATATTTTAATAGAGAATTTTTTTATGAAAAAAATTGCTATATAAGTGATTATTAGTTTAATGAAATCTCTAGCTAATTCTGCTTAATTTTAAATAGCTTGCATTTTAAAACATAAATTTTGCAAATTATTATTAATTTTTACTTCTCAATTTTTACAAATTAGAATTTTTTTAAATTTTTGAAAAAAAATTTTACTATAAAATTTTAAACAAAAAATTAAACTCCCTTCATTGAGCGAACAAAATTTTTTTGTTCGTTACGGAGGGGGGGAAGTTAGCAATAATTTTGGCACCGATGTCAGTAATAGAATTTTCACAAACATTCAGAACCCTCAATTTCGGAAAGCGCTGCACGATTTTGCTTAAATTCACAATCCCGTCATCTTCAATAATATTTCCCTTTAAACTCAATATTTCCAAATTTTCACTGTTCTGTAAGTTGCTACACAAATGCCTCATTCCTACAGCTCCTATATCATTTCTCCCCACATATAACTCTTTGAGTTTATTTAAATATTTAAAAGGTGTGAGATGTTGAATTCCTTCTGCGGTGATTTTGTTTCCCTCGATTTCTAATACTTCGAGGTCACTCATTTGTTCAATAGAGTGAGATAATCTCTTTATATGTACATTGAGTATCTCTATATTGCTTAATTTGAGGATTTTTATACAAGAAAAATACTGTGACATCATTTGGAAATGATAAATACCATCTGACCCAAATGGTACGAAATTCAAATCAATTTCAGTGATTTGATCTTCATCATGAGCAAAAATTACTTCAAAAAACGACTTAAAGGCTGAGGACATTTTTGAATTGCTTGCGTAATAAGATAGTAAAAGATTATGACTTGGCTTTTGAAATGACTCCAAAAACTTATTCACATCAATTGTTGATGATGAATAAATTGAACCATTTGGCTTGATTATGCTTATTCTTGATTTATGCTGCTGGCAACAACCCATTTATAAACTTAATTTCAAAATTCAGTAAATAAGGACTGCCAATTTATAAAGTAAGTAATAGCATCCGTTACAAAATATTAATTAAATACCAATTTGATGAGAAATATTAATACTATACCTAGAGCAAGATAAATGCAATCCTGGATTATAATGATCAGCATATGTCAATAGTTTTAAACTGGTTTTCATAGGGAAATCCCATTATGATACAATTTTTTCAGCTTATATGAGCGAACCAATCAAGCGTAATTCAAGCTCTAAAGTTTATTATATTCCAAATTTTAATAAAAACCAATAATTTATAAGTAATCTATAAAATCTACATTTTAATCTGAAATAAACAATGAATTGCTCTTTGATAATAATTTATTTATTTTGAATTAATTTCTTATGACATTTTAAAAAAATTTGCATTTTATTATCGCAATCACCTAAATTAAATGATCTTTTTAATATTTAATTAAAAGAATTATCTGCTCAACTTTGGAATTTATTAGTAATTTAATATCATTTCATTTTTTTTAACTTTTGATAAACAAGATAATTCACAAGATTTAATTTTTTTTTGGGGATTGGCACTTAACTTAGTTATTGATTTTAATGATTTTCTAAGATTTCAATACCCATGACTAAACTACTAATTCTTTTCATGATTAACCCAAAATACTAATTCATCAAATATCTGGAAATGATATAAATTTATAATTTTTTTAATTATTATTTTGGGGTAAATTACAAGGAGGTCGATCTAGAAATCTACAAATTTTTTATTTTTATTGTTTTATAAGTGCTCAAAAAAATATTCAGGTTAGCTTTTTTTTTTGATTTTCCTAAATATTAGATTATAGACCTTAAATAATTCAAGTACAATTAAAACTATAGTTTAAGTTATATGCAAGGAACTAATAAATTAATCTAGGTCTGAGTCCTCTCCATCATTTTCTGTTTCCTCATCGTTTAAAATAGAATCAAGCACTGATTCTAAATTCGGAACAGTGCTTGAAACAGTAGCTTCATCAGCATTTTCAAATTCGTCAGCTTCTTTATCCAAGCTTTTACTTTCACAAATTATATACATTCAAATAAATTGCCGAACCAGCTAGCTGACCGCAAGTTTTATACTTATTCATGTTTTTGCTTTAGAGGGAATTGTAGACTAGAGTCGGAAATGGATTTTCCAGCTGAGTCAGCTATATATTCTATTGAAAATCGAAACTGTTTCTCATGAGGGAGCCAGAAATAAAATCCTAATATTCAGATTTCAATATTAGCCGAAAGTAGACTTGAAATTCGAAATTTTGAATTTTCCCGTTTTTGATATACGGCACGGTGACAAAAGTCATCCAACTACCAGGAGAGCAATTTCAGGCCCTTTTGTATAGAAACATCCTTTAAAAGGTTATGTACGCTGAAGAGCAGATAAAGGATGCGTTACAGTGGAGGTAGTCCTTGAGAATAACAGCGAACTTCTCTGTAAGTAATATAACTATAACGATAGCCTTCACAAACTAGGCCTCTTTCTTCTGTTGCCGCCATTCTTGCACTTTCTTCATGTTCCTTCCACAGCTTTTCAACAATTTCTTCTCAATCTCCATTTACGTCATACCCGAGTTCCCTCAGCTCTTGGTCTTCTTTTTCTTTACAAAATTTGATTTCGTTTTCGAGTGCTTTTTTTTCGTACTCCAGTGCATGAAGCTGATCCATCATCGAGTTGGTCAGCTCCTTTTCAGACTGATTTTGGCTCCATTATAATAATAAAATGGCTATTTACAGAAGTATTCTTGCCAAGACCTTTCTTAATCGGCTTCTTTTATGATGAGATTGAATTTATCTGGTATACTTATTTGCAATGCCAAGCAGACTTATTGCATATGCTAAATGCATTCTGGCCAAAAAAATGCGAGTTCACCACTTGACACACTAGGGAAGGCTACTCTTAAGCGGAATATATGCAGGAGTCAAGTCTATTGCGAGAGAATGTGGCACCTGAGGTTTTCTGCCGACTTGTTGGGCGTAAAAGTTTCGGATTGCCTCCGCTAGATGAGAATGCTGATATAAGAATATCCCAAAAATCATAAAGGGCAGGTTTTAGGGTTATTCATTTTATGACAGAAGACGACCACTAAATACTGACTCCCCCCCCCCTCCGTGAGTGAACAAAACCATTAGAAAAATCCCTATTTTTTGCCCAAAACCCACCCTCTGTGAGTGAACAAAAATTTTTTTTAATAGAAAACATTTTTTATGGAAAAAAATTTTGATATATAAATGATAATTAGTATAATGAAATCTAGAGCTAATTCTATTTAATTTTAAACAAATTGCTTTTTTAAAACATAAATTTTATATAATTAAATTAATATTTGCTTTCCAATTTTTGCGAATTAGGATTTTTTTTAATTTTCGAAAAAAAAATATTTTTTATAAAATTTATATATAAATTTTTTTAAAAAAAACAATTAACCCCCTCCGTGAGTGAACAAAATTGTTTTGTTCACTCACGGAGGGGGGGGGAGTGAGTAAATGATTAACTGCAATTTTTGGCTTTTTTGGAACTCAATTGAAATTTTTAGGTTCCTTTCAGCTTTTTTTAAGTCTACTAAAACCCCTCGGTTCCTTGCAAGTAAGGAAGGCAGGAGCTCGCTGTCGCAATTCATTTTTGCTGTAAAGATTGCGTCAACATTTTGTTTAAAACGGTCAACAGTGTTTAAAACTTTTGTATATAGTTGGCGTGTGCTATTATCCATATTATTAAGTTCTCTCAGAATGAAGTTTCCATATTAATTTTAAACACTGATAATTTAATGTGACAGAAAATGCTAAAATTTAACTCTTAATAAGTCTAGAAGGTTTTATAAGCAAAATGAAAGTTAAGCTAAATCTCTAAAATTAAATACTCAACAAATCAACTTCTTCAATCTCAGGGACTGCATTTATAGCTGCCAAGTCTGGCTGGATGGATTGCTTTTCGTCAAGTTGGCCGTATAGCTGATCAGCAATTTCTTTTCGTCTGAGCTTATCTACTTGCTTGACTTGAATTAAAAATTCATGCACAACTGGCCGATGGTCAGAGTATTTAACATCTATTGAGGTATATAGGTAAATTCTAATTCCTAAAAAAAATGATGATTTTAAATTTTCTTATTAAAGTATTTGTAATAAAAAAAATTTTTTTTAATGATACCAAGGTATAGCTTACTGGCTCGATATTTTCTCCAGAGTACAAAATTCTGTCACACCAAGCTGGTGACCTCTGCTTTTTAGACGTATCATAAATATCAGTTCCTACATCAAACTTATAAGTTGGCTTAAAAGTAATAGGAGATTCTTTATAACTTGATAATTCTCCATATCTTAATGCATGAGTGAGCTGTTCAGCTTGGAAAAGCTCATCAAAACTTCCAGCTTGAACAAGAGACCGGACTTGATAATTCCCTAGTGCGATACGGAAATTAAGATCTCCACAAATGATCTTTATATCATGGCCGGATACAGTATACAGTTTGGGTTTTCCAGCTTTATCTTTTTGAAACCCACGGGCATGAATATCAATTAGCTGTGATTTCCTTGCTTCATTTTGATCAGAACCACTAGCTAAATGACAGCCTAAAAAGCAAAACGATGTATCATATATATTAAATCTGACTAAAACGGCTCCTTTATTCCCCATTTTCCCTTTAAAGCCAACTTTTACAGTATCAGAATCAACATGTAATATGGCGTTTTTTATGGAATCTAATGCATAAATATACAAGGCAATTCCCACTAAGTCGTCACATCTAATAAAAGAGTATTTTTCGCCGACATGTTCTAGATTATTTTCAATAAGCTCTTTTAAAGATGCAATTGTAGCTTGATTTGAGCTTTCTTGGACGACATTTCTGGCATTTAGTTTTACGATTTCTTGAAAAGCAACAGCAATTATGTCAGGATAATTCCCATCGTTAAACAGCCTTAATAAATTCGTATTTGTGGGGAGTTTTCGACCAGCAAGATTTCAGGTAACACAGCGAAATCTGAGCTTTTTGAACTGACAGTATTCATTTTCTCTGAAAAAGATTTCTTGTTCTACTTTATTCATCAGGCCTTGAGTGCCTCTTCTTCTTAAGACAGCGTCTATACTTTGCTGCCGCACAGCATCTTGTACGTTGGCATTATAAAAGCGGCCGATGGATTTTATGCCTGAAGAGATAAGGCCTTTGATTCCTTGTTTTCCTTCTCTAGTTACACTAGAGATGGTGGAGCCTGTTCCAGTATATTGCATGCTTAGTATATCTCCATTGTCGGCCCATAAGTGTTTGAATGACTTTACAAAGTTATTAGCGCCATCATCTAAGCGCAAATTAAAATCATAGCCAGCAACTCTAAGCTGAATCCTGATGAGCTCCCAAGCAATATAACTTTGTACGACGTTAGTTCTGTCTAAGCAGTCTAGACAGTTGCTTCTCATTACTCCTTTTTGCCTGACTTCTACTTTGTCACCGATTTTGCAATAATAAAGGTGATAATTTATAAAATCGCTTAAGCTGTCCACTATGTTTTTTTAAAGAAATTTTTATATGTAAATGGTGCTTATTACCCTATTTTTTATAAAAACTATAATAAGCTTATGTAATAAAATTCCATGATAGTTATTTTGCAATAGTAAATTTAATTTGTTATATCTTTGTCCTCTGCAATTCGAATGAAAATCGAAATATTGATACCCAATTTTCTGTGTGTATTCTGGGTATATTCTGTTAAAAATATTTTCCCATTCGTTAATTAAAAGTCACTCGTGTGATTTTGTCTGGCACAGTAAATTGACCATCATAACGTGCTTATAGGTTTCAACCATATTGTCCACATGTTTTCTAAAAGCATGCATGCTCATTTCACTAGACCTTGTCAAGGCTAGCTGAGCAGTAACCCCAGTTTGCTCCCAAAACAATGGAACTGAGCCTCTAATTTGAACATAAGAAAATAAGGCGTCATTAATCTGTAAAATCTGCTCAGTTTCTACAAAATTTGCAACATTTCCGTCATCATCTACTCCTCTGCAATTATAGCGAGTTCCTGTCCTTTCACAGCTGGTCAAGCATAATCCCACCTCCTCCCTCTGTATAAAGCTATTTTAATAAGAGATATAAGAGATATTACAGTATTTTCACTCTTATACTATTAAAACGAGATTTATAGAATGCTTACACATATATTTAATACTTTATTTCATATTCCTACTATAAGCAAAATTTTAGACTAATAAATGAAAGAATTAATAGAGAAATACTCTTGATATCGCTTAATTATAGCATTTTAAGCATGAATCTAATTGAATTCTACTTTAAAAATGGACAGACACAAATAAATTCAAGCATAATTATGCATGATAGGCACATAATATATCCAGCATCTTTTTCACTAAATTAAATTTTTTAACAGATTTAATACACTTAAATAACTTATTTTGCAATAACATGATATATCTTATTTAAATTTAATACAAAAATAAGAGCTAAATTTGCTAGCCAATTTAAAAATTTTGTATATAGTAAAATAAAGTATTAAATATATTTGTAAACATGATATAAATCGCATTTTAATAGCATAGAAGTGAAAATACTGCAATATATCTCTTATATTTTTTATTATCAAGACTAGGTAGTTTATATTGAGGGGGTGGGGTGAGGATTTATGCTTGACCACACAGCTTCTTCTAGATATAAGGGTCAGAATAAAAGTGTTTATGCCTTGATTAACATTTCTGATGCCGACATATCCTTGAATTATAGGAATAAGCCACTGCGTGTGTATTCCTTGCAGAAGCAAATCTTTATATAGTTCGAAATTTCAGTAATATCTTTTTTCCGCTCTATCATGCAAAGTTCCTTCCTCCGTAGAATTTTGTATCGAGTTGGTTAGATCATAATAATAGGAAAAGAAAAAACCTGATGTCAATAATTTCATGATGCTCTGTTTCTGGTAAGTTATGTCCTCAGTTTCCCAATTTTTAGATTCAAATTCAAGCATCTCAATTCCTTTGACTTCATAGATATTAAACCCATTGATTGTCCCTATAACATCGGCTTCCGTAATAACACCTACAAATAGAACCGAACCAATCGGAATTATCCCAAGAATGGAAAAGATTTCTAAATACTGTATATCATCCTTGCTAATTCCTTGTTCTAATGGACTGAAGCCAGACGTGCAAACGCATCTTCCTGTGTTTCGTTCCATTAAAAGCTGAGCTGATACTCCCGTGTCTGGGCATTGGAGAATGAAATGCTTTGAAGTTATATAAAGCCGCATTGTGGGCACGCCTGGGTAACTCATAATTATAATTATGAAGTTAAATTTAAAAGATTATTGTGAAAATAATAAGTTCTGAGTAGTCACTAATATGCTGAGTTACGGAGGTAAGCTTATCAATTTATATGAATTTAAACTGCTTTTTGTCATTATTACTGACATAAGGGTTACAATTATTTTTCTCTTAGTTTAATTTATATGGATATATGAATATTCTTAAATCAGTTTATATGGAAGTCTGATAATTTTGAAATTTTACTTCTTTATAAATTTTTGCAAATATTTTAATTAATAATTAAAGGTTTTACATTACATATTCTTTAGGGTTATTAAAAGTCACACTAGTCATATGATGGCGTAGCAATCAAAGATCTTCCTTACTTTCTCGGTTGAGGAAAGCCCACAGGTCCTTGGGTCCAAAGGACATTACCGGGCACCTTCATTTCCAAGTACAGAAAGGCAACCAAAACTTGCCCGGATACACGTCTTCAAAGGTTTCACTTGATTCTTAGCTTAGAGTCATACCAGTTCGCTGTAGCAATAAGTTCTGGACTGTTACGCCAAGAAGATAGGCTGACTCATGCCCCATTTTAATGTATTATATTCTTAAGGATAAAGATTAAAATGATCGATACCTATATTTAACTAGAATCATTTAATATGGACTATACCCTTTTCAGCTATTGAAGAAGCTCCTGCAGCTGGAGAGTAAGAATTGTTTTAAGCATCAAAAATATCCCATATCAATACCACGCTATCAACATTCTTTCTGGAGAACAAAAGGGTGAAGAGTATATCGAGAAAAACCCGCTTAAGCAAGTCCCATATCTGCATGGTGAAGATATTGGAATATCCCAAAGCTTAGCTATAATTCAATACCTTGAAGACATTCATCCCACACCTTCAGTACTTCCTACTTCCCCAATTCTTCGAGCTAAGATGTGGGAAATTTGCGAAATAATTAACTCATGGATCCATCCGTTGCAAAACTCAAAATTAACTAATAAAATTGAAGGGCTGGGAGGAGATAAAAACGAATGGGCTCTCGAAGTGGTTACAAGTGGGTTTAGAGCTGTTGAGAATATATTAGAACAAGTTGCAGGAACTTATTGTGTAGGTAATCAGCTTACAGTTGCAGATGCATGCCTTGTTCCTCAGGTTTGCAATGCAAGAAGACGCAATGTGGACTTAACTCCTTTCCCAAATATTTCTAGAGTCTTTGAAACTCTATTGGCTCTACCTGAAATCCAAAGAGCTGCACCTGAAAATCAGTCTGATGCAGTTAAATAATCGTAAATCTATTTCTACCATTTTAAAATTTTTTAAAAATCTAAATACTTTTTGCTTTTACGAAAATTTAAATAATTGTACAATTAAGTAAAATATTTCCTACGCTCTCCATTGAATGAATTCTTCATCAGGACCTTCAATGTACTCTTTTTCAATCTCTTTAATTCTTTTCCTCGATAAAGATATATTAAATGAGACTTTAAACCACTGCTCAACATCAATAGTTTCTTCAATTTCTCTGACTTTCCTAAGAATTAAATCAATCCCCAGATTTTTTAAATGGTTTTTGGAAAATCTCATAAATCCTAATGACATTCTATATAAAATTTTTGGTCCTTCATATAAGTAGCAGTCCCATATTCTTAAAATCGTTTCCATTTGAAAAGAGTAAGTAAATATTGTGACATATCATTGTGTAGCATAAATTTGCGAAACAAAGCCAACGTCGTTAAAATGCTCTCATAGGGCTGGTTCATATAATTTCATGAGCTTGTTGGTAATATAAAGGCTCAAATAGGTTTTTTCCATTCCATTTAAAAAATAGCCTCTCATATCAAAATTGTACATAATATTGACAAACAAATAAAAAGCATTTTCTTCGTCCATAAACATCAGCAAGACACCTACCAAATAAGCCATTCCTTGGCAATACCCTACCTCAGTATCTAATAGCGAATAAGCCCTCAGCACATTTAGCAGTGCTTCTTGGCCTCCTTGAAACCTAAAATACACATTTTCCGGAAATGTTCTAGCTAAGTCTTTATTTATATCATTCATATTCGCTGAGCGCAAATTGCTTGTTTTTATGTCCTCATACATGTTTTTAGGGTAATAATCCTTCACTTTCTGAGTATTTGACATCATATACCATGCTCTTCCTCTGATCACGTCAGGAATCCCTTTTCTGCATCTATTTTTCAGTATTTTCTCTTTGCTTGTGGTATATTTTTCCCACTGTGTTAGCATTTTTTGTCATTTTTCAATCCTGGAATTCACTTTTATGAATGATAGGTTTGATCTTTTCGGCTTAGTTTCTGATACAAAACCGTACTTATCAACATATTCCATTTAATTTTATATAAACTGTTAGTCATTTATAGTAAAGGCTGCCTTAAATCATTATCAACATGTACAAATGCGGCATCATGCATTGGGTCCAGTCTTATAGGAAGTGCAACCAGCATGTAATGATATGGAGTTTCTGCATAAAAATTACCATCCTTTGTGTCTTGAGGGTTTAAAACGACAACTGGGTTTTCAGCTGATAGTTCGCTTATGCTAGCGTTATCAGCTATCTTTGCTTCCATAAATGGTGCAATTGGTTGGTGCTGCAGAGAGCTTGGCAACTCATTGCTGTCAAAATAGCGGCCTTGGTCTTTGGATCTAAACACAAAGAAAATTCCTGCAATGCCCAAGATATCTCCAGCTTCAGCAGCAGTGTCAATGACAAGTGAATAGCTTTCAGAATTTATTGCGATTCCTATATAATATAAGAAAATAATCATGAGCTGTTGTATGAAATAAAAATAAACCAAAAATAAAAAAGTCTTCATCATCGAAATTTTCTTTAAAACTGTTGGAATCATCGGCCTTGCATTAGCTGCTAACAGATCCTGATATCTCCTAATGAGTGCTACCACGATAGATTTTGTGAATTTTGCAGTCAGATAAAACAAAACAATCAGCATTATGATGAGTAGAGGTATCAGTTTATCCCTTTCTATCATAAAGGCACTAAATCCTAAATAAACAGCTCCCATCGTCATAGCAACTACTGTTACTTCTCCGCGATCAAGAAATTCTCTTGTAATACAAAATCCTTTGCTTATTAAGATGAGTGTCGTATATATAAAGGTGTTGTATAAAGTGTAAGTACTTGTTATCGCTAGACTTCAGTAAGGGGATACCAAACCATCCTGGCACGAAGCCATCATAAGGGAGTAAAAAATACAATGCAGCCCTTTGAAAATAAGGACGAATGACATCATCCTTTGGAGAGGCTTACTATGTCTTTCATTACAAGTCCAAGTATTCACAAGCCACAAGCAAGCTATAAACGATCACGTCAGTCCAGAAACTCCATATAAATACACTTGGCCAGGTTGTGAATAACACTCCATAATTATAAGAAATATTGACTAATTACTACATCCCTGCAAGTTTTCTTTCAATGTCTCTCTGGACAAGCTCGAGACCACTCTTATCCAGTTCTTTAATAAGTGACAAAACGGCGCATAAAATATTTTCGTTTCTTGATTCAGCCCCTCTGTTCCCATTTCTGTTTCTTACTGCCCTTGGCTGTTCATTTGAAATAGGTGAAAGCTCCCTTCTTTGTGGTTCTTCATATTTCGCTTCATCTCTTCTATATTCTTTTGGCTCTTCTCTTCTGTATTCTTCCCTTCTTGGCTCTTCTCTTCTTACTTCTTCCCTCCTCGCTTCTTCTCTACTTCTAACTTCTTCACGGCGCGGTTCAGGCCTGCTCGGCTCTTCATAGCGTGGTTTTGAATGTTTGGCAGGAGGCGCTGATGATTTTTCTTCTGGTGTTACAGCTTGGTTATCCAGCTTCACTAAGTTAGGAAGCGCTCCAATCACAATAGCTCTGTAATTCGACAGTTCAGCACATGGGTTGTCCCATAGCCAAAGCACTTTAAGACAAGGCAGGTCTTGCAGATATCTGATTTCATTCAAATCTGAAATAAGGTTTTTTCTCAAATAAAGCTCGGCTAGTTTTCGGCAATGCTGAAAATGCTTGAGAGTTGTGATTTTATTCACGCTCAGCGATAAGACTTCTAAATTCGGCATCTCACTGACGATGCTGACATCGTCAATATCATTTCCTCATAAATTCAAGTTTTTTACGTTATCGAGTGACCCGGCTTTGGTTCTCAGCAAAATAATATCAGCACTTAAAGCCTTTGACATTTTTAATTCAAAAAGAAATTAGCTAGGTTTATCTTTATCTATTAGAGGAAGCAGAACAGAGGAAAGCTGCTTTCTTTTGTTGATAGAGTCGTCAAGGGTGTAGAGGAGGCCGATACAAAGTAAGCCAAATAGAGCGACTAGTGTGAATATCAGATGAGAGTTAAGTGGGTAGCCGAGATCGTTGTTAAGCGACCATCCGAATATAGATCCAGCCATTGCAGGGCCGATAAACCTGAGCAAGCTGACAGCACTTTGAGCGAAACCGTTAGCAGTCCCTAAGAGATCAGAATCTACTGAATTATTTACACCAATTCCAATAGCAGTCAATACACAGGTTTGGATTGCGGCAAAAGTTACATATAAAGGGACAACTGTAAGTCATAAAGCAACTCCATCAAGTTCATAAATATTCGGAATAATAATAAATACTGGAACACATATAATTCAGGCTGTCTTTAAAACACTTAAAATACCATATACATTACTTGCAGCTGGGACTATGAAGAGTTGAAATATAATGACTGAAATTCCTCCAGAAGACTGAATCAGTCCAATATCCCCTTCGCTGTCCCAACCAAGACCCCCATTTGCTTTCAAAGCTCTACACCAAAATGGAAAGACCTCTTGAAAGCTTAAAAATGATAGCCCAGAAACTGCATAAATTGTGGTGCATGTCAAAAAATTTGAATTTTTTGTTAAAAGCCAAGGGCTTTTTAAGACTTTCACCTTCCTATTAGTTTCAGTCAACACAAAATACCCAATTATAAATCCAATAAGTGAGATAAATGAGCTTGTAAGCATAGGCAAAAAATAAGGATAATCGCCCCAGAAGCCGTCTGGAGAAAAAATACTAGGAATTTTATCAGAAATCCTCGATAAACCTCCTCCTAGTATTGGTCCAAGCATAACTCCTATTCCCCACGAAAATCCTAAGTAGCTAAATAATTTCGCTGAATTAGTATCATCAGTGATTTCTGTAGCATAAGCTTTGGCAACTCCAGTATTCCCGTTCACCAGCCCGCTTATAGATCTGAAAATAATAGCCCAAGTATAGTTTGGGGCAAGTCCAAACAAAGGAGCAGTAGCTACATTACCTATCATCCCAATTAATAATACTGGTCTTCTTCCTATTTTATCTGAAACGCGACCCCTAAATAGCATATACCATATAGGCGAACTTAAAAACTGAGCTAAACTAAAGCAAGATGCGACAAGTCCAGCATAAAAAGAAACTATTGAGTCCGTCTCTTTATCATCTCTATCAAGTCAATAAAAAAAATCAGCTACCATATAAGCCACAAATGGGTAAAGCATAGAATTAAACATAGCTTCAACAAAAACTGTTAATAGCACTACGAAGGATTTCACTGTTTAGAAAATACGGAATGGAAGAGGTGTTGCGCTTTTCTTTGGGTCTTCCATTTACTAGAAATTTACTAGATAATTAACGAGCATTTTTATTAATTTAATTATGATGCTTTTTCTAATAAATGTTCAGGTGATTTTTGTCTTTTGTTTATGGATTCATCCAAAAATATTGATATTCTTTATTTATCAAATTAAATCATAAATCGTAAGTTAGTAATTTTAGTATTTTTACAATCCCTTCCCCTTTTGTGCAAAAGTTTGTTGATCATAGGTGGGGTTATTTTTTTTGAAAATTTATAATAGATTCCATAGGATTTTCTTATCAAAATTTAAAAAAAAATAATTAACAAAATTTGGAAAGGTAAAATAATCTTAAAAAGGAGAACTATGCTTTAGAAAGCAAAAATTTAGCAGAAATAACTATTTAGTTATAATAGTTATACTTAAACATTAAAATAATTTTATAAAAATTTTATACCTAATTATAATGAATAAAAGCATTTATACTGTTACATTTTATATATGAAAATAGGATAACGGCTCGATTAGATATGCTTTTATTCATTGGATTAGATATATATTATAAAAATTTTGCTCGCTGACAGATTTTTTTTCTAAAAAATAGTTATTTGGCTTTACTCGCTCACGTGGAGGAGAGATAGGAATAAAGAAATATAGATAAATTTTATTATCTTAATTTCATTAAAAAGTATAAGAAAATGCATAAAAGTCCAAGAAGAGAAATCAAATTGAAAATTAAATGGGAATTAAAAGGGTAGCCCAGCTCATTATTAAGAGATCAACCAAAAATACAGCCAGCTAGAAGAGGACCAATAAATCTTGAAAAACTAACTGCGCTTTGGGCTATTCCATTTGCAATTCCAATTACAGATAGCTCTACAGAATTATTAATTCCAATAGTCATTACTGTTAAAGCTGATGTTTGAATTATTGCAAAAATCACATATAAAGGCACAAGTACAATCCACAGCATTTCATCTTGCAACTTATAAGTGTTTGGAATACATATGCCGTCGAAGACGTGGACATTTGCCCTAGAAGCACCTTGGTGATCGAAGCAAGTTTGTCTCCAGCAGACTGGTGGGCCCGATGCGACGAAAGGCGAGTGATAAACCTGGAGTTGTAACTCCGTAGTGGACGTTAAGCGATATAAATTCTAATGTAATGTAATGTTTGGAATACATATAAAATCTAATACACAAATGCCCCAAAAAAGTCTCAAAACCATTAAAATTCCCAATTTATTCACGATCTTTCATACTAAAAATAACTGAAAAATGATTACAAATCCTCCGCCTAGTGATTGAATTATGCCTATATCACCTTCACTTTCCCATCCTAATCCTCCATTTTTCATAAGAGCCCTGCATCATAAGGGAAAGACCTCTTGAAAGCTTAGGAAAGATAATCCAGAAATTGCATAAATTGAAGTGATAACCAAAAAATTTGAATTCTTTAACAATTGTCTTGAGCTACCGTATTTTTTAATTTTTCTAGTTGGCTCTAATAAAGCGAAATATCCAATAATTAGTCCTATAAGAGAAATCAATGACAGCACAAGTATAGGTAAGAAATGAGGATATTTTCCTCAAAAAGAATCAGAGCCGAAGCTATCAGGAAATTTATCAGAAATTCTTGATAATCACCCCCCTATTGCGGGCCCTATCATTATTCCAAGTCCTCAGGAAAATCCTAATAAACTAAACAGCTTCGCTGAGTTTGTTTCATCAGTAATTTCTGTAACATAAGCTTTCGCAACTCCTATATTTCCATTCATTAGTCCACTTAAAGATCTAAAAATAAGAGCTCATAAATAGCTTGGAGCTAACCCAAATAGTGGAGCTGTTATAACATTTCCTGTCAATCCTAATAAAATTATTGGTCTTCTCCCCACTTTGTCTGAGACTCAGCCTCTATATTATAGATACCACACAGGAGCACTGATAAACTGTGCTAAACTAAACAAAGAAGCTACAAGTCCAGCATAAAATGAGACAATGCTATCAGTATCTTTATCATTTCGTTCCAATCAGTCAAAGTATTCGGCAACCATATAAGGAATAAAAGGATAGAGCATAGAATTAAACATAGCTTCAGCAAATGAAATAAGAAGCAGCACAAAAGTTTGCACTGATTATAAATTACACTTAGGTAAGCTTGTAGGCTGGACTTTCCCTGAGTTCATTTTTATTTAGCATTTAATTGAAAAATATTCTGTTTAAGTTTATATCTGGAGCTAATAGGGTTTGGATATTTATTTGGTATAGGAAATACTATCTTTATTAGGCTTAAGGACATTATAATTCAATAGATTATAATCATTCAGACACTTAAAGTTTATAACTAGCTAAACTATTGATAAAGATAAACCCATTAGCTAATTTAAAGAAAAAAGATTATCTTATTCTCTTTTTTTGTCAATTTTCTGTGTGGCTGACTCAATCTCGGCATAGCGAGCATATTCTTCATCTAATAAAATCATAAATAAAGCCCCAATTAATAATAAATCTCCACTTACGTTTAAGCTTGCTGCACTGATGTCTTGAATATGGTAAAACTTAGGTGTTGCCTTAAGCATTGTAAAGAGAAGCAGTCCAAGAGTCCCAACATTATTATTAAGTACTGTCAAAAAGCTTAGAACCAAGCCAAGTGCTCCGACTATTGTTAAGCAGGTTTCAGGATAATTTTGAATGACTGTGGTAAGATTTGGAAATGTTATCCCGGTAACTAATTTTATGTGGAAGTGAACTTGGTTATAGCCACTGACAAAGCCGCTTGTCCAAGAAGCTGAGTTGTTTAATATCATAAGGCTTGTAACAATAAAATAGAAGACTATTAGAGAGCGAATGCAAACTTTGAGAAACCCCATATTGCCTATTTAATATTAGAAGAAATAAATCTTAGAAATATAAGATGCAAATATATCATAAGATATATTAAATTTTGGTGGGGCAATTAAAGAAGCATTCTATATTTATATAAGTATGCTGATAAGAGTAGCATATATTTATTTATATGGCAGCCTAAAACTCAACACTTAGATAGTTTTTGGATCATTCTTAATAAAATTAAATTATTTATCTAAAATTTACTCGTTTTTGTCTTTAACTTCTTGATCTACTCTTTCATTTCCTAAAAACAGCCAAGGATCTGTAAGCACAGTCACCAAGAGACTAGTAATTAGTATATCAATGCCTATTACTTTTAAACATCTAAAACTGTGCTCTTGGCAGGCATAGTATTTCAAATATCCATTAAGAAGTGTGAATCCCAGCAAAATCATCGGGCCTAACACTGTATTGAAAAGAGTGAGAATGCTAAACACAAATGTAATTCCTGCTATTGTCAAGCGATCAGAATACTTGGGGTAGTCAGCAACTAAAGGAACACTATCATTTATTATCCAGTATGTGACAGCTAAGAAATAAGTCGCAGAAATTACTCTCGAAAATGTCCTGATTAATTTCATCATTTTTATTATATAATTTAAAATCCCTCCAATAAATATGCTATCAATAATAATTGATTTAGGATAAGATATTTAATTATAAAAAGCCTTATAACAAAATTAATTGATTTGGATACAAATAAAATGAGCCATGTCTAGAAAATTAATATGGTCGAATTAACATCAGAATACATGCTTTTTCCTGAGCCTAAACCAAGCACATTTAATTCTCTTTTATCCCTTCTTAAGCAGAGAGAATCAAAGCCTCATTGTGTCACTATAAAAACCCAAAATACTCCAACATGCTGTGTTCACTATATCGATAAAAATTTATTTGTCGGCCTGAGCAATGGTCAAGTTTTATCTATAAATTTATATAATTCCTATGAAGAAAAACGATTTTCTGCTCACAAGCTTTCTATTCATACTATGGCAATTGATTCTTCTTTACAACATTTAATTACAGGAGGAAAAGATAAAATTATAAAAGAATGAGACTTTGATGGAAATTTATTAGGAATTTACCCATCCACAAACTTTAAAGTAACTGCATTATATTGTACTAATAAATATTTATTGTCAGGAGATACTAATGGGAGATTTACAGTTTACGACATTTTGACGAGAAAAATTGTGTTTTCTGAAATCTGCCACAAAGAAAAAATCAGCACAATAGCGGCCTCAAGCAGATTTATCGCATCAGGAGGGTATGATACACTGATTAGGCTGCGAACTATGGACAATTTAAGCGAAATTGCTGTGCTGACTGGACATAGTAAAGAAATTTTTAATTTGTGCTTTACAGAAGATGAAAAATTTTTGATATCAGTTGGTGGGGATAGCACTGTAAGTGTATGAAGCACTTTTTATAAATCAATCTCTATAGTGTACTCTGGGCATGAAAATTGGGTAAGAAACTGCTGCATTTCTCCTGATGGGAGATATATCATTGCTGGAACTTTTGATAACTCAGTCAGATTTTGGGATTTACAAGGTAACGACTCTGAAGCTTGTGGTAACTTTACAGCCCATGATGGCACAATTGTGGATATCTGTATATCTTCAGATGGAAAAAATCTATTTACTGTAAGCTTAGACAAGACTTTAAAAATTTGAAACTTATATGAACAGAATGAAAAAATTGATAAATTAACAGGACATAAAGAAGCAGTTACAGATCTCGTTTTAAGCTCAGACTGCCTTACTTTATATTCCTCAAGCTTCGATATGACAATTTGTATATGATCTCTTTCCAGTGAAAAGTATGGGTTGATTGGCAAACTATGTGGTCATGAAAAAGGAATCAGAGACTTAGAATTGTCTCATAACAACTATTTATTATATTCTGCAAGTGAAGATGGCACAGTTAGAATCTGGGACACAAATGAAAGAAAATGTTCATGCATTTTGACGTCTGATGAAAAAATGTTTTTCTGTGTCGCTTGCAATACAAATCTTTTACTAGCTGGAGGAGCATCAGGGAATATTACTATCTGAGATATAGAAACAAGGAATAAAATTAATGTATTAGTTGGACATTGAAATGCTGTGTCTAATATGGCACTGGCAAAAAAAAGTTTTACTTTATACTCGTGCAGCTATGATAAGACAATAAGAATCTGAGATTTATATACCATGAAGCAGATAAAATTAATAAACGCTCATGGCGACCCAGTAAAGAAATTATCATTGTCCAAAAGTGAAAAGATGCTAGCTTCAGGAAGCTGTGATGGTAAAGTGAAAATTTGAGACTTAGATGGATCTCCTATTGATACCAAATTGCAAGGCCATAATGCATATATAAATTCTGTCCTGATAACAAATGATGAAAATTATGCATACTCTGGAAGCAGAGATGGGGATCTCATTGTGTGGTCTATTGCTGAAAGAGTTGAACTGTTTAGGTTTAAAAACCAAGGACATATTAATGCAATAATTGAAAATCCGAAGACCTCAAGATTCATCCATAGCTCCAGCTCTAGGATTTTCATCAGGAATTTAATGTTTATTGAAAGAAATTTTACAGTTTTTCCTCAAAAAGACTCATTTTTATTTCTTTTATATCTAAAAAACTTGCTGAAAGGCAAAAAGGTCCACTTTACAAGCCAATGAAATGACTATATTATTTTTCCTTGAAGAGTCAATGTTTTGCATATTTATGCGTATTTGAATAAATGGCAAGATATCAAAAAAGCTATGAAAGCAAGCTGCAGATTTTTGATAATGGACACTGGAGAAAATCCATTGTCAATAGCACTGTCAAGAAAAGCTTTTAGGTCAGCTGATATGATAATTAAATATCTAGCCAAATACTACGCTCCCAAAAACCCTTATATTTTTCACTCGCTAGAAGACATAATCACTATTCTCCCCAAATACACAATTTATCAAATACTGGTTTAGGATTAATGATCGTTCACTTTTGATAGTGTGTATTTCACCGAATTATATTTTGTGGAAAATTGGTCGAAAATCTTTTTGATAGTGAGACATTTGACCCAAAAAATTAAATTTCGACGAAATGTCACACTATTTAAAGATTTTTGGCTGAATGTGTTTCGATGAAATGCACACTTTCAAAAAATACAATGTCATTTATCAAATACACATCTTCTATTTTCTGCCGCATTTCCAGAGCACCACAAAAAAGACCTCGCTGTTTTTGGGCTCGTTAAAAAGAAAAACATTATTTTAAGCAAAACAAGAAGCATTAAATGTGAAGCCCTTTGCAAAACTGGAGACGATGCTGGAGAGAGCGTTATTTTTAGAGCAAGCTTATGCAAATTTGCTTTAAATTCAGGTGCTGATGACAGTATTTCATTTTTATTCTGCTTAATGAACTGTGAAAATACAGAACTTTTTCAAACGCCTTTAATACAAGCAATATTAAAATACAAATTTTCACAAATAAAAAAATTTTTATGATTTCAGTCTATAGTATCATTGATTTATTTGGCATTATTGATTTCTTATACATTATTCAATATGTATGAAATCAATCATATTTTTATTTTATTTATTTTTAACACATGATACTTAGTTTATGAGCTTTTGCAAGTCTATCAGCTTTGTTTCACATATTTTGGCGATATTTGGAATGTTTTGGATCTCTTAAAGGTTTCTACTCTTTATATTTGCTTAGGTCTTTCCTTAGGACATGCTGATAGCAAAGATCTCCAGTGGCCATTCACTTATGCAATATTTTTTTCACTTATGAGGTCAATTGCGATATTTCGGATGTTTGATAGAACGAGATATATGATAAGGATGATTATAGAAATCATAAAAGATATCAGCTCCTTTCTTCTTATTCTTCTTATGGCAACTTTGGCTGCTGGATATTCTTTTTATTTTTCTAGTGATTCTGACACCACACTGAATCATACTTTACTAAACATATTATTGGTGAATTTTGGGCAATTCTTTTTAGAAGAGGCCACATGGCTGGAATGGTCTATGTTTGTTTTTGCCTTATTCTTAAATCCTCTAATACTGATGAATTTACTTATTGCCATGATGGGAGATACTTTCGAAAGAGTTCAATATTCAATGCTGACTGCAAATGCCAAAGAAGTTGCAAGCTTAGTACTAGAAATGGAAGCAGGCTTATTATGAAAAAGAAAAAATAACCAAAAAAAGTATATCCAGCAATGCATACAAAGAGACGGAGCTGATGACTTATCATCAGCACTATGGGAAGGCCGTGTTCGCACAATAAGAAAAAATTTAAAAAAGCTTGTAGAATATACTAAAAGCAACCAGCATAAGCTTGATGATATTCTAGAACACATAAAAACCTTAGAAACAGCATCAAGCGAAATCGCTCCCAACAAATTGTCTAGTGAATGCTCAAGATTTAAATACAAAGACTTAAAAAATCGCATATTAATTTAACTAATTTCCAGATTTTCTGCCTTTAATTTTATAATTAAATTAATCGAAAAGCATGTTTCGACGATTTATCGGGATGACTCGCTTTTTTGGAGCCACAAAAAAACTTTCTAATGAGAAGCTTTCCGCTGATCAAGTCCAAAGAATTGAAAAGCTCTTAAAGTCCCCAGGTTTCACAAAAGAAACAACTGCAAAGCGATATCTCATAAATGACGAGATTACATATGAAAAAGACCTCAGAATTATAGATTGGAACGACAGACTAATGAAAGACATCTCAACATTGTCAGAAGCTAAGCTACTCGCTCAAGAGCAAATGCTTGACGTAGTTCTGGTGACTGAAAATCCACCTACAGTCAAGCTGATGAACTATTCCAAGCTTTTACTAAAAACTTTGTCAACTCAGCATACAAGTGATGCTAAAAAAGACATAAATAATGAATTTAAAGCCTTCAAGTTCGACAATACAAACATTACAAGTCATGATTTATCAAGAAAAATAGCAAGGATCGAAAAAACCTTAGATGAGGGATTTAAAGTAAGCATTGAAATTGTTATCCCTGGAGACACAGAAGCAGAAATAGATAGATGCCAGGTATTAGCAGAAAACATTTGTGTGAAAATCAAAGAAGAAATGAGTGATAAGATCAGATCGATAAATAAAGTTGAAAATGAAGATGAAAATATAAAAATTTATATAATCCCACAGGTTGATATGGCTGACTTACCCCAAACAATTAAAAGCATCTTAAGTTTTTGTGAAAAACCCCTTCCATAATCGAGTACATTTTTTTTTAAATATAAGTGATAATTATTATAATAAAATTATAAGTTCTATTTAAGCGGCTTATATATTAAAAAAAAAATTTATATACATTTTTTTAAAAAAACTAGTCCCTTTCATAAGCTAGCAAAATTATTTTTCTTCTTTTATGTAGAGGTAAGAAAAAGGAAGTCGAAGAAATTGTGAAAGATAAAGAAATATATCAAAATACAGGAAATGGGGAATATCAAAAACGCGCCTTAAATAAAATAAAAACATACGAGAAACTAGCACACAAAAAATCTACTGGGCCTGATGAAGAAGAAGATAAATATATGGAAATGCTGCTAGACGATGACTCAATTGAAAGCAAAGTAAAGCATATTGAAGAAGACGTAGATAGTACAGAGAGCTTAAGATTGTCTATGAAAAGCTTCGATATTGAAGAAGAGGAACAGGGAAGCTCAAAGAACGAAGGAAAAAGTGAAAAATATAAAAAAATTTTGGGTGATAAGCTTTCCTATAGCTTGAAAAAAGGCAGAGTTAGATTTTAAATAACCTTCATTGAAAATCTAATAAAAAATTTATAAATAATTCTCACTAAATCCTAGGAAATTCCTTTTTCATAAATAATCTGAAGAAGTATGTTTTCTGCTAACTTATAAATTTTCGCATAAATGTCTGATATAAAACTCCACTATTTCAACTATTATGCAAGGGGTGAAATGATTCGTATGATTCTTCATTATCATGGCGACCAATTCACAGATCATCGAGTCACAGTTGAAGAACTCCCAGCCCTACGGACTTCTGGACTAGCAGAATTCGGGCAACTTCCAGTTCTTGAAATAGATGGATTAGTTTTAGTACAAAGCCGTTCAATCGCCAGATATTTATGCCAAAAGTTTGGATATTACCCAACCTCTTTGGAGAATTGTTATTGGAGCGAGTCTCTCCTTGATTTCAGAGAAGATATTTTAAATGAATATCTTAAGGCAAAATCGTCAGGAAATTCTGAACAAGTTGAAAAACTTTTTGAAGAAAAAGTCCCAGACTGGCTAAGAAAAGCAGAAACAAGACTAGAAAGAAATAATGGGGGCAATGGCTGGTTTGTAGCAGATAGCATCAGTTTGGCTGATTTCGCAGTTTTCCAGACAGTTTGGGATTACATGCTATGCGAAGCTAAAGTGAACAGAAGAGGGCCGCTTGTTGCTAGTTGTGCTCCAAAGCTCAGGCTTTGGGCTGACAGACTTTTGGAATCTTCTGCTAGTCTTAGGCACTACTTAGAAACAAGACAAGTCTTAGATTTCTAATTAAAATTCTTTAACTCTCTAGAAACATATTGTGAGAATGCATATATTGTCTTGAGACCCGCCATTAATTGCTCTCTCCATCAACGAATTTCCTATTTCTAAGCTGCTTCTTCCTCTTAGTCCTTCTAATTCTCTGTCATTTACTACATCCCACAGCCCATCCGAAGCCATAACTAAAAATAGCTCATTAGGAGTAATAACTCTCCTCGATACATACGGCTCATATGAGACCCCGCTGGTCTTCAAATGGTGATCTCCTAATGCTCTTGTCACGGCTAATTGTCCTGCAACTCTTCCCCTGATTAAATATCCTCCATTTGATACTATCCTATCTATTTCTCCAGGATCTGTGCCTTTGTGATCATAACTGAGCTGCTCAGAACCTGAAGATTTTACTATAATCGCTTTAGAATCACCTACATTGGCGACATAAAGGACTTTTTGGTGGTTTTCTTTTCTGATCAATGCAACAGTAGCTGTAGAGCCAGATGTCGCAGCCCCAGCGAGTCTGAGCTGGTCATCTATTTTTTTAAAACACCGATTAAAAGCTGTAGGGATATCATCAGAAAATTCTTGAAGAGCTTTCTTCAATTCCTCGTGAAGCCGGTTTTTACAGTAGTCTACAGCTTCACTTCCACCGTGTCCATCATAAACTGCAAAGAATCCTTGATTTGGGTCACCTAAATAAGAATCTATTATTTTATGACCGTCTTCCATATATGGTCGATAGCGATGATTCGATTCTTCTTTGCAAGAAAAGTTTTGCACACTGTTAGCCCGAGGAGAATATTCGTCGTCTGGGTTAGTTGGCTGATACATGACGCCAGGAGATCGATAAGCTGAGTTATATGTAGTCACCATTATAAAAATGAAATTAAAAAGAATAAAAATTTAAATGTGATTTTCATTGTAAAAATGCCATTTTCCGAGGACATAAAAAGAGCTTTTTTAATTAAATCAACAGTTAGCGAGAAGTTTTCAAGTAAAAGAAAGTGTTAATTATTAAAAAAAAATTCAGCCCTATTAGTTTAAGGGAAATTTTAATATATCATAGCTTTACGCTTCAACTTTGCCTGTAGACATAGTATCCGAGTCAAGGCCTTGGTCGCTTTCGCGCTTAATTAAGCTTTTGCTGGGCTTATGCCCAGCTTTTACGTTTTTTAGCCCATCATCGAAGGAGTTTCCAGTTCCATGGTGAACTTGACTTTTCTCGATCATCGCAAAGCTGACTTCGACAGAATGCAGCTTAATTATATCACTTACAAATCCTTTCTCAGAGCTTGCTTGCTTTTTCTTTTCGACTGAGCCAGCGACAATACGAGGCTGGCTCGCTTTGATGATGAAGACTCTTTGGTTGCTTCTTGTCTTAAATCTTGTATTGCTGCAACCCATAAAATATTCTACTTCCCATAAATTAAGTAATAATTCTGCGTAATTATAACAGATTTTTATACTAACTCCCCTCCCTCCTTAAGTGAACAAAAAAATTTTGTTCACTCGCAGAGGGGGGTTAATTTTTTTTTTAAAAAAAAATTTATAAAGAAATTTTATAGAAATTTTTTTTCTTTCAAATTTTAAAAAAATCCTAATTTGCAAAAATTGGAAGCAAATATTAATTTAATTTATAAAATTTATGTTTTAAAAAGCAATTTGTTTAAAATTAACCAGAATTAGCTCGAGATTTCATTATAATAATTATCACTTATATATCAAAAATTCTTTCCATAAAAAATTTTTGTTCACTCTCGGAGGGTGGGTTTTTAGACAAAAAATAGCTATTTTCTAATGGTTTTGTTTCACTCACGGAGGGGGGGAGTAAAACAATTCTCCTGTCTATTCCTAATTGATTTTCAAGTAATACTATTTTTTAGATAAAAGAGCTCTAAACTATAATTAATTTTATTATTTTTTGCCTTAATCTCGATGGGATATTATTTTTATTACCACAATTTTTTAATTCATTGAATTTTTAAATCTGAGGTTTAAGTTTTATTATTTCGTCCATCAGATGTTTATCCTCTTGCGTCCACTTTTCTTCTGGCTTTGCCAGAATTGCTTTGATTTTTTCTTTCATTGATTCCAGGTCAAGTTTGTCATCTTTCCTTCTAAAAGGTGACACATCTGAACGCTTAGTTTTTGGCTGCTTAGGTGGCGAGCCTTTACGTAAAGCGATAGCTGGGTAGAAATTTGCAACGGTTTCTATGTAGGGAGGCTCAATGTAGCGATTATTCCATTTTGACGCTAAAAGATTAAGAGAAGTGGAAAGCTTTGAAGGAGGAGTTTGGAGACGTCTGATGTCAGCAATTGTGATTAGGGTTATGCCTAGACCACGGCTCCATGAGCACTGAGATCTTACGACTGTAAACTCATTAGCCTTTTCAAACATTTCTGGGATTTTTGCAGCTAAGTTTACTTCCTGAAAAGTAGATTGAGACGAGATTGTACCATTTGTGCCTGCCCAATAGAGTTTGCGGTTTTCAAGGAGTATGACAGAATGCTTTAGGCCTGCACTTACCTGTATTGCTTTGAGACGGTTACCTTTAATATTGACGATTTTTGGTAAATATTCACTTGAAAAAATGATGTGACCAAGCTGCCCATGACTTCCCCAGCCCCATGTATAAACTTTTCCAAGTGTAGACCTTGCTATTACATGCCGGAATCCGCAGCTTACATTTGCTATTTTTTCGCCTTGCTTTTTCAATGAAGCTATCATTGTGGGAGCACTTCTTGGTAACGCATCTCCATGGCCCAACTGTCCTTCTTTATTATTGCTGCCTAGTGAATAAAGCAGTCCAGAATTAGCTAAAATTATGGCAAAATTGAAGCCGATGGACACTTCGCTGACTATGACATCGTTAAAGACCTTCATAGGATAGCTCCTGCGTTCCCCATGAATTGTTTCGAATGGCCATAAATATAAGTCTCCGTTATCAGTTACAGCCATTGATTGGCTTCCTGCTGTATAAACTTGTCTACATGGAGGCAGATTTAGACCTCTCACGTCACGAATTTCTTGATAATTGCCTTGGCCAAGCTGCCCTTTTGAGTTGTCACCAAATGCAAAAACAGCTCCGTCAGAGCCTAATGCCAAAGTATGGTCATCGCCACAGGAGACTTGCAAAATCCTTTTTTCCTTAAGCCCTTCTACTAATTTTGGCTTATTTGTAGAAGTTAAACCTTCAGCTGCACATTGATATTTATCGTTCCAGCCCCAAACAAATAATTTTCCTCTATTGGTAATAGCTACAGAAGGAGACATTGCAAAAATGATGCAAAATCGCAAAAAACCAATGCTTTTCCACAAAAATTTAAAAAAAATTTTTAATAATTACATCAATTTTTTGCATTTTGAAATGAAAATTTGCCATAAAGCATTTATTTTTTGCAGTTTTTGCACCATTTTTGCAAGTTCTCAGATACAGAATGACAGCCACCTAGTTCAATATCCATAATTTGTTCTTCTTTTGCTATTGATTCTCTGTTAAGAGTTTCTAGCTGCTGACTTCATAATGGGTCATATACAATGGACATGTCAGTTAGTAACTCCATATCGAGAACTCGAGTGAAAAAATACATTTTTTCTATGTGGAATGGAGATATTTGTTTTGATTGCATAGCTAAGCTGCCTGTATTGAGAAGATTAGATTTGTTTAGATTGGCTGTGCTTTCTGCTATAGTTGATATACTTTTCTGAGAAAAATATGGCTTTTGATTAATTCTATAGAAAAAAGCCATTATCATTTTAGTGAAATATAAAGTTTTAAAAGCGTCCTGGACTTGATAGTTTTGAGTATTTATTGGTATTGTTGAAAACAGCTCAGAATGCTCCAGAAGCAATAAATTGTTCAGTAAAGCTGATTCTTGGGTAATATATTTATTAGCCCTTTCCTTTATAATTTTGCTTCTAATATAGCACAGGGCCTGCTTTGGATTGCTCTGGGCTACACATTTCTATGGGGTGGCACGGTAATATTAGTTGCTAAGTCAACCCTAAATTGACAAAAATCACTATAATTTTCAGTTGTAATTGACTTGGCAACTTATATTGCCCTAGCCCACCCCACGGTTGAGGCAGCAACTGTAGCCTAGAGCGATCAAAAGTAGACCATGGGCTCTAATAAAAGATCTAACAGCCCTCTGGATACGCCTGACTTCCATTGATATCTTTTTAAACAGTGAATAAGTCCATTTTGCTCTAAAATACCCTTGAATATATTTTGCAGCTTTCGTCATCCTATTAAGCTTTTTCCTAACTATTTCTCCTTTAGCCCAAGCCTGTATTTTAGTAGCTGCTTTATCTAATTTCCTTTGTTTCATTTTTTCTCTCAGCTCAGTCACCTTATACGTTTCATTTTTCCTACATCTATACCCACGGAACAATTTTTGTATTAGCACAGCTGCCCTAAGCCTCATTCTAAAATAAATTCTTTCCCAAGATGGCCTAAAAATTCTGGTGTTAAATAATCTTTCTATATACTTATGTACGCTAGCTATTTGTCTTCCTTTGTAGCCCCTTCATAGTCTTTGTGCAGTAATAGCCATATTCACATATTTTAGCTGATATAAAGAGTTCATTTTTACTGCTAAATATTTTTTGAATATTTCAAGTCCTAAAACTCGTAAATCAGCCTTAGCGTTATATTGGATATCTCTAGCCCATCTTTGGATTTTTAATGTTTTTTCTTTTATGTCTAAAAATTCTTCACGACATTTTCTAGCCTTATAGGTTGCTTGGAGCCTTGCGACAATTTTTAAATAACTTTTGAAATTTTGGTATTCTTTTCTTGCCTTAAGCCATCCTTGGATTTTGCTTGCAGCAATATCTTTTTCTTTTAAGAAGGAGAGTTTGGCTTTTTCTAGATAAACATTGACTTCAGCTTTTAAGAAAATTTTGAATTTTCCAAATAAAATATACTTTTCGTCAATTCCAGGCAAATACTCGTCAATAATATCCTCCACTAAATTCTGCCAATCTGGAGGAGTTTCCATCAATATATTATTTTTCTTTTCGCGATCAGGATAGATTTCATCAAACCTCTTAAAAAACTGTTCATAAGTATAACGAATAGGGTAGCCTTGTCTTCGTATTGCAATTGAGTCTAAGAGTCCTAAATACTGAATTTGCAGTAGGACAAGCCTTGGGAGGAATTTTAAGGGTGATTTATCCTCATTAGGTTTTATACACCTGACAAAGTGGCAATCACAGCTTTCAAGCTCTTCCATGACAGCGTTCATCTGTCTTCTAAACTTTGCCCCTAAAAATTTCCCTTTATTGGCTTGATCCTCAACCCCAACTCCTTTAGTAAAAATTTCTCTAACATTTGCATCCCCACTTTCAGTGGCACATAGCTCCAATTCTTTCCTAAGTTCGTCTAAATTCTTTACTCTAAAGCCATTGACTGTATAATCTACATCTCTTGCAGTGTGGAAAACAGTGAAAATATCGCTTTCTATTTTAGGGATAGCAAAAAACTGGTTTTCTTTGTGAGTTTTTATAATTTGTTGAAGCAGTCTTTTATCGTCACTGTTAACGGAGCACGCTTCATCAATCAAATTGAAGATTCCTCCAGGGAATTTTTCAAGTAAGTCCAAAATAGGCTGATTATCAACATAATTTAATTCTGTTATAAATTCTTCTAAACCTTCATTCCTCAGCTCTTGCTCTTCAATTTTAAAAATATAGGAAACATAAAGCTGCTGCAGTTTTTCATTGGTGAAATTAATACAAAATTGCTCAAACCCGTTTTCAGGAAAAACTTCAAAGCCAAAAATGTCTAATAAGCCTATTGATATTGCTTGAGAAGTGCTAGGTGGCAGCAGAGTTTTATTTAATTTGAAGACGATCCAGTTAAACAGCCTGTCATATAAGGCTTTGGCGATAGAGTCTCTGTAAGCTGAACAGTCTTTTTTACTGAGAGGAGAAGCGATTTCTGCACCTCCAATCTTTCTGACATAAGTGGTTATTGCTTTGTATTCTATTTTTTATTAAATTCGCAGTTATTTATATATGAAATTAAAACGCTCTCATTATTTCTTGCTATAATAGTGGGGTTAAATAAGAACTGTTTAAAATTTGTCAACAGAAATATTCAATAACCTCGCAGCATTTTCAAAGTATTTTCCTGATTCCTCTGAAATTTCACAGGGCTCACTATCATCTTCTTGATGCAGCGTATCATCAAACTGAATATTTCCAATAGATAGAATTGTTGCCAAAATTGTCCAAATTCCATGAACTTCTGCGTCAGAAAAATTTGTAATTTTGAAGCTTGCCATCACGTCTAGGTAAAAATCTTCGTCATTAATAGTTTCAGCGTCTTTATCACCTCTTAAATATAGATATTCGTCCATGTCTAATGTGTCTCCTTCCGTTAGGCCAAGCTCTCTTAATATTTCAGCAGGGGCATGCTTACAGAATAAATAAAAAATATGGTAATTCCTTTCTCCAGCAGAGTGCATGACCACTCTTGATTTTTCCAACAAATAATTTGCTATTGAAGCTCCACTGATGCTTTTTGTTTTGCCATTATAAAAAATCCTTATATATTTCCCAAACCTCGACGAGTTATCATTTCTCACTGTTTTAGCGTTTCCAAATGCTTCTAATAGTGGATTGCACCTTATCAGTTTCTCCTCTATTCCTTCATACTCTCCATGCCCAGATAGGTATGTTAAAAACCTCATGGCATGCTTGGTAGTCTCTGTCTTCCCTGCCCCACTTTCTCCACTAATCACAATAGCTTGATTTTTTTTATTTTCCCACAATTGTGTATAAGCTTGCTTAGAAATTGCGAAAATATGAGGGTCAAGATTTTCTAAATTATCGTTGAGATAATGGTTTATAGCGTCTTGAGAAAGCAGCTCTGGGATGTTTTGGTATGGGTTTATCACTATTAAAGTTTGTGCTACATAAGTATATATCTCTTTACGCTGATAGCGTACTTCAACATTAACAAGGAGAGCAGCTTCATGAAGATTAGAAAGTTTGGAGAGGTCAGAAACTCCTTGCTCAGCATCTTCGTCAACAGGGAAAACTTCATTTGCAGAGACTTCAATGATTTTTTTGCTGCCATTAAGAAGTTTTACAGAGACGGAGTTTTCATTGATTTTGACGATTTCTCCATTGTAAAATGCATCATCGCTGGGATCTTCATAGCTGACGAGGACATAGACTTGCATTTTTTCATAGAGTGAAGAAGAAGCAGTTGTGGTCTCTAAAGACTGAAGTTCTTGGATAATTTGGTCAGTTGATTTAAGTCGAGGATTGTCCATTTTAAAATTAACTACTATGAATTAATAGAGCTTGATCACAAAAATAGCGAAAAAGTGATGAGAAAAGTGATTAGGTGTATAGAGTAAGATATTTGGAGGAATCTTGATAGGAGAATAATTGGTAAATTAAGCAAAAAATTATACTTATTTAGATGATTTGATATAGGTTTATATAAATATTGCCTTATTATTTATAGTAATTAGGATTTAATACTATTTAAAATTACTTTGATTGTCTTGTGAGGATTAATAAGCATTTAATAAATGGGAGACCAGCCGCAAAATATGCAGTCACTATATAGATTACAATCTAAAGATTCAGATATCAGCGACTCAACCAAGCCATCCTGGTTTAATTATTGGTTTATTAGGCCGTTCACTGAAGGTTTTAGATTTGGGATCGGATATTTCTTCGTCATAGCTATCTTAGGGCCGAAAATTCATAGGCTTATGCGAAATCCTTAAAAAACAATTAAAATACTTTAATAGATTAAATGTCTGAATTCTTATTCTTTTTGTTTTAAATATATCCATTAGATTTTGTTGGTAGTACCATTTTAATGCTTTACAAATCACACAGATAAAAATCCTTTTCACCTAATAAATCATAATCTCCTTCATTCAAGAGATTTCTACCCAAGACCCAGCTCAGCAGCAGGCTATCTGCAAATCGCTATCAAAAACAGCTGCACTGCTAAAGCTAAGTCTAGACTCTATAAAATCTTTACTGAATAGAGGAGGTTTAGAGACATATCTAGCCTTATTGATCCTCAATGAGATGCACGAACTAAAAAATTTCAATGAAATCAGTGAAGTCATCCAGAGAGAGAGTTAATTAGGGGGGTTAAAATGGATATATTTAAGCCTCTAACAAGTTAAGCTTCAGCTTCACGCTTCATGTGGTGCTAGTCATTAAAGACACCAACACCCTTTTCTTCAGGGTTAACCAACCAAAAACGGTGACGTCGTCAGTCTGATGGGAGACTCATTCGAGCCTGCTTGGCCAGCAAAGGACTCTCTCTTGACCCCTGATAGTGCTCAGGGTATGATGAAAAAATTGCCCGATGCCTCCTTTTGCCACCAAAGCCTACACCCCACCCCGGAGAGTTATCCCATTGCGAGTCCGTAGCCCCTCCAAATCCAGCACAATGCACTAGCCCTCGAAGTTCCGGACCTTCTCTCGCAGCTGTCCATGATTTAGAAATTCCCATCCATAGAGAAGAAATGAAAAAAGAACTTATCGAGGTCCTTTTTCAAGCTTTTCCAGCTGAATTTGTGGAAAAATACTTAGAAAGAGTTCACGAAAAGCCCAAAGAAATTATGCAAAAAATCATGAGTGTAATCGAAGAAATTGGACCAAATATGGAAATAGGAATAAAACAGCTTATAATAGATACATTAGAAAATGTGAAAAACTCTATAAGAGATAATAGGTATACAAGAGGAGATTTATATGAAGACTATTCAGATGTGTCTTGCCCTCACTATATGATTTTATTGCCATACCATAGAACCTCAGCTATAATTTTATCATCTATTCCAGACGAGTTTTTGAAGCCAAATCTTGAAAAAGTTTTAGCTAATATAAAGCCAATCCCAGGCTATACAGGAGAATTAATGCCATACACTCATTTAATTTTTCAAACTCCCGACCTGTTCTCTAACCCTTCTCTATGAACAAGCATAGAAAAAGATTTACTTCATCTAGATGCTTATATAAGAAAACAGGCTTCAATTATGCTTAAACAATACATAAAATCCACATCTCAAAATTCATCTGAATGGGAGACTTTCTGGGAACTTTATGATGTACTAGAAAACTATGCCAGACATTTAGTAGAAGGCTTATGGCCAAGGGTTTCATCATTAATGAATTGGGAAAGAAAATATCTTGCTTTACTATATGAGAGAGCAATACAGCATGAAAATATATCAGTAAGACGCTATATTGCAAAACATTACATGACTAGCATTGCAGATAAATCTGAATTTGCTGTCAAGGAATTAGTTAGCTTTTTATCAGACCCTCAGCTATATTCAGATGCTCCTACATTGACACAAAGGTCAAAATTTGGGACTTATATACCAATTTTTTATAAGAGGTTTTTCAGTGATCTAGAGGAGGAATTATTCGTAAAATATGCAAGAATTTTTATAAGGGAAATTAGCCAAAAAGTGAAATTCCAAATCACTTTTAGGTATTTTGTAGATGCTATATTAGAAAATAAGCTTAGTAAAGCTATAAATGAGGAGGTTTTGTATGCAATTATTGATATGACAGATGGGCAAATGCCTCAACAGCCACCATCACAAAGAAATACAGCTTTTAAAATGGCTTTAAGCTTTATCGAAGTTGAGAATTCTGATTATGGGCTTATAAAGCTTAGACTTGCAGCAAAAATCCCTGTCCTTCCAAAAATTATTAATTTAAACCCTGAAGAATCAAAACAATGGTGATCAGAGACCTTAATGGTAGCCCATGATGAAATTCCAACGATTTCATTTTCTCCAAAAGAGATTGGCTTACTCATAAAATTCTCAAAAATTACAAATGAAGAGCTAAAAGACCTTCTTTCCCCTTACTTTACCGTTATTTCTGCATTATATAGAAACATTTATATCAATAAAAACGTCGCTCTGTCCTGAATTCAAGAACTCGCCTCAGTTTTCTTATATATTTCTTCCGATCCTTCTATTCAGTCACAATTTTCAGTCTTTTTTGAAGCAATTTTAGAAGAAATAATTTCTTATGCAATGACCCTTATAGAAGATAGTGACGCTTTAAAGATTTTTGTTAGTTCATTAGAAGTATTTTTTAAGATATTAGGAGAAAGATGTATTGGGAAGGTCAGAAATCATTCAGAGCATATATTAAAATATATACAGGCTGCAGAAAATGTGGCTTTGTACTCATATTTGTCGTATTTAAAACTGTTTATAGGAACGGTAATTGATATGCAGATTATCAAAACAGGCGAAACTTCTCTACTTGTAAATAAAGCTGCAGAAATTGTGATTACACTAAAAGAAAGGGAAAAATGCCAAAATAGGGACTTTTTGGCAAGCATTTCTGTGCTGAAATGGGAAATTATTGGGTTATGTGCTACAATCATTGAAGAAAAAAGCTATATTATCCAGCCAGCAGTTGAGCTTGTCGATTTTTGCCACCAGCAAACTATGGAAACTCTATTTTCTATACTTAAAACTAGCTTTTTACCTGCTGCTCTCCAAGCTGAAAACTGTAATATTTTACTTACTCCCCCCCATCCTTGATCGAACGATTGACTGTAAAAATTCCTAAAAAATTGGGGAAATTAACCCCATCCTTGATCGAACGATTTTCATATCATGCAAATTTTTATATATATAAAAAAATATATTAGTTATCAAAAGCTTAGGAAGATGCACATAATGAAGTTGTTCTCAGAGACTTTGAGACGAAAAAAAGCTTTGGAATCAACCATACAAAGTGGTTTAGTCATCAAACTGGGCTTAAAAACTTAATAATCTAATAAAATATAGATTCTTTAAAATTTAAAAAAAAACAATTTAATTTAATAAGGAACAAATTAAAATTTATACAGTTTAAAGGGGTAACTAATAAATCAAAATATTAAAAATTGGTATTTTTATAAAATTAATTCAATTTTTTGCTGTAAAAATAATTATTAAATACTCTTAACCCTCTTATTTAAAAGTAAATAAAACAAATAATATATATATTTTTTATTTTATATATAAAATTTTTTTTCCCAGAAATTTTTTTTTAAACCCCCATCCTTGATCGAACGATGGCGAGTCGTTCGATCAAGGATGGGGGGGGAGTTAGTCTTGCAAATAGAAGAAATCTATGAGAAATGCTGGGCTTTAGTGCTTGAAGGCAAGCATGATGCTCCAATAGGCATCGCAGTAACGTTTTTATCCTTCGCCTTCAATGAAAGCACTATACTTTCACCTCTAAACGACACTTATCTTCCAAAACTCTTTAAAAAGGTCATTGATAAAGGCCACGAACGATGGGGATTTACCAGAGCTCTTCTCAACGAATGCTACCCAATTTTCATTGCCCACTCATCAAGGGTTTTGCCATATACAAGCTTAATTTTAGAGCTTTCTTTATACCAAGAAATCCGAGGCGACGATTCAGAATTTGCCTTGATGAATTCTTTTGCACTAATAAATGCGCCTAAACCCCATTGCAAAATAGATGAAATTGCTGAGCAAGGCCAATATATAAGAATGCTGACATTAGCATTTATTGATAAAATTTCGTATGAAGATGATTTTTCTTATAAACTTGTAAAAGAATGCTTTTCTGGGCTTTCTGGCCTATCAAAGCAAAGAGGAGAACTGCCTAATAGTGAGCTATATAAGCAAAAAATCAGACTTGGACAGCTTGCATGTGTGCTATCAAGCTGAATTATAGCAAAAAATGATCAAAAGTTAATAAAAGAATCAGTTCAAAAATGTGTAGAAATAATTTCAATCCCTCACGTCCACGTAATTCGGCAATACATAGAGAGATTTTTAATTTCTTTGCTCTTATCCAATCCTCAATATACAGAAATTACTCTACCTGTCTTAGATGACTATAATTTAAAGCCTCAAGTAGCAAGCTCAACCATTGTCGTCTTAGGAGCAGTTATGGTATTTCTTGATGACGAGCCTATCAGAGAAAAAATTTTCAATAAAATCCTCCCATTTATGATCTGTAATACAGCCCACATCAGACGAGCTTCTCACTACATCATCTACAAATTGCTTGAAAAATACCCTGACTTCTCCACTAAATCGCCTATGTTCCCATTTTTATTCAAAAATAAAGAGTGCATAAAAATGCAGCAGAGATTCGAAAATTTAATAGAAGGATTTAACCAGCTAAAAGAATGCGGGATTTCATTAATAATGAAAGGGTATATAGATGGCGCTGATGAGCTAGTTCATGACTCTTTAGTAAACTTAATTGATGAAACTGTGAAAAATACAAGAGATGATGAATTTTATGGAGAAGAAGGATTGGCGAGCGGAGAGCATTATTGGAGACTCAAAGCGGCTGAGTTGCCATTAGAGCACAAAATTGAGGCTAATTTCCAGAGAAAAGTAGAAGATACACAAGCTTTAGTAGAAATGAGGACTACGAAAGGAATACAGAGAAGGCATGAATTGATAATTGTTGCGTCGCTGCTTGATAAACTGCCAAATTTGGCTGGATTAACGAGAACTGGCGAAGTTTTTAATTTGCAGCTTTTGACTGTACCAAATAAAAACATGGTAAATGAGGCAGAATACAAGAATATGGCAGTAACAGCTGATAGATGGCTCCCTATAATAGAAGTTACTGAAGAAAACCTCCCAGTTTACTTAAACCTATGCAGGCATAACCAATATCGAATTGTAGGTTTAGAGCAGACAGCTAATAGTATCCCTATAAATCAATATGAATTTCCCAGTAAATGTGTCCTTGTCTTAGGAAAAGAAAAGGAAGGGATCCCTGGCAATATTTTAGAACTAGTAGACCACTGTGTAGAAATTCCTCAGTTTGGGATGGTGAGGTCACTTAATGTGCATGTAAGTGGTTCAATCTGTATATGGGAGTACATGAAACAAAATTACATAAAATAAGCAGATTTATTAGTAAAAATTAATAAAATTACTAGAATTTTATTATGATTCTGAGTTATTAGTCTTTAGGTATGCAATCATCCTCACAATTTCTTCTTTGTTAGGGACTTCTGCATTAAACCAGACATCTTCTTTGATATCAGTTATACTTGGCCTATCTCCAGGGTTAAACGCAAGCATTCTTTCGATCAAATTTGTGAACTCTGTGGTGAAAATTTTATTTTCTCTTTTTTTCTGATGGTATCTCCAGAATATTTTTGAGGTCTCTTCTCCTATCAAGCATCGGTAAAAGTTATCAGAAATATCAGCAAAATTGAAAGGTGGAACTCCTACGAACATAATAAACAATAAAACTCCTGCTTCGAAGACATCAACTTTTTCAGGGTCGTATCGAGAATTTTGTCTTATTTCTGGTGGCATGTAGTTTTCTGTTCCTCGAATCGAAAAAAGGTCTTTGAGATTTTTATAGTTCGACGAACCAAAATCAATTAATTTGAGGTTAAATTCGCTGTCTAGTAGCAAATTTTCAAGCTTTATGTCGCCGTGATATACACCTACCCTATGGCAAGCTTCTAATGCTTCTATTAATTGTCTAAAATAAAATCGACACAAATAAGTGTCTAGGCTTCCGTAGTCATTTATAAGGTCGTAAAATTCACCATTTATACAGTATTCCATCAAGATATAAAGGCAGCGATAACTAGTTTGATTTTTTTTCCGGTAAACTCCTCCTTCACAATAGTTAAAGTACTTTATAACGCGCTTATGAGAAATTCTATTTAAACATTCTATTTCTGTGTAAACTTGGTCTCTTAGGCCAATATCATCTTGGGAATATTTGAAAATCTTGGCCGCATATAGGATTCTTGAGGTTGGCTCTTGAAGTAGCTTCACTTTAGATGTAGCTCCTTTGCCTAAAGTCTTGAGAACGTCATAGCAATCTAGCCTGCTAAAGAGCATTTCCGTCTCTCTAGAAAGCATAGCATTCCCCTCTTCTATCTTAAAAAATTTATTATTTTTTATTTAAATTTTACATTATTGTATATTAAATGCCTCTATATTCACTGCAAAAGTCCTTAAATCTACTGGTATATTGAAGCATTAGTCTGATATGCATAAATAACTGATTTTACTATATTATTAATGTTTTTTTATATTTTGTTTCATACCTACCTTATTTTTTATAAAACGTAAATTTAAGACTAAAATTTGTGATATATTATTCATTGTACTCGTCAGTGTCAAATATGGTCATGGATGCTCAAAATTAATCCATATAAAATTACTTATAATGACCTCTTATGAGCAGGCAGCCTATCTAATGAATTTTTATATGCAACAGATTCATCTCCTTTCAGAGATACAGCCAGGACCGTTCTTCCAGCTTGCAAGGCAACAGCAGAATTTGTTATCAATGGAAGTGGATCAGTCACCTGCAGTAAAGTCCCGAATTTTGAATTATTATCTTCAATTGTGAAGTTTCCATTACTAAATTGGATAGTTGCGTGGCACCTTGATACCGATATATCAGAAATCCTCACTTCACATTCGTGGCCTCTTCCTAATTTGACTGTTGAGTTTTCACTAAATGTCACTATATATTCAAATTTTTATTGCATAATAATTTTGTATAAAATAAGACGTTTTAAAGTAAAATCCAGCTAAAATAGCATACACACCTTTGCTGCTTCCTTTTCCATCGTCAACTCCTTCCAGCACAATCCTTGGCAACTCTGATTTTTCTACTTGAAATAATTCTCTTTCTTTCCCTTCCACTCCTAAACTAAACGGATAATTATTTTTACAAATTTCACACTCCATCGATTTCCAATGATAAGACGACACGTTTTCCCCTAATCTTTCAGAAACTCTGGAATGAAGTCACCTTTGCAGGCACTGCAAATGGATAAATTTAACTGAACCAATACAGCTGCACGGTGAAATTAGTGGATTTTCTGGGCCTTCAGACTCTCCAAAACATATTCGGCATGTCGTTGTTTCATGCTCATTCGGGACTTCGCACTCATCTTCACTTCCTTGAGTTTGGTCACTAGATGAGTCAAAGCTGCTGGTGCTGAGTTCTTTGATTCTATATACCATTCGGCCGAGCTTTATAATATCTCCTTGCTTTAGGGCAACTCCTGGGCCTTCAGAAGTTTTATTCTCCTAATTGTAAATTAGAATTATAACTTTTTATATGATTTTTTTAGAGTTTTTATATAAAAGATATAAGAGACCTAACTATCAACCAAATTGGCTCACATTGCTCAGAACTTAGATAGAAAATCCCATTTCTTTGAGAAACGGTGGCTAAGACCTGAGAATGAGGCGTCAATCGGGAAATATTTGTGAAATCGGAAATAAGATCGACCTCTGTGTCACATCGGATTATGCTACATGGGTTGGATGTGATGAGTTTCTTTTTGTGGCAGCTGCGCGACTCATAGTCAAATAAATTGTGGGAATCACGAACCCAGGTCATCGTCTTCATTATAATTCTAACTCCCTCTTCGTGGTTAACAAAACCATTAGAAAAATCCCTATTTTTTGCCCAAAAATTTTTTAATATAAAATTTTCTTATGAAAAAAATTGATATATAAGTGATAATTATTATAATGATATCTCTAGCTAATTCTGTTTAATTATAAACAACTTTCATTATAAAACATAATTTGGAAATTAAATTAATTTTGCTTCTCAATTTTTGGAAATCTTTTTTTTTAATTTGAAAAAAAATATTTTACTTCATGAGCGAACCAAATTTTTTTATTCACTCACGAAGGGTGGGAGTAAATAGCTGTTACTGTTGAGGGGTCTTCATTTTCATAATTATAGGAGACAGAGAAGTCTCTTTGATATAAGTATTCTTAATTAATCTAAATGAACAACAATTTTTTTTAATGCCAGCGAATTAATTATTTCTTGCAAATTTTAGTTATTAGAAAATTAAAATTGATAATATAATTATATAAATAAAATGGCATTCGTAGTAGATAGAAATTAACTTCGCAAATTTTCTCTCTCTCATGGAATATTATTTATGTGGTTTGGTTTTACCTTGAGACTTCTGCACAGCAACAGCGATTTAACTTTTGGGATAACCAAAGGAATTGCTCTTCAGAGCATCAAGAGGTTTGGGCTTTACCACTTAATACCTCCTCCGTGAGCGAACAAAATAATTTTGTTCACTCACGGAGGGGAGTTAATTTTTTTTTTTACACATAAATTTTATAGAAAATATTTATTTTCGAAATTTAAAAAAAGAAAAATATTAATTTAATTTATAAAATTTATGTTTTAAAAAGCAATTTGTTTAAAATTAAACAGAATTCGCTCTAGTTTTCATTATAATAATTATCTTATCTTATTAGACAGGCGGGCTAGTGCCCTTATTTTAACGCAATCACCTAGGATCCCCTAGGGGATTCACCCGCTTTGTGACTTTCCTTCCGTCCGGTCTCCTCCTTGCTTCTTGTAAAAAGCTCCAGTGTTGAGTGGGCGGGCTACGGGTTTGTGCGGCCTCCTGAGGCTGTGGAATACGAGGTTGGCATTCCGAAATCCCAAAAAATGGAATTTCTGGTAGCCTGTCGGCAAAATGGTTAAGTCCAGATCCTGGGACGTAACGCCCAGTTTCACGCTAGGCAGTTGCCCGATTGGTCTAGGTGTTCCCTATAGACTTTGCTGGGCTTGCCCTTTCCAAATCTGAACCCTCCTTTTCCCTCGAGGTAAAAATTAGTCTCGAAGTTGAAGAATTGGTTACCATAGCATTGCTGCCCATTTCAAGGCTAGAAAAACCTTGCCGGATATAATTAAATATGTGTCGAGGCTGTATGGCCGGAGGCCATACCTAGACGAAGACGACATATTTATTATCCATTATAATAATTATCACTTATATATCAAATTTTTTTCCATAAAAAATTTGTTTATTAAACAAATTTTTGTTCACTTACGGAGGATGGGTTTTTGGGCAAAAAATAGGGATTTTTCCGATGGTTTTGTTCACTCACGGAGAGGGGGAGTTAACACATCCCAAACAGGAGGATGACCATTAGGCGGAACACGCGCTGGAGCTAAGTCTGACGAGAGTTGCGGCAATGCGCCAGGTGAGACATGCGGCCCTGGGGTTACTGCTGGTTTATCCATTTTGCTTCTCTAGTGAAGTCACCAGTTGGCTTAGTTCCTATTTATTAGGAAGCACTAGACACCTTAAACACTAAATAACTAACTCCCCCTGTGAAAAAAAAATTATTAGAAAAATCCCTATTTTTTGCTAAAAAAATTTTGATATATAAGTGATAATAGTATCATGAAATCTATTTAATTTTAAACAAGTTAAGTTTTAAAATATATATTTTACAAATTAAATTAATATTTGCTTTCCAATTTTTGAGAATTTTTGTTTTTTTTAAATTTCAAAAACAAATTTTTTTTATAAATATATACATAAATTTATTTAAAACAAAATTAACTCCAGATTTTTTCTTCGCTTACGGAGATGGGGGAGTAAGTAAGTAAGTAAGATAATATATTTATAGATTTGTGTCTTATAATCAAGTTATCTAAAATTAAATAAAATTAGCTATGGAATTTGCTGTAATAATTATTGTATAGTTGCTAACAAATTTCAAGGTTTATTTATTCCAAAATAGGATATTTCAAATTCTTTTGTTTGTATAGAGGACTGGAAAGTTAAGACAATTCAAAGAAATTTCAAGTTTTGCTATCAATTTTAAGAAATTAGAGTATCTTGAACTTATCTCTTTCGGTAATATTATTACTGCCGCAGAATATGAATTGATAATATTAATCAAGCAGAATCCAATAAAATATATATGTGGGTATTAAAAATATGGACTTTTAAGACTAAGCGTTTAAGATATTTAAATTTATTATAAAACAAATATTTTTAAAATTAATATGAATAAAATCATTTCAATAAAATTTTATAAATGGTTATCTTTATTTCTACTCCACAGGATGCTAAGCTCAAGCTACTCATCGAATTAAAGATTAAAGATTATTATAATATGCTTCTCCTATTTTGGCAGGCAAGCTAGGCATAGCCTTTATTCAGGCCCATTTACTTAAAAGCTGTTGCTCTAAAAAAGCTGATAATTGCTTAAGCTCTTTTAATTTTTCGTTCAACTTTTCCTGGATCTCTTGAGGATCCTTTAAATCCACATCCTGCAGATTCAAATTTGTCGAGATCCATTTTTCGTCCAGTTTTTTATCCACTGATTTTAACTCATCGACCAAAAAACTTTCAACAATTAGATCTTCTTCCGTTTCTGCTGGAAAGTTAAAAGTGCTTTCACTGCTAAATGTTATACTTTGTGTTTCTCTGTATTTGGTTCTCTTGTGCCTGAGTTCATTTCTATTATTTAAACTCATCCTTCTAAAAAGTGCATAAAAATGATTTTTAACTGAAAAAGGAGATCTAGTATCGAAGAATTCAGAAATCAATACCCATTTGGATCCATGAGCAGTGTACATGCTCAAGAGAAGCAGGTTTTCCTCTTTTGACCAACGTTTTTTTGAGTCAAAAACTTTTGATTTTTGCCTTTTTATGAGTTCATTTGCATTGATTTGATTCAGTGAATCATCTTGAAAAACTAGGTCTTCAGAGAGTATTGGCTTTCCTTGGCGATTTGAACTATTTTTGAGGATGATTTCCATTTTTATATGACTATTATTTATTCATATACTGATATTAAAATTAATAATTATAAGGGCGAGAGCTATACTAATTATTTTTTAAATAAAAAATAGATTGATATCGAAGCTATTGTGAGTTCATAAGCTATTAATCTTCTTTTTTTTATCAATTATTTTGCATTCGTAATTTTCAATAATTTATAGTCTTAATATTAAAAAAAATACAGGAAAATGCTCTTTATCATGTGAGTAAGTAATAATTTAATCTTGTTTCAGAACTGCTTTTATATATAATAACATTATTTTTCAGATTATAAATAAAAATTTCAGCTGCAATATGCGATTTTATGATATATACACTCTACCAGAGATTTAGTAATCCTATATGCTATTTATTCTTATTTGATAGGTAATTTAATGAATGAATTAATATCTTATAATAATTAATTAAACTAAAATATGTTTATTTAATAGTTTCACTACTCTTACTTTGCAATACCTTGCGCCATAAATCTTAATTTTTGAGGAATCAAAATTCTCAATGAGCAAGAAATTAATCCTTATAGAATGCTTATTTATAATCAAGACTAACTAAATTAAGCCCTAATTAAGATAGGTTGCTGCCCCGTTCCGCTTGCTTAGGAATAATACTTTTCCTAATAAATGCAAATTTTCAAAATTCCAAATTTAATCTATCATTTTAATATCAATTAGCCTTGGATAGGAAAATAATCTAAATTAAATTTATTTTCTTCCTATTATAATTGTAATCAAAATGCAATGTTTAAACTTTTAAACAAATTTAAATGGAAAGATGATTAAATTATTCCTTTATCAACAAATTCACCAAGAGAGCTAATTAGCAAACAGTTTTTGGTATCAGACCAATCTTTGCTCGTTTTAGTAAAATTTGTTTTTCTAAAATTGCAGATAGTTTTTTAAGCTCCTCGTACTTTTCATTTAACTTTTCTCTAATTGTGTCTTGGGCTTCAAAACTCTCGTACTCTATAGCGTCTGTACTGCTATTTTTTGATTTAAAGCAAGCTTCTTTGCAGAAGCTGGAAACCCTTATGAGTCACCTAAAGTAGCAAGTCGACTTCAAGTTGGCAAATCCTTGCAAAGAATGCGCTTTTGCTAATTTGGAGTTGACTTTCCATCTTTAGATAACTTGCCATAGCTCCAAGCTACTGCAGAGAAGTGTGTTTTAAGTCAAGCAAAGATGCAGAGAATCTATATATCAGAATTTATATTATTTAATTTTTCACATTGCTCCATTTTATCCAATGATTTTAACTCGTCCACAAAAAAACTCTCAACGAGTAAGTCTTCTTCTGACTTCGTAGATTTGTTTAAAGTAACATAATTAAATATTTGAATAGATTTTTGCTCTTTGCATTCTATTCTGAGCTTTCTAAGCTCCATTTTTTTGTCTAAAGTCATAGTTTTTGAGAGCCCATAGAAGTGATTTTTAACTGAAAATGCTGATCTCTCTGTAAAGAATTTGGATATTATGTCCCACTTGGCTCCGTGAATTGAATACAGATTTAATAACAGTAGATTTTCTTCTTTTGACCAACGCTTTTTGGAGTCAATAACCTTTGAACTTTGTCTCTGTATGCGTTTGACTGTGTAATTATTCATTTTTTCATCGCCTTGGAGTGCTAGACTTGTAGAACAGTTTAAATTTTGTTGGAGGTTTGAATTATTTTTGATGATAAATTCCATTTTTATATTACATTGCATTAGCAATTCAAGTTAAAAATGAATTAAAATACTATAATAAGAGATTAATTGGGCATGATTGAGCTATATTTTTCAAAATTATAAATTTTGGAACAGAATTACTTCTTCTGATTTCCATTTCTGCAAAATTTTGGGAAAACTTTAAATTAACTTTAAATTTTTAATAATTATCAAGAATATTCACTTAATTCTATATATTTTTTCATTTGCGTGTGATTTTTGTCAGTTTTCTATAGCTGGTGATTTAAATTCTTTTAGGCTAAATTCGAATAAAATGGATTTTATAAGATAATTTTTGATCCTTTATGAAAAGCGCAGACTGAAATCTGTTACCAAACTCCGATTTAAACAATTGATCTTTAATATAGCAAACAAAATTCAATCTGATAAAAGATCATTATATGAATAACAATTAATTCCTAAAAACTTATCAAAATAAATTTTCTTCTCATTTGATTATCCAGCTCATCAAAATACTGCTAACTGGAAAATGACTACTATAAAAGTTTAAAAATATATCATATGCTCATATCCCAAGGGTACATCGAACAATGATGATTTTTTGGCCCATTCCAGCGTATGAATTGGGATTTTATGAAGCAAATTAGGCAAATAGGATTATTTATTTATCTCTTAGCACGTCGAATTATATTTCGTTTGTTTGCTGAGCCAAAATAGCTTTCAAAGATAAAAATTGAATATTCTTAAGGCAAAAAAAAGTGACTATAAAAAGAATGCTGGTTGATTGGGATATCAATGTTTTTGATATTGAAATTTTATTTGGCATATTCACATAACAATAAATCTACTCTGTTCAGCTTATAATTTATCGTTTTTATGATTAAAAAATTGTTTTTATCTATTTTACAAAATATAAGCATCTGTTAAGATTAAATTTGTATTGAAGAATGATCTCCAAAATTCTCGATCTTTAATCCATAAAATTGGTTATTGGGAGTTGGAATGTAATATTTGATTGAAATGGAGCCAAAATATGGAGAGAAAAATGGTTGTAAAACTAAATAAATTAAGTTTGGTTATAGTTGGCAAATTATGAGAATTATGCTTACTCCCCACTCCGTGAGTGAACAAAACCATTAAAAAAATCCCTATTTTTCGCCCAAAAAAACTCACCCTCCGTGAGTGAACAAAAATTTTTTTAATAGAAAAATTTTTTATGGAAAAAATTTTGATATATAAGTGATATAGAAGTTTCCTATGTTTGGCGCTGTAAGGCCGATAAATTCTGATCGGAATTTATCGGTAGGTTGCACCAAATCAATGCCTTGGTCGGACCACAAAGCGATTTGGTCGAACCAAAAAATTTTTTCAGTGGGCAAATCAAGGGCAAACAGTGCCATCTAAGGGAAATTTCTATAATTATTATAATGAAAGCTAGAGCGTGCTAATTCAGTTTAATTTTAAACAAATTGCATTTTAAAACATAAATTTTATAAATTAATTTAATATTTGCTTTCAAATTATTGCGAATTAGGATTTTTTTAAATTCCGAAAAAAAAAATTTTTCTATAAAATTTATATATAAATTTGTTTTAAAAATAAATTGGCTCCATGTCAAATGACGGTGGATTTTTGACAGTGTACATTTCATCGAAATCAATTTGGTGGAAAATTTTTGATAGTGCGGAGGACATTTGGCCGAAAATTAACGGTTTTTTAGGTCAAATACCTCGCTATCAAAAATTTTCGATCAATTTCGTCCAAAAATTTTTTCGGTGAAATGGACACTATCAAAAAAGCAAAGTCATTTGACCTGCACCCAAAAAAATTAACCCCCCTCCGTGAGTAAACAAAATTATTTTGTTCACTCATAGAGGGAGGGAGCTATTATTCCATATGCATTTATTCAATTTCACTCTGGTCAGCCTTTTTATCAATTATCTTAGTTATTCTCATATTTATAAATTCTTTTTACATCAATAATTTTCAGCTGTAGGTTCAATGATCGTGAACTTTTATTAGCATGCATTTCATCGAAAACTTTTGTTGAATTTTTAATATTGCGCATTAGGTTGAAGCTTAATTGTTTTACAATATATGCCTCACTATCAAACAAATTTCCCTGACTCCCCCTCGCTTTTTTTTAAAAAAAAATTATACATATATTTTATAGTAATTTTTTTTAGAAATTTAAAAAAATTTGAAAAGCAAATCTTTATTTAATTTGTTTTAAAACGCGCTTTATTCAAAATGAGCAGGATTAGCAAGAGATTTAATTATACTAATTATCATTATATATCAATTTTTTGTTTCGCTCACTAAGGGTGGGATTTTAGGCATAAATAGGGATTTTTCTAACTACATCAAAAATAAAGAAATAGAACTTATTGGAGAAATGTATCCACCTAACGATTAAATTGAGATAAAAAATGAAATATCATACGTCCTTATCAGATCATATTCAAACTAAAAAACATTCTAGAGTTTTATCTGATTTAGATAATACAGAACTAGATATGACTTATAATGAAGGAGAATTTTTTATTCTATGCATCAGAAACAACAGTTATGATATATTAAATTCTCTATTAGGTTATTTTGAAGAAAATCAACTAAATGTTTATAAATCAAGTTTTAATGAATATCATATACTAAAAAATCAAATGCGAGATATATTAAGAACTGCTGTTAAAGATGTAGAATTGTCAACAGAAATGAAGCAAGTATTATCTCCGTACTTAAATTTTGAAGATAGTGATTCTGATATTGCAAATTTAAGTGATGTTAGTGCTGAGAGTTTGGATATTAAAGAAAAATTAAATCCTTCAGAAAACTTGTTAACTGAAGAAAATTTAAGAATACTTAATCAAAAATTTGCTCCTCAAAAGGAAAAGAATAGTTTTCAAGATGCTATAGCGGAGCCATTATCATCTATTATTCATGATGAAGATGAATTAAATGGGAATTGTGAGAATCCATATAATTTAATATTCATTTATATAAATCAAGATTAATCGCTTTTTTTTTAATTAGGGAAGTAGCTTATTTTGCTCTGAAAATTTTTTTCAACTAGTTTCTTATTAAATTACTTCTTACTCCCCCCTCCGTGAGTGAACAAAACCATTAGAAAAATCCCCTATTTTTTGCCTAAAACCCACACCCTTGTGAGTGAACAAAAATTTTTTTAATAGAAAATATTTTTTATGAAAAAAATTTTGATATAAGTGATAATTAGCATAATGAAATATAGTGCTAATTCTGTTTAATTTTAAACGAATTGCTTTTTAAAACATAAATTTTATAAATTAAATTAATATTTGTTTTACAATTTTTGCGAATTAGGATTTTTTTAAATTTCGAAAAAAAATATTTTTTATAAAATTTATATATAAATGTTTTTAAAAAAAAAAAAATTAACCCCCCTCCGTGAGTGAACAAAATTGTTTGTTTCACTCACGGAGGGGGGGGGAGTTAGGAGATATTTATATGATTTAATAAAATGTATACCTTCGTAATCAATACCGAGTTCTTTACACTTTTTTCTACCGAAATCAAATTCTTAAAATTATTATTAAAACTATATATCTCTCACATATCAACTTTTGCAACGGTTGCTAGAGTTATGTTTCCTGGAACGGAGTGCAGTTTTTGAATTGTATATAAATAAATTTGCGTGGGCTAGAGCGATTCGCTAATGTTTCCTAGCTACTCTGGCATCGTTGCCGACCCTTTGGAGCTTTCTACTTTACCATTTCTTGAGTAAATTCAAAAGGCCAGCTTGGTAATACCATAATTATTTATCAATATTTTGAAATCTAAATTTAGTCTTTAGCAAATTGAAAAAGTTTGAAAAATGCTATAAAAGAAGCATTCAATATATTTAAATAGCCTTAATATAAAACATAAATGAATAACCAAAAACCACCAAAAAATATAGAAAAGTTCATGCGAATAATAAAATGAAGTTAAGTAAAATTTTTAATAAAGCTATTGATGAAAATGAAGCTGAATCAAAATACCTATGGATCGTGAATAAATGGACATGAACAAGAGCAACATACCGAATTGACCTATCAGCTCTTACTATAGATCTTTCTTATAACCTTTCTTCATCAAACAATATTTTTATCATAGATTACTCAATCCTTTCAAATAACAAGTTCTTTGGAATTATGTTTAAAGAAAATAGTTCTCGCTTGCGCTATCTATTTATATCAGATGAAAATTTCAATATTAAAATAATAGATACCCTCCCAGCAGCTGAGCCATATTGATTTGTTCATTGTGCTTATGACAATTCATTATTCTATTTTGATAGTTATCCTCATAAAAGCCAGAGTTCTGGAGCCTATCGCTTTAGAAGATATTTAATTCCAAAAAATAAATGGGTTTATGTACCAAACTTCCCAAGTGAATTACCCGAGTCATGAGTTGGATTTAACCAAAAAATCATTTTTATCAATAAAAAGCCAGGAATATGGGTTTATGATATATTTTTAAACTCTTATAGCCAGCATTTCCCGATAAAAGATTTAGGAAAGTCGGGGAATAAAATGCTATTAAGAATTTCGGGGAAAATATATGTGATTTGCTATTTAAAGGTGCCAAGAATTTACTGCTGTTACGACCCTTTTTCAGAGTGAACCTATGTTTGCGAAATGGAACGTAAGATAATATGCAAAGAGCGTGCTCCTTTTGTCTATTATGAAGGATCTCTCTATTTTCTTGTTCTCAATTCAGCTTTATATGAGTTCTCCCTAAAAAATTTTAAATATTAATTTGATGTATATAGCTTATGTCGATAACAGGACTGCTAACACCAGGACTTCTACAATGTTTAAGTATATCAATCCTGGGCCAACCTTTTTGCTTTTTCACAAGAATGGACTTCAAAATAGCGCTGCAGACTTCGGCAACTCATGAATTAGCAACTTCTAAATTTCTTGACGTCATGTGACCCTCTCTATATAGATGGATTTTGCCCCACTAGAGGGTCAAAATAAATCTGTAGAGCGGAATTAGTAAAGGTTGAGATTTAGCAAGCAAACCCATACTCTAAAGGGCTGTTCACATGCCACCGGAAACAATAGAGGTGGAGGTCCTGGAAAACTGGAGGATGGGAATCATACAACATTACATTAATTATGGGCTCTACCTCTTTCTACTTCTCATCCGAGAAGAATCTTTCGTAGAAGACTCGTTCAGCTGCTAGCGAATCTCCCTGGGTATGCCAGCATTTCCACCATAGATAGCTCTCCTCCGGCTTTCTGCTTGATTTTTAATGATTTCTTTAAACCTTGGAGTATGCAGATTTGAGACTTGAGGAATACTGTTTGAGTGACTTGAGTTTTAGCTAGAGATAAATTCTCTAGCAGTTTTCAGTACCAACTATGCCTTCGTCGTAAGAACTAGTGGTCTCTAGGGGTAAAAAGCCTTTCTTCCCAAATATCTATCGCAAAGGTACAAAGTCTTTATTGCTGGACGAGGGAGGCAAAACTCAAATGCCCAGTGCTCGCAGACCCCATTTCCTGCTCAGCTTGGTTTTCGGCCGCAGCAAGGCCACCAAACTCGAAAAAGGTTAAGGAGAGGATAGGTCGGTGATGTCATCTTATTTGTGTAGGGTACTGTACAGCAAGTACGTAAACAGCTAAGAGGTTATCTGGTAATGTTCTCAAATGAGCTCGATCGTTCTGATCGGTATAGAGGCAAAGATTCTGATCAGAAATTAAGTATATAACGAAAACAACGCCATGCAGCACTAAAGACTCCGCCGCTAACTCAGAATTGAAGTGGATAAAGCACAGGCCTATCAAATTCCCTTAAGTGTGACAAGTTCCTTCAAGTAGCTTACTAATATTTTCTGTGATAGAATTCTCATAATAAAACTAAGCCTCATAATCATAAAATGCAAAGTATCATTGGCGATCTGCATCTTAAGAATGTTGCCATTTTTATTATAATACATTTTAAATCACAAAATAAAAAAATTCAGATGAAATTAGCACCGAAAGAAAACCTTAAATAGATAACTAATTATTTGCAAATAAAAGTATATGATATTCAATGTGCAGATTAATTTAATAATTAATAGATAATTAAATATGGCTCCTCGGGGCATTGCCTCCTGGCATGCAGTCTCGAACACAATTTTAATTATATATTTGCGGCAAGTTTTGCCAATGCAGAAATGGAAATCAATAATATTTTAAGCTTCCTGTGAGCTTAGATTTGGATTTTACCTCGTGGGAAAGTGGAAACTTGGAGCTAGATAGTGATGGCTCAGCGATGCTTAATGGCAATATTAAACCACTTGGGAAAGTTTCTAGCATGAATTTATTCTCTAATTCATTTTAGTGCTTATATCGGTAAAAAACTGTAATGTATTGGGACTATTCTCTGAGGCTTACCCAGCTCAAGCTTATAATAACTGTTTTGATTTAATAATCTATTATGGAAATCCCTTTTTTGGTTTAAAAGGTCTTCCAGTCCTAGTTCGCCATACTCATCAAAGCTTAAAGACGTCTATCTCAAGCGTTACTAGCAAACTGACACTCCAATTATTATTGGTATAGGTTCTTTCAATTGTCGAATTGGATAGCCTGCAGTGAAGCTCACATTCTCACATTTAGGGGCATTGTTTCTCAACAAAAACAAGTAAAGAAGTCCAAAAATTCTTGTAGAGTGTGGAATCTCTGGAGCTAAATTTATAAATTGAGTATTCGCTCTCCTTTTGAAATACATTCTGCAGGATTTCCATACTCAAGAGCATGTTTTTGATTATTAATTCTGGGTGCTTGGGATTAATGAAGGCAGACTAAATCATCCGATTTTGTTAACTGAAACAGTTTGCTCTCCCAATAATTCACGCTATTTGGCTTGAAATGATTTTTTTGAAGGGGATTAAGTCGCAAAAGTAAATTTAGGGGCTAATTCTTCGTTTTCGTTCAGGCATAATGAGGAGCTTATAGTAGTGACTGTTTGCAAATTTTGGGTATCAAACTACACATATTCTGCAGTGCTTAGATGGGGATTTTTTCCAGGTTTTGTAGGAGGAGTTAACTGTTTTTGTTATTTCGTATATATCTTGGCTGGGCTATATAAAAGCATTATATCAATTCTTTTAAAATTTAAAAAAACCCGATTATTATTTGAATATTTATAAATTTGTTTTTATAAGTTAATTCAATGTATAGCTTTCCTTTTTGTACTCTATGCAAAATCACATATATAGATTTACATTTACTTAACTAATCTTAAAGATTATGAGTATTTAATTAAGTCTTCACTTCTTTTGATTCAAATTTTGAGAGAGAAAATTCATACAAGGTTGCTCCTCTAAGATAATAAATAGATCCTTCATAAAAAACATGAGGGAAAATTTCTTGACCAAATATTTGGTCTTTGAAATCACACTCAAATTTTCACTCTGACAAAGGATCTTCACAAGAATAAACTTTGCTAACCTGAGAAAGCATTATCATATAAAGCCTACCAGAGAATTTAATAAATTTGTGCTCAACAGTTACATTGATATCTGCTATTGGAAGATGATGAGTATAAGAATCTAAACAAATATCATATATCCATAGCCCAGGCTGATCTGTAGAAATAATTATTTTTTGGTTGAGTCCAGTGCATGAAGTAAGAAAGTCAAAAGGAAAATTTGTTAAATGAACCCACTGATTTTTGGAAATTAAAAATCTACTGGCCTTATGGACTTTGTTGTCTCCTAGGCCAAAATTATACTCACTCTCAAAAATAAAAATAGAATCGTCGTAAAAGGATTAGGATTAATATTAATTATAGATTGGGGCTTCTTTATGTCTCACCCGAGACAAGTCTTCGTAGGAGACTCGCTCAGCTGCTCGCGAAATTCCCTGGATATCGGTATTCCACAAGGGATAGCTCTCCTCGGTTTTCAACCTGGTTCTTAATGTTGCCTCGAACCTTGGAGTATGCTTGGCAGCTGTTGCTTGAGTGACTAGAGTTCGAGCTAGGGATAAACTCTCTAGTTAGTATCGGTACCAGCTATGTCTTCGTCGTCGGAACTAGTGGTCTCTAGGGTAAAAAGCCTTTCTTCCCAAATGCTATCTGGAAGACACAAAATCTTCATTGTTGGATGAGAGAGGCAAAACCCAACTGGAACACAAATGCCCAGTGCCTGTAAACTCCATTTCCTGCTCGGTTTAGCTTCAGGCTGCAGCAATGTCCCCAAACTCGAAACATTCAAGGAGAGGACGGATCAGTGGCATCGCCATTCTATTTCTATCGTCATAAAAGCAAGAGACGAAATAATGGCGAATTGAAGGGTGTTTTATAGGGGTTTCGATTTCTTTAATGTTGAAATTCTCATCAGATAAGTAGAGATATTGGTGATATTTGCTAAACTTTTTAACCTTCATCCCATAAATTTGATTATTTGGGATCGCTGTGCAGCTCAAAATTGAATCATATTCTGTGAATACTAGAGAATAGTCGATTTTGAATGTAATGAGATTTATTCTATGTATAATTTTCGTTATTGCGTTATTGTGGAGATTTCAAAGGTATTTTGATTCAATTTCGTTTTGGTCAACTTTTTTATCAAAAATATGACTGAGCCGCATATTTATATTATTATATTATTTACGTCAAAAATGCTTCTTTAATTAATTTTTTGACTTTTTTAGACTCAAAATTTTTTAGTGAAAATTCATATAAAGTTAGTCCTGTAAGAAAGTAAATTGAATCTTTATAATAAACACGAGGTATGAGTGATCTTCTAAATATTTTATCATTAAAACTGCTTACAAAGTGTCATTCTGATAGAGGATCTTCGCAGCAATAAATCTCGTTAATACCTGAACGAATTATCATATAAAGTTTTTCTGAAGCTTTAATAAATATTTGTTCAGCTGAATTATTATTAGTTTTTATAGGAATATGATAGCTATAAGAATCTAATATGATATCATACACCCATATCCCAGTTGTATCATCAGAGAGAATAATTTTTTCGTTTAATCCAATGCAAGTAGTTGGATATATTTCAGGGAATTTTGTAAGTAAAATTCATTTATTCTGTGAAATAAAATATCGCTTGGCAAGATTAGCCTTTCCAAGTTCTTGGTGTAAATTAAAATAGTTCTCAAAAATAAATATTGAATTATCGTAATATCGCCTGAGTGCTCTTTTTGCTTGAGCTTTTTGATCTTTTATAATGGAAAAGGGGAGCTAGTTGAATTAACTTAAGTTGGGTTAGCTAATTTGATATGAGTTTCTGCCATTTGGGGAATTGTTTGATATACATTGAAATGATGTTGTGAGCCAAACTGCCCCATTAGCATCTGTGGCCGGGGAAACCAAGTGAACTTGCTAAAGGGAGAGTAGAGCTTGGAAACGTGTATTTGCCAGTTTTTTAAGCGCAGTGTCAGATTCAGCCAGCCGCATTCTCTAATCCAGATCAGGGTTATATCGTGAGTTGATATTTTGTCTGATTTGACAAAGGGACAAAAGTAAGGCCAAAAGTTATCGCTAAGAGAATCGGATATTCCCTAGCGCAATAGTAGAGGCTGCATTAAAAGCTTCTTGTGCGGCGAGTGCAAGTCCTTGTCCGTGACAAGTGAAACATATTAAGATCATTTTCGGACTGGCACGCAAGCAGCAGATCGATATTTAAGCTATTAGAAATCTGAAAAGCAGTCTGCAGGAAGCTTCTCCGTTTCTTAAATAAGAAGTAAAGGAATTGGTTTTACCAAATAAACTGGTCTAAACTATCCTTTTTCCTGTCACAAATGATTGGGAAGCCAGCCAAAGAGCTCTCAGTCTATAGCAAGAGATAAAACATCGTGGATCAAATGTGACTTTTATGGGAGTTTCTATGATTTTGAGGTTGAAATACTTATCTGCTATAAATAGGTATTGGATGCCGTTTTCTTCTTCAATAATCATACCGAAAGATCTATTATTGGGAAGAGCAATGCAATTTAGAGTTCCAATTGGGCATGATGAAGATTTTCATGAAGAGTCAATTTTAAATTTAGATAAACTAACCCTGAGCATGATTTTCTTAGACCCATTCTGATTGATATTCCATAGGTACTTTGATTTAATTTCATTTTGGTCAACTTTGTTATCGAATATTTGGCTTAATTTCATATTTATGTGCTATATGTAAATTTAGTATGCATAAAAGAATAGCTTGATCAATTTATATGAGATAAATATAGGAAAACATATCTTATTTCGGAAGATGCATAAATTAAAAAAACTAAAAATGCCTTAAAAAAAACATAGAGAAAATAAATCATTGGAATTTTTCTGTCAAAGAATCATATTCTTAAATGCAAATGAAATTAATAATAAATTTAATAAGGGAAGATGATGAGAGATTTGAGTCGGATATGAATTTTTCATTTCTTATAGGATTTAAGTCTGATTTGAATTTTAATTTTTTCTGGTGTTCAAGATTTCTTGTCTTAGTGGACAAATTTTTCTTATAAAATGATACATTAAGGCTATACGTAAAAAATTATAATAGTCACTAATATGCATCAAATAATTATTATTTTAGTGTGATAAGCTCCTTTTATGCACAGGTTTTCATAATTGCATATGAGATCTTTCTGTAATTTTTGGGGTTTATATACAGGTTTTCATAACTGCATATGAGAACTTTCTGTAATTTCTGGCTTTTCCAAAACAATAAATTAGCATATCTCATAAATTTAAAGCTATCTAGTTTAGCTGCTTGTTAAAATTGTTAAGGAAAAAAAAAACTCCAATGTTCTAAGCACATTTAAGAGAAAGCGTTTTCTTTGAAATTATTCACCATTTGATTAACATTTAAATCACCACATTCCTGGACTTTAATTTAATAAATGCTAATCAGGTCTTTTATTCTCGTAACTTTCGTGAGCTCGTTAAATCTACTCAAAGAATTAGGGAGTCTTTATTTAACAGAAGGTGAGGAATATGAACTTCCTTTATCAGACTACTTTTCTGGAGACAACTTATCATTTTCAATAGGAGACACCAACATGACTAATAGCTCTGCAAGAATAGAAAACCAATGCGATTTTCATCATTTATCTACGACTCCATATGAAAAGCTAGAGAAATTTTGGCCCTCTTGGGATGCTCAGCCTGCTATAATATGGCAAGATGTAAATTTTCAAGTTATTGCGGGATTCAGTCAAAATTATTTAGCTGTTTATAAATTTTTGGCGTTAACAGAAGAAACCAAGCTTATTTGAAGTACAACTCTAAGCACAGAGCACAAAAACTCTCAAATTCAAGCAGTTGCGCCAGTGAAAGCTAATCATGGTGACAATTATCTGGCTGTATTAATAAAACAGCAAGAAAGCAATGGCTTATGAAGAAATGATATCTATATGATTAAAATGCAGGATGGATATATTTTCCACGACCCTGAAAAGTTAAATTTAAATGAAATTACCTACGCTTCAAAAATTCTAATGGAATATGGAGCTATGCATAGGTATTTTCCCATCTATTGCGAATTTCATAAAAATTCAAGCATTCCTAATGTTTTGTATATTTATGAAATAAGTAATTTTCATGAGCCAATTTTAGTGCAAGCTATTTCAAATTATGAGAAAATAGCATCTATGAGCAGTTCCCTTTCTGTAAAAAGTATCTTAACAGCTTCTCAACATATATACATTTTAGATTCAAATTATGGTGTTATTTCTTTTTATAAAACCTGGCCATTAGAAATTTTTGAAGAAGAATTAAACATAAATTTAAGTTATTTCGGAGAACTTTATTCAATGGAATTTATAGATTTAGGAAAAATGATAATAGCAGCTAGCTCAGGAATCATAATAATTGAAAGAGCGGGTGGAAAGCTAGGGTTAAGAAGATTTTCGAAAAATCCAGAAAAAGATATATGAATCCAGGGATACGAATTTCAAAACTACTATTTCCTTCAATCAGCTAGTGGAATATTGTCGATATTTTCTATATCTAAAGAAAATCAAGTCGAAGCCGCTTATAAAATTAATTTGAAAACTTTAGATAGTCAGGGTGATAGAAACATCCCACGCATACTTTGTGATAGAGAAAAAAATTCATATTACTTCCAAATATTTGAAGAAGAGGGACTTAAAGCTTATAGAATTAATTTAAAAGAATGGAAACTAAAAATAGTAGGAGACTTATTTTATGTCAAGGTTACAGCAAAAGACGATGATAGCCAAGAAATATCAGATATTTTAAACGTCATTTCAATTCCAAAAAATTCTGATAAGATTTTGGCACTAGAAGAGGGGCGATTAAAAGTGCCTGAGCCTATAGATTTACAAATAAGTGAGAAAAACTCAATGCTATTATTCTTTCCTTCCACTTATTTTTCAGGGCCAAATCTTACATATGAGTTTATTTTCCCACATTCAGAAAAATTCAAATATGAAATTTCTAATATAACCAGGCTAGAATTAGAAGAAAGCTTTACCTCTCCTGATGGTCTTCAAAATTTTCTAGTTTCTGACTCAGTATTTTATTATTTTTATGATAATAAAATTGACTTAGAAAGAACCAAATATTTCAGATTCACTTTAAATATAGCCAACCCAATAAAAATGTTGGAAAATAATGGATATTATGTGGTTTATTCAAGTCCAAATAAAAATAGATTTCTTATATCAACCCTTTTATCTGATGAGCAAACATTGAATTTAGTAGAAGAAATGGAATCAGAGATTGATTGCATGTTTTTAGATTTCTATAATAGCTGACTACTATGTGGAAATAATGAAACAATTAATATTTATAATTGGAGCGGGTTTTGAAAAAAAATGTTTTCTTTAACTGAGATTATGGATCAAATTAATTTTAAGTTAGAAATAGCTGATGCTTTTCAAAACAAGGATAATGGTTTTATTTATATACTTGACAGAAATTTTGGAGTATTCGTTATCAAAATGTTTGAGAGGCAAAACTCAATTAAATTCGCATTAAGAACGAGAGGAATATTTAAAATTTTGATGCTAGAAGAAGGAAAAATGGGGCTTATTTATGAAGACAAAGCTGAAATTTATAATTATCTTTTTCAACTTGAAAAAACTATATTTTTTAAAGCAGTGGGACCACTTACAAATGCTTTTGTGCATCAATCCATTATTTTTATACAAATAGGTGCAATTTTTTATGTATACAATCCAAGTCAATTGTCACATGATGCATTAGTCTATTCATTTGAAATCCAAAGCCCAGGAATCATTTCTAGAGGCTTAAATTGTTGGTATGAGTTATTGATTACCAATTATAATCCAGATGCAAAACTTATTGAAATATACAAGAGCTCACTTCCAAATAAAGATTTTTTCCCTTATGTTTATAAAATTAGCATAATTGCTGATGACATTGATAGTCTACAGAGCTCAATCTATCAAGAAAGTTTTTCAGTAATAGCATATAATGCTCATGAAAAAATGGAAGCCAATTTTTCATTATTGTTGCACGCTGATGGGGGCTTCCCATGAATAGAAAATGAAAAATTAGTTATCCATGAGAATTTACCTTATAATAATAGATTTGAGGTAGATTTAAGCAGCTCATTTCATGGACAATATTTAAATATGAGCTTAAATATCAATGGAATTAATATTAATGATGAAAAATCAGAAATTTTGCCAGCTTTCATACCGAAAAGAGTAGAAGTTGTAGGAGAGCATCAAGCAAAAAATAATTGAATGAAAGACCATATAATTCTTCCCAGCACAGAAATAGCTTTGATAGCCAGTGAAAATGGTTTTCTTTTTGTGAATTCAACAGGCTTTAATGATGAAGAAAAATTTTTGAATATTTCTGAGCATACTAATCTCAAGAGCTTGACTTGCTCTTTAGTTGAATCCTTTCCACATACAATTAAAAATTTGGCATTAATAGTTGCATCTTGCAATTATCAGACTGCAAGTGATAATCTTTTTGTGGAAACAGTGAAAGAATTTGCTCTCGAAAATGCACTTATTTTGTGGGAAATCGATTTTATTAGCTTAAAAATTACAAATTATAGTTTATTCAGTGTTGCTGCAGGACCATGATGCTTTAAAATTGCCCCACTAACTGAAATAGACTTTGAGCTAATGGTTGCAATGGGTGATAATAACTTTTTTGATTATAATGATGTTTTAAGATTTAGAGGAAAATGAATTGAAAATCTTATAACCATTCAGCTTTTAGAAACTATAAATTTCTTTTCATTAGATGTTCCATCTTTTTCCCCTGTGTCACTTGATTACAAGGTAAAAAATTCTCAAACTTCTTACTGATATCTAGCAGACAAAAATTATGGAATTAGAGTTTTAGAAACTAATAATAACCAAAGAAGTCATTTGGTAGGGGAGCTCCCCTATCTAAATATTCATAACTATTTCATTGCATTTGGTCTTTGTGGAGATATTTTATATCTTTCTTCATCTATTTCAACAATAGTGTCTTATAAGATAAAAGACTATATTTATTTTGAAAAAGGCTCTGATTATAATATTTTGAAATGATCAGAAGGTGCCTATATTGGAGCACATAGTCCTATTATATGTTCAATGGATAATCGATATTTTGCAGCCCACACATTCAATTATAAATCCTTATTTCTCACAATTTTTGATACAAAATCTCAAAGCAATTCGAATCTCTACCCTAATGTTTATCTCTCTCTCACTAGTTTTGCTCCGATGATGCTAAAAGCAAAATTTATCACTGAAAATGAAATTTCTGCAATTTTCTATTCTAGTTTTGCATATAAAAGACTCAAGATAAATCAAAATTCTTTAATATTTCCAAATATGAACAAAACTCAGTATAATGAAATAATAAGCGAATGGGGAACTGAGAATTTCAGCATTACAATTACTGCAGAAAATATGAATAGTGTTGCTAATTCTTCGACCATTTATTTTACACGTGAAATAGATTCAGGGACTTTAGTTCAAAGCAATTTATTAGATTTTACCTATTGACTGGTAAGATTTTTAATTCTTATTGTCATTTTAGCTGTTTTTGCAGCAAGCTTAAACTTCGCTAAAAGAATCGGGCCAAAGCATAAAATAGTTCAAGCATATTTTGATGAAAAAGCATTGAAGGCATAAAATAAGAATTAATATTATTTTATAATGAATAGTAATAGCATTTGTATAAATAATGCAATGCATTTAATGATCTGTAAAAAATCACAAATATTTTTCTAGCATCTAGAAAACTCATAGAAAACAATTTCGTTTCTATTGCACTGTCTTTCGAAGTAATTAAACTTTAACTGTTGAAATAATTAAATGCTGGTAAGCTGTTTATTTCTCTTTTCCGCTGTACATTCAATTATGATACAAAGGGAACTCGGATCAAATTAGTTAACGGAAGGAGAATCTTATGAGCTATACTTATCAGATTATTTCAGTGGAAACAATCTATCTTTTGCAATCTCCGATTCCAATATGACAACTGGTTCAGCAATACTTAAAAATAATACGAATTTGAGATACTAGCATTCGTCCTATACCAAAATTCAAACTGAAATGAAACCTGAATCCATTTATCTCTCAAGACTTTAATATCCTGAAAGCCAATTCCTGAATCGTATGAAATCATAATATAGCATATTCTTAAATATATAGCTTTTTATAAATTTTCTACAGAGCGAGGAGAAATTGAAATGCTTTGAAATGGATTTATTGACTCAGGGCAAAATGGAGAATATTCTCAAATAAATTATTTCCTTTGACTCCCCCCCCCTTTAAATTGGAACAAAATATAATTTTTATCTAAAAAGTTTTGATATAAGTTAAATGTTTTCCTCTTAACTAAAATTAAAAATTTAGTTATATCTTGCTCTTTTTTAAAGAAAAAAGTATAAAGAGTATCTTATTTAAATAAATTTATTATCCTTAATTGCTAAATTTTAAAAAAAAAATTTTTTTTTTTTTTAATAAAAATGATATTTTTTATTTGGATAGTTTTGATATAAATTCAATAGGAATTCTTTATAAAATTAAAAAATTTACTTATTTCTTGCTTTATTTTAAAGAATAGAGTATAAATAGCATCTTATTTAAACAAAATTAGCACTTTGATCGATAAATTTTCTAAATTTTTTTTTTTAATTTTTTTTATCAATAAAAATAATAAATTTTTGTGTAAATAATTTTGATACCAATTAATATTGGCGTATTAGCTAATAATAAAAGTTTAGTTATATCTTGCTTTGTTTTAAAGGATAAAGAGTAAATAGCATTTTATTAAACAAATTTATTGATCTAATTCGATATGTTTTTGAATTTATTTTTTTTAAATTTTTATATATATATAATTTTTGTTTTTATAAAAATTTTTATATTGATATTTTTTTTTAAAAAAAAATAATTAACCCCCCTTTTAAATTGGAACAAAATTTTTAGTTCCAATTTAAAGGGGGGGAAAATCAATTTCACTTTCAGAAATAAATATTGCGTCATCATAAAAGCATGAGGTAAAGCAATAATGAACGCATGAAGAAGTACTGCGAGAGCGATATTAAAATTCTCATCACTATAAATAAGTATTGCAGGTCTTCTTTATTATATTGTCTACTGGAATGCCACACAAATAAAGCCTGAACACTTTACCCAAACCTGTCAAAAGGATTGAAAATCAACCCGACAAAAATATGGAAACTGAAATTGAGTGGCAGCTGCTGATTTATTCCTGAAAAGGCAAAGAAATCGAAACAAAATAGTCCCTATTGCCTACTATTCAAAAGACTGGTGCCTCATGAAACCCAAATGACAACTGAAGAAAGACCTTTACAAAAAAAAAGGGAGAAAATATATGCAATTATAGCAGCCTACATCGGTCTTTATGGCGCTGCAAGAAATGATATTAAAATAATTGGAAACAAATGCAATAATATCCTCAAGGTTTCAATTGAAAAAACTTTCAAAATTTGGAAAATCCGTGCCTAGCAATTAAGGAAGGAAGTTTCAGCAACCTAAAAGCCTTTGCAACGCATTTTAGTCTTTTTAGCGCAGCTATATGAAGAAAAAGTGTTTGTGCACCTGTTTATGCAGAAAGCATTAAAGGAGTCACATACAGAATTTACAACTCTTGCTACCTCAACCATAAATAGCAGATCTACTCTCCGAGGAAGTTATTCTACACACTGCAACTGATAATGAAGACAGATGGACCATTACGGATGGAAAAACATCAAGATCTTTAAGCAGTTAAATAATTACTTTACTTTTTAAACAATTAAATAAAATAACAATTAAATTCATTAATTTTGAATAATAGCTTCTAATTATAATGGAATTTAGCTTTAAGTATCAATATATCTCTGTCTCAGTAAATAAAAATTTAGAAATAGACTAAAATAAAATGCGAAACATGAGAAACACCCTCTTAATTATAGTAAAAAATCGCCGGGGACTTTTCTATTCACCTTCAAAAAAGGAACTATCCGAAATAATAAACAACTAAACACTATTTATTTATTGGCTTGTGCACAATTTCAAGCAAATGCATCCCTGAGGACTTATTTACGATTTAGCCACCTGCCCTCTTTTAAAAGTAAACCCGCCTTCGGAGACCTTTTTATTAAGAATTATTAAACATCGCGCTAGGCGATAAAGAAGGCTTCACGAGATCTATCTTCAGAGTTGTACAGAATCTCCTCACGATGCATAGATGTGGAAATAAATTTCAATTTTTAGTTATTCATAAAGTAAAGGTAAAACTCTAAAAACTCTGTACGCTATTGAATATTCAGCTTCATTTATCATGAACCCAAAATTTATATTGATGAGCTATTTTATAAGAGAATACAAAAAATTGATGCAAACATATATCTATATATTGTCAAAAAATAAAGAGAAACTTAATTGATATTATTTAAGGCTATTTTTAATCCACTTTGTAATTTAATTTCATATTTCCATAAATAAGAATGTTGTTGCACCTCCCAATATATATTAAAAATGCTCTGTAATTTAATTACTGCTGCAATTTTATTTTTTTGAATTAGCTTTTACATTTATTGATTTAAATTTCGTAATAAATTTATAAGCGCTAAATAAATTGTCTCCAAAATTGCACAAAAGACTTCACTCAGCTTTAAATATCAATATATCTCTGTCTCAGTAAATAAAAATTAATAAACACACTAAAATAAAAGCGAAACATGAGAAACACCCTCTTAATTATAGTAAAAAATCGCCGGGGACTTTTCTATTCACCTTCAAAAAAGGAATATCCGAAATAATAAACAGCCAAACATCTATTTATTTATTGGCTTGTGCACAATTTCAAGCAAATGCATCCCTGAGGACTTATTTACGATTTAACCACCTGCCCTCTTTTAAAAGTAAACCCTCCTTCGGAGACCTTTTTATTAAGAAATGAATTTATAAATGATAGCTCTTGATATGAGTAGATATTGGCGATTATTATCTTTATCGATATTTATTCTAAAAATCTGATTATTTGGAAAATAGAAGAGCTAATTAACCATGAAGAATCGTTGACATAATTAGATAAGTAAATTCGCTTTATGATTTTTGGTTCGTGGATCTGGGGAATTTCCATATGTATTTTGATTCAATTTCATTTTGGTCGAGTTCTTTATCGCATGTGTAACTTAATTTGCTATTTATAAGGTTTATAATTACTTATTTGATTATATAACATAAATAATTTGATTAGGCACCAAATATCTCGGCCTCAATGCCTTAAAATAGTATCAAACTTTCATAAACCTCTTCAGAAGAAGGCAAGACTTATTGCTTACAAATTATTGAAGAAGTAGAAGCCATCCATCAATTTTGATTCAGATATTTAAATATTAGCGCTAATTTAATTTAATTTAATTTTAAATGGCTTTACTAATAAGCATCACATGGCTGCTTTTATTTCAATATAGAGCAACAATGAAAAGCATTATAATTCAATTAAAGATTTATATTTTAAGTTTATATAAATTAATGCATAATTATAGCATTGGCTGGTTTTGGTTCAAATTTTGTAAGTGAAAATTCATATAAAGTCCCTCGACAAAAATAATAAATAGACCCTTCATAGAATGTTCGAGTCAAAAGCACTCTACAGAATAGGTTGTCTTTAAAAGCGCAAACATAAGTTCATGCAGATAAAGGATCATCACAATAATAAACATGATTTGCATTTAACCGGCTTATCTTATACATCCTTCCTTTAAATTTGATAAGCACTTGCTCAGATGATAAATTTCAACATTCTTCATTCGGAAAATGCTGACTGTAAGAATCCAAAACTATATCATATATTCATATTCCAGGTGTATCTGCTATAATTATAATTTTTTGCTTGATTCCAGAGCATAATTTTGGACATTCGAAAGGTAAGGCTGACAAGTTAATTCATTTATTTTCTTTAATGAAATACCGCCTAGCACGACAAACTCCTCTTTCTCAGTTTGAGCCTGGAGCATCAAAAATAAAAATAGAGTCATCGTAAAAGCATGCAGCATGATAGCGATAGGCCAAAGGAATCTTTATTGGAGTTTCTAATTTTTTCAAATTGAAAAGCTCATCTAATATAAAAAGATATTGAAGGTGATTATATCCTTCTATGTTTAGTCCAAAAACCTGATTATTGGGAAGGGATTTGAAGTATTGTATAGAAATAGATGAGTCATACGTTCAAGAAGAATAGTTCATAGGGTTAGATAAGTTAATTCGCTTTATGGCTTTTGAATATCATCAATTGGGAAATTTTCATACGTATTTTGATTCAATTTCATTTTGGTCGATCTCTTTATCATAATGGCAACTTAATTTCATCTTTATAAAGGTTCATAACAATTTATTTAATTATATGTCATCTCTAATCTTATTAGGTATCATATATTCCAGCCTCTATAAACTTGATAATAATCTTTAATTTACCGAATTTATAATAATTATCATGAATTCTATTTTGTATATTGTTTCTGCGTAGAAGTTCTCTAGTAAAGCCAAAACCACTATGAATAAATTGTTTGATAGATAAATAATTAGCAGAGCTAATTTTTTTTTGAACTGAATGCAATTTATTTTAGCACAATTATAGAGCAATCCTTTCCATATATAGCAGCCAAATATAAAAATTGAATCATCATAAAAACAAGAAATAAGGTTATAATAGTGTGTGCTTTTGGGAAGCTTTTCTATTATTTTAATATTAAACTTTTCATCTGATATGAACAAATAGTCGCAATTGTTATTAGATTCTTCAATCTTTTGCCCAAAAAATTGATTGTTGTCAGAATGTTTATACTTCAATAATTGGTCTTGAGCAATTTAAGAATTGATTTTTTAAAAGTTCTTTATCAGTTTTATCAAAGTCTTCAATATTATAATTCTTTCATAATTCCTTCAATCTATTAACTTTGATTTCTCTAAGAATTAATTGGCAAGATGGTATTTTGGTAATAAGATGCAGTATCGGTATCGGACATCATTGAGGAGCATGCAACACTTTCCTTAATAGTTTCCTTACACATGTCTCAAGTTTTGCTTTTTCTCCAGTTAAAAACATCTTCTTTTCGTTTCTTTCCGCAATATTTCCCATTCCATATAAATTTCCTCTGATGCAGCTTTCAATTAATATTTTAATAGATTTATAATTAAAGGAATCTTGTCCAATGCTTCTGGCTATATTATTCAAGCAAAATCTAAATTTGGGCAATCTTATCCTGTATTGTTCTAAAGAGTAGCGATTAATAAAAAATTTCCCGTCTTTTCTTATTTTAATAACATTGCCTAAATATTTATAGCTTTTTGTCAAACTTGCATAATCATTTTCTTCATACCTATCAAAGCAAATTTCATTTTTTCTAGATAGAATCATAATAGCTGTTTTATCTGTTCCTTTATTAATTTCCATATAATTTGTATTGCATCAATTTGCCACTACCTCACATGCTTTAGCAATAGATTGATAATCATCACTAGCAATTAAAATATCATCAGCATAAGCTCTTATGAACAATCTTTTATCCAATTCTAAAAAGTCAAATAAATCATTGATATATAAATTAAATAAAATTGGGCTCAAGGGTGATCCTTGTCTAACTCCTCTGCTAATATTTATTCAAGGCATTTTTGAGTTTAATACTCTTAAAGTTTGATCCTTAAAAATTAATTTGATAGCATTAATAAATTCGTTTGGCATTTTATAGTTTTCTAGTTTTTCTATCAAAATTTTCCTATTAACATAATCATAAGCTTTCTTAAAATCTATAAAAAGGAGAAAAACGTTATCTACTTTGCTAATATTAAATTTCTCATCAATCCATGAGTTTAGTATTTCATATTGTATTTTAGCTGACTTCCTTTCTACAAATCCAAATTGATAACTTTTAATATTTTCATTCAAAATATTTCGATATTTTTTGAATATTGAGGTTTCATATAATTTAACTAAATAGTTTATTAGTGCAATAGGTCTGTAGTTTTCAGCCAAATTTTTATTTCCATTTTTATGTAAAGGAACAATTATGCATTCCAATACTTTGTTTTTTGCACCAGTCTTTAAAAATATTAATAATAATATGATTAAAATCTTCAGGAAAATGGACATCACAAATGCCATCAGGTCCAGGACACTTATTAGGATTTATAAGATTCAATAGCAATAATAATTTTGTGGTTAAATCATGTTTATATAATTATCATAATTCTATTTTGTATTATTTTTGCTAGCAAGTAAAGAGATATTAAGACATTAGCAATAAAAATTCTATCTTAAGAACGCTAGATCTTGAGATTTATAGTTTTTGACAAGGTATATAATAGTTAACTTATCTTTTAAATTTACTATTATTAAACGTTTTTCTCGTTTTTTAGTGAAAATTCATAAATTTGGCCTCTAACAAAATAAATTGAACCTTTATAATGTGTAAAGTAATCGCAGATAAAACTATTGTGATAATAACCTAAAAATGTTCACTCAGATAAAGAGTCATCAATTGTATAAATATTATATCCTTCAATATCTTGAACTCGCCCTATCAAATAAACTTTTCCTAAATCTTGAATGAATGTGCAATTACATAATCAACCTATTTTTATATTTTTATATGAGTAATAATTGTCTAATAATATATCATACACCAACACTCCAAAACCATCTCCATCTTTAATAATAATTTTTTGTTTTAATCCGATGCATGAATTGAAAAATCCAAAACCAAGAGATGCTAAATTAATTCACTTATTTTGGTAAATTAAATATCTTTTAGCACAGTAATAGAATTTCCCTTCCCGTTTATAATCAACAAATATAAAAATTGAATCATCATAAAAACAAGAAGTAAGATTCGAATAGTGTGTGTTTTTGGGAAGCTTTTCTATTATTTTAATATTAAACTTTTCATCTGATATGAATAAATAGTCGTAATCGCTATCAAATCCTCTAATCTTTAGCCCAAGAAACTGATTATTGGGAAGGGTCATCAGAATTTTTATACGCATAGGATAAGTAGAGCTTGTGAAAGAAAAATCGACCTTAAATGTTGATAGGTTTACTCTATTTAAAGCTCGAGAAAAATCTTTTGAGGAAAGATCTCACAAATATTCTGACTCAATTCCGTTTTGGTCAACTTCTTTATCAACTATTTGATTTAATTTCATATTTATTTGATTCGACAATGTCATATTGACTCAGCTAATATTCTTCAGATCCTAGCTGAGCAATTTGTTTTCTTAAGTATTTAAGGCTAAAAATCTTTTTGTCTTGCAAAGTAGAGAGGCTATTTGTCTTGAAAAACAATTTATATGTAAATACTTGTCCAATAAAATATCATATATAATATAGTTCTATAGCAATAATAATTTTATGGTTAAATCTTGTGCATATAATTATCATAAATTCTATTTTGTATTATTTTTGCTAAAAAGTAAAGAGATATTAAGACATTATCAATAAAATTCAATCTTAAGAACGTCTAGATCTTGAGATTTATAGTCATTGACAAGGTATATAATAATTAATTTATATTTTAAATTTACTATTATTAAAAATTTTTCTAGTTTCAAAGTTTTTCAGTGAAAATTCATAAATTTGGTCTCTATCTCTTTGCAATTATTTATGAAAAAATATATTATGCATTGGAATAATTTCGGACATGTCGGAACATTTTCCAAACTAAAATCCCACATGTGAAGTTTATACGTTTGAGTGGCTCCATATAAGTCAATACATAATATTATTAATGTTTAATTTTTGGAAAGATTTATAAATAGATTATAAATTGTGCTTTGAGAGTAACAAAATAAATCGAGCCTTTATAATGTGTAAAGTAATTGCAGATAGGAATATTGTTATAATAACCTAAAAATGTTCACTCAGATAAAGGATCATCAAATGTATGAATATTATATAGTTCCGTATCAAACTCTCCATCTCGCCCTATCAAATAAATTTTTCCTAAATCTTGAATGAATGTGCAAAAATACAAATTCCCTATTCTTATATTTTTATAGAAATAATAATTGTCTAATAAAATATCATACACCCACGCTCCAGACTCGCTTCCATTTTGAATAATAATAATTTTTTGTTTTAATCCGATACATGAATTGAAAATTCCAAAATCAAGAGATGAGAAATAAATTCACTTATTTTGGGAAATTATATATCTTTTAGCACAAGTATAGAACTTCCCTTCTTGTTCGTAGCAAGCAAATATAAAAATTGAATCATCATAAAAACAAGAAATAAGATCTCAATCATATGGGTTTTTGGGAAACTTTTCTATTATTTTAACATTAACCTTTTTATCTGATATGAATAAATAGTCGTGATCGTTATCAGAATTTCTAATCTTTAGCCCAAAAAATTGATTATTGGGAAGTGTCATCAGATTTTTTATATAAGCTCAGCCTGAGAAAGAAAAATCGACCTCAAATGTTGATAGGTTTACTCTATTTAAATCTAGCCAAGATTCTCTTTTGGAAAGATCTCACAGATATTCTGATTCAATTCCGTTTTGGTCAACTTCCTTATCAACGATTTGATTTAATTTCATATTTATTTGATTCAACAATGCCATATTGACTCAGCTAATATTCTTCAGATCCTAGCTAAGCAATTTTTTTCTTAATATATTGTTCAGAAATAAAGAGAAACCTAATTCATATTATTTATGGCTAATTTTAACCACTTTGTAATTTAATTTAATATTTCCATAAATTAAGAATGTTGTTGCACTTACCCAATATTCTTATAATCCTAAATGGACAGCATCATTTTAGCCTAATGTTTTTATAACGTAAAAAGCAGATTGAAACAAAAAGGCCTTTCAATTTCTTTTATAATAAATAGTTTATGTATTAAAAATGCTCTGTAATTTAATTATTGCTATAATTTTATTTTCTTGGAATTAGCTTTTACATTTGTTGATTTAAATTTCGTAAGAGAAAATTTATATAAGTCTTGCGCCCTAAGAAAATAAATTGAGCCATTAAAATATGCTTGATGATAAGCATCTCTTCTAAATAAATTGTCTTCAAAATTTCACAAAAGACTTCACTCAGACAAAGGATCTTCACTACAGTAAATTTCATTTATGTATGAAAGACTATCAAATAGATTTTTCCTGAGACTTTGACTAGTATTTGCTCTGCCTTTTTGTCAAAGTATTTAATGAAAGTTGAGCTATAAGAATCCAAAAAGATATCATAAACTCATAAGTACGGGCCATTATCAGCAATAATGATTTTTTGGTTGATTCCAGTGCATGAGTATGGGGAGTAGCATAGAGGCTCTGATAAATAGACTCATTTATTTTGTGATATTAGATATTTTTTTGCATGTTGAGATATGATACCTCCTTGAGAAAAATCAATTTCACCTTCAAAAATAAATATTGCGTCATCATAAAAGCATGAGGTAAAGCAATAATGAACATATGAAGAAGTACTGCAAGAGTCTATTATTTCGATATTAAAATTCTCATCAGCTATAAATAAGTATTGTAGGTCTTCTTTATTATATATCCCAAGCATTTGGTTTTTTGGAAGACTCATCGAGTATTTAATTAAAATAGGATTTGCCCGAGAAAAATCGACTGCAAGCGTTGAAAGGTCTATTCGGCTTAGCGTTTGAGCTGCGTAAGAGTCGAAATCCCATAGGTACGTTGACTCAATTTCATTTTGGTCGAATTCTTTATCGAGTATTTGACATAATTCTATACCCATATATATTATTAAATTATTTTCAGCTTTATTTCGTGTATAAATAAATGTTCATAAGCTCACTAATATATATTCACTTAATTTTTAATGAAATCTTATTCGTGGGGCGAGGGAGGAGGCTATTTTGGAACCGAGACGAGGTAAAGGCTAGTGGGCCGTCCGCTTATGGCCAGTTTAATCGTTGATTTATTAAGGAATTTAAGACTGCAAATTTTCAATTTGGATTAAACTTTAATCATTAGTCAACTTTAAATATCATTTGGTTTCTGTATTAATAAAAACATAGAATTGCGAATCTAAATCTCTAAGGGCTAATGCTCTCAAAGGAAGGAATACTTACCATACTATATATTGTATATTACTAAATTATTTTCTTAAGGCTGCTATAGTATATCTAAGCTAATTTTTTTAATTTTATAAATTCTCTAATCAACTCCAGCATATTTGTTTAGTTCAGAAATAAGTTCTTAAATGTTATAAATTAATTCCTAATTAAGCTGAAGTGTTAATAAGTATACTAAAAATTCTAAATTTTTGAATTTCCTCACCGACATGAGAGTCTTTTATTTCTAAAAATTTTTTAAATTCAAAATTTGTCATCTTAAATTTGAATGTATTAAAGTAGAGTCTGCTAAGTAAATAAATAGACCCCTGATAAAATGCTCTAGCATCAAAGAACCAATCGTGAGAATTATCTTTAAAATTATACACAAAAGTCCATTCTGAATAAATATCGTCAGTAACATGAATTTTATAACTTTTTGAATAGCTTATCAAGTAAAGTCTTCCTCCAGTTTTATTGCCTATGCCTTTTTATAGATCTCCCTTGGCTATAGAAAGTCATTAGAACTGACGGAATGATTCGAACAGCAACAGTTGCCAATTTAACTTCCACTATTAGCAATTCATCTTATATTACTCACTTTAAAACTGCTATTACCGAGCCAAACTAACAGTTAAAAGGATATTCTATAGCCTAGGGTGATCTATATGTAGTCTAAGCTATAAATATTGCTTTTACCTCACTATTCCCAGTGTCTTTGATAGGCAAATAAGAATTATATGAATCCAAAAGTATATCATATACTATAAGTCAATTAGTTTGTTTATATATCATGACAATCTTTTGGTTAAAGCCTAAGCATGAAATAACGTTACCAAAATGGTAATTTGCTAGCATAACCCAGCGTTTTTGAGTAATAAAATATCTTTTAGCATGATTAGCAATGCACTCTTGTGTTGAGATTTTCAATTCATTTTCAAAGATAAAAATAGAATCGTCATAAAAACACGAGACGAAATCATAACTATTGTTCAAAGGCTCTGCTTCTGCAATATCTATTATTTGAGTACTAAAATTTTCGTCTGATATAAAATAGACCTTTTTATAGCGATATGTATCAATGTACATCCCTAAAAACTGATTATTAGGAAGAGTCATTATAGGTCTCATTCAATAATTTTTAAAATGATAGCCAAAGGATCCATCAATTGAAAGCGTAGATAGGTTGAGCCTTCATATTGTTGTCCATGCTGAAAATAAGTGAACGTTTCATAGGTATTTAGATTCAATTTCATTTTGGTCTTCTTCTTTATCATGTATCAGATTTAGTTTCATTTTATAGTTCCCTTGCTAATTTATTTTATATTAGATAGCTGTTCCAATTTGACTTTTGCAAGATTGAGATTGTAAAAGTGATACTTAATTAATTGAAATTTGATTTATAATCTAGAAATTGTTTTTTAGAATAGATTAATATGGTTTAATTGCTAGACAATATCCAATATCATTAATGCTATTATATTAATTGCATAAATTCTTCTTGATCTTTAATTTAAGATTTTAACTTATTTTACGCCCCTCTGTGACCGAACAACTCGCTATGGAACGGTTAATTTTTTTTAAATTTAAAAAAATCCTAATTCGCAAAAATTGGAAAACAAATATTAATTTAATTTATACAATTTATGTTTAAAAAGCAATTTGTTCAAAATTAAACAGAATTAGCTAGAAATTTCATTATATTAATTATCACTTATAAATAATTTTTTTTTCCATAAAAAATTTTGTTCACTCACGGAGGGTGGGTTTTTGGCAAAAAATAGGGATTTTCTAATGGTTTTGCTCGGTCACAGAGGGGGGAGTAAGCATTTATACTGAGTTAACACAAATATTATTTGAGCTTTAAATCTTAATTGCATTATTAGTGCTTCCTTTCAACTTCGTAGGTTTTGAGCTAAATTTAGATAGAGAAAATTCGTATAAAGTAGAATTCAAATCCCTTCTATCTCGCCTATCCAAATTATTAAAATATTATTATTTAAAATTGCCCAGTATTATTTGTAATAATGCATAATTTATCATGAGAGAGTAAAATAATAAATTGATCCATGATAGTACACATGAGGAGAAGCTCTTTCACAAAACAAAGTATCATGAAAATTCGATAGAAGCATTCAATCTAATAAAGGATCATCACAATATAAAATTTTACTTAAATAAGGATTAGATTAAGATTATTGAGTACTCCTTGAACCTAGGTGTAAGCCTTGATTGCATCATCTTGCTTTGTCCTCAGTCCAGCTTACCCTATCTATAGGGCTTACCTAATCCAAACTATACCCGTTAGCTCAGTTGTAGACCCTTCAGGCGCATTCTTCGTTAAATGCCTAGAATAATCAGCCTAGATAATATTAACGTGAGTTGTCGGCCTCAAAAGTTTGAAAAAACAAATTTTTTAGTCAATTTTTCTCTCAATGGAAACTTGAAGCTCAGAATGCAATACTGGCATCACGCTAAAAAGATTATCCGAGTTGTGCTTTTGGGTGCTAGTCTTGCTGGCAACCCCTTTCCAACTCCTATGTTCATCACCCCATGATGTAAAAGCAAACCTCGAAGTGGACTTGGTCTGAGCTCTGAGCATAAGCAGAACTTTAATATTGAGTTGCCTTTTATAGCCCAATTCTCTGGGCTGCAAAATTCGCAATCACAAAAATAAATGCTGCTTTGATTTAATCAAGCATTTGGCTTTACAAAATAATGATTTTACGACACAAAATACGAGCTATTTATGCTAATTGAGCACTTAACATTGCTATCTATTTTATAGCTGTCAAGGCTCTTGCAGGATATAATTAATAATGTTCTCGATGTTGGCTGACCTTTGTCCAGCTCCCATATTAATTATGATTTAAATCAGGAACAAGCAAATAAATTTTACCAGAAATTTTAAGCAGCATTTTATTCTCTTCTGTATCAAAATTTCTAATTAAATGCTGTGAGTACGAATCCAAAAGTATATCATATATTCATATCCCTGACATTCATCCAGCAAAAATGATTTTATCTTTGAATCCAACACATGAATAAGGATATCCACAATACTGGACGTTTAAATTTATTCATTTATTTTGCGAAATTATATATCTTCTTGCATCAGGAACTACATTAAGTCCTTCACTCATATCAAAACAATCCTTAAACATAAAAATTGAGTCATCATAAAAGCAAAAGGTAAATTCTAAGTTAAGAAGTAGAGGTTTTGTAGGATTTTTTATTTCCTTGATATTAAAGTTTGCATCTGATATATATAAATGTTGGCCTGGCTCTCTAGATTTTTCGACGATGACAAAAAATTGATTTTTGGGAAGAGCCATGCAATTTAAAATTGTTATAGAATTTGATGGGCTTGTTCAAGTGTAATCAACAATAGAGCTTGGTAGATTAATTCGACGAATGGTATGAGAAATATAATTTTCATATAAGTCCCATATTTATTTCGACTCAATTTCATTTTGGTCAATAGGTTTATCAAAATTTCCACCTAATTTCATTTTAATTAATAAATCTTATAGTAATTTTTTGTTGAAATTTATTCGTAAAAATTGGAAAGCAACTAATTATTTAATTTGTAAAATTTTATGTTTAAAATTAAACGAAATTAGCTCCAGATTTCATTATAATAATTACTTATATATCAAAATTTTTTTCATAAAACTTTTTGTTAACTCACGGATTGGTTTTATTCGCTCACGAAGGGGGAGTAATAAATTTTTGAATTTATTAAAAATACTTTATCCTATAAATAAATTCATCAAGAATTTATTTTTCTTAAAATTATATTAAATATTATGAAAAATTTTCTAGTTTTAGTTTACTAAATTTAAGGATAGCATCAATAATAGTCCGTTAGTTCTTAAAACCTTAATATTATTGCTTCTGCTAGCATTGCAATTGCTAAGATAGAATAGATATCTTCATCTTTTTACCCTTGCCTTATCTAGTTCCCCCCCTCCGTGAGCGAACACAATATAGCGCTTTCCCGAGGATGGCGCCATTCCGCGCCATCCTTGGGAAAGCGCTATATTTTTAATAGAAAAATTTTCGTGGAAAAAAATTGATATATAGTGATAATTATTATAATGAAATCTCAAGCTAATTCTATTTAATTTAAACAAATTGCGTCTTAAAACATAAAATTTACAAATTAAATTAATATTTGCTTTCATTTTTTGGTGAAATTTTTTTTTTTTAAATTTCTAAAATTTCTATATGAACTTTTTAAAAAAAATTAATCTCCTCTATGACAAGCCAGATTTTTTGTTCGCTCACTGTGGGGTACAGTAAGTTCCTGCTTCTTCTGCATGCTTAATTAGACTTCTTTTTTATCCATATTGTAAGTGTAATCACATTCCCTGCATTTTTAATTTTAGATCGGCAGCTCTGTAGACTAAATATATTTTTGAGTTTGGAATTTTCATTTCTTCAGGTTCTTCAGGTTCTTCAGGTTCTTCCAATGTGAATTTCATGCAATTAAATTAAAAATCTATTTATGCCTCAAAATGAGTATAAATAGATCTTTTCATGGTTTTTCTGCAGTTATTTTATTATCTGGTGTCTACTCCTGTTTCATAACTTTTTTTCTTTTCTTCACATATATTTCATGGTCTTCATAGCCTTTAACACACAATTAAAATGGCGAGCCATCCGACCCGTCCTTCTCCCGTACCCTCTTGGAATACGGGTTTAAGAAGTAAACGGGGCCTGGATATTGTGTCCAGGGTGTTTTTTTTTTACCTTGGTCGGGACACCACGACAAGGTTTTTTGCCTCTCACAAAGACGAGAAGACCAGAGCCGCAGAATCAGGAGTCACACTTCAGGACTAGAAGGAAGTGAGGAAGCTTGTAGTGGAGCTTGGGGACCTGAAGAAGACTCCGGAAGGCTACTTTTCCCCCTCCCCAGAAAGGACGGCGCCCGGGTCACTAGACCCTGATCAAAGGAGTACCTGGGTGAGTCTCCCTGTCAGATGGCGACGTCACCATTTTTGGTGACGTCGACAGAAAATGGAGTGAGCAACAGAGCCGGTGCATAGGGCGCAAGCCTGAAGCTGGCAGCGCTGGGTAGAGGCTGAAATAAACCTCCGTGACCCGCTCAAACTAATTAATCTAATCTAATCATAGCCTTTATGAGAGTCTATATCATGGGAGTTAGCACTCATTTTTAATTTATTATAAAAGTCTCTTTAGCTTACTTAACAATTGCCTTTTGCTCCTTATCTTCGAAACGTAATAAGCATTATTTATATTTATATGTTTATGCGTTATTGAGCTTTTTGGACTGGTCGCGACCTATCACCTATCCTAATGAGAAATAGACAACTCGTTGCGACCAATAGACCAATTTACTGGTGCTCGAAAAGGCCCAAAGGCCTATGGTGTAATGTTTCTTTGTAAAAAATTAAAACTCTTGATCTACCTATTAATATTTGGTTATGTTCTATCTTAATTGGATGCACTTAATGCAATCATTATTTAAAGAAATTAAAAATGAGAAGGCAAAGGGTGAGGCAGAAAAATTACATTATTGATGTTTTTTTGCCTGGTTTTCATCCAAAAGTGAATAAAATTTTAAAATTTTATTTTAGAATTAGGTGAAAAGTAAAAACTGTAAAGTGAGGGTTGAAAAAACATAGCGGGACATTTTACCCAAAAACAACATAGGAAAAAATATATACCTTCAGAGGAGCAATTTATGATGTTTTGGGGCAAAAATGCCCTGTTATGTTTTTTCAGCCTCCCTTAATTTTTTAGTTTTTCCCTATGCTTTTAATTCTAAATTTTGTTTTTAAATTTTCAGTCACTTCTGACTGCGGAAAAAAGCATCAATGCAGTATTTTACACCTCAATCAAGGCAATCCCATATTTACAAATAAGAATATCTAAATTTTAAAAAATTTACTTCTGAAATATATCCGCAAGGTCTAGGATTGCTTTTGATTCAAATTTTGCCAACTTAAATTCATATAAAGAGGAATTGCTAATGTGCCATATTGACTCATTATAGCGAACATAAAAATAGCCACTTCAAAAAACCAGGTTTTTTTGCATTCATAAACCAAAGTCCACTCTAATAGTGGATCATCGGTGGCATAAATATCAACACCATCCGTATAGAAGATTCATGAGCTTAATAAATACAGTTTCCCTGCACATTTAAGCATCATTTTTTCAAAGTGTTGGTCTATGCTATGCTCCGAATAAGAATCTAAAAATATATCATATATTCATACTCCAGGAGAATTTGCAGCAATAATAATTTTTTGATTAAATCCAATGCAAGAAGTAGGGGTTTGGAAAGGCTTAGAAAATGGTGTTAATTCATTCATTTATTCTGAGAAATAATGTATCTTTTAAAGCTATCAATGCTACTGCTGTCTTCGTGCTCCTGTTCTAAGACAAAAATAGAATCATCATAAAAGCAAGAGGAAAAATAGCCTGAATAAGGAGCATGCTTCTGGTATAAGGAGTTTTTTATTGGATTTATATTAAAATTTTCATCTGATATGAATAAGAACAGCAGAAAACGCGCACTCGCTATCCCAAAAAATTGATTATTGGGAAGAGCCATTCAATATCTGATATCAAAAAATCCATTGATTCCTGGGAATAATCTATTACAAAATCATCTAAATCTTTGTATCGTATTAATATTGCTTTTGCACATATTTCAGATATATTTTGATTCAATTTCGTTTTGGTCTAGTTGATTTATCTTCATATTTATAATATCTCTGGGTCATTTTTTGATATTTAATATCGATAAATCTGCTAAGATTAAATATAAAGAACTTTGAACTTATTAAAGTAATTGACATCAGCCTTGCTATCCAAATTGTTGACAATAAATAAGTTTTAGCATTAAATTATTCAATCAATGCACAAAAACTAGAGGAATAACCTATTCATTGCTACTAAATAATGTGACAAGTATATTTTTATCAACTAGAACAATTTATTTCTTTATAAAATACGAAGCTATATAAAATGCCTCTTAATAATTGGGCTATTTAATAAAATATTTTATTTCTTAATACTTTTATTATTAAATTGTAAGAACACTAAGGGTGAGTTTTTACCAAAAATAGGGATTTTTTCAATGGTTTTATCCCTCGCGGAGGAGTTAGCTAACTTTAATTTCTATATGAATTATTTTAAAAGGCTTTCCCTACCTTTACTTTAAATGTCTTGAGTGAAAATTCATATAAAATTCTATTTCTATTCATCCTTCTAGCACGGCTTTAATAAAAAATATTTATTTAAATTTTATTAAAATATATAATATATACGACTTAAAAATTATGGAACTCGGAGTAAGATAATAAATTGATCCCTTGGAATACACAGAAGGTGCATACATTAAGTCATCAGGAAGCTGATCGTGATGTTTAACACATCTCCATTCTTCAAAAGGATTAAAGCAATATAATATTGAAGTAGACGAAGTATAATTTATTGAATAAATTTTTCCTGAATCTTTTATCATTTTTTGACCATGGTTTCCAGTTAGCAAACATTCACTATAGGAGTCCAAATTAATATCGTATACTCAAAATTGATCATCATAATTTGGGCGAATAATAATTTTTTGGTTGAACCCTATAGATCGCCTCGGTTCAAATAAACCAGTTGGGAAATTAGTCAGATGTATCCACCTATTTTGTTGTATTATATATCTTTCAGCATATCCTTCATCAGCAAAAATGAAAATTGAATCATCATAATAGCAAGAGGCAAAGTAATCAAACTCCTCAGCGCGTGGTGGACCAGATTTTATTATTTTGATGTTGCCATTTTCGTCTGCTATAAATAGATTCGACTTATATAGGTCGTTATCTTCATAACTCCCAAAAAAATGATTATCTGGAAGAGCCATTCAATGGGTGACGTGAATTTGAGATAAAATTATGATTAAAGGCAGACTTTGCAACTTATGATTTCTGGCTTCAGTAAATTCTAGCAAGAGATTCGTTTACTGGATGCAACTATAATTTATCCACCATAAAAGATTGCTATACACCAGTAGAATACTGACCAGAAAAAAATATGGCCCAGGATGCTTGCCTATAGATTAGGCATCTTAAAACTATAACCAACAATTTGCTGCTTTTCAACAAATCTGAAAAGGACAAGTTAATTTTAAAAATTAAAATGAATGTCCAATGCTATCAAAAAGATCCCTTATAAATATATATTCAGTTTTGAGGGGAAAAAAGCTCTGGCGTTTTATTGCGTAAAAAGATATTGCTCCTAGAATTGACTTTCTAATATCTGAGATCCCCAAAGTGTCCTTTTCTACAGTCACAGAAAAGAAGGTTTCATGTACAGCCTAATAAATTTTGCTATCTTGCCTGAAGTGTTAAAAAAGATAATTGCAGGCCTGCATTGTCACCATTTTAATATGTGTTAATATTTGAGATAATGGAGATTTTGCAAAAGAATTATTGCCTTTCAATAAGCGTAGATTAATTCGAACCAGCTTTTCAGAACGATCCGTACGTTTTAGATTCCATAGATGTTCAGACTCAATGTCATTTTTGTCTTGCTCTGAATCTAATTGGCTTAATTTCATATTTATTATCACTGATAAAATATATTTTGCATTATTTTAAGAAAATTGACTTTTGAGCTAAAATCAATTCTTTGGTTAAATTCTGCTATTTTAATGAATTACAATTAAAAAATTATTGCTCCTATTTCAATTTTATGTAAGTAAGTAATTTGAATTCAGCTAGAATGCTCTAAAAGCAAGAGTCTATTAAATAATATTTTAAAATTTTTTAAGATGATAAAAATTTAACTTTTTAAAAAAGAGTAAAATATTATTTATATATCAGCGCTTATGAAATATCACATTTCGTATTAAATCTAAAGATTCAATATTTATTTTTCTATTATAAGACTAATTTGCCATATATCTCATTAACTTAAATCTCATTTGATTCAAAATATAAAAGCTAAAACTAAACAAATCTTACTCATTAAATCTAGAATTTCGATATGAATTATTTTAAATGACTTTGGATTAGGATTAGGATTATTAAAAGTCAGGCGCTAGCCATATTGATGACGCAGTCACCAAAGACCTCCCGTACGGGAGGTTCATCTGCTTTTCGACTCCAGCCCAAAGGTTCTATCCCTCTTGCGAGTGCCCTTCCGGTAACTTCTCCTCCTTGCCTTGTGGCTTCAGTCTTGAGTGGGCGGCTTATATAGCGCCTTTCTTAAGATGGCGCGCAATGCGCCATCACCGGGCCATGTCGGGAGAGGGTTCTCCACGAGGAATGGTTCCACGTGTGGAACCTCTCTTTTTGGCTCGTGGAAAAAGAGGGTTCCACACGTGGAATCATTCCTCGTGGAGAACCCTCTCCCGACATGGCCCCGGTGATGGCGCATTGCGCGCCATCTTAAGAAAGGCGCTATAGATTTCTGCGGCCCTGCTACGGGCGATTGGAGTAGTTTGATTCCAAGGATCAGCTCCTTGGAGTCTATCGGTTGTCGAAGTGCCTTCCTTTGACAGCTACAGGAAAAAGGCTTTCCCCTGTGGCCTGGGCCGAAACCCCAGTTTCTCTGTAGAGGAATGCCCCTGGGTCCTCGGATCCAAATGATGTTGTTAAGCACCTCCATTTCTAACCACAGAAAAGCAGCCAAAACCTACCGTATACACACCTCTGGAGCCTGCACTTGATTCTCAGTTCGGAATCCGTACCAGTTCGCCGTAGCCATAAGGTCTGGACTGCTGCGCCAAGAGAGCAGGTCTACACGTGTCGCCATTTTAATGTATAAATGACTTTGACCACTTTTGATTTAAACGTTTCGAGCGAAAACTACTGATATAAAATTTCATTTTACCTCTCTAAGTAACACGCCTTTAGCAGAAAATATTTATTTTAAATTTTTATTAAAATAAAATATATTTAAAGCAAACGACTTAAAAATTATTAAATTGGGTGGTAAGATAATAAATTGATCCATTGAAATACGCAGAAGGTTTATTATCAAAGGCAGCCAAAAGTTAATTGTGATGATTAATTTTTCCATTTTGTAAAAGGATTTTTTCAATATAGTATTAAACTGACACATCCTAAACTTATTGAATAAATTTTTCCTGCATCTTTAATCATAAATTGACTATAGGTTTCGATTGACAAATTATCGCTATAGGAATCCAAAATAATATCATATCCTCAAAATTAATCATCATTAGTTATGCGAATAATAATTTTTTGGCTGAATCCTATACATAGCCTCGGATCAGGTAAACCAGTAGGGAATTTATTCAGAATTATCCGCTTATTTTGTCGTATTAAATATCTTTCAGCTTACATTCCTTTAGCAAAAATAAAAATTGAATCATCATAATAGCAAGGGCAAAGGAATCATATTTATTAAGTTGATTTTATTATTTTAATCTTGGAATTTTATTCTGCTATAAATAGACCTCCCAAAAATTTGATAATTTGGAAGAGCAACTCGGGTGTTAGGGTGTTAGGGTGTTAGGGTGTTAGGGTGTTAGGGTGTTAGGGTGTTAGGGTGTTAGGGTGTTAGGGTGTTAGGGTGTTAGGGTGTTAGGGTGTTAGGGTGTTAGGGTGTTAGGGTGTTAGGGTGTTAGGGTGTTAGGGTGTTAGGGTGTTAGGGTGTTAGGGTGTTAGGGTGTTAGGGTGTTAGGGTGTTAGGGTGTTAGGGTGTTAGGGTGTTAGGGTGTTAGGGTGTTAGGGTGTTAGGGTGTTAGGGTGTTAGGGTGTTAGGGTGTTAGGGTGTTAGGGTGTTAGGGTGTTAGGGTGTTAGGGTGTTAGGGTGTTAGGGTGTTAGGGTGTTAGGGTGTTAGGGTGTTAGGGTGTTAGGGTGTTAGGGTGTTAGGGTGTTAGGGTGTTAGGGTGTTAGGGTGTTAGGGTGTTAGGGTGTTAGGGTGTTAGGGTGTTAGGGTGTTAGGGTGTTAGGGTGTTAGGGTGTTAGGGTGTTAGGGTGTTAGGGGTGTTAGGGTGTTAGGGTGTTAGGGTGTTTAGGGTGTTAGGGTGTTAGGGTGTTAGGGTGTTAGGGTGTTAGGGTGTTAGGGTGTTAGGGTGTTAGGGTGTTAGGGTGTTAGGGGTGTTAGGGTGTTAGGGGTGTTAGGGTGTTAGGGTGTTAGGGTGTTAGGGTGTTAGGGTGTTAGGGTGTTAGGGTGTTAGGGTGTTAGGGTGTTAGGGTGTTAGGGTGTTAGGGTGTTAGGGTGTTAGGGTGTTAGGGTGTTAGGGTGTTAGGGGTGTTAGGGTGTTAGGGTGTTAGGGTGTTAGGGTGTTAGGGTGTTAGGGTGTTAGGGTGTTAGGGTGTTAGGGTGTTAGGGTGTTAGGGTGTTAGGGTGTTAGGGTGTTAGGGTGTTAGGGTGTTAGGGTGTTAGGGTGTTAGGGTGTTAGGGTGTTAGGGTGTTAGGGTGTTAGGGTGTTAGGGTGTTAGGGTGTTAGGGTGTTAGGGTGTTAGGGTGTTAGGGTGTTAGGGTGTTAGGGTGTTAGGGTGTTAGGGTGTTAGGGTGTTAGGGTGTTAGGGTGTTAGGGTGTTAGGGTGTTAGGGTGTTAGGGTGTTAGGGTGTTAGGGTGTTAGGGTGTTAGGGTGTTAGGGTGTTAGGGTGTTAGGGTGTTAGGGTGTTAGGGTGTTAGGGTGTTAGGGTGTTAGGGTGTTAGGGTGTTAGGGTGTTAGGGTGTTAGGGTGTTAGGGTGTTAGGGTGTTAGGGTGTTAGGGTGTTAGGGTGTTAGGGTGTTAGGGTGTTAGGTGTTAGGGTGTTAGGGTGTTAGGGTGTTAGGGTGTTAGGGTGTTAGGGTGTTAGGGTGTTAGGGTGTTAGGGTGTTAGGGTGTTAGGGTGTTAGGGTGTTAGGGTGTTAGGGTGTTAGGGTGTTAGGGTGTTAGGGTGTTAGGGTGTTAGGGTGTTAGGGTGTTAGGGTGTTAGGGTGTTAGGGTGTTAGGGTGTTAGGGTGTTAGGGTGTTAGGGTGTTAGGGTGTTAGGGTGTTAGGGTGTTAGGGTGTTAGGGTGTTAGGGTGTTAGGGTGTTAGGGTGTTAGGGTGTTAGGGTGTTAGGGTGTTAGGGTGTTAGGGTGTTAGGGTGTTAGGGTGTTAGGGTGTTAGGGTGTTAGGGTGTTAGGGTGTTAGGGTGTTAGGGTGTTAGGGTGTTAGGGTGTTAGGGTGTTAGGGTGTTAGGGTGTTAGGGTGTTAGGGTGTTAGGGTGTTAGGGTGTTAGGGTGTAGGTGTTAGGGTGTTAGGGTGTTAGGGTGTTAGGGTGTTAGGGTGTTAGGGTGTTAGGGTGTTAGGGTAGGTGTTAGGGTGTTAGGGTGTTAGGGTGTTAGGGTGTTAGGGTGTTAGGGTGTTAGGGTGTTAGGGTGTTAGGGTGTTAGGGTGTTAGGGTGTTAGGGTGTTAGGGTGTTAGGGTGTTAGGGTGTTAGGGTGTTAGGGTGTTAGGGTGTTAGGGGTGTTAGGGTGTTAGGGTGTTAGGGTGTTAGGGTGTTAGGGTGTTAGGGTGTTAGGGTGTTAGGGTGTTAGGGTGTTAGGTGTAGGTGTTAGGGTGTTAGGGTGTAGGGTGTTAGGGTGTTAGGGTGTTAGGGTGTTAGGGTGTTAGGGTGTTAGGGTGTTAGGGTGTTAGGGTGTTAGGGTGTTAGGGTGTTAGGGTGTTAGGGTGTTAGGGTGTTAGGGTGTTAGGGTGTTAGGGTGTTAGGGTGTTAGGGTGTTAGGGTGTTAGGGTGTTAGGGTGTTAGGGTGTTAGGGTGTTAGGGTGTTAGGGTGTTAGGGTGTTAGGGTGTTAGGGTGTTAGGGTGTTAGGGTGTTAGGGTGTTAGGGTGTAGGGTGTTAGGGTGTGTTAGGGTGTTAGGGTGTTAGGGTGTTAGGGGGTGTTAGGGTGTTAGGGTGTTAGGGTGTTAGGGTGTTAGGGTGTTAGGGTGTTAGGGTGTTGGGTGTTAGGGTGTTAGGGTGTTAGGGTGTTAGGGTGTTAGGGGTTAGGGGTGTTAGGGTGTTAGGGTGTTAGGGTGTTAGGGTGTTAGGGTGTTAGGGTGTTAGGGTGTTAGGGTGTTAGGGTGTTAGGGTGTTAGGGTGTTAGGGTGTTAGGGTGTTAGGGTGTTAGGGTGTTAGGGTGTTAGGGTGTTAGGGGGTTAGGGTGTTAGGGTGTTAGGGTGTTAGGGTGTTAGGGTGTTAGGGTGTTAGGGTGTTTGGGTGGTTGGGGTGTTAGGGT